TCGTCTTGCTGTCGCCGTAACCTCGAAGCCACCTGTTCATCAGAGCCGGAACCTAGAGCCTGTTACCCCGCTTCTTGTCTGCTGCGCGTCCCCGCGTATCTATACCTCGACCACCACGCCCAATTCACTAGTTCACAAGTACTAGTACTTGACATTACTTGAGATCCCCAACTTTGGCGCCCACCCCCGCTAGCACCCGGCCACTTAACCTCACAGCGTCGCCCTCGTCCTGCACCATCATGCCTTTGCCATTCTCCCATTCGCTCGTCAAATGCCAACCTGACCCTCTTTGTATCCCTTGTACTTGATCAGCGCTCGCACCGACAGGCCATCTGCTTCCTTGGATATCATGATGATCGTCTGCCTTCAGTCTGGCCGTCGTACCCTTTGAAAGTGTCCTGAAGCTGTAATATACGAGCATGACACTACACTCTATAGGCGCATCCTGTTCTCCCCAGTGAAGCTGTCTCGTGCTGCCGTCTGCCTGGCCCACGTCTTATCGCCCCGTCTGCCGCCATGTCGTGAGTCTTTCCACTATATTCGTCTCATCTTGCCACCGTCTTGCGACTTTGAGATACTTCTCTCGCTCGACTCGGTACCTTGCCGCGCGCGCTGACATTGTCGCCCTTGATAGCTCCTCGCCCTCCACCAAGCGTAGCCTGAAACCGTCGCCCATTACAGCGAGTCCGCAACCGAGCGTTCAATATTCTGGGCCTCCAGAATTGCCCAGTTTGCAGCCAGCGGCGTCATTCACTACGGCGAATCAAGAAGCTCACCCTGGCGCTCTGCCGCCACTGTCATCTCCCACGAGCCGAAAGCGCAAGTCCGTAACGCTAGGACAGCCGCAAGACCAGATGACAGGTACAGCAGATGGCGCAGAGGCGCAAGCAAGCAGTACAGCGTTGCCTCCAACGGCCGATGTCGATGCTGCTCAGGAGCCAAAGACCAAGAAGAGTCGGACAAATACGCCGTGGACGCCAGCTGAGGAGTTGAGATTGAAACAAATGAGAGATGCTGGGAACAGTTGGAGCGAAATTGCAAAGGTGAGGGAGGCCCACTGCATCAGTCAACTGCCGTGTTCCTGAAGAAGAGTTAGCTGACTTGACTCATGGTAGACATTCCCGCAGCGGACTGAAGGGAGTGTGAAGAAACATTGGTACAAGGTGGGCATGCGACCAGTATCGTTTCACTGCGCACACTCTGACTGACCTATAAGGACATGCACTACGCTGAGTTCGCTGAGGACGAAGTGAGTTAGAAGCTATCATATTGTTCAATCGAGAGTGTGCTAATGAGTAAGAAGAGCGCTGCGCTGCTTGCCGCCATCAAAGAATATGACGCCAACAAATGGAAGGCCATAGGGCAGAAGGTCGGCAAACCTGCAAAAGTACGTCTTGACTGTGGCTGCATGTTATCCGTTGTGGACAAGTGCTCGTACTGACATGCACCAGGCATGCGAGCAGTACGCAAAAGAGAATTTTGGCGGCAAGTACTGAACGACACTTATGACTACAGTCTGCATCTTTCCGGGATTAGTGCGGTGGGGCCCGCTTTATGATACCAGCTTTCCTATTTTGATCGAGCATCGCCTGCGCAAAACTGCTGTAGGCATCCGTTCGTCCTTCTTGGTATTTCCGGGCGTGGTTCTCGGCAGCGGAGTACACAAGGAATTTAGTCGCCTCCTCGTCCCAAAAAAGATGCTTAGGAGTTTCCACAAAGCTGGCCAATGTTATTGACTTTCTCTCCGGCTATCCTTCTGCTGCAGGATTGGGTAATGGTTTTGCGAATGGTGGTTCCATCCTGCACATAATATCGAATATCTTTACGTAGCAATAGTCGGCAAACTACCTATGACACAACGGTCTGTCAAACGTGGGGGAAGCATCCCCAAAGCATGGTTTGTTCAAGTGGCCATTGGCCGATCTTGCTTGTGTTATCGTTTCACGTCAACGAACGGTTGGTTTCGGTAGCCTGCAGCGGTTCGACCAAATGTTTCATCGCGTCGCCACACCTCAACGCTCCACCGCTCCATGTTGCCGCATGCCAATCTACAGAATTGGCCAGCAGCTGGCTATTTGTAGCACACATAGGCGGCCTGCCGGTGTACACCGCGTAGCAATAACGGCGTAGAGGATCATCACCAGTTTTCTTTCGCGATCAGCGGTATTGTGGGCGATTTTGGTTGCGATGCAGCGATGGCCACGTGCAACGGCACAAGTTACCAGACGAACGCTCCGGCTATGCTACCGAACCATTTCAACGGGCGTGATATTCGGTCAAGACGCGCTTGAGGGTAGCCGTCATGTCGAGCCTAGATTACGCGACGGGGGTATTTTGTCGCCCACAAGGCCTACGCGACGCGCTTCTACTCAGCTTGTACATGCGCTGCACGCGCTCCGCTCACCACGTCGGCCAGATGACATGACAGCATGGTCGCGGATTGCGCCGTTTGTTGGAGGGAGCGTGGTGAGGGCTGCATCGTGCATTTCCGTCGAGCCTATGGTTCGCAATGGCTTGCAACAGCCTAAATGGATAATGCGCCGTTGGTCGAGTACTTGAAGGTTGGCAGACCATCGCTAGGCCTGGAAGTCACACATCGCGACGGCGGTGAGGTCATAGCGATGGCTGCAGAAGCAGGGGAGACCCAGCCACTAGCCGGGGAGTGTGCGTCTGTCGTGTAGTTCGTCACGTGAGGCGGGTTGGTGGTGGCCTCGGCGTCACTGGAAGGATTGGGGTAGCAATCTTCGGAGTCAGCGCAGCCGTCTATGGCGTGCCTGAGGGCGACAGTGTGGGCGGCGCACTGGACTCACGATGCCATCTCGCCCATGCAGTCGAGAGATGAGATGTATGCGAGGCTCGAAGGCGGGCAGATCCCGGCCGCTTGAGTGGGAATCGTTCCCGAATTTTAGCGTCGCAGGTCGAGTTCGAATCGCTTGCTCGCTCCTTTCCCCACCAACACCTCAATCGCCTCAACACATTTCCTACTGTCTCATGTATAATCCATCAATATTCTCCGCAGTGTACATCTCTACTCGCCACAAGCACTCCGTACACCCGCTACTTCTGCAGTACGCCGAAGTGCGTCATCCAATGCGGGCGTCGGGATATTTCTGTGGCTGGTAGATCCCAACTCATGGGGAATGACGAAGCGCATATAGGACAGGGCCTGACTCTATACCTTGAAACGGCCCATGCATGAGCCAATCTGAGGCCGTCCATGCCTATGCGTTAGAGAACCATGACCGAGAGCCCTGCCATCGCTCGGTCCCACTGCTTACAGGCGGGTGCTACGGCTGCGTAAATGCCGGCAGAGGCAACTGTCCTGCCCTGATCCGAGTACCGCTTCTTTACAAGTACTATCATGCTTGATGGGGCCCTGAGCCGGGTAAGGCTCTTCCAGGCATAAAGTGCCGTCGACTGAGGCACATGGCGCGGTATGCCATTGAACTGCCATGAAAAATGTCATCATTGTCACGGCACCCTTCTGACAGGCCGTTTGACCCATTCGCCTCCGAGCATGACCCGAGTAGCTCTCCCGCGGTCCTGGCTCCGCATCTGAAAGACTGTGTCTCATCAATCTAGCATACGGCCCTCTCTCGTGGCGCTCCCTCTTTGGGGAATTGCCTCGAGCCCCTGCCGTGTCGCTAGCCGATTCAGAACCTCTTCAATGCACATCTCCTGGCCACCACGCTGCGCCAGGATCCTCCTGCAGCGTCTGCAACGGCGTTGGAGATCTTTCTGGCGGCATTCTAGAAATAAACGACGATGGCATGGACCGCGCACGCCCCGGGCCCCACAAGCCCTCGCAAGCCGGGCAAAGTACCTCATGCCCATCTCATTTTGTATCAGCAGCCACTCACGATCCAGGGCCTGCAGCATTGTACTCGTCCAGATCGTGTGCCGGGGGACCCCTCCTTGTCATTGATCACCGCATTATGCTTGACATAGAATCAGTTCCTGGGTCTTCCCTACTAAGCTCATTTGGTAGTCCTCAGGAACAGAGCGTCTCGTGGGGACGACCCATTGCTGTACATGCTTGGATCCTGTGTCCGTGTGGCAATCGCACAAGACGGACCGGGCTTTTGAAGGGACGTACTGCCCGAAATTTTTAATGCCTTCTCCCACCAGGCAGGAATCTTATATTCCACGAACATCCCCCAGCCATAGGTACTTTTCGTTTGTTCCCTACAAGGCTACAACCTATATTCGACAACCCAGACGCTTAACACACGCGATAAGACTTCGACCGATGGCGCATTCCCCTAGGCTCTTCTTGCTCCAACATTTGTCAATATAACAAAAATTCGAAATACCCAAACGCGTGCGATACAGCCATCGCAACTCCGAACATCAACTCAAACTAAGGCACCCTTTTTCTGGCTCAGGTCTCACTGCGGCGGCCTGCCAGAGCAAGCTAGCTCTGGTAGTCTCCATGCGTGATCGCAACACTGGCGAGTCCCTATCGAGGCCCTTTCCTCGACTACAGCGTACCAGGCAATGCCGGGGAAGAACATCACATACCGACCTCAAACGTCGAACATCAAAATGTACTCCATTCCCATACCGGACTGCCTCCGGGTTACCACCCTCACTCCTTCCTGCAGCCACACCAGTCTCAAACGCTCCAACATGCCGGCGCCGGACACCATCCTACCTACACAGACATCGAGACACATTCACTACATCAGCCCCATTTATTGCGCCATCACTCCATGTCGCAACACTCTCCATCTTCCTACAACGTGGGCTACCCACCGCCGTCCCAGCAAACCGCCGGACGCAAGCGCAGCCACCAAGACGACTTGCAACACGATCTCCCTTCGAGCTTAGAGCAGCAACTCAATCCTTACGCTCAAGCAACGGGAAGCGTCTCACTACAACACGCGACGCAGGGTTACTCCCTTCAACAGTATCCGCCGCCGCCAACTCCACAGTCTTCTTTACCTCCTACACATCACCATCATCTACCAAACACACATCGCAATAAGAGACATCACCCAATGGAGGGCGCACCTCCCTCTCCCGCTCAACATCATGGCCCTCCCAGCGTAGTAGGTCAAGAGGGAATGCCCCCGCCAGCGCAACGACCCCGCGGCCCAAAACTCAAGTTCACGCCCGAGGACGACCAGTTACTTGTCGACCTCAAAGAAAAGAAAAACCTCACTTGGAAGCAGATCGCCGACTTCTTCCCTGGCCGCAGCTCTGGCACCTTGCAAGTTCGGTACTGCACGAAGCTCAAAGCAAAGACCACTGTCTGGACGGATGATATGGTGAGTCGCTACCCTAGTCATGAAACGCGCGACGTCGTGCATCACATCGATAATATCCGACATGCTAACCATAACCGGTAATACAGGTGGTAAAGCTTCGCAACGCCATGCAGGAGTACGAGAACGACCGTTGGCGCATCATTTCCTCGAAGGTCGGCAGTGGCTTTTCGCCTACCGCGTGCAAAGACAAGGCTGAGCAACTTGAGGCTGTGGAGTTGGCTGCACAGGAAGAAGAAGAAGAGGAGGAGGAATCACACCGACAACATCAACACCAGGGCACCTATTCCTCGTCGCAAATGGCAGCTGGTCCAAGTGATCCAGGCGCAAGTTACCAATGACTGGCCGACCCTAATTGCGATGGGCTGGCTGGCCAGTTCGAAAGCCTACGTGCATGGTGATCAAAAAAGATTAAACAGATAACATGAGCGCATGCGGAGACAGGTTGTATTGCGGAGTTTGTGCTGGTCACAAACTTCCCTCTATGGGGTCGATTTTGGCATCTGCAATACTTCTTTGGGGGCACACACACAAGAACATTCTAATCACCTAACACATTTCCTTTACGACGTACCACGATTTGGGCCAACGGTATACCCTTCCTCTTCAATACACACTCCTTTAACCAATTACCTGCATACTTTGGACACGACGAACAATTATTCCTTCGACGCGCAACACATTACAAGCGAGTCCAGCATTGCGGCGGCGTTGGGAACAATACTGGGTTCAGGCTAGGATAACATCATCTGGGGGGATGTTGGGAATTTGAGTTGATGAGGGACGGCATTAAGAAAGAGTCGGCCAGTGTTCCACTAAACAACTAGGCTGAAGAACTCGGTGAGGAACACAGTCGGTGTCTCGAGTGGCGTGTCGACTAGGGGAGCAAAAGAGAAGGAAAAGATACCCAGGCAGAGTCGGAAGGGGCGCATTTTCATTGGTCTTTCTTTTTGTTATTATCCCAACACTACCCTTTTCCTTTGTACACTGGCGGTATCGTCATCTATTTCTGCTTGTTATTATGCATTGCATGTTATTTCTCCATACATAATCATGGCTTGCTTCGCGACACTACTTTGCAGACATTTCCTTGATCCTATAAACTTTCTTGGCGGACTACGGGCTCTGAGACAAGGGCGCGTACCTATCTTGCCCGCTATTCTAGATGTACACATTTGTAATACCCTCGTCGTCTCCATCTCATACGCCCCGTTATAATGCATATATGCCATGTGGCATAACTCTCCTACATGCCAAATCGCCGCACCTAATGTCAAATACCTGCGTCGTCGTAATATGCGATTGCGCTTCTCGAAATTATGTAAATCATAACCCGCACTCAATATCATAATTTGAAACACTATTATGCGCATCATGTTCATGATCGAATGTCAATGCGGAGATGTGGCCTTTGTTGGGGTTTGTCTCAACAACGACAGGTTTCAGATCTCGAACTTTGATCTGAGACGTGCATGGCCGCGAGTATAGGATGAGGATATTAGCCTTAATATCACGCGATGATGTTGTCACAAGAGTAGAAGTCCAAGGCATAATGCTTTGAAAGCGGCGGTGGTGTCATCGGAGTTGTGGCCGGCAAATACAATATCAATGCTCAAGGTCAAACTTCATGCCATCGTAGTGTTGATACTCTGAGCATATACGGTCTAGAAGCTACAGTAACAGATTCAAGAACGTTTAGATCTGAAGCGCCTACACTAGTATCTATTTGCTCACAAGCTTCAACGATAGTCCAAGCAAGCATACCATCGCTACTCATACATGCCAAACACTGCACTACGCATCTACCACAGCCAAACCAAGATCCCATACATCCCCATCGCTCTCCAACTACTTCCACCCCTTCCCCACCCTTCCCAGCCTTTCTCCAACTAATGACACCAATACATTATCACCCATTATCAAGATACACATATGACTTCGCCAACCGGTCATACTTTTGATATTAAGAAAGCGCGTACTGACCATGCCAGATGCGGGAAGGGAAAACCTTGTTCATAATATCCGGGTTAGTTGATATGTAGATTGTTCCCGCACACACCTCGCTACTGTTGCGCCAAATGGCGCCCACGGCCAAGTAGGATATGCAGAGCGGATGCAGGCGCGGGAGGCAAAGAAGGCGTGACCACCTGTTTTGTACAACGGATGCGACACGAAGTGCAAATTATTGAAGAACGGGTTTGAATGTAGGGGGGCTAGTTTCGATACTCGCCCGTTTGCGCCCAACTTGCTTACTACTGCCTACTAGTACACCTGACAGAAAAGAAAAAGTCTTTCATGTTGGGGGTCCAGAAATATGCGCTGGTTTGCATCCGACTCGTCCAAATTCCGAGCCAGTAGTGACGGTTTGTGCAGCACGATCCGGTCAACCCTGTCATAAGATTGCCTCTTTCTGCACTCAGCTCGTCGGTTACTGGCCCTACCATAACCACCCATGTTCTTAACAACCAGCTCGGGTGTGGCCACGCGCACGTAACGAGCATGCTGCGGCAGGCATATGCTGGATTAGGGCGAACCGGAGCAAGGTGGAGTTTTGCTGACCTTTTGCAGGACGATCTCTGCCAAAGACATACGTACCTATGGGGTGATGATGATGAAGCTTTCGATATGACCACTTCCACGGGATGGCTGCAGACACATGTTTCTCATTAAGAGATTTCCATGCACCCTGACTGTGCAATCCCTTGCCTGCTAAGCATGCCGTTTCCCGTGGCTGCTCCCTTTCTGCTCATCACTGCATGATCGGAATAGCGACCATCTACTTACGTGTACTCCGCTTTCTTTCAGGAGCTAGGGGCCGTTGATCTAGCAGATGAATGAAGATGGCGTGCACAAACTGGGACGACGGAATACGCCGATGGCGGAAACGGAAGAGAAGCATCAATGATCGGCACGCCGCTGCAATGGATATTGGGAAGCCTCACGTTATGCCCTCTTCCTGGTAACAATATCCCCGTCGGCCATGTGGCAGTGGCAACTGTTTCATGTCTTGATGTTGAGGTGGCAATTGCTATGTTTACCATTTGCTGATGACCAAGGAAACAGTTGCGAGGCGGAAAGCGGGGATCGTGTACTTGTGATCGGCAAGAGACTGTGCTGCAGGATACTCCATCGCTTACAGATGTATCGCGGATGTAGGCTTCATCGGGATGTGGGGAGGACCACAGAGGCACGGTAAGTAGGAGAGCTAGGCCTTGGAATGAACACCCAGTCTAGCATCACTTCGCTTATCCGCGGCCATCGATCTGGATGGAAGCTGAATATGCTAGACAAGCTCATCATGCAGAGAGGCGTCTCAACAGATCGAGGGCATTGACACGTGAAGCGTGCTGGCCGGTGTGGGGTGGTATGCTGAACGGTAGCGCTGTCGCGTGCAGATAGGCGACATCGTGCTCTCCGAGGACCAACGAATTTCGACTATAGTGCGCATCTCGTGATACCTGGAACTTCAGCCAACTCGTATTGTCAAGTTTCTTTCAATCCCTGAACTTGACCCACACTAACGAAGCCTAACCGGTCACCTTGACAGTCAATATCTGCATCGCACCACTGCGGCGATTAACAGCATGGGCTTGCTAACTCGGTGCCTTGCTGCGCGTTGCTGCACTGGTGCCGTTCACGCCTGCATGTGCGTCGTTCCCTGTCAATCGGTGAAGGATCATATCGAACGCGAACGCGGGTGCGAGTAATACTCCGGTGAGCGTTGAACCGTCGACCGCTGCCGTCGCTGCATCCCGCATCTTTCGCGCACCGTCAGAGCGAAGAGGCAAAAATCCAGGAGCCCGGTAAAAGGTCAGCCGTTTTTGCTCCAGCCGGCTCTTTTTGCTGTCTATGTGTCGCGTAGAGTTTTGTTGGCCGCATTCCTGTCCAGTGCTTCTGGCGCGTCAATCAAGTTATTGAACATAGCGCATCCGTGTGCCAGCTCCGCCGCCAACGGCCCGCAAATATACTATTGGACGGATATGAAGAATAGAAAGTGGAGTCATAGCCAATAGTGTCGCCGAAAGTTGCTTCTTTTCGGGTCATGCGCGAGGCGAGGTACATAGGCTATATGCGGAGCTGATATAGCTCCGCTTCCCACAACGGCAGGGCATGGTCTTTGCGTAAACGCTTGGCGAGGTTCTTCAGGTCCGTGGAAAATTCCGTTTGTAACTCAAACGCAAGCGAGCCCGGGTACTGTTAAACCTCCGTCAGATATTGGTGAAGGTTCGATCACATGATTTAAGTGGTCATGAGTGATATACTCATCTTGAGATGACAATTCGAAGTGAGTTCTGGTAGTGAATGGTCATTAGCTTCCTCAGTATAGAGTTTCTAGTGCTTTGATCCATTGTGAGAATAGTATCTCTGTCGGTCAATCGCTACCGTTTATCCCCGGCATTGATCGCGTATACACCATCAACGACTTCCGCAATTCTAAGCAGAACATATGGCATCTCGATTGATCGATACACCAGATGTGCTTCGAGTATAGCGAGTCTGGATGCTGTCTTCTTCCAGTGTGTTGTCTAGATTCTCAGCATCGTTTGGTGATCCCTGTGGCCTTTGGTAACAACAGTGGGTTGCAATCTGGCAGGTGTAGATGCTGATGAACTAGAAGTCAGTCGATCCACGTAGCAACAGCCTCGCTTATAACTGTTTTGACAAGAGACCCCGTAGCTTTCTAGAGATCATCAACGGGCGCTGGCAAAGACGGAAGCTGGGTAGATGCCTCAATATTACTATACCTACTACTGTTGCAAGATAGGGGCAGCTTCGTCATTCGTCTTGTATCGTCCAACTTCAAGGATACGTGATTCAATGCTGACACTCAATCGCTGTCCTGCCTAAGGCGAAGTATCTCGCCGGCCAACGGCATCTTACAGCTACACCGTCGACCGGAGGCGGCCTCCAGTCGTCAAAGGCGGGTGGGCATGCTGTATGAGCCTACCATGACTGGCCTCAGGATGATCGGGTGTGCATACAAGCCAGTAGTGGCGCCGTAGTAATGACGTGACAGTGTTCGAAGGTAACCACCCACAGTGCTACAGTACTGCACGAGCAGCCAAGTTGCGGAGATGCTCGCTCAGCGTCGTTCATACCTGACGGCCTACCCAACGGCAGCGAGAGCCCGCCCTGAGCGAACGCGCGTTCGGAACGACCGAGACATTCTCACCGGAGGCATGTTGCGGACCTGATCTGGTAGCGAGTGAGCCAACGCACTCGCCTTCGGACCTGGGCCTGGTCAATATTGCCTCATCGCTGACGATAGCACACTCATGATGCGCTGTCATATATCATTCGCCGCATAATAAGATAGCGTTTATTGCTGCGTGGATATCACCGTGCGTTCGCTGTTGGCTGAGAGACTTAATGATGGGTGCTATAGGCAAAGCTCGCTTCCAGTGCCATATTCTCAACGATGTTGGGTATGCGATGGATCTTCCCGAGACGATCGGCACTGTGGTGTGTGTTGTTCTCGGTGCGCTTGATGGGAGTTATCCTTGGGGACGGCAGTGAAGGAATCTCCATCTCTTGAGGATGCTGCTCATCCCGGGAGCCAAGATCACGTCCAACACGCCCTTTCTAAGCTTGGTTTGCGCGGATGTTATCCAGGATGGTCCATCCGCGTGATAGTTGTTGGGATGGCTTCAGCGGCTCCCCTGCGATCCGCACCTAGAGTGGCATAGTCATGATGTTGACGTACAGTTGGTTGTCGAGGCTGATGGGCGAGTAGGTTGACGTGCCTGCTATTAGTATACCAAGTTTTCTCTTCCTGTGTGCAAGTGAATATTTCGAACCGATGGTTGCTCTCGCAAGGCGCGGATCGTACCCTACCTAGGTGTTGAAGCCGCACGCATTCTTGCAGCACTTTAGCTTTGGTAGATAGTGTTACTTCGCAGAACATGCACAAGACTTCTTTACCCAGTATGCAGTTTTCGCTATGTGCTATCAGGGGCGGCCTTGATGCCTGAGACACCAGGCCAGACAACGGCGCGTTTCAAAAGTCGTGCCGCTGGCCGACACTTCCTGGCGCAAGCAGCAGCTTCGCCTCGTCTTCTCCTGTGCGCCTCCGCCTCGAGTTTCTAACCGCCCAATGCAGGTGCAAAATCAGTATGCTTGCCATTGCTACTGTGCGATGTTGTGCAAGCAAGCTTCGAGATAATATGTGGTGATGTTCTGCTCCTCCGACTCATCTCTGAGCGATGTCCGTGCTTCATATGACGTATGTAAGGACAAGGACAATCATTTCCCATGGCGCTCTCTTTTGATCAAGTTGTGGAGCTTTGTTGTTACTACTATCGACTACACTTGTATGCGGCTCTTGACGCAACTACATGCTTATCCATTACGACTGTTCATGACCTCCTCCAGTCACCAGATAATTAGACCAACTGCACTGCTCGATCGGCATACCTCGATGCAGTAATCACAAGGAACTTTATATATATATACCTGCGATTCTGTGATACTATTCATCTCGAAGCAATCTTGTGTAAATATCCTTAGCATTCCTCCTCGCCGAAGAATCGATCTATTGAATCCGGTTCCAATACTTTGTCACCGCCGAAGAGCCGATTGATTCCACCGAAGAGTCCGCCTCTCAAAGACTTGTTCCTCTAAATTTAGTATCAAGACTCAGTTGAAGCATACTCCGTCCGAAGAACCTTGTGCATATTACGAAGGGTTGCGATAGGAAGCTATGAACCTCTCGTCCTCGGTGTTATATTCGCATCGCAGTTCGGGCTAGGTTAGACGAGGTAGTAGTATTTGCATCAACTGCATCTTGCAGATTTCTACCACGCAATCAATAACAGTATTCGATGACATCATAGCATATAACAAGAAGGTATTTCGCAACTGATCTTGAATTGATTTAAGATGGCAAACATTCTGCCTACTATTAAGGTATTCGTGGTGTTTCATGTTGGTAGTCGAACAAGACAACACGCGTTCTATACCTTCCGGGTATACTATAAGTACTATCTAGAAGAAAAAAGCTTCTTCGCATATCCTACGTGATGGGTTTCCATCATATCGTATCCTATGAAGGAAGTAAGGAAGTTATATTCTGCAGCAAGCACTTGGTGTTGCATTCGTGCGAGGGATGAGAAGGAAGACACGAATACATTTGACTACAGAACCTTCTGAAGAATGGCTCACCAATTACCGTATTGATACTCTGCGAAAGGCTCTCCATCCAAGCCATTCGAATACCCCTGGAATACTCAACCGTGAGGTTCAATGCTACTGACTGAAGTCAACGTCATACACGACCACCCCAACGAACCCAGCCCATTCCTCGCGATTAGCCTCTTCCGTCGCAAAGGCTTCATCGGCAAGACGGCGCAGCTCAGCGTCAAATAGGAAAATACCGTCCTCTTCCGTCGCAACGGCTTCATTAGCAAGACGGCGTGGCGGCTGAACGCCCAACTGGAAGATGGAGCCTTTTATCGCACGCTTCTGTTTCCAGAATTCTGGCCCATCGCGTTGCAAGCGTGTTTTACACAACTCCTCTACACGCTCAATAAACGGCACTCGGCACTCCCATGTCTTGGGAAAGGTCAACTCAGCCTTGATCTTATACTTGTGAAGTACACCAAAAACTCTACCCAAGACCACAGAATCACTCTGGAAAGAGTCGTCAGCGTTGAATGGCCTTGGTTGTATACACGTCCACACAAGCGTCCTCTGTCTTGCCAAGTCCGTATACTTCCACGGAATCTCGAGAGTGAGATGCTTCAACTGTTCAGTTAAGCCCGATGGTTGAAAAGCCTCGAAGAACTTCGGCAGTAGGGAGATGCTGCAGTGGCTCGGCTCACAGCCCTGAGCCCACACAAACTGCACGAAACGAAAGTAATACTGCAGTAACTCTTTGCGCATGTCCTTGTCTTTGCAAAAGTTTGATATGAGCATTCGATGAATCCAGTTAAAACTGCGGTGTTCACATGCACCGCAATTCCAAAGTTCTCCCTCGCCTGAGTAGAGTTCCTCGTCTGATGAGAAGATACTAGGCTCCCACTGCTTGTCTAGTTGACAAGGAGGTGGCAAGACACTAGGCGGATGGAGATTAACGAACTTGACGCACCGATTCTCATACGTGATGTAGACACTGTCCTTATGCCACTGGCCGCGTGGAAATTCAGGTATGCTAGCTCGGTTCATCTCGGGGAATGCTTGCTTGTAGATTTCGAAGCGGCAGTCCAGGTCTAGCTTTTCTTTGAAGAGCTTCATGTCGATGGCGATGGCACTTGTTACCTCTGAAGGCTGTGGGCGTACTGGCGGGCTCATTAAGCTGGTCTGGTCCTGCGCATTGCTTGCTCGTTTTCGTTGGCTAGACGATACTGATGCGGCCTCGGTTGCGGGCTGATTCTCCATGATTGAGATGCTGTTCAATAATGTTATGTTTAGTGCTGAAATGAAGGGTAGTCTAGGAAGCGTATATAACCATGCGGTCGTTGACATTGTTCATACCGCCTTTAATTTACAAGGCCATTGTGCCCGCCCAGCTGAGCATATGACATCTTAGATGCTACTGTGAAGAAGTAACCGTAACAAAGACTTGTTTTCAGCCTCCACAGAAGAAGCAATGGCCTTGTCCAGGTATTCTGACTTTTCGATATGGCAAAGCGTCGCGCGTGAACGCCCATGGGGTCTACAGATCGCGCAAGGCAGCTATCATTGAGGTGCTAAATGAAGCATGCCAGAGATGTGGTGGAAACACCTTCGCTACGAGAAAGATGGACCAGACTGGAGGTCAAATCGCCGATGATGTATTTCTAAAGCGATAACTGCAAAGTGCATCGAAAACATGCGATATATCGGTGCCTATGTCGATGGTAGTGAGTAACCGGATCACATCGCATGTGTTTGCAGAGTTTGGCGTGGAGATGGCAGCAACCGCGAACGTGTATGAGCGTTTGTCCAGTCAGCTCAACATAGTGATACTAATACGAGCTTTATCGGTGTGTCAACACGGGACGGCCGATTGATCGGTGGCATTCCAGCCATTCCCGTGGTTCAGGCGTCGTGCAAACTCAACCACCGGCTACTCGCACGACCTCTACTGTATCAGCCGCAGACTATCAAAGGATAGACTCTGGACGAATGACGATTTTGACATGTAATTGATGCAGTAGACTGCTTCGTGATGGTGTTGATATCTTCCATGCGAAGAACGTTAGACCCTGGAACTATTCGTTCGCGGCCTCTTTTCCGCCCAAGCTTCAAGCTGATGACGCCAACCGCGTCAGCTATCTTCCATCATCATCTCCAACGCCATGACACGACAACAAACCTCCTCGCGCATTGCAATCGCATCGTTCGGAATTCGGAATAGATAACAGGGCAACACGGACACGGAAATAGCTGACTCGTGCTCACCGCAAATAGCGCATGATCACGGGCGGCTAGCCGTGACTGCGGGGTGCGCCCTTCCTTGGGGACTCAGCATGCGAGCAAGCATGAGAATTCATGACTGTTCCTGCTCTTCTCCTCTTCACTTTGCAGCTTTGACTAGCATGCATCCTTCACAATCACCGCCGCCATGACAGAACACCGGCTACCAGTTAAGCAACTGGTGATTCTCTGTACGTCCACGCGACGCGTCTTCCTTTGTAAGCTTGCTAACTTCGCGACAGCAATATGCCGCTTTGCCGAGCCCATCGCCCTCACTTCTGTCTTTCCCTACGTACCCGAGCTTATGGAGTCGTTTGGCATTCCCCAGAATGACATTGCGCGCTGGGCTGGTATCTCGTCTTCGGCCTTTTCGTTGTGTCAAGGCTTCACTGGCCTTGTCTGGGGCGCCGCATCCGATCGCTATGGGAGGAAACCGATCATACTTTTTGGGCTATTCAACACCATGTGGACAATGTTGTTATGGGGTTTCTCTCTGAATCTGCCCATGGCCTTGGCAGCACGCGCCCTCGGAGGCTTATCGAACGGCAATGTGGGCATTCTGCGCACTACAGTGGCGGAACTGTGCCCATGGAAAGAGCTACAGCCGAGAGCATTCAGTGTTATGCCCTTAGTCTGGACAGTAGGTGCGACGTTCGGACCTACCCTTGGTGGAGCCTTGGCAAACCCACTCGGAGTCGATCCTCGGAAGCCTAGAGGCACTGCTTTTCTGGAGAGATTTCCATATTGCTTGCCAAATATTGTAGCCGCTGCGTTCTTCACCATCGGCATTGTAGTAGGCTGGTTGTTCCTCCAAGAAACCCTGGAAAGTAAGAAGAACGCACCGGATCTGGGCGTGAGAACTGGGGCTAGACTGGTAGCGTTCGTTCGCAAAATATTACATCTCCCGACCCAGAAGCAGAGCAGTCCGGAACGGGAGCCTCTACTTAATCGTCAGAAAGCTGTCGACAGTGAGGCGGCATCACCCAATAATGTTGCACATGAGGTTGTCAAAGAGAAGGCGCCAAAATATCGGGATGTATTGACATATCAGACTTCGCTCAACCTGATTGTGTACACATTGCTCGCTATGTACACTCAGGCATATGATCAGGTTAGTGTTTTCCGGTACTCGAAAACATAATCACTGACCGAACACAGCTACTTCCGGTGTTTATGCACCACCCTGTGCAACTCGCAAACGACCCAACAGTATCTCTCCCTCTCAAGTTTGCAGGAGGTTTCGGTATCGAGTCTCGTCGCATCGGCATCATCTTCACCGTATTCGCCATTTCGTGCACTATGTGTCAATTCTTGTTGTTCCCGCCCATTGCGCGCTATCTGGGTGTCGTCCGTTGCCTCCGGATCGCCTTTCTAATCTTTCCATTTGTCTTCTTCGTTACGCCATTCCTATCGCTTATCCCGGATCCGATCACCAGGGAAATCGCAATGGTGCTCCTCCTGATGGTCAGAGGAGTGGGCGGTACATTTGCTTTCCCAACAAGCACTATCATGCTCACGAACAGTGCGCCCAGTCTACGTGTTCTAGGGACCATCAACGGTCTGGCCACGAGTTTCAGTTCCTTTGGTCGGGCAGCAGGTCCTACTTTGGGAGGTGGCTTGTTTACGTGGGGCGTCAAGCGTGGCTATGTCATTGTACCGTTCTGGACCATGTCCGCTATTGCATTCGCTGCTTCCATACCAACATTCTGGTTAGTTGAGGGTAAAGGATTTGGAGACGATCCAGAAGTCAACGACGAAGAGAATACTATCGAGACGGAAGAAGAGGAGATTGAGGATGGCCAAAGAGCCCCCACGACAGCTTGGCATTACGATGATGCAGCATTGTCTGAGTCAGAATTCGGCGATTTCGGAGAACCACCAAACATATTGAGTTTGACGACGACGCGATCGAGTGTGGCCATGGCATCCGACGATGAAGATGACGATTCGGTGTCTGTAGGACAGGGGCATTCGATCAATGCCTTGGAGGCGACGAGAAGTGGTTCCCAGAGCAGACGACGGAAGATCGTAAGGAGGACTTCGTCAATACCGATCGGCATGGGCAAGGGTTTTAGACGCTACAGCTCCAACCTAGGCAGTACAGGCATTGGGGGTGGTTCTAGCTGGGGAGGCGCGTAGTATGCACGCAAGTAGAGAGCGAGATACACAAGACATCCCTGAGTTCTAACGCACCCACGCTCTCCCAATACGTTACCCGAGTTGAACTATTTGATGAAGTGGTAGTAAGAATCTAGTAGCATATGCAAAAACCTTGTTGCTGAAAATTGTATGCAGGTAAACCGCATCCTGAGGGCTACAATAAAGTTTGCTTTGTGCTTATGCAAATGTGGAGACTAGCAAATACCTTGAGAGGGCAGTTTACTTGGTGACGACTTTGATTAGTAGCTTCTTCGTTACAGGATATGAATATAGCATTATCGAATCCGCGCCATACTGGTCTGTCTTTACGCGAAACCTCATACTCCACTCCGATAAGACAAACCCCTGGATACTGTCCCATATCGTCCCATACCGAGGTATCCGATACTCCGTAATGAACTCCAACCTATACCTCAGCAGCAGGAATATCATACACCATCCTCTCGCGAGCCCACCCTCTAATCCCAGACCCTATTAAACAATAACATAATCGACATCATCCCCAGCACTGGCCAAACTAATAAGCTCAAACTCCTCGCTAACGCCACAGTCACCAGAGGGTATACCCAACAAGACAATCCTCACCAGTGTCTCTCTTCTCAGCTTCCACACGGCCATCCTCGGAAGAACTCTAGACTCAGACTACGAGCCCTGGCCCATACTCTCCATACCATTCCTCGGCAAACCAAACGGATTACGACTATCGTTCACAGGCGTGTTGTCGTGTTTGTTGATCGCCGCATTGATAGGGCCATTCGGCATGGGACCGTTGATGCTAGCATTACGGACAGGGCCGCTCATGCTATTTCTTCCGTTTACGGGATTACCGTGAATATTTGTGGGTACATTGTTTGTGTTCATACTGGGTCCTGGCATGCTATTATTGCGATTATGGTTGTGTATACCGTTCCCGTTGGGTAGTCCGCTTGGCATGTTGTTGTCTAGGCCTGCGCTCATGGGACCCATTGGAGGACCCATTCTTGCACTCTCGTTGTTGTCGCCCATGCCGTCGACTTCAGGCCAGAAGCGCTCTTCCAACCAGCATATTTGTCGGAAGATCTCTTCGCAACGCGACATTTCTTCCTTGCCATCGCGTGTGGTTGTGATGTTGGCTAGCTCGTCGACGAGTGTGCGGGTTGCCTCGACAAACTTGCTGAAGGCCGGGGAGGTCCAGTTCGGTATGAGAGCTTGGTGGAGGGCGACGATGTGCGAGTCGGTGGAGGTATTGGAGAGGGTACTGGAGAAGGAGGAAGCGTATTGCCAGGCGGAGCGGTAGCACTATCGGATGTTAGCCTTGTGCGCCCACTGCTGAAAGCGGTTGTACCTACATGTTCGCTTGCCCATAACACGACCATGCCCTCTAGAAGTGACGCGCTTGCACTACTCGCGCTTACAAGGAGGTCAAGCAGGGCGCGTGTGATGGGTGTGGGCGGCTCCATGCCCAGCGCAAGTCCATACTTAGTCGCGGTGATCTCGAAGAACTGCATCTCTCGTCGCATGTTGTTGAGAGCGGAAATGAGAAGGTCCATGGTGCGATACATGGGATGGAACTGTGAGTTGTGCGTCTGCGGCAGTCGTATCTTGGCCAGCAGCTGGCCTATAAAGCGTATGTACCCTCGCGCATAGTGTCCGTCTTGTACTAGCCATTGCGACAACGGCCTTGCTCCTAGCGATCCACAACCGGCATGCGATAGAAACGGTCGCTGTGTTGCCTGCGCAAATGGTCCCGAGCAGATGGTCAAGAGATGCGAGGTCAGAGAAGGCGCGACATTGGGTGCCATGGCAAGGTTTGGCGCAATAGGTTGTCCATCGCGAGCGCGTTTATTGTTAGGTCCGCGCCGGTTTACTTGGAGGTTTGGGTTGGGCTGCTGTCCATTTGAAATCTGGCTCGGGCCCGCCTGGGGCATATTCGGATCAACAGGTAGTCCATTCTGCAACGGAGGCTGATGCTGCTGTTGCTGCTGCTGCTCTTGCGCGAGAAGGTGGGCCTGCGCCTCGGGAGATGCGAGATATCGTTGACAGTCTTGGAGATGCTCAATCTGGCGCGTCGTGTTCTTCGCGCGCACAAAGCCGCAGTGTAGACAGCGCACTTTATTACATTTCGAGGGCGTGTTTTCATCTTGGAACTCTTCAAAGGCTCGCCTTATGTCAGGGTTGGCATGCCTGCCCATCGCGGCCTGTCATGGACGTTAGCCTGATGGGGGCACATGGCAACACATGGCGTTGTAAAGATGTGAGAACAAGTGGAGCTCACCTCGATGATATGATGTATCGTGTATGTATTGTAACAATCCGGGCGGGTAAGGAATCGCCCCTCACCACCTATGCTAGGCGGTCGCAGCGCCCTTACCTCAGCCGTCAGACATCAATGGATTGGACCTGCTCATAACCTACCAAGACTAGACTGCACCCTAGTGGTATTCGTCAGGATTTACACTTTGCTCGCGGTTTTATAAAACGCAACGAGCACTCTTAGGATACATTTCACTTAGTACATGTATCGTCGGTACCTTAGTAACCAGGTTCTGTTCGTTACCATAGGTTGCCGCCAGTGCCTGGGCACGCGAAATCCTTCCGTAATTTCCAACAGCCCAGCGTGCTGCTATGCATCAGAGAAGACCCGCATCATCTGCACGATGCTATGAAAACTAAACACGTGCAACACCAACGCCGAAACCTTCTACAAAGTATCATCGTCATTCAGTCGCCATGTTTTGTTGACTGTTTGGAAGTCACATGGGCTGACAGGCCGTCACTACCCGCACGGCGACTCCCTCCACCACCGCCACCACCACCACCACCATCATACCGACACCTTGACCCAAACTTCAATCTCACGATGCATCGCACTACCCAACAGACTCGTTCTTGACCTGTTCCAGCAGTCGGTTCCGTCCGCGCATCTCCGGTGTCAACTCCAAGATGCCATCGTGATCGATGACGCCGCCTCTCACCATCTACAGCTACCTGGTACTTTGGTACTTTGGTACCCTTCCACACCGGCAGATACATGCTCGTCGGGTACAGCGCCCTCAGTGAACTTGGGCCGCCACGATGGTTACTTTGCGCCCGCTAACAAAACTTCTACGGTCACAAGCACTCTGACGATCACGCTCGTAGATCTACGTCCGACCGTCGGGCGCGCCGGGAATGGCATCGTGCGAAGCTCCCCCGCATCAGCCAAGCTTTTCGCGATCGCGCGCCGTTGCACGTTTATACCCGGTAACCGCGACTTCTTAGTCAAGACATTACCTAGGCAAGCTGCAGATGCGTCCGGTAAGATGGGAGGCGAATCTCGTGATACACAAAAGAGGAAGTTGGTAATGTGCGGTGAAGAGCAAGTATGCGATGACGTCGATACACCTCTGGGGTGCTTCACTTTGCTGTTGTTCTATTGACAAGCCCAGAACACTCAGTCCGGCATATCGGAAATTAAGGTAAGGAAAGAACTTGCTTTGGAAATTGATGTTACTTTTAGCCAGCCATCAAGGTTGAGGTACATGCCCCAAGTACCACAAATCACTACATGTGGAAAAGATCACTGCACACGGGAAGTGATGACTCAGATAATGCCATCATACCGACATGCCATATTGGAAGTACATCCGGCCTTGTGGGCCTTTTGCCCGGTAACAGCGTGTTTTGTATGTGGATGTGTTGCCGATCGCGGGACCATGGAGAAGATCTGCCTTGGAACCTTCCCCGCAACACTTCCGTTTGCAGACTCGTCTGCATTCCTGAGCCGCCCTGCGTGGAAGAATGCATAACATCAGATGCTCCTTACATGTCGAGGTAGCTTGTGAAACTAACAGGAAGTGTTCCGAACAAAGGTAGCACGGACTTCCGTGCATTCCCATGTCGTCAACCAGGTTCTTCGCAAGTCAGTGTTGGCAAGAAGCCAACTCACGTCCCAAGAATCCACCGTCCACGTTCCGGTGTATCACCACGCTCCTCGGGCGCGCTTCCAAGCTTCTCGAAGATCGTCTCCAACGCGTGAGCACCGCCTCGGAAGCTAAGTGGCTGAGACACGCCGATCCCCACATCATCGCCATCAAACACTCCTCCAATCACTACGCTGTACCTGAATCCTCCATACACTTTCTGCCAAGCTACAACCCTGCATCTGACCTCTTCGACCCGCCTGACCCCAGACCTTTTCTTTCATGCTATCTCTTGCCGAGGCCTTCAGGGTCCATTCTACCGTAGCTTGCCTGCGGATCTGGTCCTTGTGATGGTTAGTCAAGCGGCTTGGGGTAGCTTCTGCTCGCTTCCCCTATTGGAGTTGTTGCGTCATCGCAACAGTTGCCAGCGATGCCTCCGCGTCCGGTGTAGGTAACGATGTACACATGGACCCGATATAGCGGAGTCGTGACATGTCGGCGGTACTGCGGTTGGTTGCCTTGGGAGGCCTTCCTAGACACCGCCTTGGTGGTGTCCAGGATAGCTCTTCCAGCTAGCTAGGATGAAGCTGCGCGCTGTGGAGATCATCGTTACGTTGTGAAGCAGCGAACACATGCTTGTCTGGTGAGCATGACTGGGAAGAAAATTGGGGCAACTTTGTTGCTGTGTTGGCGGCTTGCGAGTCTTCGCGCTGGGAAGTTAAAGGGAGATCCTTCCCCCGATGCCATGGGTCTGCACAAGTTCAACTTTTGGATCCACCAGCCAAACAACCTTCTTGTACTCCTCTCGAGTACACTTGCATGTTCTACAACCTCAGTTAGTTGAGTAACATTCATCCTCACAATCATGGTCGGATCCTGGACTACTGCGGCGGCCATTGGCCTGCTTGCTCTCACAAACGCGTCTCCACTACAAAAGCGCGCACCCATGTTCGACTACAACAACCAAAAGGTTCGCGGTGTAAACACGGGCGGATGGTTCGTCCTCGAGCCCTGGATCACACCCAGCATGTTCGAGGGCAACAGCGCAAAAGACGAGTACACACTCGTTGCAGCTATTGGCAAGGATGCCGCACAATCGAGACTGCGCAACCACTGGAACTCTTGGATCACCCAAGATGACTTCAACCAGATGGCGGCTGCTGGTCTGAACCACGTTCGAATCCCAATCGGTTACTGGAGTGTTCTCCCACGTGATGGCGACCCATACCTGCCAGGCGCGTACGACAAGCTCGGAGAGGCGCTCGACTGGGCGTCTGGTGCTGGCCTCAAGGTCATGATCGATCTCCACGGCGCACCCGAATCCCAGAACGGTTTCGACAACTCCGGCAAGTACGGCAGCGTTGGCTGGACTCAAGGTGACTCTGTCGCCTACACCATCAAAGTCCTCAACAAGATCCGCGATGATCACGCGTCCCATCCCGCCGTCTCAGCTATCGAGCTTCTTAACGAGCCTCTGGGCCCCAGCCTTGACATGAACACGGTCAGACAATTCTACATGGATGGCTGGGGTAACCTCAAGGACTCGAATGTTGCAGTTACCTTCCACGATGCATTCCAGGGTGTAACCTCGTGGGGTAACTGGGGTGCGGGAATGTGGAACCTTCTTCTCGACACTCACCACTACGAGATCTTTGACAACTCTGCCGTTGCCATGAGCATCGACGACCACGTCAAGACAGCTTGTGATTTCGGTAACCAGATGGCATCCACTGGCAAGTGGACTATCGCTGGCGAGTGGACTGGTGGCATCACCGATTGCGCAAAGTGGTTGAACGGAAAGGACAAGGGTGCGCGTTACGACGGTACCTTGAGCGGCTCAAAGGTCGGTAGCTGTGATGGCAAGTACACTGGCAGTGTTGCTGGCCTGTCGAGCGACGACAAGTATAACATTGGGCGCTTTATCGAGGCGCAGTTGGATGCCTACGAGAAGGCTACCGGATGGATCTTCTGGACATGGAAGACTGAGGGCGCACCCGAATGGGATATGCAAGATTTGCTGGCCAACGGTATCTTCCCCCAGCCGCTAACCGCGCGAAAGTGTAAGTCTTTCTTCTCCTGTCGCATGAGCATGAAGCTGACAACCTCTAGACCCCGGCCAGTGTGGCTAAGTACCTCGTTGTTCATGCGACGTCTACTTGGCGTCTTCCTACTCTTTTGCCTTTCCACCAAACACTCGCTCCATCACGACACCCATCCCTTACAACCGGCCAGTAACGATGTAACGAATTTCATACCGCTTCGAAGATACCCCGACGCGTTCGCTCGCTAAACGGGACCCCCGTCATAGGGCTGTCCTTGGTTGTATTGTCTGACGTACCTGCCATTGAGTCACACTACCCGCTCGCACCGTACCCATTGATCTGCAAAGTAACAATGTCATGGTCGAGGCAGGGGCGCAGCTGGCGCAAACGTATATATGAGACGAGAAACAAACTGTATATCCAACAATGCAAAGAAGCTATTGAAACAAACACGAATCATCGTGACACATGTGAGCCGTGAAGCAGATTAGTTTTCCCAGGTTCTGCTGGGGGTGAGGCGGTGATTTTGCGGGCTTGCGGGCTTATTCGCGACTGCCGCGCCGGTCAAACTACAATCTCATCCCGCACCTGCCCAGTTGCGACGAGGGAATTGCATGATGAGCAGCCTCGCTTAGACAATGACGGATGATGCATGGCACGACAGGTGCGACAAAGGGTTAAACTATCTCCCTCCTTTGCATCGCCTCGTTCAGGAACCAGTGGCGCGCTCTAGACGGCTTGCCAGCGCAACGGTACCTGAGCTAGAGCGCGCACGACTCGGGCACGAGCAAGCAGATCGCGTTCCACAGGTTACGAGAATCCGGAGAACCCTCGCTCGCGCATCGTGACACACGAGTCGCACTGCTCTTTGCGCAATTCCAATACAGAAATGAAATGCGATAGCTATCTCTCCGACGCGCAGCTGTCGGCCCTTCATACCTGTGCACATGTAAGCGCCGATATTGCTCACCGTTCGCCGGCTGACAGGAACAACGCTCCTGCTTCCTCAGGCATCCACTGCCAGCAAGAAGCAATCTCCAGGAACCCAGAAATAACCCGTGCCATCGTCCAACAAGCTCACCGGTAAAGCCACCAAAGACTCCTGAAGACGCCGCAACCCACTGGGATACGAGGTGCCTAAATCTCTTGTCGCCGCCTTATTCGTCAGGCTTGTGCAAGCGCCGTGCATTGAGCCTAGCGTTGGCCCTAAGGGATATTGCACGGGACTGCAACACCAATCTTAAGTTGCGCCGGCAACAGGGGTACCTGCATTGACCGTTTGAAGAATAGGAAATCGATATAGTTCAAGTGCCTCCCTCAGCTTGTCTTGTTTCTTCCTACCGCTCACCTCGCCTAAGATATCTTGCAGCCCTCAGAAGACTTTTGTTCTTCAGCCCTTCTTTTAAGAAAACCAGTCACTCATTACTTGCCATCTCCCAACTACATAATACTCTCGATCTTCTCCGGATAATCACCTAATATCACACACATCATCAACATGTACTCCAAGACCGCCATCATCACCTTCTTCGCCGGCTTTGCCGCTGCCCAGATCCACGCTCCCGTTGGTGAGCCTGCTGGCAACCCCATCACCCGTCCTTTGAACGAGGTATGTTTGCATCCCAGTGTTTGCGCGCGCATCGCGAAACAAACACGAGATCCACAGAGCTAACGCGCCCCACCAGGTTGTTCCCACTTGCGAGCAGTTCACCATCACCTGGCAGCCAACTACCCCCAACACTGTCTCCGTTCTCCTCCTCAAGGGACCCGCCACCAACGTTGTCAAGTTTGGACCTTCTCTCGCTGAGGGAATCTCCAACAGCGGTAGCCTCAGCTGGACCCCTGCCTCCACTCTCGAGGCCACCGAGGGCCCCAACGGATACGGCATCCAGATCATCGACGATGTCACTGGCCAGTACCAGTACTCCACCCAGTTCGGTATCTCCAAGGGCAACTGCGAGGAGACCGTCTCTTCCTCCCTGATCGAGCCCAGCAGCGTCGCTGTCGCTAGCTCCACCCCTGCCGCCGTCGCCAGCAGCGCCTACGCTCCCGGATACGGTGCCTCAACCCCCCTTGCTAGCCACACCCCCATCCCTCTCCCATCTGCTGTCCACTCCAGCGAGGCTCCTTACCCCACCACTGTATTGACCTCTGCTGTTGTCCCTGCCTACAGCACTGGTGTCTCCGCCAACGGCACCATCCCTGCCCCCACTGCCGGTGGTAACGCTACCACCAGCCGTCTCCCCGAGGCCACCACCAACGCTGCGTCTGGCGTCCAGGCTGCCCTCAGCTTCGCTGGTGCCGCCGCCGCTTTCGCTTTCATGCTATAAGCGCATTTCCGTTTCCCCGGATATGTTTATATGTAATGACTAGCTTTGCGTTTCCTTCCCCCTTCTCCGATGATACTCCTGGTGTTTATTCATAGGGTATACCACCTTTTTGTTTGATTTCGTTGCGCGTGTGTCTGTCGTGGTGGGTGGTTGTATCTAAAGTGGAATGAGAGAGAGTGTGTGTTGCATAGATGATTGGCGCATTTCGTGCTATCCAAAAGGTCTTGATTGTGATGCGTAATGGAACCCATTATACCCCTTAATCATTGCTCGACGTTGTTTATCATGTGATCTCGTGACGGTGTGTTGATTGTTCAGTAACTATTGATATTTTCATAGCCTTGCTGAAGTTGAGACTCACAAGTCCAAGTTCCTTACCTTCAAACAGCTGTTGTTGCGTGTTCAGACCCTCTGCTTCCTCCATAGGTTTGTGTGTGTATATGAACTTTTGATGAGGGTCTGATACGAGTGTATTATTTTCAAAGAATGAGTAGTATGATATACAGTGCAGGACCGAGCCGTTTGATCCGTTTGGATGAGTGTGACACCCTATACAAAATACAATCCAAACAAGTGTACCTTAGTCTTGTATGTCTTTGCAGCCTACAATTGTACTAATACAGGTATTATTTTTTTACAAAGAAAGTAGCTAAAAGTCTACATTAGTATCAGATAATTATAGTGTTCTTCGATTATACACTATTGTAGACTGCGAAGGCATACAAGACCAAGGTACACCCGTCTGGGTTTTTCCTTACGTGAGGTGGTGAGGTCGTTTTGGTGATGGACGAGATGGAAAGTGAACTGTTCTAGATGAACGCGTTAGCAATATTCCGTGAATTATGCCTGTGCGAAGGATGTGCAATGTGGTTGGATAACGGTCGTCCAAGACCCTCAGGGTCCATTTCGCCAACCATGCCGGGAGAGTAAGGGTTGCTGATGACACTCCAAATTGCCTCAACAAATCCATGTTCTCGACCCTCTCACAGCTTTTCCCCTTAATTTGTCAATGACACGAAAACTGCTCGCACCGCTTCCTTCAATAGTCGCGCATATACTAGTACCTTGCCCGTGCTCTGGTGGCGTCGCCAGCGCCGGAAATAATGCTTCAACCAACGTCCTCTTGCACATTACAACAGAGATGTGTAGCTACAATAGAAGAATCATTTCGTATTATTCGATGTTTCTCCTTTTTAAAATATGCGGTTGTCATGTTGTAACCTCACCCTCTCTTATATCGCTTCCAACTTTCTCAAATTAGAGCCGTGATGCAGGTACGCGGCGTGGACCGCAGCCGACGGGTCGCCTTACGCCTTTTTTGCCCATGAAGAGCAGGCGCAGAAGCCACAGGTGGGGATAGGTAGCCGCTTCGAGATGGCCTCGTCCATTGATAAGGAATGCGTGAATCGCCTTCGTAATATCAATCACCACACCCGACCAACTCTTCTCAATCCCCTTCACGCATCTCAAGAAGAAAAAAACAAACACAATGAGACTCCAAGCCTCTGTCCTCCTATGCACACTTGCATCCGCCGCAAGCGCCTACCTCGTCGACCCACCAACGACTGCGGCACCAGACACGGTCCCGAACTGCAGCAAATGGCAGATAGCCGAACCGGGATGGAGCTCTTGTAACCAAGTTGCCAGCGCATGGGGTCTACCTATTTATCAAGTTGGCCCATGGGTAAGTACCAGTAACTGGAGAGCATATGAAAGCGTAGATTGACTAACCTTTTACTAGAACCCGTCGTGCTCCAGTGACAAGAACTTTGTGCCCGGCAACTCTTATTGCGTCGAGGTCAACAACGGGCCGTGCCCCGAGATCGGTGCTGGCGCCTGTCAAGACAACTAACTGCATGTGTTTCTACATGATGCAGTTTAGCAATGGGTGCTGGGCTATTTGCCGACGACAACTGGCATTGGGTTGAACTGGACAATCTTGATGCGTTGTTGGCGTTGTCTAGACTATCATCCCCTTGCGCAATATCTTAGACTATTGTCCATAATTTCTAATTCCACTGTTATTTGTATTAATATAACAGCACCAGACTTGGCGCTCAATACGAATAAAAGATCATCGAACCAAAGTTCCAGAACCAACATTGTAGAGAGTTGAAGAAAACAGGATCTCTAGAATTGCCGGATTGCTCCACTGGGCCAATCTAACTGCTGTGTATAGGATATGTAAACCACCATGTTCCGTCTAACTCTTACTCTCTTAACCCAAGTCACTCAATCGCTCGCTCGCTCAATTGCAAGAGCACCCTCATATGTATTCCATTCCCAAAGATCAAAACGCCGAGATGAAAAGGAAACAAAAGTCGTAGGGTATAATATAATCATAGAAACATAAAATGTGCCATCCGTCATACGCTTCCCGTCATCACATAACAACGCATCCAAGCCTCTTCCTTCCGTTCCCCTTCTTCTCCTTCTCCCCTTCCCCAACCAACACATCGGTGTGATCCATCCTTGGATTCCTCCCACTCGCCGCAGCACCCCCACCAGCAATCAAATTCCCTACACTCTGGCTCGCCCTATGCAAACCACCCATTGCTTGCAGGCCATAAGGATGTTGCCCATAAGGATGATTGTACTGCGCATCCTGACCCGTCCTTGGGGGCGCACTAACCGGGAATCTCTGACCAGTTGCAAACTGTTGGCCTGGAGGAACGAGGGGCGGTAACGCGTTTCTTGGCTGACTGTTCGTGGCTGGAGCTATTGGGGCTTGATAAGGCATGCTCATACGTGGGCTAGTCGGGGGTAAAGGACGGCGCTGGATAGCTACATTGGGCGCTGAGCCGCGGCGGGTATTCGGTGGTAGACTAGGGACGGGCGGAGCGTACAGGTCGAGGTTGTCGTGTTGTGAGACACGTTGTGTACGGCTATTTGTAGGCCGTCGAGTAGGCATGTGTGAAGAGGTGTTGGGGTACACAGATGCAGATGGGGTGTGTGGTAAGGGTGTGTAGGACATCTGTTCTGGTGGGGATCGGGTGCTTGATCGTCTTCTTCGTGTGGAGCCTGAGGATTGGGGGTCAGGGTATGTGGATGGGTGGAGCAGAGAGGGGCGGCGGGTTGACTCTGGGGATGGGGAGGAGGAGACGTCGATTGAAGAGATTGATTGCTGGCGACGCCGGTAAGGATGCGATGGGGATAGTTGGGAGGGGTTGATAGTAGCGGACATGTTTGGTAATGGGGGGACAGGCGGTATCGAAGGCGAGGAGTGCGCGTGGGATAATCGCGGCACCGGAGGCGCATCGGGATGGCTTAAGCTGACGCTTTCCGCTGCTGCGGCAGTGGTTGTATAAGCCGGCGGAGGTGGCACCCAGTTATCTGCATCACTTTCGTGTGGTAGCTCTCGATGACCGTCCGCGCGGCGATATTCCAGAGGTCTGAAAGGTAGTGCACGGAGATGCTGACGGTTTGCTGGTGATATCGCCGCAACAGTAGCAGCTCTAGCTAGAGACATCTGAGATCGGGGTTGCTGGTTATCATACGGAGCTTCAAACATTGCCTGTGCCTCCTCCGGTGTCAACTCCTCAGAATCATCTGATGGTAATCGGGGCCGTGATGCATTGGGGTTGGCAGTAGTAAGTGATCGTTGGACGGGTGTAGTACCAATTCTCGAAGGTCTTCGTGCAACGATGTCGTTCCGGTCCTGAGCTCTTCGCTGCGCCATGGTCCTGGTTCGTACCAGTTCTACCTCGCGATCAAAGTCTATGGAGCCTTCTGGCAGCATCTCGCCCGGACAAAGGGGGTCTAAGTCGTATTCTGTCTTCAGCGGCGTTGGTGGAGCGCTTCCCAGGGGTTTCGTCTTGTCGAAATCAAGAATTATCAAAACACCCTTGGAGCCCAGTGGCGCCCCCGGCACATCGTTCTCGTCGGGCAGGATGCTCGAGTTGCCGACTGCTACAAGTCGCTGTACATTTGCACTCAGTCTGACCCATCTCAGCACACATATTTCTTGCAGAGTACCTGCGTTGTCGTTTGGGATAGGGACGCAAAAGCAAGGCTGAATTGGGGCATCCAACTTGGTCTTTTCGCTCGGCTTGTACTCCCAACCTGGTACTTCGTAAATCCAGATATTGGTCGTCCCGCGCATCCGCAAGGCTACCGCCGCAAGATCGGCATTCGGAGATACAGCAGGCATGGCATCATCCACAAACTCGGAGCGCGTCCACCTTGCGTGATCTGGCAAGAACATCTTCCGCTGTGTGAATCGTTGGCATGCAATATCGTAAATTCCCCACGAGTCTTCCTCGGCGTTGAAGGCGAAAAGTTCGTTGAAAGTCCCTGTATCCGCATCAGGGAGCAGTGTAGCTTGTCGCGCAATTCTCGCAGTCTCTGGAAACAGCACTGAACCCGTCCACGCAGCCTCCGGTGGTTGCGGTATCGGCTCTCCTTCCTCCGTGAGCGGGCCATCGTAGAGACCAGGAAGAACAAACAGGGCTGAGCCATCCGACTTCCTCGCATAGCCTGTAATGAGCAGCGTCCGACCATCGTCCGAGAACTCCAACGCATCGCCGGCTGGGCCAGAAAGCGTACGCCGAGTCGTCTCGGATACTTCTGGCCCAATAGCAATAACCTCGATGCCAAATTTATTTCCCGTGATTAATATACGTGCATCCGGTGATATGACTATGGAGCTTGCCTCGTGCACGAGCATAATAGTCCGCCTTTTCTTGATCTGATTGTCCCCCTCGCCATGTATTTCGTATAGATCGACCTGAGAGGGTCTCGACAGCACTGCTAACAGAAAGCCATCTTCGGTGATATCAATGGCAACCGGCTTGCGCTTGACCTGTAGTGTCCTTGCCCATAGTCGCGGCAGTTGCACCGTCTTGATCAAGAACAAGTTCGACGCCGAGTATACTGCCACATAGCCACCTTTCCTCGACACATTGACATCGAAGCTATCGGGAAGCGCAGACGACGATGCAGTATTAGATACGAGTTCGAGAAGGCTAAGGCTGGGAGGCGCATACGGCGGTTCGGCGATTGGAGTGCCGTCGTCGGGTCGCTCATCGTAGGTGGTAGCCGACGTCATGGCCGTCGAGTGGCCCGACGAAGATACGGTATCGGTATTCGCAATCGACGACGCAGATAGCAGCGTATTCACGTGTTCGTATCCTTCAGAGTCCTCAGAGCTCACCGAGGTGGTGCGCACACGCTCGTCGTAGGCCGCCCGTCTTGTTCGAGCACTACCCTCATCGCTGGCAAAGGCAACGCCCTTTCCCCTTCCGTCCGTCGTCGGCGGCGTCCTGGCAGCGAGTTGCGGTCCTGAGTCGTGATTCTGTGAAGTCCTCCCCACCATTGTAAGCCTGGTCTCGCCTTCGTTGAGTTCGTGGATATTGGTGGTAGGTGACCCGGTGCGGAAAGAGCGTCAGGTGGGCATCAGGCACATCTCCATGAGAGTGCCTATCGTCGCATGTATCGTCCTCAGCTGCAAGAAAAGCAAGACGGCAGCATCGCGATTACTAGTGAGCAGCAGCATGGAATGTAAAGGTGTCTAGCAGGGCGCTATTGCTGCAGCCAGGCATAGTCGGCCGGGGTCACGTTCCTCGTTCCAGCTTGGTCTATGCCCGATCTGCCGCTAAGTCCTAGTCTGATGCCATGCTCCGACTTCTATTTACAGAAACACACGGCGCATCTGAACTCTCGCCCTTTCGTATCGATGATTTTTGCAAAATCTCTATCTACTGACCGCCACATCGGACTTGCAACGCTCGATAAGCCGTGAACCTCGGCACTGTACGCTTGTTGTTTCGCGACACGCTGTCACTCTGTCAACCCCAGATAGCGCATGCGACATGGTGGAGGCTTAGTTGTTTCTGGCGGCGGACCGCATTTCGGGCCTGCCTAACGCTGAGGCTAAGACAAGCTGGCGAATCGTGGAGAGCTGTTAGCCCTAGTCGCGCCCTTACACTTGCAGCTACGAAACGCGGGACTGATGGTGGGGCAAAACAACTGTCTCTACAACCCTGCGGAACATGTCTTTCGACCTTCGCTATAGGGCAATCCGTCGCCACTAAGGCGCTGTAGTAGCACGGGGTATTTTACGTACGGTAATGCGGCTTCAGAGGTTACCATCACGGACGCCGAGTATGGTCCTTCAATCTCCGCTACATGCGCCGTCTGCCTTGACGTGTACATGGTGTCTCGCTGTTTGTGAAATCTCGCAAGGGTGACTACAATCGGCTGCCCATGATTATATAAGACTATACGCGATATACGCTGCGCTAGACGAGCCTGCTTAGTAACCTCGTTCATGACCTTCTTATCCTCGGCGGCAGATCATCATTGCCGGACGCCTCTGCGGCTGGAATAGCAGATCTTGCATTCTCAGCTTCGGACAAGGCTCGGCTTTAATCCATTCCGGAAAGTCATAGGACTCAAGCACGTGGCTGCCGGTAGTACGATCAGATACATATGCATGGCAGGATCCAAAACTTTATATGTGCTGATGGCGCGGCGAGCGATGTAGTTCTGTGCCGATTCTGGAGGCAGACTCCACCGTTGAGCCCAAAACACCTTCGGCTCTTCGGCTAGCACAAACCATGATGGACATGACCCCCCATCTCGGAATGACTGTGACAGATAAAAATTCCCACCCTGATCGAAAATCCATGGCTCGCATTCACACTCGTATCCAACGTAGGTCCTGTGACTGCTGAAAACCGTAGGAAGTGGCGTCGTCAACATGATATAGTCTCGCACTATCGGTTGCGCCAAACGACGAATGTAGTCCAGTCGTCATTGCTCTACAACATCTTCTTTCAGTTTGTACGCGTCGAGTGTAACCTGCGAAGACTGCATAGTCTCCTGTGCTAGTTCGATTGGGGACGGGGATAATAGTCCCATACATGAATCATGTACATTTCGAGAACTGTTCGCTAATTCCCAAAGAACATGCCAGCCCCTTGCGACTCGTGTATGCAGATAGTCGCCTTTGGGAGCTTCTGCCAGTGTACCATGAGTTGAATTTGCTTCATTGTCCCTGGTTCGATGTCCATCGACGATAATTATGGCCAGTTGGCGCGTTATGGGCTCCTGTAAATAGAAGAGAGGAAATTCGCCGCCATGAAGGCGCTTGGAGGGCGTTTGTAGTCCGAGAACGTAGCGCGTGCTACCTATGGTGCAATGGTGGACATATAACAGGTCAAGCATCGCGTTTGAGTGCTGACCAATCGCAACGCGAGTAGTTCGTCGATACGACATTGCGAAGCTATTTCGAGGAGGATATCTCAAGGAAGATGTGTGAGCTGACTGCTTTCTGAAGTCTGTGTTAGCGATGGAGAACACATAGCAAGATGTCGTCCTGAGCTAGGACCGAGGAAGCAGAGTTGCCTAAGTTTCTACGATGAAGACAAAGATCAGGATAGCAGAAAGCGGCTAAGCGCACCTTGCCAGGTAACCCCCGGCAGGATCACCCAGGAATGTGCGGCGAGACAAGTGCATTCCCATAAAAATCAACACTTGAAATCATGATGGAAACGTATTTTGACGAGTTGTGAGGCGCGATGATGTGTGGTTTCCAACATCAGGTCGACGGAAGGAACAGGAAGTCCGCCTCGTCAAACTGATCGTCAGGGTCCGAGCTATCACGACTCGACCTCACTCAGCCCTTCGCTACCGCACATCTTCATGATCATATTCCCAATACTACCAACTCTTTATGGGAAATTCTAGAAATCGTTCAGCCTGCGTTGTGCACGTAATAAGCGTTACAGGCGCATATACGGCGCTCCACATCCCGCCTTTAGCCTAATCCAGTGCAGATGATCTACCGGAAGGGCGCCGACGTGGTGGTATGTTCGCTTTCTGACAAGAGGAGTGTTCGATGCGCTACTCTGAATATCTGAACAAGATGTCATCCGGGGTGACTTCGCAATCAGATCTGCCAGTCGAGACGTCGATCAAGATGCTATAATTCACTATGCCAGTTATCACATCCATCTCGACAGTCTTGCCACATGATCGACATACCTAACAACCACCCTTGCACCGGAAGAATGAAGGCCTTCAGCCTGCATCGTAAAGCAACATGTCCGGTCGCTTACAACCAGATTTATACAACGTTGCCATTGGTGCACACGCGCGTTTCCCATGCTTGAGGTATCACATTGAGCTTCTTAACCTTGGCTCTGGATCCAACATGGCCCTTTATTATACCACGAGCTAGAACCTGCATCGGCCAGCTCAGCGTTCGAGCGTTATTGCCAACCTCCGCCCCACATTCCCATGGGGTATGCTTGTCAAAGCTTGGTATACTCTGCCGTCTCGCTCGCTCTATAGTCCACCTGAAATGGCATCGAAAGGTCATCATTCACAACGCGGTATGCCAACGACGAGACCATGCCACCACCACCAGATCCTCACTTGATCCCTTCATTTCCATCGGAAGCAGCTCAGAAGAGCGCGAAGACATTCGCTGGTGCAACGCTAGCTCTTCATGGCATCGCTCTCATGGTCTTTGGCGCACGTATGTGGTCGCGATGGAGGCCTGTATATCGAATGCAGTTGGACGATTACGCCTGCGCATTAGCATACGTACGTAGCTCACGATATTTGTCACACTGATAGCTCTGGAGACTGATATCCATGAAAACAGGTGTTGATAGCGATCAATACAAGTCTCCTGCTCGCGGCCATACCGTATGCCTTCACCCACCAACCAGACGCCTTTTTCCTTTCAGACTCGCAGGAGGCGTTCCACCTTGCGGCCATCGCACAACCACTCTGGGCGTGGTCTATGGTCTTCGTCAAAGTGTCTTTCGCCCTGATGCTTCTTCGCATCTCTCCTTCGAAATCCCTTCGCTGCTTCCTCTGGGGCATGATCATCCTGCAAATCATACTCGGAGTGTACAATACACTAGCAACACTGCTTCAGTGCGTACCAGTTCACAAGGCATGGGACTTGCTCGGCACAGTACCAGGACGCTGCTGGAGTAAGAAGGCAGTCAGAATAAGCTCGATAACCAACTCCGTCATACACATCCTGACCGACTTCATGCTCGCCCTCCTCCCCATATCCTTCCTCCGCCATATCCAGCGTCCCATGCGTGAACGCATAATCGTAGGCGCGTTAATGGGTCTCGGTTTCTTCGCAGGCGTTGCATCAATCCTGAAGATCGTCGCTGCTATGGGATTTGGCAAGACGGAAGACCAGATGAATGAAAGCATCACCATCGGAATGTGGTCTGTCATTGAAGAGCTCGTAGGCTTCATCGTAATCTGCATACCTTGTCTGCGCTCGCCGTTCCAACGCGTGCTTCAATACTGCGGTATGGTCAGTGTACGCATCAGGCAGCACACGCTTACCCGCGGCTACGGGCGTACATACGAATCTGACGGCGACAAGATACATGCTAGAAGTCAGAGTCAGAGTCGCCTTGCTACTATCGAGGGGGACGCGGAGTCGAGCTTTAAGATGAAGGATTTACGCACTGAGGCTTCGGAGGACGAGATACCGTGGCGCGCCAGTACGCAGGAGACTAGTTCTGGTAGGGGTGAGATTTGGTGCACAAAGGAGGTTGTCGTGCAACATGACCCTATTAGTCGAGTGCCGTCGCATGAACGCATTCACGGTGGTGTCGAGGCGGCGTGGAAAGGCGAACCGTTTGAGTTTGACTTAGGTCTTGCGGGGAAGAGCTGAATCGGTGTTCAAACTAAAGTGCCAACAAGATTTCTGATGGTGAGTGTTTTTCAGTGAACAGAATTCAAGAACACGTTTGTATTGCAAGTGAGTGTATAGCTATCTGCATGATAAAGAATGTGAGCTAACCCCACGACTTCCATCGTGCTATTGCTAAATGATGATGTTTACGAGGTGTTGGAGCTGATGCTTGATAGGAACGAAGCTTGAGTGGTCTGTAATCTCTCGTTGCGCAACTTCGCTTCGATCCTCTATTCCAATGTCACACGCCCATCTCGTGGTTGGAGTTAGCAGTCGGTTCCTTATGGACGGATGTTGTATCTAGGCTATGATTGACAATACTTGAAGGACAGCATCATCTTACAAAAACTGAGTCACATGTTGCTCATTTAATGCCACCGCCTTTTGACATTGTGATCTCCCTGCTCTGGCCTAAAAAAAAGCAAGTCTGAGTAAAGATCGCGAATCAAGACAAGCACTCTAGGCAGAGACTTTGCTACCAACCCAAGATTGACTCGATTAACATCAATGCCTTCGACCAGATTCTTATGAATCAGTACTCTACTAGAGCAGGAGCGGATCAGATAAAGATTGCTTGTCCTACTACGACTGTGTCGCCCACAATGAGATTTGAATGACAGGTGGGGAAACTGATGACTATGTGATATATATTCTGTTTCTATGTATATTATTATTAGGCTGCTCTATAGACGGGGCGAAGAAGAAACAATTGAAGTATTAGCACCACCTCATTACCAACCTGATAACTATTCAGTATGTAACTCCCCAACAACCTCCTTTTGTACTAACAACCCTCTTCCTCTATCTATAACTCCCGATGCATCGGTGGACCCGGAAGATCAGGCCTCACTGGCCCAAGATTTTGGAGTCTTTTCACCTGCTTCCACGTCTCCCAATACGCCCCCTCAAAGCGATCATCCTTCAAATCCGGGTGCGCAGAGCCCCAATTGTACCCCAATAGCTTCTCCCTCAGTTTCCCATCCATCCTCTCGATGCTAACCAATAACGAGCGCACCCACTTGCCGGTCCCGTTCTCAGGCGGCTCCGACTCGGTGGCCACGCGGAAAGCGTGGGTGGTGGCTCGATCGCGCTCGACGACAAATTTGGCTCGGCCATCAGCATACCGCATCTTTTCAGCCCAGTCGACAGTGTAGTCCCCATGGTGTGACCAAGCGTAGTACTTGGCCGTACCGTCGCGCGCCCACACCCCAAGGTGCTCCCAGTCGTGCTTGTGACCTCCGCCCAGGGCGCCACCCTGGTCCTTCTCTGCGTAATAACCGTATAGGTAGAAGCACCAGCCATCGTCGGAGCACTTCTCGCGCACATAGACGTTGCTGTTGGATAGGCGGTCCATGGTGCGGCAATCCCCTTGACCTAGTTCGATGCCGGGGTTGACGGTGCCGTCGCTCGCGATGGCCCAGGTGTTGTAGCAGGCCGACTTGTCGAAGTCAATGACGGGCTGGAATTTCAGGGCTACCGGCGTTGCGTTCTCTTCGAGGCGGCGAGGTGGGCCGGGGGCTGGAGCAGGAGGCTTAGGGGAAGGCTTGGGAGAGCCGCCGTCGACTGGCGCGTGGTTGCAAATGAAGGCCATGCTGCACTTCTTGCCGTCGTCCAGCGTGAAGAGCCCATCTAGGTGTCGGGCCCAGCATATCAGCATATTGTTATCGTACGTGTGCGTAGCTATTCCGGCCGCACCGGGATCTTTGACTGTATTGTCGATGTAGACGGTCCATGTGTCGCTGTTGGGAAGTGTCTGGGTCACGCCGCTGCCTCGCCATGGGTAGGAGCCGTCCCATGGTACGTTGGCCATGTAGGTTGGGGCGCCCCAGGCGGCGTCCGAGTAGTACATCATCTCACGGGATGTAGAGCCACCATTTGGTCCCAGGCCAATGCCGCAGTCTGCGAGGACGAGGTTCTCGCTCCAGGTAGTTTCGGCCGACACCAGGAGAGGGGCTGCGAGCACAAACAACTTCAAGAGAGGTTTGGCCATCGCCATCGAATAAGGTGATGATGAAGATGGTAGTCGGTATATGTCCATATCGTTTTGGAACAATGGTCTTCTGGAGGTCGCTTTGCGAATTACGTGCTGCTCACAAGCTGGCTTCTGCTGCTTGCTTTTCGTAATCATAATGAGAAAAACATCAATCTTTTGTGGACGTCAACCTATGCTTTATATCTCTTCGAAGCACGCAAAAAAGCGGAAATGCATGTCGCGCTGCTCGGGCCAATTCTGCTGCCAGCTGAGTGAGACTTAGACACAGGTACCGAGGGAACTCACCCCTGTTGCGCTACTTACTTCTAGGCTTCATGTAACCATCCTCCTCCAATCCTCGTTGCTCTCAACCTCTCAAAGGCCCCTTCTTCCATCCCTGTCCCATACCTCCTAGACCTCCGATATTCTTCAACAACGTCTCCAACTTCCACGTCTCCCTCTCCTCTCCGATACCTAAGAACCCTAGATCCGCCAAAAGCCTATGCGTCTTCTCACCATATACCTCCGCTTTCTCTCTGTCCCCCTTTTCCAACCAGAGCATAGCCAACATGGCGTACTCATCCGTCAACATGGACCAAATCCCCTCTTCCTTGATCATCTCGACAGATTCCTCAGCTAATGATATCGCTTCATCGAGTTTATAGTCTTGTGCTAGTTCCATGATCTTCTCCTCCGCTTGCGCGATCATTGTGCGGCGTAGGTCTGAGGCTTGGCGTTCGTCGGATGAGAGACTGCATAGGTCGCATGTGCATTTGAAGCCCCAGCGTTTTATTAAAGCTTGGCGTTTCTGGAAGGGAATGCCTAAGAGAAGATCTAAGTGTTGTTAGTGAGACTGCTTGAGGGGAAGCGGGGGAGGGCAGGTTGCACATGAGACTGTGATTTCTTCGCCAGGTTTGATGTCACGGTAGGCCTTTATGGCCATCGAGACGCCGGCGCGGGAGAACAGAACGAAGGAGTTTGGGTTGCAGGCATGGTTTATGCGCTGGGGAAGTCAGTCGTGCATTTCCTGGTTTGCATACTACGCATCACGACTTACCGAGATGAGCGGATATAACGCCCTCGAGCTGACCTCAGCCACAGTACTCCCGAAAGCGTTCGTCTTCATAATGCCCTCTTCCAACTTTCCTTCCTCATCATCGTCTTCTTTACTCTTATCAGTGTCATCTCCGTTTCCGGCGTGTGCATTACTCATATCCCTGATCATCCCTGGCACGAGCAACTGGTCCACCGCCATCTTCAACAACCTTTTGTTTTCAACTTCACTCAAAGCATTCTCAGCTTCCATATCTACCACAACAGCTGCTTGGTCCACCATGAATGTCTCATACATTTTGATCTTACGTGTAGCCACTACACCTTTAGCTTTCCCGGGTATGTCGACGATTTTCCATGGTTGGCCGCGGAGGTAGAGGCGTTCAGCGTCTTCTCGTGTTAGGAAACTATCGAGAGGATTGTCATCGAGGTATTTTGTTGCTAGGTGGGCGGAAGACGGAGGGAAGACTAGCGACAGGCCGTGGGGGCCTGTTGTGTTGGATGTGTAGACGCAGTACTTTTGGCCAAGGGTAGGGAGGAAGGTGCTAGTCATGCAGTGTGGTTTGTGAGACCACGGTGCATAAGGATGACCCTCACTTGGAGCGAGGACGTCTTGTTGTAGATCCGGTTGCAGGAGGTCGTCGATGTCTATAACGCCTACTGTCGCAGATGCATAATGCAATGTGGATTGCACAGCGACGGCCGCTAGAGCCAGGATGTGCATGTTCACTACGCTGCGTCGACAGTATGTAAACGATGGAAGTTTTGCAACTTCGTTCTCGTCGCAACAACATCATTATAAATATTTTCTTCAGTTTCGCACTTCCCATAGTGTTCGCTCTGTTACAACTCCAAAAGCGGTAACATACGTCACTAAACTTTACCCGGGATTTACTCCAAACACACCTTTCCGGGACCAAGAACTTGGGACTTTGCGCGATACATAGGCGCAGTATAGTTGCCAATAAGAAGTCTAGTTGCACTAATGTTCCAAGGAACGCAGATCCCAAAGGCTTGTCGCCTAGAACTTCAAATGGTGCCATTTAAGAACGCTGTCTGCCTTTATTCTACATCCATAACGAGGTTAGTCTCTTTCTGCGAGCGACGTTGTATACTTTCCTGCAAACAGAGTAGCGATATAAATGTCTAAGATGTTCTATATCCATGTTTAAGGTCTTCGAAGTCGCACCAGCTCCCCGCCATTTCCATATGCATATTCCGACCCTTGCACTCTATCACTACCTGTAACAACGCAGTGATCCAAGATGAACCCTCCGCCACGAGCGACGTCGTTGCTATCACAAGGTTAAACGTTAGTTTTACATTGTCTACCTTAGTTTCTAGGAATCTCTACGTCGCCAATAGGGATGCTTACCAAGAAGAGTCTGTGTTACCGTCGGTCGTCAATACGGCAGTGTTAATCTGGCACTGCAGATATTGGCCGCGGCAGTTGGTCTTGCGGGCCACGGTGTTGATGCATGCGACAGCATCTGTAATCTGATAAATAAGGCGATGTCAGTGAAACCACTCGGCTGATATCTTGAGTAATGGGTCCATTTTACATACAAGACAATCGGTGTTCGGATACTCATAGCAGGTGGCACGCTTCTGGTACAAGCTACGACTGAACTTGGCTATATTTAAATAAGAGTCAGCTTTCATATAGGCATAATGCTAAGATTAGACAGTCGATATACCTGATGGTGGAGTACTGAATTGCCCACTCTTGAAAGCATCGACGACCTCCTCGGGTGTCATGTTGTCGCCATCAGGATTCTCAAGGATGCCATCAACCCATTCAGAAAAGGATGTGACTGCCTTGGCGGAGGCTACAGCCTGACTAAGGGCTAACAGAGAGGCGATGTAAGGGATGAGTTGAACCATTGCGCTGATTGGATGTTATCTAGAAGGTGTAGATCTGCGGATGGTGAGATAAAGACATGAAGACGGCGAGCAACCACCACTACTTATACCCTTGGAAGGTTGCATGGGTTGTATACTGATCAGTAGCTTAGTTTGAGAAGAATTGCGTTACAACAAAAAAGTCTTGCTGTCAGAGCTGATACAGGGTTGCGCAGACAGATTGACTAGCCTTTAATTGTCAGTCCTCGTTTCTCATTTTCTGACATGCATGAGAAGTAATACATTGTGGGTTCGCAGTGGATATTGTGGTTGCCTGACCATTCTGAGGAGGGGCTACTTCGCTGGCTGAACCTAAGCCCAATCCGTAAGGCACGGCCCGAGGCTCGCCCAGCCAAAGATGTCTAAGTACGCCTTGTTAACTGTAATTTCACGACCTTTGCTACTAGTAGCGTAGTATACTAGAATTAGACGCCTTCTTGATACCTCACAATTGCTTGTAATCTATTCTCAATACACTGTGACACGAGTTTTACCGTACGTAAACGTCCGGGCCTCGTTCGACTTTAGCCAGACTGTCAGGACGCGGGTCTATTCCCGCTGCGCTGAGCACCCGAAAAGGTTGAACTACTTAACTATAGTTGCTTTTAGAATAGATCAGCATCTTTACGCAATCAATTGATCGCGCGCACATCCAATCGCTCAGTTGCTCAGGTGAAGGTTCCAATGTACGCGCGCAGCGTACGAACTTGGACCGACGAACCAGAAGGACCCACTTTCTCTGCAACAAGGTTTTCCACGGGATCATCTAAGACACTTTGTCATTGTCTACTTATACACTATTCAAATGTGCTAAACCAATACAAGAATGTATGCGGAAACAATGTATCAAGATCTGATGACCTAATCTTGTTTATCTTGCATGCAACGATCATGCAGCGTCGATTGAGTAGCGGTGTAATCCTCAACTGACCTCAAGAGTAACTGTTGTATGTCATGAAGTCTCTGCACCTTCCTAGCTAGGGAGAAAAGTATGAGAACTATCAACAATACCAGAACCCGTTGAAGCTTGACTGTGCTACTCGAGAGTAGTAGTATTATGGCGCATTCAGTACCTAGGAAACATGTTGCACTAATAGCGTCATATGCTCTGAGGACAGATATGTTCATGCTAATGATTGCGTATGATATAGAAACGACCAGTAGAATTGTCAGAGTTCTGAAAGTCCAAAACATCTCTTTCCAATGAATCCATTGGGAATTTTGAGGTGAAGCCTGTGTGGCAGCTCTCAGGCCAGATACCCAACCAAAGTAGGCTGGAGGGTGAGGAAACTAGACAATCTGAATCAGCCGCGCATCAACGCTAATGACACGATTGGGTTCTTACTTGTTGTTCCACGTTCTCTATCAGTTTAACTGATCTTCGGAACAGATTCGACAGGAACGAGCGAGACTCGATCTGACCCTGCAGTCGGGCAAACGCTATCTCTCGGCCTTCACCATATATAAGCGGTATATGCACCCCGAAGACCCCCAGGAGACAATACGCGGCGTCTTCTTGGCGTTTAGTTTTCCAGGGCGCTATCCACTGCAATACCTCTTGAATGTTGTAGTCACGCGCACGTTGGGTACCCCGAAGGACCGCTTGTGGAATATGGCAATGGTTGGCAATCGCAGCAGTGAAAAGCTCTTTGGATCCAAGTTTACTACCGTTTGCGGCGAAGAACACTAGTTTTTCGGGAGCAACAAGCTCTTGAAACGTCCAACCACGCGTGAACCATCTACTCGATAAGAATGGGTCGATAAGCAATTCGTCCCTTGTGATATCCCAGGCACGCCAAGGGATATCCGACAGATAAACGTAACATATTTTCGAGTTCTTATACCATTTGTACATGGAGTTGATCGCCTCGGAAAGCTCTGCGCTACTGCTCTTGTCTATGCAGCATGTATCAACCTAACGAGAAAAATCAGCGAGTACGCTTCCGAAGAACCTGGTCACTGCGAACCCAGAAGTATTCTAAGTTATCTTTGGCAGCCTGCTTTGCACAGAACCTAAGTTTCTTATAGCCAAGTTTCGTCTTCCCCTTGCCCTTCCCTTTGTAGATATCCTTGAATGTAACTTCCTCATGATCTTCACCCCATGTATGGGAAAGAATGGCATACGGTGGTGTGTTTCCGATGTATTCAACAAGGCTGAAGTCGTCATCGTCGCCGGTGGCGTGTAGAAGACGCATGTAGGTGGTTACGACTAGCGTCACAAGCAAAAACGACGTGTAGTTGAGGGGTTACACGGATATTGGAGCGATGGTGGAACAGTATTGGGCCGATTTGTGGAAGTTAGGACGCAAGGTGATGATAAGAGATGTTAAGTTGGGCCCGTGCAGTGAGGCTGAGAGCAACGCATACCGGTCAGCCCCGCCAAACAATCTGTCCTCGTGTTAGACAGCCACCAAATCTTAATCGAATGGGGTAATGGGACGTTAGTCCGCATTGAAACAAGGCTGGACCGCAGCGCAACGGTTAAGCCTTTTTGTCGAATCGGGGCTTCTGACGTACGTAAAAAGGTCACCCGCTGGCCCTTAGCGAAGATGAAAGGAGTACATTTCCAGTAACAGCGCTCGACAGCGCTTTCTCCAGGGAAATCATAGGCGACATTAGCAATCGAAGTGTAAGATGTCTATGGTTATAGGAGTACACGCTCATGCTCGCAACTTGTTGATGCCCTCTATCACCGTGCGAGCTCAACATCAACTTCATTAAGGTTTCATCGCTCAGATTGAACGGGGAGTACATGTATTGAAGCGTATGTTGCAGTGGTAGCAACCACTTCAGAAGCTCTCATGTCGAAAAGCACCAAAGACTAACACCAAACAGCAATGTGAACAACACCATGCTCACGAGATTGGCGTTTGGGGTAGACCGATTGAGACTGGACTGGCGATAACAACACTGTAACACAACAGCAGAACGAACTCCACAAACAGCCGCATTGGCTGCTCCCGCCCCCTCGGTGCAGTCAAAAGGCATGGGACGTTGTTCTTAAGAAACTAGAACATGTGAGTAACATCCCTCAAAGGTATGTGTAGATGCGCACCTAGTAAGGCCAGTGATCACTCATATACCCTAACAAGTCATCATGTCGATCTCGGCCAAGTTGGTATGTTTTGTTTCACGTTCCTCCACATAGAGAAGCGGCATGTGGACGTCGAACGATACAATTAAACAACACGCAGCGTCCTCCTCCATTCAGTCTGTCGACCTTCTGCAATGCGCAAGGCCGTCATGACGATCAATCACGACCAGTATTTAGTTGATTCCGCGTATCCAGGCTGTAGCCTCGAAAGAATGATGCGATACGTGTGGATAGCTGCAATGGCTGGAAACACCGCTGTGGCCGGCTTCCCGATGCTCCTTTCGTGTACAGCTTCTCAAAGTTCTCGAAACCGCTATCAAGATTGGTAAGGAATCGTCCCTCGCATAATAATGGGGCTATACATGCCTGGTACACGCTCCGGCAGGTGAATTCAACTCAGTTCGTTCCACGTAAACACAACATGGATATTGGAACGTGAGCAGTTCATGAAACTGTTTCGCGATAAAACCCTATGCTCTTTCGCGGTTGCATGGCCCACTTGTTAAACTCGGTGATTCAAGACGATATCATTCAACCTTTGCATCTCCTTCTGCAGGGCGAACATCTTGCCGATCAGATGACAGATGGCAACTACTAGAGAGTAAACGAAGATACCTTCTGATCTGCTCCATCGAGTACAACTATGGATGTATAACGGAGTCGTGACGATGATTAGGGCGAAGATACCTGTCGCCGTAGGTATATTAAGCGCGTGCGTGATAAACACAGTCGTACAGAGAAGTGTCGTAAGGTTTGGGACGTTGAGAGTGGCTCTATCCTTCAGACCTTCAGTGTTCTGTAAGTAAAGTTAGGCTTCAGTGAGTACGGCAGCCTTTCCCATGCGTGCTCACCTGTCTGTCTTCATGTATACGTAGCGGCGGAAGCCCATACTGTGACAAGAGGTTGTCAATCCAGTCGCGCCGGCCGTACAAATAATCAATTTCTTTCTGCAGGCGACCAAAAGCCTTTTCTTTGCCTTCGCCATAGATAAGTGGCATCTGCACCTCGAAGATGCCAAGGAGGCAATATGCCGCATCTTCTTCCCGCTTTGTACGGCGATTGCTTGCCCAACTCAAGCGCTCTTCAATAGGGTACTGGAGCACGAGCCCCGGACTGCTCTCAAGAATTTCTATGGGGATATTTGTGATGCAGGCAATATCCATGGCAAGGGACGATTTCTCTCCAATTCTCGTGCCATTTTTCGAGAAAAAGATGACTGTTTCTGGTGCCAGAAGTTCTTGGAGCGTCCATCCGCGGCTGAACCATCGACTGTTGTACAGTGATGGCAGATTATCCATCCCCAGGGTGCTGTAGTCGGATACGTCGGTGAGGTAGACGTAGCAAACAGTCGAATTGCTATACCACTTAAACATCGAATTGATAGCCTCGGCTAGTTCTGCGCTACTACCTTTATCGATGCAACAAGTATCAACCCAGAAATACTGGAGATTGTCTTTGGCGGCTTGGGCGGCGCAGAACCGGAGTTTCGCATAGCCTGCCTTCTTCTTGGCTTTGTCCTTATCCTCAATTATGTCTTTGAACGAAACTTCATCCTTGTCGGCGCCCCAGGTATGTGATAAAATCGCGTAATTCGGTACCTCATAACCAAACTCAACAAGAGTGAAGTCGTCATCGTCATCGTCGTTGGAAACATGTAAAAGGCGCATGGTACTGTGAGAGCGTGAAGGGTCGGGAACACACACGACCAGAACGTGTTGCAGTTGTTGCAGTTATTGCAGTTGTGCACGTGCCAGTGCTAATGGACAACGAAGGAACTCTGTTGGTAATCCTATGTGGTATCTCGATTTGTATTTATGTCAAGCGCTTACATTCGCGGTACGTTGCGGCGTTAATAGAGTAGAAACACGAGACCGAAGGTGTGGGATCAAAGGTGTGTAGGGTTGTGTTCGTGCACGGGGATAAACATATTGTGATAAGAACAATCGCGAAGCGGGGCAGTGCAGTGAGGCTGACTGATTGCAGTGCATATGGAGGATCTCGTTTCTGTCGGGCACCATACCCTAGGCCAGATTTGGTGTAGAAAAAACGGGCTTCTTCGTAAGCATGGCGTCTCGTGGCGGCGCTACCAAGCAGCTTCTCCAAGAGCCTGTCTGCTTTCGTGTCAGCTAGTCACCAGCTTCTCAGTCACTCAGAATTTGAGGAATCATTCGCGATTAGGGAAGGCCGCATTGTTCATAAGCTTGAGCACGATCGAGAGATGACGCTTCGGTGAATCGTATAGCTTTGGCACTCATGCACTTCTTAATGAATAGATATTTTGAAGAAATCTGACCTCAGTAGGTCACCAGATAAACTTCTGATCAGCCTTGCTTCACCGTATCGTCGTTCAACCTATGCATCATCAACATCAGCTCCACGCCTCAAAGCTTCGAGCTCATACCAGTATACGCAATGCACTCAATCTCAACCGGCACACCCTTGGGTAGCTGCTTAACCGCGACACAGCTGCGCGCAGGCTTGTGGGAGAAGTACTGCTCGTACATGCCGTTCATCTCGGCGAAGTTGGCCATGTCGTCGAGGAAGACGTTGACCTGGTGTTATAATCAGCACCTTGTTTGACCACTTCCGACATCCATCCCGGAACAGCATGTTGCTTACCTTGACAATTCTGTCCATACCAACACCCGCCTCAGTAAGAATGCCCTTGATATTCTCACAGCACATCTTGGTCTTGTCCGCAATGCTTCCCTCGATCAAGTTGCCCTTTGTATCGGCGGGGATCTGGCCTGAGACGAAGATGTTGGGGCCTGCAACGATGGCTTGTGTCTGTGACGTGCTGTTAGCACTGGGTAGATCGGTTCACGACGCGTTCGTATAGCTCATGGAAGCTTTGTGACGGAAGGAAGGAGACGTACGTAAGGTCCAGCAGCTATACCGTGTGTTAGCAGAGCTTCACAGCTACCAGCAAGTTCAAGAAGAGAAAAGTGATTGAGAACTTACGAGGACAAGCATTCGCAGTGTGGATCTTCTTAATGTCGGACATCTTTCTTACTGTTGCAAATGGATATGCTTTGTTTTGGTGTAGTAGTATAGGTTGCGTGAAGGTTGTAGCTGGTCGTGAAGCACGTAGAAGTCGTGGTACAGCTGTTCGTATCATCAACGGAACTTTCTCAGGCAGGGGACAGTTTATCTACGTCAGGTAAATCGAGGCTATCGTCGGCTGGGCACCTAATTGATTGATAACTAAGCCCGCCCTGGACTCTACATCTGTTGACGCTGAGCGTAAGCTAAAGAGAGGGGGCCGGCATCGGCTTGGTGCGGGACTACCCCACTTTCCTCTTTGGCGACGCATGTGTCAGCATCGTGCAGGGATGATATGGAGGGGTAAACGGTGGAATTTTTGGGGAGGATGAGTTTTGCGACGGAGAGCGATGCGCGATCTGACGGGTGTTACGTCGGCGCGATGGATAGAAGGACAGTGTGGTGCAGCTTTTGTATGCATAATCAAGACGTGTTGTCAGTGGACAAGTTTTAAAGTATTCATCATGATATCTTTGCGGCACTTTTTTCTTTCAGCGCGCATACTTCGTGACTGTACAAACCATCAACGCCGCCTATATGCAATCCCCTTGGCCTCCCATCTATATCATGTTTTGTTTATGGTATCGAGTCGAGATTCAATCGTCCCAGCATAATCAAACTACTGCTCCATCTTCTCCTCCTGGCCTGAAAGCAATGTGTGTACAGGCGCATCGAGCTGATCGCGGCCCTTGAGGAAATCGAGTTCGAGAATGAAAAGGTATCCCATGATAGTTCCGCCCAGCTTCTTCACCAGAGAGCCAGCTGCAGCTGCGGAGCCACCTATAATCTCGTTAGCATCATCGTTCAAACTAACCAGGTAAAAGTTCAGAATCCAAACATACCAGTCGCAATAATATCATCGACAATAAGCACATTCTGCCCACTCTTGACAGCACCCTCCTGCATCTGGAAGAAATCACTGCCATACTCCTTCTTGTACTCAGCCGTCTCACACGGACCAGGCAGCTTGCCCCTCTTCCTGACGGGCACAAAACTCGCTCCCAACCTCAGCGCCAGACTAGGTCCGAACAAGAAGCCGCGCGCATCGAGTCCAACAACGACATCAGGCTTGGCACCCGATGCGCCGAACTGCTTCTCGATGGACAGTTCGAGACCGCGCAGTAGTCCCTCGTGTAGTTGCGGATCGGCAAAGATGGGCAGGATGTCTTCGAACAGGATGCCTGGCTCGGGGAAGTCCTTGAATTGGCGCAATGAAGCCTTCAGCGTGCTTTTAAGACGGGCGAGTTCGGCGGCGGAGGAGGGATGGGGGGTGGACTGTCTTCCTTGGGGGCGCCATTGTCGTTGGATTCGAGAGTTGGGTCGGGCTTTTGCGGGGGTGGGTGCGCGGCGGTTGCGTCGCCTTTGAGTGGGGGGTCGGCGGGCGTCGTTGTGTTGATGGGGTGGGTGGTGTGGGCGGGCGTGTCGTGGGAGCGGACATGTTGGAAGGAGGGGAGGGGGAAGGCGTAAAATATAAGACGGAGCGGACTGCAAGGTAAGGTGATGGGATGGGTGACGCGATAGATAGGGCTAGGTAGGTTGCCGGGTTGGGGTAAGGTGGTCAAGGCTGTCCTGGGTTGCGTTGGGCTGGCTATGGCTGGCTGCACTGTAATGCTGTCAGATTTGGGGGGGGTGTGCGTGCCTTGTTCGGGACTTGGGTCTTGTTTGACCTGCCCGGGACGCAAAGAAAAAAAATTAGTTAGGCCCGTCTGGAAAACGGTCCGTAGGCGCGCACAAGTCCTAGTCCCACTACCACCGAAACTATGATAGGCGAATAGAAGGACGGCCAGGGAGATCGTGGCGCCCCGCCCTTGTTCAGCCGCGAAGCAGCAACAAGTTCTCGTCTGGTTGCCTATACACCACCACGCTTCTCGATACGGCAGCTCCATAACCCTCGACAGCACACAACCATCGTATCGCACTCGTTACACGACTCGGTGTATCGCCTCATCCCTGACCCACTTAACTATCTGCGGCGCCCAACATGTGCCAGAAAAGCTCAGATTGACCCTTATCGGAACCAGCGCATGCCGAACAGAACGTGCATTCTCACATGTCGACGTCACGTCGGGGAAGAAACTGAGCACCCTACAGTAGGTAAGAGTCATACTCTGCGCTTCCCAACAAATTCTGTCCCCTCGCGTCCTCTTCGCGCCCATGGATCCCATGTGTTTGGTCGTCTATAGTAGTTTACGGAACTGTTGAATATAGCTTGGATTCGCGATTCGCGCAATCTATTACACAAACACGACATGTCAAGGTGACATAACTTGCTCGCTCGCAACAAAGGCCAAAACTAGCGCCGTCGACAAAAGTAGCGAGATCCGAAGTGCATGTACCCCACGGATGTTGTAACCGAAAGGCAACTAAGGCGTTGTCGCAGCGGTGAGACGTTCTAGAAGGTCGAGCGGGAATGCCGGGCTTGTGTGTACCACACTGGTATACGACCATACCATCTACCAACTCTAGCATCTCGATGATAACGGAACTTCGCGCAACGGGTTTCACCGCTGCCTGAGCAGTAGTCAACGAAACACTTATAGGGAAGCATATGTATGTGTGATGATTCTAGACTCTTATCCACCGCCTGCAACATCTCCAACTATTCAGGTGAGCAGATACTTTGAAGCAGATACTTTACGCGTCCTCGCAGCTTTTAAGCCATTGGTCCCCACAATAAGCCGCGGCGTGCATGCATACTCACTAGGCGGATCCCAATAGGGTATTACCTAGCGCCTTGTCTCCAGCTGTCGTTCCACTACCACCTGTAAACGGAATGCATGACGCGATCGTGAGGCTCTTCTCTAGAACCGCGGCTAATAAACGTTTCGCAACAATGGATCTCTGAGGCAGCAAGACGCGTGTCTGTCTGAAGAACCATGGTATAGCAACATCTTGAGTGGATTCAATGTTGCTCTAGAAGCTTGAGGAAAGGTGGGTATATATTGTTTGATATGCCGCTGCAACCGCGGCGGCTCCCGATGGCCCAGACTAAACTGGCCTCTACACATGTCGTATGCTCTCTCCACTACCTACATGTGCGCATGAACCAATAGGGCAAGGCTTACTCAACCCCAGATATGCATGTTGTTCACAATGCACTCCTCATCCGCATCCGTCCTCTTCTTCAGACTACCGACCACATAGACCTTCTCACCATACTCCTGTAGTCGGTCCATAGTCGTCCTGACATTCTCCTGGCTGACAACAAGCACCATACCGAGACCCGTGTTGAAAGTTCTCGCAAGCTCCGTGTTCTCCAAGCGACCGGCACTCTTGAGCCATTTGAAAACGTCCAAAAGCGGCCAGCTCTTTGCATCGAGCTCGGCAGCCAGGGTCTTCGGCAACATGCGAGGAATGTTCTCTAGCAGGCCGCCACCCGTGATGTGGGCCATACCCTTGATCAGGCCCCGCCTGGTTGCAGCTAGTAGAGGTTTGACGTAGATCTTGGTCGGTGTCAAGAGCGCGGTTCCGAGGCTCTCGCCTGAGCTCCACGGGCATGCGTCAGAGTATGAGATGCCTTGTGTCTCGACGATTCTTCGGACGAGGGAGAAGCCGTTGGAGTGGACACCACTTGAGGCCAGACCGATGAGTACGTCACCTTCAGCCATGGACGCTGTGTCTGGTAAAATGGTTGCACCCTGCTTGATCGCACCGATGGCTGCACCACCGGCATCGTATTCGCCTGATTGGTAGATACCCGGCATCTCTGCCGTCTCTCCACCGACGAGTGCGCATGCAGATTGCCGGCAGCCATTCGCAACGCCCTCAACAAACTTGGCCGCACCTTCAACATCGAGCTTGCTGCAAGCATAGTAGTCGAGGAACATCAGGGGCTCGGCGCCTTGTACGACGAGATCGTTTACGTTCATAGCAACGAGATCGATACCGACAGTGTCATGCTTGCCCATCTCGAAGGCAATCTTGACCTTGGTACCGATGCCGTCGATAGCACCCACTAGTATCGGTGCTTCAGTGTAGCCAGCCGCTTGCAAGTCGAGCAGGCCGCCAAATCCGCCAATCTTGCCATCAGCTCCGGGCCGTTTGGTGCTAGCAGTCAAGGCCTTGATCTGCTTGACGAGCTGATTGCCCGCATCAATGCTAACACCTGACGATGCGTACGTCAACGCCTCACCCGTTGGTTGTGAGGTGCTTGAGGGGCGTGTCACGGTGGTGCCTTCCTCGGCCGGCTCAAGGAGCTTCCAGTCGCATGTTATGCCTTCCTTCTTGAACTGTTGTAGCAAATGTTCCGCAATCTTGTCAAAGTTTTCGGTCGCGAGAGCGAGTATGGTGGGCCCAGCGCCTGAGAGGCAGATGCCCAGAAGGCCGGGGTGTGATTGTGGGGTAACGGATTGGAGGATCTCGGTAAGACCGGGGATGAGGCCGCGACGGTAGGGTTGGTGGAGCTTGTCTTGCATGGCTGTGTAGATCATGTCGGGGTCTGGTGTGGCTTGACCGAGTGCCGTGGTAAGGACAGCCAGTCGCTGCATGTTAAAGATGGCATCTTTGCGCGAATAAGACTCGGGCAATACCGCACGCGCCTTCGCCGTCGATACTTCGAATTGTGGTATGACGCATATGCACTTAATAGCGGGCGACCAAGCAAACTTGGTGTAGTGTCCGATGTTGAGGGGAGGCTCAGGAGGCCGTAGACCCGTGTCTACACCACCGGCGGGTTGTGGCAAGACTTCGCTGAGGGGGATCTCAAGACGCTCGGTGTCTTCTGGGGATAATTCGTTGAGGTATGTGCCGACGAAGCCTCCATACAGCGCCGCTGCGACATTGTCTGGGTGACGCTCTTCCATCAGGCAGTAGTCGAGCATGCGCGCTCTAGACAGCTTGAGGTTGCCGACCTCATTGGCCAGGTATACACCTCCTACAATAGCCGCAGCTGAAGAGCCCAATCCACGGCCAAGTGGTATTGGGTTCTTGACGTGAACGTGTGTTTCGGCGGGGAAGTCGCGAATACCATGGCAGCGAAGTACGTATACGGCCGTTCGTGTGATGAGGTTGTCTTGCGCAACGAGAGGGACATCTTCCGCGCCTACGCCTTCATATGTTATTTTGCAGTTGAGCGAGTGTTCTGACTTCTCCTTCTTGGTGACTGTAACCTCCAATTCGAGGTAGAGGTTCAGCGCCAGGCCGATGACGTCGAAGCCAGGGCCAATGTTGGCAGACGAGCAGGGTATCTTGATTAGAGTAGTCATACTGGGCTAAAGAGCGCCTGAGGCTTGACGTGATGCCTTCTTTATGTCGCCGCGCAAAAAAAAAGGTTGAATCAGCGCATGGGTGATGAAAAAGATAGCGTGGGGCTCAAACGCCGACGCCGGTCGCGGGGTAGCAAAATGCACCGCCACACTTCATCATGTCTCGTCAGCCTCGCGACGTGTCGAGCTACGCGACCACTCAGGTTATCAATAACACGACCTATCTCATCAAATCTCATGGATGTATATGGCACCCCACTCGCATCACGACTATGCAGTTGCATGCATCGCTCAATCGGTCAGGCTGGCCTCCATGTCTTCCACAAGTTGAGAAGACCTCCAAGCACCACCATCCGGAGTCTGCTTCGAAGCATCTCGTTTGCCATTGACCGCAGTAAAGATGAGACGTCGCAAGGACAGCTTAGACATGGTAAAGGTAGACCAGCGTTCGGGTGAGATCATAGAACCTTCCTTTCCGCCCTGGCGGCGTTTATGCACTGCAGCGACGCCACAGCTGACGCCTGTACGACCCGACGACATTGACAACGCATAGCGCCCTACAGGACTCTCATGAGTAAGAACATATCTAGAGGCCGGCCGTAATATTCAAAGAGTGCAATTCTACAGCCCTTTTTCGTAATCATTGCTACCAGACTCGCAACAGGCAGACGCCGCAGCATCAGGCAACAGGCACAGCTGACCGGTTCCTTGGCTGACGACGTACAGCCTCGCGAGGTACTTATTTCTACTCAATTCTCAGTTCACTCACCTTCGTCCTGCATGATCATTCTTCTAGTTGAACAAATTAGGTGAATTGGTCTTTCATTCATCGTTAGTACACGGACACTGTTCCCGCCAACCACTACACCGAAGCTTCAGCTCGCACACATATCAACTAGCTTTCAGCTTATCTCAACGCCTACAATCCCTTTCGCCACTCACCTATTTAGCCTTAGGTTTCAGTACTTATACCAAGTCAAGGTCGATAGAACTACGTCACAGCTAGCCTGACTACCTCACGTCACGTTTCGAGAATCGAGTCAGTCATGTGCGACTCGCCTATCGAAGAAGAGACGCGCGCTGAGCAAATGGCCTACTTACGCGAGCTCATGGCGCTAGAAAGGCGTAACAGAGCCAAGCGAGAGGCTCGGTCACCTTCTGTCTCATCTTCATCAGAAGAAGACGAGTCTATCGCTAAGCGCAAATCGAAGACCAAGACCAATGGCATCAAACACGTAATTGTCAACGGTAGAAGCCGAAAGCAGGCTGAGAATGGCGTCACCGATGATAAAGATGTTGAAGAGAAGGATGAAGAGCCCTGTGACCCGGGAATGAAAAACGGTCTGAAGCATCTCTACTCTGGGAAGGAAGACAAGAAAGGTCGCTTTCAGTGGCAAGAGGAGATCCCCGAGGATATCGGTGACCCCGTTGAAAACGATGAGACTGCGAAGTGGGCATTGCTTGTGCGAAACGTCAAAGTCTACAACGACCCTCGACGAGTCTTGTCTATCCACTCTATCGTAGTTCAGAGCCCTCTACTCAAGAAGTTACTCGCTGGAGTGCTCAAAAACTATCCTGGTGTCACAGTCGGTCTCAATCGCCTCGAGTTTCAAGGCAAATTCGAGCCACTTATTCATCGATGGGCTGAGCTGCAAGATGCCATCGCCAAGCTTGGTGATGACACGGAAGACAAGCGTACAACTAAAGCACACGCTGAGTTACTGCAACAGATTCTCACTAAGGAGTTTAAAAGCATGATCGATACCTCTCAAGATATGAAGAGCAAGAAGGTTATGACTTACGAGCACCTATGGACGCTATTCCAGCCCGGTGCGACAGTCTTTGCTCGCCAGGACGGTCAAGAAACCGCCATGACACTGGTCGAGACGAAATATGGAGTAGACTGCAAGGGTGCGCCTTGCTTCTGGCTGACGTGCAAGTACGTGGACTGGGACGGCGCCAAATTCGGTTCCAACAAGATCAATCTCTCCATTGCCGCTTATACCGGTACACGCGCCATTACAACTCTGCGTGTATACCCCATTGAGTTCCATCCCGAGGGTGAAGCCATCCGCGCTCGTCTCATTGATCGTGGCGCCAAGGCTGAAGCTCTTGCTGGCCCAAACTATAGGGCATACCAGGGTGTTGCATGGAGGCAGGGCGGGTTTGGCAACAAGGACAAATACAACGTGAAGGGTCGCATCGTGATCGACACTTATGGTTGGAACCGTTTCAACCCCACCCAATCGGTCTTTGTTGCTCCACTGAATCAGAAAGAGCTTGCCCCACCACCTCCTCCAGGCCAGTACAATGAGGATGAGGTGGACGAGGGCGAATATCAGTATGAGGAAGAAGACGATAGCGGTATGCCAATTGATGGTGCATTTGCGGACGAAGAAGATGCGGCCAAACACCCGCCGTTGACAACCGAACAAAAGCTCATCTGCTCGCCTCTACTTCGTGGTTACAGCTTGAAGAACAAACTCTGGTTGAATTTCTTCGTGAACTGCGTCAAGGAAATTGAGTGGCAGACAGACGCGTTCGATCGATTGGTGCTCCCCAAGAACCAGAAAGAGTTGATCCTAGGCTTCACTGAATCCCAACGCAAGTTCCGCGACACTTTCGACGACGTAATCGAAGGCAAAGGAAAAGGCATGATAATCCTGCTCTGCGGTCCACCAGGCGTCGGCAAGACCCTTACTTCCGAATCTGTTGCCGAAGAAATGAAAGTGCCCCTTTACATGATGAGCGCGGGAGACCTCGGCTTCGACCCACGAAAGGTCGAAACCAAACTTCAAGACATCCTCGAAATGTGCAGCCGCTGGAACGCTGTTCTCCTCCTCGACGAAGCCGACGTCTTCCTCGAACAACGCTCCCTACACGAACTCGAGCGTAACAAGCTCGTCTCCATTTTCCTGCGTGTTTTGGAATACTACGAAGGCACCATGTTCCTCACCACAAATCGCGTCCAGACTTTCGATCCGGCATTCCAATCACGTATTCACATCTCCCTCGACTACCCCGGTCTCACCATCGACTCCCGTAAAACTGTTTGGAAGAACTTTTTGGATTCAAGTTCGCAAGAACATACCATTTCCAAGGCTGAGCTTACGGAGTTGGCGAGGATGGATTTGAATGGAAGGCAGATTAAGAATATTCTTAAGATTGCTAGGTTGCTGGCTAGTCGCAAGGAGGAAAGGTTGAGCAGGGAGCACATTACTACTACCATGGATGTTACGCAGCATTTGCATAATGAGACGCAGTTTAGTGAGCGGACGAAGGGTACTTTGTATGGATAACTTTTGGCTAGTGAGAGGGGGCTTGGCGTGCGCACAACCATCCTTTATATATAGGTTCATGAGTACCGATGGCAGCGTCGAATAGGCCTCTAAAAGGCGCATCCTTGTGATGATTCATGACTGTCACGTCTTTGGAGTTGCGGCATACGAAGATCGGGATACGTAGAAAATGAGATTCTACAATGTCAAGAACATTAAGTTTGGTGAAATCTCCAAAATACACCTTAGGAAGAGGCATAAGGACGCTGATAGCTACACGGCCTATAGACGTTTGTTCTACTTCTATGATGTCGCAAGGGCACGTCGAAAGGGAAGCGATGTATATCTCTGATGACTTTAATGACACATTTGTATCATCCATGTAAAAGAACCACAGTGCAGCCCATCACAGCACGCAGCTCATGAAAGCCAAAACTTGTCGACCCAAACATATGTCTCCCTCAACAACGACTCTTTGGCCATATCCAGATCGTAGTCAAGAGCAGGCCCACCTGGTCAGCCTCTTCCACGTACACTCTGTCCTACGCGCCTTTCCTTCTTCCCCCTCTAGGGGCAAGTACTTCCAGTTCAGGTGACTGACTTCTGTCAATAGGATGGCATGCCTCGCCCTATACACTGGATACTCCTGAGTAAAGATATCGCGGAACTTCCTGGTGTTCTCGATAGGATCCTTGGGTGAATGATACATGGCGATGGGTGGAAGGAACTTGTGGTCAACGTAGTCTACGTACCTATCGACCCGTGCGAGACAGTCCACGAAGTCAGCATTGGCAGGTTCAAAGTCTCCCCCTATTGCACTGCCATGGTGACGTTGGAATACCGGCTGCCATAACTTGGTGATAGAAACAAGCAAGGTGGCTGACATTGCTTGGGGCGCATAGCTTTTGGTGCGTGTAGGTACCGATCCCTGGTTCTCGAGCTCGTTGATAGCAGTTACTACCTCTCGGGCGCGTCTGTCGACGTCTGAAGGCGCTAAGCGTTCACACATGTAAGTTACCATGCCGTTGTCCATATTCTTTGGAGGGAAGTTGCGCACACAATGGGCCAACATCGGGTAGTGGAGGACGCAGGACTTGATACTGAGTTTAGGTTCGTTTTTAGCCACGTTGATCCGCATTGCCACGACTGAAGAATGACCGCCAGCACTCTCACCCTCGACGTATAGGCGGTCTTTGTCTATAGTAACGTTCCTCTTGTTGATATTCTTGACAATCCACTCCTGCCAGCTCTCGCTCTTTGAGTCATTTCCATGTTTGAAGCATTCATCTTTTTTGTACCACCTTAGGAAGTCGCGGGTAGAGTTGCAGATGTCAACGTAGTTGGATTCTGGGCCAAGAGGATAGTCTGGAGCGATGATGATCGCTCCTTGCTGTCTAGCATGTATAATACTAGGCCAGCCATATCAGGCTATGTGATCGTTCGCACCCGTACACTGATGTTCTGTCAGTAGCATCACACTGTTAAATCGAGGGTAGAAGTCATATTGATTCACAAAACCACCTCTATGAAAGAACCACATGACAAAACCTTGGTATTGGCCTTCAAATCATGCAGACTATAGAATGTGACTTTGAACTCTTCCTTATCCAAACGATTCAAGAAACCGTAGGCGAAACTGTGGAAGCCGCAATATCCGAGTCAGTCTGCACTACGTGGGAAGATCTCTGTCCCATTTTTGGCTTCTCAGAAGTAATTGAGATGGCTCATATATGCAATGGCCATTCTAAAAGCTTCTCGAGATCTTTCTGAAGAACGTCATGGTTCTCTTTGCGAGCTTCACGTATTTCATGGATAATCTTCATCGTGGATGCGTTGTACTTTTATTTTGGTACGTTGTCCTGGCGGCAAAGCGAGGGTTGAACTTACGAATCGTGAGATTGGTCTTTCAACACTAACTACTGTAATATCGGTGGCGGGTGGCCAATGCTGAAGCTCTCCACATGTAGAACCCCGCTTTCAGTAAACTTACGTGAGAAACGCACGTCTTTAGCGTACACCCGGTCTCTGACGTGAGAAAGGGATCGCGGTATTGTCTCATCATCCTTTAGAGCAAGATGCACTGTGTTTAGTTCGCTTCAAGACACAGTCAGTCCAACCAAGAGAAATTAGAATAACACGTTCAACATTAGCAAATTGAGTTCGAACTGGGGTGATCATTATTCGCTCGCGAGAGTTGTACACTATTTACACTATATAGCCCCACTACATAGTCTTAGATGCCGAATGGTCGGAATCTTGATTCTCACTTCTGGTATAAACATATGTTTATGCAGTAGGAACCGCATCAGGAGCAAGACCCTTCTCGATGATCGGGGGTGGCTTGGGCACGTTGCGACGAAGAATCGTGTGGTTGATGAAATAAGGCACTGACTCCGTAATCTCGTAATGGAGATAGGTCTTGGTAGGCACACTGAAAACTTGATCCAGTTCTTCCAGCGTAAGCTGCTTAGTTTCACGCACGAAACAGAAGATCATGAACCAGGCGATCAGGTTGAGACCAGCGTAGAAACCAAAAGCACCAGTCTGTGACATGACCGATACCATACGAGGGAAGGTGAGCGACAAAACACCAGCGAAGGTGTTGTTGATGCAAACAGCCCAGGCCATTCCCTGCTCACGCTGGATGGTAGGGAAAACCTCGGCAGAGTACTGAAATGCGACTGGTCCTTCTCCGAGGGAATACATGATCGTAAAGAGGTAGACGAACAAGACGACGGGTCCGATACGAGCAGCTTGGCTGGCAGACTCTGGTTGGAGCAGGGACAAACCGGCGGCCAATAAGAAGATGCACATAAAGGGGAAAGTCTGATACGTAGTTAGAATGGGATTAGCTACGAATGGAGTTGGGGGGTACTTGCCCACATGCAAAGGGTCCTTCGACCCTTAGTGTCGATAAGGAAGAGCGTAGGAATAGTGAACACAACTTGGATTGCTCCGTAACCGAGAGAAGCGTACAAGGCTTGTGTCGGGCTGTAGCCGACCTGCGTGAAGATGGTCGAACTATAGAAGGAGATGATATTGATACCGCACATTTGCTGAGCAATCATGACAGTGGAAGCACCGTAGTTGGCACGTCTGATGCGGGGTACACGGAAGCAGTCCCACATGCGGTCAAAGTAGCCTGCTCCACGTGCAACGGCGAGTTCAGTCTCGTAGATGACGTACGAGTAGTAGTAATCGCGGGCGGCGATGATGGGGTGTGCACGCAGTTTAGCCATGGATTGGTAGCCCTTGGCGACCTTGCCATGCTTCATCAACCAACGAGGAGACTCTGGGCAGAAGAAGATGCCGACCATGAGAATGAAGGACGGGATGAAGGCTGATCCAAGCTGCAGGCGCCATGAGATTCTACCAGTGTCTTTGACAATGACGTTTGCGCAGAAACCGAGGAAGATACCTGCAAATGGAAATTAGTCACAAGTTAACACGCGTGAGAATCGTGAGGACTTACCAATGACGACCCATAATTGCCAAAACATGACCAGGGCGCCTCGAATTCGATGTGGAGCCATCTCAGCAGAGTAGATTGGGACAGTGGCATTCTTTGCGCCGATTCCGATACCCATGATGAAGCGTGCAGCGAATAGTCCTTCCCATGATTGCGCACATGCAGAACCGATAGGAGTAGCCGTAAGGCAGACAGCAGTGAGGAAGATCTCTCCGCGACGACCGAGATACTTGTTGAGGGGGTCGACGATAAAAGCGCCGATAAGACCGGCTGTCAAGAAAATGATGGAGTTGATGAGACCGACAATCCATTCACTCCTTTCACCCTCTGTGAGACCAAATTCTTGAGGGAAGGACAAGTTGGCTCCGTTGGATCCAGTCTGGTCCCAACCCTGAGTGGCGGCTCCAATGGCACACAGACCAATTGAGTACCACAGCATGGTGGGTCCATGCCACTTGTGGTCGCGTTCGTAGATGAGAGCATCGCGCTCCTCTTGAGTGAGGTCGGTGAGCATCTCAAAGCGGTCAGGGTCGCGCGCGACAAGAGCAGCCTTTCCGAAGAGGGCTGCGTGCTCCTCCATGCCATGTGTGGCAGCCCATTGCTCGGCAACACTGACACATTCGGCCTTGGTCTGACGCGTTAGGGGATTCTCGACGATGTTGTGCGCGACAGACTCGCGACGGGCGCCAGCATCAGCAATATGCTCGTTTTGGTTGATCTGCTTCTCGGTGGTCGGGTCATAGACAGCTTCCTTCTCGACAGGGTAGGCCACTTCCTTGTCGGGCATGTGGCTCACGCCGTTGTCTTTGCCGTCCATGGTGGAGATTGGTGTTGCACAAGCCCCAAGGTAGAGTAAAACCGGTCGCGAAGAAGCGAAGAGAGCAGTGGAGGTGGAAAAGAAATGGCGGGGGAGATGAGCAGCCGATCTTATATCTGGGGGAGTTCTCAGTGAAGGGGAGGCCTAAAAGTGGAGCATCAACGGTGCACGACAGCTGTAAGAGGCTGCGACAGGCACCCTGGATTGTCCCAAATTCATTTTCTCTAGCACGACCGTCGCGACGGTGAAGGACCCTGGAATCCTGGTTTGTGTCCGCCAACAAAACGCGATGTTGGAGGAGGGGTATGATGACGCTAGTGCTATGGTTCATGAGGATCCCCACTGTATCTCCCCATGGAGTAAGCCTCCCCAAGATGTATGCGGCTATCTTAGCCACGCTTAGCTCCTGGGGCTTGTTTTTCACCCCAAGGCTTCGCGCATTCCGACGTCTATGACCTCACCCTCTGCATTCTCGACCACATGTGATTGACAAGACGGCGGTTAGCTCAAGCCACCACGTTACATAGTTCGGCTGACTTCCGAGAACCCGTCATACTCGGGTCGTTTGTTGCCATGCGGATGGCTTGTCAAGGGCGCGGTCAGCTCACCCTTACAGCCTTTACGGTGATATCTTGCGTCGGAAGCTGCACGAGGCGAAATCCCGGACACGGTAGCGCCCTGTACTTGTGGTGTACCCGTGATCAGTACAAAGCTTCACGCTGCATGTGCTTGGTGCAATCTTGATGTGAGACTTGTTAAGCTGACGCTGCCCAGCTCCGATCGGCATGGGAGTTACCTTGCCGGTCAGCCGTCTGCATATCGGCACATGCTGGCGCGGCCACCGAGGCAGGGAGCGAGCCGCCATCGTAATGCCGCCAAAGGTCCTTTACCGTTGTTTCAATCTCATAAATGTCAGGCCATCCAAGCCTTGCTAACAATCACGACCCCAATCCACGCGAAGAAACTTACGACATGTTCGGTGACTTTGAAATAGTTGCAAGCTCGATCGCATCGCCACCCAGTCAGCGAAGGACGTCCGCGGCAAGCCTCGACGAGACCAGCCAACTCGATAGCGTACGCGCGGCGACGTCTTGGGCACCTTGACTCTGCTTATCCCAACAATCCAAGCCGTCGCCAAAGCTTGGGACGACTTGGAGCACGGCCCAACTGTTAGAATTGTGGGCTTAGGTCTCATTCGCAGTGACACGCTTTGGTGGGGACAAGTCCAAAATTTTCTCCAGGCTTCAACTCCAGGAATACAGTGGGTCGCGAGTCATGAACAGCGGAGAGAGGCATTGCTCACGTGTTCGCGTCGCAACCTTGAAATTCGAATGCGCAAAAGAACGGAGAAGAATCTCAACCCTTTCCCGCAAACTGATGGGCCAGGCATCTTTGCATGCAATATGAGCGACTGCAGGTCGCGCGACACACGGCCACATTTCGAGAAAACGTTTTCCAGCCTTTGCTAGCGCATAGGAACGCACTTATAACCGGACCGCTAGTCTTCCCAGCGTCTGCCACACACCCGCGGACTACATAGGCGCGATGTGCATGTGGCGTCTCGAACACATGAGGCTCTCGTGAAGTGGGCCTGGGGTCGATTTCAGCGCTAGGCATCGTGCGATACCCCACAACATGGAGCCGCCGACTACGACAACATCCGGGTTACCCAGAGTGGCACACTAACCATCCGCACGATGCTTATCATTAATCCCAGCCTCATCGAACTTTATCCCGACGGCCCAGCTCTACGATATACTTTCGACCTGTAGGGACCAGGAAAGCCACGTCCGATTTTATAATCGTACTCGCTAGTCGCTACGCCGCGTTATTGATCTCGGACAACGCCGAAAAAGCTCCATGTGCAAATTTTCCTGCACTATCGCCTTGACACGTATCTGTTATGTCCTTGAGACTATGATTCTGTGTTTGGTGATGGCAGGTAATGTACAGGCAGGTAGCGCGCAAACTTCCACGATGGCGAAGCTCATCCAGCGCTTCGTACTAAACAGAGAAAGAACTAAATGTAGGTATATGCGAAAGTTCAAAATCTAGGGCTCCGGTAATCCTGCAACAAAAGGCATGGCGACGAGAACCGATCGATGCATCTCATGCACTCAAAAATTACGAGTCCAAGTTTCAACTATAACATGTCTATACAAACGCGCTCGTTGAGCTGTTTGGTTCCTGGCATACAGCACTTCTCGTAAAGAGACTGATGCAGCGCATCTTTCATGGTGGTCGGACTACACAAATTCAAAAGCTCAAGCGATGATTCATCTTGTACGTATCCTCTTCCCCCAGTACGTGATTGACGCTGTGCGTATCATGACAGCACAGCATTGCGGCAGGCCGTCTTTGATGGACTACGTCCAACGCTATTTATTGTAGCCCAGCATGTACGGGAGGCCGCTACACTCCGACCCATGAACCTTCGTCTCTATGAGCAACGCACTAGGGACCTTTTGACTAGTGTCGTCGCGGAAGCCAGGCGTAATGTAGAAAAGAGCGTTATGTGTAATACTACAATCTCGGATTTTAAACAAGGGTTGAAATGAATTCAAAACCTTTACCTACCAACTCCATACATCTCTGAGTAATGTCCCATCACTTATAAATACTGTGGCAGGAAACAACACTTAGATAGTAGGATCACCTTGTTGTGGCTTTCGCGATGAAGCCCAAGGCGATTATTAAGATGAAACATAGCTCACATCTACAGAACAGTCTAGAATCAGTCTAGAATCTTGCCATGAATTACTATCCCTACCGCGATACCCGTGAAGCCACCCCGAAGTGCGGGGTCATCGGACCTCCCGGAACCTTAACCAGCCTAGACGTCCTCCGCACCCTTAGTGGACTGACCTCTTTCTCGCAGCTCCTCAAGCCGCGGAAGTATCATCTTAGTTGCCATGATGTTATTCAGCTTCTTTCTCGTCCTCTCGTCGAAGACTTGGAAGATCGGTTTCGCGCGCTTGTCAAACTCGTGAGCAGTAATGTTCTCAGTCGATAGCTGCTCCATGAAGTATACGTATTCGTCCCAGTTATCTGGACCTTGAAGGAGACAATGTCAGCGAGTTTGTTCGAAGATTTGAGGTCTGAGCATTGAGTCCTTACCTAGGGCAGTCTTCGTGCCTATCAACTCGGGAGGGACCTGGTAGCTGTACTGCGGACGCAGCTTTCTAACTTTGGGGGGTGTTGTTGTATTGGATACCTGCGGAGGCGCGAAAAGACCAATAGGAGGCTGCGCGTATCCGCCTCGGCCGTTCAAGCTACCCGCTGCGTTCACGTTCTGACCTCCGTCGCCGTCGTCCAGTCGTGGACGTCCTCGACTAGGGATGCCAGATGGCGTTTCGAACGACTTATGTTGGTGTATGCGGTTCGCTCGAATGACCTCGAAGGTCTCTTCTGGGCTAATACCCGACCTATCCTGTTTCACTTTCGGAACCTTATGGGCTGTGAGGGGAGAGAGTTCATCTGTGGAGCGAGCTGCAAGCGGTGCCTTCCTCGGGACATGATCTGAAGGAATGCGACTACCTTTCCAACCTGGCGGGACTGAGGAAGCGAGCGAGATGTCGAGAGCATATCCCTTCGTCAGGGAGTCATGGCGCTGTTCGACGAGTTTTGTAAGACTATTGTCTTGCGCTGGGGTTGAAGGAGGATTGGAATCCTATCGAGGTGTTAGCACGAACACTTCTCTAAAGCAAGTCATAAAATGCGTCTTGTAGAGACTTTGCCTGCTACGTAGGTAGGCGGGAATTAACTGCTGTCTTATAGCTGTCTAAGTAGGCAGTAGAATATAGAGCGCTGTCACTAAACTTTCCTGTCTACGCCGCTAAAGCGCAACAGAAAGAACGTACTACAAGGGAGTTAGTTAATAGCTTAACAGCATTTTTCATCCACGACGGCTGCTTTACCCATCTCTCTCTCATCTTTGTTGAGGCTTTGCACATCGCGCGACATACTGAACGGAAGTGGATGTTGATGTTGCGCTTGGTGGGCGTTCAGGTTCGGATATGAATTTGTGAATGAATATATGAGATTTGGGAAAGACGGCCAATGCGCCAGTGTGTCGGGGAGTTGGATCTGGTTGTGAGGTACCATGGTGGGTGAGAAGACCTGGCCGCCCGCTGCTTTGCTCCCGGATGTCCCTGCAAGATTGGACGACATCATGTTTGGGGTAGGTGCGACGAATGGGCGCTGTTGTGTTGCAGACGGTGTGCTTGATAGTGGGCGCTGTTTTGGGCCTTTGGTATGCTCTTGCGACATTACTGGGTGTGGCAAGTAAGAGTGATGAGGCTCTACCGGAACAGTGGTCGAATGGTAAGAGCCGCGTTGGTGATAACGCGTGGCAACGCTTTGATCGCACTAACTCACAGAAAGCTTGCAGTACCTCAATAATGTTTTTTTTTGAACGGAGGAGGAGCGGGAAGATTGATGAAGGAATCGAAGTGAAAAAGAGGAAGTGACGGGTGGCTGCAGTTCTGGAGACCAGAATCCGGAACAGAAGGAAGGCGCCTTTCATAGTCGCCTCAGGTTGTTACGTCATCCGATATCATCATATCTTCGAGAGGAGAATCTGTATGCTCTGTTAGTTTTGAGAGATGACAGCCGCGATGGAGCGAAAGAGAAATCCCGAGAAACATGGCAATGGTGCAAGACACTGATGGACTCTCATACTAGGTTCAATGGAGCGGAAGAGATGCGCAAAGTGGTTTGCTTTTATGCGCTATGTGACGAGACCAACATTATAATGGGCGTAGGTATCATGATTGTTTCTATGTGTAACTAGTGCTAACGAAACGCAGTGAAAAGTATGTAAGAGAGTACGTTGCGGATCACAGAGAACAGCGAATTATATTCGGTTACCAGCCAACAGTTGGAGCTTTGTGACCATTGCCATCGCATCCATATAGCCATTCAAGAAGACGGTACGAACACATACCGCCTGTATTCTGACTACGCCGAGCATGGAGATCTACGTGACCTTCTCGAGATTCATTCCCAGGGGGTGAACCTGGAAAGGCAGATACCCGAGCGGTTCATCTGGATGATCTTCCAAGCGCTGGCTGACACCGTATGTGCCTTGAATACAGGCAAGTGCGGCGAGACGCTCGACGAAGAGAAGCTACTGAGGAGACAGAAAAAGGGAGAGAAGGAGAGAAAGGAAGGAGGAAAGCGAAGGTAGGGAGGGAAGGTAAGAAGAAAACCGGGAAACTTTCCCTGGCGCCATGGTACACTTTGATATCAAGCCGGAGAACGTATCCCTCAACACGGCTCGGGCACCTTGCTGACTATGGAATTTTCAAAATCATTAACAAAGAGATAAACACTTCGGAGAGATGAAAAGATTGGGGTACAAAGAATTTTAGGCCTCGGAGATCATTGTAGAGGCATTGCACCACCATCCCGTCAATGCAAAAGCGGAAATCTGGTCTTTGTGGATGCTGATATGGAAGATGATGCATACTACGCTTGGTAAAGAGAAATCCAATCAGACTTGCGAAGATAGCATCAATGCTGCGTTCCAGTTTGCGGACATCAATCCGTTTACATCTGGCGACATCCCAGGCTACGACGTCATGTAATCAAACACCTTGCACCAACTAGTAATTGACTGCCTATAGATCAACCCGAGAAAAGCGCCCCCGGTCACGACTGGGTAAGTCAGAAGGCGAAAGCGGATTTGGAAGGTCGCAAAGACGTTTGGGCCAAGTCCTGTCGGGTGTTGGGGATAGTAGTGGCCTTGCCGACCACCTCCGAGTTCTCTATAGGGAAGTGTCAGTCTACAAGATTACTGCGGAATCCCAAGAGCCTCCAAGTAAGATAGATTAGGAAGACGGGTGCTCCTATTGATGAAAATATTCATGTTTGAAGCGTGATATTGATGTGATATTCTCTCCCCAAATCTAGAGTTTAGACATGTGGTGCTGAGCTAGCCATTTGAAATGTGTAATCTTTTTCGTAGTGGGGCGACTACAAAGTGAATGACCGATGAACATGTCCGATCTCGATGCGTTCCTTGATAGTCTGTGGTTTATCGACGACTAGCGGATTCTCCGTGCTGTGTCCTCTTCGCTCTCTCCAGACCATTCTATCTTCCTTCAACTTCTTCGCAACTGGATGTTCAGTCGTAGATATCCTTGTTAATGCAGCCAAAGCCTCGTCTGTCACTCTTTCGCATTCTTGAAACTTCCCAAGCGCGTTGTAGACTGTCGCTAGCTCTATCAAGCCACCGATTCTATCAGGATGGATCTCCCCTCTGCCTTGCAACGTGTGACGTTGTCGCTCTGTGACATCAAGCAGGTGGGACTCCGCCTCTTCCCATCTTTCTTGAATCACCCAAATCCGGCCAAGATGATAACGACCCCAGAGATAAGCTATGTGACCATCTCCTAAGTTGCGCGCGGCGATGGGTAGGCCATGCTGGATAAGTACTTCGGCCTCGTGAATCATACCCATTTCGCATTTTACGAGAGCGAGGTTCACCATCGCGAGTAGTGTGTATGCATGCTCTTTGCCAAGTTTTCTCTTTCGTGTTTCCAGAATTTGGTTCATCATCGCATGCGCTTGATCCAAATGTTGCTTGTTGCGGGTTCGGATGGCGGAAGTACAAAGGTGTTCACGCGCTTCGAGCGTACGTGTGTGTTCATCTCCATGCAGCTTCTCCATACCCTCTGATGCTTTGACAAAGAGTTGACGGGCACGATTCACATGCTCTTCAGTGAAAAACATAAGTAGAGTCTGGCCAAGCCAGTCGATCGCATCCAGAGTGTCTTCTTGGTCAAGACCGACTAGCCTGGTCAGCCCCTCGACTGCCTCTTCTTGGAGAAGTTTGGCTTGGCTGAATTTGCCTTGTAAGAAAAGTGACTTTCCAAGAGCAAATTTGGCAACCAGTGTCTCCCGATGATCGACACCCAAGAACAGTACACACGCGTCCAAAACTTCTTTTTCCATCTTAGCCGAGTGCTCGCTTTCGCCGAGGTGGAACAGGGTCGTAGCCAGTAGACGGGTAACGCGACGAGTAACGGGATGCTTCAGGCCCAGGACCTGAGTCGTGAAATCTTTCACTGCAGTTTGCAGTCGCTTGGCCTCCTCCCAACGTCCGTTCTGCATGTACACCAGGCTGAACTTAGCATATGTCATAGCTTTGCCTCTATCAAAGCCACCATCAAACACTGGCCATGGTTTCATACGTGCCATGCGCTTGTCTCTCATGCGTTGCTCTATCGATTGCTGACATTGGCGTACATGATCGACATGGGGGAGGATGTATTTACGAATGTCTTCCTCTTCTTCCGTGTTACCAAGCGGTGGGATCAAAACGCAGTGTGATAGTAGCATTGCGGCCGCTTCAGACCAAACTCCCTGCGCTGCGATACTCATACCAGGTCGCTCACGCGCCCACTTGTGCACAAGCGGATGCATAGAGTAGCTTTCGGAATTTTGGCTCTTTATTATGAGCGAAAACTGAGTCAGCTGCCGTAGAGCTAGACGTAGTCGATCCTCATCCATCACCCTCTCGTTTCGTCCTTCTCGGATGATCTGCCACAAGTCAGCAATGATCCTGAGAGCAGCATATGCTAGCTTGACCTACGCCGGGTAGAACAGGCGGACTCCGGTTCTGGTAAAAATAGGCAAGGACCAGGAAAGCGTGTTCTTTACACCATGTTGACCAGTCGGACGCGGGCTTGACGGCCTTGTACTGACCTTCTTTGGTCTTGTCCTCGACCTCCTTCAGATGTTCGACCTGGGCGTTCTCGATAGCTCGTTTCAATAGGTCGTACCGAATGTCTTGATTGTGGAGAAATGCGAATGTATCAAGCAGCTGGAGGGCGTCCCGAGATGCTCTAGTTGCTCGCCTTTCGATAGCTTCTCGATTCAACTCGAATGTTGAGAAGACACTCAACTCGTCAGCGGCATCCTTGTCTTTCACTGGAAGTCTGTTTTGCCTCGTCTGTTCCCATTGGCGTTCATAGTAGTGCAGGTACTCGCTCAGCCTGCAATACTCTTCGCGGATGGCCCTACCTGCATGCGTGATCGCCAATGCAAGATAGCCAAGCGCTTTTGCAATTGATAAGGCAATGTTGGATACAACTGTGCCCCATGGTTCCGTCTGACCGGCCGCTCTCAGGAGTAGACTGCTCGCATCACTCGTACTCAATCCTTGAAATTCAAAAAACCTGTCACCAGCAGTGCCATACGCCTTTTTCCCAGGATCACGGGTTGTGACAAGAACGTGACCTCGATTGCCTCGTGGGAAATAGTCGGCAAGCTTGAGGTCAGGGTCATCGGCGTTGTCGATGATGAGAAGCCAGGGACGACTGAGATTCGATAACCAATGGAGTGCAGCATTGACGTTGAAGTCCACTTTCCCAATCTTTGACACATTCTGAGAGAAAGTTTGTATCAACCGCGACGGGCTACTACCGTCTACCCAAAAAACCCCCCAGAAGCTAGAGGTGACCCGTCAGCAGTGTTACATAGGCTTGGAACCATGGCGAACTGACTAATGGCGATTATCTTCAGCAAATTTCGAGCAGAACTGAGTCTTCCCTGCGCCTCCAAGCCCGTATACAACGAAGCGTTTCTGCTCTGCCTTTGAGGCTGTTGCTCCGCGTTGTTTCGGAGAAGCACTAGGTAACATCCAGTTGCGTAGACGTTCTGCGTACTCTCCACGACCAGTATAGAACGGATCGACTGGCTTGGGAATATCGAAATGTTCGTTCGTCACCGGGGCGTCGGACGCGGGATTATGCGCAATATTGTTGATTGCGATGCCAAGCTGATTCACAACTGATACGGATTCGATGTTGAAATCGCGATACGCCGTCGTGTTGGTCACGTTCTCATATGAGGGTAACGATGTATGCTGCGCTTGCTCCATCCGACTCTTCAATTCTTGAAGACCAACAGCCAGTTGCTCTAGTTGGGCGTTCTGATCCTTATGGTTTTCGCGAGCCGACTGCCTGCATATGGGTCAACACAAGCTCCTGAAATGGCTAATCAACTTACATGGAGATAAAACCGAGTAGCATTTGCAGGGCTCCCTGATATGTATTGATCTGGTCTCTAAGTCCAGAGATCATGCCGTCTTTGCTTTTCTTTCTACGCGACTTGTCCCAACCATCCAACTTTCCAGTGATAAGCTTGTGATCACCATAGATAGACTTCACCGAAGCCTCAAGCTTCTCGGTAAGTTTCTGTCCATTCTTAAGAGTTTGTCCTGTGCTTGTCCAAAGGCTCCTCTCGTCGTCTCCCATTTCGATGTTGGTGACACTATTGAGGTATTCCTTCTCGAGGTGACCATGCACCTTTTGGAGACCTTCGACCTCGTTGATCAGGCCTTCAATATCTTCATCGATAGTCTTGGCGGCTGCTTTGACGTCCTTGAGATATACGATGAGCCGAAATGCAACATCAGCAATTCCCACGCCTGCAGCCACCAGTGAAACAGGGTCAGCCATGATTCAACGCTATCACCAAGTTTGTTCCTACGCGACAAAGGCCTGCGTAGTCGTCCGTACGAAGGCCGTGTCGATGTTCAAAACACGTCACCAAGCACGGGATCGCGTAGAAGCAGATTGAGAATGTTGCCAGCTGTATAGAAAGGCGCTGTATGCGACAAAAAAGAGGATAGCCTTTTGCGATTTACTCGAGTGGCGGCAGCAGGGGTTGTATTGCGCTGGCCAGAGATGCACAAAGCGGCTGGATTTCGCATACATGCTTGCGAACTGGAGCCTCCATGTCCTTGGATGACGACGTCCTTGGCCGATAGCCGTCGTAGAGGGTATCAGGCGAACAGTATGAGAACGCGGGATGTGACACTGAAAGAGGCACAACGGGCAGAGGCGCGTTCTGAACCAACCGTAACCGAGCGCGCTAGCGCTGACTTCGCTAACACCATCTTACTGGTGCCCTACCAGGCTTGACCCTCGCAGGTTTGGCCCCCAATTTGTCACATCTCATCGGCCCCACGCGCTGATAGGGAAGGCATACTAACTGCGGTACCACTGGGCTGAGACTGTCATCCACTTCAATTTGGGGGCGGAGTCACGAGAGCAGAAGCTTCGTGTTGACGTTCTCACACTAACAGTGCGCCACTGCAAAACAACTTCTGATATTGTTCACATCAAGCAGGAAGCACTCGCAGCCATGGACACCCCGTACGCCGACTTTGGAGGAAAGACAAGTTCCAAAAGTTTGGCCTTGTTCCTAGTCATTCTCAGCCTTGTAGGCTACAAGCTCTGGAAACGCCAGATCCGGCTTAAGGTACGCGCGTCCAAGGGGATTTGTCGTCGCGCTGCTGACATTTGACAGGAAGAAGATCAATATGCGGCGCAGATGGGATGCAAAGCACCACGGAGATGGGCAGCGAAGTGGCCACAAGGTTTGGATCTGCTACTCAAGGTGGGGCAACACGCAAGAGCGCAAACCATCCTACAATTCTTCTTGGACGTAGTGGAGTCTAGCGGTCCAACTCATGAACAGCAGTTGCGTAAGTCTCCGGGACCGTAATGGAGGGCATGGAGCTGACCATGCACAGTCGGATCTCGCGGAATTAATACTGTTGAGCCACGCAACATTGAAGAGATCCTCTCTACTCAGTTTGAAGGTTTGTCGATGCCACACCAGCTGGACAATCGAAAGCATTGACGCTCGCGGTAGACTTCAGCCTTGGACTCCGACCCAAGCATTTCGCCCCGTTAATGGGAAGCGGTATCTTCACCCAAGACGGTGCAGCATGGAAGCACTCGCGAGCGCTTCTCCGGCCTCAATTTACTTCTAATCGCTTTCAGAACTTCGAGGAGATGAAGAAGTCAGTCGAGAGCCTCATCGATCATATTCGTCCTGATAGCATAGTCGATCTACAACCGTTGTTTTTCCGTTTGACTTTTGACACGACAACATTCCTCCTCTTTGGTAAGACATTGAGCTCTTTGCAAAGCAGCGACATTGCTGGACAAGAGTCGGAGTTTGCAGCAGCTTTCAACTTAGGCCAAGGTAAGTTGTGACTGTACGAAATGCATGTAAGATATACACTGACGTCGTATCTCCACATTTGCAGACTATCTATCACATCGTGGTAGGTTGGGAGACTTGTACTGGCTCGCGAACACGCCCGAGTTCTGGCGGGCCTGTAAAACTTCTCATCGGTTCGTTGACGACGCAATCCAGAATGCACTAAATAACTCCAAGCCTGAGAAGGTAGAAGACGAGGATAAAAAGCATTACGTATTCATCGATGCGCTCATTCAGGAAACCCGGAACAAAAAAGAACTCCGCGATCAGTGTCTCAATGTCCTCCTGGCTGGCAGAGATACGACCGCATGCTGCCTAACCTGGACCTTACGCTTGCTAGCTCGTCACCCTCAGGTTTTGGAAAAGTTGCGTGCGGAGGTAGAGGCCGTAGTAGGCCTTGGAGACAATGCGCCTCAGCCAACTCGGGTGGACTTAAAGAAGATGAGATACCTTGATCTGGTCCTGAAAGAAGTACTTCGCCTCTACCCATCGGTGCCGGTCAACTCCCGTGCAGCACTCAAGACGACGACGCTTCCTGTCGGGGGAGGCCCGGATGGAAAGTCTCCAATACTGGTAAGAAAAGGCGAGGCCGTCGGGTATTGCGTGTACGCTATGCATCGCCGCACAGATATCTACGGCGATGACGCACTCGAGTTCCGTCCCGAAAGGTGGGAAGATGGAACGTTATTGCGCGATGTGGGTTATGGGTATCTACCCTTTAATGGCGGACCGCGAGTATGTTTAGGCCAGGAGTTCGCCCTGCTAGAAGCGGGATACACCGTAGCGAGACTGGTGCAGAAATTCCCCTTCATGACTGTCCCGCAGGACGACCCTGTTGTCGCACCTGGAAAAGAAAAGCAAACGCTGACGTTGGTGGTTGCTTCGGGAGATGGATGCCGTGTACACATGCGCTCATAGACCGAGATAGAACACTGCCTTGTGGACAAGTTTATAATTCGTCAGTCGTGTCCCTCAATCAAGACCGTTCCTTGGAAGTATTCGTAGTGGTTTATTTGATGGAAACTTATTGCAGAGCACATGAAATACCTCCACAGTATATGATCATCTCGCTACTGCTCGCGTGAGTATCCTTCGTGTTCGCCATCATACGGGTCCAGATCTCGGGTCAAAGCGCGTATAAACGATGTTGCCAACCCCATTCCACGCCATCCCTATTCTTCCAGATCTGTCTACAGGAAACGGCGAAGAAGGTTTGCACCATACTACCCCACACAGGATGCAGGAGAACTGTGTCGATGTTGAGGGCCTTGAGACAGGAACTAAGTAGTTCCGAGCTTTGGCTTGAGACCAGTGCTAGAGCCAGAACTGTGTCTTCTGGCTACTAATTATCGTAGTGTATACTGTCTCTGCGCCAGCGGCTGCTGGTCGGTTGGCAATGCGGTGGGTGATTGTGGTGTGGACTTGGTGGCATTACTAGCAGTACTCAGCTCGTCTGGGGGGTTTCGGCATTACTCAGGTTTTCGATTAGTCTGGGGCAAAGAGCTCTCACTGCACATTGCTACTGATCTTGATTGCCTTGTCTACCAGGACTCACCTCCGGGGTACGTTGTCAGCTCTTAGGTATAACCCTAAAATCCTTTGAGCTCCTCCACACATCGATACTATTTCTCAGTTTGGCTTGGACGGTGAGAACTCGATGCATATGCTAGTCCTTCCTAGTTCATCTGTTCGAGGCCTGTACTCAACATGGAAAGCTCTGGATATCTGGCCAGTCCGGAAAGTAGTGGTCAGGCACAGCGCGAGTGCTGGCGTGAAGTCCCTTCGTGTAGACTATCATCACCTGGGTCCGTGGGTCAAGGCAGGTGTGGATTTGTCCAGCTCTATCCTGTTACCCGATTCTCCCAGATCTGCTTACACGACACCACCAAGTAGGTTTGCGCAAGACCTCCCCATACTTTGTCAAAGATGATGGCGTCGAGATCGAGTGCCTTTGATAGCGGGAGCAGGTAATGGCGCGCCATCGCCTGCTCCCAATGGCCAACCCAGAATCTGGTCTTCGCACTTGCGGGCATGGTGACATATGCGGCGCCGTCCCCTCAAGTCTGAACATGCGTCATCGTGGTCTTGTATACTTGATAAAGTTGTTAGCAATACTCAGATCATCTGGAATGCTCGGTATTACCCAGTTTTTAAGCTAATTTGGTGCAAATAACTCGTGTTGAACGCTGACACCTTGCTTCATGGCGTTATCGAGAATGGCCTTGAAGTTCAAGCTTGCTTGAGAAATGTGATTATCGACGTAGCGCGGAATACTAGCTTCCTCGACGGCTCCAGCCCAGAATATCAAAACTCGCACGAGTTTACTGAACGCCGCTTTGTTCTCCTTTGGCGGATTGCTGCACCCTCTTGGAGGACTTACTGGGTTCGAGGTTGTTGGCCATTGTCTGCCAGTTGACCGCCAACCCGGGTATCTTGGTTGAGAACTTGGAGACCAAACAGGTTCAAGTCACCTGCCGGGACCAGGGTATTCGCCAGTCGTCCCCTTGCGTTGAATCTTCCGCTCGGCCTCTTCTGTACCGCATAGCCTCCTCGGGTTCCGGTGGATGTCTTAATGGCTCGGTTGAAGGTTCCCGGAGGTGCTGCAGGTCTGGTCGGTGGCGCTCTCGCTGGCTCTAGGTCCAGCCTGTCTGTCATGTTGATCGAGTGATAGTGGGCTGAGTGATCAAGTGGTGCTGTGGAGAAGAAGTCATGAGTTAGTTGAAGTTGGAGTAAGAGTATATATCAGCTAGTAAGCAGGTGAGATACATGAAGTTGACCAAGATCGCTCTAATTGAGAGGCGAGTTTACGAAGCTCAAGAGCCACAGTCGCCCCTAGGGAGCCAATGTGTAGCTACCTTTACCGTGCGACGCATCGTGAATGCGTGTTCGACGGGCGTATGTATGTATGGATGTTCGCAGCTTAGGTAGAAGAGCCAGGCGGTATTGAAGTGGGCGTACGCTCCGCGATGTGGTGGTATCAATGAGAGATCGTGGCGGTTGGCAATTAGTCGGCAGACGGTGTGATATATAACGAGCTTTGAAGGTACGGTCGGAGGGTATTAGGCGCCAATTAGAATGGAAAACATAACTAGTGAGTGCGCTTGGAGGATATCGATCTTGCCTGTAAGCTGAAGGTCAAGTCTACCTGAAAGTGGCCAGTCATCTATACTGGTTTCGAACACCACTTTCCCGATTTTTCTTACTGCATTGACATCATTACTACTCCACTATGCTTTAATATTCGAACGCTACTGCTGTTTTCAGTGCCAAAGCTTCCGTCCACTGCGACGGGCAACTCGGTGTTCAGTACCGCGGTGATAGGTACGATTACCATGTAAGGTGAATGAGATGGTGTCTATGGCTGACGATGTTGGGTCTTTCTGTGCGATGGCAATATGCATTGGCGACATGCGATGTCGCGCTCTAGGCGGCTGGCGTCGGGCGCCTGTCAACAGCACGTAGTCGTGACAACATTTCAGGGCTAGAGAACAAGGTTTAGAGACGAGGCGACGATGGATGGTCAGCCGCATAGCTCGACAGTTTTCGGATCGATCGTGGACGAAGATGCTTGATTGAGAGAGTTAGTGTTCGGTCTGGAGTCGCGCGGTCGATGTCGCACCTAGCGCCGGCTAATGGCGCGTTCCGCGCCTCAAACGCTGGCGTGGTCTGCCAAGCCTTGCACATCTTCGATCATGTCGCATTCTCTGTTGAGCCTCAATCCTTCATTCGCTCAAGCCTTGCTGCATCAACACATCATACTTGTCCTTAGTCCAAACTTCATGATTGCGCTGAACCTTGCCGCACATTATGTTTTCATTCGCTTACGGCCTCGGTACCCCCGTATTCACGGTTCATCAATTGGCGCATATGCCGCTTATTGTATGTGCATATTCGTGTCCAGCGCTTCGCTCTAGATGGCATTGTAGGCCTTGCGTGAGGTATCCACTTAATCCATGTTTATATTGAGAGAGTCGCTTGTGAGCACATGGCGGTGCATAGCCCGCCTCCCAAGGAAAGAGAGAGGACAGCTCCGGAAGAGCATTGGTTGTCATTAATGCATAGCCGACAATACTTATCTTGCTCTTCGCACCGGTCTGCCGTTGTCGTCTTGTGGAAGCACTATAAAAACACGTTCACAGTCGTACAGCAATTGGGCTACCGCTTCGCCAACGTTACCTATCCACTGGACAGTCATTGGTATCCAAAATCGAAATGTATTACGGTTTACTTATACACAGATTTCAATGGGCCTAGCATGAGAATGTTCATTTATGGCATCGATGAAGGCTCATCGCACCGGGGTAACCACACAACCTTGTAAGAGCACGCATGGAAGGATTTACGCTTGTCAGGATGCAGAAATCGTTGCGCCAATAAACGTTTTGTTGCAGCCTCCCGCCCCACGCTGCCAATCGCATGGGTAAGATGCGAGCTAGAGTAGTTCGTCTTGAGTTAGCAACTGTGGGGAACCTAGACTCAGCATGGCAGGCCTCCATGGTCTTGACGGGGTAGACGTACGATAGCGGTAAGTCATCTCTGCAATCTGAACGCCCCGTTCCGCACCCGATGGACCGGCGGGTACGTCGGTTTTCGCATTATTTGAAAAAGCGCCGTGCCCGTCTTGAGTCTATCTATCAAATTCATTCGGATTCACATCGCGGTCCTCATGATGTCCAGGAACAGCAATATCTACGCAACGACCAAGTATCTGGCTCAAGAACGGACCCAGAACACCAAGATCCCAGGCGGCAGTCGCTCAACAACACTATCTGGAGTCAAAGATGCCGACTTCGTTGCGATCGGCCTTGGAGGCACAAACATGCTGGCGATGCTGTGGGCCATAGCTATGGGCCGTCGCGCCGTTGGTGTCGATCTTCGCGGTGACCCATTTCTGGGGGTGCACTGGAACATTCGTGCGGACATGTACCATCAGCTAGGACTCATTGACAAGATGATGCTGGATCGTTACGGACTGGATAACCTACCAAAAAGACTGGACGGGTCGCTACTGAGCTTGGCCGATCTCTTCTACCACCCAATGACCAAGTCTCGGGACATCATACCAGGAGCTATCATCGAAGGATACGAGAAGGAGTTGCATATGGTCGGTGAAATTCACAACATTGAGTACATCGATGATCGGTGGAAGGATGGCAAACCGCATCGCACTGTTACCACTGTACCTCCGCCATGTATTCCCGAACACCCATGTCCGACCAAGATCCGAACCGATTTGCGGGAGGTTCTTGACGGTCCTTCCACATTCCAGGCCGCAGCTTTCTCCATCCAACTCCTTCTACGCCGTTATCTCGAAGCGCTAGAGAAGATTGATCTGAACGCTGGTAAGACGCCCAGATGTCGTCTTTTTACGAAACATCGGGTGGTGCAGGATGGAAGCGGCCTGGTTCATCTTCCCTGTGGCAGAGTTCAGATCCGAATCGAAGAAGTTACCGAAGTGCAATACCACAACGATCTTCAACGGATTCGCACACCGGGCAGCGATTTCATTGATCTTGGCGTTCCTGAGCTCTTCAGCATTGCAACAGGTATCAATTGCCGTGAAGCAGAACAACTGGGCTTCCAACAACACGATGTAGAAGTCGACCACGGTGATGGTCAAGGCGCCAAAGTTGCGCAGGCAGATTTCGTTGCCGGACAGTTTAACATCCTCGTCGATGGGCGCTTGCGCCGCCGCATCGCGTCTGAGTTTGATCAACACGGTAATGAATCCTGGGTACGACAAATCGCCGTTGGCCACGAAGGCGACCCAAGAGTATCCTGGCTCATCGTTGAGGTACCCGAGTTTGTCTCTCTATGCCCGGTAGAGCGCGGCCTGGTCAGCGTCGAGACCAGCAAAGACTCCGCGGAATACTTCGCAGCATACCAACTCCTCCTATACGATTACTACATCTCCCAAGCATCTCTCGTCCTCGAGATCTCACCCGACGAGCTCCGCCGTGTAGCCATGGTCTACGGCCCCAAACCCTTCAGCCTTGTCGAGCGCATCGGCACCGACGCACGCGTTGCCACAAACGGCATCGTAGCAGGCGACTCCTTCGGTAACGGTCACTTCCTCCACTCGGCAGGTGCCATGTGCGGTATGCTAGGCCACGGCTACCGTTTCCTAGAATACTGGCAACGTCGCGCTGCCTCACACTGCGCCGAATCTTCTATCCGCCTTCTTGCCGACCGTATCAAAGCTGATACTGAAGCGCTGCTGGAGGTTAGCGCGAAGGAGTTCAGCCAAGCAATCCCTAGCAACTTTGGTGCAGAGAGGGGGAAGAAAGTCGCGGCCGCTAGTGGGATTGCGGAGGGGAAGAGGGCGAAAGTTAGTGCAAAGAGGGAGAGGGGTAGGAGATGGGATCAGGCGCCGTTGAATCCGACGGATTGGAGGAGGGTATTTATGCGGAACGGGAGGACTTGGAGTGACAAGTTACCAAAGATCGATGAGAGGCATCCAGCTTCGAGGGTTGAGAAGGCTAGGCTTTGAGTTTGAGAGCATTTAACATATATAGCATGTCAGGGGTTTCTACACAGAGACGGATTTATTGAAATACAATTTGCCCAGCAAGGCCAAATGCTGACTTTTATTGTTATAATACGGGATCATCCTGGCTCCATGACTTGACCCCATTCGATTCTGAAAAGAGAGCTTCTCTCGGAGCGATCAGGGCTAGAAAAGTCACATGAGGTTGCAGCGGGAAATACCTCTTGCAATTTATCGAAAGCGATGCGCACTCTGCAAAACTCAGGATTCTTATCGCAGATAGAAATCTCCCATCCATCGTATCCTCCGTACCAATTGTAGGAGTCATTGGAGGGATCACGCTGCCACAAGATCCGGAATAGTTCTAGCTTCATAAGCCAATGTATCGCTTCGGGGAACGGCATGTCCAATTTCAATCTCCTATGTTCGTCAGACATGAAACTTCCAAGGCGACATTGGGTCCACCCAAGGCAGAACGCCCGTACAAGGCTTCGTAAGCATCCATGTTGCTGAGGCCATGCCGGAGGTCGAGCATGGATATCAGGATACAATAGCTTCGAAAAACCATAGGAATCAATATTTATATATCTCCCGTCGAATGCAAGCATTGGTCGGCGGATGCACGTTCGATTCCCTGTACGAGGCTTGGAGGGGTTAAATATGAGACTTCTTGTGACCAAAGCTGCGGAGCAAACACACAGCTCATGCCGGTGGTTTTCCAACACATGGAGAGCCAAATCTGTCCAGTGCATATCATAGTCGACTTCTAATCTGTCGGCTTCCTGACCGACTGCTAGTAAAGCGAAGACGCGATCATACGGCACCGAGCAATGTTTGTCGCGAAACCAGTATAGCAAGAACAGAAGACTTCGGTCGCTAACGAGGGCACGTAGGCTCTGAGTTCCACGACCAATGAATTGTTCGAAAGGCGTTTGCGAAATGTCGAGACCAAGCCGAAGAATCCTATTAGGAAACTCTGATAGCCGGAGTGTCGTCATGTCCAGGGACACGATAACGTTGCACGCAATAACGATCTCCTGTATAACCCACGCTCGGTTCCAATACTCGTTGTATAATACGTATCATCCAATTAACTGCATGTTCCCCTGTAGTCCGAGAGGTTCGCTACGCATGCTACTTTCTGAAGAATGTCTCGAGAGCAGCTTAGATACGCAACGAACTTCGGACGTTCTCCCAGGCCATACATGAACGCGTCGTGCGCTAGCGAATATATGGCCCATCTGGGCAATCTGGTGATTTCGTTCGGAACAATCGGATTGATTTATGCACAAGGCGTCGATCCAGTAATGTCTTGGTGTGACATCGGACCACCGAGGCTCAGTGCAAGCTAGATGTAGGAAGTCGTACAAATTCTGGCGGATGATGAACGATTCTCCATTCAAAAGTATGGTCTTCGATGTAGAACGATCTTCGTCTCCCCATCGGTACGACAAGCAGGTGTATTTGGTCTCGATAGTTTGATGTGATATTTTACATCTAACGAGCCCTCTCGCGGAAAGACCAGGCTTGATTCGTATGATCCTTATGGATGATCGCGTATGATCTAATGGTTCATGGTGAAAGGCTACAGTCCTGTTTGATGGATGTGAAGTCGTCATTGGCCCAGAGCGTTTGATTTGTCATTGTGCTCCAGGTCTTGGTAGATTCGATCTGGAACCACTGGTCAGTACGTTGCCTTTGTGAAGATCCAGCAAAATGTGCGCAAAGGGTGTGAGCAAGTAGCAGACAAAAAGGCTGAGAATGAATGAGTGCGGCCGAACGGGAGCGCACACCAAAGACGGACAACACTCTCAACTACGAGCCGATACTTGAGCAACGCAGAAGATACAACGGGCGGAGTGGCGCATTCGTAGCTAAGAAAATTAAGATGAAGACACCGAACATTGCGTACACGGATACCTAAAGCGCAGCTTAGAGTGATAAGTAGGCGGGGTGTCAGCTGCTTCGGCATTATGGCTGTGCCCCTGCATGTACATTGCGAACGTCATCGAGAAAACACTGTCAGCCTCGTTTCGTATATCAGCTTGGCAAGTAGTGGTTGGTACTTGACTTGGTATGCGTTGAAACAGAGGAGTGAAGATGGCTTCCCTGGAGAAAGAACTCCGGACATGGCTGCCAGGCTAATTTGACGCTATCACATGGCGGTCAGATCCTGTGCATTTCCCTGAGTGCGTACGCCATAAAGAAGGCATGTTGACTGTTGCATACAAGGGAACACTGTCTTTCGTACTGCATTCATGTCGTTCATTTCATACAACTACCCTAGATGATGGACTACTGCGTGATAACGCCATCCATCGAAAGCTCTTCGTCCAATCCAACGTAGTACCTGATCCAGTTGAAGATGGACTTGTGCCAAAGCAAACTGTTCTGCCTGTTGGTAACCCAATGACCCTCATCAGGGAAATGCAAGAACCGCGACGGTACGCCCAAACTCTGCAAGATGTTGAACGTCTGCAGTCCCTCAGCCTGCACAACACGGTAGTCCAGATCATTATGGATGATGAACTGCGGTGTGCTAGCATTAGCGAAATGCGCAAGGGGATCCCAGAGTTCGTAGTTGGCGCGTTCGTTCCAGACAGTGCCATTGTTGTCGCGTTGAATGAACCAGATCTCGTCGGTAGCGTAGGAACCAACCTGGTTGATCTTTCCGTCGTGGCAGACGAGGGCCTTGAACTCGCGGCCTAGGTCATGACCCTGAATCCAGTTCGTCATGTAGCAGCCGAATGATGCGCCGGCGGCGATGGCGCGATCAGTGTCGATGTAGTCGACGTTGTCGCGGAGATGCTCGAAAACCTTGACGAGATCGGTGTAGGGAGTTCCACCCCAGTTTGCTTGGATCTTGTCGGTGAAAGCTTGGCTGTACGATGGCGATCCGGTGAACTGTGTTGCAGTAACGACGAACCCCTGATCGGCCCAAAGTCTCAGATTCCATCGCACGCTCCAGTTGTCTCCCTGGGTAGATTGTGGGCCTCCATGGATGATGAACGCGAGAGGGTACTTCTTGCTCGGGTCGAAATCGGTGGGGTAGAAGACGAAGGTTTGGATGTCGTCGCCATCGTCGTTTGTGACCCAGAAGTTTGACACGGAGTCTGATGTGAGACCCTCGAGCTCAGGATCAACTTCGTTGGCAGTGAAGAGAATATGCTTGTCTTGACCGGGGTACTGCTTGTAGAACATGCGGCTAGTCCAGGAGGCGGCTGCGGACACGAAAGCGCTGCCGTCGGGAAGCACAGCAAAGTCGGAGAGGACAGTGTCAGGGCCGGTGAAGTTGACGGGTGTGAAGTCGGCTGGCGCGTCCTCGGGAACAAGCCAAAGACGTACAGAAGCGTGCAGCTCGGACGTGACCCAGAGGTCTACGTCATCTGGACTCCATTGAAGACCGGTTGGGCTGGAATCCCAGTCCTCAGCGACTGAGCGGACTTGACTGTTCATGCCATCAATCTCAGCAACGTAGAGCTTGTATTTGTCGGACTCGTAATCGATACCATCCTGTTGTGTGTAGGCCAGCTTGCTGCTGTCGTGCGACCAAACGGGGGCGCCCGATGCACCCTGTGCTGTCTCGGGGGCAGTGGTGCCAGGACCGTTTACCGGCACGGCGACCTCGGATCCATCAAATGGAACAACGTATATGTAGCTAGCGGTATAGTTCGCCTTAGGTAGATCAGGAGATTTGGTACGGAAAGCAACCATGCTGCCATCGGGAGACAGATCATAGTCAGCTGGGTCGCTCGAAGAGCCTTGGACGGGGCTCTCGGGGCGTGTGATGGTGTAGCTCATGCCAGAAAGCAAGTTCTTAAGCTCGCCTCCATAGCTGTAGGTTCCGTTGCCGCCGTTGAGAACTCCGCTGAAGACAGCGACGCGTTCGGCAGTGATGTAGTAATTCCAATGTCTTACAAAGTTGCTGTCATACAGCTGACCAAGGCTCTTTGGTGCAGTTACGAGCTCAGGGTTGTATGCGGTTCCATTGCTTTCGTAAGCAAGGCAGTTTCCAACAAAGTTGATGCCGGAGTCGGTCTTTACAGCCTTCAGTCCAGAAAGAGGAGCATGAAGCGATGCTACCAGTGTTGGCTCAAAAGAGTCACCACTAAGATCAGCAGTGTACAGCGTGACTCCTCCGGGAATATCCTCGTTCGTAGCGTTGAGGTAGAGGATGCTGTCCTCTGTGTCACCGACCCATACAACCTCCGCGGCGTCGCTTCCGAAAGGCGCTTTGGTGATGTTTCCAGTCTCGGTGTCAATGAAGTACCAAGAAGTGCTGGATTTCTCGGACGTCCAGTTGAATTTGGTTTCGGAGAACAAGGCACGATCCTATGCTGTTAGTGTGAAACTTAGGCGTTGGTACGAACACTCACTCCTTTAGGGCTGAGACTGCCGGTACTTCTGCGAGGCGCAGCTAGCATGCCCCTACGATGGTCAGAATCTTTGTGCGATATGATCACGTCGAACATACTCAACAGTGATGGCACTAGCAGACCCTAACAAGAGGCCTGCAGCCACGAGTGCCGTCTTCATCGCCATTTTCTCCTATAAAGTTCGAGATGATGGTAAAATCAGAAGTGCAGAAAGAACTTCTGGAGAGCCGTGTCGGATCATCATACTATTATATGTAATTCGGGCTCCCAGGCGGTGTCATAGCATGCGGAGCGGAGCATCACAATCGCTGCCAAGAGTTTGTATGTACGCACCTGCCTCATTAGCTGTGTGCCAAGGAAGCTTTCCACGGCTTAACCGACTTTTATTAAGCCGGAAGCTGGGCAGACGTTGGGCTTGTGCATTCTGGACGATGGTATCGCTGATAGGAGCGGGGTTACTCGTGATGCGCATGTTGTTTTTGCACGACCTGCCGGATGGAGCTTGACATGGGCGTGCGGCCTGATGAAAATCTGGGTGACAGGAACGCGAGGGAATGCCAAGGGGCAGGGTATTGTTACCCAGTTCAAAGGCTTACCAAAAGACTGTTACGATGTGCTATATTCCAGAAGATGAGTCCCACGATAGTGGCAGCTTGAGATGCGCAATGAATTAGAAGATGGCAATGTCTCTGGACAACGCGAGATGCTTAGCGCGCCAAGTGAAAGCGTTTCCACTGAACTTGCGAACGCGACAACATCCACGCCCGCTCCGTTGACAGCTAGTCAATGAAGACTTATCATGATCTTGCGTGTGCGCAGCAAGCAATGTGATGTAAGCTGCAACAATGTTCTCGGCCTCGGCAGCGAGGATGCTAGGGTTACTGATCATAGCGTCTTGCGTAGATTGCCGCATCGTTTTGAGGGAATACCTATGAATCATCCTGGATACACGTAGTCAACGCATCCCAAATTCTACAATTGTTCGACAAGTAAGACTCCTTGTCCGCAGAAGACGCATGGTGATTTGTATTGGTCAGGAGTGCTTGCGTCGTAAGATGACGTGTGGGGGAGGGGAAGCTAGTGTCAAATACAAACAGCAACAAAGACGACCACATAGTTTTGGGATACATGTTTGACATGGATAACCCGCGTTGGAGAATGAACCGAGGTCAGATATTGCAACTCAGTTGTGTGAAGCGCTTTCGCTCGCAAGGCTGGAGCACTAGACAAACCGGCGACACGTTCAACGGGTAGGACCCACAGTGCCGAAGTTACCAGAAGACTTGGTAAGGAACTCGCATTGTCGTGTGCGGATGCGATTTGCACGGGATGAAACCTGGATGGGATCGTCACCTGGGCATGGAGACGCTAAATTTAGTTTCCCGGCTGCGCCACTGCCCTAAGGCAAGACACCACGTTATTCAGGCGTCGCTCTCAACAAAAGACGGGCGGTTGCCCGCCTGAAGACGTTGGTTTGCAGTAATGCTTGACGATATTTGTTGTGATGCCGGGCAAAGTCCATCTTAATACAGGATCAAAATGAGGACACTCCCGCCAATACCGCTAGGGGAGTGGTGGATGTGGCACTTCCGCATTCTGAAGTTGATAAAAGTGTATTTGCGAGCCAATCATATGCGTGTCTTCTCCGTCCGCATCGCGATTAAACGTGACAGGCCCTACTCTCCTATACACAGAACTTCTAGCGGCATGACGATGACGTTGCGGCAACGCCTGGCGATAGTATGGGTGTTAACGCGATGGATGTCGCCCTGCTTCCCAGTCCATCCTCATCTTCACAGCCGTTGCGCACCTTCTCTGTGGCCCACCCTCGAGTCGAAACGGAAGGAGCGTGCTGTGCACCGTATACGAAGCTAGCGCCTTGCTGGTCGCGCTTTCTCTGGCCTGGCTTTCCTGATCCGCTGCACCCCACCGTAAACATTCGCCTCAGGAGTTTCACTACCAACGCTGCGGGTTACTCCAGCTTTCCAACCTCGCCCGCCTTCGATTCGTACACTCGCTATACGACGCCTTTTTATTACCCTCTTGTCCATGCATTGCCGCTGCTGATCACCCGGGCCCCGTCGCCCCTGCCAGCTCAGCGTCGTAGCTTCCTCTGACGCCTGTTTCACTCGCTGCAGGCTTACCCTCGCTGGCTGTAGTACTACTCCTCAGCTGTGCCCCAACGAGTTCCACGCCAGAATAATCCCACCCACACGCACCCATCACACTTTCGAGCCGCACACGAGACCTTCACATCGACCCACACACCCAAACCACGATAGAGCCAATCCACCTGCGACACAATCAGGACCATCGCATTGACAGGCAGACTGGAGGGTGAACATGAGGAGGGGGACGTCATAATGGCCGTCACCACCTCGCGCAATGACGCGCTACGGCTGTTTGATCATACTCAGCTCGAGATACCCTCCATACAACCCACACAGACGCCCCCACGATCGAGACGGAAATCATTTACATGGCCGACCCTGCGCGCATTCTCGCCCCTTCTCCTCATCCTCGCCATAGCCTCCTTCCTCCCGCTCGCAAGCGCCGTGTTCGTAAACTTCGAAGATTGCCTGACGCGGCTCTACCTGGCCGATGGCAAACAGACGCCCTACCTCCGCTTCACCCCCGAATATGTCTGGGCTGACTTCAGTCCGGATCATACATTGAACGTCACTGTGTATGGAAATGTCTCCGGCCAAGCCCAGGTTGGCCCCTACCCACCGTTGGACGACGACAACTGGAAAGACCCGAACATGACGTTTGGCAAGATCGTGGAACTTGCGCCAAATCACAAGCACTATACGACTCTATTCTGGAGCAATAGGGTCCTGTCCTACTCTGCATACACAGCTCCCCCCACCTCGTTCTGTAAATCCGTCCTCAACACGAGCTGCCCAGTGGCGCCTTCCTTTGGTGGCAACTTGAGCGAATTCTGGACCATGCCTGCTGTCAGTGTCGCTCACAAGTTTGACAGCTCGTATGCCTTCTCAACATGGGCTTCGACATTGCGTATCGTCTCTGGTGACGACAATGCCCAGGCTCTCGGCTGCATCTCTGCAAGCATCACACCAGACCTCGGCAAAACACTATCAGATGCGATATGCTATCTCCCGGCTGCCGTGCTCGCCCTCGTGGCCATCGCAACTGCCTTTGCGGCGACCTGCAGCCCGTGGGGAACCTCGGATATCTTCCGTTGGACCAGCAACTATGGTCGGGACGAAGATTTGTTGCGCTTGGTCACCCCAGGATTCGGAGACTGTCTGCAGTACATCCAGTTCATCGTCTTGGCAGGAAGTCTCAGCCTAAATTATCCTGGTTACTTCCAACCCACCATCAGCCAGGCTAGCTGGTCACTCCTTTTGTGGAACCAAAGCTTTGTTAGCCAAGGTAATGGATCTCAGAGTCTTGTTGACGGTATCTACTTCGTCAACGGAACCTACGGCTTGACTCGCCTCGGACAGTATGTCGGTATGACCAAAGAGCGTGACATATGGGCGTGCATGGCCATCTTCCTGCTCGTCCTCATCGCCTGTGTCGTTGTGCTCACCCAACTTGGCTTCTTCATACGATGGCTCTACCGTTGGCTGACCAACACACAGGACGGTGACTTGACTGGGAAGAACTTCGCCTTTACTGCTGGCAACATCATTCGCGTCGTCTTCAACTACTTCATGCTTCCCATCATAGCGCTTTCCTTGTTCCAGCTCGTAGTTGGCCCACGCTCCCCAGCCACTGTCGTCTCTACAGCCGTTATAATGCTGATTGTCGTCGCTGGAGTAGCTACCTGGATCTTCTGGTTCATCTTCACCACGCGCCCTCGCGCCCACTTGTTCGACGATCTTCCCACCGTCTTGACTTATGGACCACTCTACAACACGTACTCCGATGATGCCGCACCCTTTTCTTTTATTCCCGTCTTGCTCACCATTATCCGTGGTATTGCTATCGGTGCTATCCAGCCTTCCGGCATTGCCCAGATCATCATACTTGCTATATGCGAAGTAATCCTAATTCTCACTCTACACGCTTTCCGCCCTTTTCAGTCAAACACTTCGATGAATGCCTACCACACCTTCTTCTCGACCGTGCGACTTATCTGCGTCCTTCTCTCGGTAGCGTTTGTACCGACCCTTGATGTGGATGAAGCACCAAAAGGCTGGATTGGGTACATCATCCTGTTACTTCATGCCATCGTCTTGATATTTGGCTTTTTTCTCAACGCTCTCCAAACAATCATCGAGGTTTCTGCCCGACTTACTGGTGCAGGTGCGGATACGCGAGGTGGCCTCACTAAGGTCTTTGGAAAACGGCAATTGTCGAAACGCAACGGCCGCCGACAGACTCGCGGCAGCCTCAACTCAAATGCCGCCATGTTATCACATGACGAGAACAAGAACATACAGCTCATGAACAGTCGATCTCGGAGTCTGTCTGCCAGTTCAGCTGTTCTTCTGAACGGTCCATATGACCGAGATAGCCAACGCGCAAGTGTTGGATTTGATGGCTTCAGTCAGGGTGACTACGGAAATGTCAGCCCAACTCCTGGATCAGGCACGGTACCTTTCACATTCTTGGGCGGGTCATCGGGCTCAAGCTCTCGGCGACCGACGATGGGCACTATGGACGCTGCGGATCCTTATTATCGGCCTCCAAGACCTCGTAAACATACCATGGACTCCATCACCGCTCCTGCACCAGGGAAAGGACCTTTGGGAAGTGCAGACATCGTGGATACTCCATACTCGGACAATGTGGATATGGAAGCTATCAAAGCAGGCGAAGGTCCGTCTCGTGGCTCCGGAACACCCGCCCCAGCCTATCTGCGGCTGAACCGAGACGACTCCGATCCCAACCTAGACAGACGGAACAACAACACCGACTACTCTGTACGCGAGTCGGACTTTTACTATGGACTCCGCGGCCCCGCTCTGTCTTCTCAACCTACGCGAAAGTTGAAGACGGGACCAGCCGATCCCATGAGCCCTGTATCATCGGCTACTGGCTGGTTCAAGAGCTTGAACTTATTAGGTGGTCGGAAGAAGGAAAAGAGCAAAGGTTTCGAAGTGGTTAGAAGTACGCGTATGCCGCCGCAAATGATGGCGGTCGAAGAAGACGTCGAATCACCAGAAGTCGTGCAGGAGCCATACCGTGACAGTCCTGAGTCGCCTCAGCGAACTCGGAATGTATCTGGAGGATCGGGCGTAGCAACAGCGGCCGCTTTGGCTGGTGAGAGACAGGAGTCTTCCGATAGCGACTCCGACACGAGTGACGAGGAACGAGACTACGACCCCATAAACCGCGTTTCGCCCACTGCACCGGCTCTGGGACCTATTGAGAGTTTTGGTGGAATCGAGCTGCCCAGTAGAATTGGGTCGCGTGCCTCCCGTGTCACACAAGCAACGGGGCCTCCAAGCCGTGTACCATCAATACCGAGGAAAAACTCTAGGCGTACAAAGTCGACTGAAGCCGCCCTTTTCCCAGATCGATTATCTACAGTTATGGACGTGCCAACGTCAGAAAGTCCAATGTATCAGTCAACCAGCCAAAGACGGAGTCAGCACTTGCAACCAGGTGGACCTGGCGGACTACCTATTCGCCTACCTTTTGGATCTACTGAGCCTTCCCCAGAGCGTTCGCCCGGACCATCGGCAGCGTCAAGTATATATCGCAATGACGGTACCAGTGAGCTGAATGCACCGACGCCAATCGGCGGAACGTCCGAGCGGCCTCTCAGCACTGGGACGGTCCAGCATCATGTGACGAAGGACAGTGTTCAACGTGACGTGTACGATGCGGGAAGCCACCTCGAAGCCTCGGCAGAGATTGTAGATCGGAGTCGCAGTGGCAGCACACAGCACAGTGGACGCAGCTATAAGCGATGAGGTCATTTCATTTAGAATTTTTTTTTTTTGCGCATATCATCTTGGGACTGATATGTCCTATTTGTAATCTCGGTTTTGGCGCAGCACGCGCACTTACGAGTCTTATTACTGTACAGTTGTTCAAAAGCGATTTTGATGGCGTTTCTTTGGAAGACGTGAACCATTGGCTCTTCAGAGCGTAGATGTGGGCACTATATACTATATTGAACTTTCATATACACAAGCGGGATGGAGGACGCTGGCACTGCTAGCACGTACAATAGTAATCTTAGTCAATTCGACACTAGCCATACAAGTCCATGCGAAGCTTTTGACACGTGAAGAGGGTTGGCAGGATGCTTCGGTCATTCGTTGTTCCTTGATGAGGCTAAGGCAAGCGTGGCGGCGCAGATGGTCGCGTGAATCCGCTAAGATAACGGCGATAGTAACGCCTGAGGCATGCAATCACGACGAAGCTCACGAAACCCTCGAGGCTAGGTGTTTCTCTTCGTTAACCTGTGTTACGTTTCACGTCACCTGTTTCCTCTGGTCCGCCTTCGCTCCTCCCTGACAACCTGGACCTTGTATTATCACGAGCGGCGCAGAGAGTGGTTGGAGTTCCCCTCGCCGAGCCGACACGCGCAGGACCCACCCACCTCCGGCCTCTACACCGTAACGCAACGCTGCGCAACTGATAGGTGAGTAAGAGATACTCCATGTGTGGCCACGTGCTGATTGGAACGAGCAACGCTATTCACTGTTGCATTACTAACTCCCCTGCGAGACGTAGAAGCACAAGGAAGTGGCGGCATGTTGCCGTGAGCCGGCCGACCTTCTCTACGAAGACCACCCCTCCCGTTCACGTCACATAAGCAGAGGCTCACTTGCCTGTGATTTTGGCGTAGTCAAGAGAGCTTGAATCACTCTCCGCCTTTGGTCGCGTCGATCCGTTATAAGACCTCCCAAATGCCTCCGAACGCCAACCAACGCCCGAGCGGTCCTTTCACCCACAACTCACACGCATACGGCGGTCAATATGACGGAGCGAGCAGCAGTGTAGACGGAACTCGGGAGGCTGTTATAGGGAGTAACTCGAGACATCATTCACAGGGAGTCGTTGCGTCACATTTCCTGGCACAAGACCGCGAAACGTGGATGGACTTCCTGAGAGACGGTACCGAGACCACAGGCAACCACCAACCACCGTCTGGCAATTTCAACCCCACTGCAACCCCCGACACCCGCTCAAACCCTTCTTCCTCACGATATACACTCCCAAATCGTCCCTCACAACGTACCGATTCGTCGTCTTCCCGCAGCTCCGACCGCAAAAGACGCCTAACAACTGCCGACTCGCCTATGAGACGACCATCGAGCATACGCATGCACTCTGAGAACGCAGGGGATTCGAGTACGGATCCGATCGTGTTGGACTCGTCACCTGCTTCGAATAGACCGCTACCACCCACCCCAACCATGGGGGTCACATCACAAGCGAATACAGGGACAACGAGGCAGAGTGATATCGTATTGCCACCATGGCAGCCGGACAGCGAGGTCTCGCAGTGTCCGGTGTGCAAGAAGCCCTTTACATTTCTACTGAGGAGACATCACTGCAGGTACGCACCAACAACTCCCTGCCTTCTCAGCTATGTCCGGCATGGGACGCCTTCGTCTGAAATGCTTCAGCCGCAACGGAATGTGCGGTTCCATCTCTTTTGAATAGCTTGCTGACTACAAGAACAGGAAATGTGGAAGAGTCGTGTGCGCTTCATGCTCGCCACACCGCATTACCATCCCACGCCAATTCATTGTGCATCCGCCGTCTGAAAGTACGGCAAACTTCATCGATCTGACAGGAGACGATGAGAACGCCATGTCGCCTTTCGGCCCGTTCCGCAACCCAGCGCTAGGCGGAGGCGAGGAAGTCCGCGTTTGCAACCCTTGTGTACCTGACCCAAACTTTAGTCCACCGCCACGATACGACTCACTCGGTCATGGGTCCCGGCCGTTCCCTCCCCGGTCTTCACAGGTCCTACCCCCACCGCCGCCACATCCCCGTGCACACAGATCATCTTCAAGCGTACATGATACTTCGCGCTTTGCGGGACAAGGGCAGACACATAATTCACGTGACCCCTCAAATGAGAGCAACCAAAGTAGAAGAGTAAGCTATCATGGTAGTTCGAACATTGGAGAGCGACGACTACCACCTCTTCCACCATCTGCCATCCAACAACAGCACCCGCACCACCGCGCCCCCCTCATCTCCCAAACCATAGCCAACAACCGCGCCCGGCAAGCACAAAACCACGTAAACTTCGGCTACGGATCTTTCTCGGGAGCAATTCCCTTCGCACAATCGACCTCAACTCCTGTGCCTCCTCCTCTCCAACCCCAACATGCACAACGTCCGCGTCCCCGCCGCCAAATCCCTGAAGAAGACGAATGTCCCATATGCGGCGAGGAACTCCCACCAAAAGGACCTGATAACGATGATTCAGACCGTACCCAGCATATCGAAGAATGTATCGCCCTTCACTCTGCTTCGCCGGGTCCCACAGCAGCTCTCACACGACAAACTTCCGCTAGTCTACCGACTCAGCGTACGAGAGGTATGAGCAGTGCAGGTGCGGGTAATTCAGGGAACGGCGAGGGAGCGAGTAATCTGCAGAGTCGAATGAGTCATGCGGCAAGGGGCATGTTCCCTTATGTTGCGACGGAGAAGGATTGTCAAGATGAGGAGGGGAGGGTGGCCGAGTGTACGATTTGTCTCGAGGATTTTGAGAGCGGGGATAAGATGGCTAGGTTGGTTTGTTGGTGTAAGTTTCATGAGGTATGTATAACATTGTTGCCCGGGAGTCGAGGATATGTGTGCTAATATGTGAGTAGACTTGTATCAAGGAGTGGTGGGATAAGAAAGGACGAGGAGCTTGTCCTACGCATCAGTTGCAGGAGTAGTTCATGATTCGGGGTACGGATAATCGCGCCTTGGGCTACTTCCTGGAGCCGGCATGGGTCCTTTGGTCATGTGGAAAACATCCTGCTTTTGAATATCGCAGCGGTAGACGCGTTTGACGTACCGCAAGCTTTTGGGGTGGATTCTGATCATTGGCGTTTTGTGGTATACCCCCTCATCATTCTTTATCATTATGATTATCATCCTCAGCATTGGGTATTCGCGCATCTAGGGGTTTACTCCTCTTTTCCAAACGGCAGGATACATCAACATGGCATAGCAATATTACTACACTCATCGTACTCACGTCGTTGCTATTTTATGATTAACAACGATTCAGATCTTCATCTACTGTTGGGGTTTTCTCTTGTCTTGACGCCGCTGGTAGTTCCCGGCTTGTTGATCAAGCTGCGATGCATCATTGTTAGTCTTTGTTGCATGAAAATTGTTGGTGTTATTTCAGTATCGCATGTTAAGTTATGAGGGGTTTTCGAATCAGCGAGGAGCTACAGTTGTAGGTGTAGGCTCTTGGTAATTTTTGGAGTTCTGTTGTAGCCGCTTTTCCATCATATTTCAGTTCGTTGGGAACGTTGAACTGCTATGCTATATGGTGGTAGTCCACGTTATGAGTTCCTTGCGTCATCTCTATCGCGATTTGCTGTGCGCGCCAGGTTAGGCTAGAAGTGGATCTCAGTGCTAGCCCGCGGGCGGGTCGGGCGGATCATCCACTATTCCGCTTGGAAAGGCTGGCGCGGCATCCCGCTTCACGGTGTAACGTTTCGACTCGCCACTAGACATCGGAGCACCCTGAATAGTACCCAACTCCCATTTTTCTACGCTGGGTCAGTGCGCTCTGCAGTATCGTTGCGATGAGACCGTACGATCATGAATCACCCACACTCTGTCCTGATCTTTGTACGCGTTTTGACGCGTGGCCTGAGATGGTGTTTGTGGGCGCGTCATTTTCGTGATCTCATCTGTATAGTTTGGTCTTTTGTTCCCTCAACTGAGTGGAAATGTTTTACTCGGATACTGGTATGGTAAAAGAACGGATGCACTTCTTGTGTCATTATAAGTGTTCAGATTGAGCTGTTGTCACAAGCCATGCACTGTACAACTCGGATATGCAGCCGTCAGCGTGGCTAATTACTGGTTGGACCAGATCGATCGAGTTCGCGCCGGTCAAAAAACGCCTGCAGCAAGTCAGCGACGTCCCGTAATGCCATCTTTTGCCTACAGTAGCCTCGCAGGCGAAGAGGCGTACAAAATGCGCCACTTTTGCTTTACCGCGCTTACCTGTTTTCCGCACATAACCAAGAGTCCTTCAGCCTGGTGCAAGATGAAGCATCGCTACTTTAACGTTAATCCGCCTGTCCATGACCCACGGGCGCTACAACCCACAATATGGACCCTGTATCCACGATAGCGAGTGTCATCACTCTTGTAGGCGCGACTGGCGGCACGATAAAAGTCATCCACGACACGATAACTTCAATCAAGGACGCCCCTAAAGACATCCGACGACAATGCAAGCGTCTTGAGTGTCTATGCGTAACGCTCAATAGCATAGTGCGCACATGCCAGCATCTTCCTGATGATTGCCAGGTGGACATTGATCTATGTGGTATAGAAGAGTTTATCGAGGAGGCCCAAGTACTGGAAGCCAACCTCAGTGATAGGAGGACTCGAGTAGCCGGCAGAAATATTGCAAAGCTTCACGAGAGCTGCAAATGGCTCTTGTTCGATCGGCAGCTCAAGCGATTTTTCGAGTCTCTTGACCAATGGGATTCCGTTCTTCCCCAAGCTCTCCTGGTCGTTCAAATGTCAGTTGCCATCTCATCTATTCGATATTCATATCACATGCTTACAAGAACACAGTGCGCTATCGAATCGGATCTTAACACACACGTCGTCGTTGATAAGCCTATCACACTTCACCCTACCTACTCCAGCAATCGCTCCGCAGACCTCGATCGTACCTCACTACGACACACAAAGTCAAACAGCAATTTCCACACAGACTCTGTCGACTTCGATACGAACTTCATACCTGAATGAAAGGCAGTTGGCCTCTTTGGCAAAGGTGGCTGAACCTATCGGGGTAATGATGAATTACCAGTATCAAAGGCAATTTTCCGGTTTTGACCTCGCCCTGCATGGAGGTAGGGTGATAATGAAAGCTGGTCGCGTTCCGGAAGCGAGAGTTACACAACTTTGTCCGACTCGGAAGGCCAACATGTTTCGTTGATTGTGGCTATTCCATGCATCACTACACGGCGCTTAAAGGTGAGCGTCGTCGGCTGTCGAACGCGATCTTGCGGTTTGACCTTGAATTTTCGCTGGAATGTTCGACACCATAGAATCCTTCCGCATGTTCATCCTTGTTTTATAGCTATTGAGAGGGGTGATATAGGATATCTGCAACAACAATTGTCATCCAAAGAGTTATACCTATCGGACTGTTCCGATGGAGGATATAGCTTGCTGCACGTAAGCATGACGTTTGAGATGGGAAAAGAGAACACACTGACAAGAGACATTATAGTTTGCCGTGGGCTACAACAGGCCCGCCATTGTTTCGATGTTGATCAATGAGGGTCTTGAAGCCGATGTGCGAAACGATTGTGGCCAGTAGGTGCTCTCACATTATCAATTCACCCAATACTGATTTTCAGTAGGACACCGCTCCATGTAGCTGTTCAACAGGACAGAGACTTCGAGTGTGCTCGCTTACTACTGAAACATGGCGCAGACGCATTCCAACAGGATGCCCAAGGTCGGAGTGCATTGCACTACTTCTACAACGAAGTGGTGCGGCAGCTTCTACTGTACTACGCTGATGAAATTGATCCTTGGATGCAAGACCAGCAAGGCCGACTATACTGCATTGGGCATCTTGGAGTAGTAGATCCTCACATGAAGTCCTGACTTGCTTCCCAAATAAGGGAGGGGAGCCATCATACTATGACGGGAAAGATGTATACGGGAAATCTATGCTACACTACGCCGTACAAAGAGGTAACACAGACCTCATCGCCTCCCTCCTCGCTAGTCCTAATGCGGCGACCTTGTCAATGCCAGACTTTTCCGGAAGAACATTACTTCACTACGCTACGGAGAGTAGCCGACCGGATACGATCAACATGATGCTCGAGAGAGGTATTGATCTCGACGTGATCGATAATCAGGGCCGCATGGTACTCCATCAAGCAGCCATGCGCGGCAACCTTGCCGCTACTCGACATCTCATAGAGATAGGCGCAGCCCATCAGTTAAGCTACAAAGACCGAAATGACCATACTCCCGTAGATCTAGCATGCCAATATGCCTCAGAAACGGTCCGAGACTACTTCGAATCACTCGGCCATTCAGGTCCTGATGACGGGAAACAAAGCGCATGCTTATCATCCGAGAAGCACACTTTCAGCGAAAGGACTACGGGTGCAAGTTGGAAGATAGCTATACTCCTGCTTCTGGTACTGGGGATAATGTACTGGAGTAAGCTTGCGCGTGTGCTAGATGGAGAACAGACGTGGTTGAACCACGAACATGGAATGGCACGGGATATTCGTAGCCTGATAGCGAAGCCGAGAAGGTTGTGCTTTCATGGATCTTGACACCAGTACTCAAAATCTTATCTTTGACGCTCCTTCGAAAATTTAGTCGATACGCATTTGATCAATATGATTGCATTATAGGCCATTGCTGGAGCTTTCCTGGATCAAAGAAGAGTTTGGGAGCTACGCTCATGCGTTCGTGGCATCGCATTACATTGACTTTCTCCTTTGTTTCGGATGGGGTAATATATAACTACATGACATAATGATATTACTACACTACGAGCCTATCTATCTTCGATTTTATCGATCAATTGGTGATCTCCATGATCTGGTCGCAATTTCAGCTACCTTGCTTGGATGATCAATAGAAAACAAAATGGAACTGTGGCATGTTACATCTATCATATCGAGCTATAGTGGGCAGTTGATTATGTCAATAAGCTTGCAGCATTTCTCACATCGCTGTCCTGCAGCAGCGGTTTCCGAAAGAAGCCGCGAATTAGCATGTAAGTTCGAATTGCCCCAACCTAAACGTGCAGACGGTTACTCAAGCTCTTTTGTGCCTGCGCTCGAAGCCCGTGTGCATGGTCTCTGCCATCTATCGTCCCATGAGCGCATCACCTCCCGTTTATACCAGTTCCAGATGTAGACAAGAGACACTCGAAATAGTCACCGGAATCATCCTGTAACCAGCTAAAACCATCATCGATCTGGCCACATATGTACTGCCGCGCGAACGATCCATCTGCGATGGAACCCCACTTATCAGTAAAACCACGTTCGTAGCTGAAACCTTCATCAAGCTTGCCCAAAATGTTGTTCGAGGATGTTTCGATTGTGGTGGGTGTCCACTGAGGTCGTTCTTCCGGGCAGCTATGGCCACGCGGCTTCGTCCAACAGGTAAAATCCCGGAGCAATCCGCAATAGTCTTCGAACTCGTGTTCGAAATAGGATTCAGCAAAACTAAACTCTAGATATGGTCCATCGGAAGCCATAACAGCTAAGTCGTCCCACGATAGTTAGTCGATTTCAAGGCGCAAAATCCTCAAGATATTTGTGGTGGTGCATACACACACATTAATGTTGAAGACAGACAGTATTTGATACACAAACTGAAACACCAGAAATTCGTAATCGACCTGTATGAGACCTTTCTCAGAACATATAGATGCCAAAGAGAAAACCCGGTCCCTCGCAACGCTGCACTTGTTATTGCGCAGATCGAACAGAAGCATAGCCGAAGGCTGATTCATGATCCCATCGAAATGGATGTCTTTATCATAGCACCGAAACAATCTGGATGCATCCGACGAGTACGAAGGGCTAGCTAGACAGCACTGGTCTAATGTGTGAGCCATAGAACCATGCCTGATGCTAATTCGTCGCGCAAGTACAAGCTCCTGAGTAATCCATGCCCGAGACCAATACTCGTTGCAGGCGATACATGTCCAATACATCGTCTCTATGGTAGAATAAATAGGAGGAGCGGAGTATTGGTATGCTGGATGTAGGGATGGCTGGGTTGATATAGGCCCAAGCCAAGCGACAACAAGTTGGGCTTTTGCGTAAATCGATCCCATCTGGGTGACTTGGTGGTTGCGTTCAGCTGCGTTGATCTGATCAATGCAAAGAGCATCGATCCAGTAATGAGAATTCTGAAGCTCAGGATCAGTGCCAACCACATCTAGGAATTCGAATAGATTTGGCTGCACGTAGAAACGTCGTCCATTTATTAGGATGAGCTGTTTGGGGTCAGGTTGACCCCATGTATATGACAAGCAAGTGCAAAGCGCATGAGTTGTCGTGTGGTGCATCGAACACTGGATGAGGCCTTCAGGTCACAGTATTTTCGAGACCGTCACAAGACGTATGGAAGGCTCGGAATGGTCAAGAGGTACATGTTTGAAGGGATCCTTGGAAGGCGTTTGTGCTGGGGCGCAGGCTGACGAGGTCGAAGGAGTTAGTTGCGGGATCGCGTTGTCTGTGAAAACATTCACCGGCGGAAATGGAATGGGATTCGCCATAAGTTTGGAGTAGAATTGGTGTAGTCGGAGCAGCAATTGCGAAGGGAAAGTGAGTGGTGATCTGCAGGGTGGCTGCCTTCGCTTCGACGTGCCATTACAGGGCTAGAGCGGGGTATGTTATCAGCTGAGGCAGCCATCGTAGGTGCAGCATCTTCAGCCTTGCATACAAGATCTCGCTCGCTGCGTTGAAGATGTTGATTGCTCGCGATAGCAACATGTATGTGTATACTGTACATGTAAGAAGCAAGAATTGAACCCAAACCTCTTCTGTTTGTGCTCAAATATTAATGCATTAGTTGCGATTGCTCTGACTAACACTAGCTATAGGTTCATCAATCATTGACGCCATTTTACTAGCAGCCGCGTATCAGCTGGCCGTTTCCGCACTTGGGCATGGTAGTTGAACTTGAGTTGTGCCTGGTATCGGTGAAGACAGTGGCGGCCTAGATAGGAAGTGACATGTATCATTTGTTCATTTGTTCATTTGTTCATTCGATAATCGCATTCGACATAGGAATCCAGTAATACCATCTGATAAATGAGGTCAGAGTATCATAGAAGGGATACGTTTTGTGTTTAAGCTTTGCTGTTCCCGTATAGTGCGGCAGTGCTAAAAGGAGCGGGATAATCAGCCCCCACAAGCGCAGCATCCTCAGCCGCAGCGTCGACGTCACATTGAACCCAGCAACATGATTGACTCGTTGAGAGGGTGCGCCGAATCTGCGGAGTCCGGTCGACAAGCCAGCATGCATGAAAAAGGGGTGAACGCGGCGCTAAATCGCGCCTTCCTTCTTGTTAGCATCCGGTCAAGACCAGGCGTTCACCGGTCGAAGTCCTCCGCCTCAGCCTCAAATCCGGGCCCACCATATATACCAACGCATATGAGACTACAATCCTGGTATTCGGAATGGACGTATCCAAAGATCCCGTGATCATGACTGAATTACCACCACAGAGCCCGCAAGACACTGGTTTAAAGCCTGCTGATGCCTGCCCACGGTTCAAGGACAAGCCCTATCTGCAATGTCTCGAAACCCTCGAAGACTCATTTCCAGCACTCAAATCATTCTTGGAAAAGCTTGCCAATGAGGAAGAGCCAGGCCGCAAGGTGGTCAACCAACATTACCTTGCGAAACATGGACGAACACCGGGACGATGCTATTGCCTGAAGTTCGATGATAAAAGTGACTCTGTGGTAGACGAAGGCGTCTTCGAGAGCGCATCCGCGCTGAGAACATATCTTGTTAAGAAACCTGCCACGAAGAGCCGCGAGGGAAAGCACAGACGCCTGTTCATACTGGAAGATATGGAACCCGACTATGTGGACGCGCTGGGTCACCACCTGGGTGTGGATCCCCTGGTTTTTAGCGAGCAAATGAATACCTGGAACTTCACTGATTCTTGGTCCATCCCTCATAGAGGGCTACCGTCGATGTCGATACCAGGACAGTCGTTCACATTACGCTACTACGAACTGCGGACTTTGCTCGATCCCAAGTCGGTCGACGTCCTCAGCTTACAAACGTCACTCGCGGTCAACCGACGTAGGTACGAAAGGTGGAGAGATATCGATATACCTTCGTTGGGCAAACCTGACCGAAGGCATGCATTTGTGAGACGTTGCGCATCATTCTGGACATCACAGAACTCGTTGCCGGATGGAACACCAGATGGTCTGGGGTGGGATGGTGAGTTTTCTAGATCAGCTTCAACCCATAACTCATACTAATAGACGCAACTGTAGCTGTCATTCTCGTGGATCCTGCATTTGCTCACCCCTGCGAGGCGCCGCCGACAAGGCCAGCTAATGGCTCAACGACGGCAGGTACAGCAGAAACAGATGTTGCGAAGTTCAATGGCATCAAACTGGATCCAATTACGCTCAAGACTCTGGACGATTGTTTGATTCTGCAAGCCAAGAAGCCGTTCAAAAGCAGATCAGCACTTTGGAGAGCACAAGACTGGGGCGTAACTCATCCACTCCGGGGAACGCCACATCGAAGCTGGCCATATCACAACGGGTGTTCCACATTAGCTCCTTTGATGTTCTCCGAAATCGGCATGGGAGCAAAGGAGGCGAATATCAGCATTTTCCAGAACAGGCGGAATCTTACTAGCGCAATGGATGAGATGGTGTTTTACTGGACGAAGCTCGCCACCCCGGACCTAATTAAGGAGACGAACAGAAAGTCGTCCAACGCTGCGTTTTACCTCCTTAAACACGTTGCACAACACTGGGTAAACCAGCTGGAGCTGATGAATACCACTATTGCCAAAGCCGAATGGTTCTCCGACGACTATCAAGCCCAGATCGATGACAACTTGAGTAGGCAAAAATGGAAGAACGACTTACTCAAGATAAATGAAATTGCAAAAGATATCAACTACATGCGCCGCCACCTGAACCACTTCTGGCGCGCCATGTACCTCAATCTTGAACGTTTGGGTGTCCAACTAGGTTCCGAAGGTGTCGACGAAAAGGCGTCTTTGGCTCTTCAGGGTGCGCAAAAAGATTTCATCACCATCCACACGAGGATGCAGCCGTTGCGCGATCGTGCGGAAGCTCTGAACTCTGTCTCAAACGACCTTGCTAATCTTCGAGCGGCGTTCAGAGGCGTCGCAGACGGCGAGTTCAGTCTCCGCCTCAGCTTGTTCGCTTCCGTTGTCTTCCCGCTCACCCTGCTTGCCGGTATTTTCAGTATGGGCGATGATTTTCTCCCTGGAAAGCCACAATTCTGGAAGCTCTGGGCTATTGGCTTGCCAATTTGCGTGACGGTCGCGCTTGGGCTTGTTTACGGGAAACGACCATGGGCAGTGGGTATCGATATATTTGATTATACAAGATCGTGGCTCAAGCATTTTGGGCTGTCGGAATCCAAGAATGACAAAGCCGCGCAAAAACAGGCCAAAAATACTGTGAAAGCGCACAAAACTAAGGATTCTTTGCCAGTTGAGAAAGAAGTGTTGAAGAAAAGGACGATTCGGAGGAATCGTGACGAAGAGCATGGTGATACTGAATGAGCAAAGAGCGGATAGATCGAAGGTGCGAGGTTGAGTATGGTCATGAGCCGAAGTAGCGCACGGGTCTATCACCCTACTCTTGCATTACCGCAAGAATCGCCTCAAGCTGCTCTCTCTTCCATCTTTGCGATATACTAGCATGTGTATCATTCTCCACTCTCAGGATTACCCTTCCATCATCACCGCCTAGCCTCTCTGCAATCTGTACACCATGATTGGCAGGCACGAACCAGTCGTCCTTGCCGTACCATAACTGCACCGGCAAGTGTTTCTGGATATCCTCAACCCGGAATCCCCAGTCCCGGCACATCACTTTCCCATCCAAAGCTATGCCATCGAAACCTTGCGCTCTCGCTTCGCGGGTTGATCGCAATACTAGGCGAATGAAGTCTTCATCCCCCATAAACTCGCGATCCCTTGGATGTTTGAAAGTAGCGAGGTTTGAGGGAGACAGCGCACGCTGAAGACGCTGCTCGTCGGTCAAGTCCATTCGTCCGAAAGCATCGCGGCTGAAGAACCATTTTAAGAGGGATATGGGAGCGTACTTCCATCCATATGGAAAGCCAAGCTGGTGCATGAAGTCCGCTCCTTTCATGCCAATGTCTGGTGGACCGAGTCCGCAAACGACAGATATGCATTTCAGCTTCGAAGAAGGCAGTGATGCTGCGCAAGCCAACACGTATGGGCCGCCTCCCGACACTCCTAGTATTGAATAGCTCTCGAGCCTCAGATGTTCGACCAGACTTTCTAGATCCTTTGGGCAGTCTAGTAATGTTCGTTGAGGATATGGTGTGCTCAAGCCGATACCAGGTCTATCAACTGCTATTATCCTTAAACCCAGCTCGAGGCCAAGATCGTGGTAGACAGCTGCTTCGAGGCGGGTTCCTGGAAGTCCGTGGTGGTAGAAGATGGCATGGCCAGTAGGTGAGCCGTACTGTGCGTAGCCCAACTTGCAGCCATTGGGAAGAGTGAGGGTGTATGAACTATCGTTGCCTAAGGGATAGCGACATTCCCGGGGCCCTTCTAGTCGGGTTATATATCCTTCCTGTTCGGTCGTATTCATGGTTGGTGATTCGACTGTGTGACATTCAAATGTCAAGGTGGCAAATAAGTACTGTGAGATTTGGCGTTTAGAATGCGAGTTCCATCACAGATGTCTGCCTCAAGTAGGATTTCCATCACGATATATCATGTTTTTATAATCGCTTTGTATGATGAGAAGAAGGTTTGTCGGTTTTATCGGATAGCCGACTAACAGCGTCCAATGTTCTGCTTACTCCGGTTCCTCCCGCGTTGTCATCGTTGAAACTAGGCAACAGCATGACTTGCCAAAACAGTCTCAGTGGACTATGAATGGGCTATCTTCTTCATTGCCCATCGAGCATTCGGCTTCGTCCTTGTGCCGAGACTGATTGATTATAGACTTTCGGAATAATCCGTCTCGCCTCGTTGTCAGCGCATGCGACGTGGTCTCCGTCCATAGTGTCAAAAGCGCCAGAAGCTGAGCTAAGGGTGCGTTGGCTTCTTGAGACAACTTCACATTTAGGATCGCAGTTATAAATCTCGCACATGTAGCCAGAGGCCACTTCCTCGTTCTCGGCGTCGTCATGAATGATTTACTCAAACTTTGTATTCACCTCTTGCACATCCAGGGATGGAGTCATTTATCAACACAAAACAACTACGGCGTGGGGTATATTTCAATGAACAGATCATGCGTTTCCCAATTCAGTCCCTCTACAGCGATATACAAACATGGTCAGCCTAGACTTTCATCCGTATACTAGATGCAGCACCGCCTGATTGCCAGAAAGCTTGGCTACAACAGCTGATTAGGCACATGTAACCTATGCAGCCATCAGGTAATGTTGGCAAAAAAGGTCTTGAGGGCTCAACGCAGTGTCACTTTGCTGCTTCCGCTGCGACATAACGCACACCGGTCAGTACAAGATAAACAGACACTGCAAACTGCACGATACTGCAATTAGTCCTAGACACCACATCTAGACTCTGATAAGAGACGGCTAATTGCTACCGGGCACATGTAAGAGCCAAGACTAAGACGTTACAGATACCAAAAAAGAAAACAATGCGTAAGGGCGCACCGTATGTGCCGTATTTTACGCGAGTTTGTATATCCCAGTAAGCACTACACAGCACTAAAAAGCTCATTACCATCTATGACGACTCGACCACGTTGTGGGAAGGGATGTTCGATGTCGAAAAAGCGTTCATCGCCCACAACCGAGAATAGCCAAACCCACAACGCGGCTAGGTAATACCTTAACCATTGATGACCATGCTTATCCCAGCACCCACGCGCTGGCGCAGATCTCCAGAGGAAATCGAGGCTCAACGTTGTGTTCCATGCCCCCACTCCACTCACTTCATACGATACGCCACCAACGACTTGCGAAACTAAGCTCCAAGCAAGCCCCCTCTTGTTGATCAGGGTATCCCGTGTCTAACACTCGGAACACACTAGTCGCCCCAAAGCCTTTCAGATCATCGAAGAGAGAATGGCAGGGTCAATTGAACGGCGCATTACATGTGACATTATCGGCGCTGAGCGCTTCGCCACATGTGCATGATCCCGGCGTTCCTGCCGTACCACATGACTTCGCACGTTCCTCACCGATGACTAGACAGGGTATGACGATCAGATTCCAGTTCCGGCGCCCCACCCCAGAAGAACGTATTCCGATGGCCTGTCACTCCAGGCTATCGGGCTCCGTAAGACATGTCGCTAGCAATATGTGTAGATCATACTGTTTTACGGGACGAATTATTGGCGGGAAGAATCCCACCAACCATGCGGATGCAGACGCCAGGCTCGACCTGTGGCGTACATTGCGTGTCGTAGCATGGGATCGTCACTTTACCAGGTCCAGAGGATCGTGTTATGCTGATGGCCATGGGCTAGATTCTCTTACATTCTTCCTTTTCTCTGTGGAGACTCGTCGTCCAGTCGTATGTCCAAGGGAACACGAGGCTGTAACGCCGCCGCGTATATTGTGCAGCCGCTACCAGTACCGACTACCGGGTTGACTGCGATAAGTAGTTCAAAGTAACTTGTTTGTCGGAACCACCAAAGCCGAGGTGTCGGATATGCATTACTGCGAATGAAGAAGGAAATGGAGAAAAACGAAGGTATGTGTTAAAACCTCTGTACCAGGTGCTTGGATCAGATATGGCGAATGATTACAAGTAGCTCAAACATCGATGTCACCATGACCGAGTTGCCGGATATGCACTACTCTACACACTCGAAGAAGGAAACGGAGAAGAGCAAAGGTGGATGTTAGAAGGTCAGGTGGGGGCATATCATATTGCTAACTCCCATGACAACTTGCTGAACCAAGATCTCGGGACGTGGGGTGAAGGAGATTGTGAATTAACTGCTTCTTCATTGAGCATTATTTTGTGTCATTCAAGTGTGACGCCGAACGTAGATGGCTCTAACAATTGCTTTCCACAAAGTGACTTCCGCAGTGCCGCACCACATGTTCGCTCCCTTACCGGAACCCTTCACTACCGGCATACCTACTCCAATCGTCCAAATTGATGCTATCCGCTAGAGCCGTAAACGTGGACGAAGAACCCACAGCCGAAGGATGTATAACGACCGGGCATCCCATCTGCGCTTGTTCTCTATGGAATATCGCATGAGTGGTCAGTGGACATCCTTGTGGAACCTCGGCGATACTTGACATCGGTAACGGTGCTGCAGAACTGGAGATGAAACGATTGTATGGACTCAGGCCCGAGTCATGAGAGGAGTATTGTGGCGTGTGGAAGAGTGTGTAGTCTCCTGAGCTAGGAGTTCGCAATGGTGTGTTTCGTGATGGTTGCGCAGTTGGTATATCATTGTCACTCGGCGAGGAGTAGTGGGTTCTCAAAAGTGGCGGTTGTGCGTTGCGTGGGGGCATTACGGGACAGGAGTTCTGCCTAGGCAAGCCGTTTAAGTTCTCTCGTAAGTCACTCCATGCGGAAGGTGGGGTTCCACGTCCTTGGCTTCCATATGGTCCATTGAGATCCCATCCGTAATGCCAAACCATGTTGTTCTCCGGTTCTCCTGACGCTACAACACTCTGCAAATGGGCATATAAGTGGAGCGGATTGGTACTTCCATCTCCTCTGCGTGTTTGCCACCCACGATGATCCTTAGTAATATTCAGCCGGTGTTCATACAACATGGAAAACTCGGCAGGCGATGTTGGAGCCATGTAGCCATGTGGCTGCGTATTATCGTCCTCGGACAGTGTCGCGTATCGTGTAGGCGCTGATCGCAATGTGGTCGATCTGCATAGACCCTGCATGAAACTCGCCGATTGAGAACTCTCAGCGTTTTCCTTGGATGATAGGACTTCTTTCTGACCTATCATGTGGAAATATGACGGCCCCCGCTGCTGTTCTTTCCGATGGGTCGAGGTTCGGGAATCACCCCAGGCTTTTGGGACAACGGCTTCATCTGCAGCAGGTTGTTGGTCAGGGTCTTCGAGTAGGAACATCCCAGTGTGACCCATCACGGTATCCATCCTACACAAAGCCTGTGTTGCTTTATCTTGGTCGGCTCCCAGCATTGCCGCGTTCGCCTGTCCTCGTAGTAGAACATCAGACGGTTGGGTAACGGCTTTACGCAGCTCTTGCAGACCCCAGCTGATCTTATCTACTGCTAACCTGGCAAGTCTGTGTACGTTGTTTTCGTACAGATCTTTGAAGACAACGAACGCTTGTTCCGCTTTCATGGCACCAACGGTGATCGTCCGGCACTCCGTCGCGTCCAATAGGAGAATCATACAACTATTGAAGGCTTGTTGCACTAAGGTCCAATCGATCAGCGCTGCTGGATCTCTGTGGTAGAAGAACAGGAATGCGGAAAGAAGAGCTTCAGATGAAGCAAGTACTAGCGTCCGTCCGCGAGGTACGACTTGTGCCGAGTGTGATTCTGGTAGGAGTTCGAGAGAGCATGAGTGGCTGACAGCATGAAATGATGACGCAGTGTCCCCGCCGACTGATATAGCCGCTGTAGTGGTAGGCTTTTTAGTCCTCTGTCGGTTCAAAAGGACGATATACATATGCGCGTTACAAAAGTACACTACAACATGTGAGTGAATTCATATGCGAGACAATATCTTCGTCGTCGAAGAGGTATGGAAGTGTGCAAGCGTCCAATGCTCCCAAATCATAATGTGGTACTGAATGTGCAAGTCTTCTCTTTGAGTACGAAAACCAAAGTGATGATATGAGGGTGTTTGACGTACCAGTAGCTATGGCATATAGATCCGGTAGATCGGTCTCAGGCCGAACCCAAGCCTCATCGAACTGAAGCATTTCAGGCACGGTATCCAGTAATCTTTGAAGTGCGTCTGTGAGCTCATCGATCCTGGCACATGTCAAGCGGTCGCTACTCATGATCTGCCTGGCCAACGCTGTGAAATGATTTACGAACTCGCCAAAACGTAGCACGGCCGGGTCAGTCGTCAACTCGGTTGGCCAGGGGTTGTCTCCAATGCCGCTTATCCCTAGAGGCCTCCCGAGCGTCATGGACATGTGCCCATCGAGGTGTAACATATACCACCACACTTTCTGTCGTACCGTGCAGTCCTTCTTATTCGTGGGGGTTGGATTAAAATACTTCGGGTGACGATGGAGACCAATCGAGTGGGCGAGGCGGATAGTAGTACCGAGTAACGTGTATGCATCTAACATTCTTCCGCTATTAGTTAAATAAGTCCCGATCATAAGGAGCGTCTGAACAGCGGAAAGAGACGGCTTGTGTGTGAATGAAGCTAGGCGCAAAGCTTGCATAGCTGCTGCAACTTGATCAAAGCATTAGTATGGACACCGATAGCGCCTGATAGACTCACTATAGACGTTTCCTTTCTGCGTCTCAACTTCCATGACTTTGGCATCCCACCTTCCTCCACCTCTATCCCAAGCTGAGTGTTGTGCGCCCAGCGCAATAAGCCCGAAAAGTGACGCTAATGTAGTCGGATAGAGCTCAGAGTTCTTTCTAGCGTCGGATAAAAATTGATCTATCTCATTGCTCGTCATCTCAGCAGGTACCTGATAGACACGTCTTTGAAAAGCTCCCAGGTATTCCATAATCTCTTCCTTTATAGGCAGACAGCTTAGTAACTGTGGGAAACATTCGTCTGGTGCAGCACTGAAAAGAGTCGGAAACGGATATGTTGGCGGACTGCTGAGCATTTCCGAGCCGCGAGGTATTGTGTAGGATAGTGGCAAAGAGCTAGTGTCTGCTGAAGCGAACTACCGATATTAGTCTGGTTTTTTAGGCTTGAATAAGTATACACACATCGCTGATGACAGTAACTAGCCCGGGCGAGCCGAAGTAAATGCTATCCTGACACTCAGAACTCTGGAAACGTTTCTGCTTTGTCGCGCGTCGCTTGTGGGATGCAACAACTCCTTCCCTTGGGAGAAAGTTGAGGGAGGCTTCGTGGCCCAGGTCATCGTCGTCTATTGGGATTTGGCAAGCGCGTAGCCGTTCTTTAAGTCGTAGATTCTCAACGCGTAATTTTCGAAGCTCGTAGCTCTGCTGAATTGGGGCGTAGTTGCCATCCTCCGCAATGAAGTGGCAGTCGCGTGGGGACCCACGAGCACAGCATGCTGAGCATGGCTTAGTGCGATCACACTATGCTACGTCAGCTCAATGTGCATGTACCCTCAGTACCGCGAAAACGCCGTTTGTGTCTCACAGATCATTATATGTGATGCAGATCTAGAGTAAAGACCGACCTTGACCTTGCGCTCTCTACATTTCGTGCATGAAAGCAACTGACGTGGTTGTTGAGGCTGTTGCTTCCTTCGGTTGGTGTCAACGACACTTGGCGATTGATCTTGCGCGATACGTATACGCTCGTATGGAATCTCTGCCATAGTATAACAAAACTAGGCTGCTGTGCTGTACCGAATACTAGTAAATAATAGAGTGAGATGTGTTACGAAGATGATACAACTGTCGGTTGAGTGTGACAGATAAGATGGCACATATCGAGTTAGAACCATGTTTTTTGTCGGGTTGTGTTGGGAAGGAACTCGAGTCATCTGATATGTAGGAACACCATTGCAGACATCACCTTAAGCCAACTGCCGTGATAAGTAAACACAAATTTGAAGCCTCATTCCAACAAAGGAAGCCTCCGAGCTATCGGAAGGAAAAGGAGCGCTAGTGACAGATATGCTTGGCTTTTACCGATGTTTGAACTACCGGATTGGTGGTATTGCATTACCCCTACGCTAATACTCATCGAACGTCAAGGCGCAGTTGTACAAAAGATATCGCCAAGCGGTTGAAAGGACCATCGGAATATTACAGCATGCTTATCACGGCACACGAATCTGACGCTCCTGTCGACGGCCCGAGCCTCTGGGCCTCACTACCCTTTGCTCACGTGCATATGCATGCACGACGAACCGGGTTGCTTGCCGGCTAGGTGCCCCATTCCCACAACTGAGCGGAGAACGCGATCTTGACAGTACAGATCTACATCTATGTTGGTTGTTCGTAGCAGGTGCATGCGTGGCTGGAAATGGCTTACAGGGGCGTGTGTTGGAACGCCTCCGGTGCTGCGAGCCTTCATTGGTCATTTCTCATTACTCCAGACCTTACTACTGCGTGCTGTCTTCTTTATTCCGCAACATAGTTGCCGCGAATTCGAAGCTGGTAATTTGGAATCGGATGAACTATTGGGAGTGATCTACAAGGACGGAGCGCACGTCCCGTGCAGTAGTACCAAAACGCCTCATTTCGTCACCACCGGAAGCTAAAGTTGTTCGTGTGTCAAACATACGGTCTGCCCGGACAACACTTGACGTTCACTGATGAACGTCAACTCTCTCAACGATGTATACACACCAAACATATCTGAAGCCATACTCGCTCAGACAGTTTTGTAGACTCGATCCAAGAGGCGAATAGGCTTCACATAGATCGATCTCGAGAAGAGGTCGACTCTTTCCAGCGCCACTTCCCACTCATCGCCTTCTTCGAAGCCATTGCCGTTCATAAGAGCTTTAAGACCATACTCAGGTATATCTCCCAGTGCCAAGTTTTGATCTACACGAACGCTACGAGTCCAAAACTTGAATGAATCGGGAAGAGAAGCTTCTTTGTACTTGAAAGCACGAAGGATTGCTTGGGTAACCCAGAATTGCGTAGAATTACGCTTAGTCATGGAGATGATTCGTTCTCGAGGGGAAAGGGTGACGATGGATTCTTGCATTTGTCGTTGTGAAAACGGGAGTACGGAGGGACCCTTGGTCGCATCGAACGTTCTGCCGGATCGTGCTTCCCACCGTATAGCAGCTTCGATTTGCCAGTGCGCAATCATATCACTGAATCGACGAAGAGGACTCGTGACCTTGATATAGCCAGGAACTCCGATGATCTTATGTGGTAATGGCGAAGAATGTGCAACAGCCATGCCTAATGATTTAGCCCATCGCGCAGCGAGATCGAGCCGCACCTTTCCATGTTCTTCGTAGTGAGCCTGAACGAGCTGTTGCAGCTCTTCTGGTTTCAAATCTCCGTTTCGTGGTTCAATTGTACCTCTATACATTACGGGTATATTCCGTTCAGTACACCAGGCGGCCGCTGTTTGACCTGCAAGCAGCATCATCTCTTCAGTGATGTTCTTGGGCCCGACAGTAAACTGCATAAAGCTTTCTGGTATCGAGTTTGTTACCTCGATGATCGGGTCTCCTTGGATAAGACGTGCCCGGTCCAACGAAGGGGCGTTCCAGCTCAGGCCACCTTGATCGGCGCTCTCGAAGACACGGGCATTGATATTCCCGGTAGCAAACCGAACACCGCCAGCAGCCTTGCGGTTCTCCCATAAGGCTTGAGCCGCAGTGTAAAGATCACGCAGCTCTTCGAGTTGACTTGGAGCAATGCCCGGTGGCGGCCGTTCTGTGCCACGTGGCACCTTACCACCGACAACAATCTTCCGGGTGTTTGTCGTGTTGTGATCACCAAGGAGTGTAGCCACTTCGGATGGTGTGATGCTGACGATATTTCGAATAGTGCCGTGCTGTATCTTCGTTTCCAGAACACTGCCAGTACTGTTGATACGGGAGCTGAAGGTGATGACAGGGCGGCCGTTGTCAAGGCTGAAGTGTCCTTGGGTCGCCCACGTCGGAAGCATGGGGAAAGATCGCTCCGGCGTGTAGACGGACTCAGTCATGTGAGCGGCGAGGCCAGAGAGCGTGTGGGTTTTGTCAAAAAATGCTGTCGGGTTCGCCACGTGTACATGGATCCAGAACTCCGAGGTTACGTCCTTGACTCGTTCAATTGATATGCCGTCATCGATCTCAAGAGCACCAACATCATCAATGCAATAGACTGTCGTTGAGCCCCAATCGCGGCGTAGATCTGCCATTGCATCTCGGAAATCAGGGTTTCTCCGTGTAAGTTCTGCTTTGTTGTTGAGCAACTCCAGGTTGCGAGACAGACGGACGGAGGGAAGCATCAGCTGCTCGTCATAGATTGCGCGATTGTCGTGGGGCGAAACGACACCGATCTCTTGTAAGAACAGGAACCCAGTAGCCTTTTTGATGTTGCTAAGGGTATCGTTTTGAGTCCCAGTGTCACCAAAGACGTCTGAACCATAGCACCCTGAGGCCGAGATCAAGCCCGTACAAGCAGATTGAAGGCCAGCCATACCCTTGAACTGGTCAGTAAGTACCCATGCTTGCAGGAAGTTGATGATCTGTCTGTCGGCACTTGTGAATGGCTCTCCCCAAGTGATGTGCAAGTTGGATGGTCTTTTCTGCGGCGAAGATCCTTTCTGTGGCAAGGAAGCTTTACTGGGTCCCAGACCTCCGTAGGTTGGCTCACGGAATGTTCGACTATTCGCAACAAGTGTGCGAGCCTTGTCAAGGAAACTCATGACGTATTTGACCCCTTCGGTGCGATGTCGCTTTGCGTCCTTAGCACCCGAAGAGCTGGACATCAAGGCACAATACTCGCGGTATTCTCGAATCCACTCGTGGACAGTTTCCACAACCTCAACATCAGCCTTGGGTCGAATAGCAAAAACGTTGGTCAGGCGGTGGTTACGAGCATCGGAGTTGAAGCGAAACTCATTATGGTTGAGAGCCTTTCGGACTGCTAGAAGTGCTGCGGGCGATGACACCCAGGCTGGATCTTCATTTCCGAGTAGGGTTTTAGCAATCTGTGTCAGTGTCATCATACGTGTCCTGGTCTTGTCCGCTAAGACGTCGTAAGCCGTATCCAGTACTGGAGCATTTGTTCGGTAAATCTTCTCAGCTTCGGCTGTCATGTGTTCAAGAGTCGCTACAATAGGAGCGGAAAGATTTCTAGGAACGTGAACTTCGCCCTTAGGGTTGGCCAAACCAGGATTTGTGGGGAGGAAGGGAATAAGCGGCTCCAGAAGTTTTGGGTCGATGCAACGTTGTATGGCAAAGGAGACGCGACTAATGATGGAATGCGTCCATCTGCCATTGACGGAGAAAAACTGGCTCTCGTTGTTCAATTGCTGCACGAACACAGCAAGTACGGGTTCACGCCCTGGCTGTGAAAGTTCGACCACGTCGCCGGGCTTCAAGAAAAGACCAATAGTGATCACTTCTTCGCCCTCATCTTCTTGAGCCACATCCCACTCGCTTTCCTTTGCGTCTTGGTCGGCCTTGAACGCAGACGATAACTTTGAGAGGCCATTTTGTGTCTCGCTGCGTCCGGGATGGTTCGCAAATGCCACGAGCACTTCCTCTGTCGGCGCACCGAATTGATGTTGCCACCGCTCTAGATATTCACGTATTGGAAGTCCTTGGGGGCGAGCGAGAAGAGATGGATCGGAGACGGGCGTGGAAGTGGTTGTAAGGGGGGATAATTGTGGGCGCTGATATCTGTTAATTTGTGGCTGTCGTACTGAACGTATCACTTACACTTGCAGTGGCATGGAGTGCCCGCCTTTGTGTTTGCGAAACTTTTACAGTAGAAATTCTACGAGAACTATGCGTTTGCCGAGAAGTACCTCGCTCCAGTAGCAAGCGCCATTGGCATCGCAGGCATATATGGCCTGCAGCCCGCTGAAAACGAGGATACATTTTGAGGCAAGTGGTGAATGATGTCGTCAGTCCAAAAAAGTGCGGCGGAGGGAAGGCGCGCTGCAACGGCCGTCCGTGCGGAGGCGCTAAATCGCCGCGCGAACTCACATGTTTTCCTCCGCACACCTCCGTTCTTCTTTCCTACACTACAACACGCCCAAGGTATGTACATTGTCTCCTCACCCACTTTTCATGTTTCATGATGTATTCAAAATTATAGCATGTATTATCCGACCGTCGCTTCGGCGGCAGACTGCGGAACAAATTTTTTCCTGATTGAAATATCCATCTTTTCACTCATTGCTCGGCCATGTTGCGATGCAGATCTAACATGTCTCAGTAGGCATCATGGCACCTGCCAAAGCGCCTGCGGGTCACTTCACGATCCTCTACTTCGCAGCGGCTTCTACCTTTACTGGCAAGACGAGCGAACATCTTCCTGCTCCAGTCCGAGCTCGCGACATCTTTACTAAGTTGGAAGAGCGGTATCCGGATATCTGCAAGAAAGTGCTAAGCAGTTGTGCTATGACGATCAACATGGAATACGTCGACGTCGGCGAAGATGATGCAGAAGACGCGGATAAGCAGATTGTGGAAGGTGACGAAGTTGCTATTATCCCACCTGTGAGCTCAGGATGAGCTTAGGAATGTATTTATGCACTGAATGACGTTATGAGCGATGTTCACCAGCATTCTTCCGTCTACTGCAGGTCTGCAGACGGACGTAGCATATGTAGTCGAATACGATTGTGACAATTCTATAACCTCGTGTTCATCCTGCCAGCTTGATTCAATATTCGTGCAAGAAAGCTTGGAGCTCAATCTGGCCTAGTGTTGTGCACTGACGTTCTTCATTAGCTCTCCTCCGCGGCAAATCCACAGCGGGCATCGGGTGATATACGACCACCGACGCCGACAATTGAGCAGAGTCGAACTGTACGAAATGGCCGACCAGAGTCAGATAGACCCGAGACTCTTCGCGAGTGCATCTTCGGTGCAACCGTCGCGTCCGCAGATATACACGTCTGCACAGCAGCAAAACACTGGTCATCCATATTACCTTCCATCACCCACCGCTCAACACCATCCCCAATCCCTACCTCAACCCCCGCAGCTATCACAGCTATCGCAGCCCGCCCCACTAGGAAACATTCTTGATCCCGCCCTCGAGCAGACATCGCCGACGGGACCAGAGGCGTCGCACGATGACGATGACCAAGACGACGAAGGCGACCATGATGGGTACGTTATATGAGTGTATTAACCGTTGTCGCGACACCTAGGGCGCAATTCGCAAGACGCAGACTGCAGCTGTCAATGGCTGCGACAGGAATGACACGCGCCAACCTCAATTGAATGCCTTCAGGATCTCTCAAACGATCCATCCTGAAGGAAATGCGTGTACAGTCGCTTGCGCGCGGCAACAACAACAAACCATTATCAACGGGACCTACGCTAATACTTATCACCAGTGCCCACGGTACACCAGGATCTGCCAAATCTCCTGCCGACCTCAAGCGCCCTAGAGCATGCGACTCATGTCGAGGACTGAAGGTTCGCTGCGACCAGGAGCGACCTGACGTATCATGTAGACGATGCGCCAAAGCAGGCCGGCCTTGCATTACAACACCACCAACACGAAAGCGCCAAAAGAAGGCCGACAGTAGAGTGGCCGAGCTCGAGCGCAAGATCGATGCATTGACAGCAACATTGCACGCACAAAAGGCTGGCGCACCCGAGATTAGGCATCTTGGAGGCATACCACAGCCAGGAAGCAGCGGCGACTCCATGCCCATGCCGATTGAGGGCCAGTACCGTATGGGAACACTTGAGCATGATTGGTCTCAGCCTCCGGCCGGCAGGTATCCAGACATACCACCCGGCTATGGCCCAGCACAGAACATGCAGAGAGGACCCGAACCAAAGCGCAGGAAGCTGGACAATACACCACACGCTGTGAGTAGTCAGGTCAAACACACGCCTAGCCAGAGCTAACATTTCAGACGATCCCTGAAGATATGGACGCCATCCATCGTGACCTAGCAGAGCACCCAGAGATGAAGCGAACGGGCAAGAACAAGATTCAAGCCGACCACTCGCACATCAACACTTTGATTGACAATCTCATGACGCCTGACATTGCAGAGCGCGTCTTCTTTCGCTATGTCAATGAAATATGCCCACATTTCCCGGCCGTACCCTTCCCTCCAGGCACTACAGCCCGCGAAGTCCGGGAGAAGAAACCGCTTCTCTTCCTCGCTGTCTTGGCTGGGTCCTCGCACGGGAGCGCAGAGCAATTGGTGTCACAAGAGATCCAACGCGAGTTGACCAAGCTTCTCAAGGATCAGCTTGCTGACATCATCTGGCGCAACGGGGAGAAGTCGCTCGAAATAGTGCAGGCACTACACATTTCTGTGCTTTGGTACCGTCCACCCTTGCACTTTGAGCAGCACAACTTCTACATGATGGTCAATTGTGCCGCAGTCATGGCTCTGGACCTGGGTCTTGGAAGAAAAGCAACACCGAACGTCATGAAGCTTTCGGTCGGTCCGTTCAAGAGGTTCCATCCAAACTCCAGCAGCGTCGAAGCCCGTCGAACGTTTCTCGTCTGCTACTATCTCTGTATGAGTATCACCATGGTCTTGCGACGACCAATTCTACTACGCTGGACCAACTACATGGCGGAGAGTGTTCGCATACTTGAGACTTCACCCGAAGCACTCCCGTCCGATAGACTACTTTGTCAGCAGGTCAAGATGGCGCACATAGGAGAAAAGATATCGGTGGAGTTTTGCATGGACGACCCCTCGGTCGAAGTTGCCATCTCCGATCCCAAAGTCATATATGCTCTCAAGATATTCGAGAACGAGCTGAATGGATTAAGGGAGGAGAATGCTTCTTTGGGTGATGTTGATCGTAAGTTGTAGCAGAATACAGTCCGCGCACATACTGACCATTACAGCAACCCTCCGCTTGGCAGAACACGTTACGAATCTTTACCTACACGAAATTGCGCTACATCAGAATCAAGGCTCTGCTGATCTCCAGCCTCCTTACACTACGGACGCGCTATCTCCGTCAGTTCTTGCTGCAGCGAAGAAGGATGGTCCCGTCGGCCCGGCTCATATAGGTGCTCTAGGTGATTGCCTCACTGCTACTCATGGCATCCTAGACACTATACTGAGCATCGAACTCGACATTCTCCTAACTCTGCCTGTCATCTTCTGTAAGCCTCGATTCCTCCACTAAAACTTTCCTCGCTGACCAGGCTCAGGTGTCCGAGCAATTTACGCCATCGTTTGTCTTATGAAGATGTGGGTGTCAGTGACTAGTTCGGGCGAAGTGGGCAGCATCATCAAGAAGGAAGATCTTCAGATTGAGGCCTATACCGAACAGCTAGTCTCCATGTTCAACGCCATTGTTTCTCGCGATGCTCAATCGCCCCATGGCAAGTTCTACTTCGTCGCCAAGCGCCTACAAGAACGATTCGCCCATATCAAAGAAGGTGCCGCTAGCGACCATCAACCCGATACTGAATACGAACCCACTCGCAACGCTGGCCAAGCTTCACGGCCTTCCACTCGCCAATCGCCTGCAAATCAAACACCACTTCACCTCCTTTCTGAAGTCGCGATGGGGAGCAGTAATAATGCTACTTCGCAACAGCAACAGACGCAAGCGCATTCTCGTTCTCAGCAACAAGCTCAGGCTGCTCTGCAAGCACACGCGCAACACTCTCAGCAAGCCATGCCGAACTGGTATCCCAACATGAACGCACAGCCTACTGCGGAAATGATGGGTCTCGGCGCACAGCAACCATTTGACATCAATTTCGACTTCACTCAGTTCGATTTAGGTACAGGCTCGGACGCAGACCTATCAGCGCTATTTATCCCAGACTCGATGGGGATGTGGACGTACCCTACCGATCCGAATATGCAGGGCTACAATGGATTCTAAGGTCGCTGACGTGTGACGTGGGACCCGATGGCTGCCGATACAAGGGAAAAACTGAACAAGTACAGAGATAATCAATGCTCTATTGCAGACTACATTAGTTTATTGCAAGAAAAGTTTTGAATCTTGAAATGCATTCTAGACTTCTAGGTTATCTATAAACTTCACATAGTACTTTGCTACGCTTCGTGTAGTAAGTAAGAGGAAGAGCTTTCTAGGGAGTGTTCAGTTTTTCCCTTGTACAGGGTGACGGTGTGGTTGTGTGTGCATACCCTGAGAAAAGGTGTAATGGCGCATCGGTTTGTACAATTTCAATGTATCACTTGTAACAAATCTCGGCGAAATAGAAATACCAAAATCATGTAACACTACATAATCAACGAATCCATAGTATTTTAAGTACTGCTTCCATAACCATTTACCATCAACGGCGTCTGTCCCTGCCGCCGCATCATATATCATCACTCAAGCTTAAACTCAACCTTTCTCAAAAACGCCTCCAACTCAGTAATCTTCCCCATCGCCTGCTCCCTAGCCCACTGCACCGCCTCTTTCTGCCCCTTCCCAAAATATCCATAGTCCCTGTTCAACACCCACATCTCGTACAACTGCTCCTTGAACGCCTCGGGAAAAAACCCCTTAATGACCTCATCAGGAAGCTGAGCATGCGTAACCGTTTTCCCAGTCACCTTACTTATAACCGCCGCTATCTCATCCGGCGTATACAAATCCGCAGCCGCAGCGAAGAACTTGCCCGCATATTTGTCTGGCTCGGAAAGGACAGCCGCAACCCATTTCCCCGTATCGGTGATGTCGATGAAAGGCACGGGCGTATTTCCCGGTAGCATATCCGCCAGCACAAACGTTCCGTCGTTTGCTGGGCTCGGACAAGGTCTCATCCTCCCCTCCAAATTCTGCATGAAGGACGCTGGAGCGAAAAAGGCGCTTTGAACAGGTAAAGTGCGAATGTACTCTTCGATTTCAGCTTTACAGTCAAAGTGCTCCACGTGCTTCAATTTGCCGTCTGAGATTTTCAAGGGGCGCGACATGGAGCTGAAGATTATGTACTTGACGCCTTGCTTGATAGCTTCTTCGCATACCGCTTTTGCCTGACGGGTTTCCACTTCGCGAGTCGAACCAGTGTATTGGGTTGTTGTTACGAGGAAGACGTGCGTGCAGCCTGCCAGGGCGGCGGGGAGGGTGGAAGGGTCGTCCATGTCGGCTTGAACGACTTTTGCGCCGAGAGATTGGAGTTCAGACATCTTAGAAGAAGTGGTGGAGCGGGAAAGGGCGCGAACGTTGTACATGGCGGAGAGGGAAGGGGTAGTTAGGATGGTGGTTGCGACAGAGTTGCCTTGGTTGCCCGTGGCGCCGAAGACTGCGATGGTAGATTTAGACATCTTGAAGGGGTTTGTCCGTGGTTGTCTTGGTCGGGATTCTAAGGTGGATGTTGGTTGGAAGTATTGATGTAGATGAGTAGATGACTGGAGTCGATGAAGCTTGCAGCTGATAGACTTGAACTTCGTACTTATCCCTTCCTTATATACTTGCTCACATCAATCCAAGCCATCCGCCTTTCTATGCTAGCTCGTGCAATCAAGGCATGCATGCTCACACATCTTGAAAGTCCACGGATATATCCACCGGAGTTTAGGAGTTTACGCCCTCCGCCAACTCAAGAACCGTGGCCATGGAGCTCTTCATTCCACGAAAGGATCGATGCATAGTATCGTTTCTGTTTCCGATGGCGCCAATTACGTAGAAGACCTTGGGAGTTCCTGTTGTAAGGTCGCCTTCGCCAATTGTGGTAGTAGATTGAAGGATATCGGAGATGTCGACAGTTGTCCGAGACCCCCGAGGTCCCCGAGGCCGGGTCGGATCCGACGCTTGGCGATGCTTAACTCCAACGATTATTAAGAACACCGCTTCGTTATATACGGTTCGCGGCTTCGCTCTCTAAATGTTACGTACGTTGTCATCGCGGAAAAGACTGCATCCGTCCTTGAATGACACAGCAACAGGCTCATCTTTGATTCAATGATCTTTTCGTGACTTGATGGGACATGATGAGGTCGCCGTCGCGCTCAAGGATCGCATTCAAGCCTCCATCGTCTCCGGCCAGTTACTTTCACCGCCCACGGCGCAGCCTAACACAATTTCAATCGGCTCGCGACCCAAGATGAGGCGGTCGGTCGCATCACATCTAGAACAACCCAAAAAAAGGCTCCAGCCGTGGCCACCAGTGTATCATTGCAACGGCGACGGGTGCGCGAACGCTCTCGTCTCAAATATTTGCGTCGAGCGAGCTGTCGCTACAAACCAGCGAATGGACTCATCGATGCTTCGGATTTTTTTGCTAATTCAGTTGTCAGTTTACCACGGAAAAGCTTACTTGGGACCAATGGTGAATCCCACAAATCTGCAATACATCCTACCGCATAGGGACGCACCCTACCACGATCCTACGGAACATTCTTCGCCGAACGCGTCTCTTGGATTACTCGTAGGTTGTTCTACATCCTAGGTCTTACTGCGTAGGAGTATTACCAAGCAGACCGTTATCCCACTAATGTTAACCTGTCAACGTACGTCAGGGGAAGCATGCCATAGACTATCTCTAGTCATCCAGATTAGATTACGGAATGGTGACCAGTGCTAAGAAGGTTTAACTAGACGTTCTCAAATGATAGAGACTGTTGAGAAAGCTATTACTTCGAGGACTATGGCCAGTCGCGAACCGAACCTTTGCATTTCACGACTCACTGTAGGTACAGCCAAACTTGACACATCACCAACAATCCTGCATCAGCTCGTCACATTGCATTTCGGGTCTTGTGGACAGATTCTGGACGTCCTATGGCAACAACAGACATACGATGGCGGCTGTAACGCCCGTTACCCATGCAGCACATTACAATTCTGATAACAGGTTCAATCATAGACCGACGCTGTATCCGAGATTTGAAGAGAGTTGGGCATTTGGACGTATAGATGAGGTGGTTGATCGACTTGAGAGAGAAGCTCAGATTGAGCCAAGGACAGTGGAAGAAATTAGTGTAGAGGATGTGCGTTTAAAAGCAAGGCTGCAGATGTGTCGCGTATCTAAAAATAAATTGAACAGTTTTATGGTCTGGGAAAGCGATTGGGCAAGTAAGGAGATCGTAAGTACAGGCAGTCGTACCCGTACTCAAGTACGGTGCACAAAACACAGTACCAGTATAGGCTTAGACACCCGTATCGACGGAAACGAACAGTACACCCCAATCAATGACGCGATTGGCTCAAGGTTAAGCTTTGTTGCCAGAGTGTGGGGTTAGAGTTGGCACTAGTGCCTGATCTATGGCTGAATACGTTAAGAGAGAGAATACGCAAATAGGGCTTGGTAGGACCTAAATCCTCTTTGTAGAACATGGATACCCGATTCGCAAGACTTGCTGGATGCAGTGAAGTAGACAGATCGGTGAAACTTTTCTTCTTGACAATTTATCTTGATGACGTGTTTGGATAGGAGACGGATATAAATGTCGAGGTCAGCTGCTTTTGTATGTGGCTACACCATCGAGTACCAGATAAACATGGGATTCCAAAAGGCATGGAGCTTCACAGCTCTCTTGGTCTTCTCTTCAACAGCTTTTGCCGCGTCGAATTCGACGGTAAAATGCGTACAGCCATGACTCCCTGAAGCACTTCTATCCTAGCTAACACGGAACAGATTCCATCCGACCCGTGCTGGCCTTCACCAACGACATGGACGTCTCTCAACGAGACACTAACAGGCCGTGTTCTTCCCACCACACTTCCTAGCTCTGTCTGTCCAGAAGGAGGACCAGGAAGCGAAACCTGGATCGTCAACGCGACAGACGCAAAAGACGTTCAAACCACCCTGAACTTCGCCAGCGAACACAACCTCAAGATCAACGTCAACAACACCGGCCATGCCGGCTACGGACGCAGTTCAACTTGCGGCGCTCTTTTCATCGCAACAAGTGAAATGAAAGGTGTCGACTTCCACGACTCATACACACCCCAATCCTGTTCAGCGAACCACTCCCACATGGCCGCCACACTAGGTGCCGGACAACAAGACGATGAAACATTCCAAGCGCTAGCTGCACATGACGCCGTAACCGTTGGCGGCACATTCGATACAGTAGGAATCGTCGGCTGGGCAACAGGCGGTGGCCACGGCTGGCTCACAAGCAGCTACGGCATGGGCGCGGACAACATTTTCGAAATCGAAATCGTAACACCCACTGGCGCTATCTTGGTCGCAAATGAATGCCAAAACAGCGATATCTTCTGGGCTACGCGCGGTGGCGGAGGCGGCACATTCGGCGTCATAACACGGATAACGATGAAAGCATACCCCATGCCACGAACCGCCGTCTGGCTTTGGAACATCCAACCCAAGAACAACACCGACGCAAAAGAATGGTGGAGACTGGTCGCCTCTCTCCATGCCAACATGCCAGCAGTAAATGAAGCGGGTTTCCAAGGCTACTACACCATTGCCGGTGCTAAAAACAGCCTTCCAGCCATCGGCGGCTACTTTATGGCGTACGACAAATCGAACTCGACTTTGACGACCGCCATGTCGGATTTCCTCGCTCCAGCACGCAAATCCAGCCATCTCGTCTTCTCCACAACATCCAACTTGACCACCTATCCCCGCTGGATAGACGCCTACAACGCACTGCCCAAGCAAGTCCGTGACTCTTCCTCCGGACCCGGTGGCGTAATATCCACAACCCGCCTTCTAACTGCAGATTCCCTAACCCAAGACATCGATGCCAGTGCGCGTATGTTTGAAACTATCGGACCCCAAGCAGCGGACTACGAAAAAGGCATGTCAAGCCACATCCTCGCCGGCGCTTTAATCGCAAGTCCGAAACCCGTGGACAGCGCCTTGAATCCAGCCTGGCGCTCAGCTTCCGTTCACATGATTGTGAAATCTGCGTGGGACACGGCGCTGCCCGATACCGTCGTACGAAGTTTTCAGGACGAGTCGACGAATAGCACGGGTAGGGCTATGAGGAGACTTTCGCCGGACTCGGGATGCTATGTCAATGAGTGCGATACGTATGAGCCTTTCTTCCAACAAGCCATGTATGGTGTCAACTACCCGCGTCTTCGTGCTATCAAGGCCAAGTACGATCCAGACAACCTACTGTGGTGTAGACGATGCGTTGGAAGTGAGGAATGGAAGTATGATGAGCGGGATGGGAGGCTTGAGAAGAGGGGAACTAGTGACGTTTGGCCGAATTTCGCATATGGGTTCTAGAGTTTGTTATTTCAGATTGGGTTCGTAGAAGGGCTACTATGCGAGAAGAATGACGGATTAAAGTGCAAATGTGTACAGTAGCCGAGAAAACTTGTTGCTCCAACGAGGGCTAAATGAAGTATTGAATGTCCTTGACAAACCTCACAATCTACTCCGTCCACCTTCCCCCCTCAACATCTTTCACATCTACCTCAACTCCTTCTTCCTTCATAACCCCTTCAATAGCGCCCTGCCCCCTCCACCCATGTCCGATCCTCCCCGTACTACTCAATCTCCCCACATCCTTTCCATTTTTCTCCTGGAAATACTCCTTCTGCTCCTCGCTCGGCTCCCGCTGTTTCTTCCACTGCCTACTCTCCTTGTCAAACTGATACCCGTTATACCAATCCTCCGTCAGGGCGTCTGACCCATATTCCTCCAACAATAACTCTTCGTACGCATACGGTACCTTGACCTTCACGCCTTCGAATGTAGATTGTCGTAGGGGGAAGATTTGGGTCGAGAGGTAGGCATGTGTGTCTTTGACGTAGAGTTGGGTTTCGGTGTCGAAGGCGTCGGGGTCGGTTTCGTGGGCTGAAGGGTGGGTGCTGGAGTATGGGGAGTCGGTCAGGGAGTGCTCTACGGGTGCGACGTGGATTGTTGTAATGTCGATATAGAGGCCGTTACTCACATCGATCCAGCGGACGTCAATGTGGTTGTAGACGTCTGTTGTGGATTTGTTGGTGTAGTTTGGGTTTACTTCTATCAGGTATTTCTTGCCGTTTGTTTTGATGTCTTCCTCCCAAGCGAGGCGCTTTGAGCGGGTATCTTCGTCTTCGTAATGCTTTTCCGAGTCAAGCAAGTCTCCTCCTTGCTTGATATAACCCTCTTTGTGGTCTGACACGGATTCAAGTCCCAGATCTCGAGCGTCGAAATGATGGACTGTCATGTTCCACCATGTCCCTAGTTCTCGAGCTCCTTCCTCCTCTACGAGGAAATCCAGGTCTTTGTCCCAGGGCATAAGCCCTCTGCCCCACCACCAGCCTAGTAAACACCCATGCATAATCCACGTTTGTACCCCAATCTTGTCCATCGTATCTGTATACGCCTTCAACATAAGCCTGAGATGCCATATTCGTTCTTGGAAGGGGACCTCGGAGGAAGCGAAGCGACCATCATAGTGGCTGTTGAAGGTAGATTCGTAGAAGTATTTCGTCGGCGCGTGCGCGTACGTATGCCCGTTGGAAAAGGAGTTCACAAGGGGCGTGAGGCCGCGGAGGGAGCGGAAAGGTGTGCTGCGGCGCTGGAGCGGGAGCGCATTGGTAAGGTGTAAGATGTGCGTAAGGAGGAACGTAAGTTCTATGGGAAGTCTCATCGTGACTGGGGCCTCGTCGGTATGAAGCGCATTGTTTTACCACCTTCTTATCGCGTTCCGGTTTATGCTCAGTTGCTAATGACGCTATAGTGAAGAAAGATGTATGTGGAACAGTATGAAGCGTAACGAAATGATCGCGGAAAAATAAGACGTATATTGACAAGAGAGGACAAAAGAAACGGCCGCAACGGCTCGTTATCGTGTATCTACATGGTGAGCAATTCAGCGGAATTCAAGGATGGGGCAACGTGCAGAGCCAAGAGCGATCAAGCACGCGCCAAGGCCCCATGCCGCCTGTCTCATGCTTCTAGCCCGCATAGATTTTCCGAAGCTAACAGGCTAGCGGGGCTGCCGTGTATGTGGAGTTCATTCATGCCTGTTGCGTATTGAGTCGTCGTTGTTGGTTATCGTGATGTTTGTTGCTTGCGTGTCGAGTTGACGTTGGATTCGAAAGGAGTTTAAGTGGGGGCCAGCCACGCGCGGGAGTGAAGTCTGGCAGGCTAGGCTACGTGTCCCCTAGTCCCGCACGTGCGATGCCGCATGGCAACCACGCGTCTCGCCCGATACGATGTACGACAAGACGACACAACCGGAAATCATCGGAAGACTGGCGATCCATTTGTTCAGAGGAAGTTTTGCTTCATGATGCAGATGGTGGACCAAACGTTCAGTCGAATCATCTCGATTCTCCGCTGTACCACACGATGATGTGCAGGAACGATCCGACGCGATATTATTAGCTGGCCAAAGTGCGCTTCGGTCCGCCAAGTAACTCGGGTCCAGAGGAGATGGAACCCATGGTTTGGTTATGATGACGCTAATGTACCATCTCAAGAGCGACATACAGGCATTGGAGCTCGAAATCAACGTTGTCATCGTCGTCTATCAGCATATCCAAGTCACGGTGTCATGCGAGATAGGTGGTGGTGACCTTGAGAGAGATAAATTTAACTTCAATAATATGAACACGATGTTATGTGACTATCTAAATTGCATTTCATTATTCTACAACCACACAATCTGACCAGCATTAGGTTGGTTTGTACCATAGGAAAAAGGACCCATGTACAAGTTTCCCATCATCTACACATATCAACATGGTGAGCTCCTCCAAACGTACTGATCACGGCCGTGGAGAGAAGAGACAAACTCTTGCTCCACCAGCCTGCCAACGATTTGATAGGGCTCGATCGCTCAAATCCAAGACACACCAACTGAAAGAACGGACGCCGCTGTAAACGGCTAATTACACTCTCCACCGCTTTTGTTTGTGTGAGGCATACACCGAGAAAAAATATGACGATCCGGTACTTGAGTATATAGTGCCGGAGAGACGAAATGGAAAGACAAGAACTGGTTGTTCATTCATGGAATAAAACGCCATTGTACGCCGCCCGATGTTAAAAACGCCACAATTGGTAAGTGAGCGCTGAATATGCGAAAGCCAGAAAGTGAGGGAAGGAGAATTTATCAACAAGCACGTCTGCGGCGCCGGCAAACAAAGCAACTAGCAAGGAAACCCAGAAAGCCAGCAATTAAAGGGGTATATTTGCGAAGCGTGGAAAGTCACTCAGATCCCTTTTCGTATTTCACGGGATGGAAGAGTGTGTTGCGCATGCACAACCGGCCGGTGCCATTCTCTTCCTCTACTGGGCCGCCCTTGTCGTTTTCGCGAGAGCCGAGCCACCTTCGCCACCACTCGGATGAGAAAGCGGCGTTGTAGTAGAAGCTGGTGCCGAGCTGGTTGTGCTCACCCCAGCCGAAAACGCTGTCGGTTGGCTTTGGAGGTTTGTTGAACGTGCCCTCGAGGGCCTCGAGTGGCCAGTTGTGGTCCAAGTACACGGGGTGTGCAGCATAGACGGCTTTTAGGCCGTGGTGGAAGGCAACAGTTGGTGGCCACATTTCGGGGAACATGTGGTGCTTCATCAGGTATGTTTCGCGGTGCATGAGATCCAACAGGCGCTTTGAAAGACGCGAGACGGTGATGATGGCGCATCGTCGTGGGGGTTCCGGAAGCTCGAGGTCGTAACCTGTGACATCGTCACGGAACACCCAGTTGGTCTTGGCCGGATCGAAGATTGGATTGAACGTGATGATGTCGGCGTCTTCACCTACACCCCATTCGTAGTTGTCCTGAGAGTACGAATGCGGTGGCTCGGTTTCGGGAGGGCTGGGAAGCATGCCGGTGTTCTCAAACTTGGGTGGACCCCAAACAGGCTTCTCATCACTGTTGTAGAGTTCTTCCTCAACCATCTCGGTGAAGTTCTTCCACGATCCGTGAAGCTCCGGAATGTAGTAGCGAGACGATCGCTCCCACAGACCCTTGCGGGGTTGCTTCTTGGCCCACTCGCCAATTTTATTGTGGAACTCATAGTAGTGGCCGCTGAGACGGAGGTCCATCTCCCAGTTCCAGTAGAAATCGTATTCGGGACGAGCTTGCGCAAACCACTGCATCGCGAAGTGAGCGCTGCGGTACACGGAGTGAACAGAAGCTTTGGCGTGGTTGTAGACGTTATTAGGGAAAGGATCTGGGTAGTACATGATCATTTGTTGCTCGGACCAGAGCGTTGCCATGCCCCAGAATTCTTTAGGTAAGTTGTCTTCAATAACCTTCTGGTAGATCTCCTCAGAAGACCAGATGGGAAGGCTGTTGTCCTTGACGTGGAGGAGAAAGTGTACATCATACTCGCCTCCAGATTTGAGCGCGAGCTCGTTGATCATGGCGCGGAGAGTGAGAATCTGGTAGTCGCTGTATTTGTAACCAGTCCAGGTACGGAGAACGTAGGCGTGGCGTGGCACCTTCTTCTTGGCGGGTGCAGACTCATCAGTGGTGTTCTTCTCGAAGCGGTGGGCATTCTTCTCGCGGCATCGCTTCATGGCCGACGCCCAGTTGACCTTGCGGTAGTCGACCTTCTTTTCGTAGCTCCAGAGCCTGTCGGCACCGGCTTTCTCAGACTTGCCGTCCATGTCAAGACCGCCCTCGTCGCGAGAGTACGAGTAGCCGTAGGGACCAAAGCGACCGAAGCGGTCAAAACACTTCTTGTCATCAAAGCCAAGCTCCTCGTAGGAACCGAAGAAGGGCGCAGTCGAGTTTTGAGGAATGCCGGGGTAGGCGTAGATGTCGGGTAGGTCGACCGTCTCCTCTTCGTCGAGATAGCACTGCTTGACCTCGTCGTGCTCTTTCAGGTACTCGGGTGAGTCGAACTTGTACGGGTCGAAAGGCTTCATTTCGAGAGGCGGCTCCTTGTCCTCCTTGGACATGTGCGGCCACTTGGGCTTGATATTGTCTTCGGGGTTGGAGCTTTGCGAGTATTTGACAAAGTCCTGCTCGGACACCCAGTCGCCGTAGGGAACAAGCGTGCGAACGCCATTGAAGAAGCCATTTAATCTGCATAATCAGTATTCGGTATCGGCGAGTAGCAAATGAGTATGCTTACCGTGGGTAGTGTTCCCAGTGGTACTTTTTCCGCTCATCGCCTGCTCGTTGCTGGTCGTTCCACCTGTGCCGCCGGTAGATACCCGTGCCCAGCATCGAGGCCAGCAATACGATTGTCACGGCGAGTGTGATGAGACGCGCGAAGGATAGCCGTGGGCGCTGCAGGCGGTTGGCCCAGGCAGGCTGGTTGTACTTCTTGCCCCATGACTTGCTGCTGAAGAGCGGCAGTGGTGATGAGGCCTGGCTGTCCTGGCCGGGCACCTTCTCGTAGTTGAAGCGCGTTCGAATGAACAGCTTTCCTGGATTGAATCGCGAGGCCATTGTCGTGATTAGATGTGCGGATGTGCTGTGCAGCGTGTGTGTTGCCTATCGCATCTGCGGCGAGGCTGCGCAAAGGAGGCCGCTCGGGAACTTGGAAAGCAGATGCAATTGCTGTGGTGCGTGTGCTCGGCCGCGCGAGTGATGTCGAAAGAGAAGACGGAGCAAGACACTTGGGACGACAGCGGAGAGTGAAACGAGTGACTGTCCTGGACACGGAGGCAGGACTATGGCGATGGCTTGAAGCGTTGGGGAAGAGGGCGCGGGCTGAGAAGGAGCGACCGACCCTTTTTCCCTCGTTGCTCGCCCCAGACAGCCTAGCGCTGCCTCGCACCTGCCGTCCACTGTAGCGCTAGCTTACAAGGGTCAACCACCGATTTCTGGAGCAAGACGGCGGAAGTGCATGGGCTAGCCTATGCACCGGTCCATTCCAAGACACGCAAAGCTCTCCAGAAGCTACTCATCGCGGCCGATCCGCGCCCGCCGCGTCTTTGCTGAGTTCCCATCAACGACGGTGTGAAGCCTCTGTTGCGTTATCGTAGCATGCCGCCCGCCACCAAATCAAATGGCGCCCAGCTATCAATTCACTCTATCCGGCCCTGCATGAGCCATGGCAAAGCGCACTATGCAACGGCCTGCGCTCCCGCCTCAACAACGTCGAGCGGAGCTTCTATTTTTTTTCTTGACGTCTTGTAAGTCTTGACGTCGACGGCCCAGTCTTGCGATGGACCTCGAATATTGTGTCTATGCATCGTCCCCTGCCGCGACAGACGAAGCTGGACGAATGATGGAATTGCTAGGTGATGAGTTTCGCCGTTGCTCGACCCCTGGGCGTTCCCAGAGACAGGGTGGCGTGGTCTGTGATTGGCTCAAGTAGCTCCCCTAGGCTTACATCCGACACCAGCGTACGCGTCCTCTTCGAACGGCGCGGGCGGAAGAGTCTAGGCTAAAAATAAGACTTCAGCGAGGCATGGCGAAGTGGGCTCAGCAATGCAACGAGAGCTGCTGCATGGACGCCTGAGGTGTTGGTTGCTGATATAATAGTGTTGCATTGCCTCCTCAGAAGCTGAAGCTGTCAATTTACATGTCATCTGTCCATTGCCTGCAGTCAGTGGTGTTGAGCCATTTCGGCCCCTCTGACAGGCCCCACAGTTCCAATACTTTGCTACCGCAGAACATGGGCAGGACTCTGCATGACCACATGGTATCCCGCACAATGACGTCCAACCGCGTGGATCCCGTCTGAGAGTTGTAATCCTCACCATGCTTGGATCCATTCGATTGTCAGCACTCGCTACACCGTCGTGGTTTCCAGGAGCAACGATGCGGGCCCGCAAGCACGATGCGGAACTGTATTTTCGCAACAACTCCAAAGCGTAGGAACTGCTTCGACAGTTTTGTCTCTTGACGCCATGCCCGTAACTGCGGGGGGGATTAATCCCGCCTATATTGCAGATATCGCGATGCATCTCCAACTAGATAAGCGCACGTCCGCGATACCAACCACCCCGCAGCGACCTCACTTCGGAGCACGATGTCCTTGAAACAGATGGCTTGTTAGCTCGGCATCTCCTCCGTGGAATGATGAGTTGGGGCAGAGGCCAATATCCAAACAATATTTGCTCGTACATAGTTGGGTCTGGCCACCAAGAGTGAGCACGTGTTCGTTACGGATCAGACGCGGCAGTCAACTGGTAAGAGTGACGGCTCTCCAAGGTGTAGGCACTACACGCTATCTAGCAAAACCTCCGCACGTCTTGCTTGCGCGTTTGACGTGCATGTGCGACCTGCAAGTTGCGTGGCTCTTACGCGTGCGCCTTTTCTACTGGATCCTCTGCTGGATCGAGCTTTGACGGGAACTAGTGGGGACTGCAGTGAGTTACAGCGTTGTGCTATAATAGTACAGCATTTCTTGGCCTACGAGAAGGCGTATAAGACTATGGCATGTCTGCACCAATACCTGTTAAGAAGAAATGATAACAAGTCCACTTTCCAAGCTGGCAATATATCTGGATTGCGATTCGTGTCAAGACTACCCTGCACGTTTTTGCAGACTGAGAAGGGAGATGAGCAAATTTTTCTCATCCTCCCTAATCTGATGCACGTTGTCCTGGGCGAAAGATTGAAGAGGCAGGCTTCGAATATTTACTGGATGTACCAAACAAGCCTGTATGATTATAGTCAATTTCGATAGTATATGCAGATGCTGGGATGTTCCTTGGCGGTGATCATCCGCCCGGGTGCAACCTTCTCCCATTTACCACGAAACGTAACCTGTGGGTTCGGAAGCGAATGGGAAGGCATAGTACCTGGTGTATCAGCAATGCGTGTTCGGCCTTCCCGATCTTTGCAACTTATTTCACTTGGAGAGAATGGCCGTGGGTGGCTCGGTGCTGCCGAAATGCTTTGCTTCCTTTTCCCACCCGAGTGGGGTAAAAGGAAAAGAAACGATACGGCCACGCTACACACGGCAGTCTGTTGCTTTTTATGTAGTGTTCGACGTGAGCAGGTGAGGTGAGTACTCTGAGTTTCTGAGCATACTGCGAGGCTGCACCGCCGACGAGCCAATCAAAATGAATCAAACTCCGAACGCGGGCGGGCCTTCAAATCTCCGGCGTCCTTCCACTTTCGACTCATCGCAGTAACCCCACGTACGCTTTGGAGCATTGTACCAAGTAACTTTCCGCCTCAACCGCAAACATGCCTGGAACACGGGGCCCCGTACCTGTACCGCTCGAGACAAAAGGCCAAAACGTCACACAGGAAATCCTCGATCTCCTCGACACCAAGGAACCCCTCCAGAGCAATGAAGACTTCCCCGCAATATCGCAAGCCGAAATCAAAGCTGCATTAGACAGACTAGCAAGTCGCTTGATGGTGGAATACAAATCATTGGACTCAGAAAAGATTGTTCTTACACCAGAGTCGGAAGGCATCGTGGCAGAAGGTAGCCACGAATTCAAGGTCTGGAAATATGTCAAGGAGAAGGAGAGGGTGCCAATTGCGGATCTGCCTGTACGCATACACTTATCGACTAGTTTGCTGATGCGCGACTAACAACAAATACAGAACATCTTCGGAAAGGAAGCTGCAAGCGTAGGACAGGGCAATGGTTTCAAGAACAAGTGGATCAAGAAGGATGGTAGCGACATCGTTCTTCTACAGACCGAAGAGCCGAAAGATCTCAACCGGGAACTCCTCCAGGGTATCAAAGACACCCAATCCCTCGACGATGCCAAACTCCTTGCGCAGCTAAAGAAGAAGAAGCTTGTCACTGTTACAAAGGTCATCACATACACCATCACAAAGGGACCCAAGTACGCGAAGGAGATACCAGTAGAACACACCGACTTGACTGTCGAACTGCTCACAAACGATGCATGGAAGACCGCCAACTTCAAGCCATACAACTTCGCCGCGCTCGGCGCAAATCAAGATTCTGGCGCATTACATCCTCTGAACAAGGTTAGGCAAGAGTTCAGGAACATCTTCTTCTCACAAGGCTTCGTCGAGATGCCAACAGGACAGTATGTATTGGCTCGGACATCATATGCGTATGTGACTAATATTCTCTAGCTTCGTTGATACTGGTTTCTGGAACTTCGATGCCCTCTTCGTACCACAACAACATCCTGCCCGCGACATGCAAGACACTTTCTTCGTCTCATACCCACCAAAAGCCGACAAGCCGCGGTTAGACCCTGCGAATGAAGCTACGATGGACCGCATGGAGGCTGGATCAAAACGGCTCTTCTCTACACCGGAGAGTGAGAAGAAGGAAAAGAAGCCACGCGACTTTGAGAAGTACTGGCAAGACGTCAAGCAGGTCCACCAAGAGGGCGCCTTCGGTTCAATAGGATGTAAGCCAATGCTGAGCCCCATAGCTAACATGAGCCTTTACTGACCCCACACGCAGACCGCTACCCATGGGAAGAGGACGAATCCCTCCGCCTCGTCCTGCGCACACACACTACCGCAGTCTCAACATGGGCGCTCCACCGCCTCGCTGAAGACCCGCGGCCCGCCCGCTACTTCTCCATCGACCGCGTCTTCCGTAACGAAACAGTCGACGCGACCCATCTCGCCGAGTTCCACCAAATCGAAGGTGTAATCGCAGACTTCGGCCTTACCCTAGGCGGCCTAATGCGTTTCCTCGAAGACTTCTTCGCCAACATGGGTCTCACAAACTTACGCTTCAAACCCGCTTTCAACCCTTACACCGAGCCCAGTATGGAGATCTTTGGCTTCCACGTTGGGCTTAACAAGTGGATTGAGATTGGTAACAGTGGTATGTTCAGGCCGGAGATGTTAGAGCCAATGGGTTTGCCAAAGGATATGAGGGTTTATGGGTTTGGATTGAGTTTGGAGAGGCCGACTATGATGAAGTATGGTGTTAGCAATATTCGCGAGTTGTTGGGTCACAAGGTTGATTTAAGCTGGATTCGGGAACAGCCGGCCGTCCGCTTTGACAAGGAGTAGACTGGTGGAAGAGAGTGGGAAAAAAGGAACTAGACGACGCGCATGACTGTTACGATAGGACTTGTCTTGTGGAAATGATATCCAGAATCGAGACCAAAAGTGTCTTTCGATAGATGGGGTTTGTCCGTGTCTATCTTGTGATGGCTTCAACGTCTTTCATCCCAACTTCTTCCGCGACCTTCTAGCCGGATTTTGTCAGCAACGCTTACACGGGGTTTCGATCCCCGCAGATGCGCTCTTCACCATACCGCGGCTTGCTCTGTCAGGACAGCTCCTGCCTCTACGTAAGCTTTGCGCTTCTTCTGCGTAGGGCCTTGACCTTACGTCAAACCTTTTCCGTACTCATTCATTCTCAACTTAACCGGATTCGTTGCACGCTGCGACCTCATTCCTTCTCCATACTACTCCTGACATTCTCCTCAATCATCTTATTCCTCGCGCCCTTGTAAATCCAGCTCTCACTTTCTTGAATACCCCACCTCTTCTTCGCCCACGTCAACCCATCCTGCCCCAAACCAAATCCTAGTCCAACCAGCAACCCCAATCTTATAGTCCTCGCAGCCGTGCTCACAGGAAACTGATGCCACGCACTCCACAATCCACCCGTCACCATACCCGCCAACCCACTCGACACAAAATCCCTACTCCCATCCACCCCGCGATCGATCCGCCGCATATCCAACTCATCAACCCCTTCCATCTCCTCCATCGTACGTCCCGCTCTCCACGTACCCCGGAAAATATCTAAACTCTCTTCCACAATGAAGAAGACGGACGACCACGCTGCGATGTATGTTCCCTTTTTGAATCCTTCGACAATGCCGTAGCGCCATTTGTAGTAGTTTTTGGACTTGTGGTAAAGGTACCAGCCAGGATTTGAGATGGGCAGGCGGTGCGCGTTTTCGGCACGGAAACGGAGGGACGCCATGTGGCCGGCGTTTAGGGAGCCGAGGGTGAAGCCAGAGAGGAATGAAAGGGATGTTGTGAGGAGGAGGCGTCGGTCAAAGGGCATGCCTAGGCGGGGTGCGTAGGGGAGGGGCTGGGTCGGTCGTGGAGGTGGTGTTGCGAGCATTTCTGAAGGCGGCATCGTGGATGGTTGGGGGGACGTCGCTGCCATTGTGAGTTGCGGTGCCCTGGTTAGGGCGAGTGGGTTGTGTTGCAGTGGTGGGAAGAGGTGTTTGTGAGGTTTGGTGAGGTTTGCGACGGGTGCGGAGGTGGTGCGGAGATGATTGAAAGTCGATATTGACGGAATTTCAAAGGATGCTAGAAATGCTGTTATGAATAATCCGAAAGCTGGGGACAGTACAAATTTCGACAACTCAAACTCGAAGATCACTCTTGGAAGATGAGGCAATTGGAGTGCTGGTGGGTATGTAAAGGTCGAGGAAGCTTGTGAGATCGCGGCGCCAAGATTTCTATGCAAGGGTCCAGGTCGCGCTTTCCCACCCCGCGAACCCCTCCATTGCTTCAGCACCAACGCGTCTAAAGTTCTCGAACACGTCCATCTCATCCGGAAACGTCTAGCAATCCTGAATAGGCGCGTTAAATTCATATCGAAGTACTACTCATCGTTGTCGCCACCTTAAGCCTCTCCCAAGAGGATCATTGCAACACATCACAATGGCGATACCTTCACCACAGACATGGACGCTTCGTCTCAAGTCCAACAAGACCACCGTACTCCTACACGTTGACCCATTACACACGTTTGACACAATCAAGACCTACCTGTACGACGCTTTACAAGAAACCGACTTCAAGAACCCCGAAACCGGCGAATCAATACCATTACCCTCATCAGCTTCAGAGATCCAGCTCGGTCGACCGGTAAACATCAACGATGCGCACGAGGGCTTTCAACTAGGCGAGTGGGAATACACAATCAGCGAGGAAGATCAGGAGGAAGGCAAGGGTAAGGGCAAAGCGAAAGCAGGGAGTGCAAACGGTGGATCAAAAGCAGGCACAGCCGATGTCAAACAATGTCCCAAGGGCGCCGGATTGAAAGACGGCGCTGTGCTGGCTTTCCGGTGGGCTGGCGATGGCAACTGGGATGGTGAAGATGAGTTCGACATCGGCAAGGGAAGACTTGGGAAATCTGGAGACATGTGGGGTGTTACACTGGCAAGCTTTGAGGATGCCTACGGTGTCGAGAATGAGACAGATGTTGGTGGCAGACCAGAATTTGAGGGCTGAGCGGGCACAGACAGCTATCCGTACTATGTACCCGTGAGCCCCCCATTTGAAGAGAGAGTGGAAGCGATGCAATATGGTTACTATTCTCTTTCGAAAATATGTATCACGAATAATTGCTATACAACGTAAGCTACTTTTCGAAACGTCCAATCACGACATCACTGACTGCTGCTTAGCGACCACATGGGATCACGGAGCCTATCAGCATAACCCCACTTCGTGCATTGCATACCTCACAACGACCATATTTTCTTCTTTACAACATCACCTATCCTGCACCTGCTTCGCTGCTACATATCGTGTCCAGTTCGGCGAGGATGAATGCCGCGGTTCACCAGATATCAGCAGCAGAAGATGGCACCGTCTTCAAGCATCGACCCCTTGACCACTCTAAATCATCAATCCGACTTGTACACCTGCTTCCTTTCCTGTCGCCTAAAAGTCACACGCAATGCTACATCACCCACGCCACTGTCGATGCCATATACATGTACCTCTCTTACCGTTGGGGAGATCCCCAACCATCGCACGCCATTACGATCGATGGCAAAATTTTCACAATCAGTGAAAAAAATTTCGACCTCCTTGCTGCCGTACGCGGAAAGGCTGCATCCGATGGCTGTGCTGCACTTGGGTCGTACTGGATAGATACTCTGCGTATTGATCAGCCGAATGTACTTCAGCGCAATCATCAGGTTCGTCAGATGGGAACGATTTACACCCAGGCTGCAACAGACAACGTATGGCTCGGGCACGCGACTTCAGACCTCACTGTTTTGCTGGTAATACAGAAAGACAAGTTCAATAATATTGAGTGGCGTACTTTCATCAACTGCAAAGATATACTCATACAGCATGTCTGGAACAATTTATATTGGACCGTTGCATGGACCGTACAAGAGATAACGCTTGCTAATCAGATAACCATTTGGCTGGCTACAACTTCCATCGATTTGAAAGTCATGCACCAGTGGCTGGACTTTCTCTGGGACCAGGACTCGAGAACTCGATCCAGTCCGTTTTCCCAACTTGCTATTATCTGGCAAGAAGGTTTCGAAAAGCATGGAAGCTTAGTTCAGTTAATCGATTGCTTTCGCGAAAAGGAGTGCTTAGATCCTCGTGGTTGTGTCATTTCACTTCTCTCACCAGTCACTGGCGAAGGCAGAGAACTGAAGGTCGATTACAATGTCTCCCAAGGCAAACTAGCGGCAGAGATCTTGCATCAATGCAAAAGTACTCTGTGTCTCTGCACAGCCATATTGGTCGCACAAACGCTTAAGCTTGACAATGTAGATATTGATGGTCTGGAGGTCGATCGTCGGTCAATACCATGCTTCGAATTTTGCGTTGAAGACATCCCTGTATCCTCCAACTTCTGCCAGAACCCAGAAATAGGCGTGTCACCCTGGCAGGGGTGGGTGGACTCAGGTCTGAGCTTTCAAGAAATCTGTAAGGCTGGTGCATTGTTTCCTCACAAGCTTAATCCGTATTTAACCTATTTAGACGATTCTGGGTTGCTGCACCCAAAAGCTGACGCAGAAGGATGATATCACGTTTAGGCCAGCCGAAGGTTGGGAAGATATCTATATTGTGCGCATCTCACTTTCATTTCTCGTCGAAGATAATGAATCACCCCGTGCGCGTATGTTCGATCGCGAAATATGGATGGGGAAGCGACGCTATCCCTGCCGGCTATCAGCGGATTTGTTATGCTGCCGATTCGCTGCGACAGCCAGGGATAGCAGAGTTGTCATCATTTATTCGTCGCCCTCCGCCACGCCCGCTAACAGCGAGTGTAGTAAAGACCAAGCGACCTTCAGTCCTTAAAAGTGTTTAGACGAAATACTGGGTTCGAGAAAGCACAATACCCGAACGAATACGGAGAGCATTGGCCGAGAACGAAGAATGGCTCTACTGGACATCGAACGACGACGCCTGACGGACAAAAACAATAAATGATTCGGAGCGGACGCGCATCCAAATCATGTCAAATCGACGAAGGCACCCCTCAGTTATTTGAAGTCTCAAATAAGATAGTGGTCGGGACGAAGCTTTGGGTGCATACAATGGAAGAACAGGGCAGTAAAGAACGGCTAAGGTTTTTGACAAACTATTTGTCAGTGGCAAACAAAAACAGGAGATGGTAAACTAGACGAGAAAGACCAGATGCAAGTTACGTGCCGTTGCTTTACTCTCTTCCTTCCCAAAGGAACAGACATTTACCGTTGATGACAATGACCTCGTATGTATACCAGACTGGACTTCATTGATTCGAGTATCAACAAGGGCGCCTTGTGGCTGCCAGGCAAATTCTACACGTACTAATATTTTCACTTCTTGGTTGATAGTCCAATACAACACTCACACCCTACACCTTTGTATATTATAGCTTGTGAGTCCAGAACTAGAGTCTGAGTATACGCGGCCTTGAAGTGTGGCTGGCGGTGTCTTCGTCCAAACTTACCTCCGCGACTTCGGCTAGATCGTTTCTAGTGGAACAAATATGCCTTGAATCTCATGGATGGTATTATTATCCAGGAGTAGATTCCCTGCTTTGTGGGGTATATCAACGTGCTGTTCGGTGTGAAGGTGCGGGCCGGGCAGCGTTCTACAGTCCCCATGATCGATTTCCTGCGCTAGTCATGGTAGCTACCTAGATAGGCTAGTATGTTTACTCTCATTCCGACAGCGAACCAGTAGCGGTGTCAGTCATAGCGAGCACTACGATGAATACGGCAAGCGGCCGAAGCGCTTTACATTGTCCGGTTACGGTTGGCACAAAAGTCGGACGCGCTCCGGCACTTGAAGCCCTAAGCGGTTTGATACGTTTCGCAGTCGAATATTCCACGAATCTGGGGTACGGTACATGGGTATGAGCCGGACATGCTAATGCCATGCGGCTCGCGAAACTCGTGGAAGTAATCGGGGATGCATCACTACTTCTTCTCCGGCGATTTTGATCTGGTCAGCCGAGTGGCATGGGATACTTGCACGCCGACTTAGACCCAATAGAAGTCTTTAGAACCCCTACAACCATGGAGAATGTAGTAGACTACTCAGAGCCGAGGACGGAAGATCGCTGTGCTCGAAGGAGGCATAACCGCTGCTGATCATCGGATGGTGAAGGACAATATTGTATATAACCAGCAAAGAGATGCGTCTTTATGCCCTTCTTCAGATCATTCAATTGCTCAAGTGGTGATCCATCACAGTGTCTTCTTTCTTGCAAGATTTTCCAAGGCGGCACGTCTTCGCAACATGTTCTCCAAGATTGCATCTATTCTCGCCCTTGTGGCCAGCGCTAATGCGCATGGCTACCTATCTTCTCCTATGAGCCGGACTGGCTTGAATGCTCAAGTAAGTGTTATCATCCAGTCGATGATTCTGGAGGCAGCCAGTCTGAAAACAGTCGCTAACATCCTTTAGTCTGGCGCAGATACATGCCCGGAGTGCACCATCCTTGAACCCGTCACAGCATGGCCAGACCTGGACGCTGCCAAGGTGGGCCGCTCAGGTCCTTGCGGATACAACGCTCGCGTATCTGTCGACTATAACCAGCCTGGTCCTCGCTGGGGTTCGCAACCGGTCATCACCTACAAGGGCGGAGATGTGGTTGATGTACAATGGTGCCTCGATGCCAATGGTGACCATGGCGGCATGTTCAGCTACCGCATCTGCCAGAATCAAGCTATCGTCGATAAGCTCTTAACCCCTGGATACCTTCCTACTGAGGCAGAGAAGCAAGCAGCTGAAGATTGCTTCGAGGCCGGCGAGCTGAAGTGCACGGATGTTCCTGGGCAGACATGCGGCTACAACTCTGATTGTCAACAGGGCCAGGCTTGCTGGAGGAACGACTGGTTCACGTGTAAGTGCATGTCAGCATCCTAAGATGAGAACAAAATACTGACTTGAAGAAGGCGGTGGCTTCAATGATGGCTCCAAATGCAGGAGCGTCGACAACGCAGCCCTCAACTCGTGCTATACTAGTATCGCAGGCGGTTACACGGTCAGCTCAAAGATCAAGATACCCAACTACACAAGCAACCACACGCTTCTTTCGTTCAAGTGGAACTCGTTCCAAACTCCGCAAATCTATCTGACGTGTGCCGACATCAAGATTACTGGCAGCGGCTCAGGCGGCACCACTCCACCCACTTCGAGCAAAGCTCCAACGACCACCACGAATCCAACTTCGACGGCAGTACCCAGCGGCTGCGCAACGCCTGTGTCTACTGTAACTGTGACATTCAACTCGAAGACCACAACGGTTGTCGGTCAGACAATCAAGATTGTTGGATCTATCACCCAACTTGGCAGCTGGAACACAGCGTCTGCACCTGCACTATCCGCAAGCCAGTACACCACCTCGAACCCGCTGTGGTCGACAAAGATCAACCTCCCCGCTGGTACCAGCTTCGAATACAAGTTCATCAAGGTCGAAAGCAGTGGTACCGTGACGTACGAGTCAGGTGCTAACCGCGTGTATACCGTGCCGAAGGGGTGCTCTAGCGCAGTCACTGTTGACAGCACGTGGAAGTAGTCTCACTTGTAATCACCCGTTACCATAATGGGATGACTGTGTGTGTTCTTGGGGCAATATAAGAGCAGTGGAGCTTGGTAAATTTTAGCTGTCTTTGAACGCGTGGAACAATGCCGAATACTTGTTGGAACCACCTATGGCTCATTGAGTAAACTTGTGATGACAGATGGTATGGATGTATCACAAATGATGAGTTTTCGTGCATGTACTGTATTGATAGCGATGGATACCTACGCCGCAATGGTGCATGTTTCTGCAGCGCGCTATGTCACGACTGGACTAGCACCCCTTGATTCATCTACACTGATTCACACCGTATCTCTCACTTCAATATCTCCACTTGTCCAGATTTGCGGAGTATGAGTACAGCCATCTTTCTTCCACCGCCTTTCTCACCCCTGGACTGGATCTAAGAGTCTCTCTATTGCAATGACGAATGAATTCGACACGATCGCGGAGAACGCAGGAGATGCCGACCTCGAGGCGTGGGCTATAATAGTGAAGAGCGTGAATGAAGAGATTGTTATTATTTTTGGTCGACAGCTAAAGAGCAGCGTTATGGGGTAATTCATGCGCTACCTCCAGGAATCATGCAATGCCAGTTTTATCGTAAGATCCAGCGAAGATAGAGTTATCATCCGTTTCCCCAAAAGAGGAATAACTGCTACCAACCTTGTTGAGGAAAAGGTGAGAAATGAGGTCAGTATCATGGAGTACCTGATTGAGGCGACCACGATACCTGTTCCAAAGCTACATAGCTAGGGCATGCCGAAAAAAAAGCCCCTCTAAGCTTGGTCCTTATATAATCATGGACTATACTGAGGGCGCGGAGTTGTGGACACTTTTGCAGCAACCAAAAGCTACCCATCACAAAGACTCAGAACGCAATGTCGTATATGAGCAGATGGCCGACTATATGCTTCAGCCCTCCCGAATGAACTTCTCTATAATTAGAACCATCAACAAGTATGCATCGGTCCCATGAACGGTAACTAAATGACCGCTTACCGTCAACATGAACGATCTGGCTACTGTCGCTGCAGACTACCCAGTAGCGAATCATTTTCCCAACGCCCCCATCACCAGCACCAAGAGTTTCCTCCACCATCTTGCGGATGAACATTTGATTTAAATGAAAGCTTAGCGAAACCTTGCACACAGTTGCAAAGATGCAGAAGAGCTCTATACCGCACGCTATAGAATCAAACAACTTATTGAGCGGTTCTACCCTTCTCCAGAAGTAGATGATGACAAACCATCTAAACATAACACCCACAACTTCCGTCCCAAGAACATGCTCGCGAAATGTGGAAACGGAACACTGGAGATTGTCGCCGTTTTGTTGCTCGAGTTTGTTAATACCATGCCCGCGCAATTCGCTTACGACCCGTCCTAGTGGCTCGCCATAGTTAGTCCTGGCCTTCTGCTTGCAGAGCATAGCATGGAAGACTTCGAAGCCTGGTACGTACCGCGCTTGGTACAATTTCTCCAAGCCATGACGAAGGTTGAAGCAAAGCGGAAAGTTGGGGTTGAGAAAGATAGTAGTTGTCTTTCTACTCGTATGCGAGACTTTTGGACATCGAGAAGATTCTGGAACCATTACGGAATCAGGAAAGGCTGAGACGTTGACGTGGTATACTAAAGCGAACTTCATAAACCAGGAGATGAGCAGCAGCTCGATGAGGGCGTGATAAAAGAACTGGGCTCTTTTGCTGATACGAAAATGCAGCAACTAGCAGCGCATAATGCTGAGTGTGAGGCGTGCGGACTCTAGTGGGTCGATCAACCCGATAAGTAGACCGCCAACTTCAAGCAAACGATGACACAGAACGTGGAAGCATATTAGATAAGATCTTGATTCAGTCTTATCTTTGGAACTCTACTCAGTATAGCCATGCCCTTTGCTACGATGATCAACATCCATTGCATTGACTTTGGTATCAAGGAACGCAACCAGAGCAATGAGTAAAGCACCTGTAATTGTAAACCATCTTTAGTACAACACGCGAAAGTGTGTTACAAGACGTACCTGCTGTTACCACGTAGCTTCCGATAGTAAACCCAGTCTGCGTTGTCGCATGCGCGCCCGCTCCAAGCATCGCACCCACAACGGACCAGATGATTGATACTACGAGGCTGAACAGGACGGGGAAAAGTACGAGAATGCTAGTAGCATACGGGTCCCAGGTCCGCACAATGTTCAGAGCATGGGAGCGGTTATTAGTAGATTCAAGAACTTGGTTCTCAATGAGTCTTGTCTTCAAAACTTTTCCTTCTACTCCGTTTGGTCTCTTGAAATGACATATTTGGCGGTTGTAAGGTCCATGGTTGCCTAAAGCCAATGGTGCACCAACACGCTTGCCTACTGTGAGACCCGACTGAAGCTGGTACCAAATGAAACGTTAGTGAGCCGATCAGGAGTACAACACAGAATAACGCAAACTCACCTTGACTATGTCGATTCTTTGGCTGGATTTGGCGCCAAAGGATTCGAAAATGCCACCTGCCGCGCGGTTCAAGTCGTAGAAGATGCGTAAATGCTTCAACAAGGCTTCGTCTTCCCAGTCATCTGCGGTTGAGCAAGGAACTACAAGGGGACAATCGTTATCGATAAAGACCACGATTTCCCAAACGTCAAATTGATTCTGGAGTTTCCATGCCACGGTATAGTCGGTAATGAAATCGTTTACGTCATCGGTGCACAGGAAGTAAGAGTGCCAGAAGAGTCCCCATTTGGGTTGAGCTTGGGATCGAATGATCGCTAAGAACGTGCTCTGCTGAATATTAGTGCCAAAACTAAACGTATGTATGCATGCTATTATGACGTACTAGGATGGATTCTCGCATGGTGATCTTGCTACCAAACTTCCCATTACCGATGCGAAACAGATATAAGCCCTTTGCACAGGCTCTAATACTTAACCAGAGCGCGAAGAACCAGGTGACATTAGATATCTTCATCATCGCCTGGAACCCTGCGCGCCAGTATATCATCCACCTCCATCCAGTCTTACTAAAGGTTTCGGTGACGCATATGCGTTTTCGTTCAACGACTTCCAGGTCGTTGAGCGCCTGAGAAGCGAATGGGTTTTCTGGCATTGGCGCAAATGCCATGAGTCCATGTACCTGGTGATACTGGTACGAGTTACATAGGGCGATTGGCAGACTGGAAGGTGTTAAAGGTGTGATATGCCTAGCTAATCGGTGAAGCTAGAAAGAACAGTAGACACAGGAAGCAAGGATTTGGACAGGATATAGCCATCGTGTGGCGGAAATGTGCTGCAACTTGCTATCACGAGGTTTCTCAGCGCTCAGGTGCGGCAACTTCAACTGAAGCCACGCAAGCTTAGCCTTCCGCGGATGTAAGTTGCACGCTGCAATGGAAATTACAATGATACTATAGAAGCATCCGAAATACTGCAAGTCATTGTATCTTGTTATGTCGCGGTGTAGATACGGTGCAGCCGGAACACAACATCCGGCGATGAAGCTTTGGTAAACGAGCACTTCCTCATCTAAACAACCTAGGCGCACTACTGAATTTTCGATGCGCCAAATGCAGCTGAGATCGATTTACTCGGCATTAGGTTTGTAAAAGGACAGCCATCCAACGAAGTCGAGGTAGAAGAGGTAGAGAGGTGGTGCGATGGCGTTCTGACGCCACAGCGCTGCAGTTGCCCGGCGCCAGCTTAGGCAGCCCCGCCTCGCCCCACCCGTCTCTTCAGCACACCGGCCAACATCAAATCATCAACTCTCACGGTCAACTCTTAATGTACGTGGCTATTGCGATGAGTTAGCGACAAAAGCCGAGCAGCGACTAGGATACTACTTGTAAGAATTAATGCTTTTGAATTTTATAAATCGGTGGGTGATAGTTTCTAAGCTAAAGGCTACCTAGGTACTATAACAGCAGATAGTATGGAAGTCGTGTTAAGCTCAGTCACGAATGTAACATTTGCGAGATTCGAAGAAAGCCTTAACATACGTCTCAATATGAGAAGAAGGTCGGTTTTCTCCAAGAACTCCATAACAGTGCATCATGTGATCCCGGTCCAGATAAACGTCGAGGAAGGGTCCATGGGGTCGCGAGACGGCTCTGATCGATCCATTGACCAAGTAACGACAATGATTCAGGTGTTCTTCAAACGTCACCCAGAGCCCATCTGGATACCTGCTATTATCTCCCTCCATAACTGTGTCTTGGTGTACTCGATGCTCGCCATTTCGGTCCTTAAAGAAACCGTAGTCCTTGCCGTCAACGAAGTCGTGATGCATAGTTGCGTCGAAGCACAGGTCGGGGATCCAACCGTTGGCGAGGAGATCGAAAGAACAGCCCGATTTCCGCGCCGATGATGGGTTCTCTGGACAGGCTATGAATGTGCCTTTATCGTCATGCTGGATGTGCAGGCTAGTGCGGTTGAATGCGTTACTTCGTGTGCTTGTGGCGAAGAGGAAGTAAGAGACTGGAACAAGCAGTATCAGAATAACGGCAACAGCTACCATTATGACAACTTTCGGTAGGCGTCTGCGTTTCTCCCTGCCGTGAAGGTCCGCTGGGATTGTAGACTCAGGGTTGGGTATGGCGACATATTCTTTGGTACTGTCGCGCCGTGAAGGCTTCGTCAAAAGTGATCCCATGATCCTCAGTGACTTGTCGACCTTATATAAATCAAAAATCGTCCTTCAATCCGGGCTCAAACCTGAAGGTTGGAGGCAAGGGCAACTGTGCTGGCGATACGAAATTCCCACGACGTCCTTTCGGGATGGTCGAGCGCTATGGGTCTTCTCAGAAGTTCTCTTTTTCCGCAACGATCGTCTTGAGGGCGTATGCTCTCCGATGTCAAAGGGCTGTGCAGGAAAGCTCCTTCCCAATATAGTGAGTAGGTTCCGATTCGACGTAATAGCCGTTTTGCTATGTGGATACTAGCAACGAACTTTTGAAACGTTCAATGATACGACCCAACGTCAATTTCGCATGCTACAAGCCTGGGAAGATCCAGACGCCGCTCCCATGATGACGTAGCGACAGCAATCACCTAATAGTGGAGTGGAATGTTGAATCGACGAAGATGTCCCGATGACTAAGTTATAGTAAGCCGTCACTGAGTAGAGAGTCACACCACCAGAGGCGGTGTACCGTGGTCTTCGGCTAGATCAAGTTACAGTATCACTCCGCATTGCACGTGTAATATAGGTTAAAGACCCGATTGGAACGGGCTGGTGCATAGCGCTTCGGCGCGAAGCGCAGATCCCCGATAACCTCGTCGTTGAGGATTCAGTGTCTTGGTGAGCATGGTTCGGTCTTTCTTGATGACCTCTTCCTTCCCTTCCTCACGAGACTCACTGGGAGTCTACTGCCCGTTCTTTAGGTATGCTGTACTTTTGTGCAAATTTCAACTATCGATTTGGTAGGAACATCCAGAATGGAACAAGGAAAATGGGGATCTGGGGGCGGGGAGAGGGAGGGGGAGGTTCGGTGGAGAGCTTCGTGGCCCTGAGGCGCTTTCGTGATCAAAGCGCCGATGAGCGAGGTAATGTGATTTGATTCTGCACGTTTGCGGCATAGTAAAGATCTGCAAGCGCATATTAAGACACGCCCAGCGGGCTTATCCTCCGGTGGGGTCTCGGCAAACACTTAGCATAGAATAGTGCGTCGGCGGTATCCGAATTCGGTCCGATCACTACTTATGTCTGGGATAGTTCTCACTTGAGAGCCTCTTTCTTGCATGTAGAGCGTACGAAAAGCGGAAGGTGTGAATGGCTCTTCGGTCACAGGTTATTGTCGATCCCGAGCTCCGATCATCACGTTGATTAAATAAATGCTTTGAAATCGTTAAAATCTTTGAGATCGAGAGCGAGAATTGTTTGGGGGTGGGGGTAACGGAGCATGTACGATCATCTGCCTATCCCTTGTGAAGTGTCTCCTAATCCCCCGTTGAGATGACAGCGTACGCATACGGCGCGTGCGTACCTAGGTAATTCTCATGTATCTGCTGCCAGAATATCATGGTGGCCACCAACGTGTCAAATGATCCTAGTAGCATACGTTTCATATTCAATGGCAATTCAGACACAGCTAAGTTCTCCAGAGGCTTCTCTCAAGTTCAATCCAAGTAGCATGTACGCAAGCCACAAACAAAGCTCAAAGCTTTCGGCATCATGGTGTATCTAAGCTAGGTCGAGCATTTAGTAGCTTTTTTTCAAGTGTATTCACAGTCATCAATGCTTCATAGCTTTATTCTCTACATTGGAAATCTTGTAAATTACTAGGAACATGAATGACTTATATTAACATGGTTTACAAGCGAGCGCCGCGTACAAGCGAGCGCCGCACCCCACCAACTTTGCGCACCTCTACAGTCGTATATCTTAACAACGTGATAATATGATATATAGATATTTATATAGCAGATTAAGCAGTATCTTTAGTATCCTCCTTGCATGTACGTGAGTTGTGGCCAGTCTCCCTGCACCTCGTGCAGCGCGCCAGAGCCTGGCGGCTGAGTCTTGATCGCGCTCCTCCTTGACGCTCTTCACGAGAAATCTGCTGCTCAACCTCACGTTAAGCGAGTATATCCTCTCCCTCTCCCTTTGTTAAGGTCCCTCGCTTCTGTATACGCTTTTTTTTACGCTGTTTACGCGCTGAGGCTGCCTCATTAGCCCTCTCAAGGCTGGCAATCCGATCGCGCATCAGCTCAGCTGAGAGCATCATCACCTCAGCGCCCTTCTTAAGCTGGTCAATCGCTTCAATAATAGAGGCAGGCGATGAGCTCTTGTGCCGCCGAACGCGATTACGTATCAACGTTGATTGAGCCTCAAGCTCGCGTACGTTGCTCGGCGTACGCGCCTCCCAGAGGGCCTCTGGCAGGGCAGCTGGAGTAGGCGTACGCAGCTGCACGTCAAGCTTCGATAGTACAGTATCTAGTTGGAGAGGCACGAGGCCTGCGCCTCGAAAAGCTGAGCAGATATTGACTGATGTGAACGATCGATCAAAGGCTGCCTTGAACGCTGGCAGAAACTCGAGCTTGGTGATGTGGTTGATGTGGTGGCGGATCAGGCTCTCTACCTCACGACTGTACGCGCGCTTCAACGGCGAGAAGCAGCCAACGTTAAGAGGCTGGAGTAGGTGAGATGAGTGAGGTGGCATACAGAGCGTGTAGATGTTGTTCTCCTTGCAGAGCTCTTGAAACTCAAGAGAGTGGTGGCTCCCATGGCCATCAAGGACGAGCAGACGACGCGCACTAACAACGCGAGTCTTCATGTAAGCGTTAAAGTGCTTTAGCCACTCAACTCCTAGCTCGTTATTTATCTAGCTATTGTCGCTAATTGCAATCGCCTAGTCGCGTGGGATATCCTCCTCGTACTAGGCAGACAGGTGATACTAGCTAGCAAAGATAAGGAATAGTGGGATTGTCCAGCTAGCTGCGTTGATCGCAGTAATTAACGTTACCTACTTACGATTGCCTGGCTGAATAGCCTTTGGTCTGCCTCTTCTATCTGACCCTGTCACGATAAGCTTAGTCGTGATCTTGCCCATTATAAAGCCAGCCTCGTCGAAGTTGTAGACGTCCTCATCGCAGATGCCGTACTTAGTCTTTGTCTCCTCTACAAGCTTAAACTAGCTCCTAATTAGAGCTGGATCCTCGCATAGAGCTTGCTGCCTATCGTACGGTCGATTAAAACACGTCGTGAGACTGTCTGTACGCTTGACAAAGTTGCGCGGCCAGTGGACGCCGACCTGACCAGCGCCGCGCGTAGTTAGTAGCCTATTAGCTATATCACGTACAGCTTCGTACGTAGGCGCAAATCCACGCTGATCTAGGTCGAGTATATAGCTAATAATCACCTCCTCTTCTCTCTGGGTAAGCTTTCTTGAGTTAGGCTGGCAATCGCGTCGGGCAGGTACACCAGCGCGTCGGCGGCGGCGGATCGTTCGTTCAGACACGCTATAGATAGCAGCAGCATTGCGATTACTCTGTATTTGATAAGATTTAATAGAGAAGATAGCAAGCTGAATATCTGCTTCATTTGAAGCTGGTAGAGTAGCGCTACGCTGAGCCATTGTACGTTAAGATGAGAGAGGTGCGCAAAGTTGGTGGGGTGCGGCGCTCGCTTGTAAACCATGTTATATACAATTTGGTTATGCTAAGACTGTACTAATTTGCAGCGAAGTGCGGCCCCAGGACGATGGATTTCAGTCGGGCCCGGGGAGGTGATATTACCTGAAAGCAGTTCGGTACAGTGCTTTGTATGTTTAGAATTTGCCGCAATGTGGTTTAGATAAACATCATGGTGCCCAGACGAAGCCATCGCCGCTGCCAATGCTGCAAGCTCAAGGATATATACACAGTGTATTGTATAGTATTCATCGAATGTCCAGACTGTCTCATGTTGTGAAATTTCCAAGGGGTCTTCTGGTATCGGCTCTGTGAGGTTTGGCCAGCGGAAAAACATAGGTTTCGGGATTTTTGCGGCGTATTCTTTGGATAAGGCTGCGTTATAGCATTCTGGCGGCGTCCATTGGGGGGCAACAATATCGTACATACATCCGGCTGCGATAGCTGTTGAGTAGTTGCTACCGCAATCGGTGTATGATTTCGATGATTTTGATGCTTCGTCTGTTTGCAGGGTCGCGGATACTCCCAGCCATGCGAGCGATCCAACAACCATTGTAAAAAGGAACAAAGCCACAGCCACTACATTGGCATGCACGATGCGTCGGTGGTTTTTGGGCCAGGGTGATTCCAAAGAAGAGGTCTTATGGAGTAATGTGTCTTGTTCTTCCAAATCTTCTGGTAGTGGTTTTTGGCGACAGCTGTCATCAAGCGGTAGTGTTCCAACCCCAGGTTTCGGTGATTGAAATAATGCAGGCATCGGAAGCCTTCTTCCCACTTCTCTGGTGAAAGAGCTAAGTCGAGTTAAGATTTCAATGGCCATTCCCTCTGTCAGGTAGTTGGTACTTATGACGGGACGATTTATCTCGATCACTTGTCAAACTTTACCTTGGTGGATGAACATTCTAGGGATTTCCAGAGGCTGGCGCATCTTACTCAGCGATTTTCTATTTACAAGCTCATCTAGTAATGCGTCTTACTGCCTACCCAGATAGGTACGCGTTGTAACCCAGTAGCACGCGTGAGGCGCCATGACATGGTTCAGGCATGTTAGTTGCGTTGTTAAAGTTTCGGGTACCGATACGTTCGTCATGCGTCGGCCCGAGAAATTAGGCCGCACTACGACTGCTACGTATACCTAGGTAGTCTCCACCTCATATTACGCGCTACCGAAGTCGCTCCATGAAGGTTAGTACGGCATCCTGGTTACATGTGCGGGTAGAATCGTTTTGTCTCTATCAACAGAAAGACGATGCGGATCGAATCGTCCAAAGACCATCCGGCCGTATACATGACGGACATACTACTTCATCCGAATCACACAGTTAATATTAAGCACCTTGTTTTAACTCGCTACCATCTCAGTTGCATGAGCCGCAGACGTCACCAAACTCAATGTCACCAAAAGAGATCCAAGGAATCATGCCACGACCAGAGGAAGACGAGGACTGGAGAACGTTGACCGATGCTAACGAGCGACGAAGAGTACAAAACCGAATTGCGCAGCGTAACTATCGTAAGCGATCCACTCCAGGTAGACTCCGCTTATGACTAATCTCTTAGGCCGCAACATCAAGCGCCGACTACAGCAACTAGACATGTTCAAAGGGTGCATATCAGGTAGCCCACCAACACCCAAGGAAAGGCAGCAATCTCGTCGAATGCTGCCTAGAGATTTGACACAATCCAAGGAGACACGTCGACATTCAATTTCCCCTGCGGCTCCGGATGCGCTATTGCCTAGTTTAGAAACAATCAATGTCCCAGCAACAGGATCTTCAAATGGGTCTTCTGTCCAAACGTTCCTGTTCGGCAGTACAGAAGAGACAGAAAACATTTCGCCCATGTCAAATCAAGAAAACTGCGACATCGCCTCGCAACAAAAGAATGATGGCAGTACCGTATTTGATCTCACAACACCCCTCACAGATTTAGAGAACGATATCATCTTGTTTGTATGTTCGCCACAATGTCTTTTGCTTCAACTTTGTTGACGTTGAGTTGCTAACAGTGTCTTGACTAGGGTCGCACCACGGTTCCGTCATCGGAATCGACATCCTCGTCACATTCTACCCTATCTTCAAGTCTCAATGCTTTACAAAAAACTGTAATAAGAGGTCGTGATAGTATTGCAGAGCTTCTCGTTGAAAATGGGGCAGACGTCTACATTGTGGACGATTACGGAAACAATCTCTTACATCTCGCTGCGCAGTCCGGCCACGCGTCCCTGATCTCATTCGCCTTGTCGCATTGCGTGAATGTCAACGCCATCAATGTGGCAGGGGAGACACCGTTGCATGTAGCAATAGAGCATGACTATGTGGAGATTGTAGATATGTTAATAAGAGCTGGAGCGGACATGGAATTTAAGTCGTAACGGGTACTGATATCGAAACATTTTTGCATACGGACTTGGTGTATTGCCGTAGTGTCAGATGTTAATCATAGCGATCGAGAATGTGCTGTATGGTGAATCGCAAGCGTTGAAATTGACTTCAGTTTGCCGGCTCACTTACACCCTAAAAGCAAGCCAAGCAGCTACTGCTCCAGGAATCCCTGTCCAACCTATCACCCACACTAAGGCATTCCCGTCATTTAGCTTTTGCGCAATCCAAAAGATCGCACTACTGACAAGAGCAGCAAGGACCTGCGGCATGGATATAGCAGCATTGTGCAAACCCATGATTCTGCCGCCGTGTACCACGCTCCATACATCATCATCGTCTCTTTTGGCAGATTCATCGTCGATACAATGTCTTGCTGTCTCCTCTCCGATTATGGCGAACGGGACCCATTGAGTTACACCCCATGAAAACCCTGCGATGGCGATCATGAAGATTCCTGTCGTACTTGAAGACACCATAGTCGTGGACAGAACACTCGCCACATAAACCGCCTGACCAAAACTCCAGATGGCGCCTAGTTGGGAGAAAGAGTCATGCGTGTTTTCGTTGTGGATACCGGCCCTTGCCATCATCGATTTCAACATTATTGAAAGGCTCGGCAGCACAATGTTTGTTACTAGGGCCACAGTGGCGAAAAGCAAGTTTGCCCTGGCTCCCAGCCTCATCCCGTGATCTTTGAGTGATGAGCTTATCGTGACATTGTTTCTTGCCTGTTCGTCGACGTAGAGCTGTCCGATAAAGCTTGTACTATAGAAGAGGAATCCAAACCATCCTATCCACGAAAAGAATTGGATGAGATAAACGTGCCGTACCCTCTTTGAAGTTTGTGAGAAGCCATCCATAAGGTATTGGAAAATTCGAAAGACTTGGCATTTACCTCCTGGCTCGTATGTTGACAATAGTGGATTCTCCTCCTCGGTAAAGTAGCAGCTGATGAACGACGTGGTGATAAGCACAAAGGTAGTGCAGTAAACCATATACCGGAAACGCATGGCTTCATAGTCACCTGAGATCCAAGGAAGCGATAAAGATCCAAGGACATAGCCAATAATGTTTCCCACACCAGCAAATCGACTTGCCCATGCGCTTGCCATAGATTGTTGTTCCCGTGGACAGATGTCGATACTCAACGAGCGAAGGGCCAATTGAAGGGGCTGGATTGAAACGTTGAGAATGATGATCGATAGGATGGCCACAGACCGTGTGACAGTTCCCCAGCGACCATCGGCGTTGCCTATGTCGAACAGTGTGCAAACTACTGTTGAAATTGGCTCAGCCCAGGCTAACGTTGTAGCAGCAAAGATGGTAGACACCGCTCCTCCAAGGATAAATGGTCTCCGCCGGCCCCATGGAATACGTGATCGATCACTGATGACACCCATAACAGGTTGAATGGTTGAGCCACAGATTGGCGCAACTGCCCATATAAGGGATGACTGAGTTGTGGATATACCGAGAGAAAAAAGGTACGATGAGCCATGGGAAAAGATTGTGGACCATAACACTTGTAATCTGCAGACTAAGATTAGTTGCAAGACTATCGTTATCGCTTCGATGTGTGACTTACCCTCCAACTCCACATGTCATGGCCATAAGTGATCTGGTGGATAGCTTTCGATGCCCTTGCATCGATGGCTCTGTGAGGGCTTCGGCACCCATGATACGGGCGCTCGAGGGTGCAAAGCCTCCTTCAAAGGCTGTGAGAGATAGCATTGAACGTCCTTCGTCTTTCGATGACTGCGAGGCCAAGTCCTCAGCTATCCTTAGCTCAGCCATGCGTGTCAATGGCCAAAGTGCGTCGAATAGGATCCTAATCTTCAGAAGAGAGGATTCGAGCTGCAAAAGTTGAATAGCATATCAGTGCCCTATGCGAACTTACTCCACCCTTCTTGCCGTTCTGGAGCCAGTGACAGGGCTTAGGCGGTACCTGAAGAGCTTACTACAAGGGTTTAGTAATCACATGTGTAAGATGCCGCTAACCTTACTTGTTGGCACCACATCTGGTGTTTTTATTGCAGTTGCTGACGGTACTGTCATCATTATCTGTGGATGGTCTGGGTGTGTCTAAGTATCAATCTGCGGTGGCGTTGGTCTGGCGTACTGCAAAGCCAAGGCGTAGCATTTCGAACTGCTCCTTGACATTGCGCGAATACTGGGCGCCTCTTGTTAAACATGAAGTACCTGTTTCCAGCGGGACAGGTTCGTGGTTGGGTGATGGCAAAGCAGGCGGGCTAGCAGGCGTTGGGCGCAGCGTTCCCTTGAACACCGGCCCCAAAGTTGCAATCAAGCGCCGGGAAAAACACAGTCCACTCCCGAGCCCCGCGCCTACCATCCCAACTGCGATTGATGCAACCTCCCAACTTCATCCATCCATAATCCACCACCACCACTTGATATATCTCGGATTTACGTGCGCATTTTCTTCGTCATGTTTCTTGATGGTGTTTCTGACCTCGGCTCAAACCGTCATCCATGATACCGAGGCTAAGCCTTGGTACCCAGGTACCAGAGCCAGCCGACTTTCATACTTTACGCAAATTCCCGTTTTATTCTTTACGCAAGTTTACGAAACTCTAAACTACTGTTACTCAAGACTTTTCACTCGTTTTTTATTTTATCACTTCCACGGTTCCTGTCGCACTCGCGCAACCCAGGCGTCAACGTTCCAAAACGTCTTAGCAGCCTAAAGTGATAACTACATGCAACCCCGTCGAAGAAGTTAAGCAGGAACTTGACAACTGGAATACCCTGCCTCTGTTCTTGTCCGTATCTCATCTAAGAAAGAAGTAGGCATATCAAGATGCTCCATTGAAGTTAAGCTGCAATGCTCCGTATGGTGCATCGAGAGAACATGCTTATCCAACAACCTTGCATCCTTCTCAAACCCATCATGCAATCTTCTCCACATTAGAGCACAATGGATCATGTGCTCCCGTACTGGTGTCCAATAACCATCCGGTATCAGGTATTCTGACATCTCCTCTTCGGTGAGCTGACGAGTAGCGTTGGCAGAGTCATATGCCAGCCAGGGAGCCATACGCTTGAAGTCGGCGAGATTTTCCGTGTCAAGACAAGGATTAGGAACCCAGATGTTTCCTAGTACGTCGTACGTGCAACCATTCTTTCGTGCTTCAGCAGGGGTAGATCCGCAGCTCAATGTCTTCATCTTAGGCCCGTGCGGTGGAAAGGGACGGAGAACGAATCCGACAAGAACCGTCAGTCCCACAGCCAACAAAACATTCAAAATGTAGGGTACTATGGGATATCGAGATTGCCTTCCGCTATGTGTTGCATCCATTTCATGTTTGTTGGGTCGGATTGGTGTGTCTTCGCTTTGGTCTGAAGTAGAAGATGGCGTAAAGTTCGGGTACGTTGCTGGGCGTACGAGAAGGGAGCGGATAGTGGTCACTACCACGCGGATGGGTCTTTCGATGAAACTTGAGTAAACTAGAGACATGTGACTTGTGCTCTGATGTGTTGCGGATGGAACAAATCTAGGCAAAGAGGACGAAGCTATTGCGGAAAGGGATCGGAAAACTCAGATGTTATGTGGGCGTATATGAGTGTGTAGAGGCTCATTTTCCAAGAGTATCTTTCAATCGTTGTCATTCAAGATCTATTCTTCCGTTGTCATTGAATGAGCGCACAGATCGTCGTGATATAGTCAGCTCTAGTCGCTTCGTAAGACGCTGACTACAGCACCACAAGTGACCATTTCGGGTTAACTCCAATAATTTGAACCCGGATTTTACTAACAGCACTCTACATTGTGTTCAAAGGGAAATGGCAGTTTGGAATCTTTTTTGATGCAACAACCATAGGAAATATGAACCGAGTCAACATCTTTCTCACATCGCTCTTTGCTGCAATCAACGTCTGCCGAGGGTCAGAGCCAGTACAGATATGTCACATTGAGCCAGCGCTGCACTCAGATGCATGTGTGGCTGTGAAAACTGTAAAGTCGCAGCATGAGAGGGGGCATGATCTGTTTATGACATTTTCTGTCAAATTCCATCAACACAGCGGCTGGGCAGCCTTCGGAGTGGGAGACAAAATGGATCGAGCTTTGATGTTTGCGCTATGGCCAGGAGAACAGGAGGGTGGTAAGTTGCTCAATTCTCCGATACCTTTAGAAGGAGATACTGACATAGCGAGATATTGTTTTGTCATAACGCTCGACAACCGAACACCGTCCTCCACATCCACTCAAGAACCAGAGACAGGTCCACGTTCACAGCACGGAAGTTGATCGAAACGGATTTCATGTTCTACAAGCCACTTGTTACTCATGCGAGACGGTTGGGCTAGGTCCACTGAATGCTGCAAGCGAACAGCAACCATGGTTGTTCGCGAGCAGCTATGCACAGCAGACCAAGACCAGGATCCAAACTTGCACATAGATATGCATACAGACTACGGTACGCTACTGCTATCTCTCTCGATCTGGGAAGATATTTATCTGACTGTCATACAGGGCTCAAATGGGTCAATATGGCCCAGGCGATATCCACGAACAAGATCGAAGAGTATCCTATAGTCACTGCAGATCGTTCTTCGATTCATGCTACAGATTCTTCTGGATCCAACGGATCAGCCGTTTCTACGTCAGTCAACATGTGGGATGTGCACGGATTGATATTATCCTTTTCAGTCATCCTCAACTGTCTTGGAATACTATTGATCCGCAGCGGACTCAAGTGGGCGTTTCGCGGTCATTGGATCGTGCAAGCTCTCTCCGCCCTTGGGTTGCTGATCGGTTGTCTCATTGGTGTTCTGAAAAGCACACATGTATTTCAGGTATGCAATTCGAGACCTTAACAGTATTCCTGGCTAGCTAACACTACAAAGATTGGGACTTTCGCGTCGACACACAAGTTGGTTGGACTTGCGATCGCTGTTGCAGTACCTGTTCAGATTACGTTCGGCTACAAACACCACGTCAACTACATCAAGTACGGAGAACGTACTACATCTTCCTTGGTTCATATCTATCTTGGTCGAGCCCTCTTTATAGCGTTGAACGTAAACGTCTTCCTGGGGCTGTTACATGAGAGGAAAAGCAGTACCTTGCGATGGCTGTGGGCAGTGGTCGTTCTCTTCGAGATGTTGGCGGTAGGCACGATGATGTTTGCGAAGCGCACCAAAACTGGGAAGGGATATGGGCAGGTAGAAGGCGAAGAGTTTGATCCATTTGTGATTGAAGACGAAGAAGAGAAGTTGAGAGATCCTGAGTCATTCGACTCAGGACCAAGCAATGACTCGTAGAGTATCTTACTCAACGTCCGAGTAGAAAAGGTCCCCCTGGGACCTCAATGCTAAGGTGGCTTCCAATGGAACATGGACATACCGGTCTGATGGAGATATCGTCCCGGTAACGTCTACAGAATTAACTTTGAAAAACTTCTCGGACAATATCTTCCTACCAAGCATAGATACTCACAATCATTGTTATTCTTTTCGAGAACGGGTGCGTATTTTGGACCACGAAGAATATCGCAATTTTGATCCACGCTTCGTGATTCAGCTAGCTAGTTCTACATAACAATGTTCGCCGTAATATGAAGATGCAATTCACGATATATCCTTCTGGAAGATAATAACATCTCCAGGCTCTCAATGATGCATGATTTGACCGTTACCGTCTCCAGGGAGAATCGTACCACCGCTCGTGTTTTTGACATCAAGATCTATCCTTCGGTAACCAGGAGAATTATCTGCAATACACGTGTGAACAGATGTTTGATGCAGAGTAAGGAAATTCCCGTGATTCGTCAGGGCTAAGTAAGACCCGATGATTAGCTACAACCTGAACAGTCATCATCCATCACGTAAGCAATTGCTAACGTTCTATGTCATGGTTAGAATGATGGGTTACGAGAGCAATGATATGTCCTAGTCTTAGAATGTTAAAGCTAGTCGCGAAAGAGCTACTAAGCCACGTGAATGTCGAGTGGAGTAGGGGTAAGCCAACCTTGAAGTGAGTAAGGCCCAGGGACAGTTGGAGTGAGGGTTTCTGAACGAACATCTGGGTTGTTGATAGTGCATACCTCTTGGGAAGCTTGAAGGTACTTAAGGATAACATCCCACCACCATCTCAGTACCATCCCATCAAACAAGCCATCATCCCATCTTCCAATCCACCGCTTATCCTTTTTTTTGAGGGTCTTCCATTCCACACACCATCATGAAGTCGGCTACCATCCTGTCCGTGCTCATGGGCATGACCACCCTCGTTTCTGCACTACCTGTTGAAGGCACCAATGGCCTCGGCCTTGTCGAACCTAGTAAGTGAGCCAAAGGGCATAAGTAGCGTTGGAAGGTTTCTAACCAAGCTTGCCACTTCAGTTGGGCTCGCAAAGCGACTTCCACAAAAGAAGATCGATGCTGTCGACGTCGAGAAGCGCCAAAAGAAGATAGACGCTGTCGACGTCGAGAAGCGCCAGAAGAAGATTGACGCCATTGATGTCGAGAAGCGACAGAAGAAGATCGACGCTGTTGATGTCGAGAAGCGATCTCCTCAGAAAAAGATTGACGCCGTTGACATCGAGAAGCGTCAGAAGAAGATTGATGCGGTGGATGTGGAGAAGCGCCAGAAGAAGATCGATGCTGTTGACGTCGAGAAGCGATCTCCTCAAAAAAAGATTGACGCCGTTGACGTCGAGAAGCGACAGAAGAAGATTGATGCGGTGGATGTGGAGAAGCGCCAAAAGAAGATTGACGCCGTTGACGTTGAGAAGCGTCAGAAGAAGATCGACGCTGTTGATGTCGAGAAGCGATCTCCACAGAAGAAGATTGACGCTGTCGATGTTGAGTAGAGTCAGAATATCGAGGTCACAGATCATTGATTCTGTGAACACTCACGCTCAGCATGTCAGATCGCTTTGGTCATGGTTGATAACGATGATGAATTGGACGACCTGTGGTGGTACGGGAATAGGATTGGATATGGTGTATGCAAGGTACCTTGGAACCTAGTCCACTCGTTTGTTCGTATTTTAGTATGCTGGAATTGATTTTGTTTTGAATTTGGTTGTGCCCAGAACTTATGCATCTGCCTAGTTCGTGGAAAGGAATATAGGAAAAAGACAAGTTACTACACGATAAGTGTTATACCTAGACCTACATATCTTAGTCAGGTTACCTCGAGGAATTCTGGATGTGTCTATGAGCAACAGACTTTAACTGAGCGCTGGCGGCAGTACCCATAAGCATCACTTGCACTGCTTGTGACTCAATGGCTTTATGAGGATGATGCCGTTCAACGGGTGTCCTTTTGTGACCGCGTTGTACAATAGCATACCTAGCGTAATGCTGTCGGTTTGTAGTCTTGGTCCTCAACTTGAAGTGTCAGACGGGGCTGAAAATCGTGATCTTGGTTGTGTCGGTCTCAAAGCCCAGCACGTCAGTCCTAGTACACTTTTAAAGCACGATCCTAGAAGGTTCAGGGACTCCAGGAACGGAAGCCCAGTGTAGGATATGGAAATCTAGACGTCTCCGGCGGAGATACACATCTCCACCCCTGGCAAGCCAATGGAAAACTCTGCAGTCGCATTCATTCTCGCAAACTTCAACGTTTCTGCACCGGGGGGCACCTGCAGGAGATGTCCATCGTGTATCGGCGTTCAGCGAACATGTGGAGGTAGGGAAAAACGAAAATTTGATGCTCGATGCCATCATCTGCACGGTTACCAAAGCTCCCTGTCCGCGGCTGACTCGCGCGTCTATTGGCTGTCGCGAGGAGCAAGCCTCACCAGAGAGTTGCAGAGGATCGCATCTTGATAACGACGGGGAATGTGAATCACATCGTGAGATTGAATACGGATCGTCTGTATGAGCGCATAGCCTTCGTAGAAATAGCTCACACGTGGTATAACTGCGTAATGGGAGTCCTAAAACCCCAGCGTTTTGTGATCACGCGCGATCCAGCGCGTCGGATTGTCAGCGCCTTCATGCACCCGGGCTGCAAGCCAGCAAGTCCCCGCTTTGCGCCATTCGATGCGGTGCTTGTGTATATAGGACCCTGCTTCCCATTTTTTTGTGCGCCACGTATCCAGTCGCGGACTTGAGTTCCGTGGTACTTTTATCGAGGTGGTTTGGTTGGCCAATTGCTGCGCCGAGGTTCCTGAGCAGAGTTGGAACGACGTCATATCCGGATAATCTTTGAACACCAGCTGGAGAGCATCAGAAGCACGGCTCCTAGCAAGAGAAGAGTACAAAATACGAAGGAATTCTGAGAGTCCAAGGCCGACACAAGACGACGAAATATTAGCCCAGCATGTCGCTGTCTCAACGAGTAACGTCGATGGAGGAGCATGAGCCATGGAGTAGAGAGGCGAGCCCGGACTCTAGGCACCGGAAGATGAGCTTCAACCCAGTTGGCGCATGGACGGAGCAAACAGGCGAGGAGACAACGATAGGCGCATTCGAAGTGCCTAGGTGGAAGCGACTGCGTATGTATCAAGAGGTGTACGTTATGGGCCTACGATAGCTAACATCGCGTAGTCCAGGTCTTCTTTGCCGTTGTCTACTGCCTCTTCGCCGCCGGTGTCGTCTTCGGTTACGCTGCGATAAAGCCCGTCCTGCTCGACGAGGGGGTATACAGAGACTACTGTACGAAGGAAGAGCTGGATCAAGATGTACACGTCTGCTATGAGCAGGAGCTTAGGCTCAACCTCATGTTCACGATCGCCGCTGTATCCACAAACGTCGTCGCGCTTCCCGTCGGCACCATCCTCGATCGCTTCGGCCCACGCGTATGCGGAATAACCGGTGCGATATCCATAACGATTGGCGCGTTGCTATTCGCGTTCGCGAAGGAATTGCCTGTCGATACATTCATTCCTGGCTATCTGTTTATGGCATTGGGCGGACCGTTCATCTTCATCTCGTCGTTCCAGCTCAGCAACACCTTCCCCCAGTACTCTGGACTTATCTTGGCGCTTTTGACTGGTGCTTTCGATACTTCGAGCGCCATCTTCTTGATGTATCGACTTATTTACCAGGGTACAGATGGCAACTTCTCGATTAAGAAGTTCTTTCTCATCTATCTCGTCGTTCCTGCTTTTATCCTTGCGGTCCAGGTCCTTTTCATGCCATCCGTGTCTTACAAGACTGTTGGAGAACTGGTAGATACCGCCGAAGAGGAACAAGTCATTCATGACTCGGATGACGAAATCCAAGATGCAGCGACCGTTCGAAGCATACAGGATGCGCGACGAGCACACCGTGACAGCATCGTTAGCGAAATAACATCTTTGCTTGGCACGAAAGACGGCCAGAAGCAGGCACAAGAGGAGGAGAAGAAGAAGAACATCTCGGGTGTTTGGGGAGCGCTACACGGTCGCACGGCCAGCCAGCAGATTCGTACTCCCTGGTTCATTCTCATCACGCTGTTCACTGTGCTGCAGATGACGCGTATCAACTATTTCGTGGCTACGATCCGGACGCAATACACATACCTCTTCCACGACTACAACAAGGCGGTCGAGATCAACAACTTCTTCGACGTCGCGCTTCCGGTCGGAGGTGTCTTGTCAGTACCATTTATCGGGCTGCTCCTAGATAACACGAGCACTACGTTTACGCTATCCCTACTCGTCACCGTCGCCACCACTATCGGTGTGCTGGGTGTGATCCCAGAGACATGGGCTGCGTACGCCAACATTGTCCTTTTCGTACTTTACAGACCTCTATACTACACCGCAGTGTCGTAAGTCAACCCCCCTCAATATATCCAATCCCTTATTGCTAACACCCCACCTAGCGACTACTCTGCCAAAGTCTTCGGCTTCGCCACCTTCGGCAAAGTCTACGGCCTCATCATCTGCCTCGCCGGTGTCCTCAACTTCTCGCAATCTGCCCTCGACGCAGCTACACATAAGACCTTCAAGAACGACCCTGTGCCCATCAACGTTATTCTGCTTAGCTTGGCGTTGCTTGTTGGTCTCGCACTGGTGGGTTTTGTGTGGCGAAAGAGCCATAAGATTCAACGCGAAAATATCGAAGAGGAGGCTGAGGAGGCGAGGGAGACGCTTATGCCGGATGCGAGTGGCAGTCAGGGGGTGAATGGTTATGGGTCGATGAATGGAAGTGGGATGGCGAGTCCTGTGGAGGAGCATAGGGGGAGGAGGCTGTGAGTGTGAGGCACGAAGGCAAGTACACAGCCTTGTGTCTCTTCGGTGCCATTAACGTTTGTTCCCTGGGATCCAACTTGCTACATACATATTCTTTGCTTAGCGCTTGTAGCATGGCAAGGCGTTGGGTGGTGTTTTGCTGTGCATCTCTCGAGAAGGCGGTTATTTGTAAGGACATGCGTCGCATGATAGTTTACCAAGAATGCTAAGCCTGCACAGATAACATGTTTCCACCCTACGAGTACTTGCGAAAGTAACACTGGCTGTATTAATGTAGAGGTTTTTGGGCTGCCGTTCGCGTTGCGACGCATTGTAGCGCATCCATCACTCCCTAATTGTAGCCTATATAACACTCCTGAGCCGTTGAATTCCATGGTTCTGGCCATAATACAATTGAAGGATAAGATTTGCTGTTTGAGAGCTCCTAAGCGCCGGCAGGCTGACTGTTGCGGTGCGGCTGGGCGCCATCTGAAGATGAGTGGTTGAAGCTGCCCAGGGTCGGCGTCGCAGCTGCCTAGCACATCATCTCACCTTCCGGATTGCTGAACGATGTCGCAATTCTCATTCTCTCCACATCCCCCGTCTCTACAAACTACATGCGCGAATACTGTCATTCTGCCTGCACACTGATCTTGTTGATTCTCTTCATCTTGGGTACTCAATATCCGTCTCGCCTTACATTACGTCCTTACCACCTCAACCTTCTTCACCGACATAGATGATGAGACATCCTTCTGACGATTTCTAGGTACATTGTGATGTGTTCATACTTATTTCAGTAACCAAATGAATCACATATTAAGCAGCTGACTACTAGGGCTTCACAGTGGCCAGCATGGAAACTAAGCAGGCTATAGCCAATGAGATGTTGAAGTGGCTCGACGATAGTGGTGCCGAGATACATACACGACCTGGCTCGGAAAGACTGCCTGGACCGTTAGAATGGATCCTGAAAACGTCTCAGTTCCAGGACTGGTTAAGCGATGGCCCTCAGACTCTGCTCCTGGTAGGGAGACCTGGTTCGGGAAAAACGACAGCCGCCTCTCTGATCGTGGACACACTTTTACGCCAAAACAAACCCGCGCATACGATTGGCGTTGCATTCCTCCATGTTGGGGTCGGCGAAGATAAACGTAACGCGATGCAATTGTCGCGGAGTTTGCTGTATCAGCTAGGACAACAACGCGCCTCGTCGTCCATGAGTACTCTAGACCCGAGACGCATGGAATTTGTGTTAGACTCTCTTCGCGAGAAATCTCCATATTCTAACATGGACGATATGGTGTCGCGGATACTCCCCCACATCGTCGGCAAGTTTGAAAGGGTATACGTCGTGGTCGACGAGCTAGACCAGATGACTGAACGTCGAGACCCACTGTGCTCAAGCCTTATCAGCCTGGCAGAGAAGGACTTTAGGCTATTATTCACAACCTGCCACAGTCCGGACGCGGATGATAGGCTCCGTGGCGCTCTGCAAATACATATCCGTGGCGCAACTGTTGAAGGAGACTTGGATACTTACGTGACGCAAAGATTGGTTGATCTGCCTAGCTTTGCCCAAAACAGACTAAAAATGCAAGATTTTGTGAAAGAACGGGTTATTGAAGACGCAAACGGGCTGTGAGTAAATATGTTCGAGTTGCATAACTTGACTGATCAGTTTCCAGGATTTTCGCTGCAAAACTTCTGATGGACGGACTCATGAATATAAGAGGTGCAAGAATAAAATCCAAGCTGGAATCATCGACTGAGGATCTCCTGGAACCGCTTTACAAAAGGTTTATAATGAGAATTCACGAGCTCGATGAAGCAGATCAGAGCTTTGCTAAGGAGACTTTAGCGTGGCTTCTCCTTGTGAAGAGGCCTATGCGAGAAGCTGAAATGCGACACATCCTTCGAAGAGAAGATGAAGCCTCGACATTGAACCCAGATGATGCGCCTAACCATGAGCACTTTCTGGGGTTGTGCATGGATTTCAATATTCTACCCTATACGAAAAGCAGCAGTTGCTTTGGCATACTCCAACCAGCTTCAGATTATCTCCTAAGAACCTTGGATGTGTGGTGCCCAAACGCCAAGACCATTATTGCCACACGCTGCTTACAGTATCTTTTATTGGATGAGTTCGCCAAGGGTCCTTGCAAAACGGATGCTGATTTCAAGTCGAGATTGGAAGAGTTCCCGTTGTACGAGTACACGGCGCGGCACTGGGCAGATCACCTCCAAGGCCTGCAAGATTTGCCAACAGTACTCATCCACTTATTCCTGACCGACTACAGCAAAGTAGCTTCAGCAAGCCAGGCCATGTCAGTATCAGATCAGAAGTCCTCGCAGCCAGGATATAGCCTAAGATTCGAGCTCCCTGGAAGCGGCTTCCATCTCGCAGCAAGATTAGGATTGACTTCTGTTCTAACTTGTTTACTTGGGGAAAAGCAAATGCTCGCTAAAATAGATGCAGAAGGACGGACTCCGTTGTGGTGCGCCACCGAGAACGACCGACAAGAGACCATGAAGCTATTGAGTCGTGTGGATCGAAAAACGTTCACTCTGCTACTGGATAAGGCACAGATCCCACTGGCCCATGCTCTCATTCGAGCTGCGGGCACGGACATTAGAGATTTGAGGTCAAACACTGCTTTACACATCGGTGTCATTCGTAATGATCTGGATATAATGCGACTTTCGCTCGAGTCGGGTATCGACATCCATGCAAAAGATTTGAATGGCCGCTCGGCCATTCAGTTAGCTATTCGGCGTGGCCTAAGCGACGCTGTAGATCTGTTACTGGATTTCTCGGCGAGTACAGCACACATCTCCGCAGATTCCTGGCTGCTAGCATTCCGTAAATGGGATGATTCGAAATATCCCCAGCCTCGTGATTATATAATACAGCTTGTGGAAAAAGACCTCGAGAAAAAAAGCGTTTCTTTTCTTCCGATGAAAACCTTCAAGCTGGTTGATCACCCGATATCGGACACTACGAGACGATTGCTGTGAGTATCGACTGAGGTAGTTCCTATTTGCCTCAACCGAAGCTTACTAACCCCAAACAATAGAATATATCCCGACTCTGAACAGGGGCCTCGACGTGAAAGCAATCGGCCTGCAGCACACTCAGGAAACTCCATGTTCCGAATAATCCAGTTCTCTCACGCTGCATTGCCTCGAGATCACCAGGGACCACACTTTTTAGTCGAGGCCGCTGCGCCTTCACAAGATCTATCGGGAAGAGATATGTTATTCAGAAGAACGTGGAAAACGCTTAAAATCAGTTGGAGCATAGAGATACGTCCGGATCCAAGTGGCAATGATCGTTGGGTCAGCATCGACCACGGCAGTACGCTCCGGAATGGTTCGATGCCAAGTAGTGGAATGGCGCTTCTCGACGATCTCGTGATCGAGCTGACATCGGATTGGTTGGAATTTTGTAATCGTATCGATCACCATCTCCTGCAATGTGTAAGTCAGAACTGTTCAGCATCAGCAGAACACAATACTCACGTATGCTAACTTATGTGAATCCGTAAAGCGTTTAGGTATTCTCAGAGTAAACGGAGAATCGCGTTATCTTATCAATCGTCTTTTGATGGATGCGACCACGTGGATCAGCCTTCGTCGACATCATCACAAACAGATCAGAGCTGCTCGAGACTTCTGCAAAGAATACCAAGATCATGCCTATGAAGATAAGGTTTCTGGCGTGGTTGCCAGTACTATCGACAGATTCGCAAGCATTGTAGAATCTCGATTTGACAAGTTCGATGCAGACTCATCTGCGCTTATCCAACTGGTGAGTTTCAGGAATGTATAGCGACCAACTCGTCGTTGTGCCAGCCTACATTTATCGGTACAAGCAGCAAAATTCAGAAGTCGCTGATACACATCTAGGAGTTCAACTTGACATCCATCAGAGAAGCACAGAAATCCACTTCACTCAACATAAGCATGAAGCGTCTTAGCTGGATTACAGTAAGCTCAAGCTCGTCCGTGCTTCCAGATACAACTAATTTCACAGTTCATCTTCCTTCCTCTTGTATTCGTCTCGGTACGTACTCCGCGTTATCATTGATCCTTGATCTTGTTCTTGTCATTAATCCCGGCTAGGGCCTGTTTGGCATGAATGTCGACATTCTCGAAAATAATCCACCATGGTGGTGGTACTTAGTATTCATGTTCGTTACGCTGAGTCTAACAATGTTCGTATGGATTATCTTCAGGAAATTCCCTCACGTAAGTGGTTGCGACATTTCGCGTGGCTCACCACACTATGCTGACAAGTTTCCGACAGTTGGAAGATAAAGTGGATACTAGGTTCTCCTGGCTTAAGCCACGGACAGTGGATAGGCAGAGCGAAGACGTCGAGTCGGTTTCGTTTTTCCAGCTGAAGAAGAAGGTCAACTGATGAAACGGGGAGTGACTTGCCACTATGTTGTAGTAGGGCTGGAATCCTCAACATTCTTAAGGTCCCTGCCTCCTGTCGCCAACTTTTCACCGTGCGCTATCTCTGTTTGATGCATCTGACTAGAGACTCAGTTGGCGATGTAAAATGAAATTTGAATGAGAGTGTTCATGTATTAAAGCTGTTGTACGTGCAGAAGATGGCGAGCGGGGCGGGGCGCCGCTGCCCAAGCGAGCGCTGGGCAACTTCAGCGCCGGAGCACTGTCCATCACACCACTGCTCCACCGCCGATAGCTCTGGAAGCCAGGTCTTCACGTTACCTACGACTTAAAATGGGCTCCCACCAATGCGATCACTGAGACTGATGGCGTGCAGGCTCTATACGATATGCGGCTTTTCCATCATCCTCCAGACGTATGCGGCAGCATGTTCGCACAACCTGATTAGAAATGCCCCCATGATGAGGCGTGATGGCGGCATACGTATCGCAGAGAAGCAATTATCACCAATGGCATGACATCTTCCACCTCATGCCAAAAATTCACTTCTATCAACAACCAATCATGGAATTCAGCCGCGTTCGGACTGTAGGACGTAGTTTCCCATTGTGAGCCTTGTAAGGTGAACGATATGTTCGCGGATGGCACTAACGGGCTGACAGCTGCTGGTCCAACAATCCAAGGGCAGCCCGACCTCGAACTCAATGCTCAGACATGAGTCAGTGTTTATGCTTTTCTATTTGCCCTGTAGTCAGACACTAGTCATGACAGGATCTTAGTAGAAGGGTGTGTCGGTCCGCAACCGAAAAGCTTACTCATGCTGACTGTATTCTCCATCTTTTGGCCTTTGGATTAGAATAAGTGATGTACTAGGTAGGTAACTGCGTACCTAAGATCGACCTTGCACTGCATCGCGCGACATATTTTGAGGCTTACATGTTTTCTCAATTACATCACTTCTAGTACATACTAGTGTCAAACGCCCATCTTACACACCCTCGCGAGTTTGGCGCATTATCAAAACATCTAGCAGTCTGCTTTTGTGTTGCAGGAGCCTAAGAGGTAATTTACCCCCTTTTCTATTAGACTATCGAGGTTCAACTGATCACTGAAAAGGATCTTCTTCAAGGACATGTCTCAAAATCAGCCATACGATGATGACAAGCAGATGGACGGCTTGCATGAAGAGAGGTTACTATTACAACCGCAAAATTGGAAACGCTTGCCGTTCAAGGAAGGAACCCCAAGAAGAAGCCTTGCATTACATGCTCTCACATTCCTGCTTGCGATAGCAATCACGACCCTTCTCGGCTTCCTCATCCGACCGTTCCCTCCACAAACGCCACGCATGAAAACCCTCCACTGCGGTACAAATTCCACTACTGCCCGAGAGTTGAACTGCACTTACGACGTTCTTTCCAATATCTGGGTACCGAATCCATGCCTCGATAAGAAGAACCTCGACGACTTTAAGCGTCTTGCCAAATGGCAAGCGTACGAGACACGCGAAGCTAAGCGCCTCCTTACTGAAGATGAGATGGGAGACGTGGTTGCACCCAATACTTACTTTACGGAGATTCGAGAGCACATGGTGCACTGCGCGCTCATGTGGCGGCGGCTGCATCGAGGCTATCAGGAAGATCAGAAGTACCTCGACCTCCACGTAAGGGCATTGACGCATACAAAGCACTGCTCGCAGCTTATGATTGATTATCTGGAGAAGCCAAGATCGGTCATGGACCTCACTGTGTCGCAAACGTCACCAGGTTTTTCGATTTGTCACCTTCCGGCTTGAGATCTTGGGAGGTTGGGCTTTGGGGTTGAAACTTCGCAGTGTCGTGCCATTTCAACGCGCCAAATTGCCATAAGCTAGGCTTCTAGATTCAGATATCCTGGTGTTGTCATCCAAATTACTACTTTTCTCTCTCGATACCAATCTTCTTGTCTTAATTCTTGTATTCATGCCAAGACACAATATCATCCAATAGTCTTCCGAACCAACATCTCGACATGCCTGCACTTCGCTTTTCCCAACCATTTACTTAAAAAAACGCACCACGCCCCTAATGGCTAGAACTATGTAGTACAGCCATGTGAACAAAGGCCTCATTATCGTAGGCGAGTTCTCGTAACCAAGCACTACCAAAGAGCGACGCGTGCTGGCGGGAGCAATGACGAATGAAACATGTATTGCGTGATCCGGACAAAGGAATGCAGGTTACACGATGACAGTAGTGGCTGAGTAGACGAGCAAGCTGCTACCTAAGCGAAAGCACGAAGAATGATTGGAAACGAATAGAGCGAATCAAAAGGCAAGCATAGCGCACGATAAATAGACTCATAAAACTCTTTTTTGATATGGGCAACTAGGCCCAAAACTATCCATTAGGATTATCGACATTCAATGTCTGAAGAAGAAGACAGAAACGATGATAGAAGACTCCAAACTCCCTCGCAATGCAGACTATTTTTGTAATTTTGACAGATAAAGGAAAAAGGTGATGATGGGTGATGGTGGAGGAAGAACTGGCAGACAGCGCTCTTGTCAAACTATTCCTCTTTTGCTGGATCATCGCGTTCGCTCGTAGTATCGAAGCCAGGCATTCTGGCACTTAAGCCTCCTCGACAGTCTTGGCAGGCTTCTTCATGTTGTTCTTGTACCAAAGGGTGGGCAAAAGAGCGCAAGAAACGGTGAAGAGTACGCTGAACAGTATTAGTACTTGATCAGGCATAATCGATAGTATGAAAACTTACCAAAGAGCAATAGCCATACCCCAAACAGTCTTGGCCTGGAAGCAGTTGCTGCGTGTAACACCCGCCCAATGGCCCAAGCTGCTGGTAGACTTGTTGAGATTCTCAACTGTCGCAGTAACAAAAGCGTTGGCGTACTGAGCATCGATTTCCGCAGATGATTTGCCAATGACATAGCAGTTGAGGAAGGACATTGGCTTGCCGAGGGTGACAGCGCAGACGATGAAGGCGATGAGGAGAAGGGAGTCGACGCCTGTCATGACGAGGAGGCCGAGGTTGGCTTGCGACCAGTAGTAGCCTACGCTAACCATAATGTAGAGGGCGGCTATGCATGTCTGAGGATGTTAGGAGTGTTTAGTGAAATAGTGGTGGAGGGTTGTACGTACCACGCTCAGCGTACCAACGAATTCCTTGGGTGGTTCAACACCGGTTGTGACGATCATCTGGATGAAGTTGGAACAAATGCCGATGACCAAGATCATGCAGATAGCCTGGAGGACGCGGGCACCAAGGAACATCTTGCTCAAAGGCATGGCGTTGTAGCTTGGGACAGGCATATTGGCGGATTGAGGTTATTTGTTGTAAAGTGGATGTGGCTAAGGATCGGATAATTTTTGAAGTCGACAACGAAGTGATTGATGCAGCAAGGAATGGATAGCGGTCTGCACAGCAGAAGGGAGTGTGTCGTTAAGAGAAGAAATCGAAGAATGAGACCCAGATAGGAAACAAGGAAATAAGGAAACAAGAGGAAGAAAAGGACGAAAAGGGAAGTGAGTTGTGATGAGCTTGTTGATGATGTGTTTGATGAGTTATTATGATGCTGCGTCCAGCACATCTTATACAACTGAGAGTTCGATTGCTATCTCAACAACACATCGAAAAGGGAATAGTCACAAACGCTGCTATTCTTGCTCATCGTGTGTCTGGACCACAGTGGTTTCATGGTATCTCGAGTAGTCGCTGAATCGGCCAATCAGGGCCGAGAAGCGCGTCTTCAGAAAGTGTCCGAGCAGGCGCGCATCAGTGCGCCAGCGGTTAAAGCATTGACAGTCCAAGACGTCAAGTCTGGGGAAGCCATTCAGGTGTGTAGAATCTGAGCGGTACCTGAAGCATGTGGAGCCACAGTTTGATGTCTAGATCGACTGGGTGAGAGGTTCTATTGCGGCTGTCGCTCTACTTCCGCGGGTCCCACATCGACCTCCCGCCCTACCTCGCGCGCGGGAGCTATGCTTGGAAAGTGTTGAGGCTCAATCAGATGCGAGGAATGTTGAAACAATGTTTGGAGAAATGGTTCTGTGCTTTGGTGATGGCGTTGCTGAAGAGACGCGTGCGCTGATGAGAAGACAGCGAGGCTAAATGCGTCAATGCTTTGCTGTGAGTTTGCGGTATCTCTTAGGTATTGGTTAGTTGATACTTGCGCATGATTCAGATAGGTCTTTGCGTCAAGAGTGGAAAGTGAGGCACCGATGATGCAGAGTTGTGCTGGACGTCCTGGTGGCTGTCATAGTACAGCGCTTCCACCGTGTCCATGCAGAGATAGATGTTGCTGAAAATGTACAAGTCGATGAAGTTCATCTCGATTAGAACATGTGGTGAGGATTCATGTTCAGAGATGAAGAGCGGGGGTTGTCCTTTGTCGTAAGGCGTGGTGTTGGTGTAGGGCGTGTATTGACATAGAGGTGATAAGAGCTCCCCGCTCAATCCACCTCGGGCCAGCTCCGATGCGGCAAGTCCACGCGACACAGCTCCCAGATAACCAGACGCATACTCGCGGCTCTCACAAGGCATGTGACTGATTACCCATTCCCGAGGGCCTGCTAAGGTCTTCTTTTGACTTCATATTCCATGTCTACCTCATCTTCACAATTGCAATCACAAGATGGGTCTCTCGGAGTATAGACAACACAAAGCCGACTGGTGAGTTGCCCCAAGCTTCCAACCCCACACAATCTGGCCGACACTATGAGCTAACCAGCTCTCCACCACCAGCAAGCGCAAGCAGTCGGAACGCGCCTCCAAGATCGCGACAATCCCCACGCCGTACCTCTACCCGTTGTCGTCGCAAGAACGCTCCATCCTCGGTAAACCTATCCAGGAGCTCGTCCAAGATGTCCACAAGCAAATCACTAGCCCCGTCGATATCCTACGCACATACGGCAAAGTCGCGATAAAGGCACAGGAAAAGACGAATTGCGTGACGGAGATACTCTTCCCAGAAGCCGAAGAATGGGCCAAGAACGAGGTCAATCTAAAGGGACCGCTTGCCGGCATTCCTGTGTCGTTGAAGGACTCGATACAAGTCAAGGGCTTTGATATCTCGGTCGGTTATTCCAGGAATACCGGGAAACCTGCTACAGAAGATGGAGTCATGGTGAAAATATTGAAAGATGCTGGTGCTGTACCCTTCGTAAAGACCAACCTGCCCACCACCCTCCTATCCTTCGAATCTACCAACGACGTGTGGGGTCAGTGCAAGAACCCGCACAACGACAAATACTCGCCAGGTGGCTCTACGGGTGGAGAATCGGCATTGTTGGCTTTTGGTGGTAGTCGCATTGGCATCGGGTCAGATGTCGCTGGCTCGGTACGCGCTCCCGCCCACTTCTCTGGCTGCTACTCGATACGATGTTCGACAGGGCGATGGCCGAAGGTGGGCATGAATACAAGCATGGCAGGTCAAGAAGCTATACCTTCCGTCTTTAGCCCCATGGCACGGACATTGAACGACTTGACCTACTTCACGCGCAGTTTCATTCAAATGAAGCCCTGGAAATACGATTATACTGTCCATCCGCTGGAATGGAGAGAGGATATCGAGACTGAGTTCAGGGAGAAGAAGAAGCTACGTATAGGCGTTATGCGAACCGATCACGTCGCAGACCCTTCACCGGCATGCGCACGCGCCCTAGACCAAACAGCCAAAGCACTCGCGGCGGAAGGCCACGAAGTCTTCGATGTTGAGCCTCCATCACCATATGAAGCTTTGCAGTTAGCCTCCCAACTCCTCCTCAGCGACGGTGGCAACACATTCATGGGTCATTTCCGAACCGGAGAATGGAACGACCTTGGCGCGGCGCAATTGGTCTACTATATGCGCCTACCTCGCTTCATCAAGTACATGCACTACCTGTACGTAAAGTACGTCAAGGGTGATGACATTTGGGCTGGCCTACTACGAGACTGGCATCCAAAGTCCGCACACGAGTACTGGCAACTAGCCGGCAAGCGTGAGGCGTACAAAGCAAATTTCTATAAATGGTGGTCTGAGGAAGCTAACATGGATGTCATGCTCACTCCACCCAACGCGACGCCTGCCGTGCCTCATGGTGGTATGCATGATGCTGTTAGTAGCTGTGGTTATACTTTCATGTTCAACCTGGTAAGTCTTCTTCTTTTCCCGACACCAGGGTTTCTTTACTGATAAGATCTAGCTCGACTACTCTTCTGGAATCATCCCAGTGACACACGTTGATCCTGCCAAAGATGCATTACCACCAGACTTCAACGTCAGGAAATTGAATGGTGTCGCACAGGGCGCGTACAAGCACTACGACGTGGAGAAGATGGCTGGTCTGCCTGTGGCTGTACAAGTCGTAGGAAGGAGGCTGGAGGAGGAAAAAGTACTCGCTATCATGGAGAGAGTGGAAGACGCACTAGATAAGCATGGCGGTCGATACCAGTTACTAGAAGTTGATTGAGCACGATAGTTGAACACATTCCCATTATCTTTCGTCTTCAGATGGGCATAACAAAACATTGCCATCACTCAGTTTTATGTAGGATGGCGTAATTAATGCTATAAGGCAATTGAGAGTACATATATCTGTTTCGCTCGATTTCCAGTGCCATCGGCCAATCTCGGCTATGGCAAACGCGAATACCGAAAAGTCGCATCATCGACGTCGCCATCGCACTTGCAGCTTGGTCTACTCCACCCAAACTAACATACCCCACATACCGTCATTATTAATCCATGTGTCCATGCTATTCCAGAGTCCGGACAATAGACGGTGGAACTGGGGGTTCAGGATCATGTTTGTTGATATAAAGAAGTTCAGGGTCCCCGCCTCGTTTTCGTCTCATATACCCACCCTAACTTAAGATTACATTTTCCTTCTTGGATAATCAAAAACCTTATTATTACTACTCAATATATCATCGCAAACAGTTAAAAGCCAATTATACCAGAAAGAGCTATCACAATGAAGGAGGCACAAGTAGCAAAGGACCTTTCCGTCACGGTCAAGGATATCGCTATCCCCGAGCCGCAAGCAAACCAGGTCATCATCAAGGTCGTCGTTTCGGGTAGCAACCCCAAAGACTGGTATGTCATTTTCCATCTAGTACTGTCATGTGAATTTTGAATTACCTTCCCAATAAATGCACTACGACAGCACACCAGAAGACAATCACTAACGTATAAACCTAGGAAAATCCCCGCCTACGGCATGAAAACCGACTTCAACACTGGTGACGACATAGCAGGATACGTCCACAGCGTAGGCCCCAACGTCTACGAGTTCCAGCCCGGCGACCGTGTCGCCTCTTTCCACGAAATGATGACACCCGGTGGTTCCTTCGCCGAGTACGCAGTAGGCTGGGCGCACACCACATTCCACATCCCGCAGTCCATCTCCTTTGAACAAGCCGCTACTTTGCCTCTCGCCGCCATGACAGCAGCAATCGGTCTGCACCAACGCATGGGTTTGCCTGATCCATGGACGCCTGCCAAGGAGAACATCCCGCTGGTTGTATACGGTGGCGCAGGCGCAGTAGGTGCATATGCGATTAAACTAGCTCAACGCGCAAACATCCATCCCATCATCGCTGTAGCCGGTAAAGGCGAGAAATTTGTCGAAGGACTCATCGATCGCTCCAAGGGCGATACCATTGTTGATTATAGAAAGGGTGATGAGGCCGTCGTTCAAGGCATCAAGGATGCGCTTAAAGGCCAGAAACTGCTTTATGCGTACGATGCTGTCTCGGAACATAACTCCTACACCAATATCGTGAAAGTCCTTGAACCCACTGGGAAAATCACGTTGGTTCTACCTGGAAAGGCGTACGAGGGTATTCCGGAGACGGTAGAGCAGAGTCAGACGATGGTGGGGACGGCGCATAAGGAGGATGCGGATTATGCCTTCATCATGTTTAGGTATATGGCGAGGGGGTTGGCGGAGGGCTGGTTCTCGCCGCATCCGCATGAGGTTGTGCCGGGCGGATTGGGGGGAGTGCAGAAGGGTCTGGAGAATCTGAGGGATGGCAAGGCAAGTGGGGTCAAATACGTTTTTAAGATTGGAGATGAGAAGAGGGAGAAGTTGTAAGAAGGAATACGTTTGTAGAGGTGTTATAGACAAGTTTCGAGAGAAACTTTTGCTGTTATCATTACGTATATCTGGCACAATGAAGCATGAAAGGTGATGGAGTTCAAACATTGAATAATGCTATCAACAAGAAACTCACACAATACTCGCGAACAACGATACAAATACAAGTCGCACCCCAATGCAATCGCAACTCAGTAACACCCCAGCAACTGCCATAGGCAGAGCAATCTCGAATACCCAAAAACACCGATCCTAAACCATCGTTAATGCTTCTAGACAGGGTTTTGAGAATTGCGGACGAAAAAGCACAAGAAAGAAAACTACCCGGCGCCAGTAAAAGAGTCGCCAGGTGAGAACAAGAAGAAAGTCGTCAAACCCCCCCATCAATATCTTCTCCCAACCTCCATAAAAAAAAAGAAAGGTATCAATCAACGCCAGACGCTCTTAGAATTCGGCATCAAGCTACCTCTGCCAACAGACGAACTCCCACTGGTAATTCTAACAGGCGCCCTCGTATTCAGACTGGGTGAAGCTTCCCGTGGTCGATCGTCATTAACATTCGCTACCGTCGTACGTCTAACAGCGCCCTTCATGATAGGGGTAACGCGCGGGCCGAGTACGCTAGTCTTCCAGTCAGCATCTGAGTGGTTAGATTTAACCATCCTTCTCGCCGCACCCGCAGAGAGAAGCGAGTTCTCGTTGGGCGGACTACCGACAGCTGATGCTGCTGTTGGGCTGCGACGGCGATGCGCGCGATTCACGGGTACGGAGCCTGCGCCGTTGGTCGAGGAGCGGCGCTTGATTGCGTGGCCGATCCGGCGGGCATCTGAGGCAGTCCATTTTTCTCCTTCGGAACTTGAGTCACCGCCGCTGTTTGCTCCTGGTGTGGGGCCTGATGAGGCGTTTTCCACGGTACTTAATGATGAGGTGCGTGGGTTGTCGCCAATTTCGCGGAGTGGTGACGCGTTGTCGGAATCAGAGGCATAGGCGTTGTTGATTCGAGATGTAGGAGATCCTTCCGAACGCTTAGAGAGCGCGCCGACTGCGAAACGCGATGAGCCTTTCAAGTCCACGGAGGCTTTGGGCGGAGTGGGAATAGGTGAAGAACCACCGCTTCCATCGTATGTTGCTATAGGAATGGACGTCGTCGGGTACGCAGGGGGCGACCTTCCAATGGCAGGGTTTGTTGGTGTGCCTGCTAGATGCTCTGGTGTTTTTTGGAACTCCGCAAGGGTACCGTTCTCGGTATCATCCCTCCAGCGCACCCCGCGTTTGGTCTTTGACGGTGTCTTCTTCTTCATTGGTGAGAACTGAACGCCCGACTTCACTCGTCCCATCAACTTTCGACGTGGCGATGACTTCATAGGGGAAGAGGTAAGATGCGACGCATCCGCTAGTGATGGCAACGACAGTCTCGGCATCGCTATTGGTCGCATGGGAGACGATTGAGATGGCTCCTGGATGTTTACTGGCTTCCTCCTCTTGGGTGTTCCTCTATGACTCGGTTCGAAAAACTCGGTGACTGGCAGACCACCGTCTGGTCGAATAGCCTGTGAAGTCGCATTTGTACAGGAATTCATAATCTTCGTAAGCAGCTTTCGCGCAGCTTCAACCGCTTGGGCCTCGTCCATCTGGGTAATCTGGCTTAGGATCGTGACTGTCTCGATGTGCGCCTGGATCAACACCTGCACAATGGCAGCATCACCACCTCTCTCTTGATCCAGCAAAGTGGTGAGTAATTCGCGGTCGGCGTTCGATTTGAGCAATTCGTACTCTCTTGTCAGGTTGGCGGCGTCATGACCATCTGCATTTCCATCCACCTCCGCCAATCCCTTCAATCCAACATGCAGCGCTGTGTCCATCTTGCTCGTCCAGACAGTACGCTCCAATCGCCTGTGACAATGCTGCCGAGTTTGCTCGAGCTCCGCCGATATTCCGACTGCAGTGTCTCTCATGGCCGTGACTTGCGAGGGCATGTCCTCGTTCTCCCGAACGTCTTTAACGTTGTCGAATGCTGCGATCCACGACGAAATAAGCGAGATGCGCTTCTCTGCCGTCTTTAGAGTCTTCGACATATTCAGTCGCTCCCGACGTTCAGGCTCAGAATCGGCATAAGCCTGGCGTAAGCGTACAACTGCGTCTCGTACTATGCCGTCCTTCTTTTCACTCTGCTTCTGGAACTTGACAAATGCGCTTCCTTCGAAATCCTTCTGCTTCTTCATCAACTCCTCAATCAGGTGTCGCTGCTCATCGATCTTGACAAGGTAGTCTTTCACGTGTCGGTTGACATTGTATACATTCTTGGTGACCTTGGTCTGGATATTCTTTGCACGGTTGGCGTATCGCAGGGTATTCTGCGTCTCGTCGAAGTGAGCGCTCGACGGACTAACACAGACTATCATGACAGTTTTACAGTTTCCACCTAGAGAAAACTTGAGCAATCTTGTAAGTTTCGAGTTACGGTATGGGATGTGGTTCCGTTTTCTAGGGTCGCATAAGGCGTTGATGCAGCTTCCCAGAGCAAGTAGTGATTTGTTGATGTTGGCGCCTTCGGTCAGACGCTCTCCACGGTTTTTTGTAGCGCTCGCTCGCTCACTACCTGCCAGATCGATGATGCTAAGGGTAGCCATGGTGTGGGGTTCGTTGACCGAAGCGTTGCGGTCCTTGGAGGAGACGTTGATTTGAAGTACGGCGTGCGATCGGGAGGAGGTAGCGTTCGCTTCGGTGGGAGACATGGTTCGGTACTCGTTGCCGCGAACGATGATATCCATGACTTCTTGGACCTGTGGCTGTTAGACGTTTGTCGAGCGAGAATGACTGTTCACTCACGCTCTGTGGTCGATGGCTAGAAAGACCAGCGACAGATACAGCCTGGTTCGCATCCTCACGCAGCATCAAGGGTTGCTTGCTTCCGCCCTCTACGAGCAAGTCGCGAATTGTCTCGTTGTAGATTTCCAGGTAAGAGAGCGTGATCTCGGTAACCTTTTCGTCCTGTATATCCTGAATCTTCTCAAACAGCTCTTGCATAGTTAGGAAGATGATACCGGGCTGCTGTGACGTTCCCCTGGTGGCATGTTAGTCCCCCTCCGAGCAACTAGCGGTGTACAGGAACATACGTGATAGTATGCGTCTTTCCGCAACCTGTGGCGCCATATGCGAAGACGGTCGCATTGTATCCATCCAGCACACTGTCCAGCAGGGGTTTCGTTGTAGCTTCGTATACATCGCCTTGGGAGACAGTGTCGTCGAAGACGCGGTCGAATGCGAATGTCTGGTCCTTTGATCGCTTGCCCTGGGGTCCTATCGTTGATCTCCCGAACCGTTGAACTGCATTATCTTCTGGGGGATCGAATATCCTGGCATAGTATTAGCTCCTGTGACTCGAAATGACACGAAACCTCTCCTACAAGCACTTCTCGTCCATGACCTTGATGACCGGCCGGATGGCACCCTTGTGGACCTTTGGCGTTGGCAAGGCCGCCAGCGATCCATCTCCGAGGAACAGCGTTTGGTCGTCATTCCTCGTGACCTGGGCTGCTTCCCGGATGGTAAAAGGGCGGACTCGTACGGTGACGGAGATGGAAGACGCGCCCGCAGCGGCCATTGTTGCGCCCAAGAAATGTAAGAATCAAGGCAATCGCACTGCGCAGCCTCCTTTTAATGCCTAAGGAAAATGAGCCACAAGCGAGGGGTTTGGTGTTGCGGGCTGGAGTGCACAATGACGATGTTCCTCTCGGAACTTCTGTTATGGGACGCACGGCCACTGGTAAACAGACAGGGATCTAAATGCGGCAACCACGACCCTGGCGCCAAGAGCCTCCTCTTATCCCCACAATTTCCGACGTGGCTGCGACACCATCCGCCACATCTCCTCAGTCCTACCAACAGGCGGATCCGACCCCGTGCTACCTTGCAGGTCAACCGTGTCGACTGGATGATCCCAGGATGCTACTACCACCACCCCTATTGTTCATCCAGCCTTGCATGCTCATACTTTTTGTCGTGAGTTGGGCAAAGGGGCAAGAGTGGAGCATCACAGCAAGTGGGGACTAAAACATGAGATGCGCATCTCGTAATAAGATTTGAATATCATGCAAACTCCAAACATCGGTCCAACATAACATCGTGAGCCTCATCCCTAGCATCTCCTCCACTGGACATGCTCAACATCGACCACCCACGGTCCGATAACACTAATCCAACTGATCCCATGTTTTGGCCTACATCAACCGCAATCAGCCATCTACTGCTTTGGCGGTGTGCACTTCTGCCACTGGACGTACACAACTTGGGTAAACTTGAGATCGGTTGAGTCGGTGGTGAGGAGACCAGTGGCGCTGGTGTTGGTGGAGGTCAAGCGGACCTGCGAGTTGATGTTGAGCATGCCGTTGGTACCACATGGCGCCCAAACGACTGAGGTGCTGTCAGCCTCGTCGTGCTTGAGGTAGTCGCCGTTCGTGGGGCCGTCGAATTGGTATTGAGTGCTGGTCTTTATTCAAAGCATTAGCATCTTCGTCCAACCGTGTTGACTAAGATAGAACTTACCTGCTCAGTCTGACCAGAGAAATAGTAGGTCGACTTGAGAGTACCAGATACACCCTTCTGGATTGCAGAGTAGCCACGGTAGTCGGCAGAGAGGATGGAATACTGGAAGCCTCCTGGGTATTGGATGTCGACGTTCAGCTGGCAGTTCTTGCGCTGCTCCGTGACGGGAATACCGGGGCCGATAGACGCAATGTACGAGTCAAAAATGAGGGTCATGATGGTTCTGTCTGCATTGATCTGGGAGCTCATAGTGCCCTGGGGACAACCAGTTCCTCCATAGCTGACACCGCGGATCTTGACCTGCGTTGTGTGAGCTGGTTGCCTCGTAAACACCCATTGAATGTCTTCATACCTGACCAGGTGGCGGGGCATCACCAAGCTCGATGTTGGGAAGCGCAGGGGCCGCAGCCGCGAGAGGGAGGAGAGCAAGGAGCCACTTCATGTTGATGAATTGGAAGATGATCTTCGGAGAATGCTGGATGCAAAGCTGATGATGTAGTAGATGGAATCGAGAGTAGAAGCTGGATGATGATCATCAAAGGGCATATGGACCAGGTTATATACCAGTCCTCCGGCACCAGCGCTCTACCTTTGAGTGTTTTAACCATTACCGCGGCAACACCATCTTGGACGATAGCAGCTACAATCCGAGTACGATAACAACTGCCAAGTGCCTGTAGCAATATCGAGTACGATTGGACCGGCGGGCCGCTCGTGCTCATAGGTCCAAAATTGCAAAAGCTGCTCAGGTGAGTTCGTGTTTTCCAACTAGCTGTAGTGTCATTCCGTGCCTAGACATCCTGAGCCAGCCTCCAGGCTAAGTGTCAATATCTGGGGTATGTGATAGCCTCGTTCCGCCGTGCATTTTGCTTCAAGCTGCCATGCTAACCTATCTTACGATGGTGGAGCATGTTCTTTTGAGCTTTCTGGGCACAAAGATATTTAATCCTGGGTCATGGCGGTTGTTTCGATATCGTAGGTCTGCAATGTTTGCAGCCTACCCGAGAACTGATTACCGGTGGTATAGCTGTGGATACAGATGCACTTTCGTCGCGTGGGCAGATAGTCTCTCGATAACGGATACGAACGGCAGACTTGCGGTTACCGGGGGATTCCATAGCCATTGCATATCAGATGACGGCTGGTGTACCGAAGTCTTCTCTGGCAAGCGAGTCGCTACTCACTTGAGCCGTTGTTCGCATAGTCCGTGGCCAACACAGTGGACATGTATATGAAGCCGAGATGAGCTGAGCATATTAGCCTGGGGTACCGAACTCAGAATAGAAACGCCGGGCCTGGATGCTGGGTACCAACAGTCCACGAAGCTGACTGAGCGCCTTCATGCTGATATTGGCCTTCATCTATCGATCCCGTATGTACTGCAGTCCTCCAACATGGGCGGAAGCGAAGACTGAAAATAGTTTCCCCGGCTGGGATGGACAGTTTGGTACTGCAAGCATATCGTGGATATGTTCATTTCGTAGATTTGAAGAAGCGAGGAGTTCTTGGCGTGTAGATTAACCTTATATTAAAGCTTGTCGTTGCATCGGTGCTCGAGACCCTGACATAATCAATATTAGCGGATACGACTTGCTGCCCTTGCAGATTTGGAGTCTGGAAAGGAGTCTAAAAATAATTGCAGCAAGGTTAGTCACGATGCATGCAGCAGACAGCTGCTCGATGCACGTGGTGACTCGGAAACACGCCACGACCGACGATGCATCGTATGAGCCCAGACTCAACTACTGCCGGTTCAGCAGCGCGGGATGCAACCGGCGTGAAGTTACCAGGTGAAATAGATTGAGAATTGATTGCATGCATTGTGCCAGAGGGACTCGACCAAGGCGGTCAGTCAAACCTAGCTTGGAAGGGAGTTTTCAAACTCTCAGCCGAGCGCGAAGAGAGGAAGCCAAGCGTATATGCTTCGATGCACGACGCTCGTAAAAAGTGTACATCCAGTTCCAAGCTGGCGAGACCGCCCGGATTCCAGAACAGAAAAGAGAGAACGAACTACATTGATCAATGACACTAATTTGAGTGTAGCATGTGTCGCGCCTTGACTTTGTTACCTATACGTCCCAATACACCCAAGACCTACTGCGCAGCCTTTTCTTCAGAATGATTAGGATGAATACTCTGCGAAGACATGTCAAAAACGTCCATGAGCGCGTGGTCAGAACGTGGATAACGCTGCAATCGTATAGCGGGAAGCGGAAGAAAGAGATAGCACCTCAGCAATGTTCCTTGGGGGTTCGGCTACATGTCGGCAACGAAGCGCTGGAAAGGCATTTGGCGCCTCAAGGAGTCGGTTGTAAAGCTGTTCGCCATGATATGTATCCGGGTAAAGACACGTAGCGAGGCGGGCAAGGTTGACGGTGCGCGAAATTCGTCAAACACAACAGAATTTCGACGCGTCGAAGAGGCCGTGCACTGTTGAGGTTGAAGTCTACGGAATGAGCAAGGTACAGTTTGAAGGTGATGAAGAAGATGCGCCAGTCAGACGTCGCGATCTTCGCGACGCAACGACCCCGCCACCCGTGTGGCTCGCGCGTAGACCCCCATCGATTTGTCACCCAAAATGATGGCATCATCGCCGCGGTACATTTCCATTTTCCCTAATCCAAGCGGCAAACCTACTCCAACATAATAACATAACTGAACACCAAAGTAAACCTCTCCATTATCACGCCCAATCTGAAGCTCCTCACGCTCCTCCTTTTGGTCGTCATATCCTACCTTTCCATGTCCTTTCTGACCAAATTCTTCCGCCCTTTCAGCAGTATGTCGAACGCGCCCGCACAACCCATGAACGTGCCTTCAGGTGCGCAAACCGCCACCGTCGCAGCGGGATGTTTCTGGGGAGTCGAACACATGTATCGAAAGGAGTACAAGGGGAAGGGCCTGTACGATGCGCGAGTAGGCTATATCGGTGGTGATACCGAGAACCCAGGGTACAGAGCTGTGTGTAGTGGGCGGACCGGTCGTACGTATTCCCCATTTCTATTATACGCAAGGTAGTCGCGTGGTATCAAGGAAACAGGCTAATTGGATCGGTGAAACAGACGCAGAAGCCTTGCAAGTTATCTACGACCCCGAAAAAGTTACCTACCGTTCCCTTCTCGAGTTCTTCTACAGGATGCACGATCCGACCACATCGAACCGCCAAGGTCCGGATGTTGGTAGTCAGTACCGCTCTGCGATCTTTTACCACGATGCCGAGCAGGAGAAGATTGCGCGGGACGTAACGGATAAGGTGAACAAGCAGTGGTGGAAGGGCGGAGTTGCGACGGAGATTCTGCCAGCGGGGAAATGGTGGGATGCGGAACAGTACCATCAATTGTACTTGGACAACAACCCAGGGGGTTATGAGTGCCCGAGTCACTTCTTAAGGAGCTTCCCACCGCTTTCTGATTAGATTGGTGGGAGAGGTGTATATGATGATAGCTATGTTTGCAATGTAGAATGACATGTCTCACGGCTACACGTATCTCACTCTCATCGATGGCGCAAAGACCAACAAGAAACGTACTACAAGTGCGGTAGCCACAATGGTTTGTTCATACACTCAGGCTACATCTACGAAGGTGGCATAACTTCAAAGGTCTGCGCAACCTCCTTCTCCCATGGCAACCGGTCCTTACCGAAGATCTCCGCGCCAGGCTGGAAGTTCTTGATACCTTTCTCCAATAACCCTGTCCTTAGGATAATCTTATCATCACCCAGGACTTCCTGCTGGTGGTACACGTGTGTGGTGCAGTTCTTGCAGTAAAACTGTTCAAATATCAGCATTAGTGAATGTTCTTTTTTGAGGTTGTACAAATAAATTGTGCAAGGAAAGACGTACGCAGTGAACACCTTTTCCAGAGTCACCCTTGTATGTGTATTTGCCTAGATCATTGCCCTTGGTGATCTTGAGGGCTTTTGTAGGGATGATCTGATTGAGTGTGTACGTCGAGCCGGAGAGTTCTTTGCAAGTGTTGCAATGGCTAATTGGTCGTTAGCTCTTCTCCTCAATTGACCTGTTTTCAGGGGAAGAGAAAACAGATGTCGCAACTCACCATAGAACATGAGCCTGCTGATCCTTCTCCAGCGTGGCAGTCCATTCCGTCTGCTTGCAATGGCAGTGTCCCTTGAAGTCCGTCATGATTGGTCTGATTGGTCTTTGCTTTGAAGTGTTTCCGTATCGAGTTAAGTAAGATCAAAGAATAGTAATCTGGACAACAAGGTATTCGGGGAATGCAGTACGATATTTATATAAAGCCGACCTTGGACCCAGTCTTCGCTGCGCATTGACTCGTTCCTTCTCCCCCCTCCCGATCAGTTTCAGCCCAGGTTCTGCTCGTCAGGTTAGGAAAATGCCAGCGTATCAGCAGCGGTTGCTGTGCATCCTGATGCAGGTATTTGTCAAGGAAATGCGGGTGTTAGTGGTGTCATGGTACATGAAATCAGGGTATAACATTCTAGGCTCACTGGGTTTATCAGTTAGAGTTGACGCACATACGCATCGACGTATCTACGGCCATCACAATGCCTCTAGGTTTGTTGAAGAGCGGCAGCTAGACTATGACTACCGCGACGAACTATCGTACTAGGAGTGCCCATGGACTGCCTATCCGCAAAGGGAAGAAATGGCCCCAGGGGTTCTGGAAATAGGAAGAGCTTGGACCTGTATGAGGGGTAGCGGTCGGGTCCCGTCGAAGAGGATCAACAACACGATCAGTAATGACGTAAGCGGGGCAGCTCGATACTGCATTGCTGCGGATCCGTTCTGACTCCTGTCTCGAGACGAGCTGCGATATGATGTGACGTGGCGAGACTCGGGTAGATTCCAAATTCCAGTAGTGATGGTATCGGAACGTGCCTGGTGCTTTGTGAAAGCATCTAGCGGCTTTGGGTGAACCTTGGAAAAGAAAGAGACTGAGGACTAAAGCGAGTGGTCGCGTAGCTACGTGCTCAGGAGACAACGCAAAACTTCCATGTAAGCACCTATTTAATCTTCGACTGGCAATTGCAACTCGATTGTTTTTGTGTTCTTGTAGTTCACTACCCCAGGTCGGCTACTTGTACAGTCTGTACGGAAAGTGAATTGTTATAGGCGAAAGTTCTGACTGCCAGCTACGCCCCAGCAGCCTCTGCAAGAATGTAGGCATCACTGTGCCTCTACACAAAGGCTAAATGGTGAAGAGATGGTCACTTATACCGCGAACAAAACATGAACAAAATATGGATGACTTGTTACTGTTCACAGCCTTGGCACCTGCGCAGGTGCGAGTGAGTATGTCAACGGATCCCTGACTTTTAGTATTCACGACGGGCTCGTCGTTTTTTGACTTCGGCTTCGCTAGGCACAGAAGGAGCAAGGATGATCATTTCCGACCGACATCAAAAACACATGCTCTATAAGCCCGCAACACTTTTACCCATGCTTATTCTAAGAAGTCCTGACCCCGCTGTTTACCACTCAGTCACTACTTTTATATTATCACAAAGGCACAAGATCCCATCATGTCTATTCACACGTCTTTTCTATTGGGCTTCCATCTTTTCCTAACCGAATGCGCTTATTCGCGCGAAGCTTGGTGCGTCTGGCGCATAGCTTATTTCCCCGCATTCCAATGATGATCAAGAAGATCGTATACCTCATCTATCTCCGGTCCGGGCAAACAACCTGGGCGGCTCGGCATAACGCATGCCGAGCACTTTATAGTGGATTGACATGTATCCGGGACATCTCCAAACATATTGTGACGGGAAGGAACAGCTTCTCTAGCATGAGCAAGACTTTTGTTGTCAGTTAAAAATATGCATTGGACAAGACTTTTCGCTACTGTTGTTTCGTTGGCAACACTACGCTTGGAGGCTCTTGCGGCGACCACCTGTTGGCGGGATACGAAGTGCAGTGGTCCTAGTGAAGCTGCCTTTCAAGGTACTTACATCGATATCGCACTCTTTCTTCTCAACGCTAACAGATTAGGGCCATGGCACGAGAACATCTACGCCCCTTCATCGCGTACAGTTCGTCCAAGATCAGTCATCACCATCCGAGACCGCCACCCAGCAAGCTATCCGCGCACCGTCGTCCTCCGTGGTAACGGAACAAATGTTGTTTTCGATTTCGGCATCGAAATCGGTGGCATCGTGTCTCTCTCCTACACCAGCAATGGAACTGGTGCAATTGGCCTCGCATTCTCCGAAGCATCGACGTGGATAGGGGAGTGGTCCGATGCATCGAACGGGAAATTTGCTGGGCGTGACGGCGCGTTGTATGTCAACATTAGCACTGCCGGTCCCGGGACGTACACGATGCCGGATGAGGTGATGCGAGGAGGGTTTCGTTATATGACTGCCTTTCTTGTAACGGATCGGGGCGCATACGTTAACATCACGGACGTGCAGCTGGAGATAAGTTTCCAGCCTACATGGACGAACCTAAGGGCTTATCAAGGGTATTTTCACTGCAATGATGAGCTGCTGAATAGGATTTGGTATGCAGGCGCGTACACACTCCAAACGAATGCTGTACCCACAAACACTGGACGATGGGTTCCCATGCTTGCGAACGGCTGGGCCAACAATGGTACTTTGGGGCCAGGCGATACCATCATCGTTGACGGCGCAAAGCGAGACCGCGCCGTGTGGCCAGGCGACATGGGTATTGCTGTTCCCTCGGCTTTTGTCAGCACCGGAGATCTCGACAGCGTGAAGAATGCGTTGCAAGTCATGTTCGATTACCAGAATCCTGATGGTTCGTTCCCGGAAGCGGGACCGCCGCTGTTACAGCAAAACAGCGATACATATCACATGTGGACGATGATTGGGACGTACAACTACATGCTTTACACCGACGACAAGGCCTTTGTGCAGAAGAATTGGGCCAAGTATTTGAAAGCCATGGAGTACATATACGCCAAAGTTCAAGTCAATGGATCTGGATTGTTCAATCAAACCGGTACGAGGGATTGGGCACGCTGGCAAACTGGTTTCAACAACACGGAAGCAAACGTTATCTTATACCATACTTTGCAAACTGGCGCTCAGTTGGCGATATGGCTAAACGAAACTATAGCTACCGCCAATAACTCCACAACCAACACTCTAGCAGAAACATACACAAATCGCGCAACAGCCCTCCAAACAGCCATCCTAACACACACCTTCGACGCCTCTGTCGGCGCCTTCCGCGACAATGCAACCCTAACCTCTCTCCACCCCCAAGACGCAAATAGCATGGCCCTCCTCTTCTCTTTGGTCCCTCCTTCCTCCGCTATAGCCCAATCCGTATCCACCGCCCTAACGCAAAACTGGACGCCCATTGGCGCCGAAGCGCCCGAACTCCCCGGCAACATATCCCCCTTCATCTCCAGTTTTGAAATCCAAGGCCACTTCACCGTGGGCCAAACAGATCGGGCGCTAGAATTGATTAGGAGAAGTTGGGGGTGGTATGCCAATCATCCCAACGGCACGGGTGGGAGTACCGTTATAGAGGGTTATAGGACGAATGGGACATTTGGATATAGGCAGGAGAGGGGCTATGGGTATGATCCGAGTTATGTGTCTCATGCTCATGGCTGGAGTGCGGGGCCTACGTCTGCACTGACAGAGTTTGTGGTGGGGATTAAGGTAACGGAGCCCGCGGGGAGGAGGTGGGTTGTTGAGCCTAGGTTTGGGGATTTGGAGAGGGCGGAGGCGGGGTTCGTGACGGGGTTGGGGCCATTTAGGGTGAGGTGGGAAAGGAAGGGAAAGGAGACGGGCGTGGATATGGGGTGGTGGTTGAGACACCGGTGGGAACAAAGGGGGTGGTGAGACTTCCGGTTGATGGCATGGGTGGAAATGTGACGGTGGTGAATGATGGGAAGCGATTGAGAAGGAGAGATATACGATTGAGGAGGGGCGTGTGGTTTTGGAGTTAGATGGAGGGGTTTACAATATACGTGTTAGTAAGTAGTAGGATGGTGGGCTTCAAACCTCGATAACTTAGCATTAGAAATGCATTGGATTCATGTAATTCACAGCTTCCCCTGCAAATTCTTCCCCAGAACATCCTCCCTCCGCCTAACATCCACATCCCTCGGCCCCTCGCCCTTGAACCTCGTCGTAACAACCCACTCTCTAATTCCCCTTCTCCCCTGCCCTTGTTCCTCAACCTCTTTCCCGGCGCGATCCAAGACCAACACCGCGGTATCTTTATCCACACCACCAACCCCATCCTGACCACTCTGTCCATACTGGCCTTTTCCTAGTACGATTGGAGATATGCAAGCTTCGGCGAAGGAAACCTCAGGCTCCCCGTCGTATGTGCGTGGTTTCTGTAGGAAATCGAGGCATTTCTCGCGCTCGGCTTGTAACTCGGACAGACTTGGCGTTGGCGAGGAAGGACTCGTAACTCCCTTGGCCAAATACCCAGCCAACAGCCCCGTCAAGAAGAACTGTGGCGGAAAAAGAATAATCCTATTCTGCCTCGCCAAATCAATCCATTTATTTGGTGGCAGGAACCTGGCAGCCGTGTGTTCAATACCGCCATCATGTGTCGGGTTCGGTATGACGATTTCATCTTCCTCTTCCAGTCCAGAAGACGGCGGCGTGCCCTTTGGTGCGGCGTGTTTCGTCGGTGATACAGAACCAAGAGGTAGGAAGTAAATGTACATTTGCGTCGAGAAACGTTTTGGCACGTTACCGGGTGTTACCCAGCGAGTAAAGGGGATAAGAGTCTCTGTATCAGTCACCGCACCCCATTTCTCGAGTAAATCGCTAAACCTGACGTTCCCGCCGTGTACATCTCGTCTACCTTGTTCGCGCTCTTCGTCGCTTATCCCCGTGAGAAGTTTACCCGTCTTCTTGCTCTTGGCAAGCAAGATGCCACATTCCTCGAACGTCTCACGAACGGCCGCCATACGATATGCCGGTCCATCTTGGTGTCTTGCTGGGTCGTTTACATCGGGGATGACACCATCGTGGGTTTTGGAGAGGGCGCCGCCGGGGAAGACATGCGCGGATGCGAAGCTGGAGGCCTTTTTCACGCGGTGCAAAAGGAGGATTTGGTTCGTGGGTGAGATGAGAAGGACGCTGGGGTGTTCTGTCAGTATGCAGTTGGGGATAGAGATTGGCGAACGGAGGTTTGCTCATGATGGATGCTGAGGAATAGTAGGCATACCTTGCGCTGGGTCTGGGGACTGCTGGGGTCTTTGGTGCCTTCTTGGATGGCTGGTGGTCTGCTGGAGTGGACATGTTGCGCGACTGAAAGGCAATCGCGGACTGTCTAGTGGTCTTCGAGTATGCGGCTGCTCGTAATAACGCTGGTGATCGCGCTATATGCCCAGCCTTTGGGATTGAGAAGAACAAAGGGCGTGCAGTGATCGGACGTGCAGAACGACAGGAGCGCAGCGCAGTCAATCTACTTTCAGCCAGGAGAAGCGCAATTGAACTCGGCTTTGGCATATCTGGCCACAAAAGGAGCCGACAATGGCGGTCGGCGCGTCATGACGGCTGGCATGTGGTTGGTGAGGGACGGGTTGACGCGCGGGGAGGTACCGAGGTTAGGAGAGTAGCTCATGCAGTGACATCGTGTCCAAGAGTCGACACTCGTCCAAAATTCCGGCAGCAGCATGCATCACTTAGCAGAAGACAGACTTTGTACTTCAATAAGAATGAACAGAGTTCGTGGTATCATTGCTTTTGGTCTATCCATAGCTCCGTGATAAGGACATCAATCATCTTCGCGTATCATGTCTAATAATGAGAGAACCAAGCATCCAGCCAACCACCCACTAACGCCCTCCCAATGCATTTCGTATATCATCTTTGCTCGTCTATGAGTAAAGCTTCTTGTCGAAGCTGTGCAGACCGTGCACGTTACCCTCAGCCTGTGCGCTGGCAGTGCGCAACTCAAACCTGACGGTGCCGTTGGCAACACCCTCGTGAAGCTCGGCAAGGCTCTTGATACCAATGTCCTGCAGCGAGTGCTGAACACCAGCCATAAGGTAAGGCACAAACTTGGTGATGGAGCCACGGTCCTGGACGGATCCAGAGACACCCTGGGCAACCAGGACACGGTCGCCCTCAGAGAAGTAGCGCGCAGTACCAGCGTTGCTGGCCTTTGAGTCTGCAGCGCCACCACCGGCCTTCTTGTCCTCCATAGCGGCGATACTGCCCATACCACGGTAGGCCTTGACAAGCTGACCATCACGGCTGACAAAGTACTCTCCAGGAGACTCAGTGGTACCAGCGAGGAGACCACCCATCATGACGGCGGACGCACCCATAGCGAGACCCTTGACAATGTGTCCTACGTTCTGGATACCACCGTCGGCAATGCAAGGCACGCCAAATCGGGAGGCGAATGAAGTGACATTGTACACCGAGGTAGCTTGTGGCCTTCCGACAGCCATGACTTCCTGTGTAATGCAAGCACTTCCGCTACCCATGCCGATACGGAGACCGTCGACACCAGCGGCGATGAGCCCAGCAGCTTGCTCGCGAGTGACGACGTTGCCACCAATCACGTCAAGCTGAGAGTACTTCTCCTTGATGTACTTGATCATCTCGATCTGGTACATGCTGTTTCCCTGGCTGCTGTCGAGGATGACGATATCAAGACCGGCATCTACGAGCTTCTGCAGACGAATCTTGTCCTCAGGTCGGGTACCAATGGCAGCCGCCGCGATCAGCTGCTTCGAGTGTGGGAGCTTGGACGCAAGCGGGAAGTTGAGGTTCTTCATCAAGTCGGAGCGAGACAGGAGCGCAATTAGGTTGAAGCTCTCATCAACGATAGGAAGCTTGCCCTTCTTGGACTTGTTCAGGATGTCGTTGGCCTCCTTGAGCTCAACACCGTGGCGGGCGGTTACGAGGTCGGTCGACATGACTGCAGTGACAGGGTCGTCCAGCTTGTCGTGGAACTGGATGTCTCGGGGTGTGATGATACCGACGAGCTTGGAGCGAAGGGTACCGTTCTCTATAACAAATTGTTAGCGAATGCAGCTTGACAGTAATGACAAAGCGGAGTATTCGTGAGGTAGTTCAGATATTATTTTCTCCACAGTAGGCGGAACCTTGCGGATGAACGAAAGTTATAATTGAAAGGTTGATCATCATATTGCGAATGGGGGTAGAAGAAAAAATAGAGTCCGACTTACCAGTGACGGGGAAACCACCGAAGCCCCACCTCTCCTTCAGTGCCTTGGCCTCTCCAACTGTGGTGTTGGGAGAGATAACGACTGGGTCCAAGATGAAACCGTTCTCGAAGCGCTTGACCTTGCGAACCATCTCGGCCTGGTCGTCCTGAGAGCAGTTGTGGTGGATCACACCGAGACCTCCAAGGAGCGCAATGTGAATCGCCATGTTGTGCTCAGTGACGGTGTCCATGGGCGAGGAGACAAAGGGCGTCTTGAGGGAGATGCGCTTCGTGATTGGGGTGTCGAGGGCGACTTCGGCTGCGGGGAAGCCAATGTAGCCAGGAAGCATGAGGAAGTCATTGTATGTGAGACCGCCGTTCTTCTTGGAGTCGATGAGCGTCTTGATGTCAATGCCATCGTGCTCAGGGTACTCGTTCTTGAGGATCTCAAGAGCCTTGGTGTAGTCCAAAGCGTTCTCAGCCGTGTTGGTCATGGCGTCACCGTTGGAGATGGGCATGATGGGTATATAAGAAAAAGAAACTTCTCAAGGATTTGAGAAGTGTAAGAGGGGTATCACTGAAGGAAACAGACCGTCGTTCTCAGTAAAGGACTCTGGCCGGGGAAAATCGAGGGTTTTCCCAAGAAGAAAAAGTTTGGCAGAGAATGCGGCGCAGAAAGAATTTCAGTGGGCTCCTTCGCCAAGACCTGTGCTGAGGTAACCCCGCCTTTTAGCGTGACTAAGACGCGTCCGAAGGGGACACGATGTGCGCGGTACAGAGACGCATGTGCACATGTCGACTGAGGCACTGACAGAATGCCTGTAGTGGCCAGGTTCTCCAAATGCACACTGTCTACTTTAGCAGTATCGTTTAATGTCTTGCATCTGGGCCGGCGAATATCTGGCTACTTTCTGTAACCTTGTAGTACACTGACATGTTGAGCGAAAACTGCCAACTGGGAGCTCCCTTATACTTGTCTAGTGTTGACATGTCGACGAGTATATAATTGGACGTCTCGAAGGGATACGCTAGGGTAAGGTTGGACGCGATAGCTCACCGTGCGACGTGTAGTAGGGCTGTCGCCGTTATGGTGCCGTACTCTTGTCGCCCTCGAGTTCAGGCACCATGGTTGCGACGTCGCGTAGACTGGAGATTTCCGGGGTGGTTGATGGAAGAGGGAATGATGATGGAGTGAATGGCTCGCCCCAGACGTCGTGATCAACATCAACCACAAACAAGAGATGCAGCACCAGGATGTTGTTTTGACTTTGTCGGTCCGTGTGACGGGAGTCGGGATGGATGATTTTCGCGGCGTGGAGATGGACATGCTGGGGTGGTTGGCTCGACAACAAGCCGTTCAGCCATCGCAGCCTTAGTAAACATCCGCAAAAGCTTGGACTACTCACATCCGCTTCCAGTTTCAACGCCGCAGCCCTTCATCTACGATACCCAATTTCGCTTTACCGTTTCCCATTCCTCTATTCGCCCGTGCAGAGTGGAAGTGCGCGCTTGGTCGCAGGGCTTTGGACTTTCGCTTGGTCGACTTCGCGACTTTTGTTTTGGCGGCAGGCGCAATCCATATCACTTGTAATTATCGCGGGCCTCCATGACGGTCTCTTGAGCATCCACCACGACACCCATCATCACCTTTCTTTGTTCCGTGCGACGTCCCCGACTGTCACGCTCGTCATGAGTTACCTGACCGCCCCACGATCGAGACCTGGGCACTCCGCGACATCGCCCTCCCCGCTCCGCCAGACCTCCACAGCTTCCAATGGCTCCTCAAATCACTCCACTCAGTACCCCCCGAGCCGGTCAAGCACGCAATCGAGTAATACATCCAGCGGCTTCGGCTCGATATCGCACCGTCGCGGGCTGAGTGAGGCCACAGCCCTCTCGCGCCCGCGAACAGAAGACTACTTCGGATCGGGCGAGACTGACCCATCAGACACCTACTCAAGCATGCGAAAAGCGCTACGACCACTGCAGCAGGCACCATCGAACCCGTCGTCGCCCGAGAAACAGAGCCCATCGTCTCCCGATAAGTTTATGAGACCGACGACGCCAGTATATCCGCCATCGCCCGAAAAGCTACTACGTCCAGCGACCTTCTCGAACCCGCCATCACCAGAAAAGCTACTACGCCCCGCGAGTACTAGCCCGGTACGAAGTAGTAGCCACCTGCGATCACATAGCGTTGAGAATCTCTACTCCCCATTCGATGGCTCCGTCTCGCCGACAGCCAAACCGCGCCCTCTCTCGCTAGCAGTGTCACGAAACGATTCCGTGCGCGCGCCTACCCGCGATCACTCCGCCCGGCCGCTGTCGGTTCACCTGGAACGACCGGAACTTAAGAGCTTCCAGAAGTCCTCCACGGGACATCTGCGGACCCTCTCCAAGTTCGCCGAAGCTGGAAGCGATGAGGACTTCGCCATCAAGTCCCCAGAGCAACAAGTCGTGGGTCTCAATGGGCGGAGGAGGCTGCAGCGGACGGACCCAGCACGACAAAAGGCGGCATCCTCATGGGGAAGTCGAAACTGGATGGACCAACAACGTCAGTTTTTGCAGGCATATGAATATCTCTGTCATATCGGAGAAGCCAAGGAGTGGATGGAAGACATTCTTGAGAACGACCTCCCGCCAGTTGTCGAACTGGAGGAGGCACTGCGAAACGGTATCACACTAGCAGAAATCGTCCAGTCGATCAAGGGACAACCATTGCGTATATTCCGCGATCCGAAGTTGCAATACCGCCACTCCAACAACTACGCGCACTTCTTCAAGTTCCTTTCCGAGGTCGAGCTGCCCGATCTGTTCCGCTTCGAACTAGTCGATCTATACGAAAAGAAGAACGTGCCAAAGGTCATCTACTGCATCCACGCGCTCTCATGGCTCTTGTTTCGGAAAGGTATCGTTGATTTCCGCATCGGCAACTTGGTCGGTAAACTCCAATTCGAGGACCACGAACTAGAGGCTACACAAAAGGGTCTGGACAAGTCTGGTGTTAGTATGCCCAACTTTTCTGGCATGCAAGCGAACTTCCAAGTTGAGCCGGAACCAGAGCCAGAGCCAGAGCCAGTGGAGTCCGAAGAAGACCGGATCGATCGAGAACTGGCTGAGAATGAGGACATCATACTAGATCTGCAGGCACAAATGCGTGGTGCTCTCGTTAGAATACGTCTCGGAATGCTGATGGAGGAGCTTTGGGATCACGAACACCTTATTGTAGACCTGCAGGCACGCATTCGTGGCGACTGGGCTCGACAGATTGCCACCTACCGCATGGACATGAAACGTTTCGCAGTCACTCTGCAGGGCGCTGCGAGAGGATTCCTGGTCCGATCGAGGCTCCAAGGTGAGGAGCAGTATTGGCATGCCAACGAAGCCCAGGTGTTGAAGGTGCAGAATCTGTTCAGGGGACGCAAGGCCAGGGCACAAGTACAGTACACCAAGTCCAAAATCGAGCGACATGAACACGGCATACGGCAGTTTCAAGCGGCGATCCGAGGAGCACTCGAACGACTACGCGTCTCCGACCGGTACGAACAAACCCGGGATACCGAACCCTCTGTTATGCATGTGCAGGCTATGATTCGTGGAGCCCTTGTACGTGCGAAAGTCGACCGAGAGTGGACAGAGCTACGAGAGAACGAACCCCAGGTTGCGCAGCTTCAAGCCGTCTCGAGGGCAATGCTTGTCCGCCAATCCATGCGTGCCGACCAGGAAGGTCTTCGTCAACATGAGTCTATGATCACCCTATTGCAGTCTACTGCACGAGGTCTCCTTGCTAGAAACAAGGAAGCCGCGCAGCAAAAGAAGCTGGTAAGCACGAATGTTAATTGGTGTGGTCTTCAATCCCAAGTTCGCGGCAATGTCTTGAGAAATTCTGTCAATCAGATCCAGCAGTTCCTTTACGCCGAAGAACCTCAGATTACCGATTTACAAGCTGTCGCAAGAGGTGCAAAGATGCGCGCAGAAGTTACCGATATCCTTACGCATCTGCACGAGGAAGAAGGCAACGTTCTCTCAATTCAGTCATATATTCGCGGTTTCCTTTCGCGGCAGAAGCACTTCTCTGATCTCAAGGCACTCAAGGCACAAGAACCGACGATCCTGGATCTCCAATCAGCCTGCCGAGGCTTTATGCAACGTCAACGAACGTACGAGACGCTCTGCGAGCTCAACGCGCAAGAGCCCGAGACAGTCGACCTTCAGGCTGTAGCGCGTGGTATGCTGGTCAGGATGAAGATCGGTATGCAGCTCGGTCAAGTAGAAGAGCATGAAGACGCCATTGTCGAGCTACAGACCTTGGCACGTGGCTTGATGATTCGTCAGAAGTTTGCAGAGAAGCAGCAGTTCTACAAGGAGAACATGGAGAAAGTCATCAAGGTGCAGAGCTTCATTCGTGGTCGTCAACAAGGTGAAGCCTACAAGAGCTTGACCAGCGGCACCAACCCTCCCGTATCGACCGTCAAGAACTTTGTGCATCTTCTCAACGACAACGACATTGACTTTGATGAAGAGATCGGTAAGTCGCACCTCTTTCATTGTAAACGCAACGTACTAACCGTTTATCAGAGTTTGAACGTCTGCGCAAGACTGTAGTACAGCATGTGCGCCAGAACGAGCTCGCTGAACAATACGTCGACCAGCTTGACATCAAGATTGCGCTACTTGTAAAGAACAAGATCACTCTTGATGAGGTCGTCAAGCACCAGAAGCACTTCGGAGGCAACGTCGGAACCCTACTCAGCAGCAAGGACATCTCATCAAAAGACCCCTTCGATCTCAAAGCACTCAACAAAAACTCGCGCCGGAAGCTGGAACAATACCAGGAACTCTTCTTTGTTCTCCAGACGCAACCTCAGTACATGGCAAGGCTCTTCAGACGCATCCGTGAACGGAGTCTTGCCGAGGGTGATAGTAAGCGCATCGAGCAGTTGACCATGAGCATGTTCGGACTGGCTCAGAAGCGTAGGGAAGAGTACTGGTTGTTGAAGTTGATCACAAGATCGCTGAAAGAAGAGATTGAGGGTTGTGCGACGCTCCACGAGTACCTTCGTGGCAACTTCTTCTGGGGGAAATTGTTCGCCAATTACATCAGATCACCACGAGACCGCAAGTTCCTCAAGGATGTTCTTGGGTCAGTCATCCTCGAGAACATCATCGAAAACGAGCATCTGGACCTGGAGAGCGACCCCATGCAGATTTACCGTTCCGCCATCAACAATGAGGAGCTCCGAACCGGCCAGAGGAGTCACCGCGATCCGAACGTCTCGCGAGATGTAGCCCTCAAGGACCCCGAAACACGTGGTACTTTCATCCACAACCTTCAAGACCTTCGCGATGTTGCGGATCAATACTTCACAATGTTCGAGGAAGTCCTGCACCGGATGCCTTATGGTGTGCGATATATCGCACAGCAAATGTTCGAAGAGCTACGTTTGAAGTTCCCCTACGAAGCACAAGAGCAGCTTCTGCAAATCACCGGCCACTGGGTATGGAAGGCTTACATCCAACCTGCCCTGTTGCAACCTCAACACTGGGGTGTGGTGGACCGCGGTCTATCGCCAGTCATGAACAGGAACCTTGGGGCCGTTGCTAAGGTTCTCAGTCAAATCGCCTGTGGTAAGCTGTTTGGCGGTGAAGATCTTTACCTACAGCCTCTCAACAGCTACATCACGGAAGCTATCGATCGCCTGCAAGACATCTGGTCGAACATGATCAACGTCCGTGCCGCTGAAGCTCAGTTCGAGATTGACGAGTTCAACGATCTGTTTGCAAGGACCAAGCCAACACTCTACATCAAGCTCGCAGATGTATTCGCCATTCACAACCTCGTCATCGACGACCTACCAAGTTTATGTCCCTCGCAGGACGATCCACTCCGCGAGATTGTTCGTGAGCTCGGTAGCGCTAAGAACAACGAGAACGAGCTTTTGCACGTCAGCTCCAGTGAAATCACCTTGACGCTAAACCCCAAGTACCATGAGCAAGAGGGTGAGTTCTACCATATCCTGCGTTTGACACTTACTAACACTTCTAGATCCCGACTCTGCAATCAAATCACTCTTCATGGAGACGAAGCGTTACATACTTTACATCATCCGCATCCAGACCGGCGCCAACCTCACCGAAATCATAACCAAGCCGATCACCCCTGATGACGAAGCCCGCTGGGACGCTCTAGTCAATGAAGAAATCATCGCACAACGAAAAGATCGTTCACGGAAACAGAGCAACGTAGTCCGCTCTTCCGCCGCATCAACCTACACACAAGACATGGGAGCCAACTCCGTGCTCGATCTCGACTACCCCACACTCAAGCAATATTGCCTGGAGAACATGGTGCAACTCCAACGCGCAGGCCGCATCTCCCACACCAACAACTATCAAGACCTCCTCAACGCCATCGCAGTCGACATCCGCACCAAGCACCGGCGCCGCATCCAACGCGCCAAAGAGTTGGAGGGTGTGCGCACTACCCTCGCCGCTCTCGACGAAAAAGCGCATTTCCTTGAATCCCAACTCAAATCCTACAACGACTACATCGAACAAGCAATGGTTACCCTGCAATCCAAAAAGGGAAAGAAGAAATTCTTACTCCCCTTCACCCGTCAGTACAACCACCAGCGTGAACTCAAGAACAGCGGTCGCGAATACCGGTTTGGGTCTTTCAAGTACTCTGCCCGTAACCTCGCTGAGAAGGGTATCCTAATCTCTTGGTCTGGATACCATGAGCGCCAGTGGGACAGGCTTGATATCACCATTTCGAGCAACCAGACTGGTATCTTTGAGATTCAGGGGTCTCAGGGTAGTATGATGATTCCTGGAGCATTTGCTGAGGTGCCACTTGATGGGTTGCTACAGGCGCAGTTTGATAATCATCAGTTTATGAATTTGTTTGGGGAGGGAGCCAAGGCTGGGGATGGTGTGGCGAGGGTTAACGTTAATCTGTTTTTGCATTTGATCTTTAAGAAGTTTTACAGGGATGAGTAACGGCTGGTATTGATAAAGGGCATGGAATGGGATGAAGGTGTTTGGTGGTGGGACTGTTATACCTTTTTTTTTTCTGTTGTCTTTTGCATTGTAGGGCGGGGGCCTGGTGTTTGGTTGGTTACGACCATGACGATATCGTCGCTCGACGCTTCTTCTTTTTCCTTTTCTTCTTCTTCATCTTTTGGAACGATACATAAATACCTATCTTAGCATGAATGCATCTTACATAATTTGTAACTAGATCTATACCTGCGCGATACGATGCTTTGGTTACCATCCACTTCATCTACTGGTACTGTGATGAAGCAGAGCAGCCGAGCCATCAACAACCTTCACGACTCTCAGCGATTTCAACGAAAAGATTCTCTCGAAAGAGAAATTGTACGTATATATTTGTCCACTTCCTCCTACTTTCCCTTGAGCGACAAAAATTCTGATATACTAACAGTAACTTTTCCCTGCCACTACTGCGCTGGATTAGTGCTAATCGTAAGCAGTCATATCATCAACATCAACAACCATGACCGAGTCTCAAAGTCAAAGTACCGACGACGGACAAGCAGCGACCTCGGATTCCCAGCCTCAACAACAATAATCACCGCCGACGGTCAAGTCTCGGAGCCGGAGCAACACCGAAAGGCAAGCAGCTACCTCGGAACCTCATGCTCAACGAGAGGTATCTGTCTGGGCTATGGGCGGTCGACTCGGGGTGGATGTTGGGAATGAAGAGAGCGTACTAGTGCCCAGTACGTCCGGACGAGACCCGACCCGTGCGAGGAAATATACCAGACTTTGGTTGCTTACCTGTCATTGTGAACGGGCTGATCAGCATTACTGATAGAGGTCGGGCAGAAATGTTTGACACTGATTGAGGGAACAGTGTATAGCAAGTGGACAAGAATGTAAAAGTGTGGTGAGATCATCGCGCGGTAGACGCGTGACGTCATTGATGATTTTTTTTCGTATCTCAGCATCTCCGCGCGATTGTTAACCGACCGTCTCAACACCCACCGCTCGTGCGACGGGGCTTCGATCGCGAACTCCATGTTAGGTTAGACAGGCAATGATGTAAGGACGAGTAAGCTTTCCTGGAGTAAAAAGCTTGAAAAACGGATACTCGGCTCTTTTGTGCTTCGTGGAGCGGACTAGGTAATCACGCATATCGTCATAATGATTAGCGATTTGGCCGACAACATCCGCTTTTCTTAGGTAAAGATGGAGGCAAGCCTCGCGAGTAATAATTAGAGTTAACATCATATCATTTTCAATTGTTTACATCTTTCTGTTTACCTTTTTTTCTTTATCTTCCCTACTATCGGCTGCCAACAAGCAAGCACTAGAACGGAACGAGACGAATTTCGAATCGGGCTTTAGGATCTTGAGAAACGAGGCAAAGCGGAATTGGCCAGTAACCGTTGGACTTGGAAAGCTGTGGGAATAATCAGCAATACGACAACTCTCTGAGCTTCCCGCCGTGGTCGTCGTTGTTATCCTCCTCCCTCACGAAACCTCACCACCACTACCGTAATGGCCGAACATGAACATCGCACTCTCGCCCCGCCCAACCTCACATCTGGCGCCGATGCGCACACGCCCGTAGAAACCCTTCGATTGGCCGAACAAGCAGGGATAGCCAAAGCGCAACTCTCCCTCCTCGACTTGAGCATCAAATCTTTCCTTGGAGGCGTTTTCATCTCACTCGGCGCCGCATTCGATCTTGTCGTTGCCGGCGGCTCCCCGGGTTTGAGACAGAGCAACCCTGCACTTGCAACGCTGATTAGCGCGTTTGTATTTCCGGTTGGGTTTGTGCTTATCATTTTGACGAATGTTGAGTTGTGTACTAGTAACATGTTTGTTATGGTATGTGTCTTGTACCCTATACGCCGAACGCTGCTGGACTGCATATCCCATATGATTTTTATCAGCGAAAAATATTCTAATACTATGTGTATTATAGGCATATTCCACCCTCCGTCGTCGCACCACCGTCTTCGACCTCCTCAAAAACTGGATTATTTCCTACATTATGAACATAGCCGGCTGTCTCTTCTACGCTGGCATCCTATGCTACTGGTCCGGCACGCTCTCCTCTTCTGCGCAAAAAGATTGGGCCGCTAGCCAAGCCAACACCCGCGTCAACGTAAACTGGGGGTATAATCTTACCAGAGGAATAATGTGTAATTGGCTAGTTGGCATTGCATTTTTCTTTAGCACGGAAGGCAGGGATTTGTTGGGCAAGATTGTAGGAATTTGGATTGCGATTTGGACTTTTGTGGGCATGGGATATCAGGTATGTCTTCTTCTTCCCTTTCCCATCGTCTCTCGTTTCTTCTACCTCGCCTCTTTCTCTATATATTCCCTTTGTGAGCGAACCTTTTTCTAACCAATGGCTGCAGCATTCTGTAGCAAACTACCTCCTCGTCCCCATCGGCATGTTCTACGGCGGCACAAACTTTAGCGTTGGCAAATTCATCTGGAATAGCTGTATACCTGTTACCATTGGCAACATCCTGGGTGGTGCGTTCTTCGGTGCATTTACTATGTGGATGGTGTACGGTAGACATGAACCGAGTGTCAAGGAAATGGAGAGGAATACTAAAGAGGCAAATGCGGAGAATGGCGTGTAACGTGGTTAGAGATGAACCGTTAGTAGACTTTACATGAGATAATCGGACTTGTGCTGCCTGTTGTTGGTGGTGTAGTAGTAATACATTCTTACATGGTCCCAAGCAGAATTTAATAATCTGAAGTGTTTGGCCCTTGGGACTGAACGAGAGGTGGGTGGTCGGGTTGCAAAAACGGACACACAGTACAAGAAGAAAGGATGCGGACGTATGAACTAGAAACAAAATAATGTAGGAGCTCGAGGATATGAAAGAGAATTGGCATGGCCCCTGAAGTAAGAGTGACACGCTGAATTCATAGAAAAACTACCCATCATTCGCCTCTTGTTTTGGCTAGGTAAAAGGACCGCCATACCAAATTATTCGAAGCACTATGTTAGCAATAGGCGGCGACGAAAGCAAGGCTACTCTCTTCTTTGCCGAGAGAAAGGGCTAGATGGGGCTGGGCCAGCGCACAACCAGGCTGGGTTTCACAGGTGGTTCAAGGGCCATGCTAATTTCACTCCTGGGTGAACGAGAAGCCATCACAATCCTCCCAGAATGCGGTACAACCAAACGCGATCATGATGGGTATATTTCGCTATCGTCGTGACTTATAGAGCGTAAGAGTCTTCGCATATCCTCCTGAGTTCAGCCGGAGCGCAGTGCATCGACGCATCAATCCAGCCTATATTATCATTTCACCCCCCTCGCCACCAACACCTCCGGTATCTTCCCCATCGTCTTCATCGAGATCTTCCAGCGGATAGGTCAGGATAGCCGCGACGTTTCCCAAGCCTTCGAGTCGCTTCCCGGACTCATGTAATGAGCTAAGGACTCGTACTTCACCACCTTCTACATCACGCACTTGGTCGACTAACTTGACCCACCGTCTTCGCTCTTTTACGTTTTGCGCGCGGAACAGTGCATTGTTGATGAGTAGGACGCCGCCACCTCGTCCGACTGCGCCCTTGGCGACTGCGCGCTCCACTTCGCGCGGGCCGTACCACGCTCGGCCGTCGTCTAGCCGCATGAGCGTGTTGAATTTGTCCATCAACGCCGTTTCGCGCGCGAACTTTGTATCAGATAATTTATTTGTTATCGCTGGGGACGAGAGCACCTCGTTGAGGGAGTGTGTATGCGCCGATGACGAGTGTGCAATGATGATGGTGGGTATGAGGGCCATGAGCGGCTTGTTGGTGGTTCGCGTCGCTTCTGCCTTGATGTACTGTAGAAACGCCGATGCTACGAAGCCTGGGCTGGCGAGTAAGAGTGGGAGCGTCTTGCCTTGGGGGGTGCTAGAGGTATTCGGTAGGTCGATTTGCCGTAGAAGCGTCGAAAGCGTCGTAGAGAAGAACCTTTCCATGCCTTTGCTGTGCCCATCGACGCCACCTCTCCTCTTTCTGGGTACGGATACCTCGATCTTTTGCCGTAATATCGTTTGATGCTCAGTAATCATGCAAATGTGCGCAACACCCTCTCCCATCACGACAGCCCATAGTTCCGCTCGCTTCGACGCGTCGCATGCCTCCTTTAGTTGTTCTAACGCGACGCTATCCCAGCCGTCTGCTTTTTCGATGGTAAATTTGCGATTCAGCTCCAAATCGAGTGTATGATGCTGCCCTAACTTTACGTGCTCGTTCTCCTTTGCTACGCGACCGGATACATGCAGTTGTTCGGAGCCGACATCGAAATCGGTCGACGTTACGGTGATGGTGAGGTCTAGAGAGATTCGCTGGGAGGACGTGGAACCGGCATCGGATGTCTTCGAGACCCGGCGTACAGCCTTTGCGCGTATCAGATCGTGCTCCTGTATTAAGTTGTATGCGTGCCACTGGATAAGTCAGCATAATAATGCCTGAAGACATTGGCGCGTAGTACCATGTCCTCCGGCTCCTCAGGCAGCAGGGTGACGAACCCCGCGCCAGTTTTCTGCTCGATCTGACTTTTTAGTAACTTCATGATAGCGTAGCCTAAAGGTATTCGTGATGTAGAGTTGGGAGTGGTGGTTGTAGAAGAATCGCGAATAGTTGCGTGAAGTTACCTGCGCAGCGTGAACTTTTGGCAGATAGTGACGCAACCGTGGGACGATGGAGGGGCACTAGTGGGGGTCCACCTTATCGACCCACATGTCACCCCAAAGCTATTCACTGTCATCTCGATGGCGAAAGTATAATGTGAAATACCTTGAATTCCCTTAACTTGCTTTTTAGTCAGATTACAACAAAGAGAACATAAGCTTCTTCGTAGAGGCTAATTGGATCTACAGGGCTTCGCAAAAGCAGCTAAGACGCCGAGCGGTCGCAATATATGCTCGCCTTTCTTCAACCTAGAAAAGGATTACTCGTCACCAGTTCCCACGAGGACGAACAAAATAACTCACCTCCAAGCCAAGCTCAGCCTCAACTCGAGCGACATGGACTTCGACACCCTCCACGGCAGCATTGACGAGCGCAGCCCGGTCTTTGTTCACGGTCAGCCTGGTGAAATTGCGGTTGGCCTCCGAACCAGATCGTACTAGCGACAACATCTTGTTCACCTTTTCAGGCAGTTCACGATATTGCAGTGGGACAGCTTTCTGCCTCATCCTCTGCACGAGCTGCACGCTATTGATGGCACCCACGACACTCACAACGCAAATAGCACTGATATTCGCTTACGCATGATACAGATGAAGAAAGTGGAGTCACATGGCCACTTTGTAACACGACTCTTCTCAGCGGCAGCATCGTTTTACTGAATGACTCGGAAGTTGATAATTGAACAAAGCAACATTGACATTCGCTCATAGCTCATGTAGTCGCTATATACATTAAGATAGATAAATATTTACAAGAATGATATCTTAGCCCAGGCCCACCACGCTCTACCTGGCCTTGATGATCTCAGCAGCCTTCTCACCAATACCGTACATGGTAGCCTGGAGATGGCAAGACGGGATGATAGGAATGATAGAAGCGTCAACAATAGACAAATGCTGAGTGCCATACACCATCAACTTATCGTTGACACAGCCACCGTCCCTCTCAGGCATCATGGGGCAAGAACCAGATGGGTGAGCAAGGGTAGGCGACAACATGGACTGCGCAAGCAGAGAGCTGTAAATCTCCTCGTCGGAAGTGTACTGAGCACCTGGGACAGTCTCGGAGATCTTCTTGCTGGCGAGCTCGGGGCGAGCCCACACGGTGCGGAAGAATCGCAGACCAACGGCCATGATCATGCGGTCGATGGGGTTGACAAAAGCGTTGTAGATGACGTTGGGGGGACCGTTGGGGTTCTTGGCGTCGATGTAGACAGTACCACGGGATAGGGGCTTCTCGACACCGACGAGGCCGTAGCTGCCATCAGCGGGGACAGGGAACTCGGCGACAGCGGCGTCCTTGCGGCTGAAGATGTCGGCAATAACAGCGCGCTGCTTGGCGAAACCGCTCGCGAGCTTCTTGTTGTTCTTGTAGATGCTGGGGAGGTAGTCGGTGGCGGTCTGGCTGTTCAGGCTGCTGATGAGCGTCTTGGTGTCGTTGGTCATGTCGGGCAGAGAGATGAAAGCCAGGGCGTTACCACGGGCGTAGGTGTAAGGACCAGTCTTGTGCTCGACGTACTGCTCCCACGCGGAGGCGTTGAAGGTCGCATTGGTCATGAGCGAGTTCTGGTTGGGGAAGTAGTTGGAAGTCGTGTTGAAGACGACGGTGGCGTAAGGGTGGTCCTGGAAGTTGGAACCTACAGCATCGAGCTCAACCTTGACGTTGATGCCAGCAGCCTTCAGGACAGACTTGGGGCCAATACCACTAAGCTGGAGGAGCTTAGGAGTTTGGATAGCACCAGCAGCCAAAATGACCTCCTTCTTGGCGTAAAAGGTGGAGGTCTTTCCAGTCTTGTCGGTCACCTCGATACCAGTAGCCATGGTGGGCCTCTTCTTGTTGTCAAAGATGATCTTGTCGGCGGTGGTGCCGGTGAGGATGTGGAGGTTGGCACGAGTCTGGATAGGGTCGTAGTACGCGTAACGAGCATGCGCACGACGTCCAGTGGTCGCATCCATGGTGTTGGCGTACCAAGAAGGACCGTATGCTTCACCAGCGTTTCCATCCTCTGGAATGTAGACACCGCTGGCCTTCCATGCCGCCCAGTAGTCCTTGATATCCTCGTACTGGTTGGAGGTGATGGACACCTTCAACGGTCCGTTACCGTAGGTCGACTCATCCCAAGTGATGTTGAAGTCCTTAACAACATCGGGGGTGGGAGGCTGGAAAGTGGTACCCTTGATGAAGGCCTCCTCCATTCCCTTCCATCCCCATCCCTTGTTACCAAGAGCCTCCCAGGCATCGTAGTCGGCAGCGGAACCACGGTCGTAGACCATGCCGTTAATGACCGATCCACCACCAAGGACCTTAGCAACGATAACCGCATAAGAGCTGTTGCCAAGGCCTGGCTCAGGCAGCGAGTTGATGTCCTCCCAGATCAAACCGGCTGCAGAGGTCAAATCGTTGGCCTTGTACGGGATCTTGGTGTTGTCGTTGTCGACATTGTCACCCGCTTCAACGACAAGAACAGTCTCTGTGAATAATTGTTAGTAACTCTTGAGCAAATAGCGATTCGAAATACATACTGCTCTTGTCCTCGGTGATACGGTTGGCCACGATCAACCCAGTAACACCACCTCCTACAATAACGTAGTCATACTGAGGCTTGGCGGCAGCACCAAGAACAGGTGACAGGATTACAGCAATCAGCTGAACAGCGACGGCTAAACGGGAGAATACAGGCATCTTGAAAATCCAAAATATTAAGTTTAAACGAATGTAAATTTGGATGCGCGCTGCAATGAACTTCCAAAGGGTGCAGTCACTAGGTGCTTTATACGGACCGAACAAGATACTTACTCGCTGCTCGCATTGGTCGAGAACATGTTCGCCACGTGGGAAAGCCGATATTGCGGTGTTATCTTACCGATTTCATCCCAGAATTGGTTGACCCACTAATACCACGAGGGCGAACAATAGTCTGGTAAATTGTTTGTAGGCATTGTGGCGCGGTGCTGGCGGTCGCCATGTACAGATCTGTTCTAGAATGCGAACGGTAATCCTTCTGGGTAGGGGTACGAAATCCTGAACCTATACACAGGGCGCATAGAGATCGTGCACCTGCTTCTCCCTGACTCCTGGTGAACATCAGGGACTTGTGGACTCCGTTTCGGTCCGGGGCCGGGGTATCATCGTTCTTCCACCAGAAAAGATAAGCTCGCGGCAGTGAAAATTGAAGCGAGGTACGTTCGGTGGGCTGATGTTGTTGTGGGCCAATGCAAATCTCTGCGGCTCGTAGAGCGTACAGACGGACCGAGTGAACGATTCGTGGTCTCTCTGCACCCAGAGTCAGGCCCCGCTTTTGGACGGGAGACAAGACACGGACAGATGCTCCCGGCTCCAGACCAGCATGTGATTGAGTTTGAGCTACAAGTGTAGTAACGGCAGCGGCGTACACAATAGAATGAAAGTCTGGGGTAGACTCAGGGTCCCATGAGCGCATTAATACTTCGGAGATTTTGCAAAGGGCTGCAGAAAGGATGCGGCTCCTATGGAACTCGGCAGGTACGCTTGTTGCAGTAAATGCAGCATGATAAGGCCGCCAGGAGACCCAAATCTTTGATTCGACACGGGAAACCAGGTACCGTGATTTCGGAGAGTGGGCGCCATTTCGGGGTCAATGTCCTCCTCGCTTGCAGCAGAACATTCCGCTAAACATTTGATCAGCATGACAACTCCTTCCGTTTTTCCGTGTCGTAGGCTTCGTAACAGTGTTTGTCAGTGAGATGCAATGCGAGCACCGGCGGCGTACAAATGATAATCATTGACGTTGGGTCGCAATGCGACAATCGAGAAGAGGAGCTTCTATAGACGCATTGGGGAGTCTGTCTGCACGTCTGGAATTGCTTCAGGATACTGAAACGAAGCCTGTGGTGGCGACCGCGGCCAGCGGAGTAGAGCATACCCGGCCCCCTTGAGCTTTCAGTTCCGCGTTCTTCCCTGTAGTTCGAGTTTTAGGCTCGGTTCGTTCATGACATAGGTCCACATGCGGGTCAACGAGAAAGCCCGACGAGGTACCTAGGAACATCATCAATTCAGGACTCCATTCAGGCTCGGTCGTACGTTGACGTAGTTCTGCGATGCTCCGCGGATAGAGGAAGAAAAGCAATGTTGCGGCGTAGTCAAAGGCATTTTTTTTTTCGTCACCAGAGCGCTGCAAAGGCATGAGGATTTCGTGGGGATGGTGGCGCAAATGGTGGCTTCGGGTCTCACTACCGGTGAAGACGGACGGAGAATTCCACGGCATGGCTTCTAGCTGATGCGCCAAAGCCGCTAGCGTCGCTAGCTTTGTTTGATCTGACATTCGCTACCACATCTTCCACCATTCCCATCTTCTGGTGCGATAGACGAAAGATCGCGCAACGAGTCCATGCGGTAACACCGAGAACTATGGTACGATGCCAGATCGCACGTTCACTCTCAGGCCCATCGACCGGGTAAATGTGCGCGCACTCAGTGTCCCACCAGCGTTGCGACCATGGTATGCGAACCTTAGATTTGCAACAAGATCTACAGCATGCGTCGCCGTTTTCGATTGTTCTCCTGCTCACACATGGCCACAATTCCTTCTCTACATGGTGTGACCTGTCTGGTTGTGTAGTGTACACTTGATTCATGGAGTCCCGCTCGCCCAGCTTTCTGTTCCAATTGGGCCAAATTGCTGCATGTGGGGCCTCAATTTATGCGGCATCACTTCCAATTCAGCTCGGAGTGCGTGACCCTAGGATGCATACCTAGAGATCCCCGTGTTGGAGCGTTTCGAATCACGGTCTCGAGCCAGTGCACCTTCTTTGATCGATCTGGCGGCCTTCTCCCGTCGCCGCAACCGTGCTGTTTAGCTTTTGCTTCGCCAGTTCTGACCCCAGCCGACACGAGAGATGAGTGGCGCTGAAGACCATACTTGAAAACCCCCGACGCACACCCGTCCATTGAGTGGACGCTTGCTTTTTCTCCTTGTTCACCGATCGTGACTTTTGCGACCCATGCCATAGCGCACTCCAAACGACCACGCCCCAGTGCATCATGGACGCCGCAGGCACGCAAGAATGGCCGGATGAACGATTGAAGGTCCTCATTCCGGTATGGACCTTAACGCTGATCAGCACCGCATTCTTGGTATGGAGAGTCGTGTACGGATTGCGATCGCGCAAGTTCATTGTCTGTGATTACCTGTTGATCATAGCCACTGTAAGTCTAGGCGTGCTTCAGCCCTATACCCACGCCGACTGTATGAGGTTCGGTGCTGACATGACTATCTCAGGCTCTCAATATCACAGCGACGTCGCTCAACCAGATAGTTGTGAACAATGGTCTTGGACGCCACCTTATGGACCCTTCGGTTCTCCCGAATATCAGAACATACAGCTACTATTTGTGGATCACGCAAATCGTTAGTAAGTTTGTGACACTATGCTCTCACATCTTGTTTGCTGACGAGTAATGTGCAGACATCATTGCCGTTGCTTTCTTGAAGTGGTCCATTTGCGCCTGGCTGCTCGTGCTGAACTTCTCCACCCTTTACCGAGTCATTATTTGGCTCTCTATCTTGATGGTCACCGCTTTCAACTTCCTTGCACCGGTTTTGACACTGTTCGGATGTACACCTCTGGAACGAAACTGGAACTTTGGATACACTGGAGATAGCCATTGCTGGGCAAAGGGTACACTCGCACTCTCCTATACACAGGGTATCAGCAATATCATCACAGATGTAGTCTACATGGCTGCACCTTTGATTTACCTCTCACGTGTGCAGTTGACCAAGCGAACCCAATGGGGTATTCGCGTTGTTTTTCTGCTCAGTATCCCGTAAGTGGAACACTGGCAGCCCACGAGAGGGAGGCGCCACTAACGTTATGCAGTGCAACGATTTGCTCAATATTCAAAACCATCGAACTCAAGACAATCACCAAAACGCAAGATCCCACCTGGGATGGCGTTACCCTCACTATCTGGTCTAGTTCCGAACTTTCCATCGGTATACTCATCGCGTCGCTCCCGCCACTCCGCAAAGCATTTGACCACATCTTCAAGAAGATCCTCCCCTCAACCATTACAGGCTCAGGAAAAACACCACAATACGGCTATGGCCGCTCCACCGGCCAGGGCGGAAACAGCATTCACATGAAGAATTTCCAAGGCAGCAAAGCCTACCACTCCAGGCTACCTGGCGAAAGCATCTTAGACGGCGACGACGAGAGCGATCGCGCCATCTTACCCGACGATGAGCACAAGGGCCCTGGTATTATGAAGAGTACCAATGTCCAAGTCACCGTCTCGGAAGATGTCGAGGAGGCGGGAAGTAGTTCGAATTCCAAGGGTGGCGAGAGCCCTGAGATGTATAAACCAGAAATTGACTGGGCGAGTCCACACCTGGAAAGTGGTCAAGCACAGAATCATCAGGCTCGGTAACGAGAATGTCTATCAACGATCTAAAGGGAGGTTTCGTTTGTGTCTATAGTAAAGATTTGTATGGGGTGGCTGGGCTGCTCCCTGGTTGGATACCCACGTTTTTATGTACATGATACAATATCATCATGCATTGAGCGATGAGCTCGTAATGACAACAAGGTGCTTTTGAGTGATGTTAACCTGGCTTTTGTTGACTCGTCGCTGCTAGGTTGTTTGCCAGTCGTACACAGTAACAAAAGGAGACGATGATGGTCGTGAAGAACAACTGCGAGCGCAATTTGACAACATTCTCATCGACAGCCAGCGCATTATTGGTAAGGTCTGCATACAAGCTCACTCAAATCCGCAGACAAAAGAAGCCCATTGTGGTGTATACCTATCTTCCACATCCGTTTCTTCGCATCCATGATTTGCATGTACCGAACCGCTACATGTATCGCGAACTATGCAAACATTCCGCAACGCGTGCTGAAACAAGCGAACATACGCGCGAAACATGTTTGCACAAAGAATTCCCTCATCACCTCTCCTTGACGCGAAGAACGATTACAGAATTGACGACTTTAGTCCAGGGATGTACTTCAGCGAGAATCTCGAAACCAATGGATTGGAGATCTTCAGATAGCTCCAGTATCTAAATTCTTGTTAGTAGTCCTGCTTCTAGTGGTGATCACGCTGAGCAGTTGTTATTGCTTACTGGATATAACACACTCCGCATACCCTGCGCACTTCTCGCCACCATCAATGTCCCTGGCATCAACTTCCTCGCCATACTTTTTAGTATGTTGAGCTTCGTGTGGGTATCCCTACCAACAAGTGCAGCAAGGAAGACGACTTGGCATGATCGCCATTCTGATCTTGATGAAAGTGATTCTTGAGTAATGTCTTCACAAGCGAAACCCATGCGTTCGCCGTAGCCTATTCGCTTACACAACGATTCGCTGACATGTAGCGCGGAAGAATCTCGATCGACGTTGTGCACTTTGGCGGCGGGGTAGCGATCTAAGAAACAGAGAGAGGTGAGTGGTAATGGACCAGAGCCAATAAAGGCAATTTTGGTAGGTGACGTGGGGAGGAAAGCTTCTATGGCTGAGCATTCCAGACGGGAGAGATCGACGTAGTTTTGGTAGTATGGGAACGTTCGAAGAACGGTTTTAGGTGGTTGTTGTCTTGCTGATGATGGTTTAGACTTCCTGTTGAAGAATAATGCTGCATCGTCAAGTTGTACTTACTGCCAAGATCATTGAGCATGCGCTTCGCCCAGAACTGCTCCAACTCCCCTTCGGCTTCTGAACATAGCGGTCGCAAATTTGAGCATAGGCTCTCTACGCCTGGTATGCGGAAGAAGTAGGTTGTAAATTCCGCACTATACGGCACGACGCAAAGGTTCACGAGTCGCGTGAGGAGAGAGTTGACCTGCTCTGAAGGCGCTAAGGAAGATAGTTCGCTGAGTACCGTGTATATGTTTCTGATCTCGGAAACTAACTGGTGCGCCGTTGTACTTGTCGCATTCGGCGTGACGGGAGGAGTGACTGTAAGGGAGCTGACAGGGGTGGTTGACTTGGATAATTCCGCTGCAGGTTTCCGTTCGGTGGTCGCCATTATGAAGAGTGACTTTGATGCTTTTGTTTCCTTTGTAAGGTGATGGCACGGTATTTGAGTGCGTGATCAAGATGCAAATTGTCAGTCTGGCGCAGTTTTATACACTACTGTCAACGTCAGCTGTAACATGGAGAATAATCAGCACGAGTGATCAGGTAGAGACTAGGAAAACTCTTTTCGCGTTTGCCATGTGTCAAAAAACTTAAGCGGTAATATCGTTTGTCTGGTTGGCTGAGCACCATGATGGTCGTGTGGGATGGTAAGTTTTGTTAGGGGTCGCTCGACATACAAGCGGGATCTACGCTCAATGAGGTACAAAGGTGTGGGGTTGAATGCCTGTTGGGCATAAAAGGTCGAAGATAGACCTATAAACCTTACTCCCGAAGCAGGGACACGTTATGACCCGCATCTTCAGGCCCTAACGGCAGTGTGCAGATCAAAGACCCCTCTCTTGCCGACAGCCTACAGCTCGAGTTCTCGAAGAAGTGGAAAATTGATTGACGGCCACTCGAGCAGTTCAGTCGTGTGTGCTATGTGAATGACTTGCTGAGCTGATGCCAGGCGTGGGGGCTTCGCTGCTCATACTCCCAACCGAAAAACGTTTCCGTCGCCGAACCGTCAATAGACTCGCTTGCCGCCCACCCATGTCTCCTTTACTGTTACCTTCCGTAATGACTCCGGATCCATAGATTCTAGTTGCTCGTCAAGAACAATCCAGTCCGCATACGCCCCTGCTTCGATGACACCAGCTTTGCCTTCTAGGAACGCACCGTACGCAGCATTCACCGTGAAACCCTCCAGGGCTTGTTCGAAAGTGAGGCTTTCCTCAGGGTACCAGCCAGTCTTGCCACCGCTGGGATCCAGGCCTGTATGTGGACTGCGTCGTGTAATCGCCGCGTACATTCCTTCGAAGATGCTCGCAGGCTCGACTGGAAAGTCGCTTCCGAGGACTGGACGAACTGGTAACAGCGACCGCATTCTGTAAGCCTCATCTTTTGTCCGTTGTTGGCCGAGCCTACTCTCCGCATATCCCATATCCGAGGTCGCGTGCGTGGGCTGTATTGACGCAATGATGCCAAGCTCTAGCATCCGACGCTGGTCATCTGGATGGATTATTTGGGCGTGTTCGATGCGGAAACGATGTTTAGCTTGACAGTCGCGGGGTTTAGTGTGGGGGCATAAGCTTTTGAGGGCTGCTTCAAACGCGTCAACCGCAAGCCTATTAGCAAGGTCTCCAATAGCATGGATATTCACTTGATAACCTGCCTTTACAGCCCAATCATGTGTCACACGTGATAGCATGGTAGCGTTGACGAGTAACGAGCCGGAGGACTCCGGCAAATCGCTGTACGGCTCGATCATAGCTGAGCCCCAAGAACCCAAAGCTCCATCTATACACTGTGAATATATTGGCATGAGCGCGTCGTCGACACATACCTCCGAATAGCTTGACGCTTCTCACATGGAATTTTCCATTCGGGGTTGAAACCTTCTTGACCGTTTCGGGACAAAATGTGTTCCGCACATTGCACTCAATCATGGCGTTAACTCTGACGGTCCAGTCCGGATCGTTCGCAAGCTCCTCATAGAGCTCCAAATCTCCTGGCACTACGCCGGCGTCATGGATCCCAACAATACCGTACTTGTTCAAGTCAGACATTGCGGTCTTGATAAACTCAGTTTTGCGCGCTTTGCTGGGCTTCGGGTAGTACTCCAGTACGATATCCATTGCATTGTCGCAGAAGACACCCTTAGCTGGAACATCGCCTCCGGGAGGTACGCTGAACGACGGGAGAAGTTCGAGCACCTTCTCGGATACCCCTAAAACGAGTGCACTGGGTTAGTGGATACCTCGTGCGTGATCTCTCCTGCGGTTCACATACAAATGCAATGTACATCAACCTACACTAAAGTCAGTATGTGTATCACTAGCACTTCATATAGGGGACTGACACGATCCAGCATGACAAAAAGATCTTTGAAGCCGTCGTCTATCTCAAGATCTGCCTATATATGTTTTTAGTCATGATCCAGTTGCTATTCTCAGTCCGCAACCATTAAATGTAACGTACTGCGGTTGGCCACCTTCCCTCGAAATGAGCTTGATCCCAACCCACACCTCTCAGCCACTGTTCACCCGATCCCTTCTCTGGGCGGACTGCCTTATACTCTACCAATCTTTTCTTTACCTCGTCCATCGATTCGGCACCAAAAAGACTCACGGAATCCAGAGACTCTCCAAATTGAATCAAGTGGCCGTGCCCATCCCACAGACCGGGATACACATACCCAGTACGTGCCTCCTTGACCACATCATGGGATGCCTCGTCTACAAAGACACTCGAAAATTTGCCGTCAGTGATGGTGAAGCATTCTGCACGCGGAAGTTTCGACGATAGTGTCCTGATGTTCTTGTAGCAGTGTGTGGGTACGAACAAATTCGGGAGTAGCGTGGACGGTACGTGTTCGCTGATGAAAGCCGGTAAGCCAAGCGGATAGATCAGAGCAGCCAGAATAACAGGCAATGATACCGAAAGAAAAGTGGAGAGAGTAGGCATAATGCCCTTCCAATTGCTGTTGACGATGTTGGATGTTCGTGTCACCAAAATGTTACCGGGAAGGAAATTTGGCTATAGATAAGCGAGGACCGATGACGCGACCAAAGAGAAGATCGGCATCACCACCAGCCCCTTCTCGCGTCTCGGAACGCAAAAGAAGTCGCGTCACGTCTCGTTCGAGAGTCATGGACGCATGGGAACATGATGGCATAGCAGTACGCCCGCCAGTCGACTCTATACGTCCGCGCTGTGGAGTACTCACGTGATTGGAATGGCGCCGCTCGAGGGCCCGTCGCGCCGGCTCTGCTGGCTCCTTATCAACAAAGCAGTAGCCGCTCAACGGACCTCTACCCACAATATACATGCATCTTTTGTATAGCAGTTCCATCGAGTTCTCTCGTGCTCGATTGCTCGATCTGAACTGGGTCATGTTAAAGATGGCGCCCAATCGGAAAAGGGCGGTGAGCGAAGCTACCTAAGCAAGCGTCCTGCATATCTTCACAACTCATTCGCACACCGGTGTACGTTTACGCATTAGGCCAATGGCCCCTCTTCCCATTGAGCCTCTGGACTCAACTCCACCCTAGCTCCACCTTGGCATCAAAGAAGATTGGATGGGAATGTTGAATGCTGAATGGAAAGGCTGGGCATGCTGCAACGCTAGTGTGGGGGCTGAATGCTAAGAATCCTACACGACATAAGCCGAAAGCTTTGCAACCTTCAAACTCGAGTATAGTTTTCGCATGTCGGGTCACACGGGCTTAAGCACAACAGATGGCAACGACTGAGCTTGACAACCTTCGGAAGCAGCTAGAGTCGCTTCAACGATCTCATGACGCGCTACTGAAGAGCTTATCTGCAACGAACGACACCTTTAAACCATCCGATGTCTCACAACTTCGCCGCACATCTACACGACATGGCGGCGACGCTATCTTTGCCGATACTTCGACATTATCTGATGACAGCAGCGACGATGAAGACGACTTTTTCGTCCAAGACGAGTTACCTTCCCACTCATTCGACCATGAACATCTACGCGAACACTTGAAGACACACAACTGGACTGAACATGGCAGAGAGATCCTGGCACCAATTATTTCCGATCCCGCAAAACTCACCAAACAACCTCACCTCTTCCATATGGGACCTGGGCCAGCAGAAGATCGAAGTCATTATTCACACTTTCAAGTGTACAATGTCGGACCTAACGGTTTGCCTGAGCTGATTGAAGTTGCTGGTCCCGAAAACAACATGAGTCGAGCAACTGAAATCTGGCATGCACTCCGGGATATCGGCAAGCAGCCGGACGAGAAGGTGGTCGGACGTATCACCATAGCACGAGAACCTTCACCAATCTTGTTTGGTGCGCTCCATCTGACACTACATGATGCTTTCGATATGGACGAGCTATTTCGGCACCTGGTGGAAACGGAAGCCTCGTCTGCGCACATGTTCCGGGCTTTCAATTCGAATCCTAAGCATCAAAGATCTTTCTTCTTCAACTTTGAATACTATACGATTGTCGGAGACGACTGTGTCCCTATGCAGTGGCAGCGTGCGGATAAGATAACGGGCCATTCCGACCACCACATACCTCTTTCGCGGTGCAGTGCCGTTGTCGCGCTTGTTCTCTATGACGACAAACCACGCCGTATTCGTAATAGAGGGAGACGTGCGAAGACACAGTTTGGATGGGTCAACGATGTCTGGTCACCGTGGCAGGTTTTACAGCTTGAGAGTTTTCCAGATTGGAAGTCGACGCCAGCGAATGGAACACCGTATACTTTCGAAACCGGCCATAAGTACCTGAATGGCGCTGAAGCGTTCCTCCATGCTTTGTTAACGGAATATCGCGACGCTAGAAAGAGATTTGACGAAATCTATAAACGTATCACCGACCTAGTTACCCCTCCCTTGGGCTTCCTATTCAGCGAGGAGTTACGACGAGCCCGATTATTCGAGGATAAAGATTTTACTTGGATTCGCAGATATTTCTACGCTCATCAAACGTTGGGTAACGTCAACAACAGCATCAAATCCATGATTGACGCTTTCGAAGACACTTTCACCGATGACATCTGGGAAGGCCAGAACAAGACGCTATGGCCACTTTTCGAGGAGTCAGCGCGTAATGAGCACTGGAAGCGCCGTTTGCGATTGTTGAGGCTTCAGTTTGAACGAGAGATGAAGGAGCTCAGAACCATTATAGCAGAAAACAACGAAAGACGTCATGAAATCGAGACGCTGCAGGAGCAGTTGTTCTCTGGTACTAGCATTCAAGAGTCACGGAAGTCTGTTGAGCTGGCAGATGTTACCGTACATCAAGGATACAACATCAAGGTCTTGACTATCGTGAACCTATTCTTCATGGTATGTTAGCGATACTGGACCATGATGTCACATATGCATATAGCTAACTCATGAACAGCCTCTCACATTTGTAACGTCCGTCTTTGGCATGACGAATATGCCAGAAAGCCCGGCACCCTTCTGGCCATTTGCAATCGTCCTGGTGGCAATCTGCGTACCCTTCTTCAGCATCATCGGCTTCCTTTCCACAAAATACGGCTACGCCATCTGGGCACAGAAAACAAAGGAACTATGGCGATGGCTGAGACCGAACACTAAATCAAAAGTTCCGGACGACACGGACCTGGTAACGCCAACGCGCGTCAACAGAACCATGTCGGCGGAAGCGGGCATGCGGTTGCGGCTGGGTGATAGAGAGGGTATGGGTGTGGGTGTGGGAATGTCGAGAAGGCGATCAAGCGGGAGACCTGCGCCTAGTCATCCGCACATTCAGCGCATGGTGGAGAGAATGGGCGAGGGAAGGGAAAGCGGGCTGACGCGGATGGGAACGGTCGTGCATGATGGAATGTCAGACACGGAGAAAGAAAAGAGTGTAGGCACAGGAAGAGATGCTGTCATCGATATCAGAGAACCATGATACCGTTCGTTTGCCAGCCTTATTATTGGCTCAGAAGGCTGTTCATAAGTAGCACGACTACATATCAAAAGCACTCAGTCCATCTAAATCACTCGCTCCACTCCATTCCTTGGGCAGACTCCACTCGGTTCCATCGCCAAGTGGCATGAAATCCAAATTAACGCCCTCAATCCCACAACCATTACCGTCAACGCCACCCCCGGTACCAAGATCGTCGAACGCGTTCAGCTCAGGGAAATGCGCATTAGCAAGTTGTGAAATCGAATCCTGCGGATCGAAATCCGCTCCCATCCACGCGCCCGAGTTTCGATTCGCATTATGGGAAGAAGATACTGTGGTAGTAGAAGGGGTAGATAAGCTGTGCGAAAGCTCGGGAGGCTCAGATAAGTTGGGCCAGCCTTTACTACCGAGTTCCGAACGTGGCGTCACTAGAATATACCCGTCGTTATTCTGACCTGACGGGTCGTCGAAGCGAGGCGGCGGGGGAGCTTTGATGCTGAGCCCGTTGTGTTGTCTTCCGTGGTCTGATGATGATGGTATACTCATCGTAGTACTCATACTCATCGTTCTCGTTTTCCTGTTTCCACCCGTACCTGCTCGCGGTCTTCCGCGGCTGGTTTGTCTTTTCTTCGCCCATTGTTGGCTGTCGGGCATGTCGGAATCCATGTCTATCGTGCTGCCTCTTCGTGCGGGGACAGTCGAGGATGTGGGTTTGTACAAGTTGAAGGAAGTGGAATTTGGGGGTTCAGGGCCGCCGCGTAATTCAACCATTACGGCGCGGAGGACGGTAGACATGCGTTCTGCGGGCTGGTATGTGGATGCCATGTCAGAGAGCGCTGCAGAGAGGCATTCGAGGTATTGCATGTTGTTTGCACGGGAGGTAGGGTCTTTTATGAATGCTAGGGCTGCTACGAGGGCGGTTGCTGCTGTGCCCTAGAAAAGAGTTGTTAGTAGGTAGTATGGATGGGAGACATGAGCTTCGACATACCGCGTGTTGCATGCCTGTTACGAAAATCTGCTTCGTATCGAATCGTTGTCGATGTTGCCAGTATATTCTAGCTACGCGAATAGCATGTTTGGTGCATACTGTCCTGCTTAGTGCGGAGAAATGATCGTCAGGTCCACTCTCGTTGCCCGCTTGGTCTTCATACAATGCGAACGGCCGGTGGAGCAGGATCAAACTGGCATGGTATTGCTGATGTAATAAGAAAAACGAGAACGGCGCCGTTGCGATATTGGCTGGTGTCCAGCGCAACTGTTCCGGCAATCTAGCGTACCAACTGCTAAACTCGCGATCTAGCGCAGCCATGCGCATATATTGGTTTCGATCCACGGCGGCGTGTGAGTCAGAAGTAGCGTTTTGCGAGCGATGTGGATCCATGTTTTCCGTGATCTTGCCAGCGAGCTCCATAAGGTCGAGAAGTGCTTCGTAGATCATAGTCTCCATACTTTTTCCTAATCCGGCAGGGCGACAGGTACCGAGTCGTTCAAACTGCTTTGTCAAGTGGTATATCTCAAGATCGGAAGATTTCATGGACGTCGGACGACCCAAGAAAAGTGCCCAGTACTTGTCGTAGATGACGCATGCCCAGAGAGTCATTTGACGGATCTCGACCTCGCGTTCTGGGAGACCTGAGAGTCGTGTATCAAGATGGAGTCTATGCAACTGTCAATATATCGCTCCAGGAGCTTTTCTATGGGAACATACCCAATGTCGAAAGCAAGTCGCACAGCCATCCCGCCGTACATCCAGCCCAAGTTATCCCTCCCAACACCGCACTCGAGATCGCCAAGCAGAAGTAGGGCAACTACGCTCGGTATCCCACCTGGTCGTTCCAACTCATGGTCAAGCATGTACTTTGCTTCGCGATGCAGCGTGCTCTCCATACCGGGTAGACCGATCCTTCTTATGTCAAGCCTTTCCTTATTCGCAAAGCGGTAACCCATAGCCAAGACGCAGACATGCAGGAAACCGGAGTAAAACTGTGTGCGACCCATCTCGCGATCTTCGTTAAAGGCATCCTGGTGTAGAACGTGGATAACAGGGTTGTAGCATTGCCAGAACAGTTCCATGAGATAATCGTACGTCTCCAGAGGAAGAGAACGGTTAATTTTGTCAGCGCGTCGAGCCTGCTCATTCATTTCTTGCGTTGCGCCGAAGGGGTTGATCGACTCGGAGTGAACGTGGCAGTTTGTTGTTGGACCAAAGTATCGAAGGCGGCCGTTCAGTTGATCAAAGCTGAGATGACCGCGAGTGGAGAGAAGGCGATTCACCATGCCATCTTTCTTTGGGGGTGGTAGTATGGACGGTGAGCCAGCGCTCTCTGCGTCACCATTCGAAAAACGCGGGCTATTTGTGTTCATCTCGTGCTGTTCAAATACGCAATAGTCGTCTTGAGGACTGGATTGACTGCCTGGGCTAGAGTTGTTTTCTTCGTTGGCCACTTGGTTATCACTGATTTTGCGGCTGGGAGATGTGCCGTCTTCGTCGAGCTGGGGATTATGGCGGGTTTTGGGAGGGTGATTCGCTGGTGGTAACTCTTCGCCTCGTTCTTTGAGCATCGTCTCTAGTAGTGCAACACGGTCGGTAAGAGAACACATATATGCTCTCGAAATCGGTCTACAGAGGTGTTAGCTCGATGCAAGCTCGTACATCATGTTACGAACCGTCGTCGTTCGTCGTCGTTTTTGATAACGCATTCCACACCCGATCGTTTGCACTGTGTGCATTCCTTGTCGCCCGGAGGTACTACACACTGCGAAGTCGTCAGAACGAATCGTGGAGGCAGCTAGAGCAAACATACGCGGATCCGGCGGTCTCGACACGAAGCGCAAGCGACAGACGCCCTGTGTCGAGGTTTTGAAGATTTGCCCTTTGAGGAACCTTTTTCCGATGTGCTCTGCTCCTGCTTGCTGCCAGCTTTGGGAGCTGGTTCCTGTATATCCGGACGCTGTTCGCTCATGTTTTCTTCAGCTGCCGTTCCTCTCTCGCTAGCCATCGGTTGTCGCTCCTAGTATGAATGAAGATTGCAGTGTAACAGGCAAGATTTTGTGAGAAAAGACACTGGTGTATCGTACAGTTGGGAGCGTTGCGGAAAGGGAAGTCGTAGATCCGACAGCGAAGACAACTCTCAAGCCTAAATTCCGAATCTCCGCAAACATGAAGTGACCCAGGCCTAACCTAGTCCTGAACGTCGACCGCTAAATGTTGATGAGGATTAGGCGTTCGATTCGTGGAAGTGGGGCCCCGCAGTTCCACCCTACTGAGCGCCTTTATGCCATCCGCCCACGTTGGCAACTCGCAAGTTTCTTCGAAAAGTAGGCAACGGATTGACATGTACCTAGCTATGGCGTCGGCTCGACATGCTTGGAACAGTCCAAGCACCGCATTCTACGAATCATAATGCTTAAAAAGCGTATGCTTGCAGAATCGAGAACACTTAGTCGAAGGCAAACCTCCTGCAGGGTTCTTTTCCACCCTCCACATACTCGTTAACCGGCATTAAGCCGATCTATGCGGAGAAACCTACAGTTGACGTAGGAGAAAGTTGCGGATCGCACAATTGGCACGAATACTCGCTATTTCGCTTTGAGAGCATTGTCACATGGGCCTATGGCGTCAGTAGTTCGCATCTGTGCTGAGTCTGGGGCAGCTTTGCATTCACTCAAGGCCCAATCGCAAGTCATAGCGCACTGTAGCGTCGTACCTATAAGATGGTAGTTGGGACATGGCGAGTCGTGTTGATGCGGAGTGAGGGTTTAATCTGGGGAAACATGAGTCGAAAGTTGTCGCCATGAGCGGGGTCGAAGCTTGCGATTGGCGTGGCGGAGTCTCGGAGTTAGCAACCATCGTGATGTTTGCTTCTTGGCGTTCTTGTTCGGACCAGGAAGCGAGCATCCGAAATATGCATCCATAGACGTTATCAGGCTAGCCGTAGCCGCTATAGTTTGCTACGCACATCAGGCCCCTAGCGGACTTCGAAGGGCGCCGTGCGTGATTGAGGGGTTCGGATGGGTATCATGGGAGCTGCAATGTCACCATATCTTAGCTCTCCTCCAGAATCATAGGACTTGCTGAAGAAATAGGCATGAGAATCATGCACAATGCCCCCAAAAAATCAACAAGTAACGGTTTGTCGTAGAGCTAAAGTATGAATCCGTACGGAAAACGCCCAGCACGCTCGGATGCAAACCGAAAGAAAATAACCCGAAACCCGGGCCCAGAACTAGCTCCAATAACCGACGGTGCGCCTGACCCGTCAAGACGTGTCACTTCAAGCCCCAGTCACCAACCCATTCGATTCGTTCACAATACCTCAATCAACATCCCAATCATGGTCGTAGTTCCGAATATAAGGGCTCAAACCATGCATGTCCCTCATCGCTGTCGCCTTCACATCGCCATTACCTAAGAAAGCAAATCGGTTCTTGTACCTGTACACATAGTCATAGTCTTCCCAACGTGGCGTCTTGATGGATTTGAGGAAATGTATCGTCTAAAACGTACGAGTCAGCCGTGCACAGCTCGATGCGGGGTTGATAGGCGATACGCGCGTAAGCCGGGGATGTGCGGCGCTAACAATGATGGAGAGATGCGTGTATGGAGGGAAGGGCTAAGTGATGGGGGTGAAGGGTACTTACAGCACCAGGCCACAGATAAATCCTGTTCTTGATCTGCCCGTTCTTGAACCAACTCCGACACTCTTCTTGCCACACTGTCGTCTTGTGGAACTCATCAAAGTGCGCATAGATTTCATCTAGAGCATCCTGCTTCACGCTCATAGCCTTGATACCCTCGGTTTGCATCTTCTTCATGCACTTGATGCTATACTCTACAGTTGTTTCGATCGAAGGTATGAGTGTACCATTACTCCATGTCGCACCTGGCCCAACTATAGTATAGAAGTTCGGGAATCGGGGAGCGGAAACACCCATGTAGAGGTTGGGACCGTTGGTCCAGTCTTCCTTGATAGATACGTTGGAACCGTTGCGGACCGTGAAGGCGGGCTGGAACGCGACTTGGAAGCCGGTAGCGCAGACAATGGCATCGAGTTTGTGGATCTTGCCGTCGCGGGTTTTGATACCTTCTGGAACTACTCGTTCGATGCCGTCAAAAACTGGAGTAACGTTGTCTTGCACTAGAGCTTCGAGAAAACCATCGCCGGGCGAGATGCGCCGGCAGCCGACTGACCATTTGGGAATGATGAACTCTTTGAGTTTCTCGTGACCGGGGCCCATGCGACGATGCATCTCCTTGGTAATGACGTCTTTGAATTGGTTTTGGAGTTCAGAGTTTTGCTGATACATTCCGAACAAGCTGTTGATCTCTGCTTCGATCTTCTTCCGGAAGTCCAGGTGATACTCTGGGTCTTCCTTGAACTTTTTGATATCAGCTTCGGTGAAAGTGTACTGTCGTTGCCCTGGGTCGACGTCTTGCCCTTTTTGCAGATCATCGTTGAGTGCACCAGCACCGAAAGGAGGCGATATCCATGTCGGACTCCGCATGTAGACTTCTAGTCCCTTCACGACCTTTTGAAGTGAAGGTACGATCTGGACGCTGGTCGAACCGACGCCGATGACGGCCGCATTGATGTTTTTGAAGTCGACGCTGTGGTCCCAGCATGCGGAGTGGAGGACGGGTCCCTTGAAGTCATGCAGGCCTTCAATATCGGGCCACTTCCAGTTGTTGAGAATACCTATGAATTATCAATACCATAACTGAAGAGAATTCATGGCAACTCACCTGAGCCGTTCACCAGGACGTGCGCCCAGTCCTTTCTCATCGAGCCAGTCTTTGGGTTTCTGATAGTAAGGCTGTAGCAACCATCCTCATCGTTCCAATTCGCTTGCTCAATCCTGCTGTTCAACTGCATGTACTTCTTGCTTCCATGTCTCTCCGCGAAGTCCTCAAAGTATCCCTGGATCTCCTTCCCTGACGCGAAGAAGGTGGACCAGTCGGGTTTCGGATCCCAAGTAAAGTTGTAGTCGTGCGATGGAATGTCGCATGCGACACCTGGGTACGTGTTCTCATACCAGGTTCCACCAAACTGCGCATTCTTCTCATACAGCGTCAACTCCCAAGATCCAGGCTCCAGCATCTTCTCCATCTTGTAGGCCAAACAGAGCCCCGATGCACCCGCGCCGACACATGCTACTCGCAGTTTGGCTGGCTTGGAATGATATTGATCGAGAATTTTGTAGGGGCCGTCGATGTGCGATGGCGGGTAGTCGTAGTTGTGACCATAGCCATTGACATTAAGTCCGTTTGGTATCTCCGAATCCCCCATTGTCGCAATTGATCAGGCTGGTCGGCAAGCTCTTCAAAACGACCTTGGTGATTATACGCGATTGCAAAGAGGGATGGGAGTGGAAGAAGACGCAAATAGTATGCTGAGATGTAGCCTCAAAACCAGCAGATGAAGTTTAAAGACGCTGCACCATCAACATAAACAAGGAGGCCATGCAGTCCCACCGCCATGTTGTGGCGATCCAACATCTCTGCAGTGTTTAACCGCGCCTCGGGTGTCTTCATACATCGTACACCTCCTTGCACGCCGGTTGGTGCAAGTCATGCGGCATACTTTAGGCCGGCACGAGAACGCGTGTGGGTTCGCGCGCTATCTGGCTGCATGAGTCAAGCCGAGATGCATGGCTTGCTGGGGTATTGTAGTGCTGTGGTAGCTGTAAGAGGTGTGCATTTACTATAGTACTGAGGGGTTGCGGATGAAGTTACGCGGGGTTATTCAGGTGCGAACCAACCGAACGCGAAGCTGCCAAGGCCACGCTTGCCTCTGTTCGGATGTGTGGAAGGCACGAGGGTGTGGTCGATAACAGCAACACTGTCATGAAAGCTGTGCTTGGTGGAAAACTTGATTCATGCAGAATCTCCCTTGAACACGTGATCTCATGACTAGGCGTCGAGTCTGGATCATATTTGGAAGGCCAAAAGGTAAAATGTGCTGTCACTAGGTCTTGGATTATGTTGTTACTCATGAAGATAGCTGTAAGTGTCGCAGCTTCGGTGGGAACCAGTAGGTACTATCAGGGAAAGACCTCATCGGTAATGGAACAATTGCGACACCTGGCATTGCTACTACTGAAAATGTTCACAGGCAAAAGCTCAGTATTCCAGGTGTGACCGCTTTCTAGAGCTTCGCTTTACCCATCATCTCAGCATCCCTCTTCGCCCATTCCTTGACAACCTTCCTCATAATCTTTCCTGACTGTAACTTCGGCACCTCATCCACAAATACAATTCCCCCAACAAGCTGCTTATGTTTTGCAACCTTGATCTTCATATGCTTATGAATATCCTCTGCGGTCGTCCTGCCCTTATGCTCGTCCTTAAGTGCAACATATGCACGCGGCCATTCCTGGCCATCAAGCGTGATACCAACAGCAGCCGCATCAGCGATTGGGTCGAATTCGAGGAGCACGGCTTCGAGTTCTGCGGGTGCGACCTGCAGGGCGTTGACTTTGATCAGTTCCTGGGTGATTTTAGCAGTATACTCGGATAAGGGACGCAAGCGTGTGGAAGTGACTTACCTTCTTTCGATCGACTATCCAAAACCATCCATTCTTCACGACAGCAACATCACCGGATTTCAGCCATCCATCTGGTGATATAGACTCTTTCGTTGCGATTGGATTGCGCCAGTAGCCGAGACATATGTTGGGGCCGCGGACATGGAGCTCGCCTGGTTGTCCTTCAGGGACTTCATTGCCGTCATCGTCAAGAAGCATGCATTCGCAGTTTGGATCCAGTTGACCCACACTTCCAGAGCTATAGTGTATCAGAAGCGAACGAAAGAAGAGTCAGCGAAGACTGTACTTACTCATCTACAGTACCTCCTGGCACATGTATAGCTCCGCAGGTGACCTCCGTCATGCCCCACCCCTGCACGATCTCGCATTGCAACTTCTTACTAATCTCATTCTGAAGCTCCTTTGATAATGGCGCAGCACCGCACAGAATATCTGTTACACTACCAAGGTCGTATTTTGCCGTCTCTGGTCTTTTGCTGAGCATGACCATGATTGGTGGCGCGACTTGCAGATGCGTGACTTTGTGCGTCTGAATTACCCGCAGGAACTCCTCATATTCGAACTTCTTCATGATGAAGCAGGGTATCTGAAGTTTCTGCGCCATGGCTATGGTGTAAAGCTGTCCGTAAGCATGGTACAGTGGTAAAAAACCAATCCAAGTTTCCCGAGGCCGGGTGTCTGCATTCCATGGCTTGTTGAGATAACGCATGAAGATGGTCTGTTCGAGGTTCGCGATAAGATTGTAATGGCTTACCTCGACACCCTTGGGTAGCCCAGTAGTGCCAGAGGAGTAGTTGACTGTAGCTGTCGTGGTGGCTGCTTCGTGTGCAGACAACTTTGGGAAGTTGTATGTTTTGGTTTCAGCTGGGGACGGTAACATGTCTCTCCAGTCTTTGCAGCCTTCGACTGGTGCACAAGGTTCGTCTGAGAAGAGGAAGACACGTCCTTCTGGAAGGCCGGCGCCCTTGGCTGCTGCTACGGCTGCTTTGATCAATGTTGGGTGCGCGAGAATGAACTTTGCTTCTGTATTTGCAACCTGATGTGTCATCTCTGGACCTTGTTAGTCCGTTTTCTGCTGCGCTTGCGCGCATTCTTACCAGAGACTGTGTATGCTGGGTTGGCGCCACTGAAGATTCGCTTCGACCCCACGATTCCAAGGTAGGCCACGGGAACGAAGATGTGGTTCGGTGTGAAAATCATCACGACCTCGCCCGGTTTGCTCCCGATGCGATCCAAACCCAAGGCCAATCGTTTCGACCATTGTAGCAACGATCGTGGTGTGAGGTGCTGGTCGGTATCTTTGGAGTCAATCCAAATAGGTGTGCCTGAAGGAACTGCTCCCTGAGGAAATAGGTAATCTAGCAAATTACATTTTGGAATGTCAAGAGTAGGGAAGGGTGACGAGAAGGGCATTGTTGCGATGTAGTGGAGAGAATGCTAGGGCTCAATCAGGGTAGAGAAAAGACGCAAAACAATCAAGATCGCCTCGAAACCAGACAGCGACAGATGCAAGTGTTTGCATCATGAAAGAGACGCTTATAGTGAGGGTGAGTCGTGGGACAGGCGTTGCTGCTACAGCCGGCCAGACGAGGTGTCCGAGGGGTGCACAGACGCGTCGCGCCGCTTCCGAGGATATCGAACTCCACACACCGAGCTCCCCAGACAAACCCCACGTACCCCAGACAAGCCTCAAGATGGCATCTGGCGAGGCCACCTCTCGCCTGCTGTCTTGCTGTTTGCTTGATCAAATCGGAGATTGACCATAATGTCTGAATTAAAAGATTTCAACCGCATGTTCAGCCTCGACGGCAAAGTCGCGCTGGTCACTGGAGGTAAGCGGTACTATCAGAAACAAGACCAACGCGTTCCAACTCACCTCGCTAGGCTCAAGAGGTCTCGGACTTCACACTGCGACAGCGTTTCTTCTCGCTGGCGCAAAGAGAGTCTTCATCTCTGCGCGCAAGAATGAAGGAGAACAAGGCATTGACCAAGCCGTCGAGAAGCTCAACAAGCTGCCTGTGTCTGGTACAGCCGTCGGCATCGCCGCCAATGTCGCCGATACTGAAGATATCGAGAGATTGGTCAAGAAGGTGCACGAGACCGACGACAAGCTGGACATCCTAGTGTGCAATGCCGGCGCGACGTGGGGAGGCCCTTTTGATCCCACACCAGACTGGTCGAGCAAGAAGGTGTTAGACCTCAACGTTCGCGGCGTCTTCAATCTGGCGCGGCTGTAAGTGTCTCTACTGGCAAGATTACACGAGGGGCTTCTAATGTCAACAGCTTCGCACCTCTGCTCGAACGCGCCGGTACTCGTCAAGCGCCCTCTCGCATAATCATCGTCTCTTCCACCGCCGGGACAACCGTCCCCCACGTCGGCGAGCATGGTACAATCATGTACAGCATTTCCAAAGCGGCAGCACATCACCTTTCACGACAACTCGCTGTCGAGCTCGGCCCCAGGAATATCACAACCAACACTGTTGCGCCTGGTTTCTTTCCCTCGAAACTCGCAAATGGGTTGATCGAGATGCTGGGTGGACAAGAAGAATTGGAGGAGAACAATCCACGAAAGCGATTAGGCGAGCCTGAAGATATTGCAGGTGTTATGGTGTTCCTGTGTAGTCCAGCGGGAGCGTACATTAACGGAGAGGACATCGCTGTAGATGGTGGCATGCGGCTCGCATCAGGACGTTATTCCAAGTTATAGAACTATACAAATCGCGTTGGATAATCACCATGTATCTACGTACATCTCAAGCCCCGTTCGTTCCATTTGTCTTGCCTCCCTCGATTCTAGCTAGTTGCTTCGCCATGCTAGTATTCGCCATCATCACCCTCATATTATCATCACAGAACTCTGGTCCTTCTCTGAGATAGAAGTTGTTGCCGTTCACTTCCACCGTCAACCCCCAGTTCTCCTCTCGCGTCTTCTTCACCCCCTTTGCGTCCACTATATCGCCTCCATCCACCAGTTTCACTACAATATCGACCAGCGTCTCCATGGGTGTGAAGTACTCCAAGGGGAAAGACTTCCATTCTTCCTGACTCAAGAGACCAGTGTTGATAGTCCCAGGGCACGTAGCAAACGTCCGTACCCCTTCGTGGTGGTATGCGACGGTGATTGCGCGGTTGAATTGCACAACAGCTGCTTTGCTCCCACTATACATAGGACAGAACTCTGACGGATAGAGACCGCCACAAGATGCTGTCATGACCAACACAGGATCTACATTCTCCCTTCCATGCTTGGCTATCGCTTTGCGGAAGTAATGTAGAGCAAGATATGATGTGTTGATCACAGCCTTCAAGTTGATATCCACGCTTAGTTGATTTGGAGGCGGAGGAGGCGGACCGTCTAGGTCGTGTTTTGCGTAGAAGTTGTCGCGCTCCACGATACCAGCGTTTGCGTAAACAAAATCTAGACGCTGGGATGTGTTGTACGTGGCTTCAAAAGCTGAGACGAGGGACATGTAGTCTGTCACGTTTGTTTGGTGGAAGTGCGTGTTCTTCAGTTTGGCAGTCACTTGTTTGCCGGCTTCGGCGTTCAGGTCAATGAGGTGGATATCCCAGTCTTCATGCATGCGATTCGAGAGGGCGGTTGCAACGGCGAGGCCCATGCCTGATGCTCCACCGGTAATCAGTGCGACTTTCTTTGGCATCTTGGGGACAACGTTCGTGACTGTGACGAGAAGTTAAACTCGAAGAAGAAAGGTTTTGTTGATAGGTTGCTGGGAGGGTGAGAAATCGCTTGACGACAGATACGCTCTCGAGGTTTCAAGGCCATGTTTGTATTCTCGGCTCATTAAGGCTACCATTACGATACCATCCATCGTGGTAGGCAGTACAATGACGGCTCACGTCAAGGAAGTGCAAGTACGTCCCGTGTGTTCCTTCTCCGCATGCTCAAAGGAAAGCGTCTTCCGAGCTGGCAATATTCAGAAACGAATACATCGCATGCTCTGTTGAAAATATCCAAGTTTATGACGCCCCCAAATGTTAATCAGTTGTGCCTGATTTTACTCTTACACTAAAGCCATGTGCGACGTAAAGCACATTCATACCTGTTCGCACGATCCCTAACGCATTGTACTCTGATATGACTCTCAGGGACATATCAATCCCACTGTCACGATTCAAAATGATGGCCCACAGCTTCGCCATGGCTGTCTCGCAGCATGACACAGAGTGGTGCGGGGAAGGTGGAGAAGATGACTCAACGCACATGTGCGCCAACGACGCGGAAAACAAACCGCGAGCGCCTTCGCCGTCAGCCGAACACTAACTTTTACACACCACGTCGTCGCCAAGCTAACCTCTCCCCCTCATGCAGTGTTACACATGGTTGCAATGCGTTTGCTCATCCGAGATGGGCCGCCACCAGCCTGCATACCTCCGGGATTAGGTCTTGCTGCTTTAGTTAAGAGGTGAGATTACTTAGCCAGCGCTCCTTTCGCCTGCGCAATATCTCTGACACAACTGTAATACGCTTCTTATATCCTTTTTCTGTGTGTATTCTTTGCAATAAGTTCCTTCCGCAGTTGATCCCCTCTCATATCCCGCCCATCATGACACTGCAATACTCAGCAAAGAACCTACCAAAGCAAATCTTCATCAACAATGAGTATGTTGACTCAAAGTCGCCGAAGAAGCTTACTCTCCACAACCCCAAAAACGGGGAGCTACTCGCAGACGACTGCCCTCTGGCAGGCGAACAGGATGTGGATGCTGCGGTCGATGCGGCGGAGAAGGCGTTCCCAGCATGGAAGAAGATGAGCGCGAATCAGCGCAGAGGCATCCTGAACAAGTTCGCAGATCTTATTGAGAAGAACGCAGAGGGTATTGCACAGTTATCGCGAATCTCGCTGGGCGCACCAGCAGCGTTTGGTGCTTTCGAGATTGGGCTTTGCGCCGAGGTATGTATTGCTCTCCACCAGGATTCACACCCGCCTCCAAAGCCTCAAGAGTGAGTGTTAACCACACTACAGGTCTTCAGATACAATGCTGGCTTCATCGACAAGTTCGGTGGCGAGTCATGGCCCCAGGAAGACGGCTTCCTCAAGATTGTTCGTAACGAGCCCCTCGGTGTCACAGCTGGCATCGTCCCCTGGAATGGACCCATCGGCACCATTGGTCTCAAAGCCGCCCCAGCTCTGGCAACAGGAAACTGCTTCATCCTCAAGCCCTCAGAAAAGACACCTTTCTCGTCACTTGCTCTTGGTACGCTCATCAAAGAAGCTGGTTTCCCACCTGGTGTCTTCCAGATCCTCTCCGGGGATGGAAGCACTGGCGCTTTGATCGCAAGCCACATGCGCATCCGCAAAGTCAGCTTCACAGGCTCCATTGCAACCGGCAAGAAGATCCAAGAAATGGCCGCAAAGTCGAACCTCAAACGCGTCACCCTCGAGCTAGGAGGAAAGTCCCCCGCCATAGTCTTCGACGACTGCAACCTTGACAACGCAGTGACATGGACCGCCAACGCCATCACCGCGAACACAGGCCAAGTCTGCTTCGCCGCCAGCCGTGTCTACGTCCAAGAAGGCATCTACGACGCCTTCATCGAAAAGTACAAGACAGCGATGAAAGACAAGACAAAGGAAGTCGGTGACCCAGATGACACATCAACGAATATCGGTCCATTGGTCGACGAAGCCCAATTCAAACGTGTACAAGGCTTCATCGAGCGCGGCCAACAAGGCCAAGGTACCCTCGCCGTTGGCGGCAAACGCATCGGCACATCAGGCTACTACCTCGAGCCCACCGTCTTCACCGACGTCGACCCAACATCCGAAATCCACTGCGAAGAAATCTTCGGCCCCGTCTCCGTCGTCAAGTCTTTCAAGACCGAGGAGGAAATCATGGAGCTTGCCAATAATACGAACTTTGGACTTATGGCCGGTGTGTTTACGCAGGATATCAACAAGGCGTTGCGGGTTGCGAGTGACTTTGACTCGGGTATGGTGGGCGTAAACTGTGTGAGTTTAATGTTTACTATGACGCCCTTTGGGGGCAGCAAGGAGAGTGGGTTGGGGAGGGAGTGTGGGATTCACGCGCTGAGGGCGTTTACTGAACCGAAGACTATTATGATTAATATGAGCTACTGAACGGGGGTAGCTGGGGATTAGGTAGGCATGCTAAGGATATGACGCACGACCAGAAATGAAGCGACCTTTTTGCACTGCGTTATTTTTATAACATTTATCATGTTGTATGCGCATTGTCCAACTTTAGCCGCACTTGAACAGCCGACTGTGTGTCGCCATGTCGTCTCGAGTTGCTCAAAACATCTCCACACTATGGTGCACAAGCACAACAAGAAATCAGTAGATCAGTCATCGTTAATGGTTCGCACTTTGAGATCTCTTAATCTTGTGTTCATCAAGGGGGTAGCTGTTGAGGCTGACTGACAAGAAAGCAAAAGTCGACCCGCTGTACCGTGTCCGTGCGCGCAATGCGCGATTGTGGCACAGTCTCTTCGCTGTCAGCCTTGCGAGTCGCCTCCAGGCTTCTCCTCGCCTCATGCCTCGTATGTCATCAGAGCATGACAGCAGCTATTAGTCTCAGATGCATACTGATCTTTACGCCTAGCTACAACTCGTCGCTTCTACATCATCGTCCCCTTCTCGTCATTACTATACCTTGGGACCTGTTTCTATTTAGATTATGGCTGTCCCATTCGGATTCTCCGCGGGATATTTTATGGCAGCAATTCACCTGGTCCACAAGATCAACACAGCTTTACGCGAAACAGATGGTGCGAGCTCGCAGTACAATCAGTCTATCAGTGAGCTACAAGGCCTTGAGGGATTGCTGCGAAGTGTGCAGAGTGCATATTCTGTAGATGTCGATCCTCAGCAACTCGACAAGTTGCAATTACTCGGACATGAATGCTACATCCCACTCAACAGATTCTTCTCAAAAATGAAAGTTCTGGAACCCAGCCTCGGGAACCTAGGTACCAAAAACGACCGCATTATCGACAGGACCAAAAGGGCTGCACGGAAGGTACAATGGGGTCTTCAAGTGAAAAAAGAGCTATCTGAACTCACGGCTACTCTGGGGCCTCGGATTAATGCTATCAATATGCAACTACTTCTGATCAACTCGTAAGTACCGCAAATTTTGTAAGGACTAAAGTAGAGGGAAATTGACTGTCGCAGTGAACGGCAAGAGAAGGCTGGGTCTTCTCTCGGGGTCCTTATGCGGACGTTGAACGGCCTCAACTATCAGATGAACAACTTTCAGAATCGCCTTGATACGCGACTGGACTCCCTTGCTACAATGGCATTTGTAGACAACGTCATTCGAAGCCTTCGAGATATGCGTTTGGAAGCTGCAAATGGTCGCAATGCACACATAGATGCTGTCCGCAAACAGATCGATATGCACACAGGTCCCTTCAATTCCGAACTTTCGCAGCAAGTATTACATTCAATCGAACTTTTGGACTCCAAGATCCAAGATAATTTCTCCCAGTTAAGAACAAGTACAACCCAGAACACGGCAATCCCGAGCCAAGTGCCAAAATCACACACACCTGTCGATTCTGGATCATTATGTCACGATCGTACCGCAATGCAGAGAGTTGAAGAACAACTAGCCACTCAACATCGGCTACTGTTGCAACTCACGAAGAGGGATCTGAGCCCGCAATCATCGGGTCCATCATCTGAAGAGAACGACTACGGTGTAATAAAAAATGCCCAAGAAACAATCAGGCATTCGATCCAGGCTTTGCTTAGCTTCTTCAGAGCGGGTGTGAATGCTCTGCTCCTGAAGCTTTGGATTGCTCTATCAATTGTTCAGCATATCCTAAGAACCCTGAAAACACTTCCTTTACTCACTTCTGTCCCCATCGCAGACGGCATACTGTTTGAAGATGCTTTAGGTCGCATAGCATATCTTCCATATGTACACTTTCGGCACCATGCTGTATTCATGGCACGCTTGCGGTGCGAATTCCAAAACGTTCCTGGAGAACAGAAGGTACTCCTTGAGCAATTTCGTATTTTTAAGCAGAAACACTTCGACAAGTTACTTACCAAAGAGAACTAGGAGCGTGATGTGGGCCACGGCTCCAAGATAGCCATGTCAGTTCTGCTGAGGAGTCAGAGTTGCGAAGGCGACACTTGTCCTCGATGTGGCACCATCAAAGTTGACATGGATGCGGAAGAACTTTCCCAATGGTATGTTTCGAAAGCTGTGAGTGAGGTTATGCTAACCGCCAGCAGCACAGTCTGTGGATTAAGCTGGGCTTTGCAAAAGTCCAGTCCTCCAGACACGTTATCGGGCGCAGACCGCGTTCGAGAAGCCAAGTTGAACCAGCCGTTGAAGCGAGATATATTTGCGTCGGCTGAAAACGAGTCCATCAGCTCATCGACATCCTCGCCCGATCCTGCCGAAGTTGCGCTACCTTTGATTGAAAACGAGGATACTCAAAGCTTCAAAACAGTTCATATTCAGTCACAGAATGCCAGTGCCGATAAAGAAGAGATTACATCGACCCCTTTATTGCTGGAGCATGCTTTCAATATCCGGAACATTCGACCTTGGCAACATCGCTCCAGCAGAGGCCTGTACACGTCGAGGAAAGGATACAGCCGTGGAGTCGAAATTGCGAAGTCAACTGCATGTTTGATCCGCCATCAAAGAAAGGAAGAAATGCAACGGCTGTGGTAAGACACACAGAGAATGGTTCTGTGTCTCCAAGGAACATGCCAGTAGGGTCTTCCAGGAATGGAAGCACTGGATATCAAAGGAGCCATATATGCAGAATGGCGACGGAGAATGGGTACTCAAACCGTCTTTCCTCGCTCATATGAAAGAAACATAACCTTTGGCAGTGGATGATTGACAAAGCATCGCGCTACAGGCGAACCTGTCAACAATCAAGCTGTATAGATATGCTGAAGATATGAGATATAGCGATCAACGAACTGAGCTTAGTGGGAGCTTGTTGATGTTGTAGAGCTTTGCATAAATTGAGCCTTTTACACTGTGTTCTCTATCTTTTGCTGACCATGTTGTTGCGTATACATGGCTATTATAAGATCGTGACGTAGCCTCATGGAGCTAGACCTAGTCGTGTAGAAAGCTGAGATTCTTTTCGTATCCTCCGTCTCGTGAGACTAGATGTGTTGGTATGAAATCGGTGGGTGTGTGGGGTCCGTCAGCTGACCAGACCAATAACTCAAAGAAGATGATCCGTGTTCACCATCCTAGCACATATAACCAAAAGGCACTGGAACCCAAAATTCCTCGCCATCTCCCATAATTAGATAACTTTACAATATTACTCAGACCCATTGTCCTATGATATATTGCTTACAAGGCTTTTAACCCTACGCAGACACCCATGAGCTGAAAGCATGTCCCGTCAAGCTGACTCAACATCGACTGTGTAGGTCCTGTCGGCATAAATTCTCTTATCGTTCATCGGTGCAGTGCTCTTATCTGACGCGCCGTCGTGTATCTGTTCCCAGGAATCCTTATCGCGCCCATGGTGCACAGCAGACAAGCTGAAGCCAATGTCTGTGGGGTTGCGGTAGCTGTCACGTCCCTTTTGTTGTCGTGGGTGACCGCCTGCAGTGATGGTCGTCGTTCCATAACGCTTGCTATTCGGATCGGAGCTGCCGTCGCGGTCGTGTTGGAAGAAGTGGCGCAGTGCTGGGAGGGAGGATGCAAAACACCCGATACCAGTCTCGACGTTCGAGCAAAGGACGATGTGAGACACCCAGACTGTGCGCTGGTCAATTCGATTGTCTCTCAGATTTAGGGGAACTTGATGCTTACAAGGGAGATTGGTTTGAGACTCAAATTTGTTGACAAACGGGATTCTTATCATGGTGATAATTGACGCCAGTGAGGCGAAGGACAGCAGCCCGAATGCTTGGATTTTTGCTTGTCTCTTCATCTGCGTATTCCACAAGATGATAGCCGGCACGATAACCAGGGCCATGTCGGTCAAAATCGTCGACACTGTCGCAGTGTGCGCAATGATGAGAAATGTCTCCGCAGAAGCACAATGTCCCTGACCAGTCCCTGTAGGTATCAATTAGCCTTGTTCGACCTAAAGGTTGCAAATCGGGCCTACTCACACAAAGCCGACACCGGCTGGCAGTAAGCTAACGTTCCAACAAAGGTAACGAGAAAGGACGCCCACGTGACAGCTAGTAGAACCCAGACAGTGATTCTCATAGGCTTCTTGATCGAGGCAATGCGCCTAATTGTGATGCACACAGAGGATTTGACAGTTGCAAGTGCAACGACGTATACCAATATCCAAATCAGGTAATACTTGATAGCTTCGGACTGCTGCCACAAATTCAGATCCTCATTCATTCTGCCTAGTCCAACGCAACATCCGTATATTGCAAGACCTGTAACAGGAATATATGCGATCTATGAGTTTACGTTAGCGAAGTTCAAGTCAAAGACTCTTAGAGATAGACATACCGTGCCGATAACCATGAACACATCTTCCAGGCCGAGTATGCCCTTTTTGATTCGAATAAAGGTCCGCAACGCTACAGTAACGATAGAAAGGGCGAAGAAGATGGATGAGATGATGATGATAGCGAGCGGCAGACCGTCCGGTGAAATCAGTCTCGCGGACTGATCGACATCGCTCGTGGGCGTCGACATCGTAGGTTCAAGGCCGCTAGGGGTAACAAGGGCTCATACAGGGCATAAGGGCACATCTTGAGGAAGTTGCTGTTACTTTATACGGCTACGCCGATGTTGACCGCACGTATGGAGTGCAGTGGGGGATACATGCAACCGTTCATCCAAATCGCGGGCAAAAACCTGCTGGAAAGGAGAGCTAATCTCAGGCATTTTGCATCCGTACAACGACGCCATTGCAATGGTAGCGAAAAACTAGTGGAGCGATCTCCCGCGCCGACGATCACGAGCCCGCGATCTAGATGATCACTAGTACCATTAGTCATGCTCAAGATGGGATCTGACTCTCCACATCGTATCGTGAGGCCGCAAAGCAGGTGTTCCGAGTAATTGGCCCGGCATTCAAACGCTGGCCCAACTCGCAGGTTTGGCACTACGAAGTTGCTACCTTAGCACTCTGTCTCGCCCCAACGGATATTTGAGATCTAGTTGCGAGAGCGCAAGTCCATTCGCCTGCGTCTGGCACGTTTCTTTTTGGGGCCCTCTGTAACACTCAGGTAGCTGCAACTGTTAATCTAGAAACGGCCCGACCTACTTTAGATTGCGCAACCTGGAATCTTCGTGTTGTCATGGATGGAGAACTACCTGCCTGACCACACTCTGCCACAAGGCATATGCTTCAATTTCATGATAGCAATGTGGAAGGCCTAATCGCAACGTGGAGCAACCTCTGAGGTGGGACTCTAGTACTTAGGGAGATTGCGTGTGAGGTGGCATGCACAGGTATCCATGCGCAATGTGTTCATGAAAAAGGGTTGACGAGGTGCCGTCTGCAGCCACCCGCTAGTTCGAACTTCTGACGCACGCTTCGCGCTCGCGTCATCACCTCGCAACGAAGTATTCGCCTCGCCGTGCACTGCCAACTTCTTACACTGCGCCATCGTCGACTTTCGTTACCCAGTCAACTCAACTCGCATCACAAATCAACATGAACTGCGGCATCCATCACATCATCCTGGTTGTTCTCCCGTCGACTCTGCACTTAGCCAACATATTTTGCGCCGAAACCCTTGGCCTCACGACGCGCGCAATACCCTGTCTGCAACGTGGAACGTTGGCATAGTAAGCCACAGGTAGTTCGGGTAAGCAGATTTACATAGCGGCTGTTAAGCCTTGCAGCTTAGTCGAGTCAGCTGTTCACTATTGTATTCTAGCCCAGCGCGATCCTCGAGCTCACATATGGTCCCTAGTATTCAGAGGTTTTGAGGATACGTGCACGTTATCCCATGCTTGGAAATCAATTACATTGTTGTCTCCGCCAGGGCATTCGAACATTATGAAAATTTCAACGACAAACTGGATTCGGCCAAAGCATCTCGAGAATGTTCAGCTCGCTTCATAATTCGCTCGCAATTTGAGCTTCTTGGTTCTCCGTGGGCTCTTCTCGTTCCCGCGATTGGTTCGTGAGCTAGAACTGGTCTTCATCGCCCTACGGTTTACTCCTGCATCTACAGATCGATTGTCCTTAGTTCCCGTGAGTTCCTCCGGGTCATGTAACAATGCCTTACTTTTTGAGAAGAGTTAGCGTTTGTGTAAGCCCTACATGTGTTTAGCACACGCGTCGGGTTCATGGACGTAGATTGCCAAGCTTGCACCGATCTTTCCAACGATGATTGCGGTGAGCTAACTGTGCTTAGAAATATCTTCAATAGCTGAGCAGCCTCCAGTCCCAAGTTGCTATTGGTCTGCATGGACCAACACAGAAGCAACGCTTGTCGTCACAAGCTGGTGCAAATGCCACGTTCCCTGGGCCAGAAACGTTTCGCAGGAGGTATGATAGCGTCTCTGATGCCTCGTCCAGAGCAAGTCTCGTGTGTTCGTCGCAATACGGTTTCTCTTTCCATATAGATTACCCATGTTGGACCATCCCGGACATGTCATTTGGCAGTCCCATGGACGCGTCGACCAGTGCCACAATCTTGGTCGCCATTTTACAGTCAAATATAAATGCAATTACAATATATCTTCTCCACATACGACCATAGGACACTGAAAATTAGGCTTCCCGTCCGCTCAGCCATATACAAGCAGTGTACCGGCGGATTAGTAGTTAGGTGGGTGACCACTAGCGAATCCCCGCTGTTGTATGTTTTTTGCGACTTTGTCTTTTTGCCCACACAAGTTCCTTCTTTCCAGACTGGGATGCTACGAGCCACTGCGCTTTCATAGGCCAAATTGATGTTCCACACTCAAAAGCCAATCTGACAGATCAAAAACAGCACTATGTCTGCGAATGTACCACAAATGGACTGGTACCCGCCCAACTGGAATTCAGCCGACATCCCACCTCCTCTGCTCATGTGCGGACCACCACCAGAAGCGTGATCATCATCAGGTCCAGAGCCAAACGAGATCTTCAACAAGCTAAAGTGGTCTGTTCTAGATCCTCCATCGGACGTGCAAGTCTTTGGACGGGATGATGGAGAGATGTTGGAATGGCGTCCACTCTTTGATGAGTCCAACAAGTCGCTATTCGATGGAGCGGCAATGGATCCTCCACAATCATGCTTGAATGTATCAATCGAACCATTGCACAGCTGATGGCACTGGCACGACTCGGGAATACAACATCTACGACCAGCGCAGTTGCTAATTGCGAATTCAAGCGGAGAGCCCACTACTGTCAGACAATTCATTCAGGCCGTTCACCGTTATGCACTTCCCCTCCGAAAGCTTCTTCTACGATGTACGGACACAAACGACCCACCGAATCAAGACCGCACACGGTTCTTTTTCGAAATGAAAACAGGAGGCTCCGAAGGACATATACCTGGACAACGAGGGTTAGCGGTCAATGTTGTAGAGGACACTACGGGTGATGGAGAGAAATGTGCATGGGTCTGGGAAGATGTGGAGACTAGAGTCAAGAATTTGTCTGCCTCACAACAAACATATCGTCTAAAACGATAGTTCAGTTCTCTTTCTGTATAAATAGCCTATCCGATTCGGTGTTGACTCAGTCCTTGCAATGAAGTGGTGTTTGTTGTCAAGGTGAACACGACTCTTGTTGTTGACGCATCGCTGAGTTGCCTTATCTTTTGCTTACCGGGTCATGTGTATCAAGGCCAGTCTCTCGCTATATCCATATCTTGCTAGTAGAGGGGTTGGTCACTGTAATCCATAGAAGGTTAGATAAGGTTTACATCAAGGCAGAGAGTTTGCGAACCACCTTGACAGCATCAAACTATGTGGCGACTAGTCTAGTTCAGGCATCGTCGCTTGCGGCGCACTACTGATTGGTTCTAATCGTGCCATTTACCAGGTAGAAATCTCGTACATTGAAGTGGGGAAAGGGTATCATTTTGTTGTTGGTTGGTTCATTTAGCGCCAGGATCCATCGCGCGGCACTTTGCCTGCGGTCAGTTCACCGGTAGCCCCGCTGGGCCAGCTTTAAGGGTCGGCTTCCCCCCAGAGCCACTCTCCTACGTTTCCCTTCGAGAGTGAATGTACAAGTCGAATCAGAGCGACGTTAAAATGCCTGGCGCACCGTTATACTCCAAACTTCCACACCGACGGGATATCCGTTTATTACGTATCGAATCCGGAACAGGCAGAAAAGGTATTGAGATTACTCTCGAAACTTTCAAACTCGACTTGAATACGCAATACACCGCCCTCTCGTATGTCTGGGGTGATGTGACATCGCAACATGAGATTGTCTGCAATGGACATAAAATGCAGATTACATGCAATCTTTGGGGTGTCTTATCACAGCTACGGAAACAGCAATTCGATTGCCTACTGTAGGTGGACGCTATTTGTATCAATCAAAAAGATGAGAGCGAGAAGAGTGTCCAGGTGGCTATGATGAGAGACATTTATAAGCGCGCTGCAAACGTCATATTCTGGCTCGGAGAACAAGAACGCTACGATGACGACGCAGTCAGGCTGATGAAAACCTTTTTCAAACAACATACCTGCCGTTGGGGTCTGGAACGAGACAGAGCCAAAACTTTGAAGGAACTGGGCCTTCCTTCCTTCGATAATGGCTGGTTTGGATGGGCTTCCCTGTTTTCCCGCCCATGGTTTGGACGTGTCTGGATTGTACAAGAGTTTTTGAACGCTAAGAATTCGGTATTTATGTCCGGTGCACTGGAGATTGGGACCGAACTCATGGTTCACTGTGCATTTGCCACAGGGGTATGCACTGCGGTCGGAGAAGCTTTCATGTGTCACAGTAGGAACGCTCATGATGCTAAGAGACTTATCTCGAGGCTTATGGCTTTGAGCATAGATCAATCTAGCCGTTGGATAACAGGGGATGACGGTGTCCGAATCTTCTCTCTATGGTGCAGAAGCCAACAACTTGAAGCCACAGATCCCCGAGACCGGGTCTTCGCACTCTTGTCAACACAAACGGCAGTAGGGATGGGCATGATCGATTATAGCAAGGATGAAGCGACGGTCTATACGGAGATTGCAACGAGGGCTCTTAACATACCAGTTCCTAGGATAAAATTGGTTGGAGAGCCATTTCAAACACCGAAACCACAACGCCAAGGGGATGATTTACACCGAGTCAGCAGATTTTTGGCCTGTAAATTCCGCTCTCCACAGTCATTAAGACTTCCGAGCTGGGTGCCAGACTGGAAGCCTGTCGGATTCAATTTCGTCCCCTTGACACGCTATTATACAGGCACGGCACGTTTCACACACCCATACCAACACGCTGACATTAAGGACAAGGTAGGCTTTCAATTTTGCCTCTTCTAGTTTATATCTAACGATTCAGACATTGTGTATATCAAGAATCACCATAGACGAGCCTAACGTCCTTATAAACTCAACGCCATACATGAATTCAAATTGGCCCACAGCCCTCCAAATTGATGCGGAAGGCCGGAACAATGACAAGGCATGGGCCAAAACCATGTCAAATTGGATGTACATGTGTTATTTCGTAGCTACGACGCATGGTCCAGGTTCGATTAAACACGGCCGCTTTGAAGGATTTCGCTGTGCATTGGCATTTGGGGCACTGCCTGAACAGATGGCTACCCCGGCTACAAACTACATCATAGGATTTTTGACACTATTCAGTGAGTTCGTAAGAATATCGGGTGAAGCGCACAGTTACCCTAGGCTACTGCTGAGTTACAATGATCAAGCCGATCATAGTAAGATCTACGAAAGCAAACGCGGTGAGCTCTCAGCTGGCCGCAGATTCTGTGTTACAAAGCGAGGGTCTTTGGCTTGGGTACCTAGGGATACAAGACTAGATGATCGCATGTGTTCTTGCGGGATGTGCTGTTCCGTTTGTTGTAAGACCTGTTGGTCAACTTCATGAACTGCTGGGAGACTGTTACATGCAAGATATGGTACGCGAGGGAAGTTTTGTCAGTCATCAGAAGCCTTGTTTGTTTGTATTCCGGTAGCCGATAGGAAATATAGGGACAGTTAGTTTGCTGACACGTTTTATTTCCTGCACTTTGTTATGCTCGTACCACTTCTCATGCTGTGTGCGTTGCAAGAGACGAGATACGTTCTGGAGTTGGGTGACTTGAAAGACACAGGACAACTCTTGCGATGAATTCGTAAGAGTTTTTAGAAATGGACGCTGGATCTTAACATACTGGTACCAGGGCTATGCTTTTGCTGATGGGTTTACGTATTGTTGCAAATGAGGTTGATGGGTAGCGAAAGTGTGGCCGTTGCGGTCATTTCCCGGCTTGCCCGCGCTCTTCCACCTCGTGGCTGAGCCGGAAGGTATCTTTTCCACAGCACACTTCGTAGCACGCACACACTGGGAATCGTCATAATAAACAGCCTATCATTTCAAGCGAGTACGATGCAACAATGATTCTACTGTCTCGATATCAGCAACTTATTTCTGGCCTCATTCGCAAAGCCTTGGAAAGCAAGCTGCGCAACCATCGAAGTTTACCGCAACTGCTTCATCCAGTTCCCCGTAAGCCTCAGGGTGCTCTCTGCCATGAGTTCAGCGCATAATACATGATCTATAGGCGACAGCGTCTCGTCGCTCGCCTACGGGGTGTGTGGCTCTTGCCATCGGGGACCAATGTCTTTTACTCCGGATCGATCGAGCACTTGGGTGGTGTGTGTATACCTGATATGGCTGGTCAGTGTGCCGTTGCATTCCTCATCTGACAAGTTACGTACTTCCCAGTTATTGGTCGCCTTGTGGCGGCACTCAGCCTTGTCTGTAAGAGGCTGAAGCCTTGGTTAGTAGTACTTGGCCTGTGGCCTTCGTTATAGCTGGTTGGGATAGGCTGCAACCCTCGGAGCGTTGTCGGGGCTTCATCGGCGCTCCACGGACCCTTAGAAGTTTCTCGAACCTAGCACTACGTGATACATAGACCCAGCACAAGCGTAGTGTAGCTTCTCTATCGAATTCATTACTGTTATACCTTGCACTTATGGTCAACCCATCGCACCCTTACATTGTCTCAAGTGCAACTCACAAGACTGCGCTTCTTCGGTGTGTTTAAACCTCTCGCCGCTAGCCCAGGCCGACAAACAAAGAATCCAGGCTGCTTACCATTATGGGCTACAAATATCTAGCTCTTGACAACACGTCAGGTGCTATTCAATTCCTTGTTCTGCGTCCAGCGAAGCGACTCGATGCCCCGATCTCGGGTGAGCTCCCACATATCTCGCATGAGTCCTACAGATACACAACTGTATCGAACATTTGAAGAGACCCTTCACATACTCACAGAATTCATATATCAGGTCGTGTGTTTGGCGTCGCTGGGAACTTCTTTAACGTCCTTTACTATTCACGTGACTAGGCCGAGCCTATCAATCTCGCCACGTGATCTGTTTCTGGTAGTTTTCGAAATCGTCCAATACCAAAGCGGCAAATTGGACTTCTTGTCTTGGGCACGGGGAAACTCTGCGCAAGACACCTCAATCTTCTCCAACCAGCACGACATACCTCGTTGGGTACCGACTTCTCCTAGAGAACGAGGTCTGTTCGCCTAATTCCCTTTGCCAACTCATCTCAGCCCAACGTCTAATCTGGGATACATCATATCATGCCGCTGGCGAAACAAATCAGAAGGTAAAATTCTCTCATGAGAAAGGTAACGCCAATTTTCGCGCACGAGGTATACGTGTCACGGAGATCAATTCAGTTGGTAGCTTAGCCAATTTCGATCAAGGTGACACTGTGTGGTCGGAAGACTGGACTGCTATCGGATGCTTCAACGATATGAGAGCGTGCTCCAAACAATAGAACATACACGCTCTTCTAGTTATGCTGTCCATTCGAACTTCGCGATCACCCAGATACCAACTACTTGAGTTCCGCAACCGCCGCTTCCACAGCATCTATGATACTCTTCACAAGCATTTCGTGGTGGCTCAGCATGGGTGAATGACCGGCCTCACACCTCAGTACCTCCGATCCGGACTGCTCAGCGAACATTTGCTGGTACTGAGGTGGTGCCGCTTTGTTGTTCCCGCAAACTAGATATGTCGATGGGACGTACTTGTAAGCGGCGTATGTAATCTCTGTCTCCCGCACAGCATACGACTGTGCGATCAATCGAGATCCCCACCCAGACGCCTCTGGCTCGGGAAGGTCGCTGTAGAGAAGCAGAGCTCCGTTCTTGAGATAGAATCTTCCGTCTTTCTTTACAATGTAAGTGCTATGATACGATATTTCCAGTTATAGCAAATTCCACTTACCCTGACGTCATTTTTTGGCGACTCCCCGGATGTTCCCAGCACGGATTGCCCCTCACCAAGCACGAAAGCCGCAAAATAGAACAAATGAACAACTCCACCAGGTAGTCCAGCAGCTTTGCGGTGCAACAAGCTCAGCTCCTTCGTGATTGCATTGCTCCCAACGAGCCCGCCGTACGAATGCATCACCACAGCCACTCTCTTGCCTTCCTCTTCAACAAGTCGTGCGATGACTTTCCTGCCCGCCTCTGTGTCATTGTTCAGTGTTATAGAGGGGAAGTCGGTGGCTTCGGTGTTGCTCCAGCTTGGGAGATTGGGGTGGAAGGTAGGATGGCCATTGTGCGTCAGGCCGTCGGTGAGCTTCTGATACACCAAAGGTGTCTGGAAGGAGCCTTGTACAAGACCAATGGCGGTTTAGTCAGTACCTGGAGTTGTCATGATGAATGCGATGTCCCGGAAACATCAGGGCAAGCCCTATGATGTGCGCAGTCGCTCAGATATCAACTTCGGAAAAGTCACTCAGAGTGCGGCGGCACCATACCTAGAAACGACCAGGATTCTCTTCGGGCGCTTTTGATGTATGTCAACCCGAGATGACCTCGAGAGGTACATTTGGACGCCTAAAATTACGTGTGTTGATGGTTAGGCTTTGGTGCCGCCCCACTCGTGACCTACTCCGCCTTCCCCCTGCGGGAGCCCCTGTTCGCACGGGCCCGCATGCATGATAGTTGTTTGCGCCCAGTCCAACTCTATAGCCACCGTTAATACTACGCCTCTTACATGCATCATCGCCCTTGCTCGAAGCGCGCACGATCGACACTTGAAGTCCACGGGTGGCTCACACGATAGAGAAAACAGTGGCAGCTCATGCTGGATAGCATGTACAAGGTCCATTGAATCTCTATATACAAGTCAACCTTGGCTAGGAATATCATCTTCGAGGGAAGAAGAGCATCAGGAGTAGCTGTGGAGACTGTTGACACCCCGTACCTGCTAAAGGCGAGGAAAGAGATCATCGTCTCTTCAGGAGTGGTATGTTCCAATTTCGTCCAATTTCGATATGTACGCTGACGGCAAGCGTATCCAGATGCATTCGCCGCAACTCCACATGGTATCTTGTCCAACGTGGTGACGTCGCCGGATTCGAGCGATTCGCTCGAGGATCCATAAGCAACACGACGTATCAAGCCATCCAATCCGAGTTCCCTACCGATTGACCAGATCTCCAATGTCTCGTCTTAGACTTGTATTTCGAAATCAGAAATGATAGTAGCGTAGGCCTCACCGACGGCAAGCAGTACGTAGCCGCATCTGTCGGCCTTGTATCGACGTTTTCGCGTGTGAACGTATCAATCCGCTCGCCAGGTACGACTGATAACCTGGTCATCAGACTTAACTGGCTGAGCGACCTGCGCAACATGGACATGGCTATTGTTGCTTTCCGGCGAGGGCGCGAGCTCTTCTCCACGAAAGCCTTGCAGCAGGTAGTCCAGGGGGAAGCGCCTCCCGGCAAAGACGTAGACACCGGTTAACAGCTTCGGCGAGTAGTGGAAATGAGCGCGAATTCGGTATACAACGCTGTAGGGACGAATCGAATGGGCAAGAAAGACGATGTCATGGTGGTTGTCGATTCGCGGGCAAGAGTTATAGGAGTGGACGGACTAAGAGTCGTGGACGCCTCGGCGTTTCCGTCTCTGCCTCTAGGTCAGCCGAGGGCTGTCGTCTGTAAGTGTTGCATCACTCAGTTGTCCAAATACAGCAGAAATCGTAGCTAACCATAAAAGATGCATTGGCAGAGGAAATTGCGGCAGACATCATACTTGGGAAATAAAAGTAGCTGCATCGCTCTTCCGTAGTAGCGCGCAAACACTATAATAGCTGTCGTAATCAACATCGACAGCGTCTTAGGCAACGGAAGTTCTAGCTCGAAGTCTTGACCGTTGTGTAGTAGTCCTTTGAATCTATATTTTACAATATTACCGTGCACGCTTGGCTTTGATTAAGCCTTGTGCTGCCCTGAAGTGCTACGTATCTACTTATGCTATTAGAATCCTAATGCCTCAATGGTTGCTGAATAGGCAATTACTGTCCTCGTGCGTGCTTACCTGTCCTTTTTACCCCGCCAAGGTGGAGGCCACCCACAGTCAGCCCGCGGCATCAGACTGCCCTTCATCTACATAGCCTGCATTTGCCTGAGAAACATTTCTTCGTGTAAAGAAATAGCACGAGTCAGTCATCTGCATTAGCAGACTGAACCAGACTGGCGCTCAATATGACCGCGCAAGCCGAGCCCGAAATCGTTCTGTACGATCTAGCATGCACCAAGAATGTCTGTTTCTCGCCTGCAGTATGGCGCATCCGCCTCATGCTCAATTACAAACGCCTTCCATACAAGACGACCTTTCTTGAGTTCCCAGATATTGAGCCGGCGCTCAAGAGACTGTGAGTTTGCTTTACTCTCACTTGACCCATCTGTTTCCACGGGAACACAGACAGAAATCTTCTAATTACACTCTCTTAGTGGTGTTCACCCCGCTGAGTCGTCTGCGGTCAACAAATACATAGTCCCAGTCATCCACCATGCCCCAACAAACACCTACGTCATGGACTCGATCTCTATCGCTCAGTTTCTTGAATCAACATATCCAGATCTACCAGTCCCTCTAACTTCGGAACTTGGCCGCGAAATCGAGTCCAAGGCACGCACAGTGATAGGTCCCGTGTTCCGTGTCGCAGTAATGCCACGTGAAATAGCGATCCTGTCGCCCCGATCACAAGAGTACTTCCGACGCACTCGGGAAGCGGCGGTGGGATGCAAGCTCGAAGACTTACTGAACGAAGAGAAGGAGGAGATGGCATGGAGGAAGATCGAAGAAGATATGCGCACTATCGGGCAGTTGATGCTGACGAATGAGAAAGAGGGAAATTTTGTGCTTGGGGCGAGCCCGAGTGCGACGGACTTTTTTATTGCGGATCACTGCAGGCGGCTAGGATGGTGAACGAAGGTGTGTTTAAGAGAATTACAAGGGATCCTGGACATAAGAAGATCTATGAGGCGTGTTTGCCGTATATGGAGGCACCGCATGTGTTTGCTTCTACAGAATAGCGGCGCTTGTTGCCGATGCTCTCTCAACGGTAACATTGTCATCATGAAGGCCAAGTCCTTTCAGAGGCTCTTAACGATAATTATTGTAAATATGAGTAACTCAGTCTAAGATAGAGGTTGTTGTGAAGATGAGATGAGCTCAAGGGTAAGTACCAGATATTGTCTTCTTGCAGTAGGAGATTCATCAGAATATCACGCCACAGTACAAGACCTGCCACAGTCTTGCATCATATTCAAGCAAGATCCGCCTTGTCCGTATCCTTTTCACGGCCATCGTCGACTCTGGCCTGTTATTGTTGAGGTTCTCCTAACTGCGCTAGTACCTTCCCCTTCTGCTCTTGCCCATGGGTTGTGGCAGCAAACTCGCGTTAGGGTGCCACAGTTCCTCGTGCGACGCGTTGGATCCATCAGCGTCCTCCAGCTCTGGCGTGAGGGCACGGTAGTCTGGTGGAACGTGGTCTAAGAACGCTTTCATAAGCCGCGGGCTAAGACCTACTGCATCAAGAATCGCACGATCCGCCGACAGAGTTCGCAAAACACCGTCTTTGCCGAGCGATATGATGCTCAGAGGATCTTTGTTGAATTTTGCAAGAATCGCGGTTATCTCCTGCTGATCAGGAGGATTGCGGTCGTAGGTATAAGGCGAATTTGATGGTGCCTACGACAAAATTGGCTCGGATGGAATAGTTGTAGTCATCGTTTGATGATTCCAGAGCGGCTGAGCTAGTGTTTGAAACAACTCGGTGCATGATCGTCACCACGTCTATAACGCGTGTGTGTGCACTTGTTGGGTAGTTAATGACGCTTCTCTGCTCTCATTACGGCCTGGGCATACACTCCGCCTAAGAGCAGCGCAAGCACAGCCACGATAGACACGGCTTAGAAGTAGAGTGAAATAGCCAGTCAGGATGTGTCTAAGCAATCGTAGTACGCGAGATAGTGTTATTTCATAAATCAGGCGCCCTACTGTTGAGCTAGCCAATCAGGGTAATGCCGGCTAAACCTTGGAAGAGTTCGCCCTACCTCGCTCCCAATTGGCCAGCTTATGAAGTTGGAGGCTTTTCAGCGAGCCGTCGCGTCCGTGAGGTCATTACGCGGGGCCCACAGAGAGCGTGCTTTGCACTGCCTCACTCGAACTAACATCGCACGACACACTTCCTGAAGGCGGGTGATTGACAAGTGAGATAAAGATAGTACTACCCCGCCTTACTGCTAACAACACCCATTACCTCCAATAAGCAATCCTCTCAACACCTCAACTATCATTCACTTGTCCTCTTCGATCGATCTCATCAGTCATGTCAGAACCCGAGCGCGCTAAGCCATGCGACCTCTGTAGCGCTCTGATGGAAATGTTCCGAGGTGTGCGAAAGGAGCATATTGATATTTCGGCTTTTCAATCGCAAGGCGCGCTTGACTGTAGCGAACACACATCGCTGATTGAGCAATTCACAGAGTACTGCCAGCCGAAATCGACACATAACGATCATCGCCCCAAGAAGGACATGGGGTTTCAAGGCAGAGAGGGCGGAGAGAGCGTCGGGGAGGTAAGGATAATTGAATCACTAGAATCAGGGGGGCTGTATTGGGAACTCTTACTCTGCCCGAGTACAGACTGCACAGAAGAATTTGCGAAAGGCGACATCTTGGATCCGGACTGGGTCGATCTGACAAAAGTCAAGCAATGGAAGTCCGATTGTCTGGCCTTGCATGGAAGCAAATGCAACGACCCGATGAGAATCTGGATAACTGCACCAGCTTGGCTTGTGGATGTTGAGTTGGAGTGCGTAGTTCCTGGAGAAGAACATGCCAATTTTGTTGCGTTGAGCTATACATACGGAGATCATCTCGGTCTCAGGGCGGATGCTGGGTTAAGTGCGAGACTTCGGGAGCCTCATGCCTTCCGCGCAGAGGAAATAGCGTCTCGGATCCCACCCATACTCAACCATGCTATGTTTATAACAAAAGGCCTAGGTGAACGATATCTGTGGGTGGATGCCTTATGTATCGGTCACGACGATCCTGCAGAAACTGCGCGCCAGCTCAGAATGATGGGTTCCATCTACGCCAGTGCTACACTGACCATCATCGCTGCTGATGGAGACGCTGAAGACGGTATAGTCGGCTTGAATGGTGTATCTAAATCAAGAGCACTGGAGCAGAAATTGATCTCCTTCGGATCGCGAAAAGTTATCGTTCGGGACACACATATATTCTCTTTAGTTCATGGACAAACTCCATACTTCTCGCGAGCATGGACATACCAAGAACACCGGCTGGCGAAGAGGAAGCTATATTTTCTATACAAGACAGCGCACTGGGAGTGCCAGCATTGGCAGTCTCATGAGGAGCTCATACCAGGTGCTGAGATAGAAACATATATCGAGCCACGACTCGTAGAAAGCCTCGACGGATTTCCGGAATTAAGCTCTCTCAGTAATATCATTGGCAGCTACAATGACATGAATCTGCGATACCCCGAAGACGCCCTTCCAGGAATCACTGGCTTGTTAGCCGTGCTTAGTCGTAGTTTCGAAGGCGGCTTTCTTTTCGGGATTCCGGAGATGTTCTTCCATCGAGCGCTTGCATGGAGACCGCAGTGGCCGTTTACAGAACTTCAGCACCGAACGCCATCTGATAGACCAAGAGAATCCCAACTACTGTCGGGCCATCTGCCATCGTGGTCATGGGTTGGATGGAAGGGGTTAGTAAACCTGGGTCAAGAAGCGGGTAGGATAAACGACATAGCTAGTACGATCGAGGAGACCTATCCTATGGTCGAGTGGTATACTGCTTCGTCACCTACAGCAAGCGCATCCGAACGTCGATGCATCCGTTCTAATTGGTACGAGCATCGCGAAGAGTGGAAAAGAGGAATGACACAGCTACCTGGATGGACAGCAGTAGATATGGAGGATGACAAAGGCACCTATAAAGATGAGCCACGCATCTTTCCAGCAGGGTGTGGAGGCCGTGTGTATCGCCATCAGAACATGATTCATGACAAGAATCACGGTCCGACAAACGATTGGTACTTTCCATTCCCGGTTGCGCAGATCTCGGGCGCAACAGAACCTTCGATGCCCGACCAAACCCCATATCTATTCAGTCGAACGCAGCGCAGTTTTGTTGTAGGAAGAAGGGCTAGTGGTTTAACGGACCACATGCCAGACGAGATGGCCAATATCATCGCTCTTTGTCACTGTTCGAGCGGACGTTTAGTTGGCACGCTTCATTTACACTCCAGAGAACAGCTGGAACGGTTTCCCCTCGCTGAAGATGCGCCCACATCGGGTCATGGGCGCATTCATAATCAATTGGAGCGCTTCTTGGTCCTTAAGAAGGACACGAATACAGAAATAGCTACAGAGCCAACAGATGAGAATCTTTCCAAGATTGAGATCGTCGCTGTGAGTATGACCAGATCTGAAAGCAAAACCCGGAACAAAGAGACCGGGCGCAGCGAAAAGCCCTTTGTCACTACTGAGGCAGTCAACGTTCTTTGGATCGAATGGGAGAATAGCATTGCCTATCGGAGAGCTGCTGGAAGTGTTCAGAAGAAGCACTGGGAACAGCTTGAACTTGAGGACCTTGATCTAGTCCTTGGATAGAGCAATACCCGCTGGCGATCAGTCACCTCACCGCAAGGGCATGCAGTGTGTGCAGGGTCTGTTGAATTACCAACCCAATGGCTCCGATGATGGGGGTCTGATTTTGATGAAGGGTAGCAGCAAACTGCATGACGATTTCTTTCGCGGGAAGAGAGAGCAAGACAACCGCGAGGATAAACCTCCGGAGGAAGAGGACTTCAAGGATCTTTTTATCTTCAAGGAAGATGATGTCCAGTGGTTCAAGGACCGTGGGCGCATGCTGGAGAAAGTGAACCTTGATCTTGGTGACTTGGTGCTCTGGTATTGTCTCCCCAGTCTTTCTTTCTCTGGTAGCACTTGAGTTAATGCCGCGCAGGCATTCTCGCACCATGTACTACGCTTGCTTCCCTCAAGGCAACCGCATTCCTCAAGTCCAGCATGTCTGCATGACACCCGCCAAATTCGCGAAGAAAGAGGATCTCCAGCTCAAGGCTGAGCTCTTCAAGACATGGCAGAGTACGGCGCACTGGCCGTACTGTAACATTCGCAAGCAGGGCCCACCAGAGAGGGATGGATAGCCGGATCCGCAGAGTCGAACAGAGCCGTTGGAGAAGCCGGTCATCACGGATAGGATCTTGCAGTTGGTTGCTGTTAAGGCTTACTAACAGGTGTGACGGATCATAGATAATAAGTAAATGAGCGCTTTCCTGGGACTTAAGAAGTCAACTTTTGGGCAGAAACAGCAAACCTCAGCTGATACAATCGGGTGCCAGAAGTCTGTTCGCGCTATGCGCTCGGGCCACCAACACCACTATTATCGCAAACTTCAAAGCTATGCAACTCCATAGAACCATGCTTAAATATCTAATTGAGGGCAGCAAATTAATCGTATTAATCCTAATATTTTGTTTAATACCCTTTTGCTTGTTCAACAGCGTGGAGGCGGTGCGGCATTAACGTGATAAGCTTTTTAATCAGAGTGTTAGGTATAGCCACCCACGCCTCCTTTAAACCAGCTTCAAACCTCACCCACTCCTCTAGCGAGTCTCCTATTGTATCAAACTCAGGATAGAGCTTATAGACCTTCCTTTTAAGTGCCTACTATAAGTGTTCAATAGGGTTAAGGTCAGGAGAATAGGGTGGCTAATTAATCGTTGCCACACCATGCTCCTCGAGCCAGCCTCTTAAGAGCGCAGCAGTGTGAATAGGTGCGTTGTCCTGCATAAACCACTCGCTAGGTCTATACTGATCGGTAAGACCCTCATCGAGGGCTTTAACGTAGCTGGAGGCCGTATATCCGTTGCGTCTTGATGATGTATCGCGGGTCATAATTACCAGAGGGCTACGGCCAACTCGACCTCCTGGTGTCATCCATATCGCGCCCCAGATCATACGCGCAGGCTGCCTAGCAGTAGAGACCTCCTCTATCATCTTGTGTGACCATTTATCCGCTGGTAAATGCCATACCCATTGCGTGTTATGGCCAGAGCCTCGGGCGAGGCTACACTCGTCACTAAATTTGAGAGTCTCCCTGCGCCAGTCGAAGCTACGCCAATCCTAAGCAAACTTAAGACGTTGTTTGGCAGTAGATCTATTGATTTTTAGTCTGCGCTTCGCTCGAAACTTGCGGTAGCCCTCCTCTTCAAGGGCGCGTTGCACTGTACGCTTTAAAACGTCAGGGTAGGCCTCCTGGCTATCCCACAGGCCAGCCGCCTTAAGGAGCTCATAGTACCCTATACCAGGAACTTTTTTTAGCGATTCGAAGCAGCCGACGACGGCCTCTACTAGTTAAAATAGGTGGACGGCCTGTACGATCGCGCGTGGTGGTGCTAGAGGTGGCCTCCCATCGAGCTATCGTTTTCTGTACAGCTCGTTGTGTGCAGCGGAGCGCGTTGGCGATTTCCTTGGTTGCTGCACCAGCCTCTGCCTGTGCTAAGATAAAATCGCGTTAGCGTTCTGATAATTCACCACCTAGCATTCGATTCCCCGAAATTTCGGCGCTAAATGACCTCATATTGATGGAGTTGTGTGGTGTTGCAGAAGATACCTATCTTGTGATCTCATGTTGTTGTTCGGTCCGTGCGTTTAGCGCGAACGAACTTATGGCTTAGTACAGTATATGCTTTTGTGCGTTCCCTTTTCGGCCCTCTTTAATCTCATGAAGTCTTCTAGACTTTGATGCTCATCCGATGTTCCGTATCCTTTTGCTCTCGTCTAACCCGGCCGGTAGTCCTTGAACAGATGCTTATCCCCCACACACTGCCGTCGATATCTGCTTAATAAACAAGACCATTATTCTATCTACGGTATAATCTTCGCCTTCCTCATCCTGTCAAACACACCTTCCCACGACTCTTTGGCCCCCCTCTCCTCCGTAAATCCCGTTCCATACATCTTGCTCATATCAAAGTGCCTATCAAAGTCAAACTTGGTCATGAGCATTGCCTCGGCAATCTGCATGCCACGGCCGCCATCCACATGTCCACTTTGCAAACCATATCTCTTCTCCATGCTCAACCAAGTTTCCATGTTATCGCTGATAAACTTGCGTATATCGATGGGAGTGTCGGCGGGCCCACTGGCCTTGAGACCAAAGTAGGAACATAGTATAGGCCACTTCTGCTCCCAATTTGAAGATGTTTTGGAGTCGGCGATGTTGTAGGCTTCTCCCTTCTTGTTGCCGGGAGAAAGTGTGAGGTGGATAGTCTGGCGCGCTATCATGTCACTGCTGCTGTCATTGCTCAGAGCTTTCCAGACTCCCTCTGTGCCAGGAAACGGGCATTCCGCTCCCTCGCCATGAACTTCTTTCCACAGGCTCAGATAGAGTCCCATTGTTGTGCCTAACGAGTATGCGTTTTGGTTTGGAACGTAGCCAACTATGATATCCGGGCGAGTCTCAATCCAGCTCCACTTCCTATCTTTGGCATACTCGGTGATCCAATCGTTTTGTGCGTGGTAGAACAGCATCTCGGCGTACGGGCTAGGTATACGGGGGTAGGATTCTTGGAGTGGAGGAGGGGGGAGTTTGGGCCCGGTGGTGCCTGGGGGAGCGACTTCGTCGAACCAAGGGAGTGCGGCTAGGAGGTGCACGCCATCTAGTTTATGTCAGCTCTACCATATCTGGCATTTTCACAGGAATGAGGTAGGTCTTACAAACTTTGGTGCCAATTTGCAACACGACATATTCCAAGGCCGGGCATAGTTTATCCATGGCTTTCACAGCCTTGGAGAACATCTCCACTGCCTCTTCCAACTCCTTTTGTACATCTAGACCTGCCTTGTACGCAAGATAGTATACGTGCGTCACTTCGTCGATATGTGGTAACCTTTCCGCCAGCTCCTTCTCGAGGCTCTCTTGGCTATGGGCGAGCAGATCGATGCCAGGGACCATGTTAAGGCGCGAATCTTCTGGCCATAGTGTTTGGTTTGGGGCGAGCGGGCGGTTGGATAGGGCATGAACCTGCTTCCAAGTGTTCTTCTTGGGGTAATCGGAGAGGATCTCGTTGACGAAGGACCAGCCTATGCGACCGTTGTCAGTGTATAGCCCATCTGTGATATCTAATGGCTTTTCTAACCTGTCACGCCAGAGGCGCCAAACACAACAGCTGATTTTGACATTCTCGATGCGATAAAGCGACGGCGAGGCTTTCAGAGAAGACAAAGAGACAGGGAACCCATGCGGCGTTTCTCAGAGCGAGGGACTAGATCCTATCTCCTTGCATAATATACCAGATAGGTGGGGTGGCCGTTGCAATAGTGGAGACATGGAGTCTAGATGGATTCTTCTCAGAGGACATCGTGCAGCCTGCTCGCAATGTGCTGAAGGTCCATAGTACTGATACGTATACGTAGAACCTACGTACTACGCGCGCGACTCCTCATCTATCTTTCTCTCCTCTCAAAATTGTTTGCGCTTTTCTTGAGACCCCTCCCCGCACTGCGAAGAACTCCATAGTATGGCCAGCCGGTTCGACGGCCCACCAGCTAGCCTTTAATCGTAGGTTTGCCGCAGAAAGCGCCCGAAAAATTAGCCGTCTTCTCGAGTCATCCTAACCTCTTTTGAACCGGCCGACGATTCATGGGTGCGGCGTCTGAGAGAGCAGGAACCGTTGAGTATGCGTGGTGTGTCGGCGGCGCGGTGACATCCAGGAGCTTGGCGTTGAAAGGAAGGAAAGCAAGAGAGTGGGATGGTGTTGAGACCATTGCGCAGGGGCCATGACGTTGGGGACGCGTTGAGAGTGGACGACAAGCTTTAACGTGACGCCCGACGCGTCGGTCGAAGCCACTAAGCCTCCACCACGCCTCGTTCTTCGATCCATCCACACAACTTCGAGGACAAAGAACCACTGGATTAATTAAGCTATAGTCTCCCCGATACTTAGTGGAACTCATTCTTGTCCGCGTACACATCATTCTCGAGGAAGACCTCCACCTTGTCTGTCATTTTAGGCGTCAGATCCTCGCAATAGAAGATGCAAAGTAATCCCACGATACCGAAACTCAAACTGCTGAGTGCCACAACCTTCAGCGCATGCGCATAGCTCCATTGATAGGCCAAAGAAGCAGCGCCAATAGCCTCTGCAGTTGTATCTGGCACTTCAGCGATAGCAGCAGCGCCAAGAGGGAAAGCCGTAAGCAAAGCCTGCGCATTTTCTAACGACATACCTGCCCTCATAGCTGCAGCCGGAACCGTAGCAGCAGCACGCGTAGTCTGCGTGTTGGTGAGGATCGTGGTGTAAATGGCTTGAGCGAGCGACCCTCCTGCGTAACGAGCCATACCCGCCAGACCACCCGAGAATCCGAGATCTTGTTGCGGCACACCCAGTTGTGTAAAGGCGACAGACTCGTACTGCGCCCATCCGAAGAAGGAAGCGTTGATGCAGCAAAATGCGATCATCAAGCCTTGATTGAACGGAGTCACAAGACCCATCAAGGCGCCAAAGAGCACCATCCCCGTCCAGGTACCGATTAGAGTCCACTTCCAGTGTCCGAGCACATTGCCGAAAGCCATGAGGCATAAGGATCCGAACACGAGACCGATGTTTGGTGGAAGTGTGAGTAACAGTTCAGTACTTCGAGACACATCCGGGCCCAGGTAGAATACATTCACCATCGTCGGCCAAATAATATTGACGGAGTAATAGAACATGGTGACGATGAATGCTACGATGAACGGCGCTGTGAACTCTCTTCCCTTGTGGCTTCGGAATAGATGCGGCGGGCAGAGCTTGAATCTGGTATTCGACAACGTCTCCCAGACTCCGAATCCAGCAATCAGGACCAGCCCAACTACCATGGGTGCGATTACGGTGATATCGGAGCTTGGCTTGTATGTGGTGTTGACGATGCCGACGAGTGTAAGACAGATGCCTGGGACAATGAGCGCTGTGCCCACGTAGTCAAGGCCCCGGACTGCTTCACCCCATGGAACACCTTTCGGGTGCTTCGGTGGCTTATAGAAGAAGAATAAGGCTGTGAACGACATGAATTGAGCGATGAGGCCTGCCCAGTAGACCCACTGCCATGCGTTGACGTCGATGGCGTACTGTGAGATGACCATCAGCTATTGCGCGCCGTCTTTTCAAGCACATCACTTACCCTTCCAACAATAGGGCCGATGATAACGATTAGGAAGACGAAACCATCCGAAAGACAAATGCCGATGTGTCGAAACTTGTTTGGTAGAAGTTCTGTAACAGTCAGACTCATTTGACTGCATGCGATAAGTCAAGTTACTCACCAGGGATACTACACATAGCCATCTGTGCAAATCCACCTCCGAATCCGGTTATAGCCAATCCAGCAGTAAAGTGATCTGCTCCCTTCGCTGTAGCGGTGACGCAAAATCCAACACAACAACACGCATTACCAAACAACAAGAACCATCGACGACCGAAGAGATCAGAATTCGCACCCGCAATGAGAAAGCCAATGGCATTAGCCGTTGTGTAGGCGGGTATATACCACGCGCTCGAAGTGGGATTACCGAATTGAAGAGCGAGCCGGGCCATCATCGCTGCGGTTGTAGGCACAGGCCAAAATGAGAGACCAAAAGTTGACGACAGAACAAAGATGACGAACCATGTCTTCGGCGTTATAGTGGTAGCATCCGATGAGATGAGCGTCCGTGGTGGCGTTGTTGCGACGGCTTCGATTTGCTCAATATCAGTCTTCTCCTTTGAAGAACGGCGTACGTCGCCCTCGTGGATGCCTGTAACTGCCATGATGGTATAGTGACAAGAAACACGCTGGAGCCAGGTGCGACGATGTGTAATCAAGTGAGAAGATCGTCGCAAAGAGCCCACTTACGGCTTGCATATATGCTTCAGTAGGTGGTGTACATGTGCACAAGTCACACATGTCAAGCCACAACTGTCCCGACGTTCATGCTTTCCCATCCCCGCATTTCGGATACACAGAACCACATCTAATCATGCTATCTAACTCTGCCATTGGCTAGAATATCCCATAGGTTCTAGTAGGTTGTTGCGTATTCTGGAAATCCGGGGTAGTGGATGTGGAAGTAGACATCCGGGGCTGACTGCGGAGAAGGTGAGCGCCGGGTCACCGCGCTTGACTAGATGTGGCAGTGGGCGATAAAGGGGTGCGGATCGTCTTCGCCTGGAACAACGTTTCCGTTGAGTGGCTGGTGAATTAGCGAGAGTTTATTTCCGATATCCATGCTTTTGCCCCCCAAGGGCAGATGCAAGGGGTCAACACATGTACTAAAGGGAAGGAGCTACACTTGGTTGAGCGATGAGGTTGCTGGGATCGTGCTGGGTAGTTTTTCATTTTGCAGAATTTGAACCCAACTCAAGTGCAACCGAAATCTGAGTTCAATTTCAATAGGATAAGCTAAGCGCAGTAACAATATAGTTGTCATCCTGCTCTCCGTCGCGTTTACTACTATGCTAGGAAGCTCCCACCTCCGAAGCTTACATGAATGACCTCAAGATCTACGCAGTCTCGCTACGCGTAATTCCATTCGTCGCGTCGCAATCAGGAATCGCTTTTCCAAAGCAGATCATATCGTACCTAACCCCATTTCGTCAGCATTACACCTCACACCAACAACTACCCTACCATAGCTCACCAATCCACCAACCAGAATGAGACAAAGAAGGGACCCACCCAACCATAACTTGGATCCCCTTTTCCAGATCCATGAATCTCTCCGCGTCTGGCATGAGCGCAGCCCGATACTCATCACTCCCCGCAAAGGCCTCCCAATCTTCCCACTTCCTAACCCAGATCTGACTACAGGCATCGTAGTCTAGTACATCCATACCTAAGCTCTGCAATTTGCCTTTCAAGTCGGGAGACTGGTAGAGTTGGACGTAACGCTGTATCTTCACAGCATGGAATTTCTTACAGGCGACGGTCAGGTCGGAGTGGATGTGGTTGTAGTGTTTTTGGAAGAAGGCGTTGGATACGGATGGGGATTTGCGAAAGAAGAAGGAGAGTTTTATACAGGCTGTGGGATGTATTAGGAAAGCATCGTGGAGTGGAGATGATTGTGAGGGTGATGAACGGACGCTGGTAGTTTTCTTGTACGTCCCACGCGAACTCTGGGTTTTTGAAAGCGTGCTGTTGTATGTTAGTGGTGTATGTGGGAAAGGATGGGATACAAGGTACGTCGATGGTTTTGTGGGCCATGATACTGCGTGGTCGGTGATTATGTCGCAGAGGTTAACATCTTGATCATGTCGGCGTGTGCGATCTAATGTACTCTGGTACCTCATAAAGGTAGCCACTAGGATTCACCGTGCATAACCGACTGAGGAGAAGAGCGAAAGCTAAGTTCAGTGTGCGGGGTCAGGAAGAGGGTGGTAACACCAGTGACATACTCGATGGAGGCTAGATATTGCCATGTATCACAACCAGTAATCGACAGATCGCGTATATTCGTCTCGTAGCAGGAAACCTTGTGGCAGCAGAATTTACGATCCTACATCTTAATGATTTAAACACATGTTCTATCCAAATTCAAAAGCTTGATATGATAGTCTCTGCCACACTGGCGTGACGGCACGTCTAGAACACAACGACCTGACGCTTCTCAGCTTTTCCAGCCTCCATGTCAGCAACCATCTGCGGCAGGTCATTGATCGTGCGGAATTCTACTTCTGGCTGTATACTATGCTTGCCGGTAAAGTCCACCGCCTTCTTCATCCGCTGTGGAATACCCGTGCTATCAGCCTTAATGCGATACCGACCCGTCGTCAAGTCGAACGTGTTTATAAAGTCAAGTCCCTTGGGCGCAATACCAATGACCATGAGTAATCCACCAGTCCTCAAAACATCCGGTGCGCCTGCATATGCCGCGTTTGACGCGCTGTAGACTGCCGCAGCATGACATCCTTTGCCATCAGTGAGTTTCTTGATCTCTTCGAGATAGTCTTTGTTCTTCATGGAGTTGAAGATAGCATCCGCGCCAATTTTCTTTGCCACATCGAGCTGGTTGTCATTTATGTCGAGACCGATGGTCTTGATACCCATCTGCACCCTGTCAGCCCTCAATTCTCGGCACTTGCTCTTGCCTGAACTTACTGCTTTCGCGTATTGTATGGCATACTGCCCCAAGCCGCCGCAACCAATGACCGCCAGCCAATTCCCTGCTTTAAGCTCGCAGCTGTCTACCGAATGGAATGCCGTGATACCCGCACAAAACAACGGCGCAGTCTTACTCATATCCAGGTTTTCAGGCAACTTGACTGCATTCTGCCAATCCACTACAGCATACTCTGCGAAATATCCGTCTGCTACAAAACCCTGCAGTTTCTGGTTACCTGTCTCGCACCGCATGTTATGGATCATGCACCCCTCGCATTCGAAGCAAGCGCCAATGAAGTAGTTGAAACCGATAGCATCACCAACTTGGAAACCTCTGTCGCTGGCTTCTTTGCCGATGGACTCGATATAACCGACTCCTTCGTGGCCCAACGTAACAGTGTAATCCGGCCTCATAGCCATAAGAAGATCGGAGTGACATAGCGATGCAGATTGTATCTTGACTAGAAATTGGTTTGGTGCTTCGGTAGGCTTCGGTACATCGTTTACGACAACCTTTTGTTGCTTGCTAAACTATACGTGAGTATCTTGTGGCTAAAGAAGGGTCATGCGCACTTACGGATCCCACTGTCCGGCTTTCATGATGCAAAACTTCCTCGATATTTCTTTCTTAGCTTCCGGTATTGATCGAGGACTGTAATGACTTTGTTCAAGAGTATATATACCTACACTGCACTCCTCGTTCACTTGATGCGACAAGATGAGAGGTGCGATAGAATGGGAAAGACTGCAGGGGTTGTGCTGCGAGTCATCCCGAAGCGCTGGGGGCATGGTTGCTGACTTGTCCTAGCTAGGACACTCAAGCGGAAAACGGTGACCGACATAGTGCGCCGACTGAGAGCTTTGAATGGGGTTGATGCTTGGGATAGGTGCTTGGTGCGGGGAGAACGAAGCGGGGTAAACTTCTCTCGGCATGAACCTCACCTGAACTCCTGCTGCGTGGCCTAGTGATCACGGGAAGATGTACAATTGGAGATTCACGCTGAATAAGACAGCACTGGCAGAAACAGTGTGTTATATTGTAGATGCTGATGTTTTGCCAACAGAACAGTCGCGTGACGTCAGGCCAAACCACTTTCCCATCAAGCGCTTGGCACAAACCACCAAAACCTTTGATGAGGCCTTGGGTTCTCTATGTCACTCTGATCCGCTGCATATACCCTCATCAGATTCCTCGTAGATACCTTGCTCACTGCATACATCTGCATGGCAAAACCCTCGACACTATTCGGGAAGACCCAAAAGTAACTCAACTCTTTCATGCCACTTACACTTGTCGCGCGCTCGCCAATCAAACAAACATAGTCTTCGGAGTTGTCCCGTTTTCCAAATGAAACCACCTCAGTGCCGATCAAATTGCCAAAGTCGAAGGCCGGGAAGGTGAAGAGGTGGGCAGAGTCCGAGTTCTTATAGGGCAGACAGACGTCGGTCCAGTAATCGTCGGTGTTGGGGATGGGTTTGGATTGGGCGTGAAATTCCTTGGTCTGGATTGCTTTCTGTGGGTGGAGAAGAAGTTAGTCACGGACGCGACAGATAGTTAAGGTAACACAAGAGACGGAGGAACTTGCGAGAACCTCAAGTCGGAAAACGTCGGGTTTCTGGTGGTCGGGTGTCTCCTTGGCGGCTTCAGGGTGTTCAGCGATACGATGGACCTTCTAATAGTCAGTTGACCGGTAATAATGGAAGAGGTGAGATAAATATGGGGAGGCGTACCCTGCTCTTTATATTTTCGAAGATGTCGATAGCCTGATTTGACAGCTGAACCTTCCGGTCGGAACCGCCCTTGAACTTGTCACTGGGTACTGTAGATGCTTGGTCAACCTAGGTGGCCTATGTCTGCGAAATAACTTACCAGCAACGATCATCTTTTCGATAGCCTTATACAGTGTGAAGTCGTTGAAGAGCGCCCAGGACTTGTTGGAGCTGTGAGTACGAATAACCTCGAATCGGTGGGCGGCGACTTACCCTCATGCTTGCCACTTGGTAATCAAACGGAAGAAAATAATTGTCAAAGTTAGAAAGGTTCCTGTACTTCCCCAACACCGCACTACGCCAAACCATGTTAGCCCTGAGTCACTCATTCTCTCCTTCACAATGGAAGACGACCTACAAGAGCACATAGCTATGCTTTCCCGAATCCGCGTCCGTATAGAACTGGTCCGCCATATTCTTGACTCGCAGGAGGTCAGAGGTCTCCTCGGTCTTGACGGCAAAACCTCCTCCACTAACGCTGTTCTTGTTGGTGCCTGTAGACTCGACGATGGTAATCTTGACCGAAGCGTTTCTGTTGATAGAGCTGACCGCCTTCTCGACTTCTTGCGTAACTGTGCCAGAGACGCCGTACATGGTCATGGCCAATTCGGCACTAGTGTTCAATGAGTTAGTCTAATGATAGGAGTGACGAACGAACGGGAGAGACGTAGGAAGAAGTGGACACTGGCGAGTGCAGGATAAGACTTACTTCTCTTTCAGCTCGCTCGTCTCAGACGAGTTGCGCGCTGTGATAGAGACACGGGCGTAGAAATGGCCACCCTTTATGAAGTTCGCGATATAACGATCGCCGTACTTCTCGTGCTTGTTGCTCGTCTCAATCTTGTTGAAAGAAAACTTATCGAGCACGCTCACTTGGTGCTGAACCAGCACCTTGACTTCGTATGTCAAAGTGCTGCTCTCAAACTATACACCAGTCAGTTGGAAATCGTTGAATCATTGAGTCCCTATACATGCCTCGCTGCGATCTAGAATGCTGACATTGACACTGCCGCTCTGGCCCCACCCGGAGACGGCCGCGCCAGCACTGATTTTCATGCTCTTTGCAATTTTCCTGACAAGTAAGTAAGCCGCGCTATCGGGCGGATGCTACATACTTACTCGTATTCTTCTACGAACTCAGAATAATACTCTCTAGTGAATGCGGGGCTCTTGTCGTCGTGACTCTCGATAGTGACTGCATTCTGAACACAGAGCGATTGCAGATAAGTATTGTAACTTGAAGGGTACTTAATACTACTTCCATTTCGATCTTGTAAACGAACTCACCCTTGGCCAGGTCGCATGCCTGAGATGAACGGAACCACCTCGCCCATGATGAAGAGATGTTGTTGGAAGTGACGACTAATGTTTTGGTAGATTAACGGAGGAATATGGGAAGAGAAGATTGTGCTAGAATAACTCTACTATATATGTAACCCATGGAATGGCCAATATTGAGTTTGATGCAACCATGAGGTCCGTGTCGAGAACTCGGCCATACCACGAGAGAGGCGTTGCATGTATGACCAACGTCCTCTACAGCTGCATACGTCGAATGCAAGGTGTTTTGCGGATACAATTGCGTTGGGATCATCACACCGACCTATTTGACAGAGTTCCAAAGGTGTGTTCCCCTCAGCATCGACACTCACTCCACCACGATAGACAAGGATCATGCGCAATAAGTGGGCCAAAATATGGTGTGCATCAGCGGGGCCGCCCGCGGACGGCTCAGGTCCCGGCCCGCCTACCTAGGTAGCGTATCTGTCACTTTCCACTCCTTTCGACGAAGTGGCTTTTGCGACGCATGTGACGAGAATTTGTTTTTGCGGGGTGGAACGCTTGCCAGGCATATGTGCTATCCTCCCGTCAACGACTGTGAAAGCTAGCTACTCGGATCGGGCCGTTCTGGTGGCGTTCCCATTTGCCGAATCGAGGTAGCGGCGTGTGATGACTTGCATAACGGTGTCCACCATACGCTTCATATCGTCACATATTCACATCTTTGCATAGTGAATATGCATCGTGCGGGTGTATGTTGCATCAATGTACAGGAAGGGTGTGAGATCAATTAACTCTAGCGCCTGAAAAAGAAGCTTTCCTTGACAAATGCAGATACGAATAGTTCTGTCACATTTTAGATTGCAACAGAACGATGTGCAATTGTGCTGCCACGAAGTTAGCTCTTTGCACTACTGATATAACTCCATCCAAGGTAAAGCTAATAAATCAGCTGTCTTCGATCTCTTTTTGAGGTATCAGTAAAGCACCGTGTTTGATGCAAGTGGATTCATGTGGTAAAGTCCATTGGTTATACGTATGCGTCGAGCATCATGGGGGCGATGATTTAAATGCTCGTGAGAAATGATTACGGGGAGTGTTGTCTCATTCGACCTCGATTTTGAGGAAGAAAATGGTGGGTGTTGGACCTGCACTGCAACGGGGTTAACGACGTCGTAATGCTGTGCGTCAGAATAATCTGGTTAGGTTTTGCTGCGGGGAAACATTAACAACCTGAATATCGTAGGGTCTGTTCGGACTAGTTACGCGCAACTTACACCGCTTATTCACCTGGTATGCTCACCCTATGAAAAGCCCCGCTGCACGTTCAACGTCCCGCGGGTGAACAGAGTAGCGGGGTAAGTGTATGAGTTATGCGGACTTGCGTCGGCAGCTTGCGTATTGCGGATCAACAGGCGAAAATTGCTTGCTTGTTTGGATTAGAATCTGCGAATGAGGGTGCACATCGTATGGTAGGGAGGTGTCGAAAGTGGAGCGCTTTCTGAGCTGACAGCAACATTTCCTAGATGTAGTTATTGTAACGTCAGAGTTGCGTTACTTGGGATCAAAAGTTGCTTTCTTTTTGGAACTAGACACTGCAAGAGCATGAAGGTGTGGTTGTATAGGTCGCAGATGGAGGCTGCACAGACTCGTAACTGCGCTTTGTGCATATCAGTGGAGCGGTAGACATGTAACCTCGAGTAGGGCTCCCATTGAGTATATATTACGCCTCCAGACACTCACTTCTAGTACCCAAGCACACATTACCTATCTTCTCATTTCAACACCTCATCAATTTCCAAGATCTCCATCATGGCATACGCACAGTGGGTCGTAATCCATATCATCAACAGTTTCCGGTCAGGAAACCTCAGCCTCAAAGATGCTCAAGCCATGTGTAAGTGCTTCCTGTCTCCTTTTCTGGGTCAATATCCCTTCACCGTGTAGTACCGTCGGGTCGACCCATCGCTAACACACATGCTAAGGGGGCAAATTTCACAGGAACGGCAACAAAGACGCCGAAATAAGCGCTAGCGAGGTCAACAAGCTGAGCATCAGCGCGGGGGAATCCATCAAAATCTCTTCATGTGGACGCTCTGACTCTGCATCCGGCACCGAGGGTAAAGTGTAAGTAGTGCTTACATCTCCGCGCAGCTGCTCCCCAATCCATGCTAATCATATGAACCTCAGTGGCGTCTATGACGGCGACACTCGAGTCTGCACCATTTACTGGTCTTGCCCCTGGGGTTCCAAGTCGAACAACTTCCAGATTCAGGACCGCAACAAGGATTACGGTATTACACTTGGCGATTGGAACCAGGACTCTGGTTCGCTCGGAGAGGTGGATGTTGATATCTCTAGGAAGGGCTAGAGGGTACGGAGTTGAAAACTGTAACCTGGATTGGAAGAGCATATCCAAGCAGGCTCAATTAGCAGTATGAACCCACGATACAATGCCATAAACGTCGCTCTTTTCGATATCTGGAACCCGATCTCTCTTCCCTAGCCTCCTCTCATCTGTGAAAATGTGATTATTGTGCGCGTTTGATTGTCAGTAAGATGATCCAATGTCTTAATGTCACGTTGCGGTTAAGGACGGTTCGGGTGAGATCTCGGAAAGAGGCTATCTTCAGAGCTAACCCAATTCCACTAGCACTCCCTCTTTCCGCTGTCGTGACCACATCCTAGCATTACATTTATGCGCAAATCTGGTAGTCCTTCTTCCTAATGTTATTTTGCCTGAGCTTGCCGCTAGTCTACCCATTCCCTTCACATGGACCGAGGTGTGCACAACCGGAGCGAAAGTCCTCCAACTATTCGTAACAGTTAACTTGTGTCCTCGGTTCTACATTCATACACATTGCTTGGATTCAAGGATGAGATTTGTTCAACTATGTCATGCCCGTTGACCAAAGGCTGTGTCTCTTTCAGTCTCTGCTTAAAAGAAAGCACAGTAAACATTGCTATCGGCGTTGTCACCGCCAAACGCAATACTACAAGTCTTGCTCTTCGAGAAATCCACCGAACAAGTGCCAACATCAGTGTCACCTTCCACCAACGTGGCATACGCGCTTCCATTGTCAGCCGAGCTGAGGTCGCGTAGAGCCTTGCAGTCGTCAGGACCACGGCTCACGAGCCTTAAGGTGCGATCACAGACTGTAAAGTCCTGGTCGCAAAAGCTCTCGCGTGGAGTGAGGTTTGGAGCGGGTTTGGCATTGCAGCCACCGCCGTTACAGTCGTCATGGACCCTGACGCTAAGTGAGTTGAGGTCGTTGCCGCCGGTGCAGGCTCCGGGCCCGCAAACCTCTGAAGTTTGTTAGTAAGGAAGTATAGGAAGCAGGAGGGATTTAATCGTACGCTGGTAATAGTGGTGCTCGAAGAGGCGAAAGTTGCCTGGGTCGCGCTTCTGCACGGGGTTTGCGAGAGCGGTGGGTGTGAAGGCCAGAATGGCGGAGATGATTGTGATTGCGAGCATGGTTGGTAAGTGGAAAGTAGGAGTCAGCGTGCGATTGAGGAGAGGCGGTTTTGCTGTGCTGATGGTCGACAGATAGGGGGAAGAAGCCCTCCTTTTGTACTTCGAGTGAACTTCAGCTACCGTGCTTGCGAGCACAGGAACGAGTTGGTGACGACATAGAGCGCCATAAGTCAGCGATGTAGCCGCACAACTCATCGATGCCCATGCCTTAGATCGTAGCTAGATATGGGGATGTACGCCTCATCTTGGCGTGTGTGATGAGAGCGGCCATCTCCGCCCAGATCGATCGTGAACATGTTCTTCGACCTACACCATCATATACGATCTTGCTGTTTGTAGAGTGTGACAAGCACAGTGGAGTGGGTACACTCGAATCCATCCTGAGATACTGACAGCCTATTCACAGGGTGAGAGTCCCAAATGGCTATCGAATGAATGAGACCTTCTCGCGCTGTGAAGCCTACATCTTCTGACGACGGCACTAGTGTAATCGACATCTTTTCACAAGAGCGGACGGTTCTAACTCTTTTGGGGAGGAGAAACACCTTGTAGTCAGTGTTCCAGAAATCCACAAGTTGCACGTGGCCGCCTGGCGGCCGCAATAATTCCACCTAAGTCTACATGCTTGGTATATGGTGCCAAACTTGTACAAGCTGTTCCGAGTATCCGTACAAAAGCTTGGCTGTGGTCATTAGCAGAGCCTCTGAGGCGCTAAAAAAGAGCGAAGGAGCACTTTGTTCCTTCGGGGCGGTACGCGCTCTTAGGCCCCCCGTTCCGTTCCGCGCTGCCAAGATGTGGAGCAATAGCTTGTATAATGAGAATATACGTGCGATGATTGCTGGATAAACACCAGGCCATCAGGCCGGCAAGGCAGATACAATAGCGCGACTGCTCTAGTTCTGAGTGCGGGACGAGAGCGAAGCTAAGTACAGCATTACAAGCCTTGGTAGCATTCCAAAATATAGCGTACGCGTGTTGCCTTATTCGAAATTTCGCTCCTGCGGTGACGTCATTCGTGAATATCCCTCCGTTCGTGGCGTTCAAGATAGAACTCCCCGAAGAGTTCTCCAACTGCTCTCCTCCCACCGATACAAGTGCAAGTGGTATGCTTGATACTCTCGATACCAGTATGAAGTTGCCAATTGGCAGCTGGTTCTTGCACACATACAAAGCGGCCTTTCTCAGTCATGCGAAACACTCTTCATGCGCTCCGGATGTTGAAGGAGCTGTCGTATGAACCAGTAGTCAATTTAGAAAATCTAATATACACTCATTGACGACCATTTAGCATCATCGGTCATCTTCCACACTTAAGCTGGCAGAAGTGAATGAAAAGTCTATTCGGGTAGGGCCTTATACGTGTATTGCCGAACCGTTGATTCGTCTTGTCATGATGAGAAGTGGTACACCCACGAAAAGGATAGGCAGACAGTGGAAAAGGTCGAGAATCATTTGCGCGTGGACGTTGTCACTGTTTCCCAACCAGAGCACTTTTGTCCAGAATACCAGTACTTGTATGAACAAAAAAGTTTTCAAATGGCTTCCTTTAACAAAGATGAGGAAGTCGGGAATTCAAGGCCCGTCTAGGAGCATGTGCGCGAACGGATCATGAGGGTAGGGTCAGGGCTTCTTAGGGTGAAGGATCCTTGCATTCTCTATTCTCATCACTGTAGTCTGGATCTTGTCCGCTCGTGGATGTCCTCTCCGTCGACGAATTGATTTGCATAGCACTCGGTCAACGATATGCCGCCGCTTGAAACGTGGCAAAGCGCAACGAAGATGTCCTTAGTGCTGTATCGCAAATGTGTTCCGTGTACACTACCTAAGTATATGAGTAAGGTGCACGTCTCAATAGACTGAGTAGGAAATACATACGGATCATCGCAGAAGTCACATAATGTTGTGAGTATTGAAAAGTATGACGATATGAACGTATCGCGCTGGTTAGAAGAGTTGGGCTTGAGTGAAACTTGAAAATCAAGGTTGGGAAAGGTGCGTGGTGTGGGGAGAGGAAAGTGGGGTTGCCTTCTCTGGGTGTAAAATTCGGCCAAATGTATCCTGTGTTGTGATCTCATCACTACCTATGGGTTACACTACTACACAACGCATTGCACTGGACAACATAATTGGAGGAAAGCATAAAAATGGCAAAACTGGTGCAACTGGCTCGATTATTTGGTAGCACTCCATCTGATTGAGTGATGCTGAACGCTGTGATACCTAGGTAATCTTGCAGGGGACGAGAAGCAAGAACATAGACGGTGAGTTGCCCGCATGGCGACAGCGACAATCCACCCGTGGACACTCACCCCATCCGCTCACGAACTACGCGAGCCGCTCAACAAACGGCGGTGCCTTGAAACCAGCTCCCTCGGACGTTAAACGTGTACGGAGCAGTAATTACGCTCCGATTGTTCGATGTCTCGTGTGTGGATAGATTGTGGCGGTTCCAGGTCGACCGCGCGGGCCGGCTGGGTATCTGCGGGTCTCAGCCACCAACAATCGCTTAACAGGTCCTGCGGGGATGTCGCGACATACCGCGAGATATACAGGGGAGCGACGTCGAGTCTCATTCGCCAGTCTGCATGCACCTTGCTGATCCTGCAAGTATAGGTCATTTTGCGATCTGGACAGGATTGCGCTTTCATAACAGGAGCAGTACATTGTTTCATTCACACGTTAAGGATGCGAATTTGTTTCGGATCCCTACTCTTGAGCTCGTATCGAGCATAACTACGATAGTACCGTGAGAACCAGCGACAGCTCCTTCTCGTTGCAAGCGTTCGAAGGATTCGTCAGACGCATTGCTGGTATATCAACGTGGGGGGAGGCACTGTACCTAGTACTTCAGCCTCGCCTTGTACATATTTGTACATCGTCCAAGCCACCATGATTGTGCCTTGGCGTGATTACCTGTCTCATAAAATACCGACGTTTTTTCATCGGATGATCTTTCATCATGACCACTTCAGCGCCAAAACCACGAGCACGAAAGCTTGCCTCACTGCGAAAACACCATCAAAGCAGCAATGTATCCAGAGCCAGAATGCCTACCGGAACCTCAAGTCAGACAGGAGTTCAACCCCTACAGAAACGCAAAACACCAGACCAACAATATCGAGACCTCAAGCTAAAGGCCGAAAAGCTGGGCTTCGTTATCCAACACTCGAAATTCTGTGTCAGTCGTCCAGGAAACGTCCCTACTGAACATCAAGCAAGATTTGAGCATATACAGACACTGGGAAAGGTTGAGTTTGACTCATACGGCTTGCAGCCAAGCCCCGATACAGTGGATAAACCATGGCAACTTGAGAATAAAGGTAAAGCCAATGGAATACGGCAGAAGGCTATCAAATGTAGGGAAGAAACAACGAATGAGGCGAAATGGCGCTTTGAGGTTGAGGCTAAGCTCTTTGAGCGTTTCGAGATTGAAGTCGCGTGGTAAGCCGCTCCGCAGATTGGAAGGCGGCTGCAGTACTGACAGTAATAAGCAAGCGCTGCCGTAAACGCATCTGGCAGTCTGAGATACAGGCAGACCCAAAGGCAGATAACAGTCGGACAGCATCTTTGGAAGAACGACAGAAACGGCGCGAAGCGTGTGCATGTGGTCCCCAATGGCGCATGGACAATCTGTACGGTGTTACGATGAAATGCTTGCTATCGTTACTGATGAGTCCTCCAGTTATGACCCTGGCTTGAGCCCAATCTTCTCATCTCGAATCCAATCGCGAAACTGTCTACCTCGCGAACACGAAACAAATTCCAATGCTGTCACAAAGGAACCCGACCGCGTCCATGGACTACAAAGTACAGCGAGCCTCGAAAAGCTGCTGCAGCAGAGAAGTGGAGCTCAGTCACTATTGAACTCAGAGCCTTCACAGAGATTAGCCGACATACTACAAACTAGCTGTAACCCTGATGACAGCGGGAAAAGGCTGCTTTTTCCCTTCCTGGTGATGGAGGCAAAGAGAGGCAGACAGGGGGGTGACTTTGATGAGGTTGAGATTCAGACTGCACATCCAATCAGACATCTCCTTGTTCTCCAATGGGAACTTCATCAGAACGAGTTCAACCAAATGAAGATGCCTGGAGGGCCTCTCGCGTGGTTCCTTGCCAACGTTGGCGAGATCTGGAGGGTGTATGGATGTTATGTAGATCCAAGTGGCGACAGATCGCGACCGTCCTGGGTTAGTTACCACTGTTTAGTTGCAGCTTTGTTACTGATGTGCAACCAGAATACCATCCTTCTTTGGCAAGGTAGTATTACGGGGTACGACGAAGCACTACAGTTGACACTCATCATTGACTACATTCTGGATTGGGCACGAGATACCTATCGGCCCAGTATCATTCGACAACTCAAATGCATCGGAGCAAGAGGTGCCAACTCTAATTATACAGTTACTCACGATTCTGACATCTTCTCCATGATGAACCCTATAGGTGAATGGCTTGGTGCTCAAGGCGCGCAAACTGCAGTACCAACCATAGTTGCGACGAATTTTACGGATATGCGGGAGCATGCCACGGAGGATGATTCTGCAGAATCTTTGTTCAATCTGTCAGGCGGCAAACAGGTTAACGTAGAAGAGTTACTAGCTAGCATCCGAGAGCCAGTTAGAAAACTCGTCAATACAAGCAAGGACGAGAGAGCATGGAGACACCCCATCCACTCAAGCCGCTATGGTCGGGTAAGACTTGGAACGGCACTTGAATCCCGCGTGTATGGGGTATACATCACGGCAGATAACATTGGGACTATGCTCCAAGGCTTCGGGGGTTACCACGCACAGAGAAACCTTGCGGACAAGATCGATAAAATCGTCCGAACTCGAACAAGATGTTTTGCCCTTGACAATGCGCAGGCTCTTGGCAGGATGGAGCGGATCTGGACTGGCGATTCCACGTACTCACTGGCCCTCTCACACCCGACCTTGATCTCTATACAAGTCAGGTTCTGGGTGACGTACAAATTTGAACTGATACGGGAGTTGAACTACTTAGCCATTACTGAAGAGGCATACAATAGTCTTAGTTTCTCAAGACGGCGCAAGAACCTGGGAATTTCAAGAATGAACCATTGGAAGCCTATTTCAGCCGATCACCTTGTTTCCTTCCTAGAAGACAAGGACAACACATTCAAAGAGGACTTTTTCCTTCGCTGCCTGAAATCCCAAGTTTTGGTCTTGCATCACTCATCTCATTTGGAGTTCCGACCGGATGCAAGGCTCAGGGGCACTCAGGGACCAGTAGCTGAGCTAGTATCAGAGATCTACGAAAAGCACCGAATTGGACAGCGCAAACCGGACGAAGCGTTTATAAAGGAGCTCGAGACGATTGAGAACATCCTTCCAACGCCCGAACATGCATTTTGGAGCGCAAACAAAAAGGGAATACTCGCTCGAGATATGACCTCAGATCTCTGTCTCTATATCCCTGATTCAAGCCTTGCGCTCAATCGAGCCGAGAATCTTGCTTCGAGATTTTCGCTTGATAAGAAAGTGTTCCGCAACTGTGTTACCAGCCGTCATGGTGGCGCCGACCGTCATGGTTCCGAAGATTGGCCTAGCCTCAATTGCGGGTTACAAGAGCTTGCATCGTGGATTATGGAGGACAGGCCCAAGAGAGATCAACTGAAAGAGATACAAAGTGCCTTCCCAAGCATCACAGATTTCAACAAGTTTATGGAGTTTAGACACGAGCATAGAAGAGGCAGGGGCCGTAACTATAAATTCTCAAGCAGCGACTACTAGGTCGATGAGGATCGCACATGCGTAGGCTCTGATGTGCACAAGGTAGGTCTGAGTACGAAGACACGGAACCACTAGCTGAGATGTTTATACATGCTGTCATGAAGACCGAACAGGTTTTGCAAAGCCCGTACTAGGGTTCCACGATATAACATGTATTTAGAATGATACATTAGCTGCTTTATATTGTACAATTCATTGCAAAATCTAGCCACTGAACTATTTGGGTGACTTCTGGGATCCGTCTTAAAAGCGAAAAGTGTTAGCCAGGTTGTCAAGAGCAGAAGAGAAGCCCGTCGTGTGCTTCGGGATGAAGTGATCAAAACCACGATAAGTGGCGGATAGGGGAGATCAGTCTCGTATTGTTTAAAATGGTTGTGCAGCAGGTCAAGTGTATGATCATAATAGTTGCGTTCGTTTTACCACCATGCGTGTTGCAGCTACGCCTCCTCTGACAACACGTACTTCACACCCTCAGCCAAATCGTCATAGAACTGCTTCCTCGGCTTATCAAGCTTGGGCGAAGGCCAAGCGAAGAAAAAATGTGGATAGCCATCGTAAAAGTCGAATTTGACGGGCACACTACAGTCAAGTCAGCATCAAGACCTACAATGAAGACACAAACCTACCCAGCATCATCTAGCTTCTTCTTCATGAGTACACCGTCGTCTCTCAGCGTGTCATGCCCCGCAACAGCCATGTAGACCTTCTTCAGGTTCTTGATTCCAGGATGAAGCAGAGGCGATCCATACGGGTCAGTTGGTGGAGCACCGAAAGCATCCCAGAAGGCTCTCATCGCGTCCGCAGGGTTGATGGTATGCTGATCGTGCTCTTCCATGGCCGTGTACTCAGGCCGAAGTGTCTGCGGGACGCCATCCGGATGCACAGTCACAGGTATGATTGCGACAACACCGACAAGCTCGCCCGATGCCTCGTCCAGGCCTCTCAGCGCAGTCGCGAACGCTAGTTGACCGCCAGCAGAGACTCCGGCTGTTAGGAACTTGCCCTCGGCGGTGTTCAGCCGCTTCGAGTTGCTCAAAGCCCACTGCAAGGCTTTATAGCACTCGTCCATTAAGCCAGGGTGCTTGTTGTCTGGGGCACGTCCATATTCAACAGATACAACCACAACGCCACCAGCTTTTGAGATTGCCCTGCTGAATGGATCGTCGCCATTCACGTCGCCCATAGCCCAACCGCCACCGTGGAAATACACGCACACTGGCTTGCCACCCTTATAGCCATCTGGCGTGTATACGCGCACTTTGGTGCCGCCATCGGTTGTTGTGTCTTCGGTCTTCACGGAAGGATCGGGTTCGGGAAACGTATACTTCGAGGCCATGAGGCCACCATATCGCATAAATTGCTCTGACATGTGGGAGATGGGCGGCTTCAAGAGCATGCGCTCGCCGAGTTCTTCTTCGAACTGCGCAATTTATCAATACGGTGACGTGCATGTTTCCACATTCACGTACCTCAATCCATGGTTTCGCAAGTCCTTCAGTAGCCATGTTGCCCTAGAATGATGGTGTAAGTAGTGAAGCATATCTTCCATCTCGGAAGCCATGTCGTATAGTAACCGACGCCCCGCTCATAGGTCGGCGTCATGTGGGTGTGTGGAATAGCACTCATCTCGACTCACGCCGACGCGGGAAGACGTCAGGGGTCAAAGCTTCCCCATTCGCTGCCACGCTGCCTTCCCCACGCTTAAAGACATCCGGTACTCCCCCGCCAAAAAACAACATCGCCTCGGCTGCAAACACGCATCGCAACGCGTCGGCAGCGACTGTTACGACGAGTCATGTCTACTATATTCACGCGTAGACTTTCCATGTTGCAGTTTGATCATTCTCACTTACCTCCATAGCTCTTCTAACCTGCACCATGGTATTGAACATCGACATCAACAGCAGCCCAGCCTTCTCACGCATACCGCCCTGGGTGAAGGCCAAACTTCGGCCCATCGCAATTGAGAAGATCCAACAGGTATATGATTGGGTCGAGACGGAATGCATACCCGCTGAGCGCATCTACAAAGCGCAACTCAAAGAGAGCAAGACGCGATGGGAAACCCCAGCCATCATCCACGACTTGCGAAAGAAGGCAAAAGCCCAAGGACTATGGAATCTCTTCTTACCGAACCACTTCATCGAGAGTCCAGGTTTAACCAACTTGGAGTACTCATGCTGCGCTGAGATCATGGGGCGAGTATACTGGGCAGCACAGGTACGCTTCTCCAAACACGACACTCGGAAACGTCTCTCCTAACATACTTCCAGACGATGAACTGCCACGCCCCCGAAACTGGCAACATCGAACTCCTCGCCAAATACTGCACCCCCGAACAGAAAAAGAGGTGGCTCCACCCCCTCATGAACGGCGACATGTCCTCCGCATACAGCATGACAGAACCCGACGTCGCCTCCTCAGACGCAACCCAAGTCGGCATAAAAATGGACATTACCGACAAAGAAGTCATCATAAACGGACGCAAGCTCTATGGCAACTGCCAGTACAACCCAGAAATGCAGCTCTTCATCTTGATGGGCTGTTCCGATCCCAACAATGCGAATGCGTGGAATAGGCACACGACGCTCGTGGTGCCGGCGAATAGCCCAGGCTTAAAGCAGATTAGAAACCTGACGATCATGGGCTACGATTGGGCGCCTGAAGGACATGGCGAGTACGTCTACGAAAACGTACGTGTACCACTGGAAAACATCATCCTCGGTCCTGGACGCGCTTTTGAAATTGCCCAAGGGCGGCTGGGCCCCGGTCGTATACATCACTGTATGCGGCTCATCGGCCAGGCAGAACGCGCGTTTGAACTTGCGCTTGTGAGATGCATGGAGCCGCGGAAGAAGCCACGGGGCAAGTTTATTGGCGAGTTCGATAGCAATATCGAGCGTATTGCGGATATGCGCATGACTATCGATGCTATGCGGTTGGTTGTGCTCAATGCGGCGGATACTATGGATTTGCAAGGTAACAAGGCAGGGAAATACGCTATTGCGCAGAGTAAGATTATGGTGCCGAATGCGCTGCTTAAAGTTATCGACGAGGCTATGCAGATATACGGTGGTCAGGGCTTGACGCAACACACGCCGCTGCCAGAGCTGTGGACGTATGCGCGTTTTGTGAGGGTGGCTGACGGTCCTGATTCCGCTCACAGACATCAGGCTGGGAGGGACCAGATGAAGACTGCGCAAGGGTTTAGGAAGAGAGCGGAAGGGTACACGGAGAGGTACAGGGAGCTGTGCAAAAAGTGGGGGCTGGAGCCGGAGGAGTTCTGGGGTATTTTGTAGTAACTAAATGTCCTTTCTTGTGTTCTCAACTCATAGACACAGGGAACCGCGAGGTTCACCTGTCTTGTGTCCTCACGCCTTGGTCTCTTCCGTCTCTTCACTCGTACCACCGCCTCCTTCTCACTCTGCTCTCCGTACTTGCGGGCGCGAAGGCGATCTTACCCACGTCTTCATCCGATTTGGTGTCCGCAAGCATAACCTTCAAGTATCCCAGTCGCTTCGTCTTCCCCGTTCCGTCTTCCGCACTGTTGCCTTGAACCTCGCTTTCATTAAAGTACTTCGAGTCTCTAATTAGACTACTAACATAGCCCAGAATTGAGGGTGCATGACACTGGTGATGCATTACCAAAGAAAAGACCGCTGCAAAGAACATGATTGCCACGGAGACGAAATAGAGTATGATCCATGGGATATCCAATGCGTAGATAGCGGGCAACGGAAACGTAGTAGTGGACGTGGTATTGAGCAACGTATCGAGGAACGGCGAGCGTGTCAGATCGCCGCCCATGATGGATGCATGTTCATAGCCGATCTTCCAGAGCGTATTCCACAGCAGTGCAAGACGTTGCTCAAACATCATGATATCGAGTTCGCCCAAGTCTGCATAAGCGATCGTGGCGGGGTTATTGAGTGCGGTAAGCGGATCTTTGATGTACCATTCTACTATACTCGACGCACCACTTCCAGATTGCTTGTCGTTGAGCAGGTCCATAAAGTTCCCCATGAATACCTCGGGGACACCTGGATCGTGGTTGACTGTCGAGTTTGGATAATAGAGGCGCCCGGATTCCAGGAAAGTAAGGTTGACAGAGTCGGTAGGATTGAGCATCGCTCGAACGGAGTTGACGCCGCAGCTGGCCTTTCCTAGAGTACCTTTCGACGTGCAAAATATCTGGGCGTCAATATAAGTCATTTTTGTTGAGCATTTTGTGATGGACACGTAGTTGGGTTTGTCGCCTTTGGTACCGAATATGAGCTGTGGATGATCTTGACTTGACGTCGTAGATAAGTTGGTTGCTCGGTCCTCGGTGGAAGCCACAAAGAACGTCCTTATTATGTTCGCTGGTCTCCCAGCGGTAGGATTTATCAATTCCGAGTAATTCATCTGGAGGTTGCTGTTCACCCATAGGGTTGTCTCGTTCTCGTCTTTGAGGTGTACCCATGGAGAGCACTGGAATCTGTCAGAAACACCACGAGAAGAGAAGAACAAATGAAACTTGTCTTACCGAGAATACCTGGTAGCTCGAGGTTGCGTTGAAGGTAGTGTTACCGGTGAAGTTCCGATTGATACCCTCAATTCGGTCACCAACAAGGCTGGAGTAGTTCTGGACTGCATCCTGCCAAGGTACATCTACCCAGCGATGCGGGTCTTTCGAGTCATAACCGGGTAGAGCTTGCAGGTTTGGCATGCGTATATTTCCCCAGGGGTCAGTGGCTGCTTGTACACCAGCCGAGGCTTCCCCTCCGAGCATCAAAGCGATGTCTTGGTACGTCGTGTTTGTCTTATCCACATACTGAGTGGCGGATGCGATGTTGTAGAGAGCCGCAGAGTATAATGCGCGAAGCTTCGGTCTGGTACGTGTACTACCAGGGATGATCGAATTGAATCCTAGCTGGCTGCTCAGATTGTGGTTATAGTACGCGATGTTTCCGGTTCCAAATCCTTCTTGATCCCTCAAGTAGATTCCTCGAAACGAAGACTGAGATCCGAGGGGGTTGAAAGCCCACAGCAAGATTAGAGCAATAGACGAGAGTCTCAATATTGACCATTTGAAGATCGCGATGAGGGAGCCAGCAAGCTAAAGTACAAGCATTAGCGTGTGTTATACTTCATTCAAGACCCTTGATGCCTACCGTTAAGGAGCTCATCAACTGTTCCAAGGTCTGTCCAAGATTCGTCAGCAGCGTCAAGTGTTGGAAACGCTTCCTTTCGTACCAGTAGATCGACACCACGCTCAACGCGCCAGTCAGCTAACGCGCGAATCGCATTTCCCAGTACGCCAGAAAAGAGTATAGGCCATAATGATGGTGCAAGTCTTGTAGCCTGAATAACTCGAATCGACCAGGCACTTTCCTGCTGGTCTTTGAGATGTACGACGAAAGCGCCGAGGACTACAGACACGTTAACGATGCTTTATGTATATTGGGCATATGACTTACCGAGGAAGCATATCGCTACGGCTATCCCCAAAAATTCCCAAGTCAAAGCGTACCATGCGTTACCTTTCCATTCCACAGGGTCATGCGCATTCGCTGGGAAATAGCCGCTTCTGGCACCTTTCTGCATCGAAGGCTGATTGACAATCTCTTCAGACGGCAGCCCATGTGTCTCCGTGGCATCCGAATAGACGAAGCTACCGTTGGTGTGAGATTGGGGACGAGATGCGCTGGTTCGAGTCGGTTCGCTGATATGATTTTGTTGCCCATCTCTTTCAAGCAGTCGGTTCGATGCGCTGTCCTGAGCCGAATGAGCTACAGGATTGAAGTCAGAATCGAGTTGAGTCATCTCGTTGGCGGCGAAAGGGTGCCACTGTGGACTTTTCTTTTGATGATTCATCGTCTTGATAAGACGACGCCAGCAATATGCGTGGGTTGTTCCTATATAAGAATCGATGTCCGCGAATTCTCAGGAAATGCGCCTTGCGGGGCTGCAGGCAGCGGCTGGGGCTGAATTCCCAGACTCAGTTTTTGGCCCCCACCATGCCGTGCATCTACCGCGCCTATGAAACACAACTTAATACATTTCAAGCCTGGCGTAACTTGAAACTACCTGTGTAATGGCGGTCTTTCGAGCATACCGTATATATTATGGAGCTTGCAGCCCCCACTTGCCCATGGCCTTAGCAGCGGTGAAGATAAATGGTTCTGGGAGCGGGAGGCCGCGGGATTCGCTAGTAGCCTTGATCATTGGCTTTCGCAACATTGGGCTGTAACATGGGGCGCAATGACAAGTATTGCGAGAGCGGCAAGACGCGGATGTGGAGTGTGACAGTAGTGGTGGAAGTAGGACGCGCTGGTGAGGGAAGCCACGCTCTAGCAACGCCAAGTCGCTAACAAATCACTCAGATGGATGGCAGTCGCTGTACGGCTCTGGAACAAGACTACCACAAAGCGTTTGAAGGATATTTGTTGACATCAAAAGGTCGTAGTTCTTCGTCTACAAGAAGCAAAAGCAAAAAGAAGGGTATCATTTCCAAACCCCAATCCCAGAACTGAGTCATCATTATTCATCGTATCCAAAATGCGTGAATCATACCGCGATAGGCGGTGATCCGAAGCTCATGTTATTATCATCATCATCAACATCATCATCATCATCGAAGAACGAAGCTACTTCCTGCGTCGACATAACAAAGTCTTCAAAAGACGCGCTTGGTGTCGACACCACTGGAGGGGGCTTCGAGTGCGGCGTTGGTACGCGTTGCCTCTTCGTTGGAAGTGCCTGGTCCCTGGATGGCGTCGTTGTAGCTCTTCTCTTCGCATTAATACCGGTCATAGATTTTGGCAGCTGAGAAGCTCGAAGTTTTGCTAGTTCAGCCTCGAGTCCATAGGCAAAGGGACCTGGGTTCAGGCATTTCCCAGCTATCTTCTTAGAGGACTTGGAGGATGTCAACGGCCTGCTCGAATTCGCAGAAGCACGAGGCGGAAAGTTCTTCTGCGCGACACTGCTGTCAACTTTGGTGGGGGTGATCAAAGACTTTGCCGGCTCAGAGGGAAGCGGCAGAGATGTTGGCTTTTGTGCGGGGCGTAACGTTTCTGACTTGGCTTGAAGCGGTGCAGGTACCGTGCTAGGCGCAGTGTGCATGTTGAGAGCAGCCCCACATCTCACCTCCTCTGTTGAGGGCTCTTCGTCGAGATCCTCTAGCGAAAAGTCGAAGTCTTGGGTCGATATAGGAGGAAGGTCGTCAGCTATGGGAGGCGATACGGTCGTTGAAGCTTTGATTGGCTCCCTGACCGTCGGCGTTGTTTCTGAAGCAAGCTCTCGTGAGATTTGTGTGCTGCTTTCGAGGAAGTCGTCCCAGCAGTCTGTTGGTAGTGACAGTATTGACGGAGTTTTCTTCGTGACCGATATAGGTTCAATCGCAGTGAACGAGCTGGACTTGGATGCTGGTATTCCAGGAAGCTTGAAGCCCGGATTCTGATTTATGGGAGGTTTTGCCTTAATGACAGGTGGGGTCGGTTTTCTTGGCAAGGTGGCAGGTGGCACACGGCCAGGTATAGAGGGGAGCTTGAACCCCGGTTGGGACGTATCCTGTGGCATGCTGGATGGTGTATAGTCAATGGCTACACGTATGGGAAACTGCGTCCGCTGGAAAGGATGCTGCTCCAGATTCTTGTATTTCGCAAAAAATGGAACCCGCGTCAGGAAGGTCTTAGTTCCCTGCAGCTGTCCATCCAACACCAAGCATTCTAGCCGGTCGTTCTCGCATCGTAGGACTCGCAAGTGCTGGCTCTTGGACAACTGGCTGCTTGTGTTGAGATCTCGAAGCACCGATACAATGCAGCCGATCTTGATTCGCAGACGATGAGGCGGTAGCCCGACCGGGTTGAGCTTGTGTAGTAGCCCTAGTGAAGGGTCCCAGTCTGGTGTCTTGAGCGAGAGATCGTGTGACAGCAGTTCGATTAGAGGCTCGGGTAGTTTGTCTAAAACAGCCTCGATTGCCTTGTTGATGGGCCCGTGTGTGCGTGTGAATTCGCGATTGTCCTGGGTAGAAAGTGACTTCAGCGGAGGGATCGGTGCGGCGGGCGGAGGGGGTGCAAGAGGAGAAACAGGCGCAGGCGGCTCCGCAACAACCTGTGGCACCTCTACCGAATCTGACACGAGCATATCATGTGCTTCGAGGAGTGTGTCGTCATCTAAATCATCGTCGGCCCATTGCTCGCCAAAGGACACAGTCGTCTCCGGCAGACCGATGTCTATGTCCTCATTGTCGTCGTCGTTGTCGTCATCCCATGGCTCCTTTTCCATCGAATCCGCAATCTCTTCCAGCTTCTTGGTAAGCTCCAGATCCTTTCTGCGTTTCTCTTCTTCTTTCCTCTTGCTTAAACCTAGGAATGCTTCCATGCCACTCTTCAGCTGCGCCTGTGTATGGCTATATCCAATAAGCTGGGTCGCAAGCCCAACACCAATCTGTTGCCTCGCTCTTGCATCTTTCGCCTCTTTTTCCTCGCGCTTCTTCTTGGCTGCTTTGCGACTTTCTTCGGCTTTGCGGGCGCGGGCGGCGCGCTGTTCTAACTCGGCGTCGCGCTCGAGCTGCCTTTGTTGTCGCTCGTTGAGGCGCGGGCCATTTTTCTTGTGCTGCTTTTTGAGCTCGGTAGATGTGAGTGCGATTCGATGAGGTGTTGGGACCATTGTAGGATGCGCATGGCGATGAGGAGTGCGGGTGGCTGCAGGGGTGAAAAGTGTGGTGGCGAAAGATTCTCTGAGGCGTGGAACCGCGCTAAGACACGCAGACACGTGCTCAGATGACGTACCCCACACACAACGTCCAGTTTCGCGTTGCGGCCCTTTTACCATCACTGCCGATGATTACTATTCGGTTTTTCCCTTCCCACATCGATTGCGACGACTTCTCCCAGCAATCGCTCAATTATGACGGACATGTAACACGTGTCAAAAGGCGACCAATCGCTGGTGGGCCTTACCAGCACTTGCGCACTAACTTATTGACAAGAATAGTCTAATCATACAGGTCGTACATTCGCATTCTCCGTACCACACGACCGGATTCTAGATACGAATTGAGAGGCGTTCGTACAGTAGGGCCGACATGACTCGTTCGTGCTTGTTATCCCCAGGAAAACCGCAGCCGACTCCAGGCTCAGCCCCGCTTATAGGCTTTCCCCACAGCATCAGGCTCACGGCCAACCTTGACGGTGCATATGCAAGAAGCATGCTACAGTTGGCAACTTCTTGAATCGCAGCGCTGGGCTAACAGTGGAAGCGGTGGCAACGTTGAGCGCCATTCTCTTTCCGTGGACCCCAAAATCGATAATTGAACACGGCTTGCAGAGTACGCGCTGAACCTGAAAATATGTCTTTCGTACTGAAAGGTGTAGCATACATTACCGGTGCTGGATCCGGTATGTTCGATTAAGCTGTGTAGCATACGCAACCGATAAGCTAATATATCCTAGGTATTGGCCAGTACACTGCATACGCTCTCGCAAAGCAGGGTGTACGCTCATTCGCCTTGCTAGATCGTAACTCCGTCACCAAAACCCTCACCGGACTAAACAACATCTCACCAGATGTTTCTGTCAAAACATTCGAGATCGACGTCACCAATGAGAAAGCCGTCGATGACAGTATAGAGAAGACGGTCAAGGAATTTGGACGACTAGACTATGCGGTCAACAATGCTGGCATAGGTGGTATAATTAAGACGACAGACCAGATACCAAAAGATGACTTCGAAAAAGTTATGGCCGTTAACACTACCGCCGTTTGGCAATGCCAGCGTGCACAAATTCGGCAGATGCTCAAGCAAGAGAAGTTCTCAGACTCATACCGGTCGTGTCGGGGTTCTATCGTCAACGTAGCATCAATGTACGGCCTGGTCGCACCACCACTCAATGTGCCTGCCACAGCATACGCTACCTCTAAGCATGCTGTCATTGGCCTTACAAAGTCGGATGCACTGGCTTTCGCGCACGAGGGTATCCGGATCAATGCAATTTCTCCAGGCTATGTAATGACACCTCTGGTGAAAGAGCACATGGGTAAAGGCGATATGATGGAAACCGAAAGGAAGAAAGTTCCTGTTCACCGCTATTCGGAGATGGAGGAAATAGGCGATTGCATTGCCTTCTTACATTCTGACGCGGCGAGTTACATGATCGGCGCCACATTAGTCGCAGACGGGGGATACACAATCGTCTAGAGACTTATGCTAGTCCAATATCTCAGTCGCTCAAAATTTGTTTCACACGCCTGCTACAACAAATCATCTTTTAGTCAAACCTGCGCGTCAATCGTTTTTGGCGTGGTCGGTCACACCTCGGCAGAGCTTCTCCACCCCAGTGCTCCACTCCCATTCCCCGCAAAGAAGACACAAGTTCCGTATCCGAGAATGATCTCCACTACTACAAACGTCTTCTCGATTGGCTAATGTATCATCTATCGGATCCATTACCGTTATGCGACTAGAAACCCCATGACTTTTGTCTGTGCAACCTTCGGAAATGCTTTGCCAGAGGAGGATTCATGAATAGCCTCTCGCACCGTTGGCCCACATCACGAATCGTCAGCATTTTCCGACATCATAACCATGCTTCAACACAATTAGCGTGACCCCGGATCTGGGTATTCACTACATTGACTCGTTACATGTGGTCATGGAGCTAAAACCTGACTCTTGAAAGGTGGGAAGTCGCGGTGCAAACATGCAGGAGCGAAGTTTAAGAACCTTGGAGCCCTCGTAGTGGTAACGGTCTCAACCTGCTACTCATTTCCAACTTTACTTTTCGACATCTTTCTCGCTTGTTATATACCCTTCAGAATGGCGGATGGTTTCATCGTTCCATCAACGGCTGCGCCGGAGACTGATGCTCAGCATCGGTTACGAGGGCCGATCCACGCACAACGCCATGTGCGTGTCGTGTGTATCGGCGCAGGTGCTTCGGGTTTATTAATGGCATACAAGCTGCAAAAGCATTTCTCAAATTACAGCCTTCGAGTATATGAGAAGAACGCCGAGGTTTCGGGAACGTGGTATGAGAACAGATATCCGGGGTAAGTGCAGATCCGAAATGATGGCTGCGGGGAATAATGCACCCCCCACGATCTGCCGAACCGGCTGCAGCAAAGCAGCACATTTGGCGAACCCTTGCTAACATTCCGCTTCTAGATGCGCATGCGACGTTCCCTCACACAACTACACATGGTCATTTGAGCCAAAATTGGATTGGTCCGCTGTATACGCCGGTTCGAAAGAGATTTTCGCGTACTTCAACGATTTCGCACGCAAGTACGGTCTACGCAAATATATCAAGACGCAGCACCAAGTGGTCGGTGCAACATGGAACAAGCAGAAAGGAGGATATGACGTGCAGGTCAAAGACTTAGAAAGCAATCAGATTGTCAACGACCATTGTGACATCTTAGTAAACGCGTCGGGCATCCTGAACAACTGGCAATGGCCCGCCATACCAGGTCTGGACAAATACAAGGGCACGCTACTGCACACCGCAAACTGGGATGACAACGTTGACCTAAAAGGTCGCCATGTTGGCTTGATTGGAAACGGGTAAGTTTCGTGCGTATGATTGTCTAATTCAACAACTGACCATTTCAGCTCATCCGGTATCCAAGTTCTCCCTACCATCCAACCGCACGTCAAAAAAGTCACAACCTTTATCCGTGAACCAACATGGGTCTCACCCGTCCAAGGTCTCGAACAACACGTCTTCTCCGACAAAGAGAAGCTCGAATTCGCCACCAAACCCGGCGCACTAGTTGAATACCGCAAGAACATTGAGCGCGGCCTAAACGGCCAGTTCGGCATCTTTCTAAAAAACACACACGTCAACTCTGAAACAGAAGCCTACTTCCGCCAGCAAATGACCGAAAAGCTAAATAACGAGTACCTACAAGAGCGCCTGATCCCGAACTGGCACGTCGGATGCCGGCGATTGACACCTGGCGTCGGCTACCTCGAGGCCCTAAGGAAACCCAACGTACAGACAGTCTACGGCGAGATCAACTCCATCAGCGAACGTGGCTGCGTATGCTCCGACGGCAACGAATACCCCATCGACGTACTCATCTGTGCCACCGGCTTCAATACCTCCTTCAAGCCCCGCTTCCCCGTTATAAACTCCTCCGGTGCCAACCTCCAAGATGCATGGGCCAAAGAACCACGCTCCTACTTCGGTCTCGCAGCCGCCGATTTCCCAAACTACCTCATCTTCCTCGGTCCCAATTGCCCTATTGGCAACGGCCCTGTTCTCAGCGCTATCGAAGCGCAAGCGGATTACATGTGCAAGCTCATTGACCGCTTCCAAACACACAATATCTCTACTTTTGCACCCAAAGCTGAAGCCATTGATGACTTTGTCGCTTTCAAAGACGAATACATGAAGCGCACCGTCTGGCACGACGCCTGCCGCTCATGGTATAAATCGCTCGGTCCAGACGGCCCCGTAACTGCGCTCTGGCCTGGCTCCACTCTACATTACATTGAGGCGCTCATGGAACTTAGACTAGAGGATTGGGATGTTAAGTATACTGGAAACAGGTTCTCGTGGATGGGTAATGGATACAGTCAGACAGAGATTGATCCTACGGCCGATTGGGCGTTTTATGTTAGGGATAGGGACGATGATGAGCCGATTTCGCGGTTGGGGAAGTTGCAACTGATTAACAAGAGTGGGACCCTTGAACCAACTGTGGGTGTGAATTTTGCGGGTGGGAGGGCAGAGGGCTATTCGGAGGCGAAGTTGTAGATAGGGGAGATGGGATGAAGGTGCATTTGTTATGGGAAGAGGGTTTTCAGAGGCGTTTTGAAGCAAGGCCTGGAAATGTACATTCTTCTCGAATACGATATATTGAATGTGCCTTTAGGGTTCTGATACATTTACCATCAGTCCCCTCAACTTGTACTATTCGTCGCCTTCTGTACGACCGCCTCTCGGGTCGGGAGCTGGTAAGGCCATGCACACAACGCTTCCGTCGAATGATCATTGCGCATATACTCCCTATTGATTTCTCGGTCTCGCTCATGCTTAGTTGGGCTAGTATTGTTTGCATTAACTGAGATGCGGTAGTTGTAAGTGGCTCGTTGTCTAAGGTTCGTCGCAGCACCACTGGAGAGAGTGAATTCGCGTTGCGCGTAGTAGATACCTATGTTCAAGCGAAATTTTTGACACCAAGCCTGCATAGGATTCTAAGGCTGTGTGCAGATGGTAAGATTCTGGCTGTTATGCTCGAGATGCGTTCCTTCCAAACAACACTTCGGGACTTCAAGCAAGCACTGAAACGCGATGAAAGCGAAAATAGCCACACTGATCAAACACCTAACCGCCATTCGTATGAACGCCGAGTGAACTGGTTGAAAATAGATGAGGCCACCGCGACAACGCATGGCGTGCTGGCTTAAGATTCACGCTAGGGCAATCCGGCTCCCCAACCCGCGGCGCCCGTCGCTTCTCCCGACCCACCAGCGAAACACCCAGACACTGCTCTCGACCAACACCCAATTACTGCACTTGGAAACAGTGACCGAGCTTTGGAGATCCGGAGAATATGAGTTCGTATTGTTATCTGCGTGTAAGCATTGTACATGATCGACAGCATCGATAAGCATTGCAGGCGCCTTGCGCGTAGGGTCAACAGCTGAGAAACAAGCGACAAAAAAGCTTCGTTTGAGGCAGCGAGTGGCGCATCGATGTCGCAGGTAAACAAGCAGTGCGCAGACACCTCTGTCTCGAACTACGCGACTCGATGACTGTTTTCAAACAAACCCAAAATGCTATTTCCAGCGTTACCATTAATCCCTCCAAACGTGCCAGACAGACCCTGAGTATTCACTCCAAACTTCACGACTCAATCCTGTGGATCTTCTCTCGGCTAACGAGGGATCGTCCTACTTCACCATACCCGACTCGGCGCACCAACGCACAGGCATTACCTATTCTGTTGCTCGGAAACAAAGGCGATGCGTTTCGGTAGCTACTATTCTCAATGTTGGGCGAACGGATGATCGTCGGAGTAGTACAGACGCAGGCGTGGGAACTCGTACCACTGTATGGAATACTGGGGTATAGCGAGGACGCCATGCCGTGTCAGGGGTGTAAGACATGCATCTTGACTGCATCTTGACGTTTTGGACAACGGGTTAGGGTCATGGAGAGTTAGAGTAAGGGACCTGGGTACGCGAGTAAGACTGGTAGGAAGAAGGTGTATATATTCTACTGCTTCCATCGCAAAAGCAAGATCATCATCCAACAGCTTCTACTTCTCTCATCAACACTACAACAGTCTCATCAACTACTCTCTTCACTATTACTGCCGGCCAGTTTCTTTAATCCTCTACCAACTTTTCAGTCAAACAACCAATCTATCAAGATGCCTACTTCCCAGATCTCCACTCCCCTCAACGGTGTCGATGCCGCCATCGTCATTGCCGCTCTCCACAACCACGACCTTATGATCAAGACGCTCTGCCCAGCGCTCGTCAGCTACGCTTTCGAATCCGGCGACAAGGCCACCTCGGCCACCTACACCGTCACCGACAAGAAGCCCATCGGTCAGGTATGCCAACCCATCTCTCCTCACCTTTCTTATTCCTTAGACAACCATACTAATACACCCCAGACTACCTACAAGCTCACTCTCACCAACGTCCCTGAGGGTGTCGACTCCCTTGTCAACGCCAAACCCCCCGTTGGCGTCCTCACCATCAGCGGCAAGTGGCGCGTCGCCGACGGCAAGCTCAGCGAGGAGATTGAAATCGATGCCAACTTTATGATGAAGAAGGTTGCTAAGAGCAACGTTGAGAAGACCCACCCCGAGCAGCACATGAAGCTTTTGGAGGCTGCTCAGGCATAAATGAATGTTTATGGATGGATGATAGAAGTGGATGAGTAGGGATGCATGAGCTGGAGTGATTGTTTCTGCATTTGGATTCCCTCTCTAGCATTTAAGTCGCGACGGCTAGGATGATATTGTACGCATAGCTTGAGGTTTTTTTTTTGGTTTGCAATGAAAGCATCATATTATATCTATACTACGAGATATTCTCAAAGAGCCGTGAACGCCATTGACATTTCCAGCATGCTCGTGAACATGTTACAAATCGATTCCAGAACAGAGTACTAGTTGTGATTGATTTTCACTTAACCACCAGTATACAAATTCATACTTCCCCATCTTAGATCACCTCGATAATCCAAGCAAGTACTCTCGATACCATCGCACATACCGCATGCATACCAAATCATAGCACAAAGCTCTTTGTTCTTATTTTCTTCCAAGGGCCACCTGTCACAATGCCCAAAGGCTTCTGAACAAAGTGTGTGGAACCATGCAGTTTGCGTGCCAGATGTCGCGATGCTGTACCATAGTCACCGTCCCTTGGTCTTCTCCCTCAACGTTGGATGAGCCTTGTTGTTGAAGCTCTTTCATATTTACTGTAGTTCTTCAATGCTGCATATATATCAGGTATCCAATGGGAGAGGAAGCAAGATATGATGGTTGCTGTGGCTCCTATCGCACCCTGGTTGAGTTGAAGAATAACGGTCCACCTCAGCCTACACCGACCGATAGATTATTCCGCACAATGCCAACTCATAGTTACGAAAATAAAGCTTTCCTCACTGTTCTCGAACTTCTTAATCGCTTCAGGTGGTAGCTCAATCCAGACTACACTTGAGTTGAGACAGCTCCTCTGAAGTTTGCCCGCGCTCATAGCCAATGCTCATCAATCATCATCGAATCGGCCAGGTATTTGCTACATCCAATAGGACCAAGCATCCCGTGCGCTTTGCCAGTCTAGAATCTCCGCATAACTACTGGTAGCTCGGAACTCTGCCAAATAGATGAAGTAAGGTGCGATGCGGGTAGTCTCATTGTCGCACGTTGCGCGTCTTGAGCGAAAGCAACGTGCAGGCTCGCACTCACTCTTCTTGATACACCATGGGTCGTCATGGCTACGCCTCACCTCATCTCCATTTCTGGCCTGGCGTTCTTGCCCAATTATGAGTGTGTCCAGTAATCGACAACAAGACTGCTCTTCCAGATATGCGAAGAAATCTCTCGCAAATTATGAGTCAGGTCTTCGATATCAGGCCGGCATATGCCGTAGGAGCGGTCGTCGAGAAATTCTTGACGAAGATGGAGGCTGCGTAATTTTGGCAATTTGCATATGGGCAGCTACATCGTGTTGGAGATGAACACTTTACTTAGACAGTGCGTAGTCTTACCAAGGGCGCATAGAACCCATCTTCGCAATGAGTTATTAAAAAATCGTCTGAGATCCTATATCCGAATTGTTCTGGATTCGGACATGCCAGACAGACCTCTTTCAAGCACTCAGCATCTAGAACGTCGAAGCGGTGGCCTCCTTTTTTGCCATCACCGTCACGTTCACTATTGAGAACATCGAGGTAATCGAGATGATGCAACGACAAAAGAACGACCTGTTGTCCGATAACGTGCAGACTTCGGACAAGGAACTCGGGTAACCACGCACCGCGACCGGGCCACTTCAAGCACGGACTTCTTAGCTCGGTACAGCATTCCAGTAACGTTTTGACGTCGTCAGTGGCATCGCAGCCGTGCATATCGAGCCTCAGATGCTTTAATCGTAACTTTTGCACACCAAGCCCGTGCACCAGAGCGGAGACGAACGCTAAAGTGTGAGGAGAGCCCCATAAAGTCAAGTGCGTGAGCTGCGAGAATGATAAAACTCTACCGATGCCTTCATGAGAAGATTTGCTGAGGACAACTCCAGAAAGTGTAAGCTGTTGAAGGCTTTCTAGGCGGCCACAATGATTGGCTTGGCTCGAAAATGCCTGCGCAAGGCTATCGGCAAGTCTTTGATCACAAGTTCTTGACAGTTGCCCAGACTCTGTGCCGATATACAGTCTCTCCAGGTACTTGTACGAACCGATCTATGAAAAAATGTTATCAGTTTCTCCATATTAAACTTTACACGGTTGGAATACACGTAAGGAAGCTAGAGGTCTGCGGTCCGTACACACTGAAGGGTGTTCAACAGCGTACAGTCGTCAAGCCTAAAGTGAACGTGTTTCAATGTGGCCGTCTGTTGAAGAAAGAAATCGTACACTGTCTCCGCTTAGGACGGTAGCACGGGGTTTGCATTGAATGGTAGTGTCGAGAGAAACCTACAACAGTTTAGTATAATCATATATGCGAAAATCCCGGGTCAAAGAATGCACCGAAAAGTATGCAGACGGTTCGGCGGAAAGTACGCTAATATCGCTTTTATCCTGCTGAGTTCCACAGGCTTCAACCATTCTCCGTGGTAGAAATGTTGATGTGGTTGGGTCTGGAATTCTGGAGTTTCTGGCGGCGGCAGGCTATCCATCAGCGTCAAGGATCTGGTCGCATCAACGCGCGCTTGAGCACCTGTATCCATGCAACGTTCGAATCGCGCAACCTCATGTTGATCAAATACGTTGATAGTAACCTTCCTATACAGTCGAGTTCTAGCGAGGTTGTACCACGCTCTTGAGGCAAGGCATAGAGCCTTGAGGTGTGAAGGCAGTCGGATCTGCCCAATTCAGCATAAGATCAATCTTAGACCGCTGCACCTACATAACCCACTAACAGAAGGTGTATATCCCCTGGCAAAGTCGGTGAGGTTGACATCGTCGCATACATTTGTTGGGTTGGTGGAGTGGAGAAAGGGAAACGTTCAGCGCCGCGGAGCGGGGCGGTCCATGACGCCAGGAGCGAAGCTGCCTCGTTTTGATCTTGGCACTCGAGTCAGGATTAGCTTTAACAACCCCTACAGACGGCATTTCGACATGCATCCGCTTCTTGCTTCTGCTCCAGTCAAACCGCAGATCTGCTTTCCAGCATGCAGACCAGTTTCCTTCTCACATCTACATCACACATGTTATCCGATACTCGCACGAATCATCGCAGGTTGATTTTGATAACTCAGCTATGTACAGTATCGCTTAATTTCTGAGCTTGTCAGGACTGGCCTGTGGCGCGCCCCATAATGCTATCGTTCCTCTTCATATCAATCTACTCCTCGGAAAGGACGTCCTTCTTCTCCTTCGGGGGCCTAAACCCACAGTACAAGCAGGTGTCCGGGTATCCCGTCCACGGGCTTCCCTTTACTGGTACACCACCATTTGCCGTCCACATGTTGACAGGCTGAGGGTTCTGCTTCGCCTTGGGGTTAACACCGACATCGATAGTAGCATAGAGGCCATCCTCGATGGTCTTGCCAATGAGCGAGATCTTCAGCACCGGATCGTCGCCGCCTTGCTTAGCCATGTTGAAGAGCGGATCTACTGCGTTGGTAGTGACGGCTTGCTTGTTGGTGTTGTAGGGAGAGGTCTTCTCGACTTGGCCTAGGAAGTTCTGTTCGATGTAGAACTGGCCGACGTGCGAGATTGTGCCTCCTTGAATGGTGTTGTTGGCAAGAAGCTTGGCGCCATGGTGGATGATGGCTGGGGATGTTAATATTGATGCATATGGAGGGGACGGAAGTGAAGCTTACTGTGGAGATGGTTTGTGCGGCCAACATAGTGTCCTGGAATCAAGGTGATGAAGGTGGCGGTGCCGTTGGCGCCTGTGGGCTGCACACCCCGAAGAGCATTGGTCTTGATAGCGGTGGCAGAGCCGTCGCCATTACCCTTTGCCTGAACACCAGTGTAAACACCAGTGGCGTTACTTCCCCACATCTCGACGTACGCATCGGTGACAGGCTTGCAAGATGAGGTGTCGATGATGTTGATGTCCAAGTGAGTGATAGCACCCTTTTCTCCTGTCAAAATATCCTGGCGGACGAGCTCACCAGTAACCCCTAGAGAGCTGTTAGCAAGCCTGTTTCATTGAGTGCCATTCTCTCCACCTACAGTAAGGGCCCTCAGTGGACTCAGGGTCGAGCGTGCATGCTGCCTCAGCACCGTAGCTTTCTTCGACTTCAGCAACGTCGCGGCGGACGAACTCATGTTCCTTTGCGAAACCTGCCGCGACCCGAAGCTCATGAAGCCTGGCCTCACGTCTTTGGTGCTGCTCTCGAACCCATCCAGTCTCAACGAGATCCCGTTTGCATGCCTGAACACTTCGACGGTTCGGATGGTCCAAATGAGCCTGCCTCCTCAAGATCTCCTTGTTGGTGTTGCCGCCAGGATGTGCGACGACACCGGTAGCTAGAAGGACGGCAGTAAGAGCCTGTGTGAACTGAACCATGATCGATTCTAAAGCTTTGTGAACGCGAGGAGTCCCAGGATAATCTCAGGATGCCATGCATTCGACCTTCTTATACATTTGGCTCGCTGCGCGGTGATGCGGCACTTCTGCAGGTGCTATCAATATCGTTCTGGGTCCACGCATCTGTGCTGTCGCCATTCTCGTCACCGCCCGGTCTAAACTGCGTTCCCTGTTGTTTGCTACTCTCCACAGATTATCTAGGATGAGGTCCATAATCAACATGGATGTGATAGGCAGCGGCAATTGCTCGCTTCAGTACACGCGCCGCAGCTATATTAGCGTTCATCTAGTGTCCGATCTTGGCAGCGGGGAGCTTGTCGTATGGCAGTCTTGGTGTGACTCCCTCGGACGTCGTGTGGCTAATGTCGACTGGTCGTATATTAACCGGAGGTTCTGCGCGTGGTGATCGGTAGTTGAATGCGGTGTAATACGTCCGTGTAGAGATCTAATTCTAGAACCATGACTCCAGAAATGCACAAGCGAGCATCTGTAAACATGTAGAGATACCTTCTGATTCGAGGTTAATCCGATGCTGTTGAATGCTGCGCATAGAGACCTTGATAGAAGATCGTGGGCCTACCTAGCCAGTCTCGGTTAAGCGAAAAGTGGGCGGTTGGGTTCTACTGGGGCTTACATGTACTATGGTATGTACAGTCGGGCGGCCAAGACACCATCTACGTATACTGTTGCATTAATGAAGACCGGTAGGATTCCAAGGTGGAGCAAATGACATGGCTTGTATTGTTCAGCACCAACAATGTCGTCGGACGGATCGGGTTCATGAAGCCGAATGTGCGTCTCATGTGCCTGGATGGATGCAGATCCTTGTTCCTGCGATATGTGACATGGTTTGCAGGCGTCACATTGCCTAAGAGTGGCATCCACAGACGGCTCGATCGTGCACTCACCTATGGAACGCGGAATTGTTTCCACGCGTTGTGCAAACTGGTACATGGCTGGAGGCAAATATTTCCAAATTTCCAAAGCCGAGTCTCGGTAGTTCATGTGTGATTGATGTTACTCTTCCTCATATCTTCACGCGCAGGATCGTTCGCTCCTTGATGTCGACGCAAATGTTGGCCTCATGTCACATTTTGGACGGTACTCTCCTCTTGTGGACGCTCTTCGTTCATCTTTCAGCACTCAGTGTAGAATCTGCTTTGTGGATACATGGCTAAACCCATATCAGTAGGCATGTAGCGCACCTTCAGCTGCAGGCGACTCAGTGGTCCAAGCCGTGAAAACGCGACCGGCAAAAATGCGCTGCAGGGAGGTTATGCAAGGTTCGAGTATCCAGAATCAAGAAAATTGATAAGGAACAAGATCGAAAAGAGGGTCGTGTTGGTAAGGTAGAGAATCAGGGCAGCAGAAATGCTATAGGTGTAGCGTTGTCAGATGTGACGCGTGTACAAGTAGACCATCAGCATTGGCAGCGGAACTTACATGAGAACTACGAAAGAAGGAAAATGCGACTGTTCCTGAGAAGAGAAAGTAACAGTAGAAGGATGTCGACCTAGTTCGATAACTCGCAGACCGGTCACGTCGCTCCCGCGCGCGGGCAGGTGGTGGCAGAACATCAGTACACCGCGACGTGGCTCCTCAGGCGTCGTTGCAGAGAAGGATTGACCTGAAGCTCCTGGCACGGACGTGACTGGCAGGTCTGCTACAGTTGAAGCTGGTAGCTGTACGTATAGCGACTTGAGTTAAGGTTTGTTCCTTCTTGGTGCTTTGAAGTCTGGAATGTTCTCCCTGCGCTAACAGCTGCGTTAGTCTCCATTGGTCCCCATCCGTATCTTCCGTGCTCCTGGCCGAAACACCAACCCTCTACGGCTGAAACCCACAACGCCAGGACAGCCCCGACACCAGCGTCTTGTGATGTTTGGTAGCGCTTCACACATACTCACGGTGGTGCGATCAACCCAGCGCCACACCTACGTAGCACATTGAACGAATTGCAATGCTATAGCAAGTCTGTACGGGGTGTGGCATTGCCGCACTCCCGGTGGTGTCAGCGTCTCATGCGCGCGAACTCAACTATAGTGGCGAAACGAGTTGGCGTCTGAGGGTGATGAAGGAACGACGAAACATCGCAATGCTTTTGCAAAACCAATCTAGGCATTCATGCTCGATAGTACTAACATTTCTTTACTTGACCGTTGTCACCCCAGCGTGTTCACACAAGCACACATCGAAATGGCGACCTTTCTCAATTCTCCGAACACACCTGCACCCGCACATACCTTCTACCATGATGATAGCGTATCTCGAAGCCACAAGGCGAACCTATCTGGCGCGACCATGTTGGATCTGTTGAGTGGTCCCGAAGGATCAATTGCTGCAGCCTATGAGACCTCCAGTGTGCATCAACGGTCTTCAAAATCGCGGCGACCTTCTCAAACATCTATTACCAAATCTCAATTGCGCCAAACGAATCGCACACTAGTCGAGATTATCCACAACGTCCATGCTGAGTTAGCAACTCAGCGAGAAGCCATGCTCGACATGCAGACGCGAATCGTTCAGCTCGAAGGCGCCTCGCAGATACAGACCCAAGACTTTGCCCCACGCCATACAATCGCCGGGCATCGCAAGCGGACTCAAATTCGAAACGCAGAGGGTGCTACCCGCGAGACACAAAGACGGTGGGATGCATTCCAGAAGGATGCCAATATGCTCGGTCCTCCCATTGTCGCGAACGAGTTTTGGAAATCACCTAGTCGTTTCTCTGGCTTCAACTTCAACTTTGACCTACTTGAGACAATACCAAAGTCTCTCCATCCTCCTCCAGATGTGGATGATGTTCCGGACCTTACACCGGACGAGCAGCCGGAAGCGTACACGCCAGGTCAACGTCGGATTCCTCCTAGGATCACCCGAATCAGGACAGCAGATCCGACTACCATGTACCACGACGCCGTGAGCGATATCCGAGAGCACGTCATCGAGTTCGACAAGATCAAGGTACCTGCACCACCGAAGCTTCAAACACCACCACGAAGTTCGCGTAGCAAATTGGCGTCGATGTACAGTCGAGACGACGAAATCACGGCATTGCCGCAGCTTCCTGTTGTGTCAACATCAGCCGTACACAGCTCACATCGCAGTCTTATGAGCATCAAGAGTTTGTTGTTATACAGAACCTCTTCGAGAAGTCAAAAATCCGACTACCCTCAGTCTGACCATCGGCGTTCCGGCTCTTCTCTGCGCTGCTAAGCACCAATCATACTGCAGTAACCCTTTAGGGGATGATGCTAGAATAAACATGTGCGAGCATGAGATTTTAGAACTATGGGCCCGAGCCGGCGATGTTTTCGTCTCTCTTTGGACGTATCGCGCCGTCACTAGAGTTTCGAGCCGCTCATCTACCTAGAGACTGAAGATGCGGCACCCGCATGAACTCAGTAGTGTGTTCTGTACATGGTCCATCACGAAAAGCTGTGCAGGGCCATGTGGCCACCATAGTAGCACCTATCTTTGCGCATTTATAAGCTTTGGACAGGTGGTAGGAGACCGGATGAGACAGAGCCGTATGGTGAAGACCTGGAGGCCAAGGGAGAGGGAATGACTTGACGACATTGCTAGAGGTTACGACCAAGATGTATATATCGCATTGCAAATGCCATTGAATTTTTTTCAGTGTTACCGTTGCTTGCGCAGACGTCGCCTACCACGTGCGTACCTAGGTGACATACCTCGGAGTTAAGGCGGCTTGGCATTTCTCGCGCTTTCCACACGCAAAACGTCATTACTCTTTTGCATATATCATCGCTCCGCCTCCCACCTTTCCAGCGACAACACCGCCAAGGTACACACCCACACACACAATGGCGTCCCTCTTACGGAGACCATTCGCCATCACGGCGACATTGCGACAAGTATCACCGAAATCACCACAAACCCTCACGATCCGCGCCTTCCACAACACGCCACTCAAGCAACATCCGCACTTCTTCCGACCCGCAAAGCCCACGGTTTCGACATCGCAAAATGTTTCAAAGTTCCAGCAAGCGTTCCGACGCAGATACCAACAGGCTGCCTACAACCCAGTGGCACAGGGCGACATGCGACAGCGTCTACTGTACGGCGCTGGTATCTTCGGCGCAACTCTACTAGGCATCAACTTTATCTTCAACCGCGAAACACGCGAGGATGGTGGCATGCCGCCATTCGAGCGCGAGTACCTCAACGACACCTTCATGCACACTGGCCTTGGTATTGGAATGATCGGTATCGCAGCCCGCGCTCTGCACATGAATGGATGGAGCTTCAGGCTTATGAGCGCAAACCCGTGGCTTGTGCTTGGTGTTGGTCTCGTTGGCAGTATCGGAACCATGTACGGCACCATGGCCACCTCGCCATCGAAGTAAGTATACGAATCGACATCGGCTCATAGATAAGTTCGCTAACAAAGTGCAGCTACGTCCAAAAGTACGCTCTCTGGACTGCCTTCAACGGTACCCAAGCTCTCCTCCTGTCACCACTCTTCTTCATGCATCCCGCCATCCTCGCACGCGCCGGTCTCTACACCGCTGGAATGATGGGCTCCATCGCTTTCGTCGGCGCCACTGCAAAGACAGACAAGTACCTCTACCTCGGTGGCCCTCTTCTCGCCGGTGTCGCAATTGTCGCTCTCTCCGGTCTCGCCCCGCTCGTCGTTCCCGCCACTGCTGCCCGCACACTCATGTTCACCGAGAACATCTGGCTGTACGGAGGTCTTGCCGTCTTCGGTGGCTTCACCCTGTACGATGTGCAGAAGGTGCTGAACCACGCGCGCCAGGCTGAACGAGGACTGATTCCCAAGGATCCTGTTAATGAGTCCATCTCGCTTGAGTTGGACTTTATCAACATCTTCATCCGCATGGTGCAGATCTTGGGCATGAGCCAGAACAGGAGGAAGTAAAGATAGACCAAGAGGATTGTGTCAGGGATATTGCAAGCTTGTTTGGGAGGTCCTGCTCCTTCTTCGTTCATCGTTGAATATGCTATAAGTTTTGACTGTAGCTGTATATTACTCCTCTCTTTGTTCTTCTGGTCATTGTTAGATACTACAAATGAGCAAAAACAATCGAAATAAACTTAATCACATGGCACTTTCCGATGTCCTGCGTCTTTGTCGTTCATCGCACTCGATTACATGTATTCCTGCCTGATTGTATCTGGTCAGAAAACTTTTTATCTCGAATTTTTCTGCGTAGCTTCTCTATCTCCAAAGTACTTCGCAACCAATCCCTCCAAACCCGAGATCAGTCGTACAGCATGAAATATGACGAAGATGGACTTATTGAAGTAGACCTGACAGCCCTGACACAAAAACAGAAGAAAAAACAAATGCTTTAACTCCATTACCCACATCATCGACCTCTATATCCAGTCTACAGATCTTAGCTGTAGATATATGGATGAAGTTAGATTTGCTGCTGGGACTCAATACTGTGAATGGGTTCTCGCCTGTTTTTACCTTTGTCAGGAACAGAAACAGTTCGGATTAATTGTCAGGCCTGGCTGACGATATATACTATCCTGCACCCTGATCAGTAGTTCACTGATCATACGTACCTTTTTGGTTGCATGGCGTAGTGGTGCAGGGCTGCGTTCCTGACATTAATCACAGCGACTTCAATAACGAACAACATGAAAGAGCATGCTCAGGATTTTTCTCTCTGTGTAAGAGATTTAGGCTATTTGCACGATTTTACGATAGAAGTGAGGTCTGTGTGCGTGATCACAAGGAAATGAGTATACATCCGTAGATCAAGATCAGATCGAATATGATCCATCTAGCTCGCAATTGGAGGGAACTGCGACGTCGAGATTGGTGGAGTAATTTCTATGTCAGCTTACGTTCTCGATACAACAAAGTTTTTCTCCATTGTAGCATTATAGATGCAGAGTGTCCTTGTCGTAACCATTTCCTTTCACTTTAAGGTAAATTGCGCTCGGAGCTTGCCAACATTGCACCCAGAATCGTTTCGCAGAACTCTAGTAGCTGTTCTTGAATTTCTGCATACCGTGGCTCCGCAAGTGTCTCGCGCCATTCCTGTATCATCTCAACTATACGCCCCCAGTAATCTTTGTTACATGGGGTAGAACCATTGAGCATCTGGGGCGCAGACGCAGCACCAGTACTTAACATTCGCATTGTGATTTTTATATCTTGCAAAGGATCGAGGAACATGTTTTGACCGGATTCGGGGTCCATCCATACTTCCCAGGGGGTAGTATTCGTCCCTTCGTTGACCAGGAAGATGCTGGCATTTGGATCGCATCCGGAAGCTATGAGAAGGCTTATCATAGGCTCAATTTCGGAAAAACCTTCAACTTCCTCCGGTTGTATCACAGGTATTATCATAGAGTGATATAGCAAGTTGAATCTTTGGGCTGAATCATGGTAGCGCAATCTCTGACGAGTATTGAAGTTCTCCACATCCTGTTTCCGGACACAAGTCGTCAAACCAATCTCAACTGCTAGTAAAAGAACCGCGTCATCCAAAGATAGATCGTGCTGGAAAGGGCCAAATATAGGCAGGTTTTGGTCATCCCTCGGCCGCAAAAGTGCGAAAGCGTAACGATTCAGGACGCGGGGCAGGTTCGATGGCGAGCTCTTCTTTACTAAACCGATGAAGTCGAGATTATGAAACATGATTTCGTCGGCGTTAGTGACCGGATACGTCTCGAGAAACAATTTGTAACATCCCATATAAGCCAAAACGGTGGCGGCATCGAACTGGTGGTCTTTGATCTGCAAGCAGTCCATTGTCCAAGCATCTGCGGTATCAAGAAATTCAAACACTGTACGGTGCATGAAGTCAACATAGAAGCCATCAAAAGAGTTCTCGTAGATCTCCACAAGTCCCTTACACCGACTACGCAAACGACCTTCCAGCATCGCGCATTTCCTTTTTTGTTCATCAAGCGAGTGTGGGATGAAAACGTCCAATGCGTCAATGTCCATATCTTTCTCATGGGCCCATGCTAGTGCGAAACTTGTGAGCTTTTCTTCGATATGCCTCAGAGAGTAGTAGGTGTAGCAAACCCGCAGAATTTTAGCGGCCTGTTGAAGAAAGCGAGAATCAAGGCTATTGAGGATGTGACGGAACAGATCATCGAGTTCTGGTGGTAGCTCTTCGATCCGGCGCTGAAGTTCTTCAACACTGTCGCAAGCCGCAAAGCCCTCTAGCAGCGTGCGACATGCAAGTACGACCCATAAGAATACACCATCTGCTTTGCGCCTTATATCATTCACCAACCCTTCCACAGCGGTGTCAGTCAGATAGTTGTATTCGAAAGCATAAGGTCGCGACCGCACGACATCGTTGATGTACTTTTCGATGTCTGGCTTTGTGAGATCCTGAAGTCTCAGCCTGGGTGCCGAAGAGAGCGCTGCGACGCAAGTATCGATAGGTCTGCTCGAAACTAGTATCTTCATATTTGCGCTGGTGGCGAGGCTTTTAACAAACGATATTCCGTCCCGGTGGTTGCCAGTGAATTCGTCGAGACCATCGATGAGAAAAGCAAAAGCTCCAGCGGTGGTCTCAGCACCGAGTCTTTGAAATGCAGCTCTCATTTCGACATCTGTAGGAACTTGTAGATCGACGACGCCATTTTGCGCTTCTTGCCACGTATGCGGGAGGATCGTAGGAATTAGTGTTGAATTTTCTTTGAGAACATGGTATAATAGCCCTCGAGCAAGTCCTTGCTGTGAGCTTTGCTCAGTGGAGCCAATGTTCCACAGGAAGAACGGAGCTACGGTCAGCTTCCTATCTCCTGCCCACTCCTGCAGTAAGTCCATGACATCCGGGTGGTTGTACAAATATTTCATCAAGGTAGACTTTCCGCTGCCCGGTTTACCAGATATCCAGTAAATCTTACATCCTGATCGTAACCACTCTCCCAGATCACTCCGCGCGTCACCGGGGACTGGGGGATGAATGGCCCATTCAAAGGTTTTGGAATGAGCTTCGGCGATGTTGTCTTTTCTGTCATCGATCAAGCGAAACCAAAGACGGTCGAGGATCAATTGAGCGCATTTTTTATCGATGGTTCGCTTCGTGACTTCGACAAGATTGTTACTATCTTCCAACGACGCTGCTAAGATAGCCTTGAGCTTGCGAACGTCGTTTAGTTGCTCAACTTCGTCTCTCAATCCGGTGTGAACAACATCTAATCCTGTCTGAGGTGGTATGACCTTGTCGAGGTCCGCGATGAGATCCGATAGCTTCTGAACAAGACATTCAAACTGTTCTTTATCTTTGATGACCCATTTGATCTTACTAAAACTGGAGTGGGTATGCTCGTCGTTGTCCGTTGAGGGCTGGATTGATGACTGGGGACCGCGCCACAGTTGGAGGCTCAGCGATTTCTGCCGAAAGCGAGACATCAATCTGCCACTTACAGCTGATGAAGAGGCGAGTCTCTCCTTTACTCCAATCGGCCTGACACCATAGCGTTGCTGTAGTGATTGGCTGTCTTGAAGAAGCTGACGAATACACGAGAGTCCTTGCTCTACAAGGGGTCCGACGGTCGGATCATCCAGTCGCGTATCGCGAGATGTGCTGTCGAAAAGATCCAGTCTGTTCGCCCATTGCAGCAGCAGGGTTCTTTGGAAGTCGAGTCTTGTTGCAAGTAGAACATAGTCCTTCTCCATAGACTTCGCCCCGCCGATTTGAGACAAAAGCGCTACACAGTCCTGAAACACTCCGACGAGTGCAAATGTTCCGATCGCAAGGCCAGCTGCTTCCATAGCTGAAGCTTTACGGATCCCGTGAAGGAAAATTCTTTCTCGCTGAAAATAAAGGTCTAATGCTGGTGCGCTGCGAGATGAATTGGGCCGAAGGATTGCTTGAGAATCCGTCGCCAACTTCACAATTTAACCATATAGATCTGTTGAGACTGTGCCACTCCCGAAGGAAGCGCTCCGCAACCTGAGCCTGCAAAACAGACCCACATCTGCGCGTGCCAGCAGCATCACCTTCGCCTACTGGCTGTATATATGCAGCGAATTTACTTGCGCTTCTTTTAGTGATAGCCACAAAGATCACGCAGATACGCTCCCGTCTATTCCAAGACCTACATGTCGGGTCCCCGGTTTCCGCGGCCCATCCGTTCCTGTGCTAGAGCTACCTAGGTAGGTAGGCTGAGCTTTCGCCAACACATGAGCGGCAGCCTACCCTCACAACCGATGAGCCTCGCGACATCAGCCATGTCGAAAATATCCTGATGAAAAGCTGTACTGACGTACTAGTGGTTGCCTGTACGATAACGCAGAGATGCATCTGGTGAAAGTAACTGGGAAGTTTGGAGTGCCGCAGCACAAACCCCCCGTTCGCGACGCGAGTCAATCGTGCCGATGAGCTAGCTGAGCTGTGGCGCCGTGTGGCTGAAAACAAATCAATCTAGCTCAAAACAGCACAGGATGTCCCTGACCCCGTCAAAATCCACCTGCATCAGCCAAACCACAAGGCCACTGATGCGTATCACTACTTACCAGATTCTCAAACGTTGGAAACATCGCTACCATACACTAAACACATGCCATCGGTAGATTCACCCAACATCTGCACACCCATCACCTCACCCAGACACTCATGCACCACTAATCTCCGGTATACCTAGTCAGGCATACTCAACGATCGGACCATTGCTACTCCGACATGACTCGAGCCCCGAGCAAGGCCTCCAGTGTCCACCCAATTGCAGTAGTCCGATCTGGGCGATCTGGGCGATCTTGGTATGAGCACGTGTGGAGAGAAGGAGTACATGCTGCATGTGTGGAGGTGTGAGCTTTATGAGGCTCTGTTCCGTGTTATTGTGGGGCACGCGTGGAGGAAGGATGTGGAGGGTGTGAAGCCTGTGTCACGAAATGAGCCGGAGGGGTTCTGCGTCATTAAGACATAGTGTTTAGGTATCATTCACGTCACCAGGAAATCACGAGAAAGAGGAAGCAAGAAAGGTTTACTGTTTGACGGTGATGTTCATTCATCATATCTCATGGTCGCAATGACCTGTTTGGTATCATCAATTCGGGTTCAACCCAGCGGCTCGCGCCGCGCACACGCTTTCTGCACTGCAGATAAGAGCAAGTCGAGAACTACGCTCAAGCCTTCTCGTTGTGGTTTGAACCATCAACGACTTCAACTGCCTTAGCACCGTCCTTCTCGCTATGCATGCTACCGGACTCAATGTCCTTGGCAGGCTCAATGTTGGCACCGATAGGACCAGCCTCCTCAAAGTGGCGACCCTTCTTCTCAGGTCCAAGAGCAGTGGTGACAGCAATGCCGATAGCGATAATCGCAGTGGCAACACCCATAACGGGTCCGTAAGCGGGAGACTGCTCACCCTTGGCGGTGCTGATCATAGTGGCTTCAGCGACAGCGTTGACGATCTGAGCAGAGGGCGAGGAGATCATGTTTCCAAGTTGGTAGGTGATACCGACGAAGGAGGAACGGAAGGCAGGTGGTGAAAGCTCGCTCAAGTGGATGGGAATGACACCCCAAGCACCTTGGACGAAGAACTGGATCATGAAGCCGGATGCAGATAGACCACCCTCAGTAGTGGGGAGAATCCAAGCGGGGATGAGGCAACCGGAGATGAGGGCAGCGCAGACAATCATGCGGCGACGACCAAACCATTGCGAGGTGTATCCGAGAATGGTACCACCAACGCAGGCACCGGTCTTCATGAGAATAGAAGCACGGGTGGCACCTGCAGGGCTGAGATGCTTCTGCTCCTTCATGAAAGTGGTGTAGCTGTCCTGGCTAGTGTGGGAGTAGTAGTTGAACTATTCTGAAGTTAACAGTGGTTCATGCATACAATGATCGGTGGCTGAACATACCCAGGTCATGAGGATAATGCAGTAGACACACATCTTCCACTCCTTGCGAAGCATCTGCTTTGTCTCGACCCAGAAAGCTCCAGGCGCATTCTTGTGGCCAGCCTTCTTTGCCTCGAGGAACTGTTTCGACTCAGGGAAGCATACGCGAATGAAGCCGACAGCAATCGAGAAACCAGCACCGACCCAGAAGACAGTCTTCCAGGTGTTGGTCGCCCCACCGACGCCCAAGTTGGCGCAAGCGGCAAGGACGTAACCAAATGAGTAACCTTGCTGCAAGATTCCACTCATCAAACCACGAGCGTTGGTACTGCATATATTAGTATTCGAATTCCATTTATACAACTCGAATGTACTTACGGGCAGTTCTCAAGCGCCATGGAGATAGCGTTTCCGTAAACACCTCCCATGAAGAGGCCGAAGAGGCTTCGTACAGCCAGGAACTGCTGGAAAGTTCCGGCGTAAATGGTAGCAACTTGAAGAAGACCAAGGATGATCATGTTGAGGACCATGGGCCACTTTCGGCCGAACTTGTCTCCAGCCACACCAAACATAGCAGCGCCGACAGAGCGGAGAAGTAGTGTCAGAGTGATAGCAGTGGAGATGGCAGTGTTGGATGTGTCGTAGTAATCGGCAAGCTTGGTTGTCTGGATCGACAAGGCATGGAAGTCGAACGCATCGGCAGTCCATGCAAGGAATCCGACAAGGAAGTATAGCCAATCCTTCCAGCCTAGCTGGGCGAACAGACTGATGGGGTTCTTGAGAGGCTCCGGCCTCTGCCACTCGCAGTGCTCCTCACCGTAGTCATTGCGAACGACTACACGTTGGTCCCAAGTAAACAAATCCTTGAGGGCCTGTTTGGCGGTAGGAATGATACCCTTCGCCAATGGGTCTGCGGGGCGGTTGGTGCTCGTCATGATGTTGAAGGTACCTTGAGTTGAGCTTGAAGGCAATGAGAATGTTTAAAGACTGCCCTGTAGATGTAGGCGCAAGTCCGATCGCACTGCTGATTTCAAGATCGGAGACGGGGGAGCCAAATATATACCTACGTTCCTTCTGGCTGATCAGGATGCCTCGTAACGATACTATCAGCTCCCATGTCAGTCATCCGCTGAGTCTTGATGCGGGCCAAGACACGCCAAGTCCGTCCATGCAGTCGTTGTTGGACGATGTGCAGTGAATGTAACCATCTCCAGCATGCCAAGATCACTACTACGCACTAAGCATTCCGGTGGACCAGGTTAGCGCAAAAGCGCAAGTGAGAAAACAGAACATGTTCCGGGGTCGGATCGGACGTATCAGTGCATTCTCTTAGAGCGGAGGAAAGAAGTGGGTGTGACGATCCTACCACGCCTTTAACATCTTCCCCATGGGGTCTGCTTTTCGAAATTCCCGCAACGTGGTAACTTTCCAACCACAGATTGTGCGACCACACCATAATGAATTGCGCAGGTGTACACAGTAGCACCAAAACCCGTTCTGTGCTTGTGTCCGACCAAGCTCCGGTAAGCGCTGGAGAAGCTTATCGCTCGACTTGCTCGCAAAGAAGCTTCAAGCCAGTGAAGCAGCCACAAAACTTGGCGACTGACCCCGCAGTGAAGAATTATGCCGCCGCGGCTACCGAAGCTTTGTCGCCTCGTTGTAAGCCAAGAGGGAAAACGGCACATACGATGGCCAAGATGCTTCGTCGTCAGCCGAGCTTCCTTGAGTGGGCTTCTTTCGACGCCCATCCTTTGTTCGTCGCGACGTGTGACAACGTCCCAGCGCCGAAACTTGAGCTATTGCTGATAATCGCCAAAGATGAATGTGGTCAGGTTGGTGGTTTGAACTGCTTTTTGCGTTATCTCCAAACTAAGCACTGGTGCAAGGCCCGATGGTTCGGCTTGCGGTCCATGGAGTGTTTCGCGCACGCGGCTGGGTGAAAAGCAAGCGTGCACGAGACTGTGAAAGTGAGCGGAGACAAAGAGGCCTTGGCGGTATAAGTGTGTCTGTTAACATGACCTGACTTATCCCTGCCAACGCGCGAAAAGGACAAATTTGGTTTGGGGAACGGTAGGGATTGGGTGAATGATTGAGAGGTGTGGGGATGACGGGTGAGGCGATAATGTTTGGACGGGGGAAGGTGCGCCTCCGCGTCGCTCGCTAAATCCTACACACCACCAAGCCTCCGATTTCAAACGCCGACCGGAGAACACTTACTCGTGAATAATCTTGGAAGTGATCATAATTGCATAATACTGTATCCACTATTGTGGCCTGAGGCAAGGCGTGCGCCCATGGAGGTATCGTGGCCGCGTTTCTCCACGGCATGTTGTTTCAGTCCCGACTTTTTGGCTGCGCGCGCCGAGGTTGTGCCTGAAATTACCCTACATAATAGTACAATCTCGTATGAACTACCGCTACCCTAGCGGGAAGATTTGCATAGCTCGAACGGATGCAAGCCATAAACCCATCCTCACCGGAGAAGCTGCAATCGCCAAGTTGCTGGAAAGATATGGGCGTGGCTAATTCTGAAACGGCTGCATCCACTCGCGCTCCGATTAGACAACCTGGTCTCTACCGCTCTAGCCTCCCAAGAATCTAGGCACAACGGGGATATGGGGGAGGCGAAAATACCGAACACGGATCCTTGAGCGACACCAATCACACGTCGTGCGAATCCACCCGGTAGCTGCTGGCCCTGCATATGCGGCTCTGGTTCTAATGTGGCAACTGCTTCTAACCGCGGCCGCAAATCCATGCGCTCATGCGGGTGCGGATCGCTGAACTCTCTCTTGGATGCATCCCGGAAACACTTCTTCTGGGCGATATCTTTTCGACTGGATAGGGCAAGACAAGCGTTGGCATGGAGGAATTGAGGGTTTACACGGAAGAGCTGAAGGCGCTGAGGAGAGTATGATGGATGTATGATGGCTATTGAATGCAGCTATCCGATGGTGGCTTGAGAGGCACTTCGATAACGCCGATCTGTTGAGGTCACGACTGAGTCAACTTCACTAGCATTGAATTACATGTTAAGGAAAGAAGGTGTTGATTTGTCGCGGGGACGTACCGAGCGGTCACTGGAGAACAGGTTTGTTCCTCGCAGGGCTAACCTATCATGCCAGACCTGATTATTCAACTACACGACTAACGGGTTACAATATTCGAACAGACGCTTGTGATCATTCGATGGGTGCCTCCTCGATGATGCTTGTCATTCGTGCGCACTGGTCTTCTGCTTCTTAGCCGCTTGACCAATCTTAAGAATTTTACTACGCTGTTCATTCTGCTTTGCCTGTATTTTGGTAGCAACGAATATCCCATCTGGGTTGGCGACGATGCTTTGCATACCAGTGCCACCCAATAAACTATTGCACCTAGTTTTCGACACAGTAAACAGTTCTATGATCCTATACATACGATGTTGGAACGTCCAGTTGCTTGTCCACCGAGCCGACTCTCAGAGCACTTCGTCAAATGAGTGCAGTACAGAAGGTCCGAAGCGATGCATACGTTCCGCGAGGTCTACAACCGTCCAACATAGAATTAACTTATCTAGAGGCAGGTAGTAATCAAGTCCGGTCAAGGGATTAACAAACCAACGCTTCTTGAAAGCTTCGTCTTCTTTGCCTTGGATATTTGTAATGTTGTTGACGGCGTTGAGAAGCAGCTGGGCCCACTGCTGCCGGTCTTGACATGTTGCTGGAAGCGTCGCATCATTGATCGGACAGCACCAGTTGCTCGGCGGCATGGCAGCCATAGCTTCATCGTGAGCTCCGAAGACATCTGACGGGTGAGCGGCCTGCGCAGAGGCTGGTTGGCTATGACGACCTGGTGCTGGTACGGTCATATTCTGTTGAACACCGTGCCAAGGTGCGAACGTCGTTATTGTAGCTGGCACAGTGTGACAGATGATGGTATGCGGACCCATGTTGAAGTTATTTTGTTGATTGGGGTAGTCATAGGTCACTGAATTAATGGAAAGCGCGCCCATTTCCGGATGCATTCTGGAAGGAGGGTGTAGACCATGTTGATCATCCCATGCGTTCTGCTGCTGCTGATGATACTGCTGCTGCTGTTCTGGGAGTATCATTGTTGGAATTGTAGGTGAGCTTTACTTAGCTACAGTGCTGTGGTCTGCAGGGACTAGGTTGCGTGTAATGACGATGGAAGTTGACAGGATCTAAACTAGAAACAAAAGACCATTTTACGAAGAGATGCAAGTGCTGTGAATGCACGCTTTGAAATTTTAAAAAGAACCGTCGTGTGTGGGATGGAAGTAGAAGAGTGTGAGCTTGTGAGACATCAGCACCCTCGAGTGGTGAATGTGCAGCGCTGTTTTCACCTCTGGAACATAAGAGAAATGCGAAACCGTGACGGGTGCGAGCGATTACTAGGGATCGTAAGACAAATTAAAACGCTTCGATCAAGGCGAGACATCACTCACGATAGTGGCGTGAGTCAGGCGTTCCAATATGATGTTTGGTGGCTGTGCAGCACTGGAAGTGAAAAGGTAGGTTGCAGACAGAAAGTGCCGGTGGTACCTAGGTAGCGCGAAGCACATACCACCAACGGTGACTTGTTAATGACGTGAGGCGTAGACTATCGGGCCGGAAACATCGACCTCTTTCCAACACCAACACATAACGGTAGCTCGTAAGAGCCGCGTCGACGACTGAACAAGCGTACATGGCAATGCATTCACCGCCAAAGGAATCACTTGTGATGCTTCGGCGCAAGACGGCTACGCGATCTATAAACCCGTGATGGAGGTCGGAGAGCACGTCTTCACACAGGATGGACGGTTGTATAAGAAGATGTGATAGGTCATGCAATTTACTACAAATACATGAAGAGACTAGAGCTGAGAGAGACTAATCGGCCGACCCACTCCATCCATCGAACGAACAGTAAGTGTAGGGAAGTAGATGATGAAAGATACGACAACAAAAAGGTAGGGTAACCAAGCCCATAGATAATACGTTCCGCTACTCATTCTGATTCTACATCACCCCTCTCTTCTTCTTCCTCCTCGTCCCCACTCTCGTTTTCGTCAAACTTCTCAACCTTCCTCTTCTTCTTCACAATTAGATTACCTTCAACGAGATTATGCTGCCTGGTTCGATTTTGCTTGTAATTACTCTTCGTCTGTGTACATAGCAACGACGCCGTCGCAACCACCATCTCCAACCCGTCAAGCTTTAGCAGACTGCCACATCTAGCCTTGCTCATACGCATCAACTCACACACCTTATCAATACGCTCGCTGAACTTCAAACCCCGAAACTTGTACACGTTCTTCAGTTTAGCCCGATCGTAGACATTGAGGCAAATAGGACCACGCGTATGTAAGTCAATGGCAATGGAGAGGAGTTTCCAGCAGATCGTGGTGATCTGAGCTGGTGTGATAGGGGAGGTGGGAGGGTTGGGGGACAGGGTCTCCCAGTGGGAATCGAAGTTGGCGACGGTGGCGCGGTCGATACACTGGGTTATGTCAACGTAGGCGTCGTATGTTTGGCGGATATAGGACTTACGGGCTGCCTGGTCTCGAGGAAAGCTGTTGTCGTCGGCTGGGGGAATGTAGTTGTGAGGTACAAAACGGGTGGCTGCTGCTTGTCGAACTTCCGCGAAGCTGGCGAATTGCATGGCTTGGGGTGCGGCTGCGGCGATGGGGCGAGGTGCTTGCGCTGGTACTTGCGGAGAAGCAGAAATGTGTGCTTGTGGTGCTCCAGATGCCTTCTTCTGCTTCTTGTCGCCGCTTGACTCATTGGAAGGTTTCTTGTCGGCAGCCATTGGGCGTGATGAAGTTGCTGTTCGAAGTACAGGAATCTGATATCGTAACTCGCCTTGTCGTTCTGTAGGGATTGGCACTGTCAGATGCGACGTTGTCGACTGTCGTGTCGTCTCTAGCTGTTGTGATATACCCTGCAGCCGACCACGTGATGGTGACTCTTGCTCCACCAACGGTGCTTGAGTCTGAACACGAGGCTGCTGCATGGGTTGCGGTGATGCAATCAGTTGTTGTAAGCAACCCCGTGGTGTTTGTGGCTGATGAGACTGCTGAGACCATGGCTGTGGCTGTTGCTCGTGGACGCTTTGCTCTTGGAGCAATCCATACAGGCCTGGGAAGGGGAAGATATTAGCATTGAGGGTCTCATAATCTATTTCATCGACGTTGAAGTCATCAAGATTGGTATCTTGCGCATTGATGGCGGCGAGGATATCGGGGATAACGTTACTCATGAGCGCATCGTCCAGTCCGCGATTACTCTCCTCCATGTCCGTACAATTAAACTCATAGAAAGTATCCACTGCATGCTCGCTGACCTTCCCAACATACTCTGGATCCTGAGTTTGTTGAGACATGTCGTAGTTGATGGTGTACGGTTCCGGTTGTGATCTCGTTATGGTCGTGCTGAATCATGATCCCACACGAGTTGAGAAGCAAAGGCTCAAGTACCGAAAAGTAAGGTGACACTGTGAGGCACCTTTCGGGGGGGCTGTGGAACATTGTGGTGAAATCGTCGCCCTACATCCGTTCTCAATACGTGAAGTCGCTGAGGAATGGGCGCTTCGCTAGTGTGAATGCATGAACTAGGTAGCACTCCAGTCATCCTCACGTCATTTTCATACCGCTGATGAACAGAGAGGTGTAATTTATATCGAGATGGGGTTCGTAGATTGGAAATATTGAATATAACGATTGACATAGCTACAACGATCATGACTGAATGACAATAACGTAACAGTTGGAAGCTTTGTGATTTGCCATAGCGCAGTGGAAAGAGAACGAGTGTGATGGACGCGAACATCCTGTATACATTTCATGACATGGGAAACGTCCTTGTTCGCGTTATAACTGTGAGGTTTGCGATCGAAGTCGGAAAAACATCGTTTTGATCAAGGGACAAGCTTGTAATCCAGGAATGAGCGGCAAAGAGATCTCCGGAGTGGTCCGCAAAAAGAGACCCTAAGGCTCTTCTGAGGACTTGTCGAACTAGTTGGCGCTTTCAGTATCGTTCCAGAGCATCCAGATTCCAGATAGTAATGGATAACGAAAGGCTAGTACCGTCGACCAGCTCTCACAAGAGCATCAGAGTCCCTTCTTGCGGACCACTCCGGTGTTCTCCTTGCAATCTATTCTGGAAAGGCCTATCAAAAGGTGGCAGTGGCAAGTCTGGTGGTGATGGACTGAACATTGTGGGTTCCAGCGAATAGAGGGTGGTCGAAGAAGCCCATATGCTCGAGCGCATCGCGAACAGCATTGAACAAATTCTCTCCCGCATCTATAGAGATGGCTCCCACGACGGCTTCAAATGTATTGGCCACCATGTCTTTAGATGGGGTGCGCATGCCCAAGTTCTTGATGATCAGCTTGTCCAGTTGAAGGCTGAAGCCACGCTCAGCAAACTTCTCGTTGCTGGTCAGATCGTTTCTCATTTGAGTCCAAGCTTCGAGGCTGTGGCGATCGCCTGTCATTGTTAGTACCAAGTTATATTGGGCGATCTAGTGAGAAATTACCGTTGTGGTCGCGCGCTTCGTACCACATCTTGACCAACACCGCATTGATGACAGCATCTCCAACCAACTCAAGGTCTCTGTTCTTATTGACAAAGTGGATAACACCCGCAACGCGGAGGGGGCAATTGGGTTCTTTCATTTGCAGCGATTCTGCACATAGCAGCTTGTTCTTGAAGATAATTCCAGTGATGGCTTCCACGCCCTGGATGAGGCTGTCGACGTTATTCATGGCTTTGAAGTCCTTTCTTGATGCTGTACTGCGTAGTTTTTGACACTGGTGAGTTTAATTTATGAGAAAAGACCTGCTATCAGTAACAGAGACACGGCTTTATCGTTATCTGGATTTTGCTGCCTGGCTGTGGATCTGTTACAAGGCTCCACGGCGACTGCGCCTCACCGGAAAACTCTGTGTAACCACTTGGGTAGAGGTTGCGCTGGCATAAGCGCAAGGCTTATGGCCCCCAGGATAAGCATTGTTGCCAGAAACCTGCTCATGTATGAAATGATTGGTTATGGAGGACGGTCACAGGAGTCACCGCTGCGTCCTTAAATACTGCGGCAGGCTGACCGTGACAGATGGAGGGATATCGGATTGATTGCTACGAACAAAGAGTTATGTAAAGTGACGAAAACTAGAAACGAGTGCAATGATGGGTGGAATCCGCTGTGGTTGATCACGTCTACCTCCATGACTTGCCAGATGCCAAGAAATGCGATGTTATGATCAGCTAACCTCCAGGCTTGCGTTGTGCATCAGCCTGGTTAGTGAACGTCGGCTGAGCTTTTGTAAGGCTTCCATACGATTGCCTACATGTCTGATGTAGGGGTGCAGTTCTGCTGCATGCATTAAAAACCATACGCAGGCGCTGCTTTGATGGAGGCGCAGTAGACTCCAAGAGCACAGGCTGGTAGATCCAAGCGGATGCGGCACAGCTGCGTCTGGAATCTACCAGTCGACACATCGCCAAATTTTTGAACTAACAAATAGGCACTCGGGAACGTCTTTTCCTTGCGGAGACCCAAACGTAGTGAGAAGCAAAACAACTCGCCAGCCTTTCGTTAAGAGAATTTGGTGTTGCCTCGTTTGGCAGAATCCGGAGGCAAGTGGGCCGAGATCTAGAAGCTTGCACATTAGTTCATAGAGAGTTGTACTGCTCAAGGTGAGAAGTGGAGAGTTTGAGACATTCCTGTGCGGAGTGGATGGTCGAAGGAATCAAGAGACTTCATGACGCGCTGGACAGCCCCATGTCCATTATCGTGATGGACTGCACCAATGACAGCTTCGAATGTCGTAGCGACCATTTTGGGTCGGACAGCAGGCTTGCTGTCAGCCACGATGACGCATCTATCAAGGCCAGCCTGATATCCTTGGCGAACCAGCGCATCGTTGCTCAGTGTGCCGTTGCGCAGTTCTGTTCCTGGCTCATTGCGCTTGAGGAAGCACTCGGCCTGTGATCGTCAGTACCCCGCAACGCACTTGAGGAGAGGGCGTTCTTCACCACTTGAGTTGTGGGCTTCAAACCAGGCACCGCAAAGCACCTTAGCGAGAATCGCATTGCCTAAGACGGATAGCCTTTTGTTGCTACCCAAACCAGTGGAATCGAAAGTGCTGTGCTGTATGGCGGCGATCTTGGGAGCTGCCATTTGAACAGCCTCTGCCGTGATGCGCTTATCTGAAAAGTTGTAATTAATTAGTTCTTCGACTTCAAGAGCCTTCGTTTCAATAACAGGAGGCAGCGTGGGTTGATAAATTTGATAGGTTTGGTAGATTTGATAGAGTTGATAGAACTGATCTGTGTTGATAGATTGACGAGAGGCGAGACGAGAGTTGTGTTGGTTAAGAAGTGAGTTTCGCATGAAGATAGTCAAATTTCCTTGTGAAGTGAGCACGTGCTGCAGGTGCTGCAGGGGCTTAGCAACTTGCATCATGATACAAGGTGCGGTAATGCAGTCGGGGACTATCAGGTTGTCGCCAACATCTGCCTTGCGTTCAGTCACACGTTTCCAATGAGATCTCCACGGCAGCGTCACCAATGCCGTGGGAACGCCTTTCCCTGCGCAATGATCGCATCTAGACCTGGGCGTGCCGAATCCCGTTCCTGATTAACAACGGCGCTACGCCAGTCTTCTAGCTTCTTTCTAGTTAGTGCCACTCTACGTCATACCAACAACCCACGAAAACAGGCATCATGGGGTCTTTGCCAAGAGGAATTGAACGTTAAGAAACTGGGCGCGCCAGTAGGTAGACACATTCGTTACTTTTGCTATCCGATTAACCGGTCCGCGGAAGTAGCACCGACACGGATCCCCCGGAAAGACCAACCGCAAGGGCCTAGTCAACATGGCAGAAGAGATGGTGGTGCGCGGCCCTGCAGATGTCCTTTCAACTGTGCACCCTGCTGATTTGCGATTCTTAATACATAGGAACTTGGTTTTGAGGGTCTTGATAAGTTTACCGACAAGTATTGGGACAAAACCTACGACCATCTACCAGCAATTCCGAGGACAGCGAAGCAGAAGCGCAAGCTAGAAGAACAACAACGGCGATATTTGGAGAAAACGCACGGTCAAGCACCACAAGACGGGCCGTACCCGCCTCGAAATCATCCTTCACGACACCCTGACAAGGGGTACACTTCGTCTCGTTCTGTTGCACCGGAAAGCGTAAACAGCTACAAGTCGGACGCAGAAATGTACGCTCCAGATAGCAGGCAAGACCGTCATGGGCGAGAGGACCGATACTACGAGACCGAGCAGAACGGTTACAGAGCGCCAGGACCAGGGTTCAAAGTCCCACAAGGTCGCGACGGACCGAGTGATACACGCGGCATGCAGGTAGCAGTGCGCTCTAGTCCGAACAGCATATAAGTCCCGAGCTAACGGACAACAGCCATATCAGGAACAACCCCAGCCTGATTACGGTCCACAAAGCGCATATGGAGGTGCCCGTGGGCGACTAGGACAACAGCGGAGAGGCTCATCGTGGTCTCCCCCACGCTCCCAGCGACAGGGCCGATCAAAATCACGACGTCGTCGGTCAAACTCACGCTCGCGTTCCCGTTCGAACGACATGAAGAGCCGGCTGATTGCAACCGTCGGCGGCGCGTTAGTGGGCGGCATAGCCGGCAATCGAGCAACTAAAGGGAAAAAGTACGATACCGTTGGGACCATTGTCGGAGCCATCATAGGCGGCGTTGGTGCCAAAGAGGCCGCGGGCCATTGGGATGACCGAAAAAGGAAGAAAGAACAGCAGAGAAACGGGGACCATGAGGAAGACTCGGATGACAGCAAGCGCAGAAGCGATCGCAGGAGAGACGACAGATATGACCGTGACGATAGATACGACCGCGATGACAGATACGACCGAGATGATCGAAGGAGATACTAGATATGCTTCACGGCGGTGGACCCAGGCTGACAGCTTACGTGGGACTACATGGGACTTTTTTGGGACTGGCGTCCGGCTTGCGCAACATTTGTTAGGGTCGAAAATTTCCGCGCTCGGGTATGAAGTGATGATGGCGCAACCTGGGACACGATACCTTTGTAGGATTTTAACGAAAAAAATGGATGACATGCAGGAGGTGTAATTGTTTGTTGCGGGAATGACGTGCGACGGGCGTGCCTTGTCTGCGACATGATCTGATGCGAAGGGGAGGGGCCACGCGACGGTGGGAGTTCACAGGAGGCGCCAGGGGTAGGTTGTCGGTGCGGTGGTGGGCTGGCGTTCGTAATAATAGCCGATACACGAGGCACATCTCTATGCTTTTTGCCGGGAAAGAAATTCCAGAAGACTTCTAGAGGGTGTGGACATGTTTTAAACACAATGGATGCGGTGAAGAGGTACATGTGTCGCAGCTTGAATGGAGACGACGAGAGGTACGGTTGAGCTCGGTGTGTGTTAACTATGCCTGTCCGTGCCCGCGGTTTCGAGAAGTCTAGTAGAAGGTTAGACCGATCCACCGCGTTGCGGGACCAAGCCTCGTCCCGCAGTCTATCCATCATCTCTCCGAGCACCACGCTTCAGTCACAAGAAATTATACACTACACAGAAGCCAGCGCACACCGGCCGGCCCACTGCAGGTTCCCGAGCTTCCTTGTCAGAGCTCTCTGCCCACCCTGCTGCAGCATTGCTCAATCATTGTGCCACCGCCCGCCGCGCTTCGTCTGCATCCCGCTCCTTCGCCGAGCAACCATCTAGCTAGCAACACAGAGACCCTCGACGAGCTGCATCGCGCATACACACGCACCACCATGAGCTGGTGACTGCCCGACCAAACCATCGCCCCTTCCCCACCACGCACGAGCTCCATCCCTAACCGTCTGACACCTGCCCCTCGCGACTGCCCGACCGGGACGTTTGCCTCTGGTGTCGCTGCTGGCCACCCACACAACGATGCGCAGATACAGACCTGGAGGAGGCCCGGTGAGGGCTCATGGCGGCGTGCCAGTGCCCGATCCCTTTGCCATGGTGCGCGCATACGATAGCGACTCGAATCCCGCCAGGCCCATACGACCCTCCCCGCTGGCCGCCTCGACTATTCAGGGTCTACCGCTAGATCTGCTCGACCGCCTGCGCTCTTTCCCGCTGTTCCAGGCAGCCCCCGACTCCTTCCTCACCCAGGTCGGCTTGCATCTCAAGCCGCAGCTATACCAGCCCCATGACACAATTCTTACAGAGGGCGAGACGGGCAAGGCCATGTACTGGCTGGTCCGCGGTGCTGTGCGCGTGACATCGCGGGACCAAGAGAGCACATACGCAGAGCTAAAGCCCGGTGCTTTCTTTGGCGAAATTGGCATTCTCATGGACATTCCCCGCACCGCCACCATCATAGCCAACATGCGCTCGCTCGTGGTACGCCTGAACAAGGAGGACCTCATGAAGGAGCTACCGGCATTCCCAGAAGTGGAAGTCGCCATCATGCACGAAGCGCAGGAGCGACTGGCCATTTTGCAGCGCAAGAAATCCGAATTGGGAGGCAAGCGCCCCGCCATACCCATGCGCCAGATCACGGGCAAGCGTGACCGTGACGATGGCGATGTAGTCATGGCAGAGAGCGGTACTCTGCGCGAAGGCGAGGTCAATGCCTTCAAGAAGAGGAAATCTCCTAGCCCGGGTCTCGCTGAAGCCATAGCCAATAGTGCCTTTGGAAGCGGCAACATACACGTGAGACCGCTGCTTAAGGAACTGCCTCTCTTCTCCGAGCTGCCCGACGACATCCTCCACTTCATTGGCATGCGCGCGCAACCCTGTTCGTTTGACCCTTTCACCGACATAATCAAACAGGGCACACAGGGACGTGATGTTTTCTTCATCGTGAAAGGCGAAGTCGAGGTCATCAACATGAACGTACCTGAGCAGAACGGCTACACTTCACCGAACCAGGGACGCCGGAAATCCATCGCAGCGGGCGAGCAACATTTCCAGGAAGTAAAGGCCCGATTGAAGCCTGGGCAGTACTTTGGCGAAGTCGTCAGTCTCTCGCTTGCGCCACGCCGCACGGCTACGGTCCGCTCCGTGTCGGCCGTTGAGTGTTTGATGATTAGTGGCGACACTTTGAACCAGCTCTGGGAGAAATGTACTCCTGACGTACGTCGGCAGGTTGAATCCGTCGCAAAAGAGCGGCTACAGACCGCCAAGGACGATGATGTACACATGCTCGACGCGAATAGTACACCCAATATCCACGACCTAGCCATAGCAGACCATGTAATACCCCGTACACCACGACGCAAGAAGAGTGTGCCCACGGTCACCTTCAATGACACCATCGGTATTGATAACCCGGTGACACCCACCCGGAGAGACGAGAAGATGATGGAACCATTCGACCCAGACCCATTTCTTAACGTCGACCTTGACAATGTCAGATCAAGATCTAGAAGAGGATCGCTCGCCCCACCTCCACCAGGGTCGATACCCGACTCGCCATCTAGTCCAGCTAAGACCGACTTCCCAAAATCACCATCGCCTGGTGGATCACCCCTTTCCCCGTCACCATCATTCACAATAGCGAAGCATGCATCCACTCCACCAGAAATGCCCTTTGACTTCAAGCGCCCACGACTCGTCAACAGGCCAAGCAGATACGGAAGAGGCAGATTACCAGATCCAGTGCTTACAAAAGTTCTTGCAAACCTAGACATACACCAGCTTATGAAGTTGCGCGCAATATCTTCGCATTGGAACAAGCTGATATCGGAGTCGCCGCACATTCTCCATGACCTTGACCTTACCAAGTACAACCGCAAAGTTACGGACCGATCGCTAGTAGACATAATATGTCCGTTTGTAGGCAGCCGACCAAGATATGTCAACATCAGCAACTGCTTCCATGTTACCGATGAGGGCTTCGCCGAGCTAGCAAAGACATGCGGACCTAGCGTTAGGATTTGGCGCATGAAGAGTGTATGGGACATCACTGGACCAGCTGTACTGGAGATGGTGCAGAAAGCCAAAGGTCTCGAAGAGGTCGATCTCAGCAATTGCAGGAAAGTAGGTGACAACCTACTTGCTCGAGTGATTGGATGGGTGGTCCCTGAGATGCCACCCCAGATGGCAATGGCACATGCGCAACATCAAGCTCAAATAAACGGTCGTCGGCAAGGAAAAGGTGGCAACCAGCCTGCGTCGCAACCATTACCGCCTGGTACCGTCGTCGGATGCCCAAAGTTGCGACGTTTAACATTGAGCTACTGCAAGCATATCACTGATCGAAGCATGGCGCACATCGCCGTCCACGCTGCAAACCGCATCGAAAGCATCGACTTAACAAGATGCACAACCATCACCGATGTCGGCTTCCAACACTGGAGTGTATACCCGTTCCCGCGGCTCACTAAGCTCGTTCTTGCAGATTGCACATATCTTACTGACAACGCGATTGTGTATCTTACGAACGCAGCGAAGGGACTAAAGGAACTGGATCTCGTAAGTTGACTATCTTACCCATAGTAATAAACATGAACATCCTTGCTAATTATAGTACAGTCATTCTGTTGCGCCCTTTCCGACACTGCAACCGAAGTCCTCGCTCTGGGTCTCCCCTCGCTAACCCACCTCAACCTCGCCTTCTGCGGCTCCGCCGTCTCAGATACCTCCCTCCGTTGCATCTCATTGCACCTCCTCGAACTGCGAAACCTTTCCGTTCGAGGCTGTGTCCGCGTAACGGGTACAGGTGTGGAAGCTGTTGTAGAGGGATGTCGCGATCTCGAACGCTTTGATGTTAGTCAGTGCAAGAATTTAGGTAGGTGGATTGAAGCGGGGGGTGTGGAAAGTGTGAAGCAGAGGGGCAGGAATGTCAAGTTTGTTTGTGTTAGCGATGGGCGGTGGAGAGATGGGAAGGGGAATGTGCGGCAGTGATAATATGTGACCATGTGTGGTTGGGGAAGACGGCATGTTGTATGGATACGATGTAAACGGTCTATGTTAGAAGAATTCGGAGACGGGAAGCATTGGGCTTGGATATGTGTGTCTGGGTGGCCGGGTTTCGCATCTAGGGAAGATACCAGGCTTTTTTTGTTCGGTGTATTAGCGATGTATTGAATTCTTAGATCTCTTTGCTCATATCGGTGGTTTCTTGTATGATGTTTTTTTCCTTCTTCGTCGTGTTGTACGGCGAGGATACGCGAACGCTTCCAGGGACCAGGTTCGCTGCTCGCTCCAGCATTTTGTGAGATCTCGGCTTTAGCTTTGTTGGGATTAGTTCGGCTTGGGCTACATTGGACGACGTCTCTCACCTTCTCCAGTTAACAACCCACACTTTCCACGACAAGCTGTTTTCCTAAGACGTCAACAATCATGATGGCGTTTGATGCAGCTCACGTATCAAGGTAAGCACTACCCATTCCGCCTCTAGCAAGTTACTCACGAACTCGACGACAGTATGTTGGATGAAGCTCATCGTCTCACACGCCAGCGTGCATTCCTCCGAGGCGAGGCGCGCAAATACGTCGATGATTGGGCAAGGTCATCGTGCCTCGAACTTTGCACGCAGATGCAAGCACGACTGCCCCGCGAGCTACGGAATCTTGTCTATGCACATCTGTGGAAACAAAACGAGTACTTCAGCGTCGCCCTCGACAAGCTTTCAGAGTGGTTCGATACACACGTCCTAGATGTTACCTTCTTGGGTCAAAAAACCCTCGTCGAGTTGGCAGAAGAATGGTATCACAACTGTGTATTTGGCTTGGACCATTATTCTGATATGGTTAATTTCCTCGAATCCGCAAAAGACTTCTGGGGCTTGCCTGATCTTGATCTGACTCTTCATGTACGCAAAGTCAGCGTTCCTGCCCAACCTTCATTCGCATTCGATGGGCTAGTGTTGCTACCGAGGCGTTGGGAAATGGTGGTCAAGCTGCAGAAACTGGCTACGCTCACGATCGATGTGGGACATAGCGGATGGCTTTCTGGGATGTGGTTTGAGGTTGATCGATTATTGAAGGAGCTTTTCCCCGTGTTGAAAGTCTTGATTGGTGCTGGTGTCAAGGTTACCATTTGCGATGATTCTTCCAGCAAACGTGTTGGCACGGAACATCTCGATATCGAGTCCTGGGATAAATTGGTCGAATAATTATTGTTATACTGCATAGATGAGCATTGGATGCTGGTCGAAGAACTGCCGACATATGCAGGCCTTGGTTTAAACGCGAGCTCGAATCATTCGTACGTTTAGTCAGTCGACGAACGCATTCATATTTGCAACATCATGCGACGATGGATATGGAAGAGAGCTAACAGAGTACAGAAACACCGTGTGGTCTTTCCAATAGGTTCATTTGATTAGTGATAGGGCTGGATAATTTTGCCCACTATTGTGATCTCAAGAAAGGAGAGGATAGATAATGTCTCTGAGACACGTGTTAGGGTAAACTACAGCCACGAAGCGAGGTCCGTTGCTCTTGCACCTTCATGAGAACCCTACCTCTGTTGGGATTAGTTTGGACTGAAGCTTGGGATACACTGGCAGCTCTTGGATCCTGTCTCTCACCTCACAACAACAGCTTCAGTGTAAGCAGATCGATCGCAGATCTTGTTCGTGCAGCGGGGACTACTGACAGAAAAGACTGATCGATTGTCGTACAGCACTGAAGTTACTCTACACAAAGAAGAGTTGCTCGTCCACGATGTCAACGACCATGATCAAGTTCGACCCTGCCCGGCTATGGAAGTGAGTGATATAGTATCTCCCTGTCTTCTAGCGGCGACTAACTTTCAACAGTAAGCTCGAAAACACACCTCGACCGCAAAAAGAGACAGACCAGTATTCAAAGACTGTTGCGCATCCGAAACTCTCTACATCTGTTCCGAGATGCAGCGCCTGCTACCTCGCGAACTACGAGATATGGTTTACGTAGTCATATTTGGTAAACCTGGGGAGTACGACATCCGCTTCAAGTCAGACAACCATAATTACAACGCATGCACAATTCCCGATTCCTGGTGGCATTACCTTTGCGATCCAGTCTTCCTTGACCAGGAAACATTAACCGAGTTGGCACATACATGGTATCGACAAAATATGTTCCTGATCAACCAAGACTTCAACGTAGCTTGTCTCTTCACTTCTAGCTTTCGTGTCTGGGATTTGGCTCATCTTGATTTAGTTCGAAGCATACGCCACGTATGCTTTGATCTTTGCCCCAAGGTCCAATGGATGGAGACTAAAGACAGCACCATAGAGGGGAAAGCAGACGTTCGTTTGCCATCAGACTTTGAGCAGCTTGCGAACCTGCAGCCACCGGCTACCGTCACGATTAGGATAAACTCTCGACATTGGTACTACCATGGCGAGACCGGTGATGAATGGAAGGCTTCGATTGGTCTGCTATCGGAAAGGGTGTTCCCTTTGTTGAAGCAGCTGAAAGCGACTGGCGTGAGGATCGCCATTAAAGTCGGTTGTGTAGGTCCCGCGAAGGTGGAGATGGAACATCTCAACAGTAAGGGTTGGTCGGGTCTGGTTCGAGAAACCAGGAGCCACCAACTCGAATAGACTCATGGGGAGAGTCTGACAGTGCGGAGTAAAAAAGATGATTTTCTCGGCACAACTACAGCGAACGCATTATGAGAAATGGCCCAAGCGGCTCCAGAGAACAGTTCAAGGGAAATTCAAAACTAAAGGTGGTAATGGATCTGACATACTCTTGAGTGCAGCTACATGGGTCATATAGCACAATGGTCTAGGTTCACGGATGGCAAGGCCGATTGGTTGTCGCATGGTCTTGGTGTCTCATGCGTGGGACAGGGTGTGCGAGAGCATATCCCAGATTAGCCGTTGACTGCCACGACATATCAAAGTGCATGAAGTGTACAGACATAATCCAAGACTTTACATGAATCTTCGCTTTCATTCTCATACTTCCTAATCTTGTATTCTGTGGTAGATCAGAACAGGTATGTCGGCGTGGATCTGCAATACACGCATCTCGTCCTTCGTCCGCGTTCCTTCGCATTTTTGTTTGGTCGCAGTGCCGCGTGGCAGAGCTTTGGCACCGCCCGCCTCGATACGCATGTATTGCGCCTTGGGTCGCTGGGCATTGTTGAGTCTGGAAGATAGGTTGGCCGTCGCCTCTTCATCCAAATCGCTTGCCGTATCCCTTGACCACACCATCCAGTATAGTACGCATCCTCTTACACCCCTCAATGCCAACCGCCAGCATACCCTCTAACCTCTCCATCCTGACTCTGCTCTCCATGATACACACCGCAACGCTATCGCTCTCCCCCAGCGTCCCCACCGTCAAGAAGGGCAACTCCAACTCCTCTTGGTTATTAAGATCTAACAACGGATCATCAGCACTCGCATTATCCGCCGCCGACGCACTCGCAGAACTCGCCGCTGTACAAGCAACCAAATAATCCGTCATGGGTATACCCGCATCGATAAGCGCCAGCGTACTCGCATTAATACACGCCGCCAACAAACTCCCATCCTGACTAATGATATGCACATTCAAGGTGATGGTCGAATGTGGGTACAAATGCAGTAGCAACACGCCTCCAAATGCCTCGCGTAGACAATGCTCCATCTCACTTGTCCGCTTATCGCTCTTCCTCTTTCTGCGCTCTACACCGCTGAAGCCAGCGAAATTTATCTCGACTTCCACTTTGGCGAGCTTGTCTGCGCCGCCGCGTTGTCCGCTTTGCTTGCCTTCTGCGGGACCAGTGACGGAAACGAGGATCTTGGTGTTGCCCATTTCGAGATATGAGGAGCCGTCCGCGGCAGCTTGTGTGGAGATTTGCGCGTGGATTCGCCGGAGTTCATTCCAGCGGCGGCCGTCGAGGCGGAGGAGCGCGAGGGAGTAGGTGCTGGTGTCTAGTGGCATCTTGGATGGTGTTGTCCCAGAAAGTAGAAGGTGTTGTATATTGCGCGACGCAGTTGGCTGGTTCGTGGTTTCGACTTTTGGGCAAGGCAGACGTTTGTAGAGCGTGCAATTGCGCGCGACGATGCGGGCGTCAAGGCTCGAGCTCCAGATTTTGGCTGGAAGTTCTTGCAGGGATGTTCTGCTAGCCGTGCCCCGCTTTCACGTGAGAGCGTGTTAGCGTGTTTTGAGAGATGCTGGGGTCGATGGCGCTTCCATCACCCTCCACTTCTTGCCGTGTCAATCGCTGCAGATCATGACGGTGCATGGACACCCGATACGGTTCTTGTCAAGCGCTGGTTCAGTGAACAGTTGAGCAATCACGCAGGACTCACGAGCTTCCATTACCCGCCTCAACCATCATGTCTCCCAGTCGCGACAAGTCGAAGCATCATCAACAAGCGTTGAGAGCCTTTGCGGAGAGTGGTGAAAATGAAGATGAAGATGACGGTCTCGATATTATTGAATCATCGCGCAAAGGTTTGGATCTCTCACAGTATATTGACGGTCAGTCGATGCTTCTCCCACCCTTGACAAGGTGCTAAGACTTGATAGTTCTCACTCAAAGCCAGACACAGTCGCAGAGGGTAGCAGAGGGGAATGTAGACGACAAAGGAGAAGGAGGTGCGCGAAAGCCGGCAGCGTCACGAAGCAGAGATCTTGCTAGTTCTGGTACCGACGATGCTGGTTCAGAGTCTGAGCTAGCCGATGAATTCGATAGTGGTGCTGCCTGGAAGGGCTGGACGGAGCGTAAAAGTGACAAGCGCAAGCGCGTCGCCGCTGAAACCAATAGGATTCGCGCTGAGAAGAAGAGCAAAGTAGCGGCCACCTCAAGTATCGTGGGTCGCAAACCCCCACCCAAGAAGCAAACAGGTCATGGTCCGACGGGATTTAGCACCGACTCCCTCGCTGAGGAAGCGGGCACCACACCCACTTTCCTCGACGATCCGATCCCTGATTATGTCATATCGCGACAACAGTCACTCAAGAAGTTGCATGAAGCTGGCCTGCGATATCCTCCCAGCTATCGAGATGTTGATTTCTCCGGTGTCGCCGACACCGAAGAGAAGCCACAACTTCACAAGGACATCCTGCCGCAGCGCGAGAAGAAAGACATCCGACTCCGTGAGTCGCATGGTGTCATACCCGCGCCCATTGCTCAATGGCTGCGCGACTACCAGGTCGAAGGTGTTCAATTCCTTCATGACAAGTTCGTCAAACAAACAGGTGCCATATTGGGCGATGACATGGGTTTGGGCAAGACCATTCAAGTGATTGCATTTCTCACAGCAGCTTTTGGTAAGAAGGGCACTGAGCGCGATGCAAAGTGTATGCGGATGATCCGTCGCCTTGGCGATGATCATTGGTATCCGCGAGTTCTGATCGTCTGCCCCGGTACGCTGATGCAAAACTGGGAAGACGAGCTGTCAAAGTGGGGCTGGTGGGAAGTCTCCAAGTACCATGGCTCTAGCGCGGCAGATCGGAGAGGCGTACTTGGTGCAGCTGCGAAAGGGATGTTGGAGATTATGATCACAACATACACGACATACCGCAATCACGAGAGCGAGATCAACATGATCAATTGGGATTGTGTGATTGCTGACGAATGTCATCAAGTCAAGAGCAAGAATGCTGAGATCACCAAAGTAATGAATAAGATCAATGCTCTATGTCGCATTGGTCTAACAGGTACCGCAATCCAAAATAAATATGAAGAAATCTGGAACCTGCTCAACTGGGCGCGACCTGGTGCATACGGCTCAGCTCAAGAGTGGAAGCAGAAGATCAGTCTTCCGCTGAAGCTAGGCCAGGCCCATGATGCCACCAATGCTCAACTCGCCGATTCGCGAAGCAAAGCCCAGGACCTCGTTCAGAACATCCTACCCAGTGTCTTCCTTCGGCGTATGAAGACGCTTATCGCGGATCAGCTACCGAAGAAGAGCGACCGCATCATATTCTGCCAACTTACGGAGACACAAGCCGATGCATATCGAACATTCCTCGAAAGTGATAGGTGCGAGTACATACGCACTGCACGCGAAGAATGCGATTGTGGATCTGGAAAAGGCAGGGGATATTGCTGCCACGTCGAGTTTGAGGGTGAGAAGTGGTCAAGTTACATCTTCCCCTGCATGATGACATTCCAGAAACTTGCGAATCATCTGGCTTTGATAGTACCGATGTCGAGCGAAAACCAAGAAAAGCAAGCCAAAGACCTCGAAACACTGGAGATAGCTTGTCCAAGCACATTCAGAAAACTTTATGAGATCCGCGACAATATCTTGGTACAGTCCCAGCGAGAGTTTTGCGGTAAGTGGAAGGTGCTGCGGCGACTACTCGACTTCTGGTACTCGAACGGCGACAAGGTCCTGATCTTCTCACACTCGGTTCGGCTATTGAGACTGCTAAGAGGGCTCTTTGATGTCGACGGTACAAAGTACAACTTCTCGTACCTCGATGGCAGCATGAAGTATGAAGATCGTTCTCAGGCCGTTGCAGACTTCAATGCAGATCCGAACCAGTTCGTCTTCTTAATCAGCACCAAGGCGGGAGGAGTTGGTCTAAACATCACGTCTGCGAACAAGGTCGTTGTAATGGATCCGCACTGGAATCCAGCATACGATCTCCAAGCACAAGACCGTGCTTACCGTATCGGCCAAACACGAAACGTCGAGGTCTTCCGACTGGTCTCAAGTGGGACTATCGAAGAAGTGGTATACGCCCGTCAGATCTATAAGCAACAACAAGCGAACATTGGCTACAACGCTTCAGAGGAACGTCGATACTTTAAAGGCGTAATGGACCAATCCACTAAAAAAGGCGAATTGTTTGGTCTAGAAAACCTCTTTACCTTCCAAGAGCACAGCGTCCTACTCCGCGACATCATGCACAAAACCAACGTCGCAGAATCAAAAGCCGGTGTCAACGCTTACGACTTCCACGTCGACGAATCGCAATTCGATTCTGAAGACGAGGATATCCTCTCAAACAAGAATCTCGGCCTTGATGACGACGCTAATATCGCCGGCATCAAGAAGTTCGCTGACTCGTTCCTTTCATCGACTGGCAAAGGCAAGAAGAAAGTCACAAACCGCAACGGACCTGATCCGATTAACGCGATCCTTGCAAAGGCTGGCGTGCAATACACACACGAGAACTCTGAGGTCATCGGTCGCAGCGAAATGGAAGCCCGACTAGGTAAACGAGCCATGGAAGTACGCAACGACGTCGATCTAGGAAATGAACGCGTGTTCCAGGGCACACAGTCGCAATCTCAATCACAGCACCACTCTAACCTACAGGACGACGAAGAACCCCAAGATGAAGATGACGATGACGATGTCCACATCACGGCCAGTGCAACAAAAGGTGAATTCAAGATCAACTACCGCTACAGGCCCAATGAACGTGTGCGGAAACGTCAGTTTTGCAGTATGGCGGAGAGTATGGGTTATGATGATCCGGTGGAGTTTGCGTTGCTTGTTGAGGGGAGCAGTCAGGAGGAGAGGAGGAAGATGCTTGAGCGGTTCTATCGCGGGAGAAGGAGGCAGATGATGGGGGAGGTTGGGACGCCGAAGTAGGATGGATGGCGTTTTGGGTGTCGGGTATTATCGTGTTGCAGAGATATGGGGAGATATGGCGAGTTAGATACCCGTTAAGATTCGAGGCAATGTTATGTTGTCTGTTTGTAGTTGTTGTGTTACGTCGCACCTTCCAACATTGGCTCGCTAACCCCACTTCTATGCCCTAGGGACAAGCTTATCGGTAGCACTAGATTGCCACTTCTTCACAACATCACACCCTCTACATCCAAAGCGCAAACATCTTCAACAAAGTCATTACCAAAGATATGAGGCACGAAGGTTCCTCGAAAAGCGCCAGAAGCGTAGTGCCGCTAGCTTGCTAACTCTATGGACCGTGTTGTACTATTCTTACAGTTTCTTTTCCTTTCAATGATTTATGCTATCTTCCTTCGCTATTCCGTCTCACATACTCACAATCTCACGTACCTTCTTCTTGAATCCGCTATTCTTTGATCCAGACCCGAGTTTCCAAGCATTTGCCAAGTGGCGGCTAGCTTGACATGATTAGACCGTCCAGCGGAGTCGCGTCATCGACGCGCTTCATCCCCAGCACGGCGCACCGGGCCTAACAAAGTGCTACTCAATCTTCTATCGGCATTGCGCGCGGTACATGACTTTAGATGTAGGTACTAGCGTACTGGCTCTTTTGGCATATCCGATGTGTTTGGCAGGAAGAAGCTGCTGGCGTTTGCGAGCTGAGCGGATCGTCTGAAAAAGGAACGATTGGTTGCGCGCACGCATCACAAAAAACGACCTCTTGCGTTGAAACAGTGCCTAATATTGCGCAAAACAAAGCTCCTAACTTCTTGGAAACAATAAACGCACTGTCAAGAGAAGCAAGATCTGCGCTATCGTCAGAAGACGTTCCGACTCTTGCACCACTGCCGACCTCCGAGCCAAGATTCAGCTACGTGGATGCAAGCATTCATTACCATCGCATACGGCGGGGAACAGTGTGTAGCATGGCGGCGTAATCTCTAAATCGGATCAAGGACGTCCTCCCTGACCTGTTGAGATAGAAGCCAGAGAAGTGGTTGAGTCAGGACACGACAAAAGCTAGCAGATATTTAACCTGGCTCTGGGCTCTGACTAGCAGTGCGCGGGTGCCTACCAGAAAACAGTGAGTACCTCCGCAGTGGAATGACAGTAGTTACATTGCTAACAAAACTAGCATTGCGATGGCGGAGATGGCGGGGATGGCCTTGATACCAACGTTGTACCGGAAGCACGGCTAAAGAATTACACCGAGATACGAGAATACCGCGCCAAACATCATGACGAGACTCCAAATCTTCACCGACGATTTAATTGCGAAGAGGAAGGATATTACTTGCCTGCTCTTCGACTACCTCGGTCCAGCTAATAATCAACAGGAGCACACATCCTGCAGCGATTATTACCCTGATGGAGACACCAAGATTTGTTTACCGGTATGTGGCACACACTCGGATCGGATGTTTTTCAGATACCGTCGGTGTTGTGAATTGTGAGTATCGAGTCATTGCAAAGCGCGGAATGTGGAGATACATGTCATTCACCAGCATGCGCAATTTTTCATCTCCTCACATGACAACTGGACTACCAGCTCGAAAGGGTGTGTCGAACCGTTCGTTATATGTCATTAGTATCCGTAGTGTGGCCGTACATCCAATCACCAATTTGCCGGACCAGCATTATACCCCGACCCACGTTTTCCCCACACTGCACTCCACACACATCGTCTTGGCAATCGTCGGCTCCAACTCAAGGCATCTCGACTGCGCCAAGCCTGGAGGGAGGCTAGTTGTTAGCACATGTCCCAAGCCAACGGTCCATCCGAAGTTTCCCCAAGTAGACACAAGGCTTCATATTTCCTCGGATGTGGCGCACATGATGGCGAAGCATCGTGACGGGGTACGTGAAGCCAGAGTACAAATACCTGGTACGTATCCGTCTACCGAGTGGTCAGTAGCATTCGACTACATCTTCCACCCTTGGCCTAAACTCATACAACCGTCAAGATGGTCGCTCGCAACCGCAGTCAGCGCAAGCTGAACACCTTCACAACGCTGTTCTTCGCTGCAACAGCAATGTCAACAGCCATTCGCATCCCGGCTTCAAGTCGTTCGACATACCCACGGATGACATCACGGTCAACAGAGATGGACTCTGCACCCTACCGAGATGCATCGTTATCGGTGGATGAGCGTGTGGAGGATCTTATCCAACGCATGAACATGGAAGAGAAGGCCGGACAGCTCTTCCAGCAAATCACCTTCCAAGGTCCGAACGGAACCTTGGCAAACACAACCGCACCAGTAGTCCAAGGATTGCATATGACGCATTTCAACCTTAATGGTGCGGTCACTGATGTACGCGCGACTGCGCAATGGTACAACAATCTCCAGCAACTGGCCTTGGACACCAGGCTCGGTATCCCAATCACGCTCTCCACAGATCCTCGACACACATTCGTTGATGCCACTGGCAGCCAGATCGCGGCGGTCAAGTTCTCGCAATGGCCAGGCAGCTTAGGATTGGCAGCGATCCGAGATGCTGAGCTCGTCCACACTTTTGCGGATATTGCACGACAAGAGTACAAGGCTGTTGGCATCAGGTCCGCTCTACACCCTCAGATCGATGTGGCAACCGAACCCAGGTGGGCCAGAATTACCACCACGATGGGAGAGAATGCTACCTTGACCGCTGAGCTTGTCGTTGCTTACATCAAGGGTTTCCACGGCCCTGGTGAGTTTGGCAAGGACTCGGTCACCACCGTATCGAAGCATTTCCCCGGAAGTGGACCCGTCGAAGATGGTGAGGACAGCCACTTCACTTACGGCAAGAACGCTACATATCCCGGAAACAACTTTGAACACCATCTCATTCCCTTCAAGGCGGCTATCGCAGCTGGCGGGAGGCAAATCATGCCTTACTACTCGAGGCCCATGGGTACCAAGTACGAGGAGGTGGCTGCTGGTATGAACAAGGGTATTGTCACCGACCTTCTCCGTGGGGAGCTCGGTTTCGAAGGCATTGTAGTCAGCGACTGGGGTCTCATCACCGACGGTATCATCGCCGGACAAGACATGCCCGCTCGTGCCTGGGGCGCTGAGAACCTGACCGAGCTCGAACGTGCCGAGAAGATTTTGAACGCTGGCACCGACCAAATGGGCGGCGAGCAACGTACCGACCTCATTCTCGAGCTGGTAGAGAAGGGCATCGTAAGCGAAGAGCGAATCAACACGTCGGTCCGCCGTCTGCTCCGGGAAAAGTTCATCCTCGGCCTCTTCGACAACCCCTTTGTCGATATTGACGAAGCCGTCGCCACCGTCGGACAGCCAGACTGGGTCGCCACCGGCTACGAAGCGCAGAAGAAGTCCATCACGCTACTCACAAACAAAGACCACACGCTCCCGCTCAAGGCGTCTGACTGCACCAAGGCGAAATTCTACGTCGAAGGCATCAACGCCACGTACCTCGAGTCGCGCGACCTAACCGTCGTGTCCACCCCCGAGGAAGCAGACTACGCCTTCCTCCGCATGGCCGCCCCGTACGAACCGCGTCCCGGTGGTTTCGAAAAGAACTACCACTCCGGCTCCCTCGAGTACAACAGCACTGAGAAGGCGCGCCAAGCAGCCATCTACTCTGCTGTCCCCACCATCGTCGACGTCTTCCTTGACCGCCCTGGTGCTTTCCCTGAAATCGCTGAGCAAGCGCAGGCCCTCATGGTCAACTTTGGTACTAGTCCCGAGGCGTTCCTCGACGTGGTGTTTGGCAAGGATGGGTCAGGACCGGAGGGTATGCTGCCATTTGATCTTCCGAGGAGTGATGAGGCAGTTGAGGCTAGCAGGGAGGATGTGCCGTTTGATACTGAGAACCCTGTCTTTAAATTCGGACATGGTCTCAGGTATGAGTAGATGAGATCAGCCTAATTAGACGATGATGTGATGAGATTCGTCGCTAGAGTCATGATAGCTTAATGTATTTGGTGATACCCACGATCTCTGTCTTGTGTTTTGGTTGCGCGAACATGCTATCTATCGAGCTATTATCTGTTGCGATTGATTGAAACAGTTTCTGTCGTGATGTTACAAAGATTCGGGACGAAATGCGGATGTCGCGCTGCATGTGAGGGGGTCTTTTCAGAATGACGTACAAGTGGAAGACTGCGTCGCTGGGCGGCGGAACAGAGTGATTCATGTAGTGTATTAGGTTAGCAGACCGCCCTCGCTCAATACGCTTCGACGTTGATCACAATAACCTTCTCTATCAACCTCCGACAATGTACATTTTCGCAAGTGGTGGAAAGTCGGTCTCTTAACTAGATAAGCTACCGAGTGCTAAGGTTATAGTCGAGCTTTCGCTTGTACTGGTGACTGAGATTAGTAGGTATATCGAGGCTAGGGTTATTAATGGACAACATGATAGAGCGAATAATATCAAGAACAGATTTTGAACTTCTAGTAATCCTGAACATAAACAATCAGTGAAAAGACTTCCAATATCATCATCGCTATCTAACTGACTGATCGCGTGGCATTAACAAGATGGTACTAGCCGCTCCAGTGGATGTCATTTGGGTCGTCCCGCGAGTTAACTTTACCATGGGTGTAAGACCGTGTACCCCGATATTCTGGCGGGCAGTTCAAGTCCTTGTTCTTCCTCGATTCCGCGCCAGGATCACATCCAATCGGATTCCACGCCGGCTCACAATCGTCAACCTCGATCCATTCCGTTAGCGCGTTACGCACAACTGTGTTGAAGCAATGGTCCCACAGACAGGCCGTATACGGAGCTATCCTATTCTCTTTCCATCCATAGATCTTGGAGATTTCCTTCTTGAAACTTTCTTCTCTACCGCCGCCTCTGATGTTATAGTCGTTGAGAAACGGTCGGCTCACGTAATCCATAACGGTACCTGACTGCGCTACTTCATCGCAAGTGTAAGACTTCTTGTCGGTCTCGTGATCCCACTCGAGCGTCAATTTCAGTAGCGACTGCACCGGTCCTCCGTTGATGGGGAATGCGATCATGACTTGGCTTGCCACGCTGCAGAAGGCGAGAGGTCTGTCACCACCGCCGCTCGAAAACTTGATCCATCGGCAGTTGCTCGGAACCTCGGTCATTTTCTGGAATGTTCTGGCCATCATGCGGTACTGTTCGTATATTAGTCGTTGAATTCGGACTTTCAAATATGGTTACATTTACCGTCAGGTCCTCAAGCCCTTTCATTGTCGTGTGGATGGTCGATACCAGGACATTTATGTAAAGCGTCGAGTCTGTTCGATACTCGCCACCAGAGCCCTTATAAACGACGTTCCTGATAGAGCAATCATCGATACTACCGCCAGGTTTGCAGTGCTTCAAGACCTCGTAGATACGATTGTACAGTCGCTCTCCAGCGAAAGTTCCAACGTGGGTGCCATGCAGGCCAAGACGAATGTCAACCCTGTACCAGCCTTTCAGGTGCTTCATATGATTCTGATCGGTAAGTACTGAGATATCGTTGCCAGAAGAAGCGCTGGTGTTGGAGTAGGAGACGTTTGACCACGTGGCATTCAATCCGGTAAGATCATGTAGCTCGGCTAGCAGGTCGTCATCTGTCGGGACCTTATCTGGAGATCCACGCTCGCTGGCTTGAGGAGGAGCGGTATAGGGGATCAATGCCTCCTCGAAGTCCGACTGTGGAATGGAAGAAGTTGCTGTTCGTCGTTAGTAACGTGACTGCGAGCCTTTTTTCTCTACTTACCAAGGTTAGTAGTCGTGAAGGTGTCAGGCGACGCGATAGCAAGAGCGAAAGCCGCCAGCAAAGCCACGAGGAGGAAGGCGGTACCCTTCATTTTCCAGTACAGCAGGAGCGATCTATCGGTAGATGTTGAAGTTGAGGGTAAGACAGAAGGTGATGTGGCAGGTGGTTTGAAGAGAGAGGGATCGTAAAACTATATGCTACTGAGGCGCCAGTCGAAGTTAATGTGGGTCTGAGCGCTATTGGGTACATCGTGACAAGACTTGAAGTGCGGTGAATGAGCGGGTGAGATAGTGGGTGAGAAGGGAAGGTATGGAAAGAAAGAGCGGGGCACTATGTTGGAGTGAGAGCAGGCGCGACTGCAAGGGAAAGAGAAACAGCAAAAGCAAAGTATGTGTGGCTCGTTACAAGCTATTACCGTGCCTGTATGTTGCCGCATGTATCGTCTGGAGTTATAGGAAAGATATCTTTCCGTGCTACCAAAGCAATATAGGCACCGAGTCGTGTCTGTAAGCTCCCCAACTCTAAAGAGGTCGGCAGGCCTCAGCTTCATGATGCCTCAACAATTCGAAAAGTGTATCCAGGTAGATGAATGTCGTTTCCAAAGTCTTGTATCGTATTCCCCTTTGCATCGCACGATGCGATATTTAGTAGCAACCTGGTTGTCGATTACCTTACAAAATATTCAAGGCTGTACTCTATCCCCACCTATGCGCAAACAATCACGCGTTATGTCTGCAAAGGCATTCCAAAGTTTTTCGAAACGAAAAGCGGCGTATATTGATCAAGGCAGTTAGGTTGTCAGGAGAGTTGGAGATGGTAAGAAAGTTGGTGAGGTCGGCTTACGTTATCACTCGTCAAGCCTCGGCACGCCCTCCGACGGCAATCTGCTCCTCTCCTACAGCGCTCACCAATCGCGTCCAGAGACAGCCGCAGCGTACATATCTAGCATGTCACCCAGCATTATATCCGGCGGGGAAGCCGTTGTACTCAATTCACTCCCATCGATTGCTAATTCACAGCACTTACCATGTCTCCAGCTCGCTTGTCAGCTAGGTCGCTCCTACAGGTCTCGGGGCCTTTCATACCTCGCCCACGATGGCTTCAGTCACCCTTGAGTCGCATGCTCGTCACGTCATCGGGACACCAGCAAGCAACTGTCGCGGCAGGTGTACGAGTAGACCACGCCGAAAGCAATGACAACCGCACCGTAGCAGCAATGGGCCGTACCAAGTCTGGCAAAGCTCTCAAAGTTCGCAAGTACCCAACTTTCACACGCCTCGAGGACGAACGTCTCTATCGTAAACAGCACCTTGCAGCCGCATATCGCATCTTCGCCTCGCGTGGGTTCGACGAGGGTGTCGCCGGCCATATCAGCGTGCGCGACCCCATCTTGACTGATCATTTCTGGCTCAACCCGCTGTCGGCGCATTTCTCCCTGATACGCGTGTCAGACCTGATACTGGTGAATGAGGAGGGAGAGGTGGTCGAGGGTGACCAGCCTATCAATGCAGCAGCTTTTGCCATCCACAGCGCCTTACACAAGCGGCGGCCAGATGTACATGCAGCGTGTCATGCGCATAGTGTACATGGCAAAGCGTTTAGCGCTTTTGGTAGGGAACTAGACATGATTACTCAGGATAGTATCCGCTTCTACAAGAGCCACGGCGTATACAACCAATTCGGTGGTGTCGTACTGGCCAGCGAAGAAGGCGAGCGAATAGCCGATGCCCTGTGTATAAACATCTCCGTCAGAATCTTGCTGTACATTACTGACTATTATCCCAGGCGACGGAAAAGCAGCCATCCTCCAAAATCACGGCATCCTCACTGTAGGGAAATCCGTTGACGAGGCCGCCTTTTGGTTCCTCTCCCTCGATAAGACGTGCCAAGCCCAACTCCTTGTAGACGCAGCGGCGGCCGGAAGCGGACATAAGCCTAAGATGATACCGGATAGTGAAGCAGCCGAGACATACAAGAATGTTGGGACGCCCGAGAAGGGGTGGCTGGCATTCCAGAGCTACTACGACGAGATACTTGCTAAGACTGGAGGCGACTTTTTGGAGTAAATCAAATACCCGATTACTCCCGAGGTCGCTGGCTATGATGCGCCTGTAGTTGTGAGGAGGGAAGGCTGATCTTCCGCTCTCCACTGCTCACGTCTTCGTCTACTCTGAGGACGCTGATGAGACAGCCGCCTCGATCATGTCCAGACTGGAAGCACAGAAGCAATGATAGCCGGCCCTTCGATGCTTGTCGTCAGTCTACCGGCGAAGGAAGCTCTCCAACAGCAGTACCCCTACCGTTCAAGGGAAAATTAGCGCAATTCCAATACAATCCAGACCTCTTATCTGGTACTGTATCGACAACCACACCACAACTCTCCCACCCTGAGCGCAAACCCTCAGGCCGCGCACCACACAATTTTACACCAATTACAACTTCCAACAAATCAATTACCATTTCTGCGCCCCCTGCATGACCTTTATCACAGCGCTCTCGACAAACTCACTCCCTAACACCACTAAACCCATCACCCGGCAGCTCAGACTACACAGAGCTCAACTACGAACCGGCAGCCCTATGCCGCAAGCAAGGTATATAGGAGGGTGGCGGGAACGTGCAGGATGTGCGAAATCACTTTGTGTGGGACGATGCTGCGTTGCGCGTGCGAGCGCCAAAAGTGATGGCGGCGCCGAATTATTAGAGGATGTATAGGACGGTGGCGCCTGGTGACGGCGAAGTGGGGGAATGGGTAGGGTGGCTAAGGAGTAGTTTGGGAACCCGGGCGCTGATACTGACGTTGTTTGCCGTGGCTGAGGCGGATAGGGGAAGACAGCAAAGGATCTGGGAGTATCTAGTAAACACGGACGTGATGAAAGCGCACTGATGTGATGGATATCTGGTACGGGTAAGTGTTCAATTCATCACCCTACGGTCAGGTACGACCAATATATATATATAACTAATTAAGACAATTTATTATATCAAAACTATCTACAACAAGAAGAAGAAGAATCAGTCGAAGGGCAAGAGCAGGAACGACGCGAGATATCTATAGGAACGCATCACTCATTCGTGTTCCTCCTCACCAACTCATTCTCCAACTCCTCCCTCTCTTCAATCGTCAAATCACTCTTCGCCTTCCCAATCTTAACACCCAAGAACATGATGATGACACCCGCGCCCGCAAGCGCAGTAGCAAGCCAGAAAGCTACTTTGTAGCTCCCCCTTTGTCCTCTTTCCTCTGTTTCACTAACCGCTAGATCTGCAAACGAAAGAAACACGGCGATACCCAGGAACAGTAGCGAGTTCATGAAGGAGCCTGCTAGTCCTTGACGCGCTTTTGGTAACGAAGTCGTGATGAAGATGTTGCTGACGTTGTAGGTGATGTCGATACCGAGCGTAGCGCAGATCATAGCAGGAAAGATGTAGGCCCAGTAATTGAAGTGTACGGGGACGACGGCGAAAAGTAGTGTCGAGAGTATGTATGCTACACCACTGATGAGAAGGAGGATTCGACCTGGTAGGAGATGTAGTACTAATCCGCCAATGGTGGCCAGGATAAGTCCACCGACGCACATGGGCGTGAACCAGGCGGCAGTAAGCAGCGCACTAGCGCCAACGACTTGTTCGATATAGAAGCTGGCGTAAAAGATGAAGATACCGAAGGTGCCGTATTGGAAGAATAGCGCCAGCGCAAGCGGTTTCATGCCCTTGACCCGGAACAAGTCAGGAGGTAGCAGAGGTTGTTCAGCCACCCAGCCTTCGATGTAAACGAATGCTGCCAAAAAGATCCAGCCGATGACGAAGGTGACGGGGATATACGGTGTCGCCCAGCCCTGAGGAGCATGGCTTCCATCCGTAAGCGCAAAGACAACCAGTACCAATCCTGGTACAACAGTCGCCGTCCCCCACCAATCCATCTTCACTCCCTTTCCCTCCTGCTTCACCTTCTCTTTCTCTTCTTTTGGGTTCGGTATACACAGATACGATGCCACACCCACAATAGCAAGGATAATCGATCCAATCCAAAAGAACCACCCCCAACTCGTAAACTGTGCGGCGATACCCGCAAAGAAAATCCCCGTGAAGAAGCCAACAGGGGCAAAAGCTCCATACAAGCTAAAAACAAGATTCTTCCTCGGACCCGGTCGATAAATACTGCCCAGCAACATAATCCCACTCGGCAAAAAAGCCGCAGGCCCGAATCCCTGCAGCGCCCGACAAACAATCAACATGACATAATTCTGGCTGAAACCCGCAATAATGCTCCAAACCAAGAACCAAGCCAGCCCGCTGCAAAAAACAATGTAGCCCCCAAACATATCGGCTAGCCGACCAAAGGGAAGCAGGAACGCGCCTGTTACCAAGGAGAAAACTGAGGCGGGCCATGTTTGTGCGTTGGAGGGGATGGAAAGCGCGGATGTGAGGTCGGGGAGCAGGATGTTGAAACCCGAGATCATGTACTCGGCTACGAACATGGAGCCGAGGAGGGCGAAGCAGAAACCTAGTTCATGAGGGAGGGAACGGAAGGCTGAGGGGCGTTCGCGGCCGAGGCGTTCGATGTCGGAGGGGGTGTATGAACCACGATGTTGCCCTTCGATCTTTTCTGGTGTTGAGGCTGGGTCGGTAGAAGGCATGGTGTTGCTTGGGGTGTGGGTCGTCGCCTCCATTGTGGTGTTGTCGCTCATGGTGGTGTTGTGTGTTGAAGTGGTCATCGTGGAGCCATGTAAATGTATGGGTTGCGAGCTGAACAGAACAAGCACGCTACAAGAGACGATATGAGGAGATTCAACGGACAGTATTGACGAAGCGACTTAATTCCTTTACTTTCTTACCTCTTCCTATATGTTGCGGCCGGACTCCGAAATGACCGCGGCCATTGTTGCTATGTGTAATGGAAGACATTTCTTCGGGTGCTGAGCCTCAGAGACAGACACACAAAGGCGACTCTTAGCGATGACTGTGACGTTTGAGCATAAAGCCGTCACGATGTGGACCTTGGATGCAAAGATTGAGTCTTGGCTGCTGGATTGAGCCTAGAAGCATCTATCAGGGTCCGGGGCGAACGGCAAGTCAAGCGAACCATGTGCGCAACTTGCCTCCAAAATCTGTCTTTGTCAGCATCGGACGGCATGCGATTCGCTTGCTCCATCCTCGGGCTGCGCTCTCGGTCAACATCGCTCTCTGTAGCTGCGCTCCAACGCGGGTGACGAAATCTTGCATCCACATCAGTCTTGAGAGCGTTAGTAGCGCATTGATCCCAACGCCCCAACCGCCACAACCACCGTGAAAGATCTCCACCCCGCCAAACCTCAGGCACCTCGATACAGTCAACCATTTACACATCTCGCATGGGGTCCATCCAATGAGCGTGACGCCCTTTAACCTCCCAACCAAAGCCTGCCACAATTGCCGGAAGCGACGATGGAGGTGCGACCGGTCGCTGCCAAGCTGCCAGAAATGTTTGTCAGCCGGAACGGAATGTCTAGGCTATGGCAAACTGTTTGTGTGGAATCGTGGAGTTGCAAGCCGTGGGAAGATGATGGGGAAGGGGTATGAGGAAAAGATGGAGCAGAGTGCTGGTGGTGTTGCAGGTGCGACAGAAGGGGCAGCCAAGACTCAAGACGTGCCTCCGACTTTGGTATGGGAACACGAGGGCTCGTCGCAACAACAGCACTTACCGGAAAACGAATATGAAATATTACCCGCTGGATCGGTGTCTAATTTCTCCCGGATGTCAGCACAGGAACAGGACCAGGGCCAGACGATGGCAACGACTACTAGTGTACACCGTCAGATGACGGATCCTCTAGTCAATGATCTCGATCGCAACTCGCGGTATTATCTCTACCACTTCGCGACACAGCTGTGCGAAGTCATGGTCGTATACGATGAGCCTGGACAGAACCCCATCCGCGACCTCATTCCTGCTACATCTGCTTATCCGCTGCTGTTGCAGATCATTGTCGCAAACTCGGCGTTCCATGTCTTCAACATAACACGCAATCCAATGGGTCAGTCAGCCTACCAAGGCGAGCGGAGTCCAACTGTAATGGCTTACTATCAAGCGGTGAGCCGGTTTGGTGGCCCACTGAAGTCGTCTTACAGAGACGCACTCGTGGCAAAGCAGCAAGCGCTCTCCTTACTTGCGAAGAGTGTGACGTCCGTGAACACTTCGAACATAGACCTCATACTGATCACCATCCTGCTCTTTGTCAACTATGCTCTGGTGGAGTCGGGCAGAGATAAGTGGAAGGTGCACATGGACGGTGCGCTAAAGCTCATCAAGCTCCTGGGCGAGCCGCCATACCTACAGCGACCGATGAGTAGACTTCGTCAGACAATACTTTCAGACTTCCTTGTATTTTACATCCTGGGTTCAACATTCAGCTTCACGACACTGCCCGCATTGATACCAGAGACCATCGAGTTGGACCCCATCCTTCGATATGCGGAAACGAATAACTATCTCTCCTGTCCTGGACCACTGTTACGTGTAATGCTCGAGTCCTTCGCGTTGCCCGATACGCACGGATCGCCCTCCGGAACCAGTACGCCCATATACCTTCAAGAACAGGTACGCGTACTATTACAGCGCGCTCTCGACTTCGACCCCATCGCATGGTCTTTCGACTTTGAGCGCGCCTCGCCATTTGACGACATCCAAAAGCGAATCCGAATAGCTTCCGCACATCGTTCGGCAGTCTGCATCTACCTCGCACGCGTACTCCCTTCCACGAACCCTCTTCTCGATCCAGCAAGTGGTGAAGCACTCGTCAGTCTCACCGCTCTTGCTGACGATGTCGTCCAGCATATATCACATCTCAAGCCGGGAGATGCCCTCTTCAAATCGATCTGCTGGCCGTTGTTCCTCGCTGGTGCAGAGTCAGAGGATCCTACTCAACGCGAGTGGATCATGAACACGCTGGATGAGCTTTATGGACAGATGTTCTGGGGGTATCTACACACGTCTAAGCGCGTGTTGGAAGCTATTTGGCGTTTCAAAGACTCGGCTGGATCTGGTGGGGGCAACTGTTGGGTGGAAGAAGTCAAAGATCTCGGCAACGATATTCTAATTGCTTGAGGGCTTGCAATGGATGAAGATGAAGTTTCAAGTTGCAAAGAATCGAGCAGGAGAACGAATGTGCGCGAAGTATTCGCGTGCTCCCAACCGCCGGCACTGGTATCAGCATATAATGTTACTTGGATGATAACATAAATCGCGAACCCGAAATTCTGGGTATGCCAACCATAACACCCATTCCTCTTGTATGGGTTGGGTCCCCATTACGAAGAGGCAAGAATATCGCTGGGATCGTCTAGGCTGTTCCTGGCCAGGATCAATAAGTGCGACAGCAAGCGCCGGCTAGTCGATCGACCCGGGTCTGGTAGCGGGGTATTCGGCGCGAATACCTCCAGCATGGGTGCATCATCACACATACATGTGGTTTTTCCAAACTTGCGCAAGGCCGCTATTTCGACCAAGTACTCAAGCTGCACCGTCTTGCTCAAGACTCAAATTTTATGTTCACGTCACAGGCAAATACTTGTGCCGTTTCGCGACGCGCTCTGATGCCGAGGCCTTCGAAGAGTACTGCTAGGCACAACTTCATGATGCCCTCATGGCTTTCTGCTGTATTCTTAATTGTACTGGGTATATCGAATCTCTGCGCGGCCCATTCAGTCCGTTCGCATCCTTCAGACCGAATACCAGCATCCTTGGGCGCGAGACCCTTGGTGCCTTCACATCAGCTACCTGGCGCTCAGGCACCGTTGACCGTTCAGAGGTAAGACCATACGTTGTACTTTGTTGGCGCCTTCCGCTCTCGTGGGCAGAATTTTCGCCTGCACCAGTCATGGATTGTTCCTGTGCGATGAACCTATGGTGGGAGGTGCGACATACGGCGCATGGCTTCCTATGTTGAACTCGTCATGTTGTCTACGTTACGCCTCAATTTCTCCTTTTGTGCTTCGCATTCATCTCTAACGTTTTTGCGCAAAGCAACTACGACGACGCTGCTCGTTTTGAACGCCGTACCGGACTCGCACTAGAGACTCTACAAGGATGGTACAATGTCAGTACCGGCCTGTGGGAATCAACAGGATGGTGGAACGGCGCCAACGTTATGACTATGATCGGAGACTTCGCGAAAGCAGCTCCAGGAGATGAAAAATTGCAAAACCTGGCGAGCGACATTTTTGCGACTGCGTTGCTGAAAGCGCCGGCCAAGAATCCACAGCCGGGTATTGAGGGTCTACCTTCGAATAACACGACACCTTTTTCTATCAATGCGACTAGCCTTGTGACTGGATACAAGAAATTTCTTGACTCGTATACCGACGAACTCTACATAACATATCCGCTAGACTGGTATGACAACAACGGTCGGTACACGCACACTGGAGTATCCTTCGGTCATGATGACAATTGTCCATCCCATCCCGCTAACCCCGACTTTCACGATTGGCTAGATGGTTATTACGACGATGACCTCTGGTGGGCACTAGCCTGGATCAATGCATACGACGTCACTTTCAATCCTACCTACCTCGATCTCGCCGAAGGCATTTTCATCGCCGTATCACACACCTGGGGTACTTACTGTTCCAATGGCGGCATATACTGGAGCTGGGAGAAGAAATACGTAAACGCCATCGCCAACGAACTCTTCTTCAGCACAGCTGCGCATTTGGCGAACCGCGTCCAGCGCGGTAAGAAGAGAGCCGTATATCGGTATTGGGCGGAAAAAAGCCTAGATTGGTTTATGCACAGTGGCATGATCAACAATAACGGTACCATAAACGACGGATTGACGGAAGATTGCGAGAACAATAACAAGACTACTTGGTCTTACAACCAAGGCGTCATCTTGGGCGGTCTCGTCGAGCTTCATCGAGCTGCAGCTTCACCAGAGTTCCCATATCTTACTGTCGCGTCTACTGTCGCAAAGGCGGCGCTCATCGCACTTTCGGATGGAAATGGCGTTATCCACGATGAGTGCGAACCTGATTGTGGTGGTGATGGTGCTCAGTTCAAAGGCATTTTTATGCGAAATCTGGTCAAACTGAATAGCGTGGCGAAGGACGATATGTTTGCGAACGCTATCCGCAACAATGCGGCGTCTATATGGGAATGGGATACGAAATTGACATCCGATGGCTTACCTGTGTTCAGTGTCAACTGGGCAGGGCCGTGGATTAGCCCGGCGAATGCAAGCATGCAGAGTTCAGCCATGGATGCTCTCGTCGCTGCTGTAGTTGTCGATCTGACTTCTTAGATGAGGAGTGTGAAGAGCAGAAAAGTTGATCATAATGTTCATTTATCATCGTTATTGATGTATTACTTTTCGACCAATAGTTTCGTCTTATACAGCATGCAGTTGCGCATCCAGCCCTCTTATGTCTACTGCTGAGGAACATCCTCAATCACGATACCACCCGCACCGTTCAAGAAGTCCATCTTGCCCACGTCAACACCCTTCATCCTCAATATATCATATGCAGTCACGATGTGGAACCTGGAACAATCAGCACAAAAAGTCATCTCCAATCAAAACACTGCAACTTACCACATATTCGGATGCGCAAACCTGCTGATATACTCCGTCGCCGGCATCCTCACCTGCTTCTGACCCCCCGGGAACTTGATAACAACCTCATCGTTATGCTTGCCCTCGAAGTCTTTCTCCGAGAAGCCCTCAAGGTACTTGATGCACTTCTCAATGCGCTCTAGTAATTCGGGGAATGTCTGCTCTTCGTCCGGGAGTGTAATGCCTTCAAGGCTGGGGTTTACGCGGCTGGGGATGAACTTGGCGGCGTCAGTGAAGCGGTAGACTTGGTAGCGAAAATCTTTCATATCTGGGTGCAGAGATGCGGTGAGGTAGGTGTTGGGGTCAGAGGATTTGGCGTGTTCGTAGCCTTTGTTGATGAAGAAGCGGGCATTCTTTAGGGCGGAGATGGCGGGCGCGATGGCCATCTTGTGGAAGGTGAGAGACATGTTGGGTGGTTAGATTGTGAGAGAAGAGATGGAGCAGATTCTGGATGCTGTAGGTGTTGGTGAAGAGTAGTTGGACTGGCGGGGCAGTAGTCTATTTATGTTCCCGCTATTATGTATCTCGCACCTTCTCCAAGATACCTGAGGTACCATCACGTCCTTGCCATGTCAAGCTCACCACGTTCCACTTGGCATCATGGCTCCACTGTGTAACCCAAAGCGGACCAACTTTACGCCAGTCGTTATACAGCTGGCGGTGAGTATGGAGTTTATTACAAAGCAAGTGGGTTACAAAGGGTGGAGCCTGGTGAGTGACCAATCACATCATTGCGCGATCTACCGATCCTAATTTCGCACGATCGGCCGCGGGGCAATAGCGAGGGCTGTACGGCTTGCTGCAACGCAACACGACGCAGTGCTACCACAGTTCAATATGCGCCCCTCTTTGGTGTTATGGACTTGATTCGATACACGAATATGCTGACAAAAGGTATACGATTTCCGTGCGATTTAGTCCCCTGGACGCCTGACGTCGCTTGTACGTTGGACCACTCCGTATGTGGAAAGCGTGCCTTACTTTCTTTTTACCACAGTCATACGGACGAAGGCTGACACGCTTCTAACCATGCAACACATCCTATAGTGAATTTCGTACGGGCTGGTATCAAAGCACAGGATGACGGCCTGCTTCAGCGGGAATAGAAAACTTTATGACCTCATAACTCTTAGCGAGCCGTCTCGTCAGGAAGATAAGCGTTGGAAGGATTCGGTATTCAAGGCTACAAAATAACCGATACGGATGGTGAAGACCGCATTGAGCATGTCTTACAAGTTACTACTGAGCTCGAGTCACTTTTGGTATAAGACAATCCCGCTTGTTTCAAGATCGCAAGCAGAATGTGCACTGATTCTGCGGCTTGTCCGTTTGCTGGTTGCGATATCACTTTCTCAGAGATTCTTCCTTTGGGAACTGATTAATAGCAGCAAGACAAACGACTTTACGATTGTCGCACGTCGAACATCGACGAGACTCCTCAAGCAAGCCGATGATTTGGGCTATAATATGACGCTCTATGGCGCTGCTTCCTCATCTTTACACCGGTACTTGGTCCTTGAGTTTCAATCTCCAAATCATCGCAGTCGTTTGGTTAGCAGCCATGCCTCCGAAATCATCAGCCATAGCTGGTATCCAACAAAACAACCCGAACGCAAATCCTCTGTTGAGCTCGAGTGCCCCACCTACAGCGCAGCTTGCAGCAGCTGCTTTGTTAAGTGCCGGCGATATCGATCTGCAAAACTACACGGCAACTCCTGGCCATCTCCCAGCACTGAACGACGATGGTATTTACAACACGCAGTTGACACGGCTTGGCCCAATTCCCTCAAGGGCGAAGGACAAATTTCTCATCATGAGCAACTACGTGAAGATCACAACTCTGCCGAAGGAGTTATGGGCCTACTCACTCAAGTTCTGGCGTCGCCATCCGCAAGACAGCTCCAAAGTGATCGAATTTAACAAGAAGCGCGAGATCAGCGGCGCATTCGACGCATTGTTACGCAGCGGCGTTGTTATCCTGAACCAACAGCAGAAGAACTGGGCCACGAACTTCAAAGAGCTATGGACCAGTGCTCGACTAGCTGAGCACTCTGAAGGGCAAGACGAATGGGATAGTCCAACGTTCACATACATGCAGCTCAACGGTAAGATCATCAACGATATGCGGGTTACGACTACTTTCAGTAAAACGTTGGAAGACATCGACAAAGATATGAATGAAAAACACATCATGGACCTATCCGACCACATTCGCGCCTTGAACGCCCATGTTTCGCAATCTGCTCTCGCAAGTGACCGCACAGGACGGCTCACCCAAGTTGGTGCGAACAAGTTTTACATCAAAGGTAGCTACACGCAACTAAACCCGAAGACTCCTGATGGGTTGCTGGCACTGCGCGGTTACTACAAGTCCGTTCGTCCAGCAGAAGCAGGAGCTCTCCTCAACATGAATACCGCGACTTCGGCCTTCCTTCCTGCTATCACGGTGTCCAGGTTCGTTGCGGCAGTCGGTACTAATGAAGCGGAACCGTTGTTGAAAAGTCGATAATCCGCATCGCCTACCGCAGGAAAAAGAACGATGAGAAAGACATGAACTGCGAGGAAGCACGTTGTAAGGTATTTCAACAATTCGGTCTCAAAGCGGATCAACAGATATTCTACAAGGTGCTCGAAAAGGATAAGAAATACAAGAAGAGCGAGCGACAGACGGACCCTAAAGATCCCGGTCGTACTGTTGAGCACTATCTTACGAACGAGGCCTTGGTCGACCTGGCATCATTTACTGGAAACGATCTCCTGTGCGTGAACGTCGGCAAGAGGGTAAAGAGGATAGCTGGAACGAACCAAGCGGACCCAACAGAGATGCGCCAGCAGACTCTCGATGGAGCAGTATGGATCCCAGCCTGTCTTTTGGAGATTCTACCCAATCAAGCGGTACATGGTCTGCTCTCAGCGAACGACACTGCGGAGATGATCAAACAAGCCGTACGACTTCCGGCAGCCAACGCTGGCAGAATCGTGCAAGACGGACTGGAGATCTTGGGTGCTAAGTCACGTACAAATCAGCTCCAGAACAACCAACTGGTAAAGGAAACATACCTTGCGGATCCATAACTCTGCTGACAGTACTAGATCCATATGGGACTCAAACTAGATGATAAGCTGATCTCGTTTGCAGCGAAGTCTCTGCCCATGCCACCAGTATGGTACCACCCACCAACTGATGAGTTGGGCAAAGTCGACCCTAAATTCGACCCAGATCTACTGCTAGTAAAGACGATCGGCAACACTGCATCCTGGAATCTTCGAGAGATCGCGTTCGCGCATGCACCAGGGATGAAGAAACTCCACGTTCTTGGTCTTAACGGATGTATTCAGGATTGGCAGATAGCTCCTTTCAATAACGAGAAGGTCGCCAACAATAAAAGAGATGCGGCGCTTTTAAACCTACAAACCGAGCTTCTATCGAAAATATGGTGCTCGAAAATGCCTGGTGAGCCGGGTCGGTTACAACGCTTAACGGTTAACCTAGTAGACACGCATCTGGACGGCTTTTTCAAACAAGGTAGTCTGTACGACTGCACTCTTGTCCTATTAAAAGAGAAAGACCTCGATATTTTCGCCAGAATCAAACGTGAAGCCGACCTGCAATACGGACAGCACACCGTCTGTGCTGTTGGTAGCAAAACCAAAGCCGCTAAACCGACAAACGCCAATGCACGTTCGCAGTATCTGGCCAACCTTACATTGAAGATGAACATGAAAATGGAAGGTGACAACCACTTTCCGGATCAAATTTCACTGAACAGAATTATGGGGGAGGAGAGACATCGTACACTTATCTTGGGGGCTGATGTGACCCATCCCACAGTCGGAAGCAAGCTAGGTTACCCAAGCATCGCATGTGTGGTCGGAAGCGTTGACAACACCTTTATGAGTTACCCAGGCTCGATGAGGCTCCAGGCTGGAGAACAAGAAGTAAGCATGGACATGTTCCCACTGTGTGAAAACTGGCTGACCTGATTCGCAGCAAATCGACGACGAGCACATGTGCAGCATGGTCCAAGAGCGTTTACTGGCCTGGAAAGCAAAGAACACCAACGCATCGGGTGAGCAAGTCCTGCCGACTTCTGTCTTATTCTATCGCGATGGTGTATCTAAGAGCCAATTCAACATCTGTGTTGAGCAAGAGATCCCTCAAATTCGCGAAGCGTACCGACGGCTCGGCGGCGACGTCGTACAGCTCAAGATTACGTTCATCATCGTCGGTAAACGCCATCACACTCGCTTCTTCCCTACGCATGCCAGCCAGTCCTACAATTATACCAAGCAGACGTGGGACCCCGTGACTAAAGAGATCACGTACCACGGGAAGCGTACCAATGGAAATCTCAAACCAGGTCTACTGGTAGACAGCGTTGTCACAAACCCAGCACAGTACAATTTCTTCCCGCAGTCTCATGTCGCAGTTCAGGGTACTGCACGCCCAGCGCACTACCACGTTCTTGTTGACGAGATGGGTCTCGGTAAAGGCATCCCAGAGCTCACTCTGATACTTTGCACCACTTTCGGTCGCGCCACAAAGGTCGTGTCATACGCTGTGCCTGCCTATATCGCCGACAGATTATGCGAACGCGGTCGAGTGTATCTGCGCCCGTGGGCGAATAATAACATGGGGCCCACTTGGTCTTCGTCCGATCTCGAGAACCTGAATGGGACGCCGTTTACGAAGGATCAGCTCAAGCAGTGGCGCAAGGAGAAAGCCTTAGAGCTGGCCCGGAATTCCACAGTCTGGGGCAAATACCAAGATGCCCCCGGTCGAGAGCGCTTGAACCCCTGGCACAAGGACTTTGACAAATGTATGTTCTGGCTATAAGCAGCTGGGATGTCGGTGTGGCCATCGATAATTTCCTTTGTGCTTTTCCACTGATATGTTCTGTTTCCAAGTTATTTCCACGTTAGATCTGCTTGCTCTCTTATTTCTCCGGTACTTGTAGGGTTTTCAATGTCTCTGGTTTCCCGCATTACTTTCTGCTATTCTTTGGTCGTCACGCATTCGCTTTGCTTTACATACAAATTCCTCCACCGACACTCGCTCAATACATCATGAATTTCGTTCTAAATCACTATTTGCGTGAGGACTAACATACCTCGGAATGAGGATATATTGTGAAACTGGTAGAACACCACAATTCATCGTTGCATAATATTCGACGCGCGACATCTGCCCCACACTCGCACAAACGGGAAGTTAACGCGTCGAGCCGAGATCGGCAAGCCATAGCTCCGGCGCTACATCGACATCGTCATCATATCAACCTTATAGCCGACTGGAGATAAGTTTGCCGACGTGATGAACAAAATGGCTGATCCCCAATCTCCTTCAATATCCGACGCTGTCGTCGTCCTCCAAATCTCCTCATATATACTCGCATCGCATTACATCCTGTCGCATCACCTCTCCTTACCATCCCAATCGATATGTCGAACACAAAGACTCCCCATGACCTGAATTGCCTCACAATCGGCGAACTTGAAAAGCTAGCCGCAGAGCGTATGGACAAACAAACCCGCGACTACTACAATGAAGGCGCAGACTCAGGCTCAACCCTCCTTGAAAACATCACCGCATACCAAAAATACCGCATCCGACCACGCGTGCTCCGCGACATATCCTCCATCGACACGACCGTAAATGTCTTTGGACACAAGAACAGCATACCCCTCGGTGTCGCACCAACCGCAATGCAATGTCTCGCCCACGGCGACGGCGAACTCGCAACCGCACGCGCATGCGCGAACATGGATATAGTGATGGGATTGAGCAGCTTCAGCACGACAAGTCTTGAAGATGTGAAGGGTGCGTTGGGCGATCATCCTGGAGCCCTGCAACTCTACCTCTTCGAAGACCGTGCGAAAAGCCAGAAGCTCATTCAACGCGCTAAGAAAGCTGGGTATAAAGCCGTCATGCTCACAGTCGATACCCCCGTTCTCGGTCGCAGGAACTTGGAGATAAGAAACCAGTTCAAACTGCCCAAACACCTCAAAGTAGCAAACTTCAACCAAGACGAAGACGACGGCGTGACGGTAGACGACAAGTCCGCCTCACCCTCCACTACAACAGAAGCAAACGAATCCCGAAAAAGAAGCGAGAGACAACCACCCAGCGGCCCGATTACCTTCCACACCCACGCGCCCAACCCAACCCTCTGCTGGGAACGCGACATAGTCTGGTTGAAAGAGCAGTGTGGACCAGAAATGGAAGTCTGGGTCAAAGGCATCGCAACAGCCGAAGACGCCCTCCTAGCGTGCCACCACGCCGTCGACGGAATCATCGTCTCGAACCACGGCGGCCGCCAACTGAACGGCGCACTTGCCACCATCGACGCTTTACCTGAAGTCGTCGCCGCCGTACACTCTCAAACCGGAACCAGCGGGAAGAAGATCCCCGTCCATGTTGATGGCGGGATAAGGCATGGGACGGACGTTTTTAAAGCGTTGGCGCTAGGAGCGGATTTCGTGTGGGTGGGACGTCCGGTGCTTTGGGGATTGGCGTATAAAGGGCAAGACGGTGTGGAATTGGCGTTGAGGTTGTTGGCTGATGAATTTAGGTTGTGCATGGGGCTTGCGGGGGTGACGAGCGTGAAGGATATTGGGAGGGAGTACTTGGTTAAGATGGATCGGAGTGGGTTTGTTAGTCGGCTTTGAAGACACACTTTGTCAGGTAAACCTGGTCTCTATATCTAATTAATGATACCTTCCTATTTACATGCTTGCTTGGCTGTGCAACGGCATCTTACTCTGCTTGCCTCCTACTCTGGATGAAATCCACAAAGTCGAAGAAACTCTTCTTATACCTCCGCACCTGCGTCGTGCGATTCACAGTCTGGATACCAAATTGCTGATCGTAATCACCAAACTCCCAGTTATCTGCCCAACTCCACGCAAACGCGCCAATGAAGTTGACGCCGTCTTCCCAGATCGCTTTCAGACCTTCATTCAGATAGGTCTGGTAATACCAGCTTCGCGGGCTATCGAATTCCTGGTCCACCTGGTCTTTCTGTGCCTCAGCGAAGACGGGGAAGCCAAATTCGGTGACGGCGACGGGGGAACGCCATGTGTTCCAGAGGTAGTTTAGGTAGGTGCGGAAGTAGCTGGGGGTGAGGTAGACGTAGGATTGACTGCGGTAGCCGATGTTCCAGCCAGTGGTTGTGAGGGTGCTTTGGGTCACGCAGTAAGGTCTAAGGGGGTGAGTGATGTTTGCAGCGCAGTCTGCGATAGTGTCGTTGGGTGGTGGGCTCACTACGGTCGCAGTGTAGGGTTGGATGGAGAAGAAGTCTGCTGTTCCGTTGATGTATTGAAGGTCCTCTTCGCTCAGAGGCACATAGTCGGCGACGCTGCTTGTGAATGACTCTGGGTAGTCTGTTCCGAGGAATATGGGGTTCGCAAAGGTCGCCAGTTGGAAGGAGTTGAAGTGGTTGGCCGCGTCGACATCGGCGGGGTCATCCGGGTTACGCGGGACGCCAAAGTTGTCGTTGAATGTGAGCGACATCTTGCCTGTGGCACCAATATCATCGTGGTAAAAGTGATAAAGTCTGGCATGTGATTTGATAACAGCATCGATTGATTTTCCGTTCCGCGCCCCTAGAAGCGGCTCATTGAACGACCACCAAATCGGCACGCGGTCAGCAAAGTGCGTCATGACAATCTTTCCGTAGTTGACGAAAGCATCCTCAAACGAAACGTTCTTGTAGCTACATTGGAAGCAAGAGTCCAAGTAGCCGATACCTCCAGTTCCGGGCGTGATAAAGATATTGCTGATGTTGGAATAGAATTGGAGGGGCGAATCGTTGTGGTAGAGGACGATAGCCGGAAGCATTCCCTTTTCCAAAACAAAGTCGATGAGATCATCGTAGTGCGATAGACCTTGCTCGTTGACCGGCGTGCCTGGTAAAACGAAAGGGAGGATACGCGTCCAGGGAATAGAGAATCTGTAGTACTTTACTCCCATGGCAGCGATCCTTTCAATGTCTTGCTTATACAAGTAATAGTGTTCATTGGCAATCCAGTTTGGTGAACGGCCTGGAGTGCTCAAGCTTGCAACATCGTTGTGGACGGGTGTTCGTCCCTCCTCGGCGATAGCTCCCTCAATTTGGACTGCTGATGCCGCCACACCAAGCATGAAGTCTTCAGGGAAAGTATAGCATTGCTGAGGTACCAATGGCTCGGGTGGTGGCAGGGTGAGCTCGCTAGACGGTATTGGAGTTGGCTCGACTGTCGAGGAGTAGATGGCGTTGTCGGTATAGCTAGTGAAGTTGGATGGCCAAGGCACGGTGGTCCAAAGAGCTGTCCACGATGCATTACCATACGGATTTGCTGTGTCGGTCGCTGTTGCGTTGGACTTTGCATCCCAATTACCCCATTGTGTTGTCGTCAGATTTGGCACGAAGCTGCTGAGTGACGCATATGGGGGGGCGTAGGTAGTCGTAGTAGTGGGAGCGGGGGCAGATGTTGCTGTACGAACTGTCTCAGTCTGCGTGAAGCTGAACTCTCGGAAGCTGTATGAAGGCAGTGCCGTCGCGTATGTTTGATTTGCGGAGCATTGCGGTCGCGAGGCTGGTCCTTCAGCTGGGATGTAGACTTGCTGGGCAAGAGCCACAGTCCCGCACGCCAAAAGAGCTTGAGGCTTCATGTTGCTGGCCAAGAAGTGCTTGATACATCTTCATCGTCTCTACCAAGTCTTTTATACATGCAAAGCTTTCCAATCGGACCGTGGGGCTCGCTCTGACAGTGGTACTCATCGTCATTCGGCATGTGGAGTTGCTTGTCACATCACGAATTCTCGCGACCTTAGCCCCGTCGTAAGTCAATACGAAGGGCATGGACGGCCTTGATCCCTTTCTGGGGTCTGGCGGAGAGCGAAAAACCTCGGTCGAGCCCGGTCGGGCTAAATTTCGGTAGTGCTTTGCGGGGGCTCGCGGGGTAGAGCTTGAAATGACGAACGCGATGCAACCTTTAGTCTTGACCGTTTCTCCTGGTAGTTTGGTCGGTGCTGAAGATCCTAGCCTCCCGAAGTATCTCAGTGGTTGTTCGCACTTGTCCACGTCCTTGTGTCGCCTAGTCTTACGCAAATAAGCCTAGCCCTACTATACGCACTTCCGAAATGTCCGCATGTCCCTCCATCTCCAGAGGGCTTCCCTGTTCAACTCCCTCAGCCATTGCGCAACTTTGTTCTTTCGGTCTATCATTACGCGAAACCGCCAATAGGTGACCGAGACCCTAACTTTGTTGATGCCTGTTTGTGAAGATCGATGGGTCGTGTCTTGCTCCATATTATGAACTTGGTCGCACAATGTTTACCAGGCCCTCCCACAGTGTAGCCAAGATGACGGACGACGATGTTCCTGAGTCATGTACTTTTTGGGGGCGGTTCTTCTGCCGTACGATGAACATCAGATTGATTCATGGAATAACTTGCTTTCCAACCCATACTGTCATCATGTATATTAGCTTGCGATCAGGCAACCCACACAGCTCCTTCTACGTCAAAGCTGGCTTATGTCAGGGACATGTCAAGCATTTGACTTTACGAAGGACTATCCAGGTGTGGGTATAAGTTTGTAGAAAGTGTGGAAAAGCCTATAATAGTGGATTGTGGGCCGACATCTGTAACTGTGGCATCATTTGGTGCACCGGATCAGACTGCCTCAATTCACCATCTGTAACAGGCCTTTCCGGGTTGGCTGAGCGCTCTGTCGATGTTTGAAAAGTGAAGTTGATGTTCTCGGGGAGCAATGTTGCTCCACGAGCTGGTATTCGTATTTCTGAATATCATCAATGAAGCTGGCTGCTTTGGCCAGACTTCTGCAGACACAAGACGCGACAGGCGCAAATGCGTTTAGCTCGCTTCGCTTCAGAGCATTGGTTGTGTCGTGATTGTTGAGTAGATGCGCCTTCTCGCGTCTATATACACTCGACAAGCGACAAGCTAGTTCGAAGCTCTTCTTAGTACTCAGTGAGCAGAACAGTCCTCTGTTATACAAGCTTGGGCGCTTTCAGAAAGTGCACTTTGAAAGGCAATCTCGAGAATGTCGGAAGACGGGGATGATAGATTGGGTGAGCATGTCAACTCGCTGGTGTCAAGAATGTTAGTGTTGGTCGAGATGGGAAGATGACGCTAGTGGGTGTCCGTGCGCCCACACGAATTTCGCTTCGTTTGGCAACCCACTTGACGAACTTCACGACGCTCACGACAACTCCAGCGACGACGCACCCGAAACCCGCCCAAATCGAATATCCCCCCGATAATCTATCAAAATGTCTGGAAAGCGCGGGTATGTAATCACGGCGAGAAATTGGACATTGTCCTAGTGCTATGTCAAGGAATAATCGCTGACGTGCGCAGTCGAGGTTCTACCTCCGGTAACAAGCTCAAGATGACTCTTGGTCTGCCAGTGTACGTTGAATCCCGACGCGATCGCTCCGCCGAAGAATCCGCGAATACGGTCACAAGAAATGAGGAATTTCAGGCTAATGGAAGCACAGCGGCGCCGTCATGAACTGCTGCGACAACTCCGGTGCCCGCAACCTGTACATCATCTCCGTCAAGGGTATTGGTGCGCGTCTCAACCGCCTGCCCGCTGGTGGTGCCGGTGACATGGTCATGGCGACCGTCAAGAAGGGAAAGCCCGAGCTGAGGAAGAAGGTCATGCCCGCCGTCATTGTCCGCCAGAGCAAGCCATGGAGGCGAGCAGACGGTATCTACCTGTACTTCGAGGACAACGCCGGTGTCATTGTCAACCCCAAGGGTGAAATGAAGGGCTCTGCCATCACTGGACCCGTCGCAAAGGAGGCTGCTGAGCTGTGGCCGGTACGTGGAGCCGCAACCAAGAAAACCATGAGAGACAGTACTAACAACTCACAGCGTATCGCCTCCAACTCCGGTGTCGTCATGTGAGGTGTCTCTTTTCCTGCTTTCGATAACATTCATGGGTTCACGGGCACGGCGAAAATGCATTTACGGGGTGAAGGATTTGGGAGACGACATTGCAACTACGATTAGCAATGGGACGACCTTCACAATACCAGTCAAATGAACATTACGACCAACACCACAACGCTTAGCCCCTTTGCAGTGATGGATGATGAGCACAGAAGTAATGCGATAGGGAAACGTGTTGCGGGTCAAACTTTGTTCACGAAGACAAGACTATATACTGAAGTTGTGAACATCTAGATCCTGGGCTCATCTGCCGAGCATGAACTCCTGTCGCACGCCAGCATCTGAAAGTCCGGCTCCTCGACAACATCCTGCGCCCATCGCATCTGAATCATGCTCCTCGCCTCAACCTCGCGCTTCCTCCCACCCACAAACTGCAAGTCCTCGTTTCCAACGACGCCCGTTGTGACAACACCAGTGCTCGGCGCACCAATCCCCTGCACCGCCCCATTACCACCCTGCATAACATTCGCATAGCTGCTTGACATAGTCTGCACCCCAGAAACAAAGTCCTGACCATCGAACTCGCAATGCCCTCCCTGCGGTGTATTGTCAACTGTTTGGAGTTGGTTGATCTGTGCCGCGCTCAACCCTGCATCCGCACCAAGTTGTTCGTACGCCGAAACAGCCTGTGGGATACTTCCCTGAAGTAACTGGAGCTCACTCTGCGTAGACTGAAAGTGTATCCTCGTCTGCTGCATAACCGTAGCAGCGTTCTGGAACGCGACTTGCGGCGGCATGCCACCGCAGTTTAGCTCAACAGCCGAGTTGGCGTAGTTTTGCATTTGTGCTGGGATGAAGAAACCGGACATCATTAGGCTGCCTCCACTAACGCCAGTAAAGACGATGTTAGACATGTTGACCGCAACGCGCGCTGGTAGCTCCGTCTGGATGAAATCATTCACGGCTTGCGCGTGAGCAACACCATCTGTCCGCTGTAAGCCAGCACCTCCTCCCCAGAACAGATTATCATCCGGGGCTAGGAGTGCGACGCCCATGGTATTAGCCTGCACAGCTTGATTCGGCATGTCGAAGAAAGACTGTCCGCCGTCGCCGTGAAGCAGTACGTTTGCGCCTAGTGTTCCGTTGGAGGATGTAGCGGATGCACCGGGGACACCTGATGCGGGTAGGAACTGGTCTGCTGGGGCGGAGATTTTGAAGCGAATGGGCAGGTTGTTGACCATTACTGTGTCGTCAAGAATCATCGATCCATCTGTCGCGGTAGAGATACCCTGAGGGACTTGAGCGGCTTGCTGGAAGGCGGTTGCTTGTTGGCGTTGGCCGCCGCCGTTGTTACCGTTACCGCCGCGGTTTCGTTGGGGGAGTGCGGTGGTGAGGGACAGGAGGGAGAGGGTTATGATTTGCTTGTACATGATGCCGGGTTTAATAAGCTTCCGTGGGGTTGAACTAGAAATTAGGGTATAAAGAAACGGTGGACCGGCCAGGAAGAAGAATTGAAAGAACGGGTAACTGTGAGAAAAAATACCGCACGGCAGTTATGGAGAACAAGAGGAAGTGAAAAGAAGTGTGGGGGATCACTTCTAATACATGTATACCGTGCGATCAGTAGGCCTCGAGTTTACCTACGAAACGCGTTTCTCCCAATGCCCTCCCATCCTAAACACGTACGAGTTATAGCCAAGTCTACAAGCTTCGCCTCGCCTCACCCTTCTTGAGCTTGACAGTTTTTTATCCCACCACTTGCATCACTGCATCAAGGGCTGCAGATGGGGAATAAGTGTTTGATACGCGGATGATGCAGCACTTGTGGTTTGAGCTCGGGGGCCTTGGTGTTTCGGCAAGGGGGGCGCTTGGCGTAGCGAGCATAGCGAGCGTTACGAACGTTTATAAATAAATGTAAGATGGGTTAAGCGTAGAAGCGATATTGATCACGAGTGCGTTGAGGCGAGGATAATTAGAGACGTTGTGATGGTGATTTGCATGAGAGGGAGGAGGGAGCGCGGTGGTATGTAAGCATTCCTAATTAGGCATGTTTTGGGGATAGGCATGGATTACGGATGCGCATTGAAAGTCCTGCAGGCCGCAGGATGCTTGGGTAGCTGTGGCAGCCCTTGTGGCTCTGGACGCCCTGGTCGCTATACGCGCCGGCTGTGAAAGCTCACTGTAATCTACACATATCCAAGAGCCTGCTTATTCAGGGAAAAGGGACCGTGCGTTGAAGAAGGCCTGTTATCGTCCGCAGACATCACTCTTTTTACTCCCACGTAGTCGCTTTATTTTGCATATTTTCTCTGCATTTGATTTTTACACTTACAATGGCGGTGCTAGCGAGTCTGGAAACCGCATTCCGCTGTCGCTCGAGTGGTGAGATAGGGCAAGAAACAATGCGTGGGCGTTGAGTAACTATGGAGGCATGCATATACAAATAGGATGTGCAAAAGCAGGTGATACCAGAAGTTATAGCATAGCTAACGAAGAAAGACTTAGATACGGTAAGTAAAAAGACAAACGCAGTATCTTCTTGTTTAAAGTACAGCTGTGGTGATGTTGGTCCCCAAAAGGTCTGCACATATGCAAGAGTAAACACCAAGCATTCAAGACAACAGCGAGATGACAGTGTCTAAAAGAAGCAAAAAAGAATGAGAACAATACGAGTATTCCGTACTCCTCCATGAACAAAAGAACTACTGCCACTGTAAACCGCAAAAACTAACGATGAGCTTGCCCATTACCCGAATCGAACGAGTGATCTTCGCATTACAAGTGCGACGCCTTACCGCTTGCTATAGGATGTTAGTGAGCTTCTTTCGAAGAACTCGTGTAGGATAACTTACGCCAAACGGGCATTTCTACGCTGGGAAACGATTGTTGATGACTAATACAAATTAGAATAATTATATCAGTCTATAACATGTGGGCGTAGGGAGCGTTGAGCATATGATAAGCGAGGCTGTGGGGCAGCAGCGACGACGACAGTTGAAAGCAAGAGCTACCGGATGTACTCGACAAGCGAAAATCACAGCGAGACAAAGGAATGAAAGCAGCGATTTCCAATGCTGATGTTTGATATTCGATTCGTTCATCTCGTTAATAAAAAAAGAAAATCGCTATGCAAAAACCCCAATTTCTCAGCCGCCATAACAGGCAGGCAGGCAGGCAAACTGCCACAAATGACTTCCCAACACCCCTACCAAAAACGCCATGCTTCATGCTTCATGCTTCATGCCAAATGCTTCGCTTCATAACAAAGGAAATCCACAAGTCTCAAGAGAAAGTATTTAGGCCAGGCCAAAAACACCCCTCAACCTCCTCCAAAGCTCCTTACCCATCGCCTTCCTCGTATCCTCGGTTCGAAGCGCCGCCTCCTTGTTCTCGCTCGCCCTCCTCAGCAAAAAGTTAAGACACTCAGTGGTAGTACCCCAAGTCATGCACTTGACAACCTTAGCCTGTGTATCCGCCTTCATAGTCTCATCCTGCACAAGGGCCTGGGAGATTTCATCGGCCATGCCCTGGAGCTGTGCGTACGTGAGACGAGGCAAGTTCTCAGGAGACGTGGTGAGCATTTGCTGCGCGCGGATCTTCTGGGCTGCTTGGACGGAGGCGAGGTTGTGGGTTGCGAGGACAATGTTTACACGTGGGAAGGATGTGCCTGGGGTAGGGGCCGGGATCTTGTCGGTCCATTGTTGGCGGACAACGGCGTCGGCGCAGGCGTCGTAGTTGGCGTCTGTTCCGGCTTTGGTGTCGAAGGTGAGGTGTTTGGGTTCAGAGGTGAGGTAGGCGCCACGGACGAGCTTGACACCTGCGATGTAGCCTTTCTTTGAGGCGCGCTCGAGGTGTGCGGCCATGCGCTTGGAGATGTCGCGGAGGTAGCATTGGTAGGTGATGTAGAGGACGGCACGCCCATTTTCGGGCTTGTTGTACTTTTCTTGTAGGGCGAGGGTCCATTTCTCTAGACCGAGGTTCGTGGCTTCTTCTTCAGCGCCCGGAAGGAGGCTGACGCCTTTTGCGGCGGCGGCGTCGCAAGCGGCGGTGATGGCGGACCACATCTCGGGAGTGGCGTCTTGTTGGTTTTGGAGGAGGTTGAGGGCATGGCGACCGAGACCGGACCATCTAGACGGTGGTTAGTACATACTCTCAGAAGAGTAATTAGGAGGAATGCTTACTTCAGTCCAACAAAGTCGCCCTCCTTCGCCATGTCGACGCTCTGCAACATTCCCTTCCTCCATACCTCAATCTCCATCTTGGTCTCCTCAGCAGTAGGTGCTTTTCCACCAAGTACCTCAAGCGCATACTCAAATAGGATGCCACCATATCCAAGCGTACGTGCGAATTCAGTGTTCTTGACAACCTCATCCTTCTTCTCGCCAACACAGTATTGCGCGTAGAAAGTCTTCTTAAGCAAGTTGGACAGTACCGGGTTCCGCTCGATACTCAGCAGGAAAGACTTGGAGTCAAGCATACGCCGTAGGATGCCAAAGCAAGCATTCAGTAAGAGGGGTCGTGAGGATACGGCAGTGATGAGGTAGGAACGGAGAACAGTCTCAGTGGGCAGACGACCGAGAACTGCCTTTGTTTGTGCTATCTGTGACTCTGGCTGTGTGGAGAGAAGGTGTGCGGTCGAAACCTGTGATGCGTCGGCGGGGACAGAGACATTCTGCCGTGCGCTCTGGGAGACGTAACGCGGTGTGGATGCGAGAGTTCGAGATGTGTGTGCGAGAGCAAGGCTCTGGAAGCGCTGGAGGTTTTGTCTCCGGATCATCATGTTGAGATTGTGTATGTAGTTATGGCGCTTGGATGGTGTGTAGAAGCAGTGTGTGCAAGTGGGTGCAGTTTATGCTCGGAGTCGATGAATTGCTCTTTTTATAAAGTCTCGATACCAGCAAACTTGACAGAGAGAGCAATTCTGGAGGTCCTGTGACTTTGCACAATGCGCTCAACAGCCATATATACCATGGTTGGTACTCTTGGTGATCCACGATGTCGCGCACGATGCTCGGCTTGCGTCGGATGCGTACATGTCGCACTAGTGAGGCTTCATTGCTGCTCCAGATGGCGCCAGACTGACGCAGACCCGCGCTAGAAGGGCCGATGATTGGACAATGCTGTAACGCGTTTTTGTGGAGTAGTCGACATATTCGGTGGTTATGGCGACACGATGGTGTTGATGTAAACTGTTGCGTGTGATGTAATGGCGATTGTAGAGTGGCTGGCGAACTTATCATGCCTGCTCCCGAAAGCTGATGGCGTGGAATTACCAACCAAACACCACCTGCGACCCCTTGCTTTTGCCATGGCGATTGATCCCCAAGCTGACATCGTGACCTCGCAATGCCTGTTACCCCACAGTCGGCGAAATGCACATCCAGCCGCTCCTCACCTTAGCGTCATCTTTGCCCAGCACAGCTCTCGTTGCGATCTGTGTTAGATTTGCCGCTCACGCTGAGAGCCGAGCGTAGCCATGGCGGCACTGCTCATATGCCCAGGACCAGCCCCAAGGATTCAATTCTCCTGACAACATCATCTCCACTCAGGCTCTGGATCGGTACCACGCGCACCGGTATCGGCTACTATGGAGAAGAGAAGCAAATTTTTGTCATGGTTTAATGGGTAGTATGGCGACCGCGAGGAGGGCCGTTCTGGCTGCGGAAAGCGTCGGGGACCCACAACAACCCACGCCAAGTATCGTCGACGACTGCTTGTCTGGATTCGCGTCCTTCATAGCCTCACAGATGATACGATGCCTGCGGTTCTGGGGATAGAGTGCCCTGAGCGACGGCTGAAGATCTGTAGGTCATCGCAACGTGTTGTCACAGATCTGTTGTCACATGCACACGCATCTTCAATCAGCTTACGAGACACCAAAGCTAATTTCCTCCACAGGCATCATGTGCTACTTTTTGTCAAAGTTGTGGACCACTCATTCCCAAGTATTACTAAACTTAAGTTCAGATTACCCACGTCTTCTTTGGCCCTGACTAGAACAACCCTAACCTTGCTGGCAAACTAGTAAAATCCTCCGAGGCGCACTATACGAAGATATAGCGTTGAGATTTGTCTATACCGTATATCCATACTAGCGAACCGTCAAGGCTCGCTCATGTAGTTCATCCTCGTCTTTGCTGCATCACATCATCCATGGTACCACTACCGCTCTCGTCAATATTTCACAACATCACTCAGCTCCTCACACAGCGCCAGCCCCCGCCTCCGGCATTTTTGCCCCCGCCTGTCCAACCTGCACCTCCCCGTCACCACCTCCTTCCTTCCTACGTTCCTCACCACTAGCCAATGCTTTGAACGCCTCCAACAAATCATCCTTCAGATCCTCCCAACTCTCCACTCCCACACTAACTCTCAACAACCTCTCATCCACATCCGCATCGCTCATCCTGCGCCACTCAATCAGACTCTCCACACCTCCCAAACTAGTCGCGTGGTGGAAAAGGCGAAGTCTAGACGGTAAGATTCGTGCGAGGTGGTTGTCCTTCATGTAGATGCTGAAGACGGGGCCGAAACCATTAGGCATTTGTTGTTTGAGCCAGTGCATATCCGAGGTCTGTAGACTTGCATGGGCGATTTTCGCAACGACTTTGCTGACTGCGTCGTGATCTGATGCATCTTTGCTGGTGAGGGATGAGTGTAACCAGTGGACAAGCTTGTCCGCGTTACCACTCTGACGTTGAACACGCAGGTTCAACGTCCGTAGACTTCTCACGCCGAGCCAGCTTTCAAGACTACCCAGGACCGCACCAAGGAAAATCCTCTCCGCACGCATCGTCTTCGCTGTCTTTAAACCCTCTGCTCCTTTTGCTGTAGCTAGGATACCACAAAGCATATCGCTATGCCCCCCAATATATTTGGTACCAGAATGCATAACAATATCTGCGCCCCATAAGAAAGGGTCTTGCAATCCCGGTGGCGCAAATGTAGCATCAACACTAAGAAAAGCACCACGCTTGTGCGCTCGCGCTGCGTATTTCGCGATTTCAAAGGCTTCGCCAGTGGGATTCAAGGGTGTTTCCAGATGAACCAAGTCGCCTTTTCCCAGGCCAGCGGCGTCCCAGGCAGCATCATCAGCGTGCAGGTCTACAGTCTTGACGCCGTGCATCTTCTTGTGCAGGTCGATTACGCCATGGCAGCCGTGATAACCGCCACTAATCGCAATGACTTTCGGCACGAGATTGACGAGCAGAGCGTGGAAAGCGCTCAGCCCACTCGAATAACTGACAATGTGGTTCGCTAGCCCCTCACTCCCGTCCAGTTCTTCTTCCTTGGCATCTGGGTAGAAGAGTGGGGCGAGAATGGTTTCCAGGCGGTTCGTGCTGGCGGATGCGAGTCGCGAGTAGATCAAAGGTGTTTGCAGGTCGACGAATTCGCCTTCTGTGGGAACGGGCTGGAGTTTAGATGGGTCGTGGGGATACCGGAATGTGGTTGACGTGTGAATTGGAGGGGCGACGTCGGTGACAACGTTGATGCGGTCGTCGGCGTGGACGCCGTGTGTTGAGGGGTGGTATGGTGGCATGGTGCGTGGGCGTAGGCGTTGGCGTTGGAGGGCGTAGTACAGGTTTCGTGTGCTCTGAACCCAATACTGGTGTCAGATTGTGTATGCGTACTATGGCCAATTTAATGACACGGAAATTCGAAAGACTGCGAAATGATGTCTTGGATGTGTCCAATCAACAGGATTACTTGTCAATTGTCGAAGATGTCGACATCGCGCCCTATACGGCGAAATTGCGGACTACAACCGCTAGATCTAACCGTTCACGCCATTAGGGTGGAGCTCTACCGGCAATTGTGGACACGGTTGTTGCATGAGCTGGGGAGTAGTGGATATACGAAGCTTTCGAGTGATGTAGTGTTGGATAAGCTTCCGAAAACCTCAGCTAATCGAAGTCTGAACAGAGACTTAGATTCCTGTAGACTAGCATGAGATTGATTGATCCGTTATCACTTGAAGCGTATTTTTCCGCATAGGCTGTTGTAGTGCGGAATGTGCAAACTTATGACGAGTGCGGGGTAAAATGTTGCCCCTCTTTGCGACAAAAAAGTCGTTTAGTTGGGCGCGTGCGCAAGGCAAAGGGATATTTGGAGATAGTTTCAAAATGCATGTCAGACTGGCCAGATGTCATTCATTCGTAGTCGCCCAAAGAGTTACGGAGCCCCATTGACAATTGCTACCCAGTCACAAGCTGCCTATTGCACATGGACCCTTTCCTCAATGGTCGACAATAAGGTCGTTCCACCCTCACCATGGAATATCTACTGGACACCGGCACCAGTGATGGTAGGTGGGCCCTCCTTGTACTTGATGCTGCCGTTGTTGGAACCGCACGCCTCGATTGATCGGACGACCTTGTAGGACTCGACATCGCCATCGGGCACGCCGCCGAAGACGACATGCTTTCCGTTGAGCCATGAGGTAACGACGGTGGTGATGAAGAATTGGGAACCGTTGCTGTGACGTGTCAGCTATGCCTGCTATGTCCGAGTATGCAGAACCTACGTGTTGGGGCCAGCGTTGGCCATGGAGAGGAGGAAAGGGCGGTCGTGCTTCAGTTTGAAGTTCTCATCGGCGAACTTCTCGCCATAGATGCTCTTACCGCCGGTGCCCTGATACATGTTAGCCAGCTGCTCTTCTTATGTGTCAAGCCAGAGACTTACGTTGCCGCGGGTGAAGTCACCACCCTGGAGCATGAACTGGGGAATCACGCGGTGGAACTTTGAGCCCTGGTAGCCAAAGCCCTTCTCACCGGTGCAGAGAGCGCGGAAGTTCTCAGCTGTCTTGGGAACGACATCGTCGAAGAGTTCGAAGTTGACGCGACCGGTTTGCGCTAGAGAATTACATAGTTAGCGACCGAACCGAGCTTGTGAAAGTGATAGCTATGAGTTTAAAGAGTTCGTAGTACCTTTGACATCACCCTGGCTGGTGACGTTGCCGGCGTTGTCGACCTCAACAGTGGGCCCAGTCCAGGAGCAATCAAAGTAAGCCTTGATGGCCATGTTGTATGCCGAGGGAGTGAAGAAGCGTTTGTTGATGGGGGCGCGAAGTTGGGGAGCTGCACGGAAAGCTGAAAGAGTAGAAGCTCTCGGAAGGTGGGGCATGATGCAGCGCGGGGTGTGAGTCTAACCTGATAGGCAGTTAGGTCATGCTTCTTGGCAGTGAATCGTGAGATAGCAGGTAATTGTCGTCTGGACAATGCTGGGAATGCAAGGCTGATGTCTGGTGCTACTTTGTGGGGTGCAAACTTACTTTAGAGGTACTTGGTACTGTCAGATAGCTATTCACAACTCAATGATCGAGTTCCGCAAAGCCAACGGTGGCAACTTACGAGAATGATACGAGGAATCGGGCCGCTATGCAACACGATATGCAGGATTCAAGGAATATAATACAATTGATGGATTGCCGGCACGAGGTAGCAGTTGTAGTGACGGATGGATGACCAGACGGAAAACTTTGGATACCTCAAGCTTGTGCACGAGTCTAGCGCGTTCCCCGATCCGGCGCTTCATTGCTCACATCAATCGACGACTCTGTATGTGTAATTGCGATGCCAGAAGTTAGCAGTCGTATTCCTTGCATCAACGAAGACACACGATGCTATTGAATTGTGCCATTTCTATACATCAGGTCGTGCAACTGTTATAGTATGCTTGTTATTCAATCCGGGAGAACCTTGGAACCTTAGAAAGGTCCGAGCTTGCGTCACGTGAACCACGCGCCCTCACTATTCAGACTACTTCCTAGTATAGCTCGGGGGCAAGTCGTACGCCTTCCTAGAAATAGAGACCTTTGCGAGCTTGTCGATAATCTTCCCCGTGACACGAACATCTCTAACGCGAGCGCATAACTCTCTCCTTCCAAACACTTCCGCAAAGCGCCCTCGGTGGTCCGCTACCGAGACCGTGGTCGGGCATAGCTGCCACCTCGATCCCAGTACACTCACATCGCCATATCGCCAGAGCAACGCGCCAAAAACCTACAATCATGGATCTCAATAGCTTGAAGGATCAAGTGAGCAATCTCACGCTCTACGACCTCAAGGCGGGATTCCGCAAGGCCCAAAATGGTAGGCTGAGGGAAAGGGTGAAGCCAGCTGGCCCAATGCTAACGCGCTACATAGCGGTGATGAATTATACAGAGATGGAGGCCAAGGTCCGCGAGGCAACAAACAACGAGCCATGGGGTAAGCTGGCCCTGGTGCATCGCAAAGGCTTGAGCTGACAGACGGCAAGGTGCATCCTCGACTATGCTACAAGAGATTGCCAACGGAACCTTCAACTAGTAGGCGATGCCCAAGGAGCTGGCGGATTACGGCTAACAGAGTAGCCAACTACTGAACGAGATCATGCCCATGATCTATAAGCGCTTCACCGAGAAGGCCTCTGAAGAATGGAGACAGATCTACAAGGTACTTGGCCGCTCTCCTTGTCGCTAGCGTCGCTAACAGGCCAGGCGCTACAACTCCTCGAATACCTAATCAAGAACGGTTCGGAACGAGTTATTGACGATGCGCGCTCTCACGTCTCCCTCCTCAAGATGCTGCGGCAGTTCCACTTCATTGACCAGAACGGCAAAGATCAGGGCATCAACGTGCGCAACCGTGCCAAGGAGCTCGCCGAACTCCTCAGCGATGTCGACCGTATCCGAACTGAGCGCAAGAAGGCGCGAGCGAACCGAAACAAGTTTGGTGGTGTCGAGGGCGGAGCCGGCATCGGCATGGGTGGCTTATCAGGAAGCGGCAGCGGCGGTGGCAGCAGATACGGAGGGTTTGGCAGTGAGGAGCGGGCAGACTATGGCGGCTACAGAGGGGAAGTATATGGCGACGGCGGTGGCTTCGGGGGCAATCAATCTGGCTTCGCAGACACACAACAGAGACGCGACAAGTTCGACGAATACGACGAGTACGACGAGGGCGAGAGTGCTAGCCCAGCACCAGCACGGCGGAGAGAGCCCACAACCGCCCACGCAAAGAAAGAGGTCAAGAAGGAAGAACCGAAGCCGAAAGCGCCCGAGCCGGTCGTCGACTTGCTTGCCTTTGACGATGAGCCTGCACCCATGTCGACTTCGGCAGGGAAGCAACCCGTTACTGCTGCAAGTGACGACTTTGGCGACGACGATGATTTCGACGACTTCCAGTCTGCAGCACCGGCAGCACCTGCATCCAAGCCAGCGGCACCAGCTTACAACATCGTCTCCCCTGCGTCTACGTCTACCATTACCTCATCAACCCAATTCGCCGCTCCGCAAGCTCAGTCTTCTGCACAGAACAACAACTTCAGCAATCTGCTCGCTACAGTCTCGCCACCACCCGCGGCAAACAAGATGAGCGCACCTCCCTCCATGACCTCGAGCTTCTCGCAGCCACCGCAGCCGTCAGGATACCAAGCCTCAGGCCCGAACTACTTTACTTCCGTACCTCAGCCCGCTCCTCAATCAGCGTCGTCCACGCCTTCTGTCATGTCACCTGGTGGACGCATTGGTGGAGGTATTGGCGGAGGTGCCCCCAAGAAAGCTGGCGGCGACGCTTTCGCTTCTCTGCTTGCCGGAGCTGCACCTAAGAAGGCTTCTACACCAACACAAAAGGTTACCATGGGCGACCTGGCAAAGCAGAAGACTTCTCAAGGTCTTTGGGGCGCCCCGGCTTCTACGCCTAGTACGCCGGCTGCACAAACACCGCAATCAGGATCTAAGCCTGGCGGTGCTTTGGGAGATCTGCTAGGGTAGATGGTGTTACAGCGTGCAGTCATTTTCTTTATTGCTTGGTTTGAGGATACAAAATGCGGTATGCGGTTGTGAAAGTTGAGAGACGAGCGTAATAGACGACATGAACTCTTGATATCCTTGATGAACAAAGCGATGCTTCCCCGCAAATGCGCCGCTCTCATTGGCTCCGCTATTACCCCTGCATGCCAAACCTCCGCGGCCAAGACACTGCTGTTGACACGCGCAGGCATGTGAAAACATCATGCACCCCCCTTTCCGATCCTGAACATGCACAGATGGCATAGATGCAGCTCTCTCGCTTTCTTTTCCGCGTCGCCCTGTGCTTATTTCCCATAGCCTTGATCGGCACAACATGGCTATATCTCTACCCCATTTTCCACGGCTGCGCGTTTCCTAAACCCTCGTTTACCTCCTCCGCACACGGGCAAGTCATCGCACCGTTTCGCCTCCTCTCCTTAGGCGACCCTCAACTCGAGGGCGACTCCTCGCTTCCCGATCCAAATGCGCTTGTCTTCCCGTCGATCGAAAACCTCGTACCGAATCTGCGCGATGCGGCCAGTTCTGCAGCTAGACGAGTTTTGCTGACACAAGCAGCCAGAGGTGCTGTGAAGGATGCGGGGAAATGGCTAGAGGGGAAGAGGAAGGCAATAGATTTATGGGGCAATGACTGGTATCTTGCGCATATCGTGAGGAGTCTGAGGTGGTGGACACAACCTACGCATATTAGTGTGTTGGGGGATCTGCTGGGCAGTCAGTGGGTCACGGATGGGGAGTTCAGGAAGAGAGCAGGACGGTATTGGGGAATCGTTATGAAGGGATTGGAGAAGGTGCCGGATGTTATCTTTGGGGCGATTGGAGGTGGCGAGACGGAACAGGCGATAGAGACGACGGCAGAGCAAGAAGGAGGAGGGGAGATAGTAGAAGGGAAACAGGAGAAGGAGAGAAAGCCGCTATGGGGTGGCACAACAGAAGTCCTAGGCGCGGATCAAGACTGGCAAAAGCGCGTCATAAACATCGTCGGAAATCACGATGTCGGCTACGCCGGCGACATCGACGAATCGCGTATCGAGCGCTTCGAAAAAGCGTTTGGTGCTTCAAATTGGGACATCTGGTTCACTCTCCCAGACTCCTTGAGCTCTGCCAACAAGACTGTAGAGACCGACTCATCTACATCTACACAAGACAACGTCAGACCACCAACACTCCGCCTTGTAATCCTCAACTCAATGAACCTCGACACACCTGCCTGGTCCTCCGACCTCCAAACGGAAACTTATTCCTTCATGAATCACATCATAACCTCCTCCCTCCCCGTGGACGATAAAACACACGCTACTATCCTCCTCACACATATTCCGCTCGAAAAGGAAGCAGGTATCTGTGTCGACGCACCCTATTTCGATTTCTTCGAGGGAGGCCAGGGGCTCAAGGAGCAGAATATGCTGTCGGTCCATGCTAGTAAAATTGTTCTTGAAGGCTTATTTGGTATGAGTGCGAACAAAGATGCTGAAGGCGGAGGGCAGGGTAGAAGGGGCATTATACTCAACGGACACGATCACGCTGGCTGTGACGTTGTGCATTACATTCGGCAGCCTGGCGTACAGGATATGTGTCAGGTGGCAAATGTGAAGAGGGAGGAAGCATACTGGCCGGCCAGCACCGCGAACGACACCATGATCGCTACGAGTATGGATATAGATGGCGTGGATATCAACGTCGTGGCTGCCAACGACACTGACGCCGACACCGTCACTCAAACTGATACGCCCTCCGATTCTCCACCAGAGCCTACTCCGGAGCCGTCTCTGGAAGCTCCTGCCCCACCCAAATGGCGCGCTCACCGCTTCCCCACCCGCCCATACGATATAAGCAGCGATAATACCTGCACATCCATCAACGACGCACCCCATATCCGCGAAATCACGCTCCGCAGTATGATGGGAGAATACTCTGGCTATGCTGGGTTCCTATCAGGCTGGTTCGACCAGGACAAAGGAGAGAAGGGGGAATGGGTCTTTGAGTTCAGTTCGTGTGGGGTGGGTATCCAGCATTGGTGGTGGGGGGTTCATATCGTTGATCTGGTCTTGATGTTATGCATGTTAGTTGGAAGTGTGGTTTGGGGATATGAACGAGTAGTAGGGGATGGGGAGGTGAGATGGAAGGGCATTAGGATGGGTGGGGAGAAGATGAAAGGAGAGCAGGCTAAGAACGGAAGGGACGCGAAGACGGTGGTACATAGTACACGCGGGCGTACGTCTTCTGTCACGGAAGTTAGAGAACGAAAGATATAGATGAGAGTAGGAACTATGCCGAATGATCATGGCCAGGAATTTTTATTGACAAAATGCTGATATACCGGCTTGATACGATGACCATCGATAACCTGGTAAGCCACCGAGGCTCTTCTCATTACCTTCACAACCCATGCTTCCATTCCCTCAACCAACACTATATTTCTCAACCTTTCCTACCACCCTCTCTCTTGCTAACCTAAATCACACTAGTCCCCTTTAGTTTTAAACCGCCATACTCTTAACGTCAGCCGTAAGCTTCAGAAAGTTACTCTCAGCATTCCTAGCATCCTCTTTAATCATCTCCGCAGCCCCCTCCCCTATCCCGTACGCCACCATCTGCGTATGTCCATTGTTCACCTTGGGGATAGAAGACACATCCGCGACACGTAAATTCCTTACACCACGGACACGAAGTCGCGAGTCGAGAACGGCATTTGGATCGTCCGGTTTACCCATCGCGCAGGTACCTGATGCGTGGTAGCCTAAGTAGCGAGGAGGTATCAGCATCATCTCAACATGCCACAAAATAACAGTATCGACTTACAAGTCGTAGCATGTTCCCTAACATGCGGCTCCCACTCTTCCCTACTCTTAAACTCATGATGCGCCAACCCCTCTGGCCAACTCCCTTTAATAACATCCTTCGTTCCCTTGCCCTTCATGATAATTTCGTTAGCAAACCGACACGCCTCACTCATGACCAGCATATCGAGCGGGTCCTCAAGATACGCGTGGTCCACCACGGGGTTCTCCGTCGCGTCCTTGCTCTTCAACTTCACGCTCCCCCTGCTATGCTGGTTAAACAACAAAGCGCACATGGCGAACGCTTGTTTATGGTCGACTGGGAAATCAGCGTATTGCTTGGGCCCGCCGTAGAGTTCGGTGTTCCAGAACTCGATGTTGGGTTGCGAGGGGGTGAGGCCCATGGGGTCGCGGCCTGGGGCACGGGGTGCGTTGGTCCAGAGGGGGGAGTCGGCGAGGCGTTCGTCGAGGCGGGCGTAGCCGAATATGCCGAAGGGGAAGGTGGAGAGGATTCCGGTTTTCTTTTCTTGGTAGAGAGCGTAGGTTGATGCTATGGCGTTGTCATGGTAGGCGAGGTGATCGTTTGTTAGGTTGGGCTCGGAGACTTCGTAGAAGATGAAGCAGAGCTGTGGTTTTTGTGTTAGTTGGGCTGGGTTGTTGGTGCTGGGGGAGACCGGGGTTTAGGTGGTATACGTACGATGTGATCCATCAAGTTTCCTCCTACACCAGGTAGGTCGACGAGACACTCGATATCATGCTTTTCTAGCTGTTCTTTTGGCCCAAGACCTGAACGCATCAAGATTGGTGGACTGCAGTATGCGCCTGCTGCGACGATGACTTCTTTTCTGGCTTGGTAATCGATCTTTTTGCCGGTCTTCGTTATGGTAGCAACACCGGTTGCTGTGAGTTCTCTGGAGTCTTGGCTGAAGAGCAGCTTGTCGACAGTTACTTCAGTCTTTATTGTAATGTTTTCCCGTCGATAGCCCTTGGTGATGAAGTCGGCAGCTGTACTTCGGATACCTTGATGCACTGTTCGTGGTACGTCTCCACATCCATGTGGCGTCTCTCCAGTCGAAAACATGTCGGCGTGGTAAGGAAGGCCCTGGTCCACAAGGCTTTCTCTGACGCGTTCAGAGATGGGTGCTAGGTCATGGGGTTCGGTGTGCAGAGGTCCTGACGTCCCATGGACCGACATATCAGCTTTATGCCAGTCTTTCTCATGAAAGGTCTCAGACTGTGTCAAGGTCAGCTTCCATACCAAAGTAGCTCCAAATCTTCACAGCTTACCTTCTTCATGTACTCAAACATCTTATCCCCAGTCCACTCGTCCATCCCCCAATCATCATAATCCTGCTTCGTACCCCGTATACAAAGCGTGCCGTTAACACCACTCGATCCACCAAGGAAGCGCCCTCTGCTGACTTTGACCTGCCTGTTGTCGACCTTGGGCATGGGCTCTGTGACGATGTTCCAGTCTGTTTCGCTGTCGAAATTCTTGCTCCATCTGCAACGGACTAATGAGCAAGGATTCAACTAACGCCATGAACAAAAGACAACCCACCCTCCTGCCATATGTACATTCTCAAGATCGGCATTGTCAGGTCCGGCTTCTAGGACCAGAATTTTGGCATTGAGGTCTTCCGCGAGACGGCCTGCTATCACGCAGCCTGATGTGCCACCACTGATAGGTTTTCGTTAGCACTCGTCCTTCAAGGATCTAATAGTCGGAATCCGATCCGACAGTCTTCTTTATAAGGGCTCAATTTACCCGCAGATAATGTAGTCGTAGACCTCCGTAGGGTCAACCGAGTCGACGCGTTCAAGAGACATGGCTGCGATTTTGAGTTTCCAAAGAGGATGTTCACCTTCACATTCCCTGCACGAGGTCAAAGGCCATATAAAGTACCCAAACGCTTAGTTAGTCCGAGCTATGTGCCACGGAACGGAACCGCACTGCACGGTAGCGCAACGGGACGTGCTTCCACGTCACGCAATGTACCAAATGCAAGAGGCTTACTTCGCATGAGCTAACGCCCTTGCTTATAGAATCTCACCATAGCGCAACGAAGGAACCGATCCAGCATCTTTGATTTAGCAGTCTAGCATTTATTATCGTGTCAGAGTATATTATTACCACCCTCAAGGCTGTCACCTCGCTGGGCAGCGGAATCAGTCCGTGTGGGTCGATCACGCAGCATTTTAGGTTTGGGCCTAGTCCATCTTTTGGGGCGTCTACAAAGAATCAAGGGCTCGTGGAGCTGGGGTAGCGCGGTATAGGACGAATCAGCGCGAAATGGTGGGGATGTAGTGCTCTTTGAGTTGGTGCCCGGTTGGGTAGATGCTCACCCTGGCGCGTGCGTTGCGGGGTAATCCCGTGTACCCGAAGGGCTATGCCAAATACATCGACTTATTATCTTGTGAAGTGTGTATCAAAAACTCACTGTGGGATGTTTCAGTACATTGTGACGATCAATACATGCAAGGCGGTGTTGGTGTTGTCGTTCATAGCAAGCTTATGGCGACTATTGCGTTCTTGCTGTCAAATATGTTTAGCATATACATCGATTTACTAGAGGAAACAACGTGTTCGAAGAGACCACCGCGAAACATACCAACGCATTTTGATATGGGGACAGGAATGTACTAACTTCTACATTCTATCCCATCCCAAGTGACTAAGGCCGACAAGTGACGTTATATAAGTATGTCCCTGTCTATACTCGAGCTATTCTATCCAGCGTCGCATGCCTGCGTCTGCTGAACTAAGGCTCTTTCGTCACACTTCATATGTTTTTAGGTCTTCATCCATTCTCAACGAGCTAGTACCCACCGCCAAAGCCTCCACGACTACGATTTCCACCTCGTCCGCGTCCGGCATCACCACGGGGACCAGGAGCAGCCGTAGGCGGAGCAATAGGAGCCTGAAAGCCAGGAGGCGGTATCTTACTGCGAGTCTCGCGCCTATTGATCATATGTCAGTCGCATCTCGAAACAGCAAGAAGTCGTCTCATATCTTACCAGTTAGGGTACTTCATCATGGACCTACCAGAGGCCCAAGTTAGTCCCCGCTGCTTCTCTTGCTCGGCGACAACCTCTTGGGAATCTTGTAGCCCTCGAGCTGCCTGAAGAGGAGGAAGAACAAGGCCGCCCCACTTCTTGTAATGACGTACTAGCAGGAGATCGACCAACGCCGCGTTGGAAACAATAGACGCGATGCCAGGGTGGACATCGTCGCGATGTGTCATGCCCCAAATGATCTGATCCATCGCATTCTCGTTGTTCTCCACGAGATCCTGATGAGTGTCAGTAGTTGATAAATAGATTGCGGGGTGAAGGTGAAAAAGGATGAGCGATGAGTTGGTGTTGAAACTCTGTGAAGAGAAGTTGGAGGAGCTTACTATGGCGTTGCTAACGTCTACAACTGTAGAGACATCCGAATCGTGGTTGTAGTTGGCGGGCTTGCTCTTATACGAGCGCCAGTATACTATCATGCTGCCGTCCGCGTAGGCTTCGAAGTCGTTGACTTCGTGGCTGGTCTTGCGACTGCGACCTTGGAGGTATTCGATCTTGGCGTTGAAGGCGTTGTTGTCCGACATCTTGGAACGTTCTTGATGATCTGGGATTTGGAAACTTATGAAGCCTATCAGCTAAGTTGTCTCCAATGAAGGAATGACGGGACTTACTATATGTGTTGCAAAGTAGTCAGAAGGGCAGTGCTCAGGGGGAGATACTGTTTTCGTTGTAGATGTAGGAACGAAAGAAGAAGGGAGAGTAGGTGGGGGGCAGATTATATACAGACAGGAAGGCGCTCCATCTGGCGCGGAAGCACTTAATCCTCCTTCACGTCGAGAAGTAAAAGACAGAAGGCAAGAGACGGCTTTGGAAAGATCGCGGCACGATGTGAGAGCGGCGGTCACCCGAATATCGAAGGTGAAGGCTGTCAGAAGCGACGGTCACCCAGGTTGAAGACGTTAGGGGAAAGGTATAGCTAAAGATCCTGGATGATGATGTTAATGATGGAATTAAGCTGAAGGGAACATAGTTGTAGAAATACCACGTTGGAGTAGCAAGCATAATTTCCGTCACCAGGGGATGGGTGTAGTTGGATCGTGACCAAGCGCACAACTCGCCTGACACGTAGCGAGCAACCCAGCACGACGCGTGCACGCTCCGCTTCCCTGGCATCTTTGGAATAGCTTCCAAGCGGGTACCGCTGCCTGAATCTCATGCGATAGTTACGTGAAGGCCACACAGTACAGGAAGCTAGTACTCCCCACGGAAAGCAGCAATGAAGACATCATACACTCGACGTTTGTTGCAGGACGGTGACAGTCTCATATATCCACGACTTCAATGGACGTCGTGAAGACGTCCTATCTCTTCCATACAACCGCATCATTTCCCGTGTGTTTCGAACGGTACCAAGATCCGTAGTTTCTCTCGCCGCCGAGAGTGCAGCAAGCTCCTAGCGAAAAGGCAAGCGTACTGGCGTATCAATATGTGTAGTTCGACGAGACCAAATCAGGGCTAGAGAGCGTTGCGATACTCCACTATTCACGTCCGTGCTACGGAATGGACAACCACAGCGTGAGAATCGCACGTGCCCCCAGCACCCGCCCTTCTACATTATAAATACGATAGGTTCTCAGGACCTTACGCCTTTACATACATTACCGATCCATCAAGACTCCCCAACCATCATCAACGATACCAAGTATGTCGCAACAAGCAGCACCGTACACGTCTGGAATGGGTTACCGATGTTACATCGCTTCTCCAGCAAGGCTTGCCAGCCTCGAAGCCAACAACATGCCAGATTTCGCATCGATGAAGTATGTGATCCTTCGAAAGGAAATAAAACTGCGCGGAATGTTCGACTATGGAAAGAAGCTACACATGGTCGCTAGGCTGGAGGGGCATTTTAGATGGATGCGTGCAGAACACGAGAGGGGATCGGCGACGTATCAAGTTCGGCGTCTACGTGAACGCGCAAAACTCATGCTTACCAGCAAGTTCAAGGCAGAATCCTCTAGAGTATCCTTTACGGACTTGCCTGGCGAGATGCGAAACATGATCTACGATCTCGCCCTCTTCGACCCTTTTTCAGGAAAATCAAGTGAGGTTGAGATGGAGGACTCGGGCGATTATGCAGAAGCCGGAAATTGGGTAATCCCTGTCAGCATTGTCTTTTTCTTTTTGGGTGATCCTGTGGCACACCTTCCGGAGCTTCGTACCCTTTCGGTGTTGAACGTTATCGCCGCCTTGAACAAGCAGCTTCGGCAGGAGGTACATACGTTCTTCTGGTCTCGCATCAAGGTCGACCTACGCCCTTCCGTCCAACCGTCCTGCTGCTCCCTCGTTGTTCAGTTCCTTAAGAAGATCGGTCCCCATGGCAGAAGCGCTCTTGCAGGCCTAAGTGCATATCCAGTATCCGCAAGATCTCCAGATCATCATCATCTGAATTACCAAGCCATGGTCACATTTTTGCGGGAGTGCAAGAATTTGCAGACCTTCGGTCTATATCTACCGATACACATGATGATGGGCCCTCCGGACCGGATGGGGATGGAGAATTTCTTCTTACGCGGTCATCCTCTTAGTAGTCCTAGCATGGACCATCTTGTAGGCGTACTGCACTCGCTTCCACAACTGCGCTCTGCACGGCTGCAGATGGACTCCAGCATGGTAGAAGGCATTCACGCTCTGTCTAATCACCAAAGGTACCCCGGCTTTCTTCGTTTCGCGTTTTCAGGGGTACGTGAAGGGCGTTTGGTTCAAGAGTTTCGCACGCGCCTTCGAGCTCGTCAAGATGTCGAGTTCCAAATCATGGCTCCGGTGGATCAGGTTGAGTTATATGAAGAATGGCTATCGCAGTTTCCGGACGAAAGGCTACCCTGATGATGAATCAAGATTCCTAGAAGCGCAGAGCTGGAAACACATCCAGCGAAGGTGCGCGAAAGTTTCGTCGGGCGCAGTAGGCTCTATCATCGGTGAATGGGAATGAAGGCATAGCACCTATCAGTTTAGCATGGCGTAGAGAAATGCTGAAATATAAAGATGTCAACGCCTGTACTTCGCGCTAAGCAGGTGAATAGATTATGATGGCCCTTGTCTTCGCTGTAGTATCTAGCGTGTCATCGCTACGCATCTGAACAACTAGTAAGGTCTGCTCGAGAGGGGAGAGTGCCACGATAGAGTCACTGGATAGAGAGAGAAAACACAGTGACTGAATATCGTGATTTCTTGATATATGTGCGGATTTCGAGGTGTTGGCTGAAGCTAATTGGATGTTGGTGAAGCTTGTCAAGAAACGCGCGACGCGGTAGGTGGGGAAGACGCGTTTAATTACTCAGCACGCTACCAGTACTTTCAACCCTTCGTCATCAGCATCCAGATGCATCGCTCTCTCACGTCACCCTAATTACCACCAAACACAAGCAGGCTCTGCACATTAACCATACCGAATCCACGCTCTCGCAATAACCTACGCCCACGATGGGCTGGAAATTCTGCGACGACCACGGCCATGACGGTCTCTACACCAGCCTCTTTCAAAAGAGATAGTACCGCGCAAAGCGTCTCACCTGTCGACAATACATCATCCACCACTACAATTGTCTCGCAGCCGAGGATTGCGCCCCGCTCTATATCAATGCGCTTCTCGACCTTTGGTTGATCAGAAGCTAAAGAAGAGATATACGACGCATCTTTGGTGACGGAGAAGGTAGGCGGTGGAAGCTTACCAGCTTCGCGAATCGGCAAAAGGGGCACTCCAACCTGCGAGGCCAACGCCGGCGCAAAAACGAGGCCGCCCACCTCGCAACATACGATGGCATCAACTTTTGCCCAAGTTCCGGTGAAATGACTCTGTAGCAGTGATGCGCAAAGAGCAAGACCGCCTGGCCGCTGCGAGATCCCAAGTACATGCCGAAACTGGATGCCTGGCCTGGGGAAATCTGGGACTGAGCACACCATATCAGCCAGTCGATGGAGGTCGTTGTGAATCAACGGAATTAAGTGAGATTCAGCAAACTCACGTACTGCCTTTTCTCCTGGTAGGTCGTTTTCGAAGGTCAAGTCTGGGCGATATTGCGAAGCCGTCACTTTTTCCTCATTATCGGCCACTACCCCACGAACGACTCGTAAGGCCTCACTGGCTTCAACGTGGACTTCGATCACTTTACTCTCCGGCACTAGATGGCAGAAGCATGCGACAGGTGCCTCATCTCTCATACCTGTGATGAACAGAACATCGATATTCGCGTCTGTGGCATCATGCACGAGTTTCTGGAAGTGGTCTTCGGGTAACCTCGGTCGTCGTCGCATCTGCTCCTGGTAGAAGGCCGTCAACTTTGCACGATGCTGCTCCTTGTACGCACGGTCCTCTAAGAGGCGACCAAATTCAGCACCTGTAGCCTCAGCGTATTCACTTTTCGTCGCGTCACTAATGCGTACAGTTTGCGCGCGGATGCCGAGCATTGAGAAAGACGCGTTGCCTTGTAGTGCCGTGAAGACGGAAACCCATACGGCAGCACAATAGTCTTTACCAGCACCATGTTCACCAGTAACAAGGATGATGAGCTTTGGCAATGGTGGTTTCGGCAGCGGACAAGTCCATGCCAACACGTTGTGAGGATCCATCACGCGCTTGAGACAACCGAGACGTACGGCATTCGGTCCGAAAGCTCGCTCAGCTAACGGTCCATCTCGGGGGTCTGGGCCAAGATCCGCTCCGTACGTCCCATCGCTCAAGGGCAGTAAGCTCTCGACGACTTTGTATACCCATTGCACTGAAGCATGCATAACATGAGTACCATCTTCATGCCGAGGCCATACCCCCGTGATGACGCAAGCGAAGTCCCAGTCTCGACAACCAAAAGCAGTTGCATTCCATGCGACATCGCGAGCCTTTCCGCCACCGTGTAGCAGATGAAGATAGCAGAATGGCGATGGACGAGATTCGACCGCTGCGACTAAGCGATGAGCAATCCTATACTTTCCAATACCCTTGAGAAACACACATCGTTTGAAGGATGACGTTTTGCCGCCGCCGTGCCCACCGTGCATTGCGGACATGTACATCTCGGCCTCGAACGCTTCCGAGCCGTTCATGGTTTTGAAGTTGCTCTCTGTTCCCCATATATCGCCTTCGGGCTTGGATCTGCTTATCGTAGGTGGCGTGGAGGATGTGAGTATTTCATATGTCGTCATTCCAAGGTTCAGTCGTCCGTTCTCCCAATAGAGGTATGCGTCAGCTGAGCAAAGGGAATCGCACTCTTTTGCGACTATCTCATCGAAATCGCGAAGTCTTCTCTTGGCATCGGCCTTGCCACTCAGTGGAAGTACCCAATTCCGCGTTACGTAGGTTGGAGCGGGATGAGCCTTCACTATGACGCTGATCACAACACCAAAGTTCGTTCCGGCGCCTTTCAGAGCCCACAGTACGTCAGCTTCGTTGTCAGGACGGCTGGCTCCCACTGGGCGATGCTCACTCGGAACACCACCGACATAGAAGATCTCTCCAGAAGCTACGCTGACCATCACAGCGCCAACTATGTTATCGCAGGTGAGTCCATGTAGTCTAGTAAGATGTCCGATGCCACCCTGTAAACAGAGGCCAATTCCAACACTTGGACGAGATCCTAGGGGTACCGTAAGATCCTCACTTAGCGTCTTGCTGATGATGTCATCTGTCTTACATCCGGCCCCGACGACGACCAATGCACCTGAGCTAGTGTCTTCCTTTTCATCCTTCTCTACCCCTCTAAGCACATGTACATCGTCGAAAGCACTCATGTCAATAGCCACAACATTGGACCTGAGACAGTGCGCACTATGTCCTCCACCAACAACAGTCAAACCCAGCCCATGCTTGAGTGCCCACCGGATGCAATCTCGCACGTTCTCCACGCTCTCCGGTCTAACAATAGTGGCAGGGTGCTGCAGACGAGCTTCCTTGCTCTTAACCATTCTCTTCTCTAGCACCAGAGGCATACACATCTCCAACTCTGACACCGTATCTGCGTGTTGGTTAAAAGTCATCATCACTTCAGGCGCACTGAATAGAAGGATTTTCGGATGAGCATCTTCATGGCGGGCCAAATCACGGCATAGCTTTCGCCACAACGCTCGAACAGCCTTGTCTTCGTCAGTATCTTGCATGGTGAAGCCAGCGACGAAAGACGCAAAGCGATCCAACGCGTCGTCATCGTCTGCTACACCGACGAGCCCAGTAGGAGAGGAAGCTGTATGGTGATAGGCCAAACCATCGATGTGCAGACCTTCGGCGCGATGGAAGACGGCGACAACTCCACCGTCGATGAGCATCTTCAACGCCTGCTGAATAAACTTGTGCTGCGGCTTCATACCATACATGCTATGGCAAAACAGGATGATGTCGTACTTCTTGATCCTTGCCATTTCGTCATCTGAACCAAATGGAGCCTGATGGATGGTAGGACCGTTCTCTAAGCCTACGAATGGAGCGTTCGACATCGTACCCGACTTTCCATCGCTGCTCAAAAACTTCTTCAACTGCAACGCGAACAATAGATTAGGCTCAAAAGCAGTATATGTCCCAATTTTCCTTCTCAGGCTCTCGGGTAGATGACCAAAAACGCTCTTTGGCCCTGGCCCTATCTCCAGAACCGAAACCAGGGCGTTCGATTTATGCAGAGGGGCCAGCAGGTAGGATAGTTCGGGAATGATGAAGTCGCGGTAGGTTGCCCATCCATGACCTTGGATAAAGGCGTCGAAGCCGGCTGCATATTGCTCGTCGGTTAGAGAGTTTCTGGGGGAGGAGGAGATTATGGCGTTGGCGTTGAGTATTAGGGCGCGCTTCAAGTTAGTGAGTGTGGCCATGGTAGGCTGGCGCTGGTGCGCTTGTATGCTGATTGATTTAGGTATTCAAATGCTAGTGTGATGATAGAGTATGATGGTACGGAGTTGTCACAACGTTATTCTGCGGGCAAATAGGCTATGCGGGGACTGCATTGTTTGTTATAGTAGCAAACGCAGGATCGATATGCATATCCACACGCCCAAATCCAAGTATGAACAGCCGTGCATCCCAGCAATGAGAGAGCGGCAATGCACATCTGCGACATGCGCAATGTAGCTTGATCGTCTCCGAGCCTTCAATGTGTAAATCGTCGAACGACTTACCAGAGTCAATTCTCTCGTGTAACCAAAGCTTATGAAATATGATACCTTCGAAATCATTTTCGACAAAGTGTGTGCAATGATTAGAATCGTCTTCCAGAGCTTCACGGTTCAAGCACAGCAACAAGGCTGTGCATAAGCTGTGCACTCATGCATATCGCATGCGTTGTGTAACATGCTCGTACCACCAATAGTACATGGAGATAACATTGTGCCAGCTTTTCCATCAGTGGTTCGCTAAAATCCTGTTTGGCGGTTGCTGCGCGCCCCACCATGTACATGAGAAGTTCTCGGCGTATCGTTTCTTTGCATGTGATGGTTGTAAATACGGTAAGTAGGTCGTTGTTGCCACACAAGGCGCAAGAGGGGAAAGGTTGGGTTGTTTTCAATAACAGTGTTTCCAGGACGAGTATACGCATAGTAGTACTAGGTAAGTACGTTGCTTCTGTTTTAGAGAGGTTTGATATCGTAGTGAAGGGCAAAAAGTGTGTTCAGTGCCGACATTGCTCTTAGATAATGAACGCCACAATTCAGCAAGACAGATCTGTAGCAGAGCAAAAAAGGTATCACTCGAAGTGACTCGCACTTCTTCGTAATGACTCATCGGAGGTTTGAACTCCGGACCTTCAGTGTACTAACGGGCTTTTGAGGGCCTTTGTTAGACTGACGTGATAACCAACTACACCAACGAGCCTTGTTCGATGAAAACAAGTTTGAATACATCAATAATATAGTTGAGTAAATATGACTTGAAAAGTTCCGGCTCTGCAAAACCTTCATCGAAAGTGCGACGATCAGTTGTCTTGCCAGCGAGACCGTATGGATAGTGAAATTTCTGTAGTGCGGGGCCGTTGGAGGCTTGGAGCTGATCCAATGGACATGGTTGGACGATATGGTTGGTCCCACCAAACATCAACGACTACCCACTTCATAGTACGGTAACGACAGACTTAAATGTAACAGGATGGCTCGACACAGGGCGATGCGCTCGAAGAAGAGCGTTGTATGGGCAATTGTAATAAAGTTGGTATCGCTCATCGTGAGACTATGGCGGGGAATTGTTTGACGATGTATGTGCGCGACCTTTGATAATCGCGCCAAATCCATATTCCTGACCAGGGGCTTGCTTCTGCTCTAAGTTGGAGAGAAGCGAATTGATCGAAGTGGGTGCTTTCGATACGAACACTGTGATTGTGGTCGGAAATCTCCACAGCGACGGTAGCTGCCACGCCAAAAACTCAACCTTTGTCTCAGACTTTCCAAAGCTTGACCTGCTCCTACCAAGATCAGCGACAGCTTGGAAACGGGTAGCTACCAGCCAGCAACCAGCTAGGCGGCCGATCTGCACCGCTCAACGCTCGTGGAAGGCTACCACCCGAACGGGATCTGTAACGGGGCTTGGTACAGCTGGGCGACCAACGGCTTTTCTTGTGCGCGTATTGAGCGAGCGAGGTCGTCATTAGATGCGCCGATGTAGTGGTAGCAACGATACTAAATTATGAAGTCTTTTAGACATGATGGTGAGCATGAAGCCGTCGCCTTGAAAGTTTGCAGGTGTTGGCGCTACGAACGCGTCGCGTGCCCGAGAAGGAACGGGGTGGAGTGAACACCGCCGGCCACCAGCAACTCACGCCTCTGAACTTCTTACTCGCCGACACCCTCATGATGAATGATGAACTCTCTCTTTCGTACAGCAAAAGAGGCCAAGCTGCGCAGTTCATCGCAATAACGACAGCCCTACTCAATTCGATGCATCGAGGCTGCGGGGTGAGCACAGTCCCGCCCAAGCAAGCACACGTCAGCTGCACACGCGCACCGTTCATCACATCACGACAAATACCATGACAAGCACCGCTCCAAGACTCATGCTGCGCTTCCTGCATGCGTCTGGAAACGGTGCGAATCCAGCGACCTCCCCGTAGCCAAGACCTCCATGTGTCGCACCTCCGTAGGAGTGCCAGCCACGGGGTAGCGCGCTACACCAATGCGGGAATCATAGCCTAAAAACGGACCACATCTAAAACCTCACATCGCGTCTCTTAAGCCGCGACCCCAGTACTTCGCTCCGCTGAACTATTCACATCCCCACTTGTTCAAGACGCCAAGTGTTGCGATCAAGGCTTGCCCCTTCGAAGCTCATCGCCGAGGCCTGTCAGTCTGGCCCCTTTGCCCCAGACGAACGCTGTGGAGGAGGGCCGCCTAAGGGTCGCATCTTACGCCCTCTTGCCTGAGAATCCGGCGATCGATGCTCACCTGGGTAGACGATCCTTCGAACCGAACTTCTCCTGCCTCCGGTATAACGCTGATACTTGGCAAGGCAGCCTAACGCTGGGGCTACGGGCTTGGGGTCCTAAGCATTACCCAGTCCCCTTCTACAGCTGTCAGAAGGCTTTAGATTTGAGCTTAGCTATGTTCCAAGGCCAGGAGATCGAGATATGGCGTATGGTACGCATTAACATGAAGAAGAATTGTCGACGAAGACCTAGTTTGGGCTGGATGTGACGTGTGCACCATTCACCCAACATGGGAATCTACCTTATGTGCTTTAAGTAGATCTCTTTATCAACGCGCAAGCAGATCTAGTTTTAGCACGCAGCAGAGCATCCTCAGCAGGAACTCCTCCGCGGCCAGCTCGAGGCCTCGACTAATCGCAGCGCTCGAGACCGCGGTCACTGACCCACTTGCAGCACCAGCACTATGCATTAGTCTCGGCAGCTAGCATCGCTCTCCAGGCTTATCTGACCTTGGCTCCGCATCACAAAAGTTTCGACTCAACATCAAACGGCGGGAGAAGCTTGGCATAGACTTCCAAAGCCAAAGCTCTGCCATGCTATGCTTGCCGCCACTTGGCGCGGCTTCAGGAAAGTTTCACACCTACGCCGATATGGCTAATTCATCTTGGCGGTGAGCAACGATGAACCTGCGATACTATGACCATTGAGACACGATAGGTTGCGTATAAGAAGACAATGAACCCACTTCTTCTATTCTCCAGTCCGGTCACTCACTTCAATTCACTACCAACCAACTTTCACTTCTGTCGCCGGGCGACCTCTATCACTTAGTACATTTATTGATCCCTCTAATCGTTCATCGAACTTCGATCATTCATTACTACCCATACCACCTAATCGAAAGATTTAAGCAACCCAAACCGACAACATGCTTCCCCAACACGTCCTCTTCGCGCTCGTCGCCACCGTCGCCGCTGTCCCGCTTAACATCAACTTGGGAGCCTACTCGCCTGCCCTGGTAGTCGGTGATGGAGAGATCTCACTGGGATCAACAGAATCAGCTTCACAGTTGATGTCTACGCTCGCTTCGGGAGCAGCAGCCAACGCCGGCGGGGAGGGCGCAGCACAAGGTCAGCAAGAACAACCAGCCGCCGCCGAACAGCCCGCAGCAGCTGAAGGCGAGCAACCTCAAGAACAACCAGCTGAAGGAGAAACAGCTAAGCGATCCGTCCTCCGCCGCGCCATTAGCGACATCCTCGGCAAGCGTGCCCCCGCTCCCGTCGAGCCCAAGATGGCCGCCGTCGAAGAGGCCATGCAGTGGATCAAGCGCGATCTCGCTGGCTTCAACGCTGCTCTCGGTTACGCCAAGGAGGCCCAGAAGGATATGCCCAAGGTCGAGATGGGCACTGAGAACGCTGGTGTCGGTCTGCTCGTCAACCCCGGTGTCAACGTTCCCAAAGACTCTGCCGCCGCCGGCACCCCACCTGCTGAGAAGAAGGCAAAGCGCGACGAGGTTGTCGAAGAGGAGGATGCACCCAAGATGACTCTTGTCGCCATCACCGAAGTTTGAAGCAATATACCCAACTTTGCGGATTTCACCAGCCGAAGACGTCACGCGCCATGGGGGATGAAGTTGTCGACTTCAGTTTTGCCACGGGGCTAGATTTTTTCAAACTGTCGAGTTAAGATCTTTTCTTTTCAGCGAACATCAGCAGGATCCCGCCCATTGTGCGGACCGGAAGATGAGGAGTTTTGGGTAACAATGGTATGGATGGATGAATGAGTCAATCGAAGATGATAACAAAAGGTCGCAAGATTTCAATAAATTACTATTTGATCAACTCATGGTTCCCTATTATTCTTACTGTTACGATGTTGCTGATAATGCTGACAATGCATCTTCCCTACCAGATACAAGCAATCATGTCGACTCGGTTCCTGTCACGGTCCTTACAGTTGGAACCCACCCGCATTAACGCCGTATCCGCGATAGCCGATACACGAATTTAACGTTTTATCCGCGTCGCCACCACCAACGATCCGACATTCTGACGTTCAACCAAGCAGAACTCCCAAGTCGCAGTAAAGTCTCAGCAACGTGCTTGCAGCTCTTGGCGAAGTGCTTGAATTTCGGAAACCAGGGTACCGGAGCGGAACGTGAAACAGTGCCCTGTAGACTGGTCTGTGCAGTAGATGGGGAATAATGCGGCTAGGGCAAAAAGGAACGGTGCTAGGAAATCGTATTGTTTTCTTTGCGGACGGTTGATTGGATATTGTGATGTTGGTAACGTGTTTTATAAGCGAGTCGTCCTTACAAGCGAGTCGTCCACCCCACCAACTTTGATCACCTTTGAAGATCAAATCAGTTATGCCTCAACGCCAACAAGCTCTATTGCGCTCATCTGAAGCTGATATGCAGCTTACTATATCATCTCTTAATAGCCACCAGATCAAGACTGAGAGAGCTGCTGCTCGCGCGTTTAACGTCCCTCGAATGACGCTACGCGACCGACGCGCTGGCAGGCTTGCACGACGCGATTGCCAGCCCAACTCAAAGAAGCTTACCCAGCTAGAGGAGGAGGTAATTATTAGACATATACTCGACCTTGATCAGCGAGGATTTGGGCCTACGTATACAGCTGCGCGCGATATGGCTAATAAGCTGCTTGCTGCGCGTGGCGCAGGTCGCGTTGGCGTCCACTGGCCGCGCAACTTTGTCAAGCGTACAGACAGTCTTATGACGCGTTTTAATCGATCGTACGATAGGCAGAGAGCTCTATGCGAGGATCCTGTGCTAATCAGCCGCTGGTTTAAGCTGGTAGAGGAGACAAAGGCCAAGTACGGCATCTGTGATGAGGACGTCTACAACTTTGACGAGGCTGGCTTTATGATGGGCAAGATCCAGACTTAGCTAGTTATCACAGGGTCAGAGAGGAGAGGCAGGCCAAAGACTATCCAGCCTGGCAACCGCGAGTGGGTGACGGTAATTGCTGCAATCAACGCTGCTGGCTGGACAATCCCACCGTTCCTCATCTTTGCTGGCAAGTATCACCTGTCAGCCTGGTACGAGGAGGATATCCTACGCGACTGGGCTATCGCAGTTAGCGACAACGGCTGGACAACCAACGAGATAGGAGTAGAGTGGCTAAAGCACTTTATTAAGCATACTGAGGGCAAGGTAGTTGGAGCACGCCGCCTGCTTATCCTTGACGGCCACGAGAGCCACCAGTCTCTTGAGTTTCAAGAGCTCTGCAAGGAGAGCAATATCTACACGCTCTGCATGCCAGCTCACTCATCTCACCTACTGCAGCCTCTTGACGTAGGCTGCTTCTCGCCTATGAAGCGCGCGTACAGCCGTGAGATTGAGGCTCTAATGCGCTACAATATCAACCATATCACCAAGCTCGAATTCCTGCCAGCCTTTAAGGCAGCCTTTGATCGATCGTTCACCTTAGCCAATATCTGCTCAGCTTTTCGAGGCGCAGGCCTAGCCCCTCTCCAGCCAGACGCTGTTCTATCAAAGCTCAACGTGCAGCTGCGTACGCCTACTCCACCAGCTGCTCTCGCAGAGCCTCCCTGGGAGGCTCGTACACCAAGCAACGTACGTGAGCTTGAGGCTCAATCAACGTTAATACGTGATCGCGTGCGGCAGCATAAGAGCTCATCACCAGCCTCGATTATTGAGGCGATTAACCAGCTTAAAAGGGGGCTGAGGTGATGATGCTCTCAGCCGAGCTTATGCGCGATCAGATTACCTGCCTTGAGAGAGCCAACGAGGCAGCAACTAAGCGTAGGCAGCGCAAAAGAAACGGATACAGAAGCGTGAGACCTTAACAAAGGGAGAGGGAGAGGATATACTAGCTCAAAAGGAGGCTGACCAGCAGATTGAGCGTGAACAGCGTCAAGGTGGTGAGCGATCAGGCCTTAGCCGCCAGGCTATTGCGCGCTGCAGGAGGTGCAGGGAGACTGGGCACAACTCACGAACGTGCAAAAAGGATGCTGTAGATACTATTTAATCTACTATATTAATCGCTTTGTTCTACCTTATTACGTTGTTGCGTTGCGTAGCTTTGAAGGTGATCAAAGTTAGTGGGGTGGACGACTCGCTTGTAAGGACGACTCGCTTATAAAACACGTTATGCGAAGTTCATGTTCTGGTGCTTACGAGTATATGTTGAGAACAGGAAACTAACGCCAAAGCGCTGGACTGACAAACATGCTTGAGCGTGCCAAAGAAAAAGCGAATCAGAAATTGCTTAACAAGCTCACATAACAGTAACGGGCACAAGCCAAGCATCTGGATGGTCTGGCCCTGATTTCCGCGGCTCCGGAGGCACAACGCTCTTTAGCAGTTCACGAAATTTGGTTCTGAAAGCTCCATCCACATCACTCCTTACGCCGAAGACTTGGGCAGCCGTACGTCCAGATTTATCCCGCAGTTCGATATTGATACCGCGTAATCGCGCGGCGGTTAGGATGTCGAGAGTTTCTTCATTTACAGTTTCTGATGCGGCTGCCCAATGAAGGATAGAACTTCCGTGTATATCGATATGATGATGCTCACAGCCGGAAGAGAGAAGCAACTTTAGCACGCGATTGGCACCGTTACGAACAGCACTCGCTACGCAAGACATGCCCGCGTCGTCGATATTGTTAGCGTTCGCACCTCGGTGGAGTAGGTATTCTGCTACAATATCGTTATCGGCATGACACGCTTTTGCAAGCGGTGTCCTGAGCCCAGTGTCTTGATGATCCAGAAGGCAACCGGCATCTTCCAATAGCTTAACATACTCCAGATCTCGCTTGTGGTACGCAACGTCATGCATTGCGTTGGTCTGGTAATGGCGCTCGGGTGCAACTACCGCGTCTTGCTCAAGAAGAAGACGCATTGCTTTCGTAGTGGGAGCTAATGAGGCATATCGCAAAGGAGTCCAGTGGTTGTGATCAGGGATTTCGATGTCTGCACCATGTTGTAGAAGGTAGCGCATTGCTTCCTCGTCACCCCGTTCTGAGGCCCAGGACAGTGGGGTACGCCCGGTTTTGTCGCGTGTGTTGATGTACTTGCTAAAGTCGGACCAGTCAAGTTTGTTCATTGTAACGGCTGATTTGAGACCGATGACGCGCTCGTGTAAAGGACTGAGATCCAAGCAATCAAAGGAGATCGTATTGCAGAAAAGGCGCCTGAGTCCCGAAACTACCTGAGGATTTTTGAAGTTGGACAATACACGAAGCCAGGCATACTGTTGTGCCGATCTGTACTAGAATCAGCTTTGTACTATCAATCGTTGAGATATCGATCCATAGTTCTGACTTACACACCAGATGAGTCCTCAATGGAAGGATCAGCCCCAAATGACAGCAGCAGCTCACAGATATCTGTTCTACCCCTGTCTATAGCCCACTTGGGTACGAATTAGCCTCGGCAACGGCTTCTACAATGAATGAACACATACATGTAGGGCAGTTTGATGCCTCTCCTTATATAGCTCATCTGGCGAGACCTCATGTCGAGTAAGCATCAACCTAATGGCTTTGTAGTCGCCAGAAGAAACCCGGTCGAATAGCAACCCGTCCACGGTAATCACCCTGACTTTCAGTGCAATATGGTACTCGCCCAACCTCGTCCGCTGAAACATGAAGTACACTGCTTTTGAGAAAAGCCACGTAGGGCTAGCATAGAACGCCTTTAGGTCTAGCGCATTTTGGTTGCGGCACGAGCTCTGCGAGCACGTGGGTACGGCCGTCAATGATCCCGCATACATGGCGAAAAGCTTTCCAAAGTAGCTTCGTAACATCTCTGGGCTTCTAGCATATCGGTTCAAATGACACAAGCACGCACAACCTGATGAGCAAGGAATTGGTTGCGCTGACTGAGGAGGGACTGTTTGCGGCCCATTCTTGGAAAATAGTGATAGTAGTGACCTCGAGGGAGATGACGATCGAGAACTCATTCTGCTAGAAGAAACGCTCAGGATAGTGGTGAGCTGATCGGATGTATCCTGCTGGAAGGCCTGCTGTAGCCGCAAAGCGTCCCTCGCTACAGATAGCAACTGTTCAGTATTCTGGAGTATCTTTGCCGATGCCGCCGAGTTCTCAATGTGGTGACTATGCGTCCTTTGAAGGAGCAGGTTTTGCTGTTGTTGGATGTTGGCGCTGACAAGGCTGACGCTTCCGGTTGCGAGCCGACAAGATTGACTATGTTAAACTTCAGCTAAGACTTGAACATCAGCAACATTCGCATGAACGCCATCTCACCTAGTCTCACAAGCGATTAGTAACGCGATGCCGTCCCTGGCACGAACTAAGTCTTGAAGAATGGTATTTGCCTTCTTTTTCTTGAAAGGCCATTTCGCCACCGAAAGGCCTACCCCGCTCTTTGAATGACTGGGGTCTGATAGGTCGCCAACCAACACCGAGAGATCATGTAAAGCAGCCCTAGCCTGCAGGATATAGTAGTGCAATGTGGCTGTATCGGTATGGGTCAATGATCCACATATTCTTTCTGCTTGCTTGATGATGAGCTTGAGGGAGTCGACTGTTCGCGCCAGATCAAGGAGCTCTCGAGGAGCATCGCGAGTAGAGATCACCAGTTCGCCAATGCTACTACAAACCTTAACCAAGGTGACTATGCTTGCCACTACACCCACTGGTTCCATTGCGGTGGAATTTAATCGAGAGTTTTGATAACACCAAAGAACAAACGGCGACTTCTGCAACATATATAGACGCGCTATGTCAGCCCTCTTTAACTTTGCCCTCGTGGGAATTGGAAATTCCACATCGCATGAGCCGACGAACGAATAAAGTCGAGGGCGGCTGCCCGACTGTAAAGCCACAATGCGTCCTGCGGTCTCGTGTATATGTTGATCATGCTGAAATCCGGGAGTTGAAGCGCCAAAAGTAAGCAATCAACAAGAACGTGGAGGCTTTGACCATGAGTACCCAGCGGGGTGCAGCAAGGCTGAGTACTTGCTCCAATCGCGTATAATCGTATCTAAAAAACGGGCAGCGTTCACGCTTGGCGATCGTTCCTCGCCAGTAGGCCTGGCCATTCGCGCGCGTCCACATGTGGGGATATCGATCGATGACGAGCGCAAGGGCACAGTACCGCAGCCTGAGTCAAAGGCGCTGAGTCTGCCTCACTTGCAGAGATGATGCTGAACCATGGCCTCAGATTATCAAGACCCCCGATGTCTAACTAGCCATCCAAGGGGACAGCTAGAGAGATCCGACCAGGACCTGTGTATAGAATCCAGATATTGAGATAGATGCGTGTCCTTGCAAGGTCGTCTTTGAATTCCATGCGTCACCCTACCCGTGACGCGTTTCGATGCTCCCACAGAGCCGCAAGGCTGGTATGTAGCGACCTGTTTACGAGATCGGTGGAACGGCACGGGTAACCGGGCATCTCATGTCATCACTTGGATATGCGCTTAAACATGTGTTTGGTAGTAGTGAGGTCAGCTATGGAGAGAAGATCTGGAGAAGCCTTTCTTGCCGGCTAGAGCTTTCTAGCCTCAAACACGCTAGCACGGGCCCACCTAACTTACGTCACGGTGTTGCCCAGATGACCGTTCACTCAACCTTCGACCACCCATATGATTTGTTAAGCGACGAACGTCACTGTATGAATAGATGCCTGGGGTCGAAAAGAAGGTCTAGTTCAAACGAAACCGCAGCGTTACGTTAACCACTCAAGACATCCTACAGCATTTTCGCTTGGAAATCAACCTTGAAAGGCTGCACGGATGACTGTCCCAGGGTACAAAGACACCTGATATTGCACGCCATGTCGGCAACTGCGCCAATTCATGCTGCGATCAGTAATAGCTGGATCATGGTGGCCACTCGGTGGGGCAACGCTTGCAGGTTCTAGAAGACTCGCCGAAGCTGGCGTGGATGGCGCTGTACGATGGCGCTGTAGTGTATAGCGTCGCAACGAACGCAGTGTACATGGCATCCAAGTAAGCCTCAGAGGAGGTCAATACAAAAGAGGTGCAAAGTAACGACGCTATCAACACCGTAGCGAAACTTGCGGGTTACTAGACACTTTCATAGCACATCGACATCGAATTACCGAACCTTTAACCACCCAGGGATTACACCAACTTGTCTTCGTTGTCCTTGGCGTTTAAATTTTTCGAGGGGATTCGTGGTTTTGATATTACTACCGTTCGATACGCCAATAGTGTTTTGCCACCCGCACCGGAACTCAGCGGAATGCCAGGGTGTTTCTCACTAAGCTTTTCTCGAACAACCAAATGCTTCCACAGGTAAGCTTAGCAGCCAGAATGCTTGTTGGTAACCAGAAATGACGTCGAATATCGCGATCCGAAGAGACTTTGGATCAGGTTTCGCAATCGGCTTCAGTTGCTTCACCCAGAGCCTCCAACGTTGGACTACCCTACCAGTATCCAAGAAAACCGGACTTACAGATATCAACTGACCAGTAGGAGGGATTCTCGCAACGCCCAAAGTCAACCTCATCCGAGGCGTTCCTGGCTCTCGAACGTGAACCATCAAATCATCACCAGCCGCGTGATACCCAGGTATCTCAAACCGCGAGGATTACGCCCATCCGCACTCTTCCGCCCCACAATTTCCCCCAGTATCTTCCAATCTTTCGTCAGCCTCTGCACGATCTCGTGCCCATGGGGTACAATGGGATGCCGTCAGCATGGAACCTCAAGGTTCCGTGGCCGAAGATCCGTCGAGTTTATAAGAGAGGGTGATGCGGCTTGATGCCTGTCATTTCAGTTGGTTTACTTGAGTTGCATACTACCAACCATCTATAACTTGCAGATAAGATGGATAACATTAAATCGAAGTTAGCCAAGCCGATCAAAGACTGGCGACGCAGAAATTCAGTTGATGTTGGCGAACATGAAGGCTATGATAACACGCCGCTGCCGAGACTGACGTGGAAAGGATTTTGGATGGGCATGTTGGTATCGATGGGTGGGTTTGTCTTTGGGTGAGCAACATTCAACACTACCAATCTCGCATCGACTCACACCCTCAGATATGATACCGGTCAGATCTCTGGGTTCCTTAGCATGGTCGACTTCCTCAGACGCTTCGGACAGAGACATGATGATGGCACGCCATATTTCTCCAATGTTCGCTCTGGACTGATCGTTGGTCTGCTGTCCATCGGTACATTGTTTGGCGCACTGATTGCAGCGCCCATCGCGGATTGGATCGGGAGGAAAATGAGCATCATCTGGTGGTGTGTCATCTTCTCTGTGGGCATCATTGTGCAGATTGCTGCAACGGATAAGTGGTACCAGATTATGATGGGTCGGTTTGTTGCGGGTCTCGGCGTTGGTGCGCTTAGTTTACTCGTGCCAATGTACCAGGTATGCTCAACAGCCCAGCCATAGACATCCACTACTGACGATCCTCAGGCAGAAACTGCACCTCGCCACATCCGTGGTGCTCTGATTTCCACCTACCAACTCTTCATCACATTCGGTATCTTCCTCGCCGCAGTTTTCAATTACGCTGCCGAACGACACCAGTCGGGTAAAGCCGCATCCTGGCAGATCACCCTGGGTCTGTCCTTTGTACCCGCCGCTATCCTCGCCGTTGGCATGTTGGGCTTTTCCGAAACACCTCGATACAACTACCGCCATGGTAAGATCGATGAGGCTACTGCGACCATGTCGCGGGTATACGGCGTACCAGCCAACCATCATAGCATTCAACTAGAACTTGAGGAGATGAGAGTCAAGCTCGAAGCGGAAAGCAAGATAACCAACGGACCGATTCAGGAGTGGCTGGGTATGTGGATGGCGCCGAAGATGGCGTATAGGTTGGCGATTGGCATGGGGCTGCAGATGTTCCAACAGTTGACGGGTGCCAACTACTTGTAAGACGTTTGTTCCAGACTCTCGCACCGATACTGACTCTGCGAAGCTTCTACTACGGTACAGTTGTCTTCGCTGGTACCGGTATCAAGAACTCGTTTGTAACGCAAATGATCTTGGTAACTAAGATCCTCTGAGAAGGCAGTCCATGACTATGCTAACGATCCATAGAACGGTATCAATTTCGGTGTAACCTTCTACGGCCTCTACATTGTCGAGCACTACGGTCGTCGCAAGTCGCTCATCGCCGGCTCATGCTGGATGTTCATTTGTTTCCTGATCTTCGCTTCCGTCGGCCACTTTGCTCTTGATCGCGATAACCCAGAGAACACCGAGAGCGCAGCCACAGCGATGATCTGCTTTGCCTGTTTCTTCATCTTCGGTTTCGCGACAACGTGGGGTCCAATGATGTAAGTTATCCTCGCAATGTTAATGCGCCTCGCCACGCTAATATCGTTCAGTTGGACCATCTGCGGAGAATTATACCCCAGCCGCTACCGTGCGAAAGCAATGGCGCTATCGACGGCATCGAACTGGCTGTGGAACTTCCTCCTCGCCTTCTTCACACCTTTCATCACCGGCGCCATCGATTTCCGCTACGGCTATGTCTTCGCCGGAACGAATATTCTCGGCGGTCTCATTGTGTACTTCTTCGTCATCGAAGGCCAGGGTCGCACGCTCGAGGAAATCGATACCATGTACCTGATGGGTGTCAAGCCGTGGGAGAGCGCGAAATGGGTGGTTCCTAGCTTGGAGGAGCTGAGTGGTGATGTGCGAACCAGACTCGAAGCGGCAAACCCGGAATTGGCCCTCAAGAAAGAGACTGAGGGGGGTATCGGTGGTGCGAGTGCAAGTGAGAGGCACGAGGATGATGAGGCGATTCGTAGGAGCGTTATGAGGGATGGGAGTGAGGAAGGGTTGAGGGAGAAAACTGAGATGGAGCCGTGATGGAATCGTTATCGATGTTGTGGTCGCTCGAACGACCTGGGTGAAGCAGGTTCGTTCGATGCTGGTTGCTATACATGCTCACGTTCTAATAGACATACCACTGTCGTTTACCCGCTAAATCCTGGTGATATAAGCTGTGTTTGCTCGGCTAGATGCTGGCTACAAGGTCTACCGGAGTACGTGGTAGACGTTAGCCCAACGACGGCGACAGCCATCTTGTATCGGAACAAAACATCATGCAATCAGCTTCGTACGGCGGATGTAAAGGCGAAGCACACCAATGCAGTTACGGGATTGGAAAGCACGAGATTCTGAAGTTTTTACTGAAGCTTAAGATGCGCAAAGGAACAGATTGCGAGGCGTTCATGATGGAAGTACTCCATGTACATTGCTTCATGTCAAAGTTCTGTGTTCGCGGCACGCCGGTACAACCCGGCCTTGCTTACCCCGCTATCTCCGCGACCCACGCCCCCACTAGCCGGTGTCACCCGGCGGCCTACTTTCCCCTGTATCCACCACCTGAACACTTACATCAGTCAGTTTGAAGGGAGTGCAATTTGCGAGGAAGAACATACCGAACCTCCACCCATCAGAGCATTGGCCGATGTCAAGCTCTATGTTGGTGCTAGCGTCTTCTATTGGCTACCATGATCAGTTCAAGCTATAGGGGGCTAAGTGTCAAGACAGGTCACTCACCGTTACCACCCGCCAAACAGTACTTCTGATACTCGAAGAAGAGTTGAGTGGACGCGATCGTGAGCATAAACGTTCCATACACGATGCCAATGATGGTGTTAGCGTTGAAGCCGTTACCGGGAGCTGTAAAGGTCGTGATGGTGCAGTTCATTGTTGCGGATAGTGCAGGGACTCGATGTACTTGCAGGGGCAATGTTGGTGAGATGGAATATGTTATGCGTTTGGCAAGTCAGTAAGCTCTGGAGGGCTTGATGACGTCGTTGAAGGCATTCCAGCTGGGTGACTGCTGTGTTTATGTATACACAATGGTACGTGTAAAAGCCATGACGGCGGTGCTGTGTGTAGAGTACCGACGTCATGAAGGCTTTCGGGTTTTGTAGTTCACATATTTTAGGATCTGGAAGATTCCAGTCATGAACTTCTTCGTGAAAGTGATTTCAATATTTACGTTCCAGCATTTTGGGTTTGGTTTTGGCAGGGGACGCGGCAGGGAAGAGCTCCACACGACACATGTGTACACCCCTACTAGAGCGCATCATTAGCACACCGACTCAATCGAGCCTTACCACTCCTCATGTCTCCTGCCGATGCTCCGCTAAGCGTTGATGGACAGGATCTCTTGTGGTCGTAGCTCAAGCTTTGCTTCTTCCTTTTTGTGCAATGGAACGACCACGTCTGCGTGGTTGGTTCGCCCTTGCTTCTCAGCGCGTTCTAGAACTTTGCCGGTTACGGCGTGACGGGACACGATCGCGCATGGAACAAAGCTGATCCCAAAAGGGTACCGAGCGTGGACGCGGCGCGTGTGCCGCATGGTCGGACAGCCACGACACTCTCCGAGAAAGGAAATCACGAGCGATCCGCTTCACGGGGCGCGTCTTCTCAGTCGACTCGTCCCCACAGCTCATTTGTCAGAAGTGTGGTCGTGGCCGAAGCTTCCCAGGCGCAAAAACGCCGTGGTTGATCCACACGGCACGGCGGCGGCGGAATACGTATCGGTTGGCTGAGCGCTGTGGGTGTATCGAGTTCCCAGGTCCCGTGACAGCGCGACGGAACTAATTGCCTTGGCTTGTGCTTGCACTGTTCGACGGGTAAGGCGTGCCCGGTTGCAACATGATTTAGCTCGTTTCTTTGCTTCCACACCAACGGCTCTCTCTAGCGCCTGCAGGTACGGCTTTCTAGCGTGGCACTATCCGGGGGGATGACCGACCGACTCCAGCAATAATAGTGCGCAGATCACCTTGAAGGGAGCATGCCTTGAAACAGGCCGAAAGACCCGTCGCTTTCGATGCGCAAGCTAGCCAGGCTGCATACGCCAAAGAACATCCGCAGATTCAACGATTATTGGCACGTGCATACGCGAACAGTGATGTATGCGGCTACGTCACAATAACAGCGTCAGGAAATTTTGTAGTAAGCGGGGTGTTGCTCAATACTGCGCATTTGCGTTGATTTAGATAGGCAATCACTAAATCCACGCTGGCCCTTCAGGCATTTGGAGCAGCACAAAGGGTCGGTATTAGGCCAATCTCTGAGATGAGCAAGGATCGTGGCGGCGGGGAAGAAACGGAGAACAAGCGGTGATGCCAGTGGGTATAGATACGTAGTGTGGGCGGACAGGGACAGAGGAGGCGTGGAAGAACTAGCGAACGTACAATAAGCAGCGGGCCCGTGAATACCATCGTTACTACCTACGAAACAGCCCACCATCTGTCGATAAGCGGCCGGGATGTGCAATGCTGACTCGTCTTGGGCACGATGTCAGTAGCCGCCGTGCGTAGTGTGGAATTTACCCGCTGATCATTTGCAGACGGGCTATTTCCACGACGCCTAGGTGGAAGACAAGGAGTTCGGCAAACATGCACCGTTAAAGAGATAACGCACGGAAGGCGCAAGCTCGAGGGCACCGGGGCAGGCGAGAGGAATAATAAAAACTGAGGCTCCAAGTAGCAGACCCTCGTCTGAAACATTACAGCGGGCACTTGGCGCTCCTCCGGGCCTGATGGCGCTTGCAAACCGCCCTTCTGGCTTCGGTTAAGGGTGCTAGCCTTGCTCTTTACCGTTTAATGCCAACGCAGAGGAGAAGGTCAGCGAGAGGAGATCTCTTGGATCGCGGAACAGTGAGCGCGGTGCAGAATGAGGAGGTGGAGATCGTTACTGCATGCGCCTTGTTCGCCTGTCATTTGTGTACGCCTCAACACTTGGTGCCTCTCGGGACACCAAATCAAGGAATTACCAATCAAGGATAGACTGTCCTGGGAGAATACGCGACACCTCGCGCCCGAGCGTCCCCAACTTGCGCCTGCCGTAGCAGACGAACGTTTTGCTGGAAAGAAATACCCAGTATGCACGGTACTTTACAAGCCCACAGTGTAATTACTTCTATACCACTTCGGGAACTTTCTCACCACCCCGGTGACTGCGCTAGGCGGCTAGAGAACCGAATGCCGCCCCACTCTTGTACCACCACATTCCATCTCCCACTTCACACCGGATCCTTAGCGGATGTTGCTATGCTCTCCCCTAGAAAGCTCACTGATTTCATGGTTTTTGGCGGATTTTCGCCTGGGCTCCACTCTCCCGCCAGGATCTGAGGCAAGCTGGAAGTCCACCCCCCGCTGCCAGTGAGGATTGTCCGCATTTAGGCAGCCTAATGCAGGAACATGACGCTACACCCTTCACCCTTGACGCTTCACGTCTTGACGGCCATTTCGCCTTGGTTCGCTTTTGTCCATACCTCACAAACTATATAAGCCAGCCAACGTCCCTGCATACTCACAATGGCCCACGCACTCCCGCTTTGGTCTGGCCCGATCAAGCCCATCTTCTCCAACACAAGCTTGGCACTCCCGCCTGACACACGGCGCCCTTTTGCGCAGACCGTAACACCTTGGGGAACGCTGTTCACGGAGCCTACACAATATCCCTACCTGCTCGCGCTTTCCCTCGACTCCACCACGGCTACCCACCAGCTTTCCTTAGATCTTCTTCAAGCCTTCTTGGTCTGCGCTTCGCTGATACTCGACCTCCCCCTCCTCCATCGACCTACAAGAACACCGATCGGGAGCCAAGATGGATCCATCACCAATCGATTACGTTCCAAGTGAACACCAAAGAAGGTGCATCCAAAGAATGTTGCAAACGAAAGACAAGCGTAGCATCGTTGAACGTCTTCTTGCTTGGATGATACACTTTGCTTTCCAGGACGCGCTACAACATGTTTATATTACGAACAACAACAACCACGACAACAACGGAGATCCTTTTTCGGGTCCGGACGTGCTGGGCCCACTCCGATTGTACAACACTTTCAACAATGACGACCTGGACTGCCTTGCTTCATTAGCAGAAGTACCACTTCCTACCATCGAACGATGGATTGATGAGAGTGGTAAGCATTCTTGAAGCTTACTGTCATGCTATTTCTAACTGAGAAGTAGGAGCTTCTTCGACGGGAACGCGACCGTTGTTGAACAATATCAAAGCTCATCTTCCCCCCCCCGCAGCGAATCAATCTTTAATCTCCAAGCGATCTGAATCTGCTGGTCTATTCGCTCCCTTCGCTCCACGACCACCGATCACAAAACCTCCACCTCGAAACAAAATCAAGGTCAACAAGGGATACTTTGGAAAGGATTGCAAGATATGTTTCATGAAGGGCTTTGAAACCAAGTCCATGACGCAGTTATATACACACTTCGTAGAGAAGCACTCAGGAGAATACAACGTACAATCTGCGCCGGAAGATCCATCTGACCGTTATCGATGCTGCCAGACTGATTTCAAAAACGTCTCCTCTTGGGGAGACCATGCTGTAGTAAGCCACTGCCATATCGCAGAGGTATCTGCGTCAGCAACGCTTGGTCGCATCCAATCACCCTCCATTTTCCAAGGTTCGCCGACTCCTGGGTCGAACACAAGCCTAGGCATTGGGACTAGTCCTTATCAAGGCACCCCCAGCTCTGGTGCGACCATGAATACCGACTCCTCAAGTACAGGATCGCAACGTCATTCTGGCGTGTCGGGCTCTTACGAAGGATATGCGATCCCCTTCGACACACCCGGGCCCTTCGAGAACGCTCTAGGACCCACGAGCCAGCCACATGTTCATGCTGAGCCACCCCATCTTCCCCAGACATCAACGCCGAGCATAACACCTAGTAGCTTGCCTCATGAGCAGTTTGTTCCTGTAGCGGACATATACGGTAATACTCTCATCGATTGCTCTGGCAATACGATCGTCCGCGAGTATGGAGGACAGCAGGCTTTCGCACGAGATTTGGCAGGCAATTTTGTCCCCGTCTCCCATGAGCAGCCGCTCTATGCATGTTCAGGCTCTGGCGACATCTTCACCTACCGTTACGGCATCGACATGGTTTAGTCCAGCCAAGACGGTGGATGATATATTACACTTACTTATACACTCATATTCCGGGGTGCGCCGAGTCCTCATCACGAGATTCACTCGCCATGGTGTACCCGACGAATATGCTTCTATTTCTTCGATACCCGCAAAACACATCGCAACGGCTAGGCGACGGATAACTCAGCATCGGCGTTCAGGTCTTTTCCTTCTTGCTATCTCTTACGTAGGCCTACTTTGGCACCCAAACATAATAAAAAACCTCTACGTTCGCAACATTACTATCGCTCCCTTGCGCTCTCGAGTGGCATCACCTAGGTGATGCCACCCGACCCTAGAAACACGACACACATCTTCCTATCGAACGATATACAGCACTGCTCTCACGCGCTATTTCGGTTCGAACAGTGCCTTAACATGGTCGAGCATGGTGTGCAAGGAAAAGAGCTCGAGAGCGACCTCAACAACCGGGAAGTCTCCCACACCCTGCCAGCTGACCCGTTGCAAAGCCCTTGTTTGTGCGGGCCAAAACAGCTACTGTCAAGCTGTGTCCCTGAGAGATTTAATAGCATGTCCAATGTCCAAAACTCCGTATTTGGCACTGACAGTTATCGTACAGGCGTTGTAAGGGCACCAAATATCGGATAAGTGCGTCTCTAGAACCTGACAGCCAGTTTGAGGCCACCCGGAACACTGGGAAAACCTGGTTCGAGTATTAGCCCTGACGTAACTCCGGAACCCCACTTGCGCCTGGGCAAGACACCACCAACCCGTGCTACGAAGCCCTAACGACTGGAAAGGATCAGATTAGATCTGTCTTATCGCTAATCAGAGCCTATACAACCCACCTGTGTGGTTCTTGGGCATGCAACGGTGTCATCGCACAGACCCGCGCACTTCCTCGGAGTACAGTCGCGTGGACGAACGTGCCATCCGCCATGCCATCACTGCCCTTGGCGATGATAGTTCGTACCAATAACGTGTTACGGGCGCCCAGCCGTCTTTTCGCCCATCAGCCATGGCACGACGCAGGGTCGATCAGATAAAGTAGTCACGTCTGCGCGCATACCGTTGATCGAAATTTTGCGCGCAGACTACGACTCCGACATCTGCGTGCGGAACTGGAAGATTTGAACGCGAAAATGCGTCATTCGACGAGGGCTGACGAGGCGATGCCCCATACCGGTGTTCTCCATAACGAGACTGATCGCGGCAACTTCGGAAAGGATGTTGACTACAACCGCGAGCGCTCTTTAATCGATGATACTTCGAGTGAGCATTCGGCGCAGGCTGGTGTAAGGCGCATTGAAGCTGTGAGTAAGGCGTGGACGAAAACCTCGCTCATCGTCGCCTATGTCACGTATGTTTTCTCGATTTCTTGTCGGCACCAGCTTTTACTATACTGACGCTGGTTCAGCCTCCTACTCATCGCAAATATCACGTCTCTCGAGATCCAAGTTACTAGTGCATTGACACCATACGCGACGAGTGCGTTTTCGCAGCATTCCCTCGTCTCCACCATCTATGTCGTGCAGGGCGTCGTGGCCGGTATGTACTGTCCTTATTCCACCACAACTCAGCACAACGACTAACAATTTCCAGCGGTCATCAAGCCGCCCATGGGAAAAATTGCCGATGTATTCGGTCGTCTCGAATCCTTCTCTATAACCATCTTCCTCTACACAATCGGCTACATCATGCAAGCCGGCTCTAATAACGTGCAAACCTTTGCCGGAGCGCAAATCTTCTGGGCAGCTGGATTCAACGGTCTACAAGTCTTACAACAGATCTTCGTTGCTGATACTACGGATTTGCTTAATCGCGCTCTCTTTTCCACGTTGTTCGACTTACCTTTCCTCTGGACGACATGGGCTGGACCGGAAGTTGGGCAAGCGATTTATACTAATATCTCCTGGCGATGGGGATACGGTATCTGGGCCATTATTCTTCCGGTCTGCTTCATCCCGCTCGCTGTGAGTTTGTTCATGAACCAGCGGCGAGCGAAGAACCTGGGTTTTGATGTCCCCAGTCCGTTCCATGGGCGCAACACTTTCCAGGTTTTGAAGAACATCTGGTATGATCTAGATGGATTTGGCCTACTGTTGTTCGCGGCAGCGATTTCACTCATCTTGCTGCCGCTTACACTAGCCCCGGGCGCAAGTGGTGGGTGGAGTAATGGCAGCATGATCGCCATGCTAGTAGTGGGTGGCGTTCTCCTGCTTGCCTTCCCGTTATGGGAGACAAGCAAGAAGCTAGCACCCAGAGCGTTTTTCCCACCAAACCTATTCAAAAAGCGAACAGTCATCGCTGGTGTCCTAATTGCGTTCTTCTACTTCAGTAAGCCCCCTTCTGCCAAACCTCCTTGAACCCCAAAGACACTAACCCCTTCTCAGTGGCATTCTATATGTCCGTCTTCCCATACTTTAGTTCCTACCTTCAAATCGTCCAGGGTCAATCCATCGTAACCTCCGGCTACATAACCCGCGTCTTCACCTTCAGCTCCACCGTCTCCTCGGTCGTGGTTTCTCTTCTAATCAAATACACCGCACACTACAAATATTACGTCTCCCTCGGTGCTGCCATCTACCTAATGGGCATGGGCCTCATGTTGCACTATCGCACGGAATCCGCTTCAACAGCTACTTTGGTCGGTACGCAAATCGCCATCGGCATCGGCGGAGGTTTCCTGAATGTGCCGGTCCAATTAGGTGTTCAAGCCAGTGTTTCTCACCAGCAAGTCGCGGCTGCGACAACAGTCTGGCTCACACTGCTTGAAGTCGGTGGAGCGGTTGGCTCAGCTATATCTGGCGCGATCTGGTCGACTTACATCCCTGCCAAACTCCAGCAGTACCTCCCCGCTGAGAACGCAGCAGACTGGGTGACTATTTATGGTAGTCTTGCTGTTTCTGCGGATTACGTTACGTATCCCGCTGGATCCCCCGTAAGGATAGCTATCAATAGGGCGTACCAGGAGACGATGCGGTATTTACTTATCGGAGCGCTTTGCTGCGCAGCGCCTATCTTTCCGTTGACGTTTGTGCTTAAGAATTACAAGTTGGATCAGATGGACCAGAAGGTTGTGGGGAATGTTATTGGGAGCGCGGAGAAGAGGGAAAATGGTAGCAACAGTAATAGTAGTAGTAGGAGTAGGAGTTGGAGGTTTTGGAGGAGATGATGTCGCGGTAGGGCGCTGCGATGTGGTGTGCGTTGGCGATTTTTTTACCCAAGATAATGGCCTATAATGATGATGCATGAAACTTGTGTATAACGTGTTTTATAAGCGAGTCGTCCTTACAAGCGAGTCGTCCACCCCACTAACTTTGATCACCTTCAAAGCTACGCAACGCAACAACGTAATAAGGTAGAACAAAGCGATTAATATAGTAGATTAAATAGTATCTACAGCATCCTTTTTGCACGTTCGTGAGTTGTGCCCAGTCTCCCTGCACCTCCTGCAGCGCGCAATAGCCTGGCGGCTAAGGCCTGATCGCTCACCACCTTGACGCTGTTCACGCTCAATCTGCTGGTCAGCCTCCTTTTGAGCTAGTATATCCTCTCCCTCTCCCTTTGTTAAGGTCTCACGCTTCTGTATCCGTTTCTTTTTGCGCTGCCTACGCTTAGTTGCTGCCTCGTTGGCTCTCTCAAGGCAGGTAATCTGATCGCGCATAAGCTCGGCTGAGAGCATCATCACCTCAGCCCCCTTTTAAGCTGGTTAATCGCCTCAATAATCGAGGCTGGTGATGAGCTCTTATGCTGCCGCACGCGATCACGTATTAACGTTGATTGAGCCTCAAGCTCACGTACGTTGCTTGGTGTACGAGCCTCCCAGGAGGCTCTGCGAGAGCAGCTGGTGGAGTAGGCGTACGCAGCTGCACGTTGAGCTTTGATAGAACAGCGTCTGGCTGGAGAGGGGCTAGGCCTGCGCCTCGAAAAGCTGAGCAGATATTGGCTAAGGTGAACGATCGATCAAAGGCTGCCTTAAAGGCTGGCAGGAATTCGAGCTTGGTGATATGGTTGATATTGTAGCGCATTAGAGCCTCAATCTCACGGCTGTACGCGCGCTTCATAGGCGAGAAGCAGCCTACGTCAAGAGGCTGCAGTAGGTGAGATGAGTGAGCTGGCATGCAGAGCGTGTAGATATTGCTCTCCTTGCAGAGCTCTTGAAACTCAAGAGACTGGTGGCCTCGTGGCCGTCAAGGATAAGCAGGCGGCGTGCTCCAACTACCTTGCCCTCAGTATGCTTAATAAAGTGCTTTAGCCACTCTACTCCTATCTCGTTGGTTGTCCAGCCGTTGTCGCTAACTGCGATAGCCCAGTCGCGTAGGATATCCTCCTCGTACCAGGCTGACAGGTGATACTTGCCAGCAAAGATGAGGAACGGTGGGATTGTCCAGCCAGCAGCGTTGATTGCAGCAATTACCGTCACCCACTCGCGGTTGCCAGGCTGGATAGTCTTTGGCCTGCCTCTCCTCTCTGACCCTGTGATAACTAGCTAAGTCTGGATCTTGCCCATCATAAAGCCAGCCTCGTCAAAGTTGTAGACGTCCTCATCACAGATGCCGTACTTGGCCTTTGTCTCCTCTACCAGCTTAAACCAGCGGCTGATTAGCACAGGATCCTCGCATAGAGCTCTCTGCCTATCGTACGATCGATTAAAACGCGTCATAAGACTGTCTGTACGCTTGACAAAGTTGCGCGGCCAGTGGACGCCAACGCGACCTGCGCCACGCGCAGCAAGCAGCTTATTAGCCATATCGCGCGCAGCTGTATACGTAGGCCCAAATCCTCGCTGATCAAGGTCGAGTATATGTCTAATAATTACCTCCTCCTCTAGCTGGGTAAGCTTCTTTGAGTTGGGCTGGCAATCGCGTCGTGCAAGCCTGCCAGCGCGTCGGTCGCGTAGCGTCATTCGAGGGACGTTAAACGCGCGAGCAGCAGCTCTCTCAGTCTTGATCTGGTGGCTATTAAGAGATGATATAGTAAGCTGCATATCAGCTTCAGATGAGCGCAATAGAGCTTGTTGGCGTTGAGGCATAACTGATTTGATCTTCAAAGGTGATCAAAGTTGGTGGGGTGGACGACTCGCTTGTAAGGACGACTCGCTTATAAAACACGTTACCTCTTGTACGCAATCGTGACATCGAGTCTGCGGACGCGAGTGCGAGTGCGAGTGCGACACGACACAAATATCACCGCTAACCTCTAAATGAATAACAAATGAAAAGGGGTAAGGTGAGGTACAAGCGTGTCTAAGACACTTCACATCCGTGAATTTCCATTCCCAGTACCAAGCAACCGGAGGGTCAGAATGCTCTGCTTTCCTGTGCTCCCTCTCGCTCCGTCCATGTTCGCCTTGGGTCTCATCTCAATTCAGCGCCCTAGGTCATCACACGATCACCACTGACCTCCACAACCCCTGCAACAGCACGATCTTGCCACGAGGAACTCTACAATATCTTCAAAGCTCCCTTTCTCCTTCTTCCTCGGTATCGGTTGCTCTATCTCCCGAGAGTTCAGAGTGTGGCCGTGCAGTTGCCGTCCTAACCGGTCGTCCCATGCGCTGCAGCCTTGGCGGCATCCACCCAGCACAGCCTCCGCTTCAGCCGCTCCTCGGAGCGTGGTATGCGGGGTGTTTGAGATTGTGTTTATGTCGTTGTACAAAAACGATGTTTGATAGAGATGATTTAGACATGTGCGAAATGAAGAAAAGAGATGAGGTTGTTGTTCAAATAGTGTAGTGTTCCTCAACCATCCCGACTTTTGTGTTGTATCGACAACCAGTACTCCGTTGTCCGGGATCCATGTACACGAGTCTGTGTTTGTGTCTGTGGTTCGTCCTTCTCCTCTGTCTTTCCCTTACAGATCCCGGTGTATTCCACTAAACACACTTCCGCACACTCATCGTACTCCTTCGTGACAGCAAACGTCTGGCGGTCCATATGCTGTTTTCTACACTCCTCAACACAAGGCGCGGCCTCAAGATACAACGCGCAACAACGCGGTGATCCGATTTCTTTTGTGCAGAACGTGCTTGTCGGCTGCGACGATGGGTGAAGTGTGTGTACGAGAGAAGATATTATGCTGTCGGTTGCGGAAGTGTATTCTGGGATGAGGTGGTAGAAGAAGATTGGTATACAGAGAAGTACGAGGAGGGTCGGTAGGATCGATCGGTATCGAGGTGTGTATCTGCATTGGAGTCGGCTGGTGGTGGATGCACGCATTTCGTTTCTTTGGAAACGAGAGGTCTGAGGATGTGCCAATTCTTTCATCACGTCGTGAACGTCTGACTATATCGATGGATATTCAAGTAAGGTCCGGGATGCCTAAGGGTTTCGTCGTATATGGTCGCAAGTCGCAGTCCGCTGTTGAAAGTAGTATGAGTATATGGCGAACGCGAGGTTAGTGAACGAGAAGAAATATTGTGAGATTAGGCACCACCACGCTATAAGACGGCACACGCGCTATAAGAACTGGCAGCGGCATGACAACCATGCGGCCCATATGTATGACAGCGCCGACTACTACGGCGGTTATCCGGCAGCCACCTCGCTGTTCGTCAAGACGGTAAGGCGGCAACGCTAGCGTGCAAGTGTGGCTTAGTGATCAAACTGGGTGTGCTTGAAGATTACTCCTGCACGCCTTACCCGCATTATGCAAAAGATCAGTTCAATTAGCCAGTCATGTGTCGTTTGTGCATGTACGAATGTGGCAACGCAAGAGGAAACATTTCGAATGTAATGTGTACCCGATCGTCCAGCGTCTTTGTGCAAGATGAAGTTAAGCACCGATCAATCCTAGGTGTAAGCGCAATCTCACGGCGCACAGCCACGACCGCGGCAGCGGTAGTAGCCCTGGCCTGCCCTGGCGTAGCGGAAATTATTGTTGAAGGCAAGCCGAGGAATCTGGGGAAATTCGGGGACTTGTGCGGTCCTCGAGGATACGTAGTCCGTCAGCCCTAACACGTTGGAACAACGGTTATTCGAATAAGCAGCCGAATCGGATAAACCCCGATCCACGGCTAGTCCAAAAGCGTGGTGGTGACAGTCAGCAGCATTTGCTACATACAAGGTTGCCCGACGACCAATTTTTCGATTTGTGAATCGTGGGCATCGCGTGTGGTCATTGAAGTTGAAAAGAAAGTCGAAGGAAGTAGTCAAAGTAAAGCTAGATTCAGGTATGGAGTATTGTTCGGAAAAGTGCTGTTCAGAACGGTGTTGGTCTCACGATACACCCGACCCGAAAGGGGAAGTGTGCCATATCGAGGGCCATGATAGAAACTGCGCTCGGTGCTTATGGCGCAATTACAATAAAGAACACGTTTCCGATCAGCGGCCGGCTGATGGCCGTATCTCGTTTTCACGTTGTAGATGATGCGCAAGTGATGCTCCTATCGGTATGAATTTGCGGCATGGATGTCGGGCTGGCAAATCGTCTAGTAATCAGCTATGCCAGTCGGGACATTACGAAAACTACGTCTTAACTCCTTAAATGTCTGCAAGACCTGAACGGTTGCTAAGGATAAGAACTAATTCCACGAGATACTAAAGGGGTCAGCTTAAGCCGCTATAAGGGTTGGCAAAAATTGGCAAAACTTACAATAACATGATACCAGCGCCAGTGAACATGGCGGCGAATTGCATCAAAGTCTTCCTTAGCTCTTGGCCCTTGTTCGGGCCGGTCTCAAGAAGCTCTGGGATAACGGCGACTGTCCCAACGTACAGGAAAGTACCGGCGGTGAAGGGTAGTAGCATGTCTCCCCACTGCAGACTAGTGCCCATGATGCCAGGGCCGTGGACATCCGCAGAGGCGGAATTGCCGCCGAACTCTTGGACGGCAATGCCTATGCAGGTTCCGAGGAAAGCACCGACAGCAGTTACGAATTGAGCACCCATAGCTGCCCGCTTGCTGAAACCGGACTGGATAAGGAGGGCAAAGTCGCCAACCTCGTGAGGGATCTCATGGAAGAAGACAGCCACAGTAGTGGTTGCGCCAATGGTAGGGGAGGCGTAGAAGGAGGAGCTGAGCGCCAGGCCATCGGTGATGTTGTGTGTGAAGTCTGCAATGAGGTTGAGGTAACCGCCAAGCTTGACGCTGGCATTGATCTCTTTCTCCGCCGTCTCTACGACGGATGATGTACCGTTTGCACCTGCCTTCCTCGAACGCACACCGTCTTTGGAGTTACCAACGTCGACGCCTGTGGTCTTTGCAGTATCGACAACTTTCCCGTGCGAATGTCCATGCGAGTGATCATGTCCGCCCTCGCCTCCAGTTGCGATTCGTAATCCCTTGTCCATGGCCACGAAAGTGATGAAGCCCACCATGATGGCTACACCTAACAAAAGGTTCTTGTTGGGTTCCACCATGACGAACTTGACCGAGTTGTGTTCCTCCTCGCCCAAGAAGATCTCTGGCAGCAGATGGAAAAGAGTGTCACCCAGTAGTCCACCCACAGCGAATGCGACCATGACGGAGAGCGACGAGGGGTCGATGTTGGGTGGACATAGTGCGAGGAGGAAGTTGGGCGGACCGGAGATGTAGAGCGTCGCTAGCAAGGCGTTGACTGCAGGGCTACCAGGGAAGAGAAAGGCGAATATCTGGGAACTGAGCGAAGACGTGGTCGGGGCTGAAGCTACCTTGTGCTGGTTGAGAGCTTGCACAAGAGGACATTCCTAATTGGTGTCAGTACCGCCATGAGCACGCGACAGCAAGGCATCGCACTCGGGAGCTGGACGAATGCGCTATCCTCTATGCGAAAGTTGACCAGGTCCAACAAACACCAATGAGACTAGCGAGTGTATGTCACGAGACTAGCAAGTGAATGTCGTACCTGTAGTTGCTCTTCAATCTCGTGCGCGCTCAAGTTCCCTACTGGCACGCCCGTCTCGCCCTTGACAGCAGCGGCAGCCACGTTCCATCCGAGCACTCCAAGGAAGATGGCCAAGGACAGCAAGGTCCTGTTCCGACGCGACACCATAATGACGCGTGAATTGATTCGATATAATATATCCTGGAGATTGGGTCGTGAGGGGTTGAATGCTTCAGGGGTCTGTCATCATGTAAACTGGCCTGCTCGGTAGCTGAAAGCCCGCTATCGATAACGCTAACGGAAAGTTCGCCAAAACTTTTGGAAGTTGCGACCAGCGTCTCTACAACACCAAACACACCACCTTGATATCCTCCGTACGTTTCGGAAATCACATACAATGGGTCGCGAACTCCAGAAGAAGAAGAACAAGTCTTCCATCCCGAAGAAGCGCCAAAACGGACCTTCCAAGAAGAAGATTCTGCAAAACCCAATCATAGCGAAGCACTGGTACGATATATTGCGCAACATGTCTGCACAACATCACAGAACTAATCCAATCGCAGGAACCAAAAAGAGACACTATCGCAAAACTACCGCCGCCTCGGTCTGACAGCGCGACTCAACCACGCAACCGGTGGCACAGAAAAGACCATCGCCCTTCTCGGCCTCAACGATGAGAAATCTTCCCGCGCAGACGCCGTCGCAAACAGCACAGCCGACGCCCTGAATATCGTCTCCAAAGCCAAGAAGCCCGAGAACATCCCCACCGAGGAAATCGAAGTCGAGCGCGACCCCGAAACCGGCGCTATCCTCCGCGTAACAGGCACATTCGAAACCAAGGACAACCCGCTCAACGACCCCTTGAACGATATCGAGGATGACAACGAGGATGCCGAGTGGAACGGTTTCGCCATGGTGCCGGAGCGCAGACAAGACGAGGCTGTCACGAACCCAGTTATCAGGGAACTTGAGGAGGCTGCGTTGAACGGCGCGAAGAAGGCGCCAAGAGGTCAGAGCCAGAGGGAGCAGGAGTGGGTGGAGCGGTTGGTGAGCAAGTATGGGGAAGACTATGCGAAGATGGCGAGGGATAGGAAGCTCAATCCCATGCAGCAGACTGCGGCGGATATCAGGAAGAGGGTTGTCAAGTGGCAGAAGTCGCAGGAGAAGGCATAGATGGAGGCGGGGGAGATCTCGAGCTGTTACATGCATAAGAGCAGGTGTTATGGCGTTCTTGGGCAGAGTTGTTGCACTCAAAAACTCAAGTACAAAGGATTAGTTCTGGACTTGACCAAACTGAATGACCATGCTTTCTTTCGTTCATGGCACTTGCCTTCGACTAGTCATGACTCATGCTAAACCTCTACCAGTGCCCCGACTTGAGTCAGTGGACCCTGAGTTCATCCCCCGCGACTTCCAGCCCTCGTGCGAACAGTGACCACCACACTCATCACTCATCCTCAGCATGAGTGCCGGACGCATATCAGAAGCGCTGCCAGCACCTTGAACTTGAGTACCACCATCGTAACAGGTTTGTGATGCGAGCCACAGTCATGAGCACGAGATGACAAGACGCGGCCCGAGTACATCATGGCGATTGTTCTTGAATCGAGCTGAGATCACTTCATTTTTCGCTCACCTCGGTTTCTCGTCATGGCGCGTGTGGTAACTTCGCTACGAGCAATGGAATGCATACCATGGGATGTCGATTACTGCAGTAGGATCACTCGCGAACCGTCACCGCCTCTTATTCGTGCTCACGGTCATTTCGTCTGGGGAAGATAGCGAAGGTGCACCTCTCACTCGCCCAGCGTCTCGACCTGCAGTGCAAGATGAGGTTTGTCATGTGGGGACCTATCATCGTTGCTACCCTCAATCACCCTCGCTCCTACCCTCACCCACACCTTGCTCTTACCCTCACTTCCATCGCCCGAGAAGTCAAACTTCTTTATCGTGCAACTTAAACATTAGACTCGCAATACCAGCTCCTTGGCTACACAATGTACACGAATACGATGACAAGCGCAGCTTCTGCTAACGACGGCACGGTCGACCCTTCCATCTGGACTATAGTTACACACTCCCAGCAAAAATGTGGTACCTGCAAGAACGATCTCACCATCGATGACAAGAAGAAGGGCTCCAGCCAGTACTGGAAGAATTGCCAGACATGTCGAGAAAAAGCAACTGCATCACAGCGTAAGAGGAGGGCTTCGAAGGCCGCAGCAACCACCGATGCAACCACAGGTACACAAGAGAAGAGGCGAAAGAACTTCGACAGGTCTCACGCTATCAAAGACTTTCCGTCACTGTTGCCAGTTGACGATCAACACCTGGCGCCAGCATCGTATAGACCTGGCTTTGCTCAAGTCACCGGGGACGACAACAGAATAGTAGCCCAAGAAGACTACAAAGCACAAACAAGCATCGACAAAGTTTCTGACAAACCCACGAAGCCCACAGTATTGAAGCCAGCGACTGAGAAGGAGTGCAGCATCTGTGCCGAGCCCCTTCCAGCAGAAGAATTTCCTGACCTCGTAGATTGCAACCACGACACTGACTTCTGCCTTGGATGTTTCCTTCGGTGGCTGGGTGATAAGGTGGGAAATGCGACCACCGTCATGTGTCCGTCAAGCAGATGCAGTCATGCAGTCACCCATGAAGACGTGCGCAGACACGCACCACAAGATGTGTTCACTCGGTAAGTATTTCAATTCCGCCATACTCTTCCATCTACTAGCATCACGTTTGCTTACTCTGAGCACTAGGTTTGACGAGCTATCCATGCGTACTTTCTTGAACGCCGAAACCAATTTCGTCTACTGCCTCACCGAAGGTTGCCAATCAGGGCAGATCCACGATACCGGAGTGGAAGGCCCAATCTTCCGCTGTGCCGCATGTGGATATCGCATGTGCACTGCCCACGACCCCGTCATACCTTTCCACGAGAATGAGGCGTGCACGCAGTACAACGAGCGCGTCGAGCTTGAGAGAGTCGAGCGCGAAGCTAGAGACGAAAGGGTGCGAGTCAGAAGAGAGCAAGATGAAGCGAGCGCTGCCGAGGCCGGGAGGTCATCCGTAGAATGTCCGGGTTGTGGAGTACAGATCCAGAAGATCGATGGTTGCGATCATATGACCTGTAAGTTGAATTGCGCCAGGCCAACCCTGACTGATCAATAGTAACATAAACAGGTCGTTGGAAGGGATGCATGTACCAGTTCTGCTACATTTATCGAGCACCATACGTTGGCGCAAAAGGCATTAACCAGGTTGGTAACTCAGCGCACACTGAAAGCTGTTTATACCACCCAAAAATGCTACCTGCATATCGGGGTCGTTTGTGGATGATGATGCATGGCCATGATGGAAATGAAGGTTTTTAGGCGGAGGCGCAGTGACCTAAATAGACTAGCGCTTGCGGTGACATGTCGTGTGGTTCAGAGGCTGAAGGAAAGTCGAGGGACTGTGAACTTCGGAAGGAAAGGCTTTACCCGCAGCTGCGATGGTAGCTAGTAAGTGGCGACAAGCCAATTTCATGTCGACTTTTACTGTTTCCATTTCTCTTCTGCCCTCTTCCGGTATGTATGCACTTGCTTGCACAATTGGAGAGAGGGGATGGTGGGGGGCGTGAACATCATCTTAGAAGACTGTGCATCCTTTTTGTTACTACAACAACTCTCGAAAGACTTGAATAGATGTCTGGTTAAGTGCTGGGGCTGAAATGAGAGCTAGTATGATCACTCGACCCAATCAGCTGTTCTTTTTCAGCCATCATGTCGTGCAACAGTACGCACCTTTGATCATCCCTAGCCTCGTCACTCTGCATCGTATGTTAAAAGCCATGACTTTTCTCTACAGCCTTCCTTCCTAGAATCTTTCTCTTTCCTATCGTTTCAGCCATCGCAGTAGTGGAAGCTCAGATCTCAGCCTCGTCACGTTCTTCGCTCAGCTCAGCATCTTCCAAGGATCGCTCTTAGAGTCGCACCAATTATCTTAGTACAACCCTTACCAATGGCAGATTGCCGCGTTCAATCATTCGCAGAGCGCAATGAAACAAGCTGCGAATACGTTAAACAGCAATGCGGGTATGGGCTGTGCAGAGACGACAGTGGCGACCACTGCTATGGCATCGATAGCTATCTGAATTATCCAGCTGGCCGATATGAACCCGCCGGAAACGGGACGTGTCCAGGCAATGGTCACTACTGCCCGATGGCGCGTGATACATGTTACATTCCAGACTTGAACGGGATAAACATGTGAGTTTATGAGAGAATATAGAACACTTATCAACCGTTCAGGTCATTACGCAGAGTACCAGCTAACGTATCATCATAGATGCTGTCCAGTCACCGGATTGATCATGTCGTGTAAAACTGGCACCTGCGAGTGCTATCGGCTAGAAGATCTGGAGAGCCTCCCACCACTTTCCACAGCCTCGCTACCTGCGACTACAAGAACTCCTACAACCTCGTCACCTACAACTGCTCCCACGTCCACCGACTCTCAAACAACTTCTACAGCACCATCGAACCCACAAACTAGTAGTGCTACCAGCTCGAGCGGGCTATCTACAGGTGCAAAGGCAGGAATAGCTGTAGGCGCTGTTATTGGCGCGGCAGCCTTGTTCGGCCTCGGCTTTTGGCTCGCAAGGCGATCTTTTAGGCGGCGACAGGATGGTTTAGGCACGAAGGAGGAAGAGGTTCAGCCCGTAAGCGTAAAACACGATGGGAGAAAGGAGCTCAATGCGCTCGAGACATGCCACGAGGCAAACACCGACGCGGCGCAAACTCAGGTGAAACCGAATAGACACGAGTTGGATGGAAGGCAGGTACCCGCGGAGGCGGGCGACGAGAATAAGAGAGCGAATGTACCTTATCAGCCATAGACCGGGACCCTTGTAGGACGGTGTTCCAGCGAGACGAAGTGCATTTGATCCCGCGTCTCTCTTGCGGATTGATGACTGAGATAGTAGCAGTGGAGGATCTACTTCGACGTCTTCGGACCAATTCACGTGGAGTTTACCATTGATAGTTAGGCCTTCGACTTTAGCTTCGAATATAGTAATCATCCTAAGACTAGCTCATCAGCGGGTTTGACTGCGCTGAACTATACCTCAGTGTTGCATCTCTTGATTCCTACTTCCACGATGTAACCGTAACGCATCGACCACAGTCCGCGCCGGATGCCACTAACTATAGTTGCACGAAGAGTCTAACTGCTGCATAAAAAGGAGCTACAAGTATCTCGCTAGTTTATCCGTGGGTTTGTGCCTAATCATTATAGTTAGTAACACTTTATAACGTCCATGCGTGGTTGGATCGAAGACTCGCATCGACCCATTACGTCGCTGACTCTGTATAGTAGGTAAACTTAACAGTTGCAGTCTAGTATAAATTGCGACTCCTATCAAACCTCCCTTGGCTTTACTGCCATTAGACTCGCACATAACTAGGAGACCGCCTCAATTACACCATTTCCAACCTTAATTTAACACCTTGAGCATTCTTCACCTTTGCTACCCTCTCTTCAACTCGAATGATATTACACCTCGATTTCTATCAACGAAATTTGGCTGAATTACTGTTCCCCATCAAATAACTCACGATGTACAACTCTGCTTCGACAATCGACACTCCTGTAAAGGTTAAAACTGCCCAACCAGTGAGCCAGGAACCTCCTCAATTTACATCCGAACGTCTCCTGATGCGGCCATTACTCAACTCAGACTTTTATGCATGGCACAAACTGTGGCAGGAGGAAGACAACATCGCCAACGCGGGCTTGGAGGCCATGGTGCATGACAATTTCGCCCGGATATGGTTCAACCAGACACGAAAAGAATGCGCAAAGGTTGGGATTCTTCGCTGTACTAATGGAGCAGGAACGTTCATTGGGGACGGCGGGATGTACCAGTTTCTCAATCAATGGCCTGAAGTGGTTTACTTGGTGGAGAAGAAGTATCCGGGCGAAGGCTTCTCCACCAAGTCCTTGAAAGCACTTATGGACGTCTGGTGAAGGCTGCGCCACAAAGAGATAAAGAAGCTCTCTGCCACACCAACCTACATCGGTGCGGAAGAAAGAGGCGTGGTGGTTGAACGACTATGTGCTCCCATCAAATTCGAAAATATGAAGAGTCATGATGTGGTGATGAAAGCCCGCTTTAGCAATAAGGAGGTGAATGAAAAAGACAAACAACCCATTTTCTGGCGGTTTCTCCTTCCAAGATAATGGATCGATACTCTTCATTGATGAGAGACCTGCAGAGCATACAAAGCAACAATGTTAAAAGATAATAACGGACAGGCACGGCAGAAGGTCGAGATGGGGATGTTTCTGGGCAACTTTCGAACCTGTTCGGGTGCCTACCCTGGTCAGGCTTTCAGGTCATCCAAAATTGTCATTACTTTACTCGCTACACTCCACTCAATGCAACAGTGTTAACAGGCGTGATCGCGGTACTAGTAGACTAAGTAGAGCGGAGCATCGCTACTCAATACTCGTCTCATTGTCGTGGCGCAACAGTACAAAGGCCAGAGAACTGACCTCGCGTTCAATCCATCACTTCGTCCGTCCTCTTAACCCGCACCTTGACCTCCATACCATCAACCGGCTTCGCAGTGACCTGATGCGTCGAGAACATAGTACCCTTGGTTTTTGCCTTGCCCTTTTCATTAACCTGCACCTCGCCCTTCTCATCCAAATCCAGCTCACCAAGTCCTTGCTTGACAAAGTCAAAGTGCCTTGCCACACACACTATAATAATCTTAGTCTCCAGGTTTGCAAGTTCAGACCCGGTGCATCGCCGCGGCCCACGCTCATAAGGCCTGAAACTGCTCTCAGGGATCTTCTTGCCTTCCTCTCCAAGCCATCGCTCGGGCTTGAAGTCGTTTCGGCTGTCGCCAAAGATCTTTGGGTGGCGCTGAATGATGTACGCACGGGGCGTTACGCACAAGCCGTCAATACAGAGCGTGTTACCGTCGGGAAGAGTAAGCATGGTGTTCGATGCGGGTGGGGCGATGCGCGCAGTTGTTCCAGGTGGGTGGAGACGTAGAGTCTCCTTGATGAGCGCATCTGTGTATGGCAATTTGTACAAGAGAGCTCCAGCTTCCGGACCTCGCAGCGCTTTAACAACGGCGGAAGGGTGGGCATTTGGACCAAAGACGGAATCAAGCTCTTCCTTGAGAGTCTTTGCGGCGGAGGGATGTATGTGCAGCTCATAGAATGCCCATTGTAGAAGAATTGATGTTGTGTCGTGACCGGCGAAGAGGAATCCGCGAAGTGTATCGCTGGTTTGTTGAAGAATTTGAGGTGTTAATTTGTCGACATCATGGAGACTAAGGGTAGCTACACTCTTATTCTTAGTCTTGGTGTCGGTGTTGCCGGAAAGTAGGGCCTTGTGCTGTTTCTTGATCTCGGCTTTGAGGATGCTGTCAAGTTTCTGGTCTTTGGACCGAATCTCGCGCTCGTTGGCAGAGAAGTAGTCGCGCCAACCTACTCCTCCAAAAGGCCGTTTGTTGAACGCTTGAGAAAGGGCGCGATAGGTTAGGAGGACCTCAGACTGCTTTCCATCGATCTGCGCATTGAGATCCATGTCAAACGTGACAATGCCAATGATGTCAAAGACAAGGTTTGTTGTGTATGGGCCGAGAGTGAAGGTGTCGCCGGAGGCAGCCTTTTGTTCCATGAGCTCGATGAAAGTCTCAGATTTGTCCAGAATCACATCAACCAGACCAAGAAGATGGCTAGGTTGGAAGCCAGGACGTATTCGTTTGTATAGAGAAGTCCACTCGTCACCCTACAGATGTTGATAAGCTTTTGAATCCTGAACATTGCAAGATATATTGAAGAAAGCTGACTTACGTCGGTGGTGACCAGAGACCTTGCACCAACGAGGGGAGCTAACTGCTGAATGGAAGGGTGCTTGGGCATGCTAGTCCTGAAAGCTTTGTTCGGCTTGGTGACCTGTTCCGCGACATCGTTGTCCAAGATGAACAGAACCGGAAACTTCTCGATGGGGCGGAAATCGACAAAAAGAACTGGAGGGAATCCGAGCTTTTCGGCTTGTTCGTACAACATCTCATCGAATTGACGTCGAGGATCGCCCTCGCCCGCAATTCTCTCAACCCATGCCCAATGACCTCGAACAGGATCTGCTGGCTCGGGCTGTGGGAAGTGCGAGTACTGCTTGAGATCGAAAGTCTTGGCTTTGGTCTTTCGTAGGTAATAGGCTATGACAAGCGGGATCGCGGCGAGTGCCAATAGCTTCCATTTCAACAGTGCACTCAGCCATTCCAGATTTCGAGGCGAAAGCAAGTTCGACAGCGCCATCTTTACCACGAGAATAGTGTCGTGCCAGCTCGAAACTGTCGGCAGTGACCTGCAAGACATCTTCTTATGTAGTGTGCGACAAGCATTGCAAAAAGGCCACCAGTCTTGTTGAGGTGAGCCATCGTATCATCGGTGCCTATGGCCTATTGCGTGAGACATTGCAGTGGTTTCGGAGTGATGTCGGACATGGCAGCTGCATCGATGTGGTAAGTGATCATCTGATAAGATGGCATCAGATTAGATTAGACCGGGGTGACTGCAATTCCGCCCACTCAAGTACAACTTCAATAACCAGCGTGAACGGAAGCCAAGCAAAGATCTGAGCTAGAGGCGCGTGTTGTTCTTTGTTGATTCGCTGATGCTTCGTACTCCCTGCATGTCAAGCAAAACTCTGCATCTTGGCATCGCGGGCTGTGATCCGTGTTCAGCTAAAGGTGTCGATGCTTCGCATAGATCGTGACATAGTGTGGGGTTGAAGGAAACAAAACGCAAGCTGCAGATGGCAGGTTTTTGGAACCTTTGTGCTACAACAGTTCCGGAGAAAATTGCAACCTATTGTGCAGATTTTGTGCTCAGTCTTTTGTGCGGCGGCTCACCAAGTTGCAGTCAGTTGTGGAGACTGTTGGTGAGGCGAAGCGGGGCCTCCCGTCACACCCCTTATGTTCTGCGCTTCTTGCTCCCCTCGTCTGTTCTTCCAAGCCCGAACTTATTCATCGCCACCGAGACTTTGACAATCATATCGCCGAGTGCCTTTGAGCCTGGTGGAGTTGCTTTCCGATCCCATCCCTTTGTCACACACTTGAGTTGCGCAAAGCTCCATCTTTTGCGTTGTCGGTAGTCCATGCACATGATTATAGTATTTTTGAGCGTGTCGCTGTTCATGCCAGAAGTCTTGAAAGGTGTTTCGCCAGAGGAAACGTGGTTCTTGTACCTGGAAATGCCATATCTGTAGCCGTCGTTCAGCACATTTTCGACTGAGTCGCTAATCTCAGAGACCTCGTGGATGAATGGTTCCATGTTGTATCCCTGCTTTCCGGGTAAATTCATAACCAGATTCCACATCATCTGTTTGACTTGCCAGATGTCTGATATAGCGGCCATTTCCTCGGAAAGATTGCCGTACGTGTGATGCCCTGCATAGCGCCAATACGTATCTAGGGTGTATCCTCCCCTAATGTGCGGAATCTCATGAGAGTGGTTTGGAAGGATGTAATGTGTGTAATTGTTGGCGTAAATGTTATTTTGTAACTGTAGGTCGAAGCATGCGACATTGAAGTCGGCAAGTGCGATAGTATGAGCCTAGGTTTTTTGTTAGCCGCAATGGCATGCGGAGCACGACAAGAAACTTGCGTCGTATTCGTTAGCCTCACGGTAATGATTCTTCCCATTTGGCTTGGTTTCTTTATCTACAACACGTACGATTGTTTTACAGTTATGTTCATGAGATGCCCGTCGCGATGCACATTCTCACCCCAATCAGCATCATCATCCTCTTCATCGATGCGTCCAGAGCCCGGTATAGTGATCGTATCCACAGGCCGATCAAACACTATCCAGGATAACTATCCCGGGATACAATAAGGTAGTTCCACAGGAAGCGCATCTTCATGTCATTCAGAAAGCTCTGGCATCTCTTCGTATTCGTCAGACGACGTCGTCCGGCAGTGATGCTACTGATGCGGCATCTTGCACTGCAAAACGATCCTTCAATCACTTTGTATTCTGAGAAATCTTCCAAGCCATTGCTTAGCTCTTATTGAATCCTCTTCAAGGGTGACACCTACCATGTCTATTTCTGTGATCGCTTCCCGTGCTTCCTTGATCTCAGGATGAGAACTTAACCATTTGAATTGATTACGTCTTCGTCTCCACTAGCCTGAATCCCGACCTAGTGACTGGAAGACATCACCCATGTTGCAAAATTCGTTAAAAACACGATAGCGGCGTCTGCGAAGATCCAGGCGATGGCCGCAGTACCTATGAACTTTTGTGCTTACGTGATATCCGCCTCTCAAGTCGTGTCTGGACGGCAAGGTCGAATGGTAACTTGTCGCGCCAGTAAATTGGGCTTATTCATGTGCCTGGTCGAAAGATAATGTCTTTTACAGCCGGCCTCTAGCGGTCATACAGCTAAGCACTGTTTCAACCATCGAGATTTTACCTCTACAATGATTTTCGACTCACCGATGCCGACCCATAGAATGACAGTAGCCATGGCACCACTGCCAAGCAAATGCACGTATCTCTAATTCAGGGTTGACCCCTCTTTCTTAGGGTAGCATAACCCAGCTATTTCGAATTTGCAATTATTACGTTTCTTGGTTGCTTCCCTCTTCTCTTGGTCTTCTTGTTCGGCATCAGTGCCGCGTCACTGACTTCCAAAATCAGTAATTCCTGATTTACAGTATGGAGAGCGAGTGAATACAAGAAGCCAGTTGTGTTTACTTGAGCTGGTTGTGATCCGATGTATAATGCTTGTGCAGCTGGCTCATGGACTGCTCCTCCCGGCAGAGGTACGGGGCGAGGCGCTAGAGCTGCTGATGAGCCGAGAACTGCAGGTTGTGATATTTGGCAACTCGTTCTCAAATAAGTCAGATCTGCTTGAGTATATGGCCGAGCTAATACTGGATTCGACACTGATAGCTCTGGTCGGACGGCTGCATTGGTGGCTCGGCTGATATTGTAATGGCCATGTACCGCTGTGTGTAAGAGCCAAAGCGCCTCGACTGTGGTGTTCATTTCTTCTATTCCTGTCAACAAATCAGACTGTAACGATTGCATGATTCTACTTGCACTCCATCTTGCTGTATGCTGTCTGTTCCAGCCTTTCACATCCCATCTAAGGTATGTGATCGCATCATTCCAAGGCTTCTCATGTCAACCCATTTTGGAATAAAGTTACAGCGGCTTACAACTTTTTCATATACATGGTTTAGATCGTCGTATCTCAGACCGGCGTCCTGAACTAATTTGATGGCGAGGCCAGTACCTCGCTGCTGAGGTTGCCCATCGCTCGAGACGCTAACAGAGACGCGACGCAAACGGCCATCACTTTGTCAACTAGGCAACTCTTGCGCATCAATACGATGACGAATTTCTGTTAGTGAAACTCTAGACAATATTGAAAGTTTCTTGAAACGAAGAGCATGATCGAGAAATTTCCAAGATTGTCCAGGTTACACAAAAGCAACGCATTGGGTTCATGTCGATGTGAAGGTGAACTTCGACTTACTTCTCTAATATCAGCTATTGTGGATAGTGGCTGGCCTGCTGCTGGACGTGGTAAAAGGAGTAGTGGCTTGCTGACGTTTAGGTCTTTGTAGAGCCCTGAGCGCATCCAACTTGTCCTGTTTTCTCTCCATCGTTGCCAATCTGCCACAGACTCATCTTGCATGGGTTTGGAATTAACCTCAGCCTACTAGACGGGTGTTTAGAGCGTGGCGTAGACGTTGGGCGATGTATTCTAGAGAATTTAGGCCAAGATGATTAGGTATACGCATAGGTCGTTCGCTCAGCTGCGGTTGGGTGTGCCTCCGCTTCGAGCTGACTGATGCGGCTCTCGAGTTGCAAGACGCTATCAGAAGTTGATCATCTCTTCATGGATATCGATCTGATGCTTTCAGGGCCGCCTTCTTCACCGTCTCCTTGCTTACGCTTGTCAATATTGCCGTCCTCTGGACCACCGGGGTCGTTCGAGGGTATCGATGCAATTCCTTGAGCTTGACTCTCCGCGTTCAACGCCTGTTGATCTTCTCTTTCGTCTTTGATATGGTCTTCATTTCCACTCGTATGGTCTGCTTCATCTTTGCTCTGATGCCCGACTTTGACCTCTTTTCCATCTTCTTCTTTATTATCCTCCGAGCCTGGTACATCGTCTGAGTCTGCTCGCACGAACGGTGCCAGCAATTTGCCTAGAACTTGTGCGTACTGCGCATCTGCCGGCACGTAGGGGTTGTGTGATATTGGATTTGGATTTGGAAGGCCGGGGCCTGTAAGATGTCCGAGATGTGATTTCGTATAGTGATCTCTTTTAGTATCACCTACGCAACACAAGGTGGCGACGGTATCTACTATCTGACCCTATCTTCATATCAGCACCTCGTAGGAGTATAAGATCGTCCGACGTACCTCTGATTCGACTGATTCTGTTTGCCTTCATGTATTCATCGGCATCCCAATGGAAGTAGCTGGAGTGACTTTGAATAGCGGCGGTATTGTCGGATGCTATACGGACAGCCTCTCGAAAGCTCATTCTCGTGGTTTCGTGCGTGAGGTCATGTCGGTGCCAACATCGGTGATGCATAGAGTGAGCTTATTGTCAGTATACTAAACAATGAAGAAAAGTGCAACACAAGCGATGGATGTCCGGAATTGATCAACTGGCACGAACCATTGGGTGAACAGTACTTGAGATCAGTGAAGAATGAAGCGCATTTAGGGTGAGTTAGAGATCGCAGTCTGGCCTTTGCCAACACTTGCAGCGATCGGATATACTCCATGGTGTGAGCGAGATCAACACAACTGCTCTTGAGAATTGCAAAAAGATTGTGTCGAGACACTTCATGGATAGAAAAATTCCAGGACACGACGATACGCTGTCTATAGCGTGCAAGGCGTGGCAGTAGCTACGCTGAGCTTTTGAGGTCAGCGAACGATACGAGTCTGTTCAGGTGATAATTAAGCAGAATGTACAATCCTGCAAGTTCGCCGAAGCCGGAAAATGGCATGGTGAGAACTAGGTTGCATTGTAGGCTAGGCTGGAAAGTAGAATAGGCGTGGGCAAGATGTCATGCTGGCAATGACGGTGGTGATTGTTAGGCATGAGAAGGAGACCAATATGAGACGCGGTGGACCGTGCACGCTTTTCTTATCGGGCACCTATCGGGTCAGCACCAGGCACGCCAGCAGCTATCCATCTACACGGTCGTTGTTATATCCTGACATCGTTGTAAATCTCCTGGAGTATGCGCAAATACTTCAAGTCTACGAGAAGGGACAATCCGAAGGTCTCAGCTCTTAGCAATCCTGCGGTCTCTGGTAATCCTGCTCAAGAACGCGAAGGTCGCACCGGCGTCGTGCCAGCTGCTTCAACCGTATACGGAACTGAAATCAGTACAGATACCAAAACTGATGCCGGGAAGCTCTCTGAGAACCGCGAAACCCCGGACTGGACATCTAGAGGCGTTCCCTGCGTTGAAGGAAGCTACGACTTTATAAACTTTGGGCCAGACTCGCATTACGGACTGCTCGACCCCTGTAAGCTTCATTGTATTCCGATTGCAGTATTGTGCAATCGCTAACCTTGGCCATAGCGTACTATGTACGTGCTAAGGGCTTTTTCCGCATTGGGAGGGTTAGATTACTCCAGGGCTGGATATTATTGCATGCTGAGACTCAATAGGTCTTTTCCATACTTCCTAGCAACGCTGCAGGTGCTAACTTAGATAACTACTTCGCGGTTGTAAGACAGATGAGTGATTCCTGTTACGCCGTGTAAGCACAATGTCCTACGTGCGGTGACTGTTACTGACATACGTGAGCCCAATATTCACCTACAACAAGGGCACGAACCAGCCCGGTGTTAGTTCTAAAGAACACGCAATTATATTTAGTGGTTACCATCATTACTATCAACCACAGTTGTTACTTGATGAAGTTCCTTTGAGCAAGGAGCCAATATGCATGGTGATGGCGGAAGGTCAAGAAGCTCTTCCCGTTACGAGTCGCATCTGCTTTGGTACCCTGAAATCAGTTCAGTACAATATCAAGGTTAAGGACATTGGCTATGTTCATGCGACTTCTCTTTCAGAGTTCTCGGGCTACTGGGATATGGAACATGCTCGTGTGCCAGATATGATCCCACACTATAAGTTCTGCTCCCTCAGCACGAACAAGTAAATCTGGTAGTAGAGCGATCAATAAAGGCTGGCAAGGATTCCATGTTGAATCCTCTGGAAAGTAGCAAGATCCAGGAGTCGACCCAAATACTGCACATAGTGCGCATCGTCCAGCTATAGCTATGCGTGACTGTTACAGATGCCATACTATACGAATCTAACTGTATCACAACAATAACAGATGTAGGATACCGCAAGTCCACAGATACCGGAGCATGATATAAGTAGAGCTAGAACGCATCACAGTCCGGAGGTCGTAACACGAAAGCTCAACATCTGTAATGCTGGAAGTGGTGGTGAAGGTTGGCACGGCTGGGTGTCCTTGGACTGACAACGTGTTGGGACATGCATGATGATCTTGTCAGGTAACGATTTTTGTAAATTGTGGTACCATGTTAGCTTCATCAGGCTCTCAGCCTTCTAGTTTGGCTGACCAACTGTGGTAATGCATAGCCGTCATGGTTACTAGAACACGCGACAGATTTGTCGTACTTCCAAGCGATCGAATCACTGGGATGATCAGTCTTGTTGCCTTTGGGCCCATACGTTGGGCGGAAATCATGGGAGGCCTTTTGATAAAATCCCGCAGCCTAATCGAGTTTGAACAATATACAGTTTAGGTTCGCAAACTCTGTTTACATACAAAAGATAATGGAGCTAGGTGGTAAAGAGTGTGAAGGATTGGGCTTGTCCAATGAAATACAAAACGTACACACACGCCAACATGTTCGCTGAAACCATGCCGGACAGGAGTGGACACGCACAGGCAACCGTAAAGTATTGCATCGTGGTGCACCTACCGAGTCTGGCCGGTGGTGTATGGTTCAAGATCAGGTGGAGGCGGTGGCAAGAAGAGAGAAGTTGTTCCCGTAAGTGGAACTACAGCTTGAGTAGAGAAATTTGTGTAATGAGTGGCCAAAGAAAGGTTAGTCGTCTCCGTAAGTGAGGCTGCAGCTTGGGGGGTTGGTAGAAGGCGCTTGACAGAGGCAGGTGTTGGGACTGAGTATACCGTCTGTGAGATGTCGCCTGCGCGATTATCCTTCGTAATAGAAAATAACGCCCTTGTGAGCCTGTTGAGAGTATTCGCGAACCCAGGTCCGCTGTCACCGGCTTGTAGAGAAGATGAGGACAACGATGCCCCCGTAGGTGAAGCAACGTCCTCATCGTTCCCCCAGAGAGCGCGACCGGAGTTTCTCCTGGTCCAACCCTTGTATGTAGGCGTCACACATCTCAAACCAAGGGATGCGACAGATGGTGCACTAGATGCGATACTCGTGAGGAAAGTTGACTGGTTGAATAGATATGGTTGAGCAGCAGGCAGTGTACCACTGAGATGACACAACATGTATCGGGCTCGAAATCGCGGGTGCTGTTCGTGGAGGGCCGTGGTGCCATGTGTCGGTACGCCCGGCCCATCGGAGCCATCCGCATCATCGCCAGGCGGGCGAAAAAGGAATGCGTTCAGGGCTGCCGCTGCGTTAGCAGTTTCCGCAAACATGCTGGGAATGTTTACACATGATGTGCGACGCGTACTCCGCGTTGTAAGTCTCAATAGCTCGTGCGACGAGGCAACACTAGCAGGCGTCAGCGCCTCGCGGAATTCTCATGCGCTAGGTTCACAGTCAGCTAAATCCGACGGGTCTGTGAGTAGGTGGTTCCACCGAGATATGGATCCAGCTGTGCGTGGAAGACTACCAATGGCTAGTGCTTGGTGCCACCCTGGGTTGGGTTGAGGTGGGACGAATGCAGGTAGTGCCCAGCCTTCCAAGAAGTATGGTGATCGCCAGCTCTCAGCCCCACTAGCGCCGGAGCCTTAGGTCGAGCCTTCACTCTCGCATCATCTCTAGCCGCGCATCATCATTCATGCAATGTCGGCAAGCAGTTGGATCTGGAGTGAGCCATACCAAGACTACTATTATGTCACTTATGATGGTGTGTGTCAAGCTTCGCTACTTGCACGAAATGTCTGCTGACTCTCACCACAGAATATGGTCAACCGGTGTACCACTGGTTCAAACAAATACGAACGGAATCGGGGTCAAGGTGTCGAAACGACTCTGCCAATTTTGAGGACTATGGACCCAATATCGCTCAGATGCCGAATCCCGCATCCGCAACGGTGAGGGGACTCTATGGTTTCATACAGGGCACACCCCACACCGGCTGGTATGACTTGCTAGATTCAAGTGAGTGCCTGATCTCTATTATCCCACTACACAAGCTTAGCCTTCTAGGTTATTGTATGCGAACGGGGTATGAAGCGCGCAGCTTCTTTGTTGTGGGAAGGGTAATGAGCAGCTTCCTTACTTTTGTTTGCCCTAACTCTTTCTTTTAGGTATTTGCAATGCTCTATGCGGAGTCTGCGAGCGGGGCATTATTTCCCCGCCCAAATGAAGATGCTTATACCGTTGTGAGATTCAATGAAAGGGCGCATACCAATATCAGACGCTTCATTGTAGTCCAAGTCCGGCGCGGATTTGTCAACGCATGGCAAGTCAGCTGCACCGTACAACGATACTAAACTAACGTGGAATCTAGCGGTATTGGAACCTACAATGGCCGGGGCACTTTAAAGCAGGGCTGTAACCCGTCAGAGCATGCCATAGCATATCTCTCAGGTACTGATCCAGGCTCATGCTACATGCCTGGTGAGTACGAATCAGGCATGACTAAAGAACCTATCGAGATTGTACCTGTAGATGCTAGTATACAGATTAGGTCGGAGTCTCGTATACGTTTCGGCAAGACCTATCCTATCGAGATGAATGTCAAGGTCAAGGATATCGGCAAAGTGCACGAAAGTCATATAAGCAAGCTCCTACGATACTGGATTGAAGAGAACGACTACAGTGGATTGTTTGACGGAAGCTTTGCCACTGGAAGCTCTTATCATATGGACGAGCATAGATATGTTCTACCGAAGTCGTCTCCAAGCCCGGGTCCGGAGTCAGATAGTGAAGACGTAGCACTGCTTCGTAGAGATGCTCTTCACCATTTGTCTGCTGATCGCTTTGATAGTCGTCTCACTGGTGATCTATTCTCAGGTCCGTACTGCTTGTCGCTGATGATTTGCTACTGACTAAGTGCACCAGACTATCAGGTTATTCAAAATCCACGGGGCTTCTTCAAAAAAGGTATCGTGTTCATGGTACCTTGGCCTGAGCCCGGCGGCGACTTCGTCAAAGACAGGGTGGGTCCGCCTGTCGTTGTGAAGATCAGAAGGTTCGTTGTAATCAGGCCCAAGAGCACATTCTGTCTTTGCCTGCCTATGCATACCTACAACGGTCAAGCAACGACCAAACCTGGTGTTGTTGCACAGGATCACGCTGCCGTCGTAGCGGATAATGATGAAGTTCAGTACCTGCCTCAAGAGGCGGAACTTGCTAAGACACCCATATACATTAAGGTCGAAAACACTTCAACAGGACCGATCGACCCTGCATCCCGGATCAACTTCGCAAAGATTTACACTGTGGAGTATAATGTCAAAGTTCGCAAAGTTGGCAGAATAGTTGCAGATTCAGTCTGGCGTATGGATCAATACTTCGCAGAATGCTCTAAAATCGGATCCAATTGAAAACAAAAGTTTCAGAAGTATCGGCGGGACATGACATCCGAATTCTCTCTCATTCGCATAAGTGCACTCCAGCAATGTATCGCAAGGCTGAAAACCACCGCTACACCGGTCATGGCAAGCTGGCCAATGAGATCACGGAGAGATTTGCCAAGAATGTGCACATATGCGGGCAGGTAGCTCAATGAAGCGTCCATTGGACCGTTCAAAACTCTTACATGCCCCGACACCCTCATCAGAGCGCGCATGAGCTGGCCTTATGCAGACTTCGTCCTTAAGGCTGCAATCCTCTCCGATATATAGCGTCCACGTTGGCCATGTATGCCCAACACATGTGCGACTATGGTCGAATTCATCGGCGCTGCTGCTGCGATCCCGCAGCTTGCGAAATACAGCTTCAGTGCCGCTAATGCCATACCAGACTTCGCACGACGAGTGCGCAAGGCTCCCATCACCCAAGACTGATGGATCGACCAGGCAACGCTTCTCACCAGCACATCGCTAGAGGCTTGTAGACAACTTAATAGCAATGTTATCCCTTCACCAATCCTCGATCGTCTTACCGAAGAGTTGAACAGTATTCGATCCCTACTGCAGGAAACAACCATTAATACCAACGATGGAAAGATCGCGAAGATGAGAAAGAACATCAGGGTTGTAAGGCAAGAGACGGAACTCAACAAAGAGATGCTAGCTATAAGTCAACGAATTGTGTTGTGTTCGCACCTCGTCACGTTAAGCGCTTGCCCGTACCGATTGGCGTAAGGTTTGCTGACAGTACTAGGCTTGGTCACGTGAACAGCATGCCCACTCATAATCAGTCGTCGTCAGCCTCAACCAGCACGCTGGTTCCTCATAATGTGCGCAAATTGTGATTTCCATCATCTCCCTCAATCTATCGCCCCGATGAGAACGTGTTCGAGTGACGTGTCGAAGTTGACGACTAACCGTGAACGATATCTAGACTCAGCCAACGACAGCTCTGCCATCAATACTATCCAATCATCTCATGATATTTACCACCCGTAATCGCAATTTTGTCGGACGCGCGATTCAGCTGAACGAGCTTTCAATGAAGATCAGGGAGTCAACACGATCTTTTACCGCTATATCTGGCCTGGGAGGACTTGGGTACGATGGCATTTCATACAGTGGCTATCATGACTAATTACTGCATCAGAAAGTCTGAGCTGGCCGTTGAATTGGCATATTTGCTCTACGAATCATCACCGAACTTGTCCATCTTCTGGCTTGATGCTACTACAGATGACACCCTGACTGCGGGGCTTCAAAAAATCGAGGGACTCGCCAGTATTTCCACCAGCACTTCGGAAGCTACAACGGCGACTGTGATACGATGGTTGAGCTCGCCCATTTTCGCCAGATGTCTGCTGATAATTGACAACGTGGATGTAGACTCAATCGCCGGTTCGACCCTGGAAAACTTGTTGCGCCCCACGCGCGATGGTCACATCCTTTTCATCACCCGCAATCGGCGACTTGCATTGAACTACGCGCATCCAACAGATGTCTTTGACATGCCTGCTATGATCGAAGAAGACGCGCAAGATTTGCTTCTCTCGTACATTGGGTTTGATGCTGGAGATGAAGAGAGCCTCATCAGCTTGGTGAAGGGCCTCGAATACCATCCACTAGCGATCAAAAGCGCCGGAAGATACATAGCATCGACGGGTATCAATCCAACAAGATTTCTCGTCCTCTTGGAGCAAGACGCATCCTTCTTACCTTCGCTACTTGACCCAACGATAATTCCTCAGCGTTATCGAACAGTGCGCGGAAAAGGTCACAATAGCATCTACACGCTAAAGTCTCTTGCTACATACAACGAGGAAGTCGCCGCGATCCTTTTCCTCGTTTCGTGTTTGAACTATTCTGATTTGCCGGACGAATTGCTGACAGGGTTTGCGGATACCAACTCAAGAAGAGAGGCACTTGACATTCTAAAAGCATATTCAATCCTCAAGCCCATCGTACTAACCACGAAGTGGAAGATGCCGGAGCTCGTAAGGCTCATTGCTAGAGATCAGCTACTTCGAAGTCCCGGACGCGTTAGATTTCTTTCAGCCGCTCTCCAGTTCGTCGCTTCGCTTAAAGCATCACAGACGGATGCCGCGAATGACATACGGGTATATTGTGCGCACATAGCTTCGGTACTGAAAGCTCTCGTTTTCTGCACCTCTGAACAAGAGCTTTCGCCAAGTACGATCAAGCTTGCCTTCCAGTTGTTAACCAGATTGTGCCAATCTCTAGTCGACCAAGGAAAGCCATACGAAGCAATCGCAACATCCTCTCGATTTACCTCCTGGGCTCCAATAAGCGCGCAGAGACTCGTTTCTGCACTCGACAAGCTGTGCAGCAAGCTCGGCGTTGCCTATCACGGCAGCGGGCAGTTTGCCGTCGCGGAGAACATCACAAGAGAGGTACTCCGATCACAAATCCGTACTATCGGAGAAGACCACCTTGAAACTCTACACAATCTTAACAACATTGGCGTGTATCAACAAGAACAAGGCCGCTTCTCTCTAGCGGAACGCTGTCACCGTAAAGTGCTGGAGATGAAGTCCATAAGATGTGGACCGTGTGATTTGGAGATCTTCTTCACCCTCAACAACCTCGCGCTCTCATTACAAAGCCAGAAAAGATTCGAAGAAGCCGAAGTCTACTTTGTCCAGGCACTGCGCGGACGAAAGGGAAAATTGAAGGAATTTCATCCGGACGTCCTCGTCAGCATGAGTAATCTTGGTGTCCTCAAGCAGTTGCAAGGGCGGCTCGAACAAGCTCAGCAACTACACGAGGCTACCTTGAAGGGCCGTGAACTTGTCTTGGGCGCAGTCCACCCAGAAACATTGAAGAGTAAGGGAAACCTAGCACTGTTGCTTCAGCGGCAAGGCCGATACGGCCAATCAGCCGACCTTCTCCGAATGGTCTGTCAAGCATATAAAGCAGAACTAGGTTCTTCGCACCCAGACACCATCAAGTCTCTCCGCAATCTAGCTTCTATCCTGCATCAGCAATCGAAATACACGGAAGCGGAAGTCTTGATAAGAGAGGTACTGGATATATTGGAAGAGAAGCACAGTAAAGGTCATTCCGAAACGTTCAAGACGCTACAATACTTAGCTACGCTATTGCATTGGCAACGGAAACTTGAAGACGCTCTGGGGATTATGGCATCGCTGTATGACATGCAGAATGCGATGTTAGAGACAGAGCATCCGGACACGACCAGCAGTAGGAAGTACCTGGCGGAGCTGGAAGCGGAGCTAGCGGCGAGCGGGCAAGACTCTTTTATTCTGGTTTCTTGCGTGTTGTAGGCATGGACATTCACTCATCTCGGGTTCAGTAGCGAACGGTATGGTAATGCGACGATGTTCATGATCGTTTCCTCACGTTCGGCGTTCTGGGCGCTATTGAGTCTCTGTTGGCATTAGTCGCCTCAGCGCGAAGCTAGTCCGACAGTGAGCATCACATGTACAAGCACCAGGATGCATGCGATTGTGTAACGACCAGAGGAGGCGAGCATCAGCAAGTTACGTATATGTTTGTTCTTTCAGTAGCGATAGTCCATGGATGTGTATGCCTCATTTCCAAGCAATAATTCAACATGAACGAGTGTCCGTTTCCGAAAGCATCCAACACTATGACAGTCCTGTTATCCATATAACCCAAGCGAGTGTCCACCTCTCAAAACAACATCTGCCGTCCGAGTGGGCTCATGTATGCCAGGGGAACGAGAGGATGGCGAACAGAAGTGACCGTGTGCGATAGATGAGATGTCCTAACAACGTGAGCATATGATGGCGAAAGACCACTGATCAAGAGTGGTACTTCGCACCTAAATGCAATTCTCTGTGAACCTAGCTCTGATGTGGCCCTGTCGGATACGGGCTAGGTGCAGGGCGCGGGGGTGGTTGATTAGGCTTCTTGATGATGCTTTGATGTGGTCCAATTAGATATGGTTTTGCCTCTGGACGTGGTGGAGGCGCGTTGGGAATGTTAGCAGCGAACCCCACCACTTTAAGGGTTCCGCGACAAATCTGTAGGTAAGCAAGAACAAAAACAATGTTATTGAATACAAGACTTTGCACTTGCAAAGTGCGTTCGTCAAAGAAGGGACAAAGGGAAGAGATTATCGGAAAGGTAATGTGAAGGGCTTTGTGGCAGCTGTGACCGTCGATGTCCGTCGTAAGAGCGGAAACGTCATGAACATTGATAACAGAAAGGAAAGGTCGGTTCACCTTCTCAATAACAGCAGACAACGTGTGATGAAAGCCATTCTTGAAGGTTGATACGAACCGACCTGAGTGTGAGATGAGTGTGGCAGGGTCGTTGTAGCCAGCGTGCTCGTGATGCACTATGTCGCGCAAGTGCTGCGCTAGGCATCGCAGCCAGAGTGGATTCCGGGGCGCCGACGCCGGCTCCGGCAGATCGTCAGTCATCGCGAGACGCATAGCCTAACAAAAGTCAAAACGAATGGTGAATGGAAATGTGCCCGATAACAAAGGACATCATAACGGTAGCCGTACCGAGAATATCTGGCCCATCCGGGGGGCGGGCATGAAACTCAACATGTGCTTGTTACAGATAGGCTGAGATCTGGGCAGTCCGGCGACGTTGGGCGACTGCACCACGTTGCAGCCCGATGCGTGGTACGAAAGAATAGATGAGCCGGTCGGTGAGCGCAAGGGTGAGTGGTATGAATAGAAGCTTCACTTTGTTCAGCCCGAGAATATAATGTAAGGCGAGGATCGTCGTTCACGCAAAGAAGATGCAACCGTCACAGGTGTTAAAACGATTTATCAATACTAGATGCTACCTGCGCATTATATACACCTCATCAACAGGCAACAGCGAGGCGGAGCAGCGCTCCATACGAAGTTTGGTGGGGGCTGAGTCATCCATCCGCCAATACCTCGTCTCACTCCCAACACCTGGCACCTATCCCGTCGACGAGGACCTCGAACAGCATGTCTGAATCGCAGCCGATCTGGAATGTCGAGCATCAGAGATATCTCCTTACCTTATGGGACGCACAATATCACCGATTCTACTGGCAACACTACGTTGGTAAATATGCTTCCCTCTACGAAAGCGACGTGTAGGACTTATCACTCGAATAGAGGGACAAGGTTGGGTCTTCTTCAGCTGGGTTCCTAAAACTACCATCACCTCACCACCCACAACCCGATATGACACAAACCAATCTGGTCCATATCAACCCGGCACATATCAACCAGAACCAGCCACACTTCAACAAGAACCACCAATTCAACAACCATTTCCAGCCGTATATGAATCACAAACAGGCACATATCAACCAGCCACACATCAAGCGGATACAGAACAATGGACCAGATATCGACTGAATACACATCAATTCGGCACGGCCCAATCTGGTACGTTGACTTTCTATCACACTCATCACCACTGACGTTTAAAGAGTTTGAAGTAGTCCGGATCCCCCGTAACTTCTTCAAGATAGCAAGAATATTTACAATACTCTGGACTGAACCTGACGGAACTACTGGGCAACCTTACACCAAGCCTGCTAGATTCGTAGTGGTAAAAGCCATGCCTACGTTCTCTGTCTGCCTACGTATCAGCACCTACTCTGGACAAGCGACTTTGAAGCCTGGCGTTATTGCACATCAACACGCACCAGTGATCCGCCAGGGCGACCAACCAGCTTTATTCTGGGATGAGTTTGATCGCAATCTCAAAGAGCCCATCGAGATCAAGGTCGAAAATGAAGAATTCATCAACGTCAGCCCGGCGTCTCGCATCAACTTTGCAAAACCATACACTATAGAGCACAACGTCAGAGTAAAGAATATCGGCAGAGTTGTTGGAGAATCCGTAAGGCGACTTGAGTTGTACCTTGCTGAATTCTTAGGGTTTCAAATCGTCCCGAAATACCCGGCTGAATATACAGACGACATGTCATAATCCGTATCGCGAGATGAGCAGTAGCGCAAATCGAAAGCGACCGGTCAACATCGGGGAACCAAGCACGCAAAATGCAGCCTTGCTGCATGTCTATCCAATGAGCTATACATCCACTGCTGATTGGATCTTTATCCCTCCATCATGTGTCAGCCGGACCATCACTTTCTGCCTCGTTGCCTCACTCTATCCGACCTTAAAATCTCTCTCGCCTCGACCGTGTGGCTTTGGAAGTCAAATATTGTCACAACTGTCAGGTCTAGTATGGCAGAAGTGCTGGCGGTACTTGGTAGCGCTGCTGCCCTTACTCAGCTGATCCATTATGGCATTGTATCAGTCAGCAATGCTTCAGCCTTATCGAATACAATACGTCATACAGCCGATAAGATTGATACCTGGATGGATCAATCTCTGGTAATGACTAATCTCATTGACGAAATTGAGCAGTCGATGCTTAGTCATACGCCAAATACTATTCGACTTCTGAGCCAATGTCGCAAAGACGCCGGCAGACTTAGTTCACTACTTTCAGTATGTCGGAGGACCAAGCGTTCGCAAAAACGGTCGAAGACATCAGAAACTGTGTTTGTCATTCGAAAAGCAGAGGAAGTGGAGCGTATCGTGTTATCGTACAGGAACAATTTTAGCATTCTCGCTTCATATCTTACTATGTAAGTTCGATTGGAGCTTTCAGTGAAACTCAAACCGCTAACGATTCCTTACTAGGGTCAATACTGGTCAGAAGATAATTCACCCAGGAACGAGCATGCGCCCAAAGCTTGAGACGCCAGAAGGATGTCTGCATCAAACTACGTCTGTGTTGCGCGCACTCAGCATTGAGTTTGACTTGCACTTCACCCAGATGCGAAATCTTCAGCGTGGTCATGATCTGCATGTGCATGTCTCCACTATATTGAACACAGCAATGCAGTATCCAGTACACGATTCTACGTTTCCAGACACCGCAGCCTTAGCTATCCGCTTCTGCATGTTTCTCCTCACCACCGGACGATACTCGCGCGTCTTGGAGTTCCTTGATGCGTTCAAGACCTGGTCCAATGCTCTGCTGTCCGCCCACTTTGAAGCAGGGACGGCCATGAGCGGTAAAGAAGCTGTCGCACAGGCGTTGCACGGCAGTATCTACTCAGCTTTACGGATGTTCCACAACCTGTATCATTCTCGAACAAAAGCTCCCGATAGATCATCGATATCTATACTGCACAGCGTCAATGGGTTGGGACTCATGTATCACGCTGTGGGCGATAATCGCGCCGCATTATATCACCACCAGAGAGCGCTTCGTTCGAAAAGTGAGCTTCTAGGTCCTAGTGACCCCGATACGCTGGTCAGTACAAACAATCTCGGAATTGTTCTTCTTAGTCAAGGAAAGCATGAAACGGCAAGGAGCTTATTTGATAGATCACTGAAAGGCTGGCTTCAAGCTTACGGTGCCGATGATCTTTTCGTCATTGCGGCAAGGAGCAATATTGGCATTGCGCTTCATTTCCAGGGCAAGCTGGACGAGGCTGAGCACAGTCACCGCTACGTGTACAAAAAGCGCCACCTCATCTTGGGCCCACACCACCACGAAACGGCCAAGAGCCAAGCAAATCTTGCCATCACTCTCAATGAAAAGGGTCATCATGCGCAAGCCGAAATACTGTATCGTGAAGCTCTCACTAGTTTCCAGAACAAGCTCGGGCAATCGCATCCAGACACCTTGAAAACGCATACCAATCTGGCCACTGCCCTTCATGATCAAGGCAAATTCAGGGAGGCGGACTCTGTTGTTGCTTCAGCACTTCCACTCATCCAAAAGAAGTTTGGTTCGATGCATGCCGAAACCTTGGAAGCGTTAGAATTCCATGCCATCCTCTTACAGCACCTGGGGAAGTTTTCCAAAGCGCTAGGAATCGCTACAGAACTGTACGAGGCGCGCAAGTCGTATTTGGGGTACGATCACAGTGACACGCAAAGAACACTGCAGCATTTGAGAGACTTGGCGGAAGATGTGGAAGAAGCGCGCGTCATGCGTATATTTCCTTCAGTCATGCCTATCGCTGTTTGCTAGGCACACTTGTTCTCTTCTTCCAGTCCATCAGGTTGATAGTATTACTCTTTCTTCCGCGATGGCCACTCTATTCATTCGTTGTTCCATGTATTTATTGCGTCACAATTTGGAACTATTCTGTACCAACTTCTCGCTCAAGGTCCACAGTTGCTCGGCTAACTTCGGGTCGGTCGCGTATGGCATGGCATCGCACATTTGGCAGTCATGCAATAATACACCGCTCGACTCTAATATCGTGTCAGCACTCCTACAATCTCCCGATAAGATGCATACTCACCATCTAAAGAAGGATCGAACGCCGCGACTAACACTGTCGCCGCACCTTGATCATGGTTCTTCCAGAACGGACTCGTCTTCCGAATCGCAGCTTCACCATCAGCATCCAAATCGCGACTAAGACCAGTCCAAATCGCTAGACTCGTCAGCGAATGCTCCGGTGAGGCGGCCACAAAGAAGGGATATTCGAGTAGCGAAGTACTTACAACCAGGATGCACGGCGTAGCTTTTCACCCCTCTCTCACCGAACTTCTCATTGATAGCTACCGAGAACAAGATGTTTGCCGTCTTTGCCTGCCCATAGGCTACGTACCCGTTATACCCATCTTCCGTGCTCTTCGCAAACATCGGGGGCAGCGGCGTATGTCTTTCCTCCTCGGGCACATCATCGTTACTCTTCTCCAAGTTATAGTCTGAAAAGCGAACAGGGCTAAGTCGATGTCCGAGAGAAGTCAAGTTAACGACACGTGTCATACCCTCGTTAGAATTCGAAGCAGAAGCTAGGAGCTGAGGTATTAGTAGGTTGGTGAGTAGAAAGTGACCGATATGGTTCGCGCCGAATTGACCTTCAAGACCTTCTTCCGTCGTTTGACGCGTTGGTGTCATGATACCTGCGTTATTGATGATCAGGTCTAGACGATCTGTCAACTGCGATATCTCCTCCGCAGCGGCTCTGACAGACCCTTGGGACATCAAGTCGAGGAGTACAGTCTTAATCGTGACCTCTGGATACGCATTCTGAACGTTCTTCAAGACCTCTTCAAGTTTGGATTTGGTGCGCGAGGCAAGGATGACCAGCGACGGGGCTTGGGAAGCAATCGAGAGGGCTATGGAAGAACCGATGCTTTCAGGAGACACACCGGTGATGAGCACTATATTCAGTCAACTCGAAGTCTTCTTGGCAGAGCGGCATCAGATCTCCTACCATTTTTCCCTAGGATCCGATCAGCGAAGGCTTTCGCGACTTCGAGACCGCCAGTCTCTTTGTCCCACTCTGGATGCGTTAAAGTCGACATGTTAGCATATGGTATAGTCTATGGGGTCACTTCTAGAGTCGCGTGAAGAGGACTACATCAGGCTCGCCCCACCATGTCCCTCGTTCTTGACATCCCTGAGATGGCCCGCGTTGTGTATTGACAAGAGGCCCGAGCTTCATCCTGACTATCCTCGTCTGCTGGCATCGAAATGTATGCTAACCTCAGACATACGCCAACACTCCCTGTGTCACACCTCAGGACGGAAGCCAGCCGGAAATGGCAAAGCGCAATTCAAGTGATAGCTGCGGGGTACACTGCGGGGAAGCTTCAAACGATGTGGGGCAGGGAGATCCTTCTCTTTGCAACCCCAACAACATCGCATCACGCGTCGATACTCTTTAACCGGCAGATATGTCGATCCACTTCTCGATACTGCGACTCCACCCCACGGAGAAGACATGCCGCGAGAGGCGTCCAACGTATGCAAGCCCGTAGCGCCACGACCCACGCCTGTACCCTCGGTCATCGGTTTCATCTCGCCTGGATGAAGCAGCTCAGGAAAATGGGTACATGGCCATATCATCGGTAGGTGCAGGGTTGCTAAGCCCCACGCTGGACGAAGGATTACCTGGTCGACGCGTTCAGACACCTGGAGCCTCTTTCTTGCATCGAGTCGCGTCGTGTCACTCCCAATTCAAGCCGTGTAGCTCTTTCCAAGTCGCGTATGCCGCTCCGTGCGAGGATAGACGAAACTAAATTATCCAAGATGTCTTCCCTTGAGACAAAGGATAATGGACCAGTCACCAATGGCGCGAAACCAAAGACTGGCATCAAAGTTGTCATAATTGGCGCAGGTACATCCTCCATACCAGTCCATACCAGTTTATCCTACCATCCCATCCTGACACACACGAATAGGTTTCGGCGGCCTCACGGCAGCGATAGAATGCATCCGCCATGGGCACACCCCCGTAATCTACGAATCCTTTCCCTCACTCAAAATCCTCGGCGACATAATAACCTTCGGCCCCAATGCCGGTCGCATCTTCGCGCGCTGGAGCGACGGACGCGTCGCACGCGACATGCGCAGCATCTCCATCGATCTCACCGAGTACGGCTTCAACATACATAAATGGGATACCGGCGAGATTGTCATAAACCAGAAGACCCCGCCCCGCGACGAGAAGGCGCCGAATTTTAACGGACATCGGGGCGAGCTGCATGAGATTGTGTTCAATTATGCAAAGGAGATTGGGGTGGAGATCAACTTAGGTCAGCGAGTCGAGAAGTACTGGGAGGATGAGAAGGAGGCGGGTATCGTGCTTGAGGATGGTACGAGAGTTGCTGGTGATCTTGTAGTCGCGAGTGATGGTGTGAGGAGTAAGGCAAGAACACTAGTGCTAGGATATGAGGACAAGCCAAAGAGTAGCGGGTACGCCGTCTGGCGAGCGTGGTTCAGCAACAAGGACATGTTAGCAGACCCAGAAACTAAGCAATTCTGCGACAACGGAGATACCTTCAACGGCTGGATCGGTAAGCACTCCTCCTCCTCCCCTCAACATCCATTCACATACTAACATCGAGCCAGGTCCAGACGTTCACTTCCTCTTCAGCACCATCAAGAACGGCACCGACTGCTGCTGGGTCCTCACACACCGCGACTCCCACGACATCGACGAATCCTGGTCTTTCCCGGGTTACCTGAAAGACGTCAAAACCGTGCTGGAGGGCTGGGACCCAATGTGCTGGAAAATCGTATCCAAGACCCCTGAAGAAAAGCTCGTCGATTGGAAACTCGTATATCGGGACCCGCTACCCAACTGGGTCAGCGGCTACGGCTCTGCACCAGGTCATGGCCGAATTTGTTTACTGGGTGACGCCGCGCATCCTTTCCTGCCAACCAGTGCGCAGGGTGCGACGCAAGCGCTAGAAGATGGCGTTACACTTGCTGTTCTACTGCGCAAAGCTGGGAAGGATAATGTTAAGAATGCGTTGAGGGCGTATCAGGATATTCGATATGATCGTGTCAAGGCGGTGCAGAAGACGGGAGAGACGACGAGGGATATGTGGCATAAGACTGATTGGGAGAAGGTGAAGAAGGATCCTACGTTGATCCAGTTTCCAAGGGAGGACTGGGTGTTTCAGCATGATGCTGAGAAACATGCGGAGGAGATGGGGGATGAGGCAATTAAGAAGGCTGGGGTTACTGCATAGACGTACATTAGTGTAATGTTCCACATTTGCTAGCCATGAGCGAATTTGCTAGGTGAAGTGAGCGAGGTGAAGGAGGTTGAGGAGGTGATTACGAGGCATAAGCAGATTACTCCACATACAAGCACTTCAAGGATGGAAAGTCAATGTTCACATCTCGCAAGCTCATTCATTCAGTCAAGATGTACTCAGAGGTTCATTTGTCACGCTGCAAGCACAGCCGCTGAAACGGACATCTACTCCACATCCACCAACCGAGTTCATTCCCAGCTCACGCCCTCTTCCCACCAACGTCGACAACCTCATGATGCACAACCTGGTCCTTCTCACTCCCTGCCTTCTCACTGTCATGCCTCTCACTTACAAGCTTCTCGTCCCCATCCCCAGCCAAAACACGGCCAGTGCAGACGTACTTTCTGAACTTCCGCGCAGGTAGCCTCGCTTCGAACATCTCGTCGATTTCCTCGAGGGTGCGATTCTTGATCTCGGGGAGGTAGAAGTAGACCCAAATTACGGTTATGAAACAAGATGGGCCCCATATCCAACCTATTTAGTATATCAGTCGATGTGTCTCAGAGGAACAGTGGTATTACAAAAGCAGGTAGTATGAAGAAGCGATGCGAAGTCGCGGGCTTGAAGGAGAAGGGGAGCAAACGTACCATACTCAGGTCCCCAATTAAGCGACTCGGGATTGATAAAGTACGGCGCTGTGAAAGTAGCGAGCCAGGCACCAGCAAAACCAACGGCCGATGCGATACCGAACGTATACGAACGGAGGCGTTGCGAGGGGATTTCCCCGCCGGTAAGCCAAGCATAGGCGGCGATCATACCATTGTAGCCGCAGATGTAGATTACTGAGAGACCGACGATGACCTTGTTGATATCAGTACAATGCCAGAATTGACCATATGAGACAGGATCAAACGTACTTTGCCAGTGCCAGTAGTACCAGGGTTGACATGATACACGGCCGCGATGATGAGTTGCGTAACACCACAAATTGAAAGGCCGGTCATGAGAAACACGCGTCGACGACCAATTTTAGAGATGATGCTGCTGTTTACCATGATTGCGAAGACGCCGACGGAAGTCAGGATGCAAGAGTTCATGAAAGGGCTACCGACATTCGCCATCTGGATTCATATTAGCCTGACATACTCTGGAGATTGGAGAACGTTGTGCTGACCTGGAAGAAGTACGTTCCGTACGCGATCATAAACATGGCACCAGACGCAGCTTGCGTCGACACCGCCGCAATAGCCAACAACGTGCGCCGACGATCCACAGGATCTTTCCAGATATCCAGGAAATTCGCGCTTGACTTGACAGCTTTCTCGGCATCGATGGCTGCTTGGATCTCTGCTACCTCGCCGGGTACGCTTTCGGGATGCGGACGCATCCAGAGTAGTGCTTTCTCGGCTTGTGCTGGCCTGTCGACGAGGATGAGCCAGCGTGGCGACTCGGGGATAAAGAACATGCCGATCGACATGAAGAACGGGATGATGAATATGGTGCCTAGGGGAATGAGATAAGAGTTCCGACCTTTATAGTCGTGTGTCGCGTTATCGATGACAGTACCGATGAGCGAGCCGACCGAGGTCCATATCTGGAAGATGGAAATCATAAGACCGCGGTATCGCGCTGGTGCTGATTCCTAGTCGTTTCTTAGCTTTGTGCAGGAGAAGGAGAGAACGGAAGGGAACAAACCTGGATATATAGCTGCGAAAACGTCATATACCACCCATTTGCAATGCCAATCAACAGCCTGCCCACGTACAGCCCCGCGATACTCGTCGTAGTCATCATAACGATATTCGCAATACAGCAGAGCGCACTAGCCATCCATAGACACTGTCTTCGACCCAATTTCGTTGCGAAGACACCGGCGAACGAGGAGCTAAGAAAGGCACCCAGTGTCATCAATGATGATATGAGTTGTTGCCGTTCGGTAGAAATGTTATAGCCTGTGGGCGCGCTGGGTTCCGGGTGGCCGAAGATTTGGAGGAAGCCACGCATGGCCTGGAGACCGCCAATGGCACCGAAGTCGATGCCATATTGGAAGGGGGACATGGAGACGAGGGTACATGCTGCTAAGCACTTCCAGTTGGACAGGAGGCTGGAGGTTAGGTCGGGCATGGCCGCGGTGTTGATGGTATTGGTGGTGAGAGATAGCAACGAATGCGACGGCGTTTGCTCAAAGTCGCGGAGAAGGAGGTAGTGTCAAGAAGAATAAACTGTCAACAAAACATCCACCTGGAAAAGATCCAGGATCTCCTTGCTTCATGCTCGAATATTCATTTCATCCAGACTGATATGCAGATTTGTCGTCCGGGTCTAGCCCCTGTCGCAATATCTGCCGATAGTACCTCCAAATGCTTAGCCTGTCATACCCCGGACTTAAACATGAGTCTAAAGTGTGGAGTGCGGAGGTGGCGTTTCACTAACGATCATTTGAGCCATTGAAGCTGTGAATGCTTGTACTTCCCGTTTCCACGTGGCGCATTGGGCTTTTGTCACGATGCCAGGCAAATGTTTAGCGAGGGTGAAGAGGTGATCGGCAGTTCTTTGGTATCTAAACATTGTACTCTGCTACTCACTGTCGGCTTGTAGTCACCTTGAACAGGCGATTGCTTCAATAACGCATTGGATACGAAGATGCGGTCGCAACTACGACTTATCTAGAAGCATACCAGAGAACACCAGCAATCCCTTTACAATCAAGGGATTCGAGGTGATAGGACAGGCTGAACGGTAATACCGCGCGGCCGGAGAGATAATGCCGTGTGACATTGTCCTTGATCGTAGAGCTCGGAAAGGATCTGCATGTACCAGCAGTTACAGCTATGCATAGCGGAGTTCGTGAGCTGCATTCGGTCCAACTTGGGGTCAAAAGTGGAAGGAAATGGCGCAAGTCTAGATCGTCAGTAGCAGCATGTTACGAGTGGCTAGTGTGGAGAGATGGGGAGCTATGGGGAGCGTGAGTGAGGGGAGGAAACAGTCGATTGTACATGTTTACTCATGAGGCAGTGGGGTGCGCTAGTGCTCTTTGGATTCAATTCAGGATTAGCACCTTAGGCAGTAACCTTGGACGCAGTGACATTTGGTGTTTTTGGAACTGATTGAGGAGGATGTTCGGAAAAGAGAAGTGATAAGAGCGTTCTCATCAGATACCCTGAGGGTGTTCACCATGGTCTATTCCCGTACAAAGTTCATGAAGAATTCAGCGAACATCCAGATGTCTTCTAGGTGTCCACAGCGAGGATACAACTCGAGAGTTCGAGTGAACCATGTCTACCGGTATGGAAGAACAGAAACACTGTATGAGCCCCGGCTTCTTGTCAACTCTGTGTCAAGAGCCGATGATAGCACCATCTTTACTCATCGACACAGTGCCCATGAAAGCCCTCTACCTGTACCCGTCTCCATTCTGCCTATCCTCGTTATTGTGAACCAGCGTCGGTATGGAGTGAGCACTCCTACCCCACTACCTCCACCCAGCCCTAGCAGGACGTTTCGTCCAGGTTATGGTGATTGGCATCCTTGTCGCAATTTTCGTTCCTTGTGCTTAGAGACACCACGACCCATACCAATGCCTGCCCGCCAGCATGCGTCCCTTGTGGAAGAAGATCTCTAGCTTGCAGTACTGCATGCTCAGATTGGCGCATGCTGTGAAGGACTTGCGGAAGGTGTTCGGGTAGTGGAGGTTCGTGTGCTTGAGGACAACGCGGCGGGTCCAAGTTCAGCGTACGCCGATGATTTGGGCAGGAGTAGGCGCAACAGTGCTCGTGATAAGCCCCTCGAGTTCGAGTGCGCGAAGGCGGAACCGTGGACTAGAGACCTAGTAGCTGCAGCAAAGGGGCCCAGTTCTCGCTGTACAACGGATAGCGCTCGTTACCTATGGGACCCGTAGACATCATGTTTGCGATGACTTTGCACGTCGGTATTCATAGGCACCGCGTCGACTAGGTGCTACATTGTGGGAAAGGCGATAGAGGACGCTGGGCAACAGAGGGTATGTCCAAGGTTCAAGTCATGATTGGTAAATGTAATCTTGAGCATCCATCGATGTACATGTTGGTATAGACATCGCGCGTAGTTGTGGTGTCAACGACGCCAGCAGAAAGACGATGATGCTACCGCGTCGCAAAAACAATCAGCGCGTCGCGTTTCGGCACATTATATGCCGCTAGTTTCTCGCTTGCCGTCTCCAACACTATACCCACAGTTACTGGGTCCACTCCTTCATGCATCAGCGGGGAAAACTTGCATGTACTCGGGCGTATGTTCAAAATACACATCAAGCTGTAAACATTATCCGACATCCATGCCCCACCCCCGCGATGTGGGGTTACGCGTTGCGCTCATGCAACTCTCCGAAGATGGCTACTCTGAAGGATGCTGGTTGCGATGCCTGCTGATTAGCAAGCTCGATATGAAGGATCAATTCATTGGCTGCTTCCTCCCGGACGCGTTCTTGGATATGTGAAGCGCTGGTAAAGCGCATCTTGTAGCTCGACACATCTCCATCCAAGGACCGTTACCAGCGCACGCTCTGAACAACGAGAAAGATGGCGATAGAGCAGATCTTTGAGGCTCTGCCTCTACATTATTTGCAGCATGGCATATCGAAATTTGGGGCTGTTAACATTGCGTTGGCGGTTTTCGTGACCGCAGCCTTGGGCGTGCTCGCAGACTATGCCTGGATGCTGTACATGAGATCGAAGATGGTAAGAGAGCCACGCTGGATTATGGAACAATGGTACTGATGTCGAGAAGCCTCCCGGACCCTTCCCATATCCCATTGTTGGCAACACGTTCCAGCTGCCCGACAGCAAGCCGTGGATATTCTTCGAGGAACTATCGAAGAAGTACAATACGCCGCTGATAACATATTGGATCGGACGTAACCCAACCGTGTGGATCAATGATGCCTGGACCGCGAACGAACTTCTCGACAAGAGAGCAGGCATATACTGCTCGCGGCCACGTATGTTAGTCTTTGCGGAACTCGGATCTGGTCAGAGCAATCTAGTAAACCTAATTACTACCACACAAGCGCAGCGTGAGCGCTTCCGAATGTTGCGTAAAGTGACGCATCAAGGCGTTGGCATTCAGCAGGTGAAGAAGTATCGCGACTTCCAGAACGATGAGAGCAAGGTCGTCGCACTCGATCTCTTGAGTGCCCCAGAGAATTATGTTGCGCATTTTGAACGCTACGCGACCAGTGTGGTCTCCATCATTGGCTTCGGCAGGCGCGTCGCAAGCCACGAAGATCCCATCATCACCGAAGTCATTGCGTTGATGCATCGAGCAGCAGACCTGAACGTTCCCGGAAAGACGTTCCCCATGCTGATGGAGACATTCCCCGTTCTTGCTCGTGTACCGACCGAATATGCGCCGTGGAAGCACGGCATGGGATCGAAGAAGAAGTCGCACCGCGGTCATGACTTCTTCTACTCTTTAGCAAGCGAAGCGAATGAGAAGCCTGGACACGACGGTTGTTATGCGAAGATGCTGTTCAGAGAACAGGAAAAGTACGGTCTCAGTCCGAAGGAGATTTCTGCGCTGACTGGGAATCTGTTCGGTGCTGGATCAGACACCTCAAGTAGTACGCTGATCACCGCTGTTCTTGCGATGCGAGCGTTTCCAGAAGCCATGCAGGCGGCATGGGAAGAGCTGGATCGCGTAGTCGGACCGGATCGCAGTCCCTCGTTCGAAGACGACGCGAATCTACCTTACATGCGAGCATTTGTGAAAGAGGTGTTCCGATGGCGATCAGTTGCCATCATCGGCGGGCAGCCACATGCTCCGGTTCAAGATGATTACTACAACGGTTACTTGATTCCGCAATCGACATGGGTCCAAGGAAACGTCTGGGCGATACATCATAATGACCGTGACTTTCCCGAACCAGACCGTTTTAATCCAAACCGGTTCCTAAAGGACCATCCTGACTCGCGACCATTCCCTGGTGAGAGAGGATATATGACATTTGGTTGGGGCCGTCGAGTCTGCTCAGGACAGGCGCTTGCCGAACAAGGCACATGGCTCACAGTCGCGCGGCTAGTCTGGGGTTTTAAGGTTGAGCCGGCACTGGACGAGAGTGGAAAGCCCATTCCAGTCGATATATTTGACTATACGTAAGTCTTCAATGAGAGTAGCCATCATGCAATTACTAACGTCGATAAGGAATGGTCTCAACATGCGCCCGCAGGTGTTCAAAGTGAGCATCAAGCCGCGAAGCGAGAGGATACGGCAGGCTATCGTCCGAGAAGGTGAGCAGGCCTTGATGGATCTTGCACAGTACGAGGGTGAAACAAAGTATCGCATGAGTACTTTCTACGGCAAATAGAGCTCGCGATGGGAGAGCGGCAGTCGGAATAACTCTGCCGGTAGTGAGTACGCTTAAGTCTGGACACATAAACTTCGTCAGCCAAGGCGAATTGTCGTCCATAGTTTCTTCACGGGTGCCGCCTCCAACAACACCGACGTCATGCCAGTGCCAACTCTTTCCCAATGTGAGTCTTTACGTTGAACCACCAAGACACGGCACTCTCTATCATGGCCATAATCGAGATACCACGGCAAATGAAGTACGTACGATTCCACGCAAAAGCTTGAAAGGCCTTGTGCTGTAGATTTGATGTCCACACGTATTGGTGGAGAATCTTCGTGTTCGCTTTCGAGATCAGCCTCGAGATAGTAGCAACGTGAAGTGCCCTGGGCAAACTGTGGCATCGGGAGCGGCATGACCCGGGTGATGTAAGCGCTGATATGGATAAACTGACTTAATAACTGTGTATGTGGTGTGTCCTTGTCTAGGCCAAGCAAGTCATAATTGGCTTGGTAGTTCCGCCAGTCAATGGTATCGCCGTTTTGCAGTTCCAGACTGACTGTACAGGGGGTATCAGGTGCAAATCGCGTTCTCCAGATTCGGCCGTTGTCTGTTACCATCAATCCCTTTCCCCATCTTGCTGTACCGACCCATCCGGTCCATGACCAACTAGGAAATCCGATTCGCCGTCTAGCTGGGAAATCCACATCCCAGCTCAAGTTTTGAACACTTATTCAGACAGTACCTATCCACCCATAAGTACTCGTATCCAAGTGCCAGCGTAAAGTTTATGGCATCCTCAATAATCCTAGGTAGGCTCGGTGATAAAAAACATGAGTCTGGTGACTCAAGGTGCGATTGCTGATCAGGAACGTGCACATCTGGCTTGCCCCATACGTAGCTCAATGTCACATACGATGCGGTAGTGGGCAAATCTCCGACCAATCGGTTCTTGCAATCGATGACCTTCAGATCGCGTACGTTGGTGTCGTACGTTGATGTTTTCTCTCTACGGATTCCATCACACCCATGGTTTCGTACGCATAAATCGATCCATTCATGAATGACCTTGTAGTCGATCAGAGGTGTGATGGGCACCAGGTTCGAAACATTTGATCGAGATGGGCCGTAGATGATAGAACTGTAGACGTCATAGACTGTGGAAGATTGCCGTTGCGGTTCAATACACAGCACGGGTGCTTCGATGTATTCGAGAAGGGTAGTCATTAAGAAGTGAGGTTGTATGGCGACAAGGTTGTGCATTCCATCTTTTGGCAGTTGCCCCATACTGCCAGACAAGAATCTGCAGAATGCGCAGGTCTTCGGCTCCAATTGAGTAATTTCCATTACGGTTCGGATCGCTGTTGCAGGGTCGAACTGTAGTGCATCATCTAGATCGAATGCCACGCACCGTGAGCATGGTCCTTCAGGCGACTTGCCTAGCGTGGGGGATGGGAGTGAGGATGTCGATGCCATGGTCGGATGGAGAGCTTTGGGTAAGCGCACTGGATGCGAAAGAGCTGCCTACATGCGAGGAACTTCCAGGCTGCATACGAAAGTCAGCAGAGCTGCAGACTTGACGACTGCGCTGGGAAAGCTTTCGAAACAATGGCCGTACGGACCAAGCATGCTCTTTTCTTGTGAGTGACGTGAACCGACCACTATGAGCGATAGGGACCCGACGAGGCTGTTTAAGACAAAACTGTCGCCTTGAACATCAGGAGCGTCATCCGTAATCAACGCCATGTTAGAAGTTTCCGATTACGGAAGTGGGATGATGTAAGCGCGCACACTCCACCGCACCATCGCGCTCATCTAGTGTCGTCTCGCGGCACGCAGCCTCATACACACTCGGCACGTCTTTCCATACACACCACATTGCTGTCTTCACATTACTGTTACCTTCCTGCGCATTCGCTGTTACGAGTTTTCCATTAGTATCCGCATTATGCCATCAGCTATATGGCACGGTGACGATCTTCGCTAGTCAACGCTATAAAGCACCTCCGGCGTCTATTAACTCTACAATGCTTGATGGATTTCTCGATCCGAAGTAGTTATAGCAATTGCAGATTATCGAGAACAACTCAGTCACTATGCCGCTGTTCTTATTTGGGATGGCATACGTTCCCAGCTGGCTACCAGTAGAAAGTTAGACGAATTGACGAGTGTTAGTAGCGAAGTACTCCTTTCGAATCCTTTAAAACATGACTGGCGAAGCTCCATTGTTCGAGCAAACTTGCTTTTGTTTCCGGCAGTCGTCTTCTGTGCGGCATGGAAGACGTCTCTTTGTTACGGATTCAGTCTTTTGTTCCGCATCAACTCGGCGTCATGCGCAATTGCAAAACCGCTACTCAAGAACATCGTGATTCCGAGAGTTCGCCTTATTCCCAGGCAACGTTCCATATCCTGCTTACTACTCGCGATGGTCTTGATGGGTTTCTCAGCTGGGAAACTGCACGATTCCGCATGGGACTTGGCCTCGAAAGCGATTGTTGTCGGAGCAAAGAGGGGTATATAGTTTCGTGAACCGCATCTGAACAATAAGATCCCGTTTCTATGGGTGAGCTGTTACGAGCAGCAGTTGGTGAGAATTTATGGATGGAGTGGGAATATGTTTGAACTTGACTGAGTTCTCATAAATCTTGTACATGCAATCAAATCACGAATGGAGAGGCCTTTAAAGCTGACATGTGTCATGAGAGTAACGCGTCGTAATCGTAATGAAGTATGCCATTGCCTTTGTCACATACGGTCTTGATGTGGTAGAATTCAGGGCACTCCTTCCAGCCGGATGCGGACGAAAAAATTGTTTTGCTGTGCCACACTGTTGTTACCCTGCATATACCAGCTTTCCGAAACACCCTGACGTGAATAATCTCTTGTTTATACGTCCAACTAGAATTTTCATCCTCTAAACATCTCCCACACATGCGATGGTCATTCATCAGTTATGCTTCGCTTCTTCATTTTACACCTCATCGTGATAACCGCACAAGCGCAAGAGCAACGGCGAAAATTCGCAAGTCTGTCTGTATGCGCTGTAAGCCTTGCCCACCCCAATCCTTGCTGCAACGCAGCTAACAACTACGAGCAACTATGCGCGTCAAGCCTGGCTGAGGTAGCTACTGACACCAATAAATCCTGTTCTTGGGAAGAGTGGCAAGGCGTCGATTGCATCTGCACAAAGTCGGTGTATGCACAGTCGGGTGGGGATGCCTGCGATGCAAAGAAATGGTGTGAAGATCCAAAAACAGATGAAGCATTGGCTTTCCTTGACGGGATATGTAACAGTATGGGTGTCTCTTTGTGCTGAGCATGTTTCCAGCTAAGGATCTAGTAGCGGGAAGTTCAACTTCTGAGATATCTAGTACATCGGCTGCTAGTTCAGGTCGGATCGAGGCCGTCACAGTGGGTACAACTTTAACGACGGTCGTACGTCCGAGTATAATGTCCAGTGCGGCTTCTTCAACAGTCAACTCAGAAACCCTGGGATCGACTACCATGGCCTACGATTCCGCAGTACCGAATGCTGCAAGCTCGCGTTCAGATACCTCGGAGCAACCTACCAACTCATCTGATGGGAGACCAAATTCGCCCACTTTATCGAGAATCAGTGTGACGAACGATGAGCAGAGTGCACTACCAACTGAAACGCACTCTGAAGGCCTCTCGTCCGGGGCAAAGATTGGCCTAGCAGCAGGTATTCCATGCGGTATACTGTTTTTGATCGCCATAGGTGCGGGTGCGTACCTATTTTTGAAACGCAGCAAGACCAAAGCGGTAAACAAGACAATGCGCAGTCAAAGTCTGCAGGCACAAGCCGGAAGAACATTGCAAGCGCGTGAACTCGACAATATTGGAACTATGCGGCAAGAAATGGAAACGTCTGCCAATATCACCGAGTTACCAGACAAATTTACTCGGCCTGGATATACTCGCCATGAGTTGGGTGAGTAAGATTTATAAGGCGGCGCTTGTGATATTAGTACCGCAGGCAGCGCTGGTGGGCTATGCGGACTTTTGATGAGCAAGGTGACTCACCGTCTCGTTCAAGCCTCAGTCACCCGACGCGCAAGCCGCTTATTCCCGTCGAAAAAGGTAGCGACGGTCGTCGCTTCAGAACCGAGTGGTCCCTGGTTGGCAGACGAGCCGTTCCGCTAGTGCTTAATATCGAATATGTACGATTGGTGAGAAGCAAGGTATGGACGTGAATCCAACCACGGTTCGCCAGATGCTTTGATGATAGATATTAGGGGAACTAGAATCTGATAACGGGCGGCTTACTGAAAATGGAGTAAATTATCGCGATGACTCTCTCGGTGTGGGTGTATGGGTGCGGGTGCGAGTATGTGATTGATTGAGGGGTTCGGTGCCACGATGCAGAATCTTGTTGTGATGGGGAAACCGCAGTTGATGCGCTCGCGGTTCCCCGAATCCCAACCAGGTTGTTCGATAGGAAACGCGAAAGGAAGGTATATGAGCAGGCAGAACGAACATGCCTGTTTTCTCGGTACCTACATATCTCACAGCTACTTCTATTCCCCACAAGCCTACCAGCCACTGGTTACAGGCCAGAAAAGCAACGGTATTTCGCATACGCATCGTCAACGCAGGTATATGACATCGTGTTGACTTAGCTTGTAGTCTTCCCACTACCTCACCACTCCAACACCCCCGATCGCAACCCACCTTTGTCGTCGCCTCGGTCTAAGAATATCCTTCCGGCTGCCAAACATGGCGATGCAGTATGCTCCCAGGTACTTTACTGGCTTTACAATCGAGCAGCAGATCGAGTTCCGTAATTGTCTGAATGACAGGATGCTACTCATCGCGAGTATCGACGGGGTGCCTTTGGGGGAAGACTTCCCCCTACTATGGGCACCGATGTTAAGGGAGAATCAACTCGAGAAGGGATACGATCACCGAACAGATCGCGTGTACCTGCTGTCGCACTGTCCGCCTGCTCAGTGGAGACCGATCCTGTATGCGTTGTCGCAGAGATGGGCGCTGCAACACCAACACCAACTCGTAGCGCAATACCAAACGCAAATTCATGGACACCACATGGCACCGGGTCAGCCCGAAATACCGGGATACACATACCCGCAGCAAATACAGATGAGAGAGTGCAACGTGGCAGTAGGCCACTCACATGTGCCTAGAGACTACACCCATCCGCAACACGACGCGATGAGTGTCGAAAGTATCCAGGGCGCCGACATGTCCTTCGCCGATTCATCGTTTCCCGCCGTGGATCCGTCGTTGGCCTCCGCACTCCAGCAAGAAGAGAGTGATTTGGAAGCTGTTCGTGCTGCTGCCACTCAAGCCGTTGCTGAACAGGATCTCCCAAGCCAGGGACTAGACGATGCGCCCAACCCATGTCACACGGCGAATGAGCCTGAGGAGTTGTACACGGTTAGCGCTGACGCCGACACCTCTTGGGGAGACGTGTCCGCGCAAGAAATATCGGTGGAGGCTATATTAGCCGTAGAGATTTAAAGTTGGAATGGTGCGCGAACGCTGGGTATCGTCGATGAAGAGTGTAGGCTTCGAGGTGGGATATCTGGATCCGACGGTCGAGACAATGGAGTAAAAAATGTGGAAAGGAAGAAAAGAGAAAATAGAATTGGCCTCAGTTTGTATGGCGCAGAACCAGCTGCGATGAACATTGGACGCGATGAGTACTATGTTCTTGACGAAGTTTCGGCATGCTTTCCCCTTTTACGATATCGTATCGAGGAACAAGTTGTTGGGATGTCGCGGGAATCGCGTGCACAATTTCCTCTAAAAAAAATAAAAAATACATACCACTTTGAGACCTCTGCTCTTCCCACTCATTCACCATAACACACGACATTCCTGCATGCTTCGATCGCTACAACACCATGCGTTTGGGAGGACATCAGAATCGTGATGCGAAATTAGTGACGTCAAAAGGGCAAAGCGCAGTGGTCCGTTCTTTAGCGTGATGACGATTTTTGGGGGCACTGCCCGCTAAGTGGCAAACTGCAGCGTGATCACCGAATGTATCTCCGCGCGATGCCGATGCCTTGATCGTATGTCGATGTTGTGTCGATGTTCATGGCATACAAGCGGCGAACAAAGCGTGAAGTGGTAGAAAAGTGAAATCAAAAATAACTGTCGCAAAATGATAAGTGTGCGACGATAGACGCCACAAACGTCTGAACAGGCTCAAGGTCTGGATGCACGCCGCCACGTGATAGCGCGCTTGGCGTTGAGGCGGAGCGCTCGGACAGCGGAATTAGCGATGAACCTGTTCCAGCCAACCTCTCCAGTCCTCTTCGCATCTAAACACCATCGTCCAGAACCCCCAATGCCTCGACATCAATGGTTACCTCGCAAAGTGAAGTGGGTCTCATCACCTACCCAGCCACTGTCAACATAGCGACACTTGCCGTCTTCTTTGTCTATCTCATCATCTCCATCTGGCTCATCATCCGCCAGGGCCTGGGCCGCAGCTCACCATGGATATGGCTCACCTTATTATCTATATGCCGGCTTACTCAGGTATCGCTCGATTTGGCAGCCACCACCATGTTTCCGAAGGGGGAGGCTTCAAACACGAGTCTTGAAAGTGGTGTTGCGATCCTGACCACCATGGGGCTGACGCCATTGTTTATGGCCACCAGCAGCTTGCTCAACGCAACGACGCGCCCCAAAGGACGACGCATGCAATGGATCCTACTCATGGTCCACATTCCGCTCATCATCTCGTTCATTCTCATCGTCGCTGGTGGCATCGATCCGGATTCACGAGACGGACCCACTTTTGCAGCTACGGAAGCCACCAAGGCCGGTGTTTCGCTTTACTTGGCGTGTTTCCTCGTCCTGATCTGGTCCACCACGGTCATCTCAGCGCGTCTCTACCTTGCCGACAGAGATGAGGTGCGGATTCTCACGACTGTTGTTATGAGTCTGCCGTTCTTTGTTGTCGATGTTGTCTACATGATGTGCTTCGCTTTCGAGCGCTGGCGTGTCAACTCGGGTAACGACGGTTGGCAGAGTATGCGCTTCAACGTCATCAGTGGTAGTGTGACACTCCAATTGTGCATGTAAGTATTTTCTTACGACCCTGACTCTCTACTTGGCATCATGTTCCAGTCAACATCTGCTAATGCACACATAGGCAAGTTATCATGGAATGGGTTATCGTAGGGCTGTACCTTGGCTTGGGTTTGGAGTTACCCACCAAGGCTGTAAGACTTCGAAGGCAGATTGAAGACCAGATGGATCAAGCTAGGAACATTGACGTAGATGCTTGGCAAGAGACGCTATTATGGAAGTTGCATGATGGTGTGTCTCGACTCGTTGCCGCCATGATTATGCCGGCCCTGCAGTTCGCGCACTGGATGTTGGGAAAAATATTACGGTCTGGGCAACAGAACACGCCCTGAGAGGCTGGCTGCCATTGTTAACGATTATCACACCAACGTGTACGACGACTTCCGCATATGCTACTCACCCGAAATGCGCACCTCCGGAGAGCTCGCAACGAGTCAATCAGCAAATGCCGCTACGGTCCTTCATGAACCACAGTGACAGGCCGCGGCTCCGAATACCGCGGGCCCGGGCTTTGCGGAGTCCGGAAACAGCTTGTGCAGAATACCCAAACTATCCGTGGACTACCTTCGGCCGATGATCATGGAAGGCTACTATTGCGCCATACTGCGAAACGACATTACGCTAAACAACCTATTCACCGATGGTGTCCAGGCTGGTCATCCCTCCCGACTTTGTTGTTATGGGTTGTAACTTGTTTCAGGACTTGGCTACCGCCCAAGACAACCTCAACGCTCAAAACTCACGATGCGACCGACATGACCGCCAAACATCGTAACCCGAACACGACTCCGCTACATGCTTCCAAGGCTGAAACGCCTCTGACCCCCCGGGACTATGACTACTGTTACTTTGAAGACTACAACGAGTTCAATAGCGGACAAGTTTGGGAACGTTCGAGAAGACTATGGCCACGAGAGGATTGGGGCGCGGCGGGTAGGAGATGAGTTGCATGTATAAGCTAGACGACATATACATAGTCCTAATTCATAATCTATGAATACTCTCTGCTAATCCACCAAAACTGACCATCGAACACGCGCATGGGATGTCGCGACATTTTGGCATCCCAACTTTGCTTCAACATGGCATCCTACGCCAAAACCGCCTACACACCGCCTGGAAACCGTCATTGGTAACTTATGGCTGTGACAACTCTTCTATAAAATCCCTACAACCATCCCACTGCCTCTCTTCAACACCACATGCAACTGCCTCCTCTATCAAAAAGTGAAGCCAAAGGCAATGATGTTCGGCTTCGAGCCACCAAAATTCTACCATTTCCAGCTCATGAGAGACTTTTGAGCGCTCTCGGTGCCGAAAAAATGCTGCGGTACTATCTCAAATTGTTGCACAGATATTGTATGTGTGTGCGAAAAAGGGCGCAAAAGTACTTCAATTTCGCAATATGTCGGCCTCGTACGTCGCCGATGACTTCCTTATAAAAGTCGCGTCGGCAATCACTTCTCTACTCTTACACCACAATGCCGATCGCTCTTTACCGAAAAAACCGCATTCGAGCGAACCCATGTGTTTGTCTCTTCGTTCAACCGTATGAGCAAAAAAGGCTGAAGGAACGCTCATGACTGAAAGCAGCAGTTGCGATACATATTATGCAACTTACTCTAAAGAACGCAATTGGTGTCTATGAATCGAGTGAGAATACTTAGTATGTTCCCTTCGAGTTCTTTGGCGTGTAACCTACGAAGTGTTTGGGGAAGTGGAAGTACTTATGATACCACACGTGATGACGAAATAATACTCGAAAACATTCATTCTCAAAGCAACGAACGTCGATGCCGAGAGCCTATGGCAGGCCTCTTCGTCGTTAGCCAAGATAACACTACATCGATTTTATATCGCATGTGTAGCAAGCGACTTCTTGCTCTAGCGCTCTCGCACGATATAAATATGGCTTCATTCTTCTCCCAGTCTCCAGACTTACAACACGCTCTCTCACTTCTTTCTACATAACGTTGGAAGTCCCAGGAATATCGTGCGCCTGCTTTTCACGCTTTACAAATCATGAATGCGATCCAAACATGTTGTGCTGCCTCTTGTTGCTTTTCAAAACTTCACTTTCAAGAACTATGTTTCCTTCGGCGGCATGGCAACTCCAGAAATACCGTCACGCCTTTCATATGACACGGAATTGCTTTGGGCGCCTTTAAACGCCCTGCAACGAATTCATTACTGCGACACCCTTTTAAGGTTCTCCAGAAATATATCGCGAGTGGCCTGATTTGGACATGGATGTGGTGGCTGTCTTCCTTCCCACTTGCGCATATAAAGCCTTCATCTTCCTCCGTGTTCCCACAACTCTTCTTATCTACCACCTACTCTCCTCTATCCCCAAAACTAGTACCCTATCGCTCTATGGGTGTCTCGTTCCCGGAGCGATTGACAAAATCGCCAAGTCGCAATTCATGTACATCGGAACTCAGTGCCAGAAAAGCCAGGCGGCAATATAATTGTTTCGGGAACCAAAAATCCACTATGACCTTCTATGAGTAGTTTTCGCTGTTCTCCTCAACTACAAAAAAGCTAGAGATGGTGTTTATGTGTTTGCACTATAGCCGTGTACCTCCTTCCAGAATGCAGAAGTCTAACTTAACAGTCGAAATCATATACCCAAATCAGAACATCCATTCTCGATGCTGGAAAGAAGTGTGCAAATCTCTTAAATCGCGGCGCTCTCTCGATGAGTCTTGGTTGTCCCCAATATGTGCAAAAAGACTTCTCAAATCATAACCCTCTAATCTTAAGCCTCTATGCAGGCTGTCAAAGTTAGAGTTTGCGTACATAAAAACCTTGGCCTCTTCATCGTTTCTAAACCAACATCTTGTTCTCGAGAACCAAAACGGAGGGTAGAAATATACATGTCGGAGTTTCTGCCGTCCACGTAAAGTTGCAAAAGAAAAGCGAATGTGCTCCAAGTGCAGTGCTCTCGCTTGTATGACTCGAAAATCGCCGTGCTTGCTTTCAGAATGTCAAGACAACGAATTTGCTATGATGAAGCTGTTGAAGACTGCTGGTGGAAAAATATAAGTCTCATCAGACACAGTCGCCTACGTAGAGGCCACTTTCTTACAAGTCATATTCTATAACCTAGCTAGCCGTATATAGTATATAACACACTGTAAGCCTACTAAATTAAGACATTGCGAACAAATTTGGACCACGTCTTACGAAGTTTACAGCGTCCCCAACGGATAAACAGCCGGAATATTCCCCTTGTTCGGCACTACAACAGGCACACTATCATACCTCCCCGCCTCCACCCTCTCTCTCGCCCAAACCGGACTCTTCCTAACCTTCAACAACTGCTCAACTGCATACCCAATCCCCAACAACTTGTCCTCTTCCCACGGCCTCCCCAAAATCTCCATACCAATCGGTACGCCAACCGGCGCCTCCTCACTCGGTTCCGAAAAGCCTGCTGGCACAGTAACAACAGGCGTTCCCGTCAACGCAGCCAAGATACCGTTTCGACCAGACTGTGAAGGCGAACCGATTTTCACAACAAGATTCTTTTGCTCGGGGTAGATGATCGCATCGAGGTTATTGGAAGTGAACGTGTTGAGGAGGGCGAGTTTGAGGTTACGGATTCCGGCTTGACGGTCGTTGTATGTAGCGTTACCCGTGGAGGATACGAGAGCGGTGTTGACGTACTCGTACTGCGAAGGGAGAACGAGGAACTCGCCGACGGAGCCGTTGACTGCTTTGCGAGAGTATAGGTCGCGTAGTGTGCTGGGGTGCTCGCCTTGGAGGGACGGCCGTTCGAGGTACTGGTCCATGAGCTCGCGGTACTCGAAGCGCTGGACATCGTAGGCGGTCTGGATGGCGGTTGCGTTGTAGATGGTGTCGTTGATAGGCACTAGGGTTACGCCTTCTGCTGAGAGGCGCGACATGACGGTGTCCATGGCGTGGTTGACGGGTGTGACTTCGGGTGCATCGGTGCGGTTGAAGAAACCGTTTAGGACGCCAATGCGCAGGCCATTGAAGGGGGTTTTATATAAAGAGGAAGCGTAGTCGATGTTGCGGACGGAGCTTGGGACTAGTGCGGTGTCGTTGTCAGCTGCGTCATAACCGGTTGTAGCCATCACCGTCAGCGCTGTTGCGACGTCTTTAAGTGTCCTTGCGATGGGTCCAATGACATCGTGTGTAGTTGATATGGGAATGATTCCTGTTCGAGTGATCAACCCGCGTGTGGGCCGAATGCTACATAGTGAGTTGGCTGATGCTGGACTGCGGAGCGAGTTTACAGTGTCCGTTCCGGTGCCAAACACGCAAAACGAAGAGGCGACAGCTGCGCCTGTACCCCCCGAACTACCGCCTGGTGTTCGAGTGGAGTCGTATGGGTTGATGGTCTGTCCGCCAAGTGACGACACGCTGATACCCTCCAACGCAAGCTCATGCAGGTTAGCCTTGCCTAGGATGATAGCCCCTGCTTTCTTGAAGGCCATTACGCTTGGGGCATCTTCGGTCGGCAGTGATTGCGCCAAAGCTAGATTACCACCAGTAGTTGGCATGTCTGCTGTGTCGTAGTTGTCTTTGAGTAGTATGGGAACGCAGAAGAGAGGTCCAGTAGCGTTGCCAGCCGAGAGCTGCTCGTCCATCTCGTCGGCGATGGTCAAGGCATTCGGATTCAAGGTGATTATAGCGTTCGTCCGGTTGTTGTGGGCTTCGATATTGGCGAGGAAAGAAGACACGACCTCGCGACACGACGAGAGTCCAGAGTAGAGCGCATGATGCACCGAATTGATGGTGGCTTCTCGAGCATCGAACGGCATATTTTGTCCTGCCACAATATGGCTACAGAATGCTGTAGATGCTAGGCGCGTGAAATGTACCATCCTGGATACCTAATGCTCAGCCCGTGTACCAAAGTTGTAGTATGCGGACAATTACCGACTTGCCGGAATTGTCATTTATACATTTTTCCGGTGTACCGGCTTGTAATACATCAGAGCGGGTAGTTATCTCAATGGCAATCGAACTGCGAAGCCTATGTCTCCGGATGTAGTCACGACGCTTGATAATGCCTAGGGCCTTGTTCCGATCTTATCGCGGGTAGCCTTATGCAAGTACCGAGCATCGGAGTGACGTATTTGCCAAGATAATTTGCACCTGCCTCATTCGTTCAAGTACCGCTGCGTACATGATATGTTCATTAACTTCATGAGTATCGCTCGACTTGTCACAAGGTCTAAGTAATGGATCTACACTTCGAGTAATGCATAGTTGCGAATAAAAAGGCAAATCACAAAACAGCAGCAATGATCCCAGTAGTGTTAGAGCAATCAAGACACTCGTCCGGGCCACTGTACGTGTTCCGCCTGGCCCTTGGGGTTAGCCGATGAAGTGACCACGGAACAATATCGCGATTGTATCCTGATATGCAAGTCTGGCTCAGGAGAAGCTTCTTCAGGAGCCTGTTCCACCCTCCAACAGCGTCGCGATATCGTCATTGGTATAGTTCCTTGTCCGTATTTCTCTTTGCCATTTAGAGAGACAAGGGCAGGGCGAAGGGTATGCTGACTGATTTCGTGGGGTATGAGGCACGTTGTTACGGTAATGTTACGAGGCATGCGTGACGTCGAGTTCATTGGTAGGCTGCTGATATTGCAGGAAGGGGAAATGCTATGCCAGAAGGTGCGCCCTACGTGAAGGACTCTACGCTCGAGTCATCTCTTCTGTACAGAGTGCTATCGTTGTTAGCTCTTGTCGTTGCCAATAGAGTGTCTTGGGTTGCGCGCCGAAAGTGACGTACCAGTAATGCAGCACCGCTGTCTATAATGTTGGTTCGTGGTAATATGAGTAGAGCACATATCATAGCTGCCACCAACCGCCGCAATTGGCAGCGCAGTTGCAGTTGCTATGTTTGATCGATGTTGTCGAGACGCGTGCATCGGTCGGCCGGGGATTTGCCAAGACCATGACTAACGCGCGGGCCTAGCCGTCCGCTCTGCACGCCTCAGCACCACATCTCACCCTCGCACGCCTCCTAAGTGCCTCATCGCAAGCACAGTTTCCACCCCGGCTCCGCACCGACAGCCACAAACGGTACACTTAGGCCGGATCATGGTCGTGCCGGAGGCAAAAACTTCCCCAGATGTTGTACCATCACTCATGAAACTGACGATGCGCCACTAATAAACCTTGATCCCAAAACGGAACACCGAAACTTTCAACTGGCCGCTCTCGTGCTTCAAGATATGGAAACGCCGGCTCAATTTGCCCGTCCGAGATTCTGATCACCGTCTGCAGACAGGGTCTGCATTCGCCTAACGCCCCGGCGCACATCTTTGTTGTGGTTGGCGTGGTCTAGCTTGGAACTCAATGGAATTGCACAATGTATCTCAACACAAACTACGAGGAGCTCACACCGTACGGCTTCTCTGAGTTCACAACATGCGCCGGTCTAAGTTGCGCCTGAGTTAGGCTGTTGTCTGTGGTATACTCAACTTCCCAGAATGGCACGCATGAACGTCTACGGCCTCAGCCACTCTCCGTTTCATGGGATCCTAGGATACATTTGTGTTCACTGCCAAGCTTCGAAACCTCAGACTTCCGAATGCTTCGCTCTAGCTACATGTCCGTTTACCCACCGGTAAACTATGGACGATTCATGCAGTACTGTGCGATGGCTACTACTGAATACTACAGTCTGGGGACCGAAACTCTTCACCACGCGAAGTCTTCACTGGTTTGCTTGTGTGACGGTCTCAGCAAGCACTGTTACAGTCTACAGCAGAATGGCTCGGTACACTTGCCGGATCAGAGCCGGATCAGCTCGAAATAATCATCTAGACACCGTCATCTGGAGCTGTGCACTTTTCATACATGTTTCTGGGGATGATGTTGCCGCAACCATGTTTCGTACGTTTTCGTCTAGTAGCTCCACCAACTCATGCAGCGTTTCTACGAGACCACGACAAGTTTGAAACCTTATCCTACCAGGCTCTCACGTCTTGGCCAAACCGGAGCGCCTCACCACCTTGCAACTAACCAAAGTCGATGCAGGTCACGATGCCGAACATCCCACTCGGTTCCAGTCCATGCTACCAGAGGATGTATAAAGACGACCAGCTTCGCAACCTAAGAAAAGCATCCAGCATCACAGGTTCCCAACCCAGCAACTACAGTAATCACTACTTCTCTTCCCTTCTACTTAATACCTCTTCACTTTACTACCTAATCTTTTCTCTGACCGGTTCAGACAATAATCAACAAAATCAACATGTACTTCTCCAAGACCACCATTGTTTCCTTCAGCCTTTTGGCTTCCTCTTCGCTCGTGGCTGGCCACGCTGCTATCATTGGCGCTACCGGTGATGCAGGCGGTAACGGTACTGCTATTGGTGTCGACCCTGCCACTCCTCGTGACGGTACCAACCGAAACCCCTTCCAACAGGATGCCACTCGTTTCCGTGGCGCTGCCGCAGATACCTGCGGTGAGACTCTTGGTGCAGGTGACAACGACATCCAGGCTGGTACTGCTCAGGTCATGGCGCTCAGCGGCGCCACTCTTCCTCAGGTCTCTGCTGGTGGTCAAGTCATGATGACTGTCCATCAGGTCAACTCTGACGGTGCTGGTCCTTACACTTGCATGGTCGACGCAACTGCCACCGGTGCCAACTGGCAGGCCGCCACCGTCACCCAGAACCTTCCGGGTAACGACCGTGGCCGTAACCGGGACACTCAGATGCAGGATCTTCCCCTGACTGTTTCTATGCCCGCTGGCATGACCTGCACAGGTACTGTAGCAGGCCAGAGCAACGTCTGCATGGTGCGTTGCCAGAACCCTGCTCGTGCTGGACCTTTCGGTGGCTGTGTTCCTGTTCAGATGGCCGGAGCCGCAGCTGCTGCTCCTGCTGCTGGCACCGCTCCCACCGCTGGCACCGCTCCCGCTGCTGGTGCCGCCGCCGCTGCCCCTGCCGCCGCTGCTCCTGCCGCCGCCGCCCCTGCTGTCAACGGTGTTGCACCCGCTGCTGCTGCCCCTGCTGCTCCTGCTGCTAACGGTGCTACTGGTGCCACTGGCGCAACTGGTGCTACTACTCAGACTGGAGCTGGTGCCAACGGTGCTGCTCCTGCCGCTAACGCTGGCGGTGCTACTCAACAGACCGGAGCTGGCGTTCAATCTGGTGCTACCGGAGCCACAGGTGCCACTGGTGCCACCGGTGCTACCACAGGATCAACCACTGGAGTCGCAAACGGCGCTGCACCTGCCTCCAACGCTGGTATCAACGGTGCCGCTGCCCGCAAGCGTGAGGCTGCCCGCAACCAGCCCGCCCTCACGGAAGACGACCAGGAGGAGGAGCTCGACCTCCTCGAGGGCGAGTCCGACTTCTAAGCGTATCGCCTGCATCGACCTTACACAAACGATGATAACACGATCAGCTAATGAGCTTTTGGGAAAGTCAACAACAACATATACACATAGTGGGAATGGATGGATAGGATGCGGGTTAATGAACGGGTTGTATATACCTCGAATGTTTTAGTTTGGATAATAGAGTGGAGGATACGACAATATATGATGGGGTAGTGTGGTGGAGCTTAGTAGCTTTTGTTTCTTTTATCTGGTCGGCGTCTGTGACGCGCAGATGGGGAATTGAGGGCCTGTCAATACTGGGTATTGTAAGATTAGAAAGGATCAGGAGGTACGCAGTTGATTGTGTAGTTTACTTGGGCTTGGGAACCCTGGTCTATTACTCTCCTTAATAGTTTGGAAATTCAATATATACACTGGTTCAACTACGTGCTTTTCGTTCTGCAATGGTGCACTGTGATTTCCAGAATTGCGCTTTCGATGCCTGCAAATCCAGGCTGAAGTCTAACTAAGCTTTTTTATGATCAGCAACTAGGCAGCTTGGAGAGACTCTGTTTGGCATGGTTCGACGTGGTCTATTATTGTTCTGACGTGCAGGGTTTCGTCGGCGTTTCGTATGGGCTGCGACATAGCCGTAACCCCATGTTGAGTATCAAACCCGGTTCATTCCGAAAGAGACTAGGCACCGCACTTGCAGTGTTCTCTGAGAATTCCGTGCACACCTGTACTCCCATTATCCAACTCTGCCATACCAGTCCAGTTTTCCTGTACGCGATGGATGCGCACTGACCGGCCAAACTATTCTTTGGTTGTTCAAGAAGAGTCGGGAGGAGTGAGCATACGATACTGCTAGTCCCCGTGCAGTTGAGACTCTTGCGATAGGTTGGCTGAGGATTTGATATGACGAGCTATACTAGCTACTGATCGCTTGTCACATCTTATGTCACGGCGAAGACCACGCAACGGGACCGTAGGCTATGCATGCTACATATGCTACACACGTGCAATCACAATCGGACAACATAGCAGTAGTTCGATCCATTTGGATATATCGTGTCCGGAGCACTTGCTCAGATATCGACCTTGAGGTTTGGCTAAGCCTTTGTATCTGCGCTAGCCGGCTCAAAGAAAGGATTTTGGCAAAGGCCTCGTGAATCATATTCGCTGTAGTATGGAGCTTCACTCTTCATGTCACATGGCACAGGATAGATTTCGTAGTCATAACTTGTATTTCTCGTATCTAACCCTATCCTATCCAACACCGCATACTCAATCCCAAACCCATAATCTCTAAGATCGTTCCAACATTTAGACGGGAACTGCTCTTCATTAGTAGTTGCTCGCACATATTAGATTCGAGATGAAGCTTACCCTCGTTGTCGTTGTAGCAAGGAGTACGGCCTTGAGCGGTAATGAGACCGACGCAGGAGAACTTTCCGCCAGCGTTGCACTTGGCGGGTGTGTTCTCGCCGCTCTGCAGGAGGCGAGAAGCACCGCTGCAGACAGCAGTACAGTCGGAAGTGTCGCCGGTTTGCGCATTCTGGAAAGATGGAAACGTCACTCTGCGTACTGCGGAAGAGGCAAGATGTTTTGGATGCTAGACTTACGTAGCCGTAGACACAGCAGTGGGAGCCGTCCTGGAAGAGACACTGGCATTGCCTGGCGCCGCTGCAGTCAGCTGCCTGGCCAATGGCGACGGCACCGAGGACAGTGAGGAGGGTGGTGATGAGCTTCATTTTGATGGAGGATTGAGCGCTTGATGGATTGGTGTTGAGATGTTGGAGGCTTGTGGGTTGATGATGATAAACGTATCCACCGCCGCCCCTTATATAGCCATGAAAATCGCGGAGATGGTTATCTCAGAGAGTCGCCTCCTTAAAGTCCATTCGTGTAGGACGGGAAGCGGCGTGTGAAGTCCACTTCACTAGATCGGCTTGTATTAGGATCCTCTTGTAGGATCTGACGTGAGACTTGTACACCTCAACATCCTTCACGTGGTGGACTCGTTGCCGTAAATATGCCCTCGGCAGCAGTCGCTGCCGCGGGACGCGATGCGCGTTTAGTACCGTTGGTTGAGACGATCGGGTCCAATCGATGTGAAGTTGTTTTAAATCGCCCCCACCGACCATAGTATGTCTTTTCAGACGGCACAGCCTGCGTGTCACTTTGGGAAGGACATTTCTGGACAGTCTTTACCATCATAAAAGTATAGACTAGGCATTACCTAGGAAAGCTGGCTCGTATCTCACGCTTTGAAGATCCGCTTAGCAGAGGATTAATGCTTGCTGCGGTGTTGTCTTGAGATATTGAGATTGGGCCATGGATATATGAGCAGGGCCTCAGCACCAAAATTACCTGTGCCGAATTCAAGTCAGAAGCTTGTAATATTAGGACACAATACCCGGTATGACCAAGGTTACCGCTCCAGGCGAAACGATGTGGGCTTGCTTCGCTGCAGACAACAATGTGCGTTGAGAAAGGTGCTATGTCAGAATCAACCGATTGGGCTCTGATCGTGCAGGCCTTGCTAAGCATTCATGTTCGAACTCAGATGTGACTTCCGCCAACAACGTAAGTGAGCAGCAAGAACGTGGGTGGCTTTGCCAGGGGTAAGATCCACACGTTGTTGACACGCTGGGATAGATGACTGCTAGTTCCCGCACAACAAACGGCCCGTCGCACAGCCTTCTCTTTTGATCCCATTAGCACCAACGATTCGGCAAAATCTCGTGTTCGAACAAGAACCAACACGCTTCTGATATGATATGATGTGCCTAGACAAGCTTTGGCTTAGCCTGCTGATGCTCATCGGCCAAGCTTCCATGATCGTGACATGGTGCGGAGGAAATGCTTATTGCGAATGGTCAATACCGCAGCACCCTGCTGATTTATTGGTAGGTGTGATGGCAGCTTTTTGGCATTTAGACTTTGTTCTGTATTGGCCTTTGAGGAATTAACTACGTGAATGCTTGAATGTGAGAAAACACTTCTGAATCCTTAACACTGTACACGTTGCGCTTTGATCTCGTGTGTTTGGACATGGCGAGGAGGTTGTGACTTTCCTTCCAATCGAATACCGAAAGAGGTGTAGCATGAGAGACGTGTTGGAGGATGGTAGCAGATATGGACCGCCGCATCTTCATCCATAGCTTGCCGTTTTCAGTTAGTGGCAGGAGGCCATTCTTGGAATGACCTAGCCGGTCCTCTCGGCTTTATATTATCGTGGTAGCCGCTGACAAGGAGATGTACCTGGAACAGGTCGCTTTCCAACGTCAGTCGAAGCCTGGCCTATCATCGTCACTAGGTAATCCAGCGGTCACTTGATTCCACTTCTTGTCATCGCCGAACTGTAGTCGAGCGAGGGGAACCTTCTGCTCCGCTCACTCTATACTGGCAGACTACTTCGCCCATGTCCATCCACCGCCGATTGCTCATCGACTTCGACATCCTACACCGCATATAGCCCGTGTATTGTCCCACCGCACTTCTTCTCTTCTGCTTATAGGTTATGGTGTCTTACTCGGCGCGTAATCGGTCGTGGAGTAGAAGGGCAAATGCAGCGACGATCGGGACTCGATGCCGCATCTATTCTCGGAACGTCTTTCGGCTAGGGAGAAGGCCGGAGAGATATCAGATACCGATGTCCATATCTCTTGATTATCGCATCGTATATCGTGAGGTGCTGACGCACATTGGTAGCAATGTGGTCGTTGTATGCCATGGCGGGACGCTTTGCAGGTGCCGACCGCCGGGTCTGCCTCGTCGCGGCTACATACGATTGCGCGATTAGGTTTCGGGATCGGATATGCTATGCTGCATGTTATGCTGTAGGTTTGGCGAGTATGCGAGCAATGTTGTAAACGTCACAAACCCGGGTTGTTGGGCGTCGAAGAGCCGCGACGCGTGTCTTAGTAAGCGCTAAGATGCCGTCGCATATGCACGCTCGCTCTCATACTATGGCTACTTCTACTTTCCGCCAGCTCGTTGATCCCCCTACTATCGTACATGATTGCGAAGCGTCGACTTTAGTCACGAGGTCAGGGAGGATATGCTGGTTTCTGCCACCCAGACCTAGATACACCTTTCCGGCGTTGCATAAGGTGATATGCCACTAGGAAGAATCTCACAAGCGTACGACAGATACAGAGACGTGATGAAATACACCACTCACGGGAACAGAGGCACGAACAGTAAGCATTATGAAGGCATGAAAGTAAAATTGAGCTTTAATTTGGTCTACCCCCATTCCGCATATCATCTACGCTCGCTAGCCACTCGTCGCCATCATTCAGTCCTCATAACTGCTAAAGACCGATGAAAAGCTTAGCTAGCTTCTGGTAGCGACGGATCTCATGGACAGTGACCGACACAGGACGCTATTCACCAGCCACCGCCAGTGCAGAGCATTGAGCTGTTGTGGTGATTGATACACCACATTCGAATCAGTCCATCGGCTAGACCAAATTGTTGTCGCCTAGCTGTACGCGTCCGACAGCCGGTGGCTTGACGTAGTTTTCGAGTCGAAGCAAAGAAACTCAGCAGGCTTGGTAAACAGGGTTTCGAGACATCCATAGGAGAGGGGAAGGTGTAAGAGCGACAACCCCGACAGCGAGCAGGTCGCTTCCTATACTCTCGAGTCGAACCTCTACTCTCCATACGACAGCGTACGCAACTCCCGGAAGTCTGTAAGACGGGTATTGCTACCTCAATTCGGTGCAAGACTCGCCGGGTTCTCCAGCCTTGAACACGTTGCAGATACAGTGGAGTACCATCTGCTTCCAGCCATGGGATACATGATCCTGCGCACTGTCGATGAAGGACTGCTCCTCGGCGGTCGTCGGCCTAGGTTTGCCTTGAGCCAGGTTGTCGTCCAGTCGCTGGATTCGGCGTTCGCTGTCCCGTTGGACTTGGGGTTGTTCGCCCGCGTATTGCAATTGTACAGTGCGCAGGATTGAATACTTTGCAGATGACTTAGTTGTCTAGCCAGGCCATGTAAGTAGTCGAATGTATTGCTCAAATGTGTCGCAGAAGGAGCCGGCCGCTGCTATCGGCATGATCCCAGGTGCGGATAGAACAGTGTGGTAAGGAGGAGGGCCGGACTCCGATCCCACCTCGAGGTGGAACATTCGTCAAACTCGGTCATTTAGAGGGAGTAAAAGTCGTAACAGAATCTCCGGAGGTGAACCTGCGGAGGGATCACTACACAATACGGAAGCGGGCTGGAATCCCTCCAGTAGTGCGTTGCTTTGTAGTGTGCGCCATTGGAGCCAGCCTTGCAGAAACAGATGAGGGGGACCGAGAAAACCAAGGTGCCGTCCGTGTGGAAGTTATTAAGTTCGAATTCGTGGCGGAAGGAACCGGCCGGCATATGGACACGATGCCAGGCGCAAAAGGTGAGAGTGCGGTAAAGGAGAGGGTCGTAGAGTGGAGGGCGTAAGGTGCTTAAGGCACTGCGGAAGACACCTTTCCTGGTGAGGTGTGTAATGCGAATATACTTTGAGACGTCGTCGTACGAAGAGAGGTCGCGTGTCGTGGTGAGATGTACCGGAGGCGTATCGAGCGAGACCACCAGACGACAGGAATATCATGTCGTGATGAGGTAAACCAACGTGACGATGAACCGCATCATCACCAAGGCTATCATCCCCTCTTTCGCACGACAATCTCGACGGCGCCTGTTGCTCCAAATTCCAGGTAGCGTCTGAACATCCAACCCACGCCCATCCCTGGCAAGATTCTAGACGTTTCGAGACGACAAAACATGAGTGCGAATTGTGGTTTTACCTCCAGCTAGATAAAACGAGTGTGCAGAGTTTTTGGAGATCTTTTGGCGCCGGAGGCAGAGGGGGAACAAGATGTGTTCTTGCAACGAACCTTTTGGGTTGACAGGAAGAGAGGTGTTCTTTTGCGATCGAAGTGTTCTGGTCTCACCATCGCGGAAGACATTGTAGGCCTTCTTGACATCTTGGGAGAGGAAGTAAGAGATATGTCTAAAGAGAGGAGGGGTCGATTCTTATATGCTCAGGATGTGTGCGGTGCAAGGCCGCTTTATATTCCATGGTTGAGTGCAGGGCACAGCATCATATATTTCATGTCCAATAGGCGGAAGAACCCACACACTCACACTTGAAACATACCGAGAGTTCTGGTTCGCGGAAAACCCTCCGCATCCGCTGCTGGTAATCGCTCTTCAATCGGTACTCCGATAACCTCTAGACAAGGACCCACCTTTCGCTTCCACAACCCTTATTATGGAAACGCGGAATCATGCTCCGTCGCCTGAATTACTTATCTATGTTTCTAGGGAATCTCGTTGAATTTGAAGCGATCATAAATCTCGCCCTCCGCGACACGATAAGATTCTCAGGATGCAGAGCGGTACTTCCGCTGATAATCTTTCCAGTTGTACGTAAGTCGTGCTGTCCCATGGATCGTGATAGACTCGCATACACTGAAGTAATTGGGTAACGTCAAGTGAAAAGCTGCGGTATCCCCATCTTGTACTCGGAAATCTTCAAAGTCGGCTGGCGATTTACGCACTAGGACTATATGCATCTTGACGAACACACAACCCGGCGGAAAAAATCCGCGGCTCTTCCCCGAGACTTCGTTGTAGCAATCTTCAGGCCACACCACATCTTCGTCAGTGGTGACGGGCCTTTGGTCTGTGATCCTGACTCCTGGGTGAAGGCTTCGCTCATTCCAATGTCGGTTCTGCGTTTGTTGATTACAAGCTGAGATGGATTAGTCTCGCGAGACCTACAGATAGACAGACCGCACGGTTGGGCGTCAAATACTGCGCCTTTCATAGACTAAGATATTGCTCGGCTTAATGTCCATATGGTGAATGTCCTGATCATGCATATACTGAGAGCATGCGTCAGAAAAAAGAAGAAGCATGCTAGGTCTTTCTGGATTCGGAAATTTCGAGAACTGAGTGGCCCATACCATTGTTCGTATTTTGGCCGCTCCTCCTCCAAGAATTCTGCTAGGTCTCCAGTCATAATAGGATAAAGCAATACAGCGAAGGTGTTTTTCTGAAGGTAGGTACCCACCATCTGTACAATATGGGGACGATGCAGTCTGTGTAGGTACGACACTTCCTAGACCAGGTCCTCTGGTTTTGCCCGCCGTTTACAGCGGATCGATTTGCGAGCCAGTCTTATTCTACTGTAACGGACTGACTCGACCAGTGCAGTGGCAGAACGGCCAATTGTGTTCCCAACAATGAGAGTAATGTCTTCGTTTGTTCCGAATTCGACGTGCTGACCGCGCCCTGATCAGTTGGACTCCACCTCTTTCGCCACTAGTAGATTTTGCTACCGCAGTACTCCCCCGTATTTGCTCGATGGTTTCAGGCGGCCCAGGGTCTCAAGATTGGCTACACATCCAAGAGTAGCGGTATAAAAGACTTCTGAAGTCTCCATATCGTCTTCGCATCGAGCCAGGTCCCAAAGAGATGGTGTTTGCTGCGCGGGCGGCGGAAGTGATACTCCGGATGAAGCCGGATAGGTAGCATCTGACATGAATAATGCGCGTTCGCGATTTCGAAGACGGTCCCGTCTTCTCATTGTATGGTGAGACTATAGGATTGACGAAGATGCCCAAGACCTTGGATAGCGTATGTAAGAATGCTGAAGAACTTATATTCCCAGGAGCTAGCGACAGGTTTGCGGGGTAGCCTGCAGGCTCAGCTGGCTGCGCCTATTTACGGCATCGCCCTGCAGGTCAGGTTTGATCCGCACAAAGATGAACCATATCACTACCTAGCCATAATCGAGTTGATACAACAAACGAAACAGCATAAAAATGACCATTCCGGGGAGACATTGAGGCGTTGAGAAGACGCAGTTGCTATTCCACAGGCATGCGCGAATCTTGCCCAGGTGCTGTTTCAGATGCGTTGTCGTGACTGCTAGCGTGGCGCCCTCCCCTTCAGCTCGTTCACGTGTATGAACCTTATACGCTATCCCATTACACGCTGCATCTGCCATCATAACTTAGCTATTTTCTTTTGTGCGGGGGAGTGGTTCGACTGCCACATGCTAAGATTCAAAAGATCTTATGAACCTCTCATTCTCGTAGTGGCCTGACCACTAGTATATCACATGTTAACACTCTGGAAGCCACCACTCTTCTAATTCTCACGTACATAAACCCTTCTGATTCTATTCTATGGAAATCAACCAGTTCTCTCTTTCAGTGGACCATCCACATCACACATGCCCTTACCGCCACACAGTAACGTCGTTCTAACTATTGACTGGCCATGGCGCTTGATGGTAATGCACTTGTTGCGCTCATCATCTCCCTCGTTGCTCTAGTCATTGCGTTGGCTCAGCTCCTCGCGCAAGTTTTTGGCACTGTTGAAGGCCATCGGAAGTGTCAAACGTCTGTTATGGGGAAATGGAGCAAGCATACCCACCGACATTGGCGTTGGACTCAATTTCGATTCGAAACGCGTTTCGCTACACCAGAGATTGTCCTTGCACCTTACCCCCTTGAAGACTCGAATACAATTGCGATAACGGGGAAGAAGGAGTCTCGTAACGCAACATTTGTCCCAAAGGAAGATGACATGATAAACGATCCGAACGGCGAGCTGGCTTGTTGGGTACCTCTTCTGATTGCCTTGCACGAAATCAGCGCTGCTCAGCTAACCGAGCGAGCATCTTTTCCACAATCAAGTTGGCCCGCCATTCGCAAAAGGCAACGATCATGGGACTTTATGCCATCCGATATCGCACGGCCTTTCGCAGTCACCTCGGCATCTGATATTGCAATTCTCGCTTGCCGCATGGGGGTAGAATGGAAAGATTTTCGGCCCCCAGAGGGTATCATGGAAGGGCAAGGCGGGGAGCATATGTTTTCAGCAACGAATGTTCGTGGACTTGGAACTTTACTAGGCTACACCAGAGCCCTTCACGGAAAAAGGCCGGTCTCTCGAGGTGATGGAACACAATCTCTATATACAAAGGGGGTATCGAAGTGTAGAAAGAGTTTGGGTATTGATGCAGAGAAGGGAATAAGAGAGAATGAGAATCCGAATTCTGCTTCAGTTCCCCACCGTCTCCGTCGATGGGTATGCACCCCGGAAGCTGATAGTATGTGGTTTGGCATACTTCCAAAAAATCAAGAATTATCTCTTCCTACCTTCACTGTGGGCACCAATGAGGATGTTTTTGCTACTCTACAACAACTTGACCCTGATGGCGTCGCAGTGCAGCATCTTAGACAAATGCAAAGCCGACATCCTGGCTACCTCCATGGTTTCTGCGATATTGTGCCGATGGTTGCACCTTGGCTGCGCCAGCCAGCCTCACAAGTCAACTGCTACCCCCAGCCCCTAGGACCCCAGAATACCCCAGGATTGACCTGGTATGGTTCAGCGTACAAGGTCTTCTACCAACAACTTGTCGAATACAACAACCGTAAAGGCACTATTCAGACTTGCAAGATCGCAAGAGACTACGAGCATCTCCATGAAAGACATGGGGACAAGTGGGATGGTATTTGTGAGAATCTGTACGACCGTCGTGTACCTTATTACGATGACTTGGAATCCCTTTACCGCGATACTTCCGATTACTTCCGGGGAGATCTAACGGAAACGAAATATGCCCATAGCCAAAAATGGGAAAAGGATCACTACATGGATCTCGTTACGGCCCATCTCCGAGAAGCACCTCGATCCTACCAAGACGCCTTATCGGCGATTGCGAAGGGTCGTGGTCATGGAATACCTACGAATGGGGACAAATACTGGAAAGGTGAGGCAATGCTGTACTATTGGTTTTACATGCCTGACTATGTTCGGGTCATGACGCGGAGAAGGAGCGTTGATGCAGACCTTGTGGAGGAAGCTTGGATCACGTTGGTTTTCCGGGCCTTTCTATGGATGCGTGCTCACATATCCTGTGATGATTCGAACCCTCTTCCCTCTCAGTACCACGGTAGCCGATTACCAGTTTACATCGGCTAACAATCGACCACTATTTGCGACTATGAGTTTTCTGGCTGAACTCGACACACATGTTCGATTAGATGTTCGTCTCAAATGCAAGGAAATGAAATTGTATTGATTCGCATAGTATTCTTTTCTTATCAGATGTTTTACGCACGCGCAACTTTCGGATGATGATGATGATGATGATGATTAGAGTGGTGGAATTACGTGTTGCACGGCGGCTTGCACTCCAAGAACCTCAGGCTGAAGTCGTCTCGCAGATAGGCAGGGCATCAGCTGAACAGATTCTGCAAACTAACGCGCTGATAGCGGGGGAGCTGAAACCTCCAGAGTTGTGAGCGTTTTGCGGGGTAGGTAGGTAAGCTGAAGGCTCAGCTGGCTGCGACTCCCAACGGCATTGCCCTGCAGGCTAGATTCAATCTGCCTAGCTTGCTTGGGAGCCTATATACTGTGACCGAATTTAAATGCAATCTACAGTAATGCAGTTGCATCAAGAGCGACTCAGAGGCAGTCGCGGAGCGCCACGCGACGTCCTCACGAGCACTAGTGCGCCCTGCTTGTTGAGCGACAATGGCAGTTTTGAGCTGCGCCCAATCACCTTCCTTCTCCCAATTCCTACGGGTTGCCCGTCGTGCGACAAGTCTTCAAAACCCCTCCGCCAACCACAACATAGAGCACGACGCGCAAGCGAGGTAGCCGTGCGAGCACTGGCGGCTTTCGATTCTCTTTCTGCTTTCCGGTGTGATCCGTGCGTGAGCACACATACTAGCTAAATCCGCCTCCCGTACAATTTATAAACTGCTTCCAAGGTTCACGAATTCCTTCCTGTCCAATGCGATACGACGTTTTTTTTTGACAGAGTTGACGATACAAATATGTCTTTGTACGAATAGCTCTAGCCCAACCTGATACAGGATCGATGCGTTTAGGACAAAGCCTAAGTACACGATGATAAACCTCCTCAGCTGTCGCGGATCTTTTGCAAGTCCGGTTGGAATTTTGCAAGCAAACTTTCGTCTCATCAATCGCCTGCGGACTAAAACTTTCACTGGCACCTCACTGTGTCCGCTCACACCGCTCTTGGGTCCGAGAGCAGCAATATTGTGCAAAGTAACGATTCACTCAAGTCGTGATGATTCGGATTTCAATCCTCGTAGGTAAAAGCGTGTGTTGTCGTAAACCACATCGCCTGCCACAGTGAGACCAACACAGTGCACTCAGAGAACGGTAGTATCATCTTTGCCTGTATGACCTATTCGACCACCTGATGACTGTCTCTCTCAATTTTTAACTCGTCTCCATCCAGAGGTTCACCGACGGCTAGGATCGATGAAATCCCGCCCAGCAAGAGATTGTTCCAAAACTTCTGTCTTTCCGGGGACACTTCCGTCTTAATCTGGCCGCCACCTCGCTGGTAGCGAATAACTATGCGTTTGGAAAGATTTGAAGAAATAGACCGCAACCGAAGGAGTAATTGTCATGCGCGTGGATAACCTAAATGTGGGTATTATTCTTTCCAGTGGCCATAATCCAACCCAACAACTCTTTGGCCGCTTCCTTTGTTGATTGAGTATCGATCAGGATCGCGTCTCTAGCAATAAATACTAAGGCTGAGCTTGTGCGTACCCGCTTCAAGTGATCGTGTCCGGGCGGGCCGGACCGTGTCGCGCTAGGACGATTGGCATGGAAAACTTTGAAGTAGATATGCCTTTGCTGTAACGATATTCACTTGGAGCGTGGAGGTTCATGGAAGCATCCCAAGTTCCCTCCGGAAATCGATAAATTAATTCCACACAGGAACTAAACCAGATCGGCGGTGCTATCCTGTCAACCAACTTGTCATACCCGGAGTCAGTGCTCGCGGCGGCCGTGGTGACCATTGGGTGGAGGTGTATCTAAGGTACGTTGGTTCCGGTCAATCATACTTTTGGAATTCAAAGAGATTGTGAGGTTTTGGTGTAGCACCAGGAATTCTTCAGTATCCCTGGACATTCCAATAACAGTCATGACACCACCAAGACGATCTAAAGCCACGATCTTCAGAGGTTGAGAAGGCTGCGCAAACTGTTTGTCAAAGCTTAGAGAGTGATGAATCAAAATATGGAGATTAAAAACCGGTATTGTTCTACTACAAAACCACAATCGGTCCACTCCAGAAGATGTTTCGAAAACAGCTGATATCTAGACAGCGGGCACTGGGTCGGGGTACGTAACATCTAGATGTAAAGTCAGGAGGGACTTCAAATATAGTAAGCACGAGGAACACTTACCTGTGCAAATTGCAGCACAACCCAACCTTGTCTCTTTCTGTGGAACAACGACTTCCAAATCTGGCAGATGAGTCAGTGTTGGTATCTTGAGTAGTCCGCCCATCATCACTCACCGTGCATCCACACAGTATGGTCGCCACCCTTGTCGCAACGACGGCGAATGTATCCCTCATGCACTCTCTGCATATCCGAGCGCCAGGCCTGATGACACAACTTGTCCTCCCAATCGCAGCTGCTCTTCGCTTCAGCAGTCGTGCAGAATTCTCCACCACCCCCAGCCTCAAGACCGACCTCGCCCCCAATGCTCAGCAATTTGCTCAAAATATCTCTGCCTGCGCCGACAGTAATGCTGCCCTGGAGGTTCCAGGAGGCGCACTTGGTTTCGCTATCGACCTTTTCGATGGTGCATGAGCTGGTGCTCGCGCAGTCGACGGATGCTTCGTCACGCTTCCAGTCCAGAGCCTGGAGGCGGTTGGTAACTGCGAAGAAGTCGGTCCAGCAGTGCTCGCCTGTTCCCACAAAACCGTATCTGTGGTCGTCGCCGCTCTTGATGTACGTTCCTTGACCGTCGGTGTACCCCTTTGCGGACGATGATCCGTCGAACTCGCCAAAGTCGTTGAAGGAAGCGTCACGCTTGTCGACAAAATGAATTTCGGTTGTGGAAGGCGCTGGTGCCGCAAATGTCAGAGTGGCCAGCAGAGCCATGACCATGCCGGATGATAGAGATTGAAACATGGTGTTCGGGGTGATAGTGAAACTGGAGATGCTTCTTGAGAGTGGCAAGGTGTAATTGGAGTGTAACTGCGAGATGATTAATATCAAAGTGGCGAAGATATGGAGGCTATCGCAGGAGAAGTAGAAGGGTCGAATGGATGCGTGAGTATGAGCTGGTGATAGTTCGAAGAGAGAACCAAGGTGCGTTATATAGGATATCGTCGTCCCAATGATGCCCCCAATAAATGACTGAAGATATTCTTAGAGCGTCTCCTCGAACAGCTGAGTAAAATCGTCTCGGGAATTGTCTCGTATCAAGGCTGATTTGAGCCTCTCCGAAGCTGATAATGATGAGAGGTACTTGCAACTCTCTTGCTATTGTGAGCCGCACCAACACGCTCGCCATCTTACTCTCGAGGTCTCTGCCCCTACATGAGACCGCTAGAATTTGTTGCTGATGATATTGGTAGCTATTTGCGAGATTGGTAGCTGGGATGAGGTCGGTTAATCACGGAGGATGAGGTATCCATGATAGCCCACTGGGGGCCAAGAAAGAGAGCCATTAATCACCGACAACTATGCATCAAGGGTAAGTTACCCAATTTACTCGAAGAGCTTGGCATGCCAAGTTTCGTGGGATGAATTGGACCAGTCAGCTTTAATTGCCAAGTAGCGCCTTCTTGCTTGCTGATGCTCGCTAATTCACCAACTTAGTAACGACCCGATTACCCTGCGTTTCATGTGTCCACCACAGCCTTGTGCACAGCCCCAGACACGCGCGCTACGATGTCTTTTACGTCTTTGGCCCACCGCACCCGAATTGGATACCCGAGAGGAGGTGTTAGAGGGCCTAAGCAAATTTTAGTGAGAGCCATAAGCGGCAATAAGAGCTGGACTGTGGGTCCAAAGTATTTAAGTCGGTGAACCTAAGACATTCGGGTTTCGCCATCTAGACTAGTATGAGATATCTAAAGAGGCCATTTCATGTGTAAAGCGCTATCACGCTGGCGCTGTAGTATACTTTTCGTGCAAGGCCATGTTACAGCGGGAAACACGCGAGGACATGGATCGGGGTATGTGTCGGCATTCTAAGTTTTTGAGAGCGCGCACAGCCAGGCAAGCACATTTGCTGTTGAGGATACGCTTTCTCGGGTGACTATGCCAGAGCAGGCATCGCAATGATTGGTTTCATTTTTTGTTTTTGAAAGCACACCCCCAGACTAGAACATGTCGCATTTAGAATGTGCTTTGGGAGGTTAGGCAGGGGAATTATGTATCACCTTTCACGGAGTTTGATTTTGAAAGGCGTACAGCCAGGCGAGAAGATTGTTCATTTTCGCTGATGTTTTGGGAGACAAGACAGGCGAGAGCATGGAAAGTGCGTAGTAGAATTTTAGACAGCCAGGCGAGAAAGGTCATAAGAACCAGTTGAAAGGTTTTTGAAAGTTGAAGAATGGTGTGTGACGAAGAAAAGAAGAGGGTGAACAGAACGAGATATTTATACGTCTCTCCCAAGCCATGAAGCACGAAGACTAGATATGACAGGATGAACACATGACTTCCATAAACGTTCCAAACCAAAGAATCTCATTTGAAGATTAATAGTATTGCGCCGCCCAAATGCAAGCAAACATATCGCGCCACCCAACCAAGCCCAACCCACTTCATCTCATCCCATCACTCGTTACATATATCCTACAAAAAACATATAAAGAATGTGGCAAAAGCCCCCACGTATCCCCTTAGAAGTCTTACACCCTAACACTCCTCACCACCGAACTCCTCGGATGTGTATGACTGCCAACGCCACTTTGCCACCATTCCTTCTTAGTGCCATTCCCCGCTCTCCTGTACACCTCGCGCCAGGCATCGTCGACGGGGAGACACTGCGCCATTTGTTCGTAATGCATGACTTCTCTTTGAATGGACCGACTTTCTTGTTCAATCTCCTCCACCTCCTTCTCTGCCTTTGTCGTGCTCTTCTTGTTGGCTGCAGAGCGCGAGGTAGGAGTGGCGCGTAACGGCTTCAATATATCCCTAAGCTCTTGGTCCGACGATGATATCTGCGCTTTGAGATAAGCCATGCCTACTTGATCCTCATCCTTGCCCTTGGCCCCCCCTGCGCCGTTGAGCGTGCTCATAATAGGCGTGCGAGGCGTATACGCATGTGTGTATTTCTGCGGCGTCGGCATCTCGCTTTCCTTGGGCCTAATGCCATTATCCAACCTCGCGCTCTCGCCTTTATCGAGCAAAGCCGTGATGTCAAGGCTCTCTCCATACGGAATCGCCGTCTTGTTGCTCGGCGTAATACAATCCATGTCCACCTCTTTCCGCAGTACCTTATCAATGTCTACGGCACTAAAGTACGCGCACGACTGCGGGAGTTCGTTGATGCCCATTTGTTGGGAGAACATGGCTCGCGTCCATATGTTGGCGACTTGTAGCGCCATTGCTGCGCGATATCTATCCTCTTCTTTCACAAGGTATCTGATCTCGTCGTGCACAGTTATAGCTAGCCTGGCATCTAGTCCATACCGTCGGGTCAGGTAGTCCATGGACACGATGAGAAGGTGGAGGTAATCCACCCCGCTACTCTGAATAGCCCAATTAATCCGGCTCGTCATGAACCCGCCTTTGGTCAGATACCGGCGTTGCAATGCCTCGGTGATGGCAGCGCCCAGCACAGGCGTCCTAGGCCGCTCCTGCTCAGCGAAATCCTCGAGTTTATTGAAGACAAAAGACTCGGTTCCTCCTCGCCAAAACGGCCGTTCGTGTAACTGTTTTCGATTCGTCTTTTTCCCTTTTGTGTTCTTGTACAGATCATCCGCCGTTTTACTGGTCTGCTCATCGGACAAGCTCGGGTTGAACTGCCGTAACAGGGTACTCGCAAACTTCAATCCTGCCCCGTAGATCCGCCCATAGTTGAACACCTTGGCATCATTCCGCGATATACCCAGGATAGCAGCTGTGCGGGAATGCAGATCAGTGCCTGCTGCTTTTGTTCCTTCGAGTGTCATGAAGCCGACGGCGTTGCCACCGTGGAGCTTGAAAGTTGCGTCGCCGATTAGACTCGCGATCCAGAGTTCCTGGCTGTCGACGTCGGCGCCGACGAAGCAGTAGCCCTGCGGCGCTCGCACCATGGACTTTAGTTCGGAGCCGACGCGGTTTTTCTTCGCGTTGGAGGCGGTGAGCCAGGTGTTTTCGACGGAGCGTCGGGTTATGGTGCCCATTGGGATGATTTGCGGGAGGATAAAACCGACCTTGGTGTCGCGACCACTGCCCGATGCGGAGACGAGGTCTGGCGCTTGAGGCACTTCATTATTGTATACGACCATTTGCGACATGATTCTGTCTCGCGCACTGATCCAATATGAGCAGGATGCGTTCATCTTCAGTGCTTCCTTGGCATATGCGTATTCAGAGCCTAGCTTGCCTTTCTCAAAGTACTGAAGGTAACCCTTGGCGAGTGGGTTGGCGCATCTTGCGAGTGGTCCATCCTTGTGTGGGATCTTGTAGTAGACATACTCGGTGTCGTCTCGGAGCTTCAGGTTTGTTTCTTCGGACATGTCTGCAGCTTTCAAACCTTTATCGATATAGGCAAATGCCTCGTCCATGGGCACTTTGTACGTCCATCCGTGGACGTCTGACCACACCAGTGGGTGTCCGTCCCATGCCAACTTTAACAGGATCGGCGTGATGCGCGTTCGTACTGTAAGAGCCATTGGGGCGTCGTTCTTAGCAAAGAGATCCTTGTACCATTTCGGCATACCAGGCTTCTTCTGACGGGCTGCTGGTCTAGGTGGGTCGTTCTTCTTCTTCCCCTTGACCATCTTGACTTCCTGGCCTGACCAGTCTAGTTGACTTAGCCAAGGGTCGTTTTCATACACATGCGGCTTCTCCTTGACTTGCAGCGCCTTGTCCGCAAGCGCCACTAGGCGTTCTTTCACAGCATCCTCAAGGTGATGATACGTGGCTTCGGCGTTGTTGAGGTATGCGTCCCACGTTTCGTTGACGGGCAGAATCTCTGCAGCCAAAAAGCGCAATGCGGCGAAGCTGACGGGATGGGGACATGTTTCCATGAAGAGTGGGAAGACCTTCTGATAGACACGATGCGTGATTTCTACATCTGCAGCGCAATAGTCGAGTAGTTCGTCCAACCGTTCCCGTACACCTGCACGATCGAGTTCGCCAAAGTATTCCCTCCTAGCCTTGTCGATGGTGATGTTGCAATGGAACTTGGCTACGTCGCGCAACGAGTTGATTGCGCTTCTTCCCATCCACAGTTCTTCCTCGTCATCCATCGATGGGCCGTGCAGTAGTGTTGGCTCCAGCGTAGCGTTCTCTTCGGATGACGCTATCTTGTCTCGCGTCTCGCGGCTTTTCCTGTTCTTCATCCACGACGGCCGTTGGCGTGAGCACATGCCATTAGAGGCTACATGTAATGACATGGTATCGACAAAGGCATTCTTTGATTGGGCAATATTGTACTCTTCAGCTATGCGAGCTCTATCGTATCCTATGTTGTGTCCGACCACGACGCGGGGTATCGATGTGTCTCCCAGCGGAATCAAGTGGCGATCTGATTTGGACTCGTCCAACAGCCACGGCGACAACCAAGCATACCAAGCGGTAGGACTCACTGCACATGCCATGCATGCAAACGAAGTCTCTTTCCACATGACCTCGGTATCGAAGATGAGCATCGTCTCGTCGGGCGCGTCGACTGCCTCGGTGGTGCCGTCGCTGTTGTACTTGGTCCAGCCACTTCTTCGCACCCATTTCCTTGGTTTCGGTGGGGGATTCGCCCATGCCAGTTTCTTCGCCATGCTCAAATAGGGTTCCGCCGCATCCATTCCAAGTTTGTAGAAGTGTTCGTCTAGGGTCGTGCCTTGCAATTCGGGCAGGTCAAACCCCACAGGTGGGGTCTGATCTTGGTTCTTGCCGAGTAAGTCATGGCGACTGAGGTGGTGCTTGGACAGTGCGACGAGCTCGGGTGGTGGTTGGGTGCTTGCGCCGGGGAATATCTGTGAATGGATGTGCGAGGAAAGGTGCTGGACGCCGATGGGACTGAAGCGGGCTTCCGAGGGGACTGAAAGGGTTAGTACAGTTGCTTGCTTTGTTCTCCGTGCCGCATACCATTCAGGCTGCCCCTCGTCGCATTACTACCGTCCGTATGCGGTGACTGGACTGTGGCGAGACATTGTCGTTTTGGGGCGTTCGCAAAGTGAGTTTGCGCGTGGACGGGTCGCGGTCGGTGGGCAGCGTTCGCGGCAAAGGTGCGACACGAACAGCGCATCGTCTGATAATCTCACAGAGTGTCACTGCATGTCGTCGGCAATGAGAAGAGTCGTGGTGGTTAACGTATCGTGAATCGGTGTCGTCATGTTCGGTGTTTAGTCCAACCCACGAAGCTTGGCATGGGCGATTGCATTTCCCCTCGCCCAGCCTCAGCCCTACAGACCAGGGCTACTGCAACAGCCATGCATGTCCGCTGTAGCACGCCCGAGCCGGACGGGGGTCGCTGCTTTTGCGTGACCCAGCCGCCGGTATTGCGACACTCCATGCCCAGGCCGTGTGGCATATGTGGGTGAAGCCATTGCCATGGTGAGGGAGCACATTGCCCTCCCTGACTGCCCCAAGCCCGCTATCTCCGCTTGCCACCACAGCCACCACGGCCACCATGTCGGCCAACTACTCGCAACTCGACGACGACGACCATGACATAACCCACCCGCACCACGACCACGACCACGACCACGACTCTCCACTAGATCCCTACTCACGCTTCGACTTCGGCCACCTCTTCGGCGACTACAGCGCGCCTGTCCAAGAAGAAGGAGAACAATTCGACGACGCCTACCGCGCTCCTCCCGCACCCTACTCCACCGGCTTCTTCGACCACATCCTCAACCCAGCTGGCCTCGACCACGGCAGATATTCCCCCTTTGCTTGGCGCCCATACAGCCCGTTGACCTCGGACATGGCGCCTACCACCCGCGCACGTCCCGACCGTCTCGCAAATGGCTACGTCGACCTTACAAGCGCCCCCGATTCACCACCCCCAAGACGCAAGAGGGAATCGCCCACACCCGGCCCGTCGGCGAAGCGCCAGAAAAAGGACGACGGGTCAGCTGCTGAAGTTGAGGAGAAGAAGGAAGACGACGAAAAGGTCCAAGAGCTTGACTTGACAGAGCAGAAGACGCCGCTGCAAGAGGCCCTACAAAAGCAACAGGAAGATGCTGTCAAAGTGCAAGCAAAGCCAGAAGAGACCGTCACTACTTTTAATTCCTTCAACTGTGTCATCTGCATGGACAACCCCACAGATCTCACAGCCACCGCATGTGGTAGGTCTGCATTGGACGTTTTCATACATGCTGTACTTACTAACTACCCCAGGCCACCTCTTCTGCCACACCTGCCTCATGGAAGCCCTCATCGCCGGTGAGAACCGCACCGGACCCCATGAAACCAAGCGTTCTCAATGTCCCGTTTGCCGAAAGACTATTAGCCGGAATAAGGCGACTGACGTTATACCTTTGCTGTTGAAGAAGGGGTTGGCGACGCAGCCGAGAAAGAAGGCGGTTGCATCTGCTGCCGTCACGGCGTCCAAGGTAGCGTGAATGTACTTGAATTTCACCATGCTTTTTCTTCATTTAATTCAAAGAGACCTGGTCACATACTAAGCCCGTTTAGCTGGTCAAGAAACAGCCTCGGCGCCGACCGAGAACGGCCATGCGACGCACAAGACGGGACGCCGATCATGTGAATTGGGCGTAGGGGACAGTCGAGGGAAAGAGAAAAGGAGGCCGTTTCGTTAGGGGGTGATGTGAAAAGAGAGGATACGAACAACCCTTGAACTCATGGGCTTTCGGGCATCTCAGCAAGACATATGAGGCTTCACGAGCATTTTGATAGGCCCGCTGTCTACGGACATGCATGCAGCACTAGCGTCATGACGATGACGTAGTTCAATAGCTTGCATTACACAAGACGAAAGAAATGTCAAGCTACGAGGTATCCTCTCAACCCCTCCCTTATATTCCACGCAAGCCTCCGATACCAACCCTTATATACCAATCCTCATACCCCAATTCTTCTACACCAACCCTCTTATACTGACCTCCTACCCATAATCCATTCTCACAAGTCTATAATAGTCTACCACAAACCATGTCTCAAGACGCTAAACCCACCTCCTCAATCGCCATTCTCGGCGCTGGAGACGTCGGCGCAACAATTGCTTACAGCCTCATCATGAACCCAGTCGCCGGCGACATCCTCATCGTCGACCCCAAGGAGGAAGTTCGGGACGCCCAAGTCGCCGACCTGAGCGATGCGACATTCCACGGCAACACAAGCACACGCGTGCGAGCAGGAACGCACAAAGAAGCCGGCCAATGCGACATTGTCGTCATCGCCGCGGGTGCGAAACAGAAGAAGGGAGAGAGCAGGACTGATCTGATTGGAAGGAACAAAGCGATTCTGGAGAGCGCGATTGGGGATATGAAACCTTTCCGCGAAGATACTGTCGTGTTGCTCGTTGCGAACCCCGTCGATGTCCTCACGTATTTTGCACAGCAGTACTCTGGGCTGCCCAAGAGCCAGGTTATTGGATCCGGCACTTTCCTCGACTCTGCACGCCTGCGCGGGATTTTGGCGAGTAAGGCTGAAGTCGCGGCGAGTAGCATCGATGCGTACGTTCTTGGTGAACATGGCGAGAGTCAGTTTGTTGCCTGGAGTTTAGCTTCCATTGGAGGTGTGCCGTTATCTTCTGCCCTATCTTCATCATCATCATCCTCCTCCTCCTCCTCCAACCAAGGAAAAGCGATTGATAAAAATGCCATTGCGGAAGAAACGAAGAATAAAGCAACAAATATTATTGAGAATAAGGGGGCAACGAATTACGGCATCGGCGGTGTCGCAGCATCCATTTGCAAGTCGATATTGTTTGATGAGAAGATTGTTAGGCCGGTCAGTCATTATCAGGATGGACTGGATGTGTGTCTGAGTATGCCGGTCGTCTTGGGTAGGAAGGGAGTTGTCAGGAGTGTGCCGATGCCGCTTAATGATGAAGAGAAGGGATTGCTGGAGAAGAGCGCCAAGGCTTTGAAGGAGGTTATTGAGGCATGAGGAGGGGGTTGATATGGCAAGTCCTGGGCACCACCGGGTCGGCGAGCGCGAAGAGTCTGCAAGGCCATGGTCAGTGCCATGTGAATTTGGATTTCTCAGCTTATCAATTACGTTCTATTGAAGCCGGAGACCCTGAAGTATACGTGCGTCATGTCAATGCTGCCACCTTAGCCCTTCATCATGCACGATCCACGTGTCGCACTCCCCAGCTCACATCCCTTTCCTAGCCCTTACAACCCACAACGGATCCAAGTGGTCCGGCAGATAAGGCGATCTCACAAGTACAGTCCCCTGATCATCCGTAACCCTCATTCCACTGTCGTCCCTCGCGCAAAGATCAACAATCTCAACATCCTTCCACCCCGCAAAGTGAAGATAGTCACCTACAAACTCCAGCCTCGACCGTTCATCAAGCATCATCCACCTCCTAACAACCTTGTTTGGGAAACATCGATTGCTGATAACAAGATGAACCATGCCGCCCTCGTTTGTCGCCTCTAGAAGCTTTTTGCACACCTCCAACGGTTTGTTGAGGTAGTCGATGCTGACCACGCACGTCACCGCATCGAACCGCAAGTCGCGCCCTTGTTCCCACGCAGCACGTACATCATGTGGCGGTTTATTGAGGTCCATGACACGCCAGCGATCTGGACCCTGAAACACGCCATTGAGCGCCATTTCCTCCGCGTTGAGCCCCACACCAAAAACCTCCAGCTCCTTCTTCTGAATCGCTTCTTTGATCGACGCGGGGTAGAATGACTTCCAACTTGTGCACATGTCCATGATTCGCCCACTCTTTGGTAATGCCGTGTCGTAGTATTCTGTTAACCTTGCTATCGACGGATCGTCGATATGCGTCACTAGTCTGGGCTGCCGATAGAATACGCCATCGTCGTTCTCGTCGTATCGTACAAAATCTGAATCGTTGTACGGCCAGTTGTCGTACTTTGGCTTGTAGGATGTTGCGGGGAAGGAAGAATTGTCAAGGGAGGCAGACGCCATGTTTGCCACTGCGAAGCCGGAGAAGAAGTTGAAGGGGATGATGTTGGGTCGGTTAAGTGATGAGTATGCGCGCCATGGGGCGGTGAGTGTTGGTCGTAGAGTGCGGAGGTAGCGAGGAACGGACATGGGATGGTGGGTTGTTGATGAGGCTCTAGGTACCTTGCTGAGGGAAGCGCGTCGGTGGTGTGGGAGGATGGAGGGATGATGACGTCAAGACACGCGAGTTCACGTGTCAACGCGAAGACGACACACGCTCCGAGATCCCATTGTTGCAACTGTAACACCCTTCCTATTCCTCAGATACTGTTAATCGAGCTAGCATGAAGTGTGGATATAGAGCACTCATTAGCCTCGCTGCAGGTACGGGTCAGCTATTCCGAAGATCGGAACTGGTATCCCGAACTTGCGGGGTCCATATACATGCAGCCATAATGCCACCTGAATAAGTCATGATCTATCCTAATTTATTAGTTTTTCTAACAAAGATCTTGCTCCTGCCAAACGACAGATCGTTTTCTCCTCTGTCAACTACCACCTCTCTCACTACTACGCTAGAACTGGGAGTCTTAACGCAGACGAACTACTGCCTCCCTAGCAATCACCGCAAGACCGAGATTCTCTTTTGAGCATCCAGATATGGCCGCTATCCTCACTACAGCAAGACTCGTCTTCAAGGACTCGAGCGCCCGACAGAAGGCCATCGACGCATTCCACAAAATCATCGAATACACCACGCCACACGAGCCAGAGGTCTTGCAGTATGTATGCACATTACCGGCAGATGATAGCGCGAGGAATGAGATATACATGATGGAAGAGTAAGTCCAAGATGTATTGAAGATAGGATCATTGAAGATGCTGATTGTGCTAGATACGCAAACCAAGCAGCAAGCGATGCGCACCTGGCCACCAAGCCCGTGCAAGATCTAATACATCTTTTTACTAAGGGGGATGTACTCGCTCAACCGCCCGAGGTGCACAACTGCCCAGTCGTTACGAAGAAGACATCTGGTCCGCCAGTACCAATCTCGTCGAACCCGGCCATTGTCCTTATGAAAATCCCCTCAAAATCTGAACATTCGGCTAAAGATGTAGAGAGGTGGTGCGAAATGTCTGAGATTGTGACAAAGAGCGTAAAAGGCGTGGCCGCATTCACCGTTGTTGAAGATCGAGAATCAAACAGTACGCGGGTCGAGTGCGTGCTACAGAGTTGGGATGCGCTTGCCGAGTATAAAAAGTTCATGATAGATGGGCGAAGAGATGCAGCAGAGGTGGTGGAAGTGCGGCCTATTGACGGGTTCATTGGTCGGGAAAGTACGAGCAAGTTGTGAGCTCATATCTGAACAGCTGAACAGTAGCCAAGTAGCGCCTTTCGCACCCCCAGCAAATTCAACGAGTATGCAGCAATTACTGCGCTACAAACTCTTTGCTGCAAGCGCAAAATACTCGTGCGGTGCCGGTTGTTTCCATCAGCGACGTTCATAACCGAAGGATATCGACCTGTTCGCGCGTACGAGTCTTTGTCTGAGGGATCCACATATGGAGCCAAAGATTGGGACCTTGCGATTGTCCCACCCAGTTTGTCCCTCGACATAGGCGGCGTTGTCCGTACAAGTGCGACCAATAGTCTCCCAAATCGTCTCTCCTGACATCGTGCGGACCGAACTGATCAGCTGCACCACCCGGTGCAATGGCGAACCATCCAAATAAGCGATAAGTCTATGATACAGTCTTAGCATGCTTTCGATGGAGGGATTTCGAATGTAAAATGTTGTTTGTGAGAAGTTGACGCCAGTCCTGGACGCGGGCCGACTGAGGACAGCAACAGTTTACGAAGTCGATTTGGTTGCAGTGCGGCGATTAAGAAGCTCGGCTGGAGTGATGCGGGACGATGGCGGTGCAAGCCAAAGTTCGATGGGCCGCGAGGCTCCGTTATGTTCGACCCAGCAATGTAGTCGATGAGGGCAAACATGACCGCGATACATGCGATAACCCGGTGATCGTATAATGTCGGACCATCGGATGTTATGATTGACGGTCTGGCAGTCTTGACCCGTCGATCTCGCCATGAGCCATCCTCTGTGCGGATTCACCTGATACACGCTTAGTTCAATGTGCCACTCTAAGGACATTGCATCAAGCCTGGCTGCTGTGATGGCCATTGGCGTAAGAGTTGGAAGTAATGGTCACAGAAGGCTCCTACGATGCTTGCAATTCGGAATGGTTGGCTAATACCAAGAAAGATTCCGGGCCAGGGTTGCTTCCTCACAATCTCCCGCTGTGGAGTTCCCATGTAGGTATTGGTTCCCCCCTGCGCCTATCTCTGTCTCTGTGCAACAAGCCATCTTGATTCAACAAGAGCAGCCAGTTTAGATCCGTAAAATCTGAGACCGGAGCCGCCAACGGGAAAAGAAAGTACACGTACCTCGTTCCAATGAAGCTTGTGTGTCGTAAGCGTATCTTCTGGTCCTCCTTCATAAGCTTCGGCAGCGGGATCCAAATACAGTGGGTTACAGTCGTAAGTTTCCTGTGCTTCCTCATGGCTGCTTAGAATACGAGATTCCAAAAGCTTCTTTTTCAGCCATCGACCTTTCGGGTCTCCGTCCGCTGTTCGAGAATCACACCACTCATGGAGCTCGGGGGAGTATCGGGCACGCTTCTTTCCGTACCACATGTTCGCAGCGAGCAATGTGTCATATACGATAGAGCGATCACAGCCAGCTTGCATAACAGCAAATCGTACCGTTTCCAAGTCTGCAGGTCGACCTAGGCGTCGATTGTGGTTGAACAGCTCCACCGCTTCGAGGTTTCGTTGTAGCATAGCCTGCTTCCTGCCGGTAATAGCCACTTGCGCAGTCTCTGAATCCATCCAATCCACCGTCATAGCCGTGATCCACAGTAAGAATCGCAGAAACTTGATTTTGTCTTCGGTCCATGGCCCTGATAATAACTTTCTCGGTATTCGTCCCTTTACGACAGCAAGCTGAGGTAGGTGACTTCGAGAGAAGACCATCTGCGAAGTATCCTCAAAGTTCGGTGGCCACTGCGCATCAAAACAACCGCCGTTGCCAGGCGTTCGGCCACAGAGGCATCCTGTGGGTCCATAACGTCGCAAGATCCATGACTTAAAGAAATTCCAAGTCATCCATCTGTTGGAGAAGATACTGGTTTGGGCAGCCGACAGCTCGGCACGTCTACCGTGCACTTCGGTGAGGTAGTGGTCGCATGTTGAGTGGTAAATATATTCGGATGAGAGTCGTGCTGCGATGTAGGTGGACGCTTGGATCAGCGCGATTTCATGGCCAGCAGCAATGAAAATAGGCTGGAGCAGCTCGACTGGCAGACGTTCGATTGGGGCAAGGACCATGCTGTAGTCGATCTCGGAAGTAATGGTCTCTTACGTAGATTGAGGAAGTAAGGATGAAGCAATCACGAATTCACAAGAAGTCAAAGATCAAGCGTTTGAAGGTGAACACGTTTTGCCCGAAGATGTCCGCGCCGCATCGTGGACAGCTCGGTGTTCATTAGGCCGGCTAGGCAAGCACCCCCGCATTTGCCCGTTACGGTATGCCGCTAACTACCCCACATTGTTCTTTAGTCACATGCGCCTACAGTTTGTACTGGTTATTTAATTATTATAGTACACTCGCTTGCACCATCGGCTTCCGGTCTGCACATTACGCAGAATTCTAAGCCTACAGGGGCTATGCATCGCTTAGCTTAGCCTAAGCCTTATTAGGAATACCCCCTACCTAAATATCACTAACAGCCTAAGGATGTAAAAGTGTAACACGGGGCGGCAGAGGCGGAGCGAGGAGGACGATTATGGTCCCAACATGTTTGCTTCTCTCGCTCACGCCTTGGCCTCTGAACCTGCTCATAACCAGCGCCCCGCGCGTTAGGAGATGGGCAAGTGTCACGGCGCTGACCTAGATAGCCTATTAGAGCGCGCCAAGCTGCTAAGCGAGCAGCTGCGCGATCGCTGAAATCCCTGCGCGAACGCGCCCCGTCGTACGCTCCTTGAGCTACGTCCTTGTCCTAGCCTGACCTAGTACTGTCAGCTACACGTAGTGAATACACCGATCACGTGCACCTATCTTCCCTGCCTGCCGCCCCCGTGACAGCAAGAATTATTCTCACGACCTCCCCACCTAGTGTAGTAATACAGAGCTTTCCCCCACTATTCTCTTGTAGTGTGAAGCAAATACTATTGCCTATAGCTACCCCTCACAAAAAGCTTACTAATAGTTATTACGACATTATATAGAGTGTATAGAGTACGGCAGTAAAGACAGTACTGTAGCAAAGATAGAAGTAAAGACAATAGCAAAGACAACTAAGATATTTAGGTCTTAACTTTATAGATAGTGTAAGGGGCTACGCCTAAGTACTACAAGAGGCTACGCCGAAGAACTTTCCGCTTATCTATCTTTGTACTAGTGCACAGAGGATAAATACCGTACGAGGAGGACGCTACTCTTCTTTTCCTTATCCTTCTTCTGTACATAGGAGCAAATGCATACTCGTTAGCAGGCCTCTTTCCGCCTGAAACACATAACAGATAGTTATGCTACGCTATATTATAGTGTACGGGTGTAGGAGGATATAAAGTCGTAATCCTTTTAAGCTAAGTAGTCACTAGTAGGGCTTGTAGCAGAGAAGTTAGTAAGATGTGTAATCTTATTCTAGTTTTAGGTACAGGTAAGGAGTGTTGAGCTCGTAATAAGTATAAAGCAATACATGCAAAGAGTAAGTCGGTAATCGCTCAATAGTAGGAGACGTGTGTTCTGAGGAGGAAGTAGGATAGGTAATGATTAATAATGATACCTCTTATGTTAAGGAGAAGCCTTCCTTCTTGTAGTCCTTATGGTTGAACATCGGATAGGAACGCACTAGGGAACCCTGTGCACTGGCACAGTAGTTTTAGCTTAGGAAATCTAAACAATTTGTCTATGCTAGCGGATAGCTGCAGTTGTAAGTAGTTAGTATAAACATTTAAAATGCCTACGCATTGGCTAATAGTTGCAGGTTAGGTAAGTAGCTCTTCGGACTTACTATCTAGATCTCGCTCATACCCTCCGCCTCTTCCTTATCTGACGCGGCGGCATGTGAACTGTCCACCATATGTCATCTAGCCCGTCGTCGTTATGGCCTGGCTCCTCGGCCCGTCTACTACTAACATTAGCCGCCTCTCCTCCCTCCCCTTGCCTCTCTTCTTCCGTCGTCGTGGCATGCTCCTTAGCCACCGTCTCGCCCCGAACGAACCTCGTCATCTGGCCCAGCGACGTTATCTGCTCCGCGACGGCCCACCAGAGCTCGTCCACCAGCACCTCGGCGGCCGCTTTGAAAACGGGCTTGAACCAGCTCCTTTCCCCACCGCCAACCTTAGTTTCTTCTTCTTCTTCTTCGTCGTCGTCGTCCTCCTCGACGATCCCCTGCTCCGTCTCCGCGGCCGCGACCAGCAGGAACGGGACGTCGCCGGATCGCCAACGCGGCTTCCCCTCGTGCGCCTCCTTCGCTTCCGCCAGCGACGTCCGCAGCACCGAGGCCACGGCGGCGGGTGATGCGCAGAGGAAGACGGGCAGATCGAGACCCGACGGGAGGACGCCAGACTCGCGCATGGCGCGATAACTAGCGCGCGCCTTCTCAACCCAGTCTCCTCCTGTCCCCGCCTCCCCCTTTCCTTCCTCGCCCTTGGCGTCTTCGTCGTCGTCGTCCACCTCGACCCAGCGGATCTCGAACGAGCGTCGCGCCTCAGCGATCTCGTCGGCCGGCTGCCCTTCCTCCTCCAACGCCTTCTGGATCGGGATCTCCGCCACCTCCCATACACGTGTGTGGAATTTAACCACGTCCGACTCCGGCATAGCGGCGACGGCACTGGAAGTACAGAACGCGACGAAGCCCCAGGCCCCGCCGCCGTCGCCGCTCACCCGTTTGCGCCAAGTCTTAAGCCAGTCGGGGGGAGGTGGCGGAGGCCGTTGCTGCTGCTGCTTCTGCGCAGACGACGATGACGACGCGGTGGCGGCAGAAGAAGACTCTTTCTCGAGCTTCATGCGGCGCAGCTGCTCCTGCCACACGACGCGGGCCATCTCCATAACGCCGTCCTCGCCGAGCGCTTCTCGGAAGCCGGCCTGCATTTTGGCGCGCTCCTCGTCCGACAGCGCGGCGTTGTCCGCGGGCGTGGCGTGGGCATACCGCTGGAAGTTCCAGCCGGGCGGCCAGTAGGTGCTGGCGGCGTCGGTATAGGAGGTGAATAAGCTAGACGGTTTCGACATGGCTCTGGGTCGGAGGCGGGGTGGATAAGGTAAGTAGTGAGTTGGTAGGGCGCACGAAGGCGAGATTGATTGAGTGCAGGGCTACTAGTAGAGAAAGGAGTAGACGTTAAGGCGAAGAATAACAATAGGAAGACAGTACTACACTAGGCAGCTTTAAGAGGGAACGAGGTAATAGTGTAGCTGCTAGTAGAGAAAGGAGTAGACGTTAAGGCGAAGAACAACAATAGAGAGATAGTGCTGTACTTAGCAGTTTTAGGAGGGAACGAGGTAGTAGTGCGGTGTCACGAGATGCTACGAGCACGTGTTTAAGAGCTTACTAGAAGCGTTAATTGTGGCTACGTACGATATCTAGTGTAATACAAGACGTTGCGTAAGGAAACAGAATCAGCATGTACAAGCAGTAAGAAGTTATCGATAGGGGCCGTGCGCATGGCGCTAGGCCCAGCCGGCCAATCAGCAGAATCCTAGTGCTTGGCGGAGCACTCGGATTCTGTAGCGCGTTCAGTGTCAAGGGAACCACGGTGGTTACCGTGACATGCGGATATTAGTAGATAGAGGAGTAGACATAAAGGCAAAGGATAACAATAGAACAACAGCACTCTAGCAGGATACTCTCTAGCGATACTACGATGTAGCGTAGCATAACTATCTATAAAGTTAAGACCTAAATGTCTTAGTTGTCTTTGCTACTGTCTTTACTACTATATTTGCTACAGTACTGTTTTTACTGCCGTACTCTATACACTCTATATAATGTCGTAATAACTATTAGTAAGCTTTTACATCCTTAGGCTGTTAGTAATATTTAGGTAGGGGATATTCCTAATAAGGCTTAGTGTCAGGCCTGGCTGACGATATATACTATCCTGCACCCTGATCAGTAGTTCACTGATCATACGTACCTTTTTGGTTGCATGGCGTAGTGGTGCAGGGCTGCGTTCTTGACACTTAGGCTACGCTAAGCGATGCATAGTCCCTGTAGGCTCAGAATTCTGCGTAATGTGCAGACCGGAAGCCGATTGTGCAAGCGAGTGTATCTTGTGAGAAGTGACTTAGTGATGCTTATTAAAGGTTTTACTTCAACTATTTTAGATTCAGCTGGTATAATCAAATACTTTCTAGCCACAGTAACCTCTAAGCCCGTTACTCATCAGAACTGATGGTATCGTACAGCGCATAATGGAATTATTTTAACGCGATTAGTATTGACCTACAGTTGGAGGTGCGAGAAAGATGTGACAAATATCAAGGGATCAATCTTGCTGGCGCCTGTGGCTGTGACAGTGTGCGTAACTTAAGCGCTTTCCTAACAAAATCGACCTTGGCAAACAATAGCATTCGTAGCGTGTACTGTCAGCAGAGCTTCTTTTTTCTAAGTCCAACGGGGAGAATAGATGCTTCAGTCTTCAAAACCTTGGTAGGTGAACCTCAAAAGGCATCTGGCGTACTGTATGGCGTAGTGCTACACCTCACATTGTTTCTCACTCCTTAAGCAGACTATCTTCCTTCTTGTCCCACCATACATGAATTCCATAGTCCATAATAGCCGAAACACAAGCGATGGATAGTTTTCTTATTGCTTAGACGCCTGCCGAAAAATCTAAACTAAGGTAATATCACTGAAGTCTGAGGTGCCTACACTCTCACCATCCATGATGCCGTCTACGTAGGCTTCACTGACCACGCTAAATCGTCCCTTATCCTGCGGTCTGAGTATAAAGTGAACTTAGCTTCCTGCAATTATTGCAATTCTATCACCCTTCAGTACACGTTCAGAACTCAGGCCAAGATGGCCTTTCCAAGTCACGAAAGGAAGCCGACCCAAGCTCTTTCCATTGATTTCTGATGCCAGTTGAAGCTTATGCTTGATCTTGCTCCCGACTGCACCTTTCTTTCTCTGGTTAGCTATGAAAAGTCGTGCGTCGGATTTGAAGCGTGCGTTCTTGATAAACTGAAGTCCGTCACGTAGGAGGACAATAGCATCAGCAAAACGAACATTTCCGACCCGCTCATAGTCCCCATCCTCACTCCATCCGACGTCCCCGATCGAGCTTCGTCCGCTCGCGCGCAATCGATTGTGAAACTCCTTATAATCTCTTTTAGTGCAATAGCTTAGACGTATCATCTCTAACAGCCAGTGTATTGGCCAGGAGTACGTCTGCGAAAGCGGTACCTCTTTACTGTTAGTCCGATTGGGGAAACTACCAACCTGACTAATCTCATCGTAAATATAAGATTGAATCGTAATGCGTCTGACGATTCCGCTATCTTTGGATATTTTGATTGAAGTACTACGTGCTTGACGTCCCGAGACACTGAACTCTGGATACGGAGTCACGTGGTCGTTCCGTACGTCCTGTAACATATCAGTCACAGATTGAGACCAATCCGGAACCCAAGATGGGAGATCTGGCGACCTTAGGGCTTGGCACATTAAGAGTAAAAATATATGACCCTGTTGTAGCAGTGCTGCCATCGTAATAGCATAGTTTGGGACAACACCAAAACTTTCCAACTCCTTTCGATCTGCAGCCAGGCCTAGCAGGGCGAAGACTTTGTCTTCTGGCTTTGTCGCTTTGAAGTTATTAGGTCTATGCCGATTTGGGTTTATGCTGCCAACGCACGTCGCGCGAAGGAGGGCTGCCAGCGGGAATCTGCTTTCTTGATGTATCCTTGACATGGAAACAAGGACGTTAGGGCGGTGATAAAACAAGTTCATAGCAATGTCGTGCTGATACTTGCTCGAAAATCTTTTTTCTCTCTGAAACGCTGTCATGGTAATTATCTATAGCGCAACACACATATGTATGAAAGCGTTGCAGCGGGATATTGGGAGTTTTTGTGCTCCGCAAATGAAATGTGCGTCCCTCGAGAGAGTAATTTCTTGTAAGACCCATATTCGTGTCCACCAAGACCTGGCGAAAAGGTCTTTCAACTTAGTGATTGGCAACAAGTTGTTCTGACTTTTCTAGCCGCTAACGACATCGAACAGATCTCGCATGGCCTTGCGGGGTACCGTGAACAGGGATTCATCTACGTTTTGAATGATCGGGTCGACCGAGACAAGTTGCTGCAACCCTTCAGGCACGAAAACTATGTCATGCCATATTTTACGGCATACTTCGAAAGCATCTTCCATACTACAAGCTTCTGCCTTCTTTCTGATAGTGTTGATACAGCAGATCGCTAAGTCGCTGTTCTTATCTGCTGGTCCCAACCACGCAAAGACATGACGAGCCCGCTGATATATCTCTGCCATTAATGCAACCTGGAAGCGCTTCTCTTCGTTATCTTTCTAGTTGATACAAATAGCATTAATCTAGTAGTGCAGAAGCCGGCTGCGAGGCGTTGCATTGGACTTCGTTCTGACTAGTCTTTTACGGTCTTCTTGAAATTGCTACAAAGCTTCTTTAAGATTTCGAGTTATACTGATGGCTCTTCCGTTACACAAGATAGGCACAGTATTGTTTGTGTCTCCCTATGTGTAAGACAGTGCGATGTACGGCGGATGATTGTCGATCCTGTACGTTTGGATTTCGAGACAGACAGTCTCGTCGCCATGACCGAAGTTAAGATCGACTAGTCGTAGTTGTTGGCCACTTAGGCTGTCCGAGTATCGAAAAGCCGATCTTGCAAAGATTGTCAGTTGTAATTCATCACACTGCACATGTTTTCTGTGAATGTCGCTTGCATACTTGCGGAAGCGGGACGAAGGAGATTCTAGAACTACTAAATATCGTTAACAGAAGTGAATTGGAGCAATTACGCATTCAAGTGTTGACCCAACAGAGATGTGGTCGAAAAGTCAGTTTCCATAGTTTTCGCCTTCAGGATAAGGAAGTCTGAGCTCAGATTCCAATGTCGTGGGTTGGTGCTATGTATATGTAGAGCAGTGTTTGGGAGTCATGGTCTTCAGACAGTACTTCGATGCTAAAGTACTGTATCGATGCAGCGAATTAATATATGCCACGTCTAGTTGGCATACAGGCAACAACGCGTCCTGAACGCACATTGGTGAGCGTGTGGTCGGGGGTCGGTGTTGGCGTTGGACACCGGTGAGCGCCATCTCCTCGGCTTCAACGCGATCCTTCCATTGGCGTGTCGCGTGTCCTCGTTATGCGCTGACCAGAAACCTACACGCCTCAAAGCCCAACACTTGCGCATCGCCCTCAGACAGATGGCGTCATACTATCCGCGTAATGTTCTCTATGCGCCGTTGTTCCGAAGACTCCATTATCTGCCCGTTTCTCTATCTCCAATGAGCACACGTGGAGGTTGGTCCCACCGTTCCCGCATTTGCCCAATAAGGTATGCCGCTAATCACCCCACACGGTACTAGCACGTTCACTTGTGTCTTCCGAGGTTCGCACACCCTCCGACCCTCCAGCATAACCTTTCACGCGAGAGAGCGAGGATGGGTAACTCCTTCCCTTACATGCGCTACACGAACCTTACAACTGACTGCACCACGTTATGAGGATGCATTGCCAACAAACGAAGGAAGGGTTGAGTGGGTACCTTCCACCGCGAACGCGCGTTCATGTACACCATGCCAGATGAACGGCCGCGGCAACATACTATCTTTTACTCGAATATTTTATGCTGTGCTCATCAAAACCACTGTTGAGATGGTAACGCGGCAGTGGAATTGCCACTTTCCACCTCCACTTGCACAATCTCCACAAGCTGGCAAGACGTCAAAATGAAGCCTGCCTTAGGGCAGTCTTGAGCGCTTGGTGGTGCTAGAGGCGGGACTCTAGCTTGGATCTCTGCATTGCGAAGCATCCAGCTGTTGACAGCGGTTAATCTCAGGACCTCATGAGCCCAACGGCGTTAGGGCGGGGTATTCTCCGGCCCTACAGCGGGCGTTGTCTTACATCAACTTCAGCCTGTGAACACCAACACATGTTTGTCAGCCTCCGGAGCTCTGCTACGTCCGTCCGATAACCTACGCGTTTTTTTAACGCATTCAATTGCTACAGATAGCCCGCAGCTTAAGCTTGATACACGTGGTTATACCAAATCTCTACACTATGGCAGAAATCGACGCCAGTACATTGTTCAATGTGAAAGGACTAGTGGCAGTCGTTACGGGCGGAGGAACAGGTAATCTTGATTTGGATCAGGAATGTGTTGTGCTAATGAATGAGCAGGTATTGGTTTGATGATAGCACAAGCACTCGAGGCAAATGGGGCGATCGTCTATATCTTAGGGCGCCGACAGGAGGTGTTGGAGAAGGCGGCAAACACAGCGGTACGTTCAACTGATTTTAGTTATCTTCGTATTTGCCAGGATACAAGATGGATCACGAGGATCTACTAAGGACCATTGCGAGTAGAAACATGGAAACATCCGCCATCTCAAGACCGATGTAACTTCAAAGGCCGATCTCTCCGCCGCAGTTGATCACATCACCTCCAAATCCGGCTACGTCAATCTTGTTGTCGCCAATTCCGGTATCACTGGCCCAACCCTTAAGGGCCTAGAGAAAGGCGCATCGCTGACTGAGTTCCGAGACCACCTTTGGAACTGGGATATGGACAATTTCACACAAACGTTCGCACTGAACACCACAGCTGCTTTCTTCACGGTTGTCGCTTTCCTTGAGTTGCTTGACAAGGGCAACAAAGCTGGCAATGTTGAGCAAAAGAGTCAAGTCATATGTATTAGTAGCGCTGGTGCTTTCAATCGTGTGCCGATGGCGGGGTACGCCTATGCTGGTTCTAAGGCAGCAGTAGTGCACATGATGAAAGCTCTGGCGACGACGATGGTTCCCTACGACATTCGGTCAAATATCCTTGCCCCTGGCTGTAAGTCGAAGCATATTCTTACAAAACGTCAGTTCTTCCTGCTGACTGGATCAACATAGTATACCCAAGTGAGATGACCGTAGATATGCTCACCCAGGAGAAGTGGCCAAGAGACTTCATACCCGAGCAAAGAGCTGGCAACATCAAGGACATGGCGGGTGCGATACTCTTTCTCACCAGTAGAGCTGGAGCATACATAAACGGCAACGTTCTACTCACCGATGGCGGACGCTTGAGTGTCTTGCCTGCAACATACTGATGATGACGCGACAAGTGGCGATAAGTATTTCAAATACGAGTACCCAAATCTTCAAGAGTGTGTTGAGGACGACGTGAATTCATTATAAGTAGATCATTAAGAGTATCTCCACCGTAGGCTACACCTTCCAAGCTCCGCTTCAATAGTGACCTGGTCATCTAAGTCGAGTCAGCACATTTATCCAGCTTCTTTCCTAGGTCTTCTCACAACGTACCCACTCATTCTCGCTGACCCTAAACTCGAAAGGTCGGTAAATCGCCTTGTCAGTCTCGCGCTAATCACCATCGGACTTTCCGATGATGTTTGTCGCTCGGTAAATTGCCTTGTATGCTTCGCGCTTCTCCTCTGGGGCGAGAGCCTCGAACTGTTCGGGTGTTGGCATGCGCTTAGCGACGTCATTGGTGTTGGGGGTAGGTGCGGCGACTGCAGAGGCTGTAAGGAAGGCAACGAGGCCAAAGGTGATGCTAGTGAAGCGCATGATGAAGACGGCGGAAGGATTGAGGACGAGTGTTGTGGTGTGGTTATACTGTCGTCTTCTGGCTGGGTCATACTGGGATATATACCTGCACATTGTGATGCCAATACATCCGTCGTCAACTATCATCCCAATTGATACATTCGGTATCACATCTCAGCGGGGAAGCCTGCAAGGTCAGCACTTACACGCGTAAAGGCAATAGGTATCCAGCGTAGCGCATCTGCCACGCATGGTGTTCGCGCTGGTCCTAACTTGATCAGGCAGGACGTAGCTTCCCCAGACCCAACCATAATCAAGCTTCGCCAATCGCGACGGGCCGGTGCCAAAAATGCTTATCTACACATAGACATATGACGCGTTGGTATGGGATGCCTCAATCGATCTAAAACGTGTTCTGGTTAACCTCGAAGGTTGTTACTGGCTCGCTCGAGATCTTGTGGTGTGATGTCGCCATCTGTCATGTCTCTAGGAGGAAGATACTTGACCAACTGCCGATCTCAATACTGCCGTAGCCAGTTGCTGCGAGTGTCCCAGCCAGCTGACAGTCTCGGCAGTGTCTAGGGGCATTTGACCGGCTGTTGGGAAGCGACTCTTGTACCCAGGTATCAATCGTTTCCCAAGTTCATCCCCAAATCAACAATCCGACATTGCCTGTTACAACATGATGCGTTTGTTCCCAAGATTCGCATACAACCCTCTGGCTTCCGATGAGAGTCTCGAGAGTACCCCTGATCTGGATGCAGAAAAGGCGCAAACTATCCAGAGTGGAGGTATACATCTGAGACGTGGATCGATAAAGGCCTCAGTAATTGTCACTACGCTGAATATGGTCATCTTGATTGTAGCAGCCTCGCTCTTCGTCAAGTCGTATTACAACCAACCTTTTGTGCTTAATGGTGGTTATCGTCAGATGGCACCATTCAGTCCCGTGTTGGACAGGTTCGACCTTAGTCCCACAATGAAGAGGATCAATGGAACACTCTTTCCATCAAGAGATGGAGGCTCTATTGCGAGACAACAGCCCAACCCGAAATCTGATGCCATCTGGGAAGAATGGGAACTGACGCGCATCTATCCTGTTACGCGCGAAGAACTTGTGGAGATGGGCACCGATCCTTCGACAGCAGCGAAACTGGAAGATAACGTGTGGGGTGTGGGCGACGATGCTTATGCTTCCATCTTCGACGTATACCACCAGGTCCACTGCCTAAACTCCCTACGGCAGATCGCATACGGCGACTACTACAATCTCAGCATGGCGCGAGCATATACAATCAAGCAGCGCGAGATACACGTCAACCACTGCATTGACATCCTGCTCCAAAGTATCCAGTGCAACGCAAATGTCGACCTCATCCCTTTGCATTGGGTAGAAACACAGGAATATCCATTCCCAGACATGTCCATCAACAAGAAATGTGTTGACTTCGATGACTTAACCGAGTGGCGAAAGGCGAATACGATCGACATGGAGAAGTATGTTGAGGTTATGAAGATGCCGGAAGTCGGTAAGCCGGGTATCAAAGAGCTTCCAGCAGCTGATCAGTACTACAAATACTGGGGATTCGATAATCCAAACCATAAGTCGAAAGCTGAGGGTGGCCATGGACTTCCGATGGAAGTAGACTCGAATCTGTAGTTCATTAGACACAGGTCAGTTTGAACATTTTATAGTATGTATTTCCCGATTACTGCAGTCAGTCAAGAGTCATAGAAATGCACCCCCGTCACAAGACCGGCATAGGTGGGCTACGGCTGGAGCAAGCAAAAGTGGTAGGTGATAATATTTGCGCTATCATAAAGCTTGAAAATGTATTGTTATAAATAAAACTGATCACCTCTGTCCCTAAAGCTCCTTGCCTTTTGCATAAATTGGATGTGTCCACGGAATGCGACCTTTGATGCGGTCTTCACCAAAGACATAATCGAGAACCCTGCTTTGCCTCATCCGCGGGCCGGCAATACATGTTTGCAAAAACCATTGGAAAGTATACAAAGGCCAGATAAAGCGATATAAAAACCAGTAGATTGGATTTGCCCAGGCATGGCCACGAGTTGTGAAAGATGATACGCCCCAGTCGAATTCGAGTGCTTCCTTTCTTGCAGTCTGGTACTCCTGGAAAACTTGCTGCAAAGCATCTCCGCTCATATCGTAGCTTGGGCTCGATCTTAACGCATCGTGCAGCAGATTGCAGAGAAGTGCGACGTCTTGTATCCCATTTGTGAAACCGAGCCCTGCATTGGGTGTGAACTTGTGGCATGCATCGCCAGCAAGCACAATCCGGCCCAAGCTCCAATGCTCAAGTATGCCCTCTTCCAGGTCTGACATGCCTGCTGTTGCGCTGTTGTAGACGTCTTTAATTTTCAAATCCTCATTGACAGGCCAGTCTGCGAAGCTGGCAGCGAATTCGTCCATCTCCGTCTTGGTGTATCGTTTAGACTCCTTGGTGGGCTCCGGTAACTTCTCATACAGGAAGATCCAAGCACGGTCGCGGCCGGTAATCCACATAATCGAACGATCTTTGCTTTGCGTATCGGCTCCGTGCCCAGCTTCGCATGGTCGCGGCAGGTTGGACCACAAGCATCGGTAGTTGGCTGAAAAGGGCGGTTCCGGATTTCTGCTATCTGAGAACCTGCTCTCAGCCGAAAGCTTGTGCATTATCTTCCGCGTTCGACTATGCACGCCATCGGCTCCAATTACCATGGATCCTGAGTATATCTTTCCGTTGGCGCAAGTAACGACTACACCAGCTTCGTTGGTCGCAATGTCGACGACTTTCTGGCTGAGCAAGTATTTCTCTCTTGCGTTCTTTGGCAGGCCATCTAGTAAAGCTCGTACGAGTTCGGCTCGATGGAACGTGATAAGTTCGAGGCCAAAGCTGGAAGCGGAAGTCAGTCAATATTTAGACAACCTTGGGAAGGTTGATTAAGCAGGCAAAGGGCTCGACTTGCTTTCTCCGCATCATTTGGATGGATGTACTGTCTGTGAACTTTGTGCCTTCCTTCGTAAACGATTTGTTGTACAGTAGCTTCTGCCCAACTGAAAGCAACTTGTCGAGCAGGCCTAGCTGTTGCATGAACCGCATGCTTTGAGCTCCGAGCACCAGGCTAGCTCCCACATCAACGGCAACATCATCGTTCCGTTCCAGGACGACGAAATCGATGTTGGCCAGATGCAACGCATGAGCAGCAGTTAGTCCGACCGGTCCACCGCCAACAACGATGACTTTGAAAGGGTTGTTTGGCATTGCACTAGAAGATTTTGTGGAAATGGAATGTGATCAGTCTTTTGTCCACCCCCCCAACATTGAGTTCGTGACATACTATATACTCTTGTACCCAATCTAGGAGCCAAGATAGGCGCTGATGGACCGTGAAAGTGCCAGTGAAGACTAATCTGACTACCGAGGTTTAGCGCTTGCGCGTCGGGTCCGAAATGCATCTCAAACAATGTGGATACATTCGGTCCTTGTACAACTGAACGTGCTCGGCGCCGAACTGTGGTGATTACACGCCGGGTAATGATCGCGAACAAAGAAGTTGTGAAGTAGGCAGAAAGAGCTAGCCTTCTCCAAGACTATGTTATCAAAATCTCAAACATCCATCCCGAAGGACACGTTATCCTACAGACAATATTGGACGCTTTTTTTCTATCTTTGCGTGGGATGTCTCGGTGTGGGTATTATGGTCGTGCTGTGGGTTCTCTACCGCGAAGGACTTCATGTTCAGTGCCCTATTGGTAGGAAACCAGGGCGAAGTGGGTTCTTTGCCGCAACGGTATCCCGATTCCCATAGGGGCGGACCGCATGTGGGTCGAAGACAGGTGTGATCAGATGGCTCTGGAGGCTCCGGGAATTTCGTGAGCCGCATCCGAGAGGCGACGCACGCGCTAGCCATCTTCGGGGCGGTTGTTATCCGAGTTCCTCCGCGAACTTTACAGAGCAACTCTTTCGACCGCAAAAACACCACCATCTTATCAATGCAGACCATTCCATCCGCATGGGCCTGATGCCAACGACGATCCGATGCTTACGTGCAACCCTCGCAGAAAGGCGTTATATCAATTGACTTATCAGGAGAGACGGAAAGTACAAGGGTAGGAAAGAATAATTGAGTCAACGCGTAGGAGCGGAAGTGACAAGAGAAAGGTTATCGGGCGAAAGTATATCCGAATTCGTGGCCAGAGAACAGCTCGGACTAGAATAACAAAACATTCGGCTAACAGGCCGCGCAGCGCAGACGGCTGAGGAGAGGACCCTTGAACATTTACGTCATGTTCAGGAAGCGCGTCTGATTGTGTAGAACGTCGCGACTCTCTTTACAGTGGATTTTGGTCAGCGGAATATTCGCAGCAGAGATTGGGTGTAGCTACATCCGGCGCTAGCACTCGGGTGTCGAGCCCGTTGCTCCATCCTGAGCTCATCCAGATCCTTCTTCATCATGTCCCTCCTATCTCGGTCTTCTTCCCCCTCAACCCAGCCGGTTCATCTTCAGCGTGAGACTCCTCCAGCTGCATGTAGTCGAAGGAGCCAGCACGACCTTCTATCTTGGCATTAAAAAAACGGGAGCTCTCAGTTGCCATTGCTTGACCAGTTGGTCGCCACATCGAAACAAACTTCAGCTCTGAGTCATGGGTACAAGTAGAGGTAAATCTTGAGGATCTCTATGCTCAGCATCTTGTCTGCCCACCCAAACCGCGGATTCGATATGCGAGAGGTCGCTGCGCCCTTCGTGTCGTTGTACTAGTCTGCAGCTTCGATCAGATCGACCAAGCTGTGGCCCTTGATGGTCACCATCGGCATTAGATCCTTGCCACGCAATACCAAGCTTAGGAACAAGTTCTGCACTGCGGCGCCTTCAACCAATCAGCCGTTGCCGGAACGCGGGACGTCACAGCGGATGGTGATCTCAAGATGTTTGCGATAGAACTCGGCTAACTTCAACATAACATGTTTGGGTTCGAGTGAATCGTCGAGACTGAAGATCGCGCCAGTGGTGAACGCGGGCGAGACTGTAACGTCGCGAAACCATCCCTCTTTACCTGCGGCACATCCTCCGACGAACCTGAGGAATTGCTCGACGTGCCCGACATGGTCGCAGTAGCTGCCGAACTACACTCTATTGAATCGAATCTCCAATCCCGCGGTCTCTCTTTACATCTGGCGACAGGTAAATTTTAGCTCATTGGAGTGATAATCGGAGTTTCTGTGGATGGTTCTGCAAGTGAGGAATCGTGAGGGAAAGTCGCAGCAACCTTCGTAGAACACCAAATCGTCGTCGGCCCGAAGAGCGTGCTCGTATATGCGATTGCGTATCTTGCCGGGTAGTCAAAGTAAAAGGCCTTGCATTATGGACGTTGGCAACAGGTTTTGGCCTACTGAAATCGGGCATACCCAGTGGCCGCACTGCTACCACTTACCGACCGCCATGCAAATGCTCCTTTTGCCAACCCCTGTATCGGGCATTCGAGCAGCCCAGAATGGAGGCGTTTGCCTTCAAGAAACAGGACAACGACCGGGACTCACAAGGCCAATTTGCTTCATGCATTCGTAATAATTAGTTGTTAAGGTTATCAATGTAGAATACGGCGGATGCCTTTGTGATACGGGTTGAAAAATGCAGCCTGCCTCATAGCCAAGGCGTCTTCTGTATAAAGTCCACACAGTTTTGACTGACGGAAAGTAAATTCACGTAGACGGCACCCCTATGTATGTTGTGGAAGGCGCATGTAAGCCGCCAAGCCTACCCCACTCTGATCCACGCATAACTTTATCCCCTCAACCAAAATACCTAGTATCTTGCAGTTGACCAAAAGAAGACACAAGACACTAAGTTCCCCGAATTTTGAGATGCTGTCGCTCAATAACGTAACGTTGTTGTTGGCGCGATTGCTCCACGGAGATCCTTCGGCAGATCGAGCTAGGGACGCAACGCCACCACAACGTGAGTTCTTTTATGTTGGCGGGGAGTATAAAGAATTCGTGGTAGGTCCTACAGTTCTCTGGAAGGCTCTCACTGAATATGAAGACTGGAAACACAACCGCGCAATACATGGTAAACCAAATTTACGTCGAAAAGCTCATCCCAGCAAATCCGACCGAAGAGCATCCTTTAGTCTTCATGCACGGAACCGGCCAAACCGCGACAAACTTCCTGAACACACCGGACGGCCGACCAGGCTGGGCCTCTTTTTTTCTATCGCATGGCTACACTGTCTACCTCAGCGATCAGCCATCGCGCGGACGATCTCCATGGCTTCCAAACACCGGCACAATGGCAAGTTCTAGCACCGCCCTAATAGAGCAGCTCTTCACCTCATGCTCATCTCACAACACCTGGCCCACGTCAAAACTGCATACCCAATGGCCAGGAACAGGTAAAGTGGGTGATCCAATCTTCGACGCCTTCTACGCGACCCAAATCCAGTATCAGGCCGACAATCTGATGTCCGAAGCTGAGAACGCGAAAGCATACACGGCGCTTCTCGATAAGATCGGCCCAGCACACGTTATCACGCATAGTCAGGCCGGTGCTTACGGATGGCGAGTTGGGGATCTTCGACCGCAACTCGTCCAGAGCATCGTAGCGCTCGAACCGGCGGGGCCACCATTTATCGGCAGAATCTTCGGTTCAGCACCTGCACGGCCATATGGCATCACGGAGCTCGAAGTTGCTTATGAGCCACCTGCAGGGCCCAATGCGACGCACATTCAAACTGTAGTTTTGCCAGCTAAGGATACGAACCACAGCGAGTGTATTATGCAGGATGAACCGGCGAAGCAGTTGGTAAATCTATCGCATATTCCGGTACTAGTGGTGACTTCAGAGGCGAGCTATCATGCGTTATACGATCATTGTACTGTAGATTATTTGAGACAGGCGGGTGTCGGGGTCGATCATATGGAGCTTGGTAAAGAGGGAATTCACGGTAATGGGCATATGTTCTTCATGGAGAAGAACAGCGGAGAGATTGCAGACAAGGTCCTGAGTTGGCTTCGATATTCTTTGGATCATACATTTGCATCACTCATGAGGCATACGGAGTCTTCCACGTGGATATAAATTATTCGATTCACAAGTCGAACAATACGAATGCCTTTAGGGTGCATTACACTATTGAACAACACTAATCCTGAGATGAGACCAGGGAGGAAGTTCTTTTGAACAGGCTGAGTGGTGTACGCAAAGGATGTGGTATCAGCGGTTACCGATCTGGCAATGTAGAAGATAATCAACTGGAAGATGACTAGCTCGTCCCGAGAGAGACTGATTTATGCCATCCTCACGAACCAACTCATTGTAATTTCTCACTTCCGTTCCTGTCAAATAACGAATGCGATTCCACCGGCGCGTTACTGTTGATTGTTCGATCGTTCGCTCTTGCATATACCCTGGTATCCTTTCCGTATCAAGCCGGTACAATCGCGATAGGGACTTGTATCTGCGATACTTCTCATCTGAGAGTCTCTTTTTCGCATGTGAATCATACGAGTTGCTCGTCGATTATGGGTTATCGCAGTACTGCTAGTTGCAGTGGGTGGCAACCAAGGTATGGCTTCGTGAATTTACCCACATGCTACGGCAGGTAAAATGCTAAATTTTGCTGATTGACATCAAGTGTAAAAACTATGACATATTTACAGTCTTTCCATCCACCATAGACATTCCACGATGTGCCTTCACACATTCATCGTCTCCAATGATCCGCCGAACCTGTTCCGCACACACGAAACGATGCCTACCTCGAAGCTTGGTTCGGTAGCTACAAGGTAGACACTGAAGCTGGAGACAACTAATCTAGTCTACGTAGCCGTCAAATCCGTCATCAAGAGCTGCGACTATGTCAGAGACATGCAAGAATCAAATACAGGGGGTTTGTTCGAGTTGATATAACATAGTATAGTTCGAATTCGAGATATTTGACCATTCAACTACGTGATAGAAATCTGTCCGCAGCTATTTTCGATACTTCTGGCATGAAGCTGGCTGCTTGAAGCCCTCGTATCCACAAACCACCATTACTAATTCTGTCTCGTTCGTGAACATGGCCAGCACATCAACCACTGTCTGTGAACTCCTCAGGGCAGTATAAGAGTCCTTGAAGCCGCCGTGTCATGCATCTCCACAACTACAGCCACAACTGCAACAACTACCACAACTACGATAGCAACACCCAGCAACATATCACTCACTACAAAAGCTTCGAGAAGACCTAGAAAGCCCTCTTAAACAACTATATCACATTGCCATCACAACATCCTCTACAGGGAACACGATGTGCGACTACGAGAAAGTTAATTACCTGGGTTGCAGTCACACCAAGAACGAGATTATTAGGGACTGCTCGGTCAGAAAACATGGTTTTCAGTGCTCGGAAATGAAGATTAAGAGTACGAGGAAGACTGCGACAAGGTGTGGGTACTGTTAGTCTACAAGTGGGTAGAGATGGGCAGTCGAGGAGAAGAGAGAAACGGAGGAGATGAAAATGATAGAGTAGATTGTCATGGTGGAAGTGGATTGGAAAAGTGTTCATGTATGAGTTGAGATTTAGTAAATGATTCATTGTTCATACATATCTTAGCTACTTTCAAAGCGACTCAGGGTATGTTGAATCCGTCCTTCATCCGCCCAAAGCTTTGCAAGGTACTCTAGGCCCATTGAGAGTATCGGTGATGGGCCTTTCAACAACCCTCCAACCCCTCGCCACGTACCGTCTAGGCCCCCATACACTCCAATTGCGAACGCCACGCGGAACCATTCTCTATTTCCAAGCGCCCCAGGATCCTCGTGATGCACAAGTTCAGCCGACTGAGCGGTCCATACCACGTATATCCGCGACTCGTGCTCAATGTCGTGTCACAAGTTTCGCATTGAACCACGACGCGCAAAGGGGCCGGCGCCAGGTCATACACGGAGGTGCGATTTTTTGTGAGCTTTTTTACGACAGCTGGGTTGGAGCTCGTCATGTGTGGACAGATCGGGAGATTGATTCTTGACATGGCGGAGTGGAGCTCGGCAACTGGTACATTGCACAATGGTGGAACGTCCATGAGAAGTATAGAGAGGTCCAAGATAATTTCTGAGTTGGTAGCGTCACGGGAAAGGGTTGGAGGAGGCTGAAAGCGGATATGAGGATTGGTGTCAAGAACGCAGCCCTGCACCACTACGCCATGCAACCAAAAAGGTACGTATGATCAGTGAACTACTGATCAGGGTGCAGGATAGTATATATCGTCAGCCAGGCCTGACAATTGGTGGGACATGAAGTGCAGCGGAAGTATACTTGACGTCCGAAAACGTCAGACTTGAGCTGCTTGTATCGTGCTCACAAGTCCTGAATATCGCAAAATTTGAAACGGGAATGTTGGATGTTTCCACTAAGGTTCTACTGATAGGGAGGCTCTTATTTGTTAGGCCTAGCTAACGATATATACTATCCTGCACTATAGTTAGTAGTTTACTAATTATATGCACCTTTTAAGATATATAGCGTAGTATTGTAAAGCTGCGCTTTGGATATTATAGTTAGTAAACTACTAGCGTATAAGGTAAAAGTAATACAGGCTAGAAGTTAATTATTTAACTCTTTATAGAGCTAGTTTAGTATAATCTAGCTTATTGCTCATTAATTAGTTTTTTTCGTCATCTCACCGCAGGGCGTTACAATATGACGATTGCTTTAGCCGCAGGCCTGGTTAAGAGCTGCATACTCGTCCTGCATGTGCTGGTAGCGAGCGGGGCTCGATTTGGACAGCCAACGTTAGCTGAAATGCGGGATGGCGCAACTAGAAAACACTTCTCCGCGTGTGCTGGGGATCTAACGGAGTGGTTGAGTCATCGATATGCTCCACCCTGTGCTTAGTGAAGAGCTGAAGAGAGCTGAAGAGAGCTGATCACATGTTAGACTCATATCTCCACTCCTTCAGGTATTGGGAGCTGATGATGTAGAACTGGCAAGTTCCTTGGAGCGAGCATAAACTTTAGGCAGTGGTCAGTAAGGAAGAACTATATTTTCTGCTGACCCCGCATCTCTAGATATGGAAATATAGATCGTTGTTTCAACTCAATTTCCTACACCGTTATTGATATTTGAATACCAGAAAGCTTCGTCGTTTCCCCTCATTCAATCAGACATAATTTTTGTCGGGAGTTTCTTCAAAGACGTTACAGCCATGCCCACTCTTACCAACTGGAATGATGAAATCCAGTTTGTCGTACCCGATGACCAATTCAAGACGCCAAAGCAGATTTCGGACGTCCAGGTTATCGTTAAAAATGCCTTCCAACATGATCAGCAAGTAACCGTCATTGGGGCGATGCATTCGACGACCGCGTGTATGGTGGGCACCGGCATCATCATCTCGATGAAGAACATGGCTCGTATCCTCTCCATTGATAAGAAAGGGTTAACCGCCACGGTGGAGGGAGGCGTGAGCCTGCGCCAGCTGTGCTCCCATCTGAAAGAACTTGGCCTACAGCCTCCCGTCGTACTGGAGTGGGGCAATTTCTATATTGGCGCCATGAGCGGCACGCACGCCAACGACACCTCCATGAAGCATGCAGCACAGTTTTCGTCGTACGTTGTAGGCGTAAAGTTGGTTACGCCAACCGGCGATGTTATGGAGATTTCGGAAGCCAAGAATTCGGAATACCTGCCTGCTATCCGCTCCCATTTTGGCCTATTTGGCGTCATCTGCGAGGTGACGGTGCGAATTTTTGAGACCCGGCCGTTACAGGTCAACTTCCAGGTCACGAAAGTCGACCCGTTTCTGGACGGATTCGCGGAGGAACTGAAGGCCCTGAAAGCAGGCTATGACCAAGTGTTCGGGATGCTGTTCCCTGTCACTGGCGAACTGCTCTGGCAGTGCCGCAAGTTCGTAGAACCGGGGGCGCCAATCCCGCATTCCTGGCTAGATCCGATTGAGAGCAGGGGCATCAGTCTGTTCGGTGATCTGTTTCTACCTTTGGTGAAGGTACTGACAGCCTTACGCCCCTCGGCCTCTGTTGCCCAGCTGCTGAACGCTGCACTCATCGACTTGCCGCTGAAGATCATCCGCCACAGTTCCTACATCGTTGATCCGTGCGATCGCGGCATCATCTACAACGAAGATGATCCGAATTTCGAATTCTATGACTGGGTATTTCCCGAGGAGAAATGGCCTGATATGGTGCGGGCGTTGCTGCAGCTGAGCGACCGTTTTCGACGGGAGCGCGATTTTGTCCTGCCGTTGCCTGTAGTGATCTACTTTATCAAGCAGGACCAAGCATCCCTTCTGTCACGATCGCGCACCGCGAACATGATAGCGGTTGACCCTGAATACCCTGACCCAAGGGATCCCACCTGGAAGGAATTTCGCTTTGCGTTCAATGAAATTGCTGTGATTCACGGCGGCATTCCCCACATGAACAAGACGCGCGATGGTGCCATCAACCATTTTGCGAATGTCTACGATCCCGAGAGTATCCGACGCTATCTCGAAATACGCAAGCAGTTCGACCCTAAGAGCCTGTTCCTGAACGACTTCTACAAGACCACGTTTAAGAAAAACCTCTGAGCTACCCACGCCTCCACGCCGAAGGTTATTGTGCTACTATGTACTATCTTCTGCATCCCTCTGTTGCACGAATTATTCTTTTATTGTCATTATCAAATACTGTACGATCAGTGGTCACAGAACTGAAAAGGTTCTTTCGCTGTGCAAAATCTGGACTCTGGGTCACTGAGTCAAAGTACCTTTTCCGATCTCTGACCTCGAGGCAACGGGATTGGGATGCGTCTGAACACGGCCGCTGAGCTTTATATTGCCTTATATCTCTGATCTTTTTTGCTGGAAATTGCTGGTTCGGATCGTTTTTGTGTTTATTTATGCGATCGATATGTCGCTCTTCCTCTGTTCAATTTTCTTAGCTAGTGACTATGATTTTCGATCCAGTAAGTGTGCAAAGAAAGGCGTTGACAGAAAAGTGGTGTACCAATGATCTAATAAGTAGCGTCCTAGTAACCAGAACGACTTATCAATTACATTTTCCATCGTCATTGCTGTGCGCATGTCAGGACTGCTACCAAAACTTACAGATTAAGATGATTGATAGGAGATGTTGAGTGCAGTTGAATTAGTCAATAACCAAAGTGCACAAATCATTTGCAATGCTGCTGCACTGGCTTAGTCCCAACCGTTATGGGTCCTTAGGCACGTACTGCATACGTCGGCCCCTCTCAATCCCGGTAGCTGCCGTTGCACCGCTAACGAACCTAACTAGCTCCATAACATCAACGATTGGTCATGACCTGAACAGCGGTCTGACCTAAATGCCTTGGGATGGCCTTCCGAACCTCACAATTTATACTTTACCTTGTAGCTAGGACTGCTAGATCTTTTTTCTATCTGCTCTACTTTCAGGTGGCCACTCTAGCAACCCCACGTGTCACGGTTCCAAAAGCTCAGAGGCTAATATAGTCTATATTAACAATGGAGGTTGATCAGAGAGCCGAGAATCAGGTCCTGGTCGGCATGAGGTCTGACTACGAGTGCACATAGCTATGGTTGAACCTCAAGTCCGCTCTTTCCGCTACAGACATCTCCACCCAGCGTCCACCCAGCTCCGTCCGGTTTGCACTATTCCAAGAACTTCTCGTCCACTTAGGATCGGGAAGTGGGGTGCTCGCCCTATCAGAGACCTCCGACATCGAAAGTCGGCAACGACGTGTCCGTCGCTACTGTGACCTCCCAGACATCGAGCTGCACCTTATTCACGCCCAGACTTACCTCTCACATGTCAGCACTTGTTGTGAACGGAACCACTTCCGTCCATGTAACTACGAATGCTAATATGACTAATTCTGCATGGTGCCTTCACACCACCTACAGTGGGTTATCTCATCAATGGTTAAGTCACCTGAGGGCATCCCACAATAGCTAGAGATACTTCTATTACTTAGCATTCACTGATGACGACATGTTCCATTCATCGTCCTGCACAAAGTATAATCAGAGCTGAAACTCAACTAGTTTCACATGTCAAATGACATCGAGCTGAAGTTCGGAGAGGTTGCAACTTTTATGGCACTAGTAAAAGTTGCAACCACTTGGTTTCTGACGATCGTACGACTTCCATTTAGAGTCGGAGAGCCGACTTGGCCCCGCAATGAGCTGAGATACTGGTGTGATGTTTGGATTTCACATGTCGGTTTAGAGAGCGGGGAAGAGGTGGAGGCAGATCCGCAGATGCTTGAGGGGGCTACTTGAAACCCTAAGCTTTTCCCTCACCGAGTCTTTGAAATCTCTCCAACGAGTTTCACAATTCTTCCTGAATCAGTCCTGATTTTACTGTTTGCGACTGGATCCTGCATACATAGCTGAACTGTTTGGTGGTATTGTCGGCTTGGTTAGAAGTGTGGCCGGTGGCGCGGCGCACCATGCTCAAATTGTTATTAATAGTACTGGGTATGCTGTTCAAATTGCCGCCAACGCGGTGGGAAATCTTGTGACGTTCTTACTCGCAGGGTTGATAGACGTTTTTGGTAACGAAAGCCGTATTCTCGAGACCGCGCCTAGCGTATTCACAAGAGCTGACAACCCTTCAAGAGATGAGCTGATTGACAAAATCTTGCGGCGGTCGCCCAGCTGAATCAAATCCAAAGCGCTCTTCGAGGCTGTAAAAACTCTCATGAATCTGGTCCTAGCTAACTAGCTGGTGGAAATTGTGAACAGCGTCCCAAGGGCGATCCTGAGCGCGTTTGTTTCCACAATGGGAAATCTTCTACTTATCCAAGATGCTAGCACTACCTTCACGCCCGAGATCGCCACGTTCATCAACCTCCTCGACTGACAGGGCAGGATCTTCGATGCAGAGAAGATGGCCCTTGTAAACAAGATCACTGTGTTCGGCCTGGATTCCATCCTCGCTTACATCGTCCTCGAGCCGATCTACATCGATGGCAAGGAATGCATCGTCCTCGACTACTCAAAGACCTCCTGCGTTGCTCACTGGGTAAGCGTCGAGATCCCCCTTATCTCTCCTGGCCTCTTCTTGGGAGAGGGTTCTGGAAGGGGAAGTCCCTTATTTTTTGTTACGCTGTGATTCTAAGCCGGCATGCTATGCGATGGACGACACTACGGGTGGCTGGTGGAGGTAGAGCTAAATTTGGCATGCTTCAGTCACTGAACTTTGCCAGATCTGATTGCCCTTTACAGTGTACCATTGTTGATCAGAAAGATCTGAGAAAAGGGAGTTCGGGGCATGAATATTTGGCAAATAGAACCATCAAGAAGAGCATTCACTCTGAACACGTAATGTAACGATTGAAGAAGTGTATTGCATATAGTAGTAAATTCTAGAACGAACATAGTATAGAGCATCTCTGATCTAATCTATTTGTTGCCCATGAATCGAGTCGACGGATTCCCACCGCTGTTACAGGGAATAAATGCATCCCTGCTTCTTCTTGCGAGCAGGAGTTCACTACTATAGCAATATACATGGTGTTCTATAATAATAGGACCTTAATAAATTACTAGTCGACTAGCCACTCCGAGAATTTAACAACTTACTCTACCCTATCATGTATATGATACAGACTTAGTTGTGTTGCAACTTAAGCACCTCCTTATAGATTGAAGAGTGACTCATGAAGGAGGAACATTTGTCTTAACGCCGGATTATTCCTTCAACTCTGGTAGCTTCTCCCACGGCGCGAAAACCTTGGTCTTCTCCGGCATCACTTTCCTCAGCTGTGGAAAGTGACGACCTAGGACATCGCTCATAGTGGTGTTCTGCACCCAATCAAAGCCCTCTTTGGTGTACATGTCAGCATTCCAGGCTCCCGCAATGAAGCGATCGCTTTTCAGGCGCCTACTAGCCATTAAAACAAAGATCCGGAATGCCGTATCACTAAAACCAAAGCCTTGTGGTAGTAGTTCACTATGTGACCCAACCAACATGTCGACCTTGTCGATGTCCCCATCGTAGACCTCACTGAGCTTCGCCGCGAGCTCTATATTACCGCCGGTTAAGTTTTCGAATGTTTTGGGGACAGTCATACGGAGCAGGCGGCGGAACGCCGTGTATCGTGGGACGCCACGCTCACGGTCTCGAAGGATATCAACTGTGCCCATATCACGGAGCTGGCCATCAGGAGTCTTAAGCCGCTGCATAAATGTGGAGTAGTTGTTATTGGTAATGGCGCCAGAATAGTTGATGCCGAAGGAATAGAAAGCATCTGCCCAGGTAGCGCCGGCCTTAAGAGGATCGAGCGACTTCTTGAAGATGAGGTCCTCGGTTGGTACGGTATTGATATGCTTCCCACTGCCGGCACCGAACAGGGCGATGTTGTCTAGCCACGATCAGTCTGGCTAACTAGCATCATAATCAAAAGAGCTTACCTGGGATCAGTGGATGCATACGATACACTGAAACGAATTCCTCAGTCAGAGAGTATGGTATCCCGTGATAGTCGACACCCAAACCCGGTATACCGCTGATGGCTTCATTGGTCTTCGAGATACGTCCGACCGCCTTTGTGAGCTTTTCGCGAACAATGCCCCACCAGTTAGCAGCCATGCCGATCTAAAGTGTAGGATGAGCCAAAATCGCTGGAGTCCATTCGACGGTATGGATCTTGGCCATTAGGGCGCAATTCACAATGCGTGCCTTGTCGAAGATCTGGTCACTGCACACCATCAGCATGCCAACGGATTTGACAACGCATGTGCTTACCCTGTCCAATCAGGATGACCTTGACGAATCTTTTCGCAGATAGCATTGTGCTCGAGTGCGAACAGAGTGTGCAGCATCTCTATGCCGAGCCACCAGTTGTCGTTGAAGCCGGTCTTTGGCGTGCCGTCTGGGTTTCGTGGGAGGAACCTGGCTTCTTTGCCGACCTTCTCAAGGAGAAGCTTTCCATCCCGATCTTCGCCTCTCAAGCTCATCGTGACGTTCTCGCTCGAGCCGTAGATCTGCGAGGCATCCCACCAAGCGGTGTTTTGGTTGCGGTAGCCAGGGCAAAGCTCGTCTGAAAGGTCCAGGACATCGTCTGGCTTCGTCCGAAATACCTTCATATCGCCATGGTCCGCACGCCACTTGTCATCTTTCTGCAGCAGGATGTCATACGTCTCGTCACTCTGTTTTAATTAGCTTGCAGTCCTCTCGCTAAAATGGTGGGCATACGTCTGCGTGGTTGAACCAGTCATGAACTTGGAACTGGATCCATGCCGCAGCTAATAAATTGAGCGTAGTCGCAGGTTTGAACTCTTCCGGCTTTCTCGCCATGAAAGCCTGGCTCACCGCACGAGGGCTAGGATTCCACAATTCATCTTCAGTTGGCTTTCGACAATGCTTGCGAGCAAAGTTACGACCGAAACGTATGCCAGCACATCCCATCTTCCGCAACTCGAGAGAATTATCCTGGCCATCCGAGTTGCGCGTCCCGATGCATCGCTTTTCTGTGGATAGTATTCCTCCTAGTTTACCTTGAGCATCAGCGGAGGCATAACCATCGTGGAGATTGTAGTTGCGCAATTCAATTCTCAAGATGTCGAGGTTGAAAGCTCCGATGAGGGCAGGCAAATGGTGCCAAGAGATGAAAAAGTTGATGAAGCGGAATACAGCAATTAAGATTCTGTCCAACAAAGACGGTTTGAAGTTTGGTGAGTCCATCGCTCTTCTCAGAATGTTATTGATGTTGCTTTTCTGTTTGTGTCCGACGCTGTATGGTGAAGTGAATGTCAGGACGTTCGAGTCTTTGGAGGAGGCAAACATCATTCGCCACGATCATGGCATATTGCAACGATGGTAATCGCCAGTCAGCCTCAGCTGATACATATCTCAGCTCATTGTCATCGACGTCTCCGAAGAGCGGAGTCAATAGAACGTAGTGTTCCAATCCAACCAGATGAGATATTGTAACGACGAATCCTGGTATAGCCTCTGCTTAGTTGGTTGAGAACGGTTTTGGTACGCTAATGGTAGCTTACCGGTTATTAGGGCCCATGTACAGAGGGCGAGTAGCTCGGTACACACACCTCCGCCCGTAGTGTACCGTAGAAGTGGTACCGTTTACAAGGTTCAATTAGTTCCCTTATAGCTAATGAATAATTAGTCAGAAGGAAATATAGTAACCTAGCGGTACGATGCTGTGTGTGCCGCTGCACGCAACATCTGTATGCGCGACGGCATTTTCCGAGCCGCTTTCAGCTGTATGCAGTCTGGAGCTGCACTCACGTTGGGCTCCAACATGCGACAGCATTTGCCAAGCCGCTTTCAGCTATACGCAGTCTGGAGCTGCATGGATAAGCTGAGGCTGACGTGATGACCTGCAATGCCGATTCAGCATATCATCACAGCTCTTTTCGTATATCGTTTGACATGTGAAACAGCTTGCGTTGTTGCCTATTTGCTGACAAACGCCCCCGAATCGGTTCGTCTGGAGGTCCTTCGTTATATCTTTCTAAGATACTGTTTAACACAGCTTCTAGGTTTGCCTCGCAGCAAGATGCATCTACGCTTCTTCGACCTCATGAGAGGGCTATTTATCCCCAGCACAGCCAATAACAAGACGCTCATCGATATCGACGCCAACCATTACTATGCTCGAGGAAACATTCAGGACCGAGGCCCTTGCCCTGCCTTGAATGCTCTCGCCAACCAAGGCTACCTGTGAGTGGACTTTTGGCCATAGCGAGCAAAATTGACAAATTCCAGACCGCGCGATGGCAAGAACCTCACTATCCAGCAAGTTGAGCAGGCATGTATGACCGTCCTGCACCAAGACAAAGCCCTCGCCTCAGCGATCGCTAGACCCCTGAACCAGATTCTTCGCCCGGACGGCACATTTGACCTGTACGACATGCGTCGACACAACATCATCGAGCACGACGCTTCCATGACCCGACTCGATGCCCGTCAAGGTGACAATTACACTTTCCAGCCGGCCATGCTGCAGGCGATGTTCGATGATGCCCGTGGCGGACCTCTCACAGTACAGACCCTGGGCAAGTCCTACAATCGTCGCAAGCGGGAGCGTAAAGCTGATGGGGGGGCTCCTCTACCTTGGAATCTTTGGTTCGTGAATATTCTTCAAACTGTGTCCTTCCTCAATACCGCGGATACTAGTGGTAGACTAGAGGAGGATGTTGTGAAAACATTTTATGAAGAGGAGAGGATTCCTACCATCATTTTGGATAATTACAATACGAGGACTTTATCGGGGATGTTAGTTTATGCTTTTAAGTTATTGTATTATATTGCTATAGATATCTGAGATTGCTAAGAATTTTGAGATGCTTAGTTCCGGTTAGAAACTAAGTTAAATATAGCATGTGCGCAAAAGTATTTACCTAGGAACTGTGTATCTACCTAATCAGAAATAGACTGGCCAGGAAGACATTCAAGCAAGCGAGAAGTTTGGCTATTCGGTTGGTAATGGTCCTTGTTGAGGCTGTACTGAGTTCCGAATAGATGGCCGATCCATGTAGGTCGGTTGTTGATGAAAATGTTCGAGTACCCGCTATTTGCATCCCGATTAGGATTCAGTACTCCAAGTTTCGCAACAAAGTCTTTCTCGTTCGCGAAGTGTTCGGTGCAGTGAACATAGCTGCTTAGATGTGCGATGTCCTCTTCACCTCGAAAGTCATCGTATGAACTTTGGGAAATGCAATCTTGGTCGCTCGTCTCAAGCCTCCAGTCCACACTTGGATTACCAAATGTGAAGACGTAAAGATGCTTACGCATCTTCTTCCTAGCCGAAGCATAAGTCTCCTGGCTTGTTGGTGTGGAGTCAGAGAGGAGGGCTGTTCGGCCGACCAATATGTCTTCAAGAGACAACTGTAGCAAAAGACAGCCTTGAGAGTGGGCTATGACCACAATTTTTGTTTCTTCTTCAGCCAACCTCAAAGCTTCTTCCAACTCTTTCTTCAATGCCTCTTGAGCGTTTCTACTGCTGGCTGTTCGCTTGATGAGTTGCCTCTGGCTCGCGGCTCTTTCACTTCCATGAAGTCTTCTCTCACCTGCACATTCGAGCAGATCCCAAAGGATCCCATCGCCTCTGTTGAACACACCCGTAACCTCTCTTTCATACTTCGTTGCTATCTTTATGCAAGCAGTCTTCAGCCAGTACAGCTCCCCAGCAATACCATTAACAAAAATCCATTTTTCTTTATGCTTTATCGCCCATCCAGACGGAGTAGATGATGGTACTGTGATAGTGGTGTTGGTCTGATCACTCAGCAATGTCGTTTCATGAGTGATATCAATGCCCTGGGACGGATTTCGTGTCATGTGGCTGAGGATGAGGACCACAGATCGTACAAGTCTTTGAAACTGACAAATGACAGCATGTCGATTCATGGGGTCGGTGAGGTCCAATTCGTTGTTAGTGCCATGTTCCTCGTTTGGCTCGGCTATCCCAGTGTCTGAGTTTGCCAAGGCATAACGCTTAATGGGGTCAAGTAACCCAACCAAGAATCTTCCTAACTCAGCGCTATCCCTCCATAATAGAGAAATTGTCGCCTTGTTAATCTCGTTGCTGGCTAAGTCCTTCTTTATAATGGGTAGACTTCCCACCTGAGAGGTGAGTGCATTAACGACTGCTCTAACGAGGTTATCCGCCGTAGTCAGAAGCAAGCGAGGAGAGAGTTGATGGACTACTTTCGGAGTGCTTTCTAATACTGCCGTAAAAAGTCCTCGTATTGCATCGATGCTGGTTTCTTTGAACTTAAGGGTCGCGGTTTGGATGATTAGGGTCCCATTTCCCGCCAAGTTTACGGGAAGAGTGGCAATAGCGGTGCCAGCGTAACTCAACACTCCCAGAGCATTTCCCATCTTGACTTCGTGTATAAGTTACTATATTTTGTGCGGCGTTAGAATAATTGAAACAATAAAGGGCCCAGTGTGGAGAGAAGCAACAGGCAGTAGAACTTGCAACATTTCCTGTGCTGCCTCCTTTATCTATCCCACAACAATGCCGCTAAGTCGGATCCCCGCTTTCGCCTGCATAGCTGATGAAGAAGTTGTTGGGATTAGAGACCAAAAAAGGTTATACTGTCTTAGCAGAGTTAATGCCCGGATCTAGTTAGTACACGCGGAACACCAATTACCCCACACTTTAATTACACGTAAAGTAGTTCGCTATCGAGTGGGCTACCCTACTAAGTCGGCCACTAAACCCCACTAAACCGCCTGCGCAGAGACGACGCGTAATGTCTCTACGATATAACATGCAAAATGCCTATAACGTACGCGGCAACTAAGCAGTGCGGTCTGGCTGCAACCAGCTCTTCTGTTTTGGGGAAGCTTTCGGACAAGACCTCGCTGCACGCAGAGATGCTATCACCTGTCGTAGCTACACAAAAAGAACGTAATAATGTTTGTTATGCTTCGCGGAGCCGTTTCGTTAAGTCAAAACTAAGGCTCCTTTGTTGGGAACTACGCTTTAACAGAGATGGCTAACTCCTAGGCCACGTCTAAAATTTTGTTCTTGAGATTTCTTCGCGGAAGCCCTCTTAGACGAGTTCCTAGATCTGGAGGACAGTAGAATTCTCCTTGGTTGTCGCGAAAGAGCTGGATGAATTGTTGATGAAGAAAATGCGATTAGGACACAAAACAGTACATGCCTTACTTTCGACCTTCTGGACCATTGATGTGTATCCCACCCGAGAGGACGTGTTTGGGGCATCGTGCCCCAAGCGAATTTTGACGGGAGCGATAAGCTGCGATAAAGGCTGGATGGTAGGCCCAAGGCACCTAGGGTTAGCCGTTTAGAGTAGTATAAGATATCCAAAGAAGATGTTTTGTGCAGAATAACAGTGCGATTCCAACGCTGTCGTCTGTTTGCTAATAGCTAGTCTAATTGTAGTGATATACGGGTGTGAAGACGAAGGAGAAGTTTTGATGTTCCTAATATATGATGCCCCGTGGTATCGACCCCTGATTCTTCCTAGTCAGGTAATCGCGCATCCTGCCCCAAAAGCCAACTTCACTAACAAGCACTGTTCTTGTCTTTCGTTGATAGTCGTGTTCGGAGTGTAGAGATAGCAACAAATTGGATTCTGCCAACACCAGCGTCTATCGCTAACCTGGTAACCCAAGGTAACAGCTCCAGCCAGCAAAGGATCCAGGAACAACCGCACTCTACAAGCGAAGGGGAGTACTTAACGCGGATAGAGTATGAAGATGAAAAACAGCGCTTCGATGGTGAACCCCGCACAGTAGCTCTAGACGCAGAGCTAGAGCAGGACGAGAATACAGAGTGGCTTCGAGGCTGTGAATGGCCGAAATGGTTTGCTCACAAGCCCATTCATCTTATCGTCGCATCTGCAGCACTGCCCTGTGCGAGAAGATCGGAGGATCTCTTACTAGGCCTTTATAATGGTTTCGAGTGGGTGAGCCCAGCATAGACAGAGAGAATCATTTGGAGATACTGGAGACCAGCAAAAGCGTGTTTCAGCGATGTGAAATAACACTCAAGTAGACTTCGCCTGTTTTGCGTTGCTGGCTTTAGGGTATGGTTTGAGTTCAATTAGCATCTCTAAAACAATTTCAAGTATCATGACTGTCGCTCCGCTATTGAAGTCCATGACTTCATCCTTATCTCCAGGAGAGGATGGAAGGTGCGACGCTTAGTCACCTACTTGCGGAGATACATTTGTAATCTGTCAGTGGAAGTCATACCTAGAACTTTTAACGTAGAGTGCGTTTCGTTACCGCTATTGAACGTCAGCATTGATACTCATCAGGTAGGTCAACGACGCGTCACTGTGCTTCACAGTATCAAGTCGAAGGCAGTCGTTGACGACGGACAAATTTGTGTGAAGAGTTGACAACCTTCATACATCTTCCTGTGACGGTAGCAGCAGGAGATATAAAGGGCCCGAATTCCTCTCTCGGAGTAGATATCATACAACAGCCCCAGCTATCTCTTTATATCACATATCATTATACATATCATAAAGAATACTCAACACCAAGCCAGCGCCGCCAACTCGACAAGTACAACACAAGCACCACCAGCACCACTACCATATTCCTTTGATCATTCCAATGTGCGATACCTACACTGTAGAGTACACATGTGGCTGTACCGACGTCCACATCCTTTACACATGCTTACCCCGTTAGTAACATTCCTCTCCTCTCTGCCTTCCATCGATAGATTCCATGTAAGTACATAAACTAATACGATACCTCCGTATTGAGATTGTGTCGGCTCCTCGATGTTCCGTCGTACGGGTGTGAAAAAGAAGGGGCAGGCTTGCGATATGCATGGTGGACCGTTGGATGACCCCGAGCAATATGCCTACATAAAGGATTAGGTTGTAGGGAAACGGGAAGAGATGTACGAGTGGAGGAAGGCGGAAGAGAGGAGGAGGGAAGGTTGCAGAGTAGGAAGAAGAGAAAGCTTATATAACGATCCTCACCAGTCAATATATGTATCATAACATTGAAACACCAGCCCTGCAGAATTTGTAACGACTTTACATGCTTGTCTACTACGTCAACCCATCATCGTCGCCCGGCCTTGCGTTATAAATAATGCTGGAGTGACTCACAGTACTCTGTTCTTGCGAAGATCTTCCAAGAACTAGGTGTAGTGCATCAGGATCCCATGTGCCTTCAATCACTTACTTGGTTGCGGAAGGTGGATCAGTGATGTGCCGAAAGATGATTCGGGTTGGACCGCGGAAAGGTTGAGTGAGTGAGATACCGAAAGTAGAGCGCGGAGGCGGTCGGGGTGAGTTGCTAAGCTTGCTCTCACCGTGAGCCGCTTGCGTAGGTAGCAAACACTCCCCTTCACCTCTACTATCACCACCCTCACCGGACTACACAACACCCACACCACACACTACACACTACGTATCATAGCGATCATGGAAGTCACTATTGTTCCCTCCGCTCCAAGTACGTACGGTGAGTCCCAAGGAATCCATTAAAGCTGTCGGGTGTACCCTCCAGAGCACCCGCCTGCTAAACTTCCACGCTCCGGCTAACCTTGAATAGCAGGAAACGAGTACTACGAAATCCGCGCGATCCCCATCAAAGGCTATGGTTGCTTCGCACTCAAAGACATTGCACGCGGCAGCCGGATCCTCGCCGACTCCCCCCTCCTCATCGTCCCCGTCGCTGACTACATGCTTTCCGACATTGAGAAAGCGTTTGCCGAGCTCACACCCACGCAGCAGACGCTCTACCACACCCTGCATTCCAGCCACGGCCAAGATCCCAAGGGCTGGCCATCCCGCATCCACGAGTCGGTCTCAGCCAAGGAGCGCAAAAGAATTGGAGAACAACATGAAGCGAGAACAAGAAAAGAAGCTAGTTTGATCTCCATTTTCCAAACAAATTGCATGGAGATGAATCAAGGCGCTGCCGTCTTCTCGCACGCGTCCCGCTTCAATCACTCGTGTAATCCAAACGCGTGCTTCAGCTGGAATGCGTCGATTGGCAAAGAAACAATCCACATTATGAATCCTGTCCGCGCAAACCAAGAAATCACGCTATCCTACTGCGACATGATACACGATAAACGGCTTCGCACGTACGAGCTGAAGCACTACGGGTTTGTGTGTGATTGCCCGGCTTGCGAGGACGATGAAGAAGACGAGGCGGGATTTGGGTATCAGAGTGCGGAACGGCGGTTCAGATTGCAGGAGTTGGAGAGGGAGACGAGGTTCTTTCGGGGCGCGGGACTAGAGAAGGGGGCTAAAAGAGAGGATTTTGTGGGCAAGTTGGTGGAGATGGCGGGCTTGCATAGGGCGGAGGGCGACTTTACAGCGAGACTGGCTGCCGTGTAAGTGGGATTTGCTGCGAGTACCTCCAGGCTACCTTTTGTGGTTGGGGTTTATGAGTTTGGGGGGCGAAGAAGGCCTTTAGGGTGGTATTTGGGAAGATGCTAACTTTGACCAGGTTTCTGGATATCGCACTCGTTTGTGAGATCAAGGGGGACCTTAAGATGGCGGAGGCTACTGCTATCAAGGCTTTGGAGGTCAAGAGGGACTGCCAGGGTGCCGATTTCCCCAACTACAACAGGTATACTGATGTGCTTCATCGCATTGAGTCAAAAATCGCTCTGCAGCGTTAATGGAGAGCGGACAAGGGGCGAGCATTAGCCCGTAGGAGAGACATGGCGTTTGATGGCGTTTGTACATTAGCAAAAATTGAACAGTGATTCAAACGGAGTGTGAGAGGGATTGGTAGACAGAACTGAAGCGATGTATAGACTGCGGTCCGCGTGATGATGTTCCAAAGGCACCGCTTAGTGCTACCCGCCCCCTGCGATGCGCCTGAGACACAGCTCGCATCACGCCAACACCACCGATCGTGAACAACGCGACAGGGCCACCGCTTCTCCACGCATGCATCCATCCGCGCATTTGGCAAAAAGGAAAGCAGGGCCAAGCAATCATCATGGGCGACGCTATCCCACACAAGCATCACGACTGACACTACAGCGGGAGCTAACAGCAGGTTTCATGAGCCGCTGACGTCGCTGCGTGTACCTGCGTCTCAAGGCGCGTCGCATGTCTGGCGGTGTTTCGGGTCCTTTGTTCAAATATCTGACTCTTATCGAGCGTAGACGATAATCCTTCTGCAGTCACTAACCTGGCAGATGCTATTGGCGACCCGTTTACGACCCTTTCTTCGTATTGAACGTTGCTGCGCCCCCCTTGGACCTACGGAGCGATCACCATTTCAGCGCCTCTCTAGCTCCGGCACAGCTGGCATCCGTGAGCTGAGTAACGCCGGGTGATAAACAGAGACACAGCTGCACACTTTACTGAACTCTGGGATTTGCCTATCGCACGCTTCCGGACTCGAGTATGGAGACGTCAGGTAGCAACAAGGCCGCCGCCGTGCCCACGCCCATAGCGACTTCCGTGCCTCAGCCGGCAACAACGCCGCTTCCCTCACCACCACACTCGCAAATGGGCCAGCAAGCGGAGGCAAAGATGTCGCTCGACACGACCGACGATATGACGCCCCCGTTCTCGCCGTCAAGCCAAACGCCGGTTCTGCACAAGGAACAAGAGGAGTTTGAAGGTACCGTCGACGTCAACAACGATATCCCTAGCGAGAAGGACCTAGCCAAAGTCGAAGACCTCCTAGTATTGGATGCGCAGGGACAGAGCCGGCCTTTCAAGGAGCTATACAAGGCACCGCATGTCGCCTCAAGACAGCTGATCATCTTCATACGGCATTTCTTCTGCGGTGTAAGTACCCTCAAACCACCCAGCCCCAACCCACCCACACCCCATGCATAGCAGAGACTGACACGCAATAGAACTGCCAAGAATACCTCCGCACGCTCGCCTCATCCATCGCACCCGATGACCTCCTCTCGCTGCCCACACCAACCTTCATAACCGTCATCGGCTGTGGCCGCCCCGAACTCATCCCCATGTACACCGAGACCACGGGCTGTCCCTTCCCCATCTACGCCGATCCTTCTCGAAAACTCTACGACTTGCTGGGTATGACACGCACCTACAATCTCGGCTCCAAGCCCGAGTACATGCAAACAAACATGCTCATCAACTCGGTGCAGAGTATCTTCCAGGGACTGAGCACGGGCAAAAAAGCCCTAAAAGGCGGGGATTTCAAGCAGGTTGGGGGTGAGTTTTTGTTTGAAGGTGGGGAGTGTACTTGGGCGCATCGCATGAAGACTACGAGGGGGCATGCTGAGGTGTCGGATTTACGCGCGCTGATAGGCTTGGATGGGAAAAGGCCGCCGCCGAGGAGGAAGTGGAGTCATGATGTTAAGAAGGAAAAGGAGGGGGAGGGGAGGAAGCGGGCTGTGAGTTGGGGAAGGTTGAGCAGTAAAAGTAAGGGCGCTAAGGATTCGTCGAGAGATGCTAGTAAGCAGTCGACTCCGGAGAGGATACTGGAAGAAGATCCGAAGAAGGTGGACATATGATAGGGATCGGGGTATTTGACAGCAGGTCCTTCACCGTGAATCGTGATAGGAGCTGGTGTATTTGGCGTTCGGATCCTTGGTCGGCTGCATGGTCCTGCAGGCGTTACTCGTGCGATATCTCATGTTGATTGTGTTTGGCCTTTTGCGTCGGGTCATCCGTACGAGATCGGCAAATGGAAGCTTTTGACTACAGTCATACACCAACTTGAAAGATATGTCCTTCCTAAGGAACATATCTTACAGCTGCACGATATGCATTGCTGAATGCCGTATATATATACACCACCTTGTCGTATACGTCGTCCCAAAACGGCAAGCAGGTCCGCTGCTCAAATGCCGAGATACATGACATAACTAACCTCTCTCCACATGTAGCTAAGATGCCCGGACCAGGCGACCACAACAACCAATAGTCAGCGACCTTTGCCTAGAAGCGAGTCAAAGCGACTATTGAGCGGACTACTCCCTGCGTATTCCGAGCCAGCTACGAGTTTGAGCCTCAAGTCGCGAGCATTACGCGTGGCCAAGTCCGAGGCGCGCCCGCCGAATGAGGGGCAATGGAGGGGCAGCATGACGATAGCGACCCCACAACGCTTCGAATAAAAGCTACCGGAGCCGCTCAAGCTATCTGGAGTAGCTCGCTTTTCCCCTCTCTAGCTGAAGGATACTTAAACAACGGGTACCTCTCTCTACTACTGCTGCTGCTTTTACTCGATATAAACTTGTTGAATAACACAAACACTCACAATGCCTGCTGATACCGTAGGAAAGGTATACTATGCCCCCGCTCTCTGTCTGAGGAGCTATGTGACGCGTTCAATAACCAGCTGACATTATGTTGTACAGACTATTACCTGCAAGGTACGTACCTATCGAGCTTCAACCTCATCCCGCGGCCATTGCTATCGCGCCGTCGTCCAATGCCCCGGGTGGGTGGGAGAGGCGGAAGGGAGACGGAGGGGAGGTGGTGGAGGTCTCATGCTTGAATAAGAGCGAGCTTCTACCTCCCACTGCGAGGCTCTACCTCCTTGCGCGAGTGTCTCTATCGCGTTGTCCTTCGGTTCCCGCTTCAAGTTGCCTCTCCCACCTCAAAGCTTGGCATGCGGATCCGCACATGATTCGCGACGCACGACATCGGGCGGATGTTACCGGGCAACATGGCCCGGATTACAGCACAAGAACAATTGGAGCTGACCAGAACCACAGGCTGCAGTTGCCTGGGAAGCCGGCAAGGACCTCTCCATCGAGGAGATTGAGGTCCTTCCTCCCAGAGCCCACGAAGTCCGAATCCAGATCTACTACACTGGTGTCTGCCATACCGATGCGTACACACTCTCTGGCAAGGACCCCGAGGGTGCTTTCCCCATTGTCCTGGGTCATGAGGGTGCCGGTTACGTTGAGTCGGTCGGAGAGGGCGTCACCAATGTAAAGCCTGGCGACCACGTCGTTGCGCTCTAGTACGTCCCTGCTATGAACTCGTCTCAGACACTCCCTGACAAACAACAGCACTCCAGAATGCAAGGAATGCAAGTTCTGCAAGTCCGGCAAGACGAACCTTTGTGGTAAGATTCGCGCTACACAAGGAAAGGGTGTCATGCCCGACGGCACATCGCGCTTCCGCTGCAAGGGCAAAGACCTCCTCCACTTCATGGGAACTTCCACCTTCTCGCAATACACCGTCGTAGCCGACATCTCCGTCGTCGCCATCGAGGAAGACGCACCCATGGACCGCACTTGCCTGCTCGGCTGCGGAATCACCACCGGTTACGGCGCCGCTGTCATCACCGCGGGCAAGAACGGTGTAGAAGAGGGATCAAACGTCGCTGTCTTCGGCGCTGGTTGTGTCGGTCTGAGCGTTATCCAGGGCGCGGCGAAGAACAAGTCTGCCATGATCATCGTCGTGGACGTCAACGATGCAAAGGAGGAGTGGGCAAAGAAGTTCGGCGCCACACATTTCGTCAACCCCACCAAGCTCGGCAACCAGTCCATCCAAGAAAAGCTCATCGAGATGACAGATGGCGGCTGCGACTACACATTCGACTGCACGGGTAACGTCAACGTTATGCGCGCTGCTCTTGAAGCCTGCCACAAGGGCTGGGGTGAGAGCATCATCATCGGTGTTGCAGCCGCTGGCCAGGAAATTAGCACCCGCCCATTCCAACTCGTTACTGGCCGTGTATGGAAGGGCTGTGCGTTTGGTGGTGTCAAGGGCCGCACACAACTCCCTGGTCTCGTCGCTGATTACAAGAGGGGTGATCTCAAGGTTGACGAATTCATCACGCATCGCCAACCGCTCGACAAGATTAACCAAGCCTTTGGTGACATGAAGGCTGGAGACTGCATTCGTTGCGTTGTCAACATGCGCGAATAACTACGCTCGGGCCCCCCTCCTCCTGAAGACCACCAGAGATCCAAGTTGTAGAAGCCAGGCTGTAAACGTGAACCCGATTTGAGCGATGTTTCCTTTTTTCTATACAGTTTCCTTTTGCCGAAGAGGCGGACGTACGATGCGCACTGCTGGTGTATAGAGTGCATGGCGAGGGTGTTGGGGAGATGGGTGGATGATGATACAGCATGAGTCGGCGTTGGTTGATGTGTGTGTACAATCGGGCGCCTGGTTGACTTTCGCTTTGGGCTTTGGGGAATGGGGATACGGAGGGGATGTAATCTTTTTGTAAAAATGAACGAAAAGTGAGTTACAAGGTTCTTGTTGCAGTTTTGCATATGTGTGCTCGTTCAAAGTCATGTGTGCGGAGGAAAGAAAATATGATGATCTTCGATGCGCGCTTGGTTGGAGTGAACAGGTTGATGGCTGGGTTAGTTGGGTGTATAAACCTCTCTCTCTCTTGACGCCTACTCCTCTCCCATTATCCATCACCTCCTTTTTTTGTTAACCCGAAAACCGATAGAAGAATCCCATTCATATAACGTCTTCCATTGGGTTCCTTTTGCTTGTCGCCCAACGGGACTAAGGGATGTTTCATTGAAAGTAATGCTGTCAGAGATCCCGCAACAGGAGCTTACGTGGAAAGTCAAAGCCATCGTCGACATCAAGCGTCACAAGCCTGACGGCACCCGTCTTGAAGCCGTCTTTGAGTAAGCTTGAGCGTTCGTACAACCGGCCCCTGCCTCTGTTTTCAAATGCTCCATGTACTCCAACAGTGTCTTATCCATGGTCACTATATCCGTCTTTTCACAGCAATATACCAGCCAAGCATTGACTGACAATAGACCAATTTGCGGTAAATGTGAAATCTCAGATGGAGGACACTTGGCTTTCAAACGCAATCTGCCCTGCTCTGGTGGATCTTTGATATATGCTTTAGCTAGCTTGATCAACTGACGTGGCTTGACCTCTTGCAAACCAATTCCGCCAAAGTATTGACTGAGAGCTTCAGGCAATGCTTTTGAAAGTGCTTCTGGCGTTGGATATGCTGCCAGGCATTCTGAGGCGCGTTGACAAGCGAGATGTTGTTTCTTGTTGGTGCGCTGGGTAAAGATGATCGCAACCAGGAATTGGAACTGCACGGATGTGTGAGATGGGTAGCAGTGTATGCGCATCTGATCTTACCTGATTATCCTTGAATTGTAGAAGGGGGTGTTCTGAAACAATGTTGGCTTGTCGAGCATTTTGGGATACTGACCGTGGGATGCTTCGCGAGCTCGAAACGCTGCTCGCATTCGTTTCCTGGGACGAGGTCATAACGGAGGTATCACTGACTTCGCGTGACAATGCAGGCGTTGATGGTAGTGAAGTCGGTGAAGATGAGATCCTTGTTTCTGTCAACAAGTCCGTGATGTGCTCAAGCTTCTTAGCAACAATTTTGATGTCTGTCAGACCCTCAGATGCGGTATCGCTTGCTAGGTGAACAGAAGCCTCTACCCTACCTCTGGAATCATTGGTGGTTTCGGCGTTGACCTCAATGGTTTGCCTGACTTTTTGAAAGTTTCTGTCGTATGTTTCCATATTTCTGCTCGTCTTCTCTACTGATCTGAGAACCTCTTGATTTATATCACGGATGTCATATAACAGGTCGCTATTTGTTGTCAGTTATCGTCAAGAGTATATCCGGAATGCCTACCTTTGCAGCTGATTCTTGAACTCAAACATGATGGTCTTAGTTCTATCCAAGCTTACTCTGAGCTTTTGTGTTTGACTGATCTTGGCTGCACACTTGAATCGCGTGCGTTTCCCACCCATGAGATACGCAGCCAGCTCCTTCTTGAGATCTTCGACGCTTTCCTGAGCGTGACCAATTGTGCGTGCCAATGCCGCGCTTTCTCGAAGTTGCGCATCACGCTCATTGCACTGTCGAATTACTTGCGTGATCAAATCTTCTACCAACTCAAGGTCGGTCTTCATCTCGCGAATATCTTTCGGGCAATCCTTCATGTTGGCCGTGAAGTCATGCAGGAACTTCAAACCTTGCGCAACAGGGCCTGCTAGGCCGACGAAACTGACGGGTGCAGCGGCAGTTTCCATGACGATACGAGGGGGTGATCTCTTCTCTCTGGCTGATATGGGAGGTGATAACGATGGAAGAGTATCTCAAAGTGTTGCTCTTATTTAACAAGCTTTGCATTATGGCGTTGTCTAGCAGGTACTGATGCAGTCACGACGGATCAGCTTAGAGAACATAAGCGCCTGTGGAGGCAGTGCACCCGTAACCGCTGACCGGACGCTGAGCGCTAGGCGCTACCGTGGCGCGCCAGGGTGGGTAGAGTAAATGTTCATACTCACTAATCAAGTTTGAAACAGTAAGAATATAACGTTAAAGATACAACACAATGTCCAAATGGTTTTAATATAGTATCCGTGCGCTGTTAACCCCTCTATCAGAGTGTCGAGCCTTGATTGGTCTGTATCACGGTCATAGAATTCAGTGTTTTGGCCGTACGGTATTTAGCAGCCAAACGAACACAGACCGCAAACGACAAGATTCAGCGGCATATTGCTCTTGGAAGTCGCACCGCAGAGCAAAGGAAATCAAAGTTATGTTGCATGAAGTTGTTAATCTTGTCCTGCGATTTGAGGATCGTCATGGAGATTAAACTGGAATCATGAGGGTCGGCCCGTTCCCCCCTCCGCGAACGGTTAGCCTTCTCCAGTTTTCTCTCCTCAGAAATGTCGCGACAATAGAGACCTGAGCCTGGTCTTCTCTTCTCCAAAGTGCTTTCTGCCTCTCTCGCCGATGTTCACTGAATGCTTTGCTCATTACATCACCTGGCATCTGGCGTCATCGGTTATCGCAATCTGCTATAGCGATCTACCGTGGGTGAGGCTGTTTCATCCAAGATCTCGGAATCTCGGACCTCCAAACATCCAAACTCTACATCTTTATAACATGAACGCCCTATCACATGAAATTTTTCCAAAAGTTGGGTTGTTCAGTGGCGTGGGCTGTTCGGTCCTGTTCCCGCCTCTCTTCACCTCAGGTTCTCCGGACACTAATAACAAACATCTTCTACATACGCCACCTCTACTTCTGCTTCTTCCAAAAAAAGATACGGTGCGACTAGTTTTGTACCCGCTCCGGTCTTGACTGGCCAGTTTACTTGCTACATGGTTCACACATTTTCCATCGGCTATCTGCTTTCGACAGCGCTTCTCCACTGCTCGGAACATACACAGATTCATTTTTCCGATCAAAAACCAAAAGAATATAGGCTGTGGCTGGATAAGTGCATCTGGAAATAGGAGAAAACAAAACCGGTGGCTTGGTCGTACCTCCGTTTCTGTCCGGAAGAAGAAAAGCCGGATCGTTAAGTAGCATGGCTTCGGCGAGAAGTTCGCCGGGGGGTTCAACATACTCCGACTTTTGAGCATGTTCTAAAACTCTGTCAGGCTGTATCGTATGGCCTGTACGCTCTGGGTTTGGTGCATAGATACAAAGTTTTGCTTACGCGAAGTCTATGGTTACGGCGAGAAGTGAAACATGTGAATCGTGATGTTCCATGGTTCTCTACGAGTGTTTACAGTACCGAGCTATCCTCGTCCTTCGAATCCAACTTGCTGTACTGGACCACGAAGTAAGACAAAGCGCTGGGTTGCACCCAAGAGAGATGCTATCCACCGGAATGGCAGTCGGGTGGAGCACTGGGTAGTGGGTCATGTGTTTGAGTGAGTTGGATAATCTGGGAGTGATAGGCGATCCTGGGTCTGCCTCTTTGGTCTAGTCGTGCGGCTTAGTGCGATGATTCAACAGTTTGATGGCGGTTTTCTCATTTCTCGTACTCGGGCATGAAGCTGCGCTGACTCCCAACAGATATGCGCACTCCTACGACGACTGAGTGGTCTATCACACGTTCCCTGATACTAGCCAAGAGGGGAAGTGTCAAAGGATGTGGTATATGTCCTCGGACAATAGTCCGGTTACGGCTATCGAGTTCGTCGGAGATTAGTTTTGGCTGGTATGCTTCATAGGCCGGATCCTAAGATATATTATTGACAACATAAGCAGACTTGTCAACAAGCAAATCAAACAAACTTTTAACGCGAATTTGAATTGTTTAAGTGTAACTTGCAACAGCGTTTAAGTTGTTTAGTTTGATAGTATTCTAGAAGGCAATTTATTAGAAAGTTTAATAGATTTAATACTGTTTAGGTGTTAATTAGATTGTATATCGTACATATTACTAAACGTCGCTGTCCCACTTGCATATGTTGTATATTACAGCTACCTTAGCGTTAGTTACGTCGCTTACAACAGAATTAGATAGAGGCTTAAAGCTAGCGTCGCGCTAGCTTCGTATACATTAAATTACTGCAAGTAGCTGTGACCTAATATTGCGTCGCCGTAGCTCTAGTAGATCACCTAGCTCGCTAAACAGGCGCTCGCACTCGCAACTTAACGCTAGTATTGTTAATATATTAATCGCTAGGCACGCTAAGTAAGGATACTTTAGACGAAGGCTTATCTAGTAGCTAACGGGATTACCACCTTATTTAAACTGCTCCTAGGTCTAGCGAGGCTTAAGTTGTCGCCAGCGCTCAAGCTCATCTATCTCTGTCACCTTAACAGCGCCGTAAGGCTCCGCGTTAACAAGCGCGTTAATAGTGTCGTTAATGCCGCTCGAGAGCCGCACTAGTAGGCGACTTAGGCGCTGTATTTGTGGCCTATAGAGCGCCCAAAGTTGCTGTAACCCAGCGTTGTTTGCCTTAAGCTAGCTCGGCTTGTCGCGCTAGCTATTTTTACAGTAGCTTCTGTAGTATAGGTAGAGGCAGGTAGCAGCAAAGTATACGGGTAAGTCGTTGAGCTTAGTGTAATACGCGTTAAGTTTCGCCTATGCTGCGCGCAGGTTAATAGGAAGGTGGTCTTTAGGCGCGCCGTTAGCATTGTAATTGACGCTGTTGTAGTTCTTTAGCAGCTGCTCGTACACAGCAAGTACAGCTTCGAAGACTAGTATAACCTCGTATATCGCGCCAAAACGGCCAGCTTTGCCCTGAGCTTCTAGGCGTTTTGTCGCCTCCTTTAACAGCTCTAGCACTAATATATACTGTGTAATTACTGCCTAATTGTTAGCCGTAAGGCTATTAGATCTTATCTAAGCTGGCACTTTAGGGAGCTTATTGTTACGGCTACGCGCGTACGCGTCAGCTCCTATTGTCCTTTTAATATGGCCTTAGGCGTATTTGTTAACAGCGTTGTAGAGTTTTGCGGCGCGGATAAAGGTGTCGTAGAAGCTGTTCTAGCGCGTGACGACTAGCTTTACAGGCTTAAATATATCCTAATTTTGATTGGGAGCTTTAGCGTTAACACGGCGCTAGCAATTAGTAAAAAGATCGTGTTGTTGCAGTGTTTAGATATAGTTAATTATATTAATTAGCACGCTAAGTAGACCTTACTGCCGCTATTCTTGTAGGTAAGCTGTCTCTGTTTTGTGCTCGTCCTAATCGTTGTCGTACGCATCCTTATTAAAGCTAAAGATAATTATCTGTCCTACTAAGTTGAGCGTGTGAGGGGCGCAGCGGAGGCAGTAATAGCTTGCTGTAAACTAAAAGCGCTTAGCGAGTTTAGTAACAGCAGTATCGTTAGCATACGCGTTATTAAGCACAAAGTATCTAAGCTAGCTCTGTGTTATACTAAAGACGTTGATTATATTGCTAACAACTTTAGCTATTCTCTCGCCTGTATAGGCACCTGTAAGCTAAGGCAGCGCGATAGGCAGGTCCCTAATAGTGCTATTAGCGTTAGCAAAGTAAGCTACTACTCTAAAGAAGCTGCGTTTACTGCCTTTTGTTGTCTAGCTGTTGAAGCTTATATGGATCTTACTAACAGCAGACGACAGCATCTAAACAACCTGCGGCTCTATGTAGCGATATAGCCTTATTACGAAACTAGCGACACTGTTATAACTTACCTACAGCGCATTAGCTGCCTCTGGATTGGCAAACTCTATTATTTGCCTAAACGCAGGCGTTTCGAACTCGCGGAGGGGATGGTTGTTGTTAATAAGCCACGTTACAGCTGCGTATCGAAAGCGCTGTATATTAAAGTTTCTGAGCTCGTTAGCGACGCTTTGAGGCACCTTAACACCGCTAGCAGCTATTATCTTAAGCGTCGTTTGGCCTTATAGTAGTACTGACGGATCTAGCTTGCCTCTACGATCGTAGCTATAGCTAGGTAGCTTCTACGCAAGGTAATTAATAGCGTTGCTAGTCGACTTCGTAACCTCTAGATGGGTGCAAAAGATCTTCCGCTAATGGCAGTATTTGTAAACAAAGTACGTACGATTAGGCTTACGGAGCGAGGCAACGCGGTAACTGTACTAATATACCTAGCTTTTGTTACGCTTTAACGTACGCAGCGGCTTTATAAAACGCGGTAAACGCTTCTAATTAATGCTATTAAAGTTGTCCGCGAACTCCTCATCGAAGCTACTATTATCCTCGCTTTTAATAGCCTTACTTGTAGCCTCTGTAGCAGCCCTACTGCCTTTAGCTAGTGGTTGTATAGAATCTTCTAGTATAGCGTCGCGCAATTGCGACTCGAACAGCGCGTCTTTGGTGGCCTGGCTTGCTGCAGCAACTAGGGCTTTACGTGGCGAGGTGCGGATAGGCAGCTTGGGCTGTAAGTCGTCTACTAAGATGGGCTGCGAATCGTCTACCGAGATAGGCTGCGAAGCACTGCCTTTGGCCGTTTTGGCGCGCTTCTGAGGGCCGCAGGTGCCCTCAGCAACGCGTTTACCCTTAGTAACGCGTGTTAGGTTACGAGGCGGCATAATTAGCGTGTAGAGCAACAAGAAACACTAAAAAGTGCTGTAGAGAGACGGTAGTATAGTTGCAATATGTAGCTAACGGCAGTATAGCAGATAGGAGACGGGCGACAGGATAGCGGACGACGCACGTACATATAATGACTAAGCTCACTACAACACACAAAAAAACTATCGCGAAACCGCTGCCTCTACTATCTTAAAAACCTTATTTAAATCGCTCTTAAAACACCTTAGGATAGCTATAAAACAGCTCGCTATATAATATTAGTTAAACAGTCAAACAAACTAAACAAATCGCTATCGTACGTTTAATTTGTTTGTGTTTTCTTACAGTTAGCGTTTAGTTTGTTTAATTTGCTAATAGTCAAGCAATTCAAACAAACTATTCAAACGCGTTTGCTTGATGACAAGTCTGAACATAAGCAATTAGCATTTTATCGTGGCTGTAAAAATAGGTACAGATGACCGTCCCATTTGCTATACGAAGCTTCGAGAATGCAAATGCAATATCCCCTTCTCGGTATTGTTCTGTAACGACAGTGACGCATCAGATCTCGGCCAACGACTCAGCCACTTCAGTCGCTTATAGCTGGTTCATCTCTGCCTTCCATTTCAACCATGCTGTCCCCCTTTTCTCTTTTCCCGCGAACGGAAAGGCATCATCTGACTAACATCTAGCATGACCCATACTCGGCATCAGACCTGTTGATACCAAAAGTTAGTACGGGGTCTTTTGATCGCCCGCGCTGGAAACGATATAGCGATGATGCGTACCTGTAATAGTACGCTCCATGCTGGGCCTCGCCGCCCCATCCACATCCATTGATCTCCTCCTTGAGACCGAACTTGCAATCCTGTTCACTAAGATATCCGTTCCCAGTGACAAAAACTATACCATTTCATTAGTCGATAGACGACCTAGGTCACGGCATAGTCGAGAGCGGGTCTTACATAAAGCTTTGAGGTTATCGCCTATGTTTCGGCAAGCGGACTTCGTTCCGGCGAAGTTGCCGGCTAGGCCGCCGTCGCCATTGTAGCAGACCGCATCAGCGGCGTTGTTGGCAGACTGGCGGCTTCCGCCCCATCCTGCACCGTCGTTGTTGTAGCATTTCGCACTGACGGTGATGATGGCGGGAGCTACGACAGCGATGAGGGTAGAAAAGTGCATGATGAAATGAAGTACAAGATGGATTAAGATTGTTCGGTACTGCTGATAAGATTTAGGGGATGCTTTTATAGTGCCTGGGATGAATGTCTTCAGATGTTGCTATAGCGACTGGCATCAGGCCAGCTTTTATACGCATCTCCTTCTCCAAATCTTTTAGCCTCTTGGTTAAATTCTTCCGGTGAGTAAACTCTCGGGGACCGAAGCTCAGCCGTAGGATCTGGGTCCATGTCACTTGTCACAAAATTGAGCAGTCAGCGCCTTAGCTGCAGCTGCTTACTCTTGTACCGACGGTTCTAAAATCGTTGCGAGTAGCGTTTTCAAGAAGTAATGATCTTCGAGCAGCACTTGCGGCCTAATGGCAGATAAATATATACCTACGTTTCGTACAAGTTGACGACTGCCCCCAATACGGTCTCCACACATACTTTCAGAGGTACAATAGAAGATGAATAGCTCCAGCAGCTCGGTATGGGCAAAGGGGATAATTCTTTTGGTCGCATCGCACAGCTTCGAAGGTCGATGGAGTGGGGTAAGGCGTAAGGCAAGGCCGACAGGCTTGGTAGTATTGGTGTGATGCCAGCACAAAGTACCAGCAAAAAATGCGTGAGATGCCGGTTTGAACATACAACTGTTTCTATCGAGTATACACTAAGCACAAGCTGGATTAGAAGACAAAAGTGACACTAGCCTCTGCTCCAAGCAGCTTTAACTTCAAGTATCAAGAGTGCCGGTTACCACCGTGCCACAGAATGTCCGTCGCCGTGGCTCATCTCGAAGGCTTTACCCATACTCCTCGACCTCCCTCATTTGTAGGCGAGACTCCGGCATAATACAGACTACCCTTACCACAGTAATTAGTGGCTCGTATGCCTTCGATGCCCAAGGTAAAAGAAAGCAGTCTAAGCTGAAGGCGTTAACCTTGCTTCATTGACTGGCTGGTGGTGATTGAGTCATCGGAGCTCTTCTCGATGAAGCGACAAGCGAACCCCGAGACATATATAATCATATATACCTCAGCTCGTAACGCGCTGACATCTTGTTTGAACAACAATCAGCGCCCAGGGATGCGTTGCCAAGCGTAGATCATTCCTCAGGCTAAACACTACACACACTCGACCTCTTGGCAAGGCGTAAAGTACCTGGATTACGAGCTTACGAGAGCAGGTGTATATTAGGGTAAGACGAGTAGTTTTGCTGGAATAATCCACGGCCTCATCATCCTCGCCCACGGACTCACATATCCATCGAAAGGATATCCTCCAGCTTAACGTCTCCGCAAACTTTGACGACGCGGTCTTGGCTTCTCCGTCCAGACAAAGAACGCCTTCGCAGAAGCAACGACTAGTCGTCTCGGGGTGCGACCACTTTACAACTGTATCTCTCTAACATCACTGCAACATACAAAGCCTAAAGAGCGCATCTATACGACTCCCGCTTCATGACATCTCCGTGGTTAGAGACAAGGCTTGTCTCCATCATTGCAAGCCAAAGAAGGGTATTAACTGACTGCATGTTAGTACAGAAGGAAACGAGAGGCGAGTAAGCTTACGTATCGCATCGTTAGGTGTATCGGGCTGATTGGCTACGTGTTGACGATGACCCACGAGGGACTAGCGCGCACAGTCCGCAACAAGCAATCCAGATTGGTTTGCTTGCTTGACTTGCTTGACCTAATCAATTCAAACAAGTCAATCTGAGCTTACCCAAATTAGCAAGCAAGTCAAGCCGAGGAGTAATTTTTAATTAACTTGCTTGTCTTACTTGTTAACTGCAAGAGATTTATAAGGTTTTTGGAGTAGCTAGAGAGCTCATCTCACGATACTTTCTTAGTGTTGCAGTTAACCCCTAAAGTCTATCCTATATTAGACTAGACCCGTCCGTGCACTCGTATTGTGCTACATCACACAACAACGTGCTATCGTCTGTAGTACGCTTTTAAAGCTTCTACTGTTATTATTATCGCCTATATTAACGCGTTTTTTTAGTGTTTTTAGTTGCCCGCAATAGTTAAGCGCTCTCGAGCTCTCTCTACTGGCACCGCTGCTACGCCTCCTACAAAACGTACGCGCCTATTAGAGCCCTTATCTTAGCGCTCCTCCTAATAATTACTATTGCTACAGTAAGCCCTAGCTACTGCGAGTTAGGCTACAACGTTTAAGTCGCAATTATTAGAGTCGCAGCTAGATGCGGAGATCGTTGCGCCTACTAAGGGCAGTTACGCTAGGACGGCAGCAACAGCTAAAGCTGGCAGTAGCGATAGAGATAACGATAGTAATAGCGATAACTTTGATAGCATTGACTAGGAGCGGTTACGGCGCTTTATAAAGCCTCTTTTAACCTAGCGGCGCGTTAAAAGCTAGATATATTAACATAGCTATCGCGTTGTTAAGCAGAAGAACCTAAGTTAAGTATAGTTTGTATGTAAGTACTACTATACTTACAAGGCTATTAACGCTAGCGGCAGCGGCATGTTTAACGTCTTAAGGGCTACGACAGCTACTGCTACTTATCTTAGCCTGCAGAGACAGGGCCATAGACTTACAAAGAGCGGCATACAACAACAGCAACGGTCTAGTAGGCAGCTCTCTCTCTAGGAAACTCTAGAGGCTAGTGTTAAGGTCTCTTAAGAGGCCGCTAACGCGATAGGCAACTTTAATATACAACAGTTTCGACAAGCAGCTGTACTCTGCCTACTTAATAACAACCTACTAATAGAGCTGCTTACAAAGCCCTCCTTCCGCGATATAATAAAGCTTTTAAATCTAGAGGCAGAGGCAGCGTTGTAGGTAAGTTCTCGCAGTGTTGCTACATACGCAATGCGCTTGTTCCGCTCTATACAGCCTAAAGTTGTCTAGGCCCTGTTAGAAGCTGCTAGTAAAATACACGTAAGCTTTAACGGCTAGACGATAAAGGGTAGTAAGCGTAGGTTCTTTAGGGTCGTTGCGCACTTTGCTAACGCTTCTAGAGTAATACACGACTTGCCTATTGCTCTGCTACAACTTATAGGCTCTTATACAGGCGAAGCTATTGCACGTACGATAGCCTAAACGCTTGAGGTGTACGGCATTACTAGCGACAGGCTTAGTTACTTTATACTCGACAACGCTACAAACAACAACACCGCTGTCGCTGCGCTTACTTGCGTATACGACTTCGACACTACCTATTAACGCCTCTGTTGTAGCCCTTACACGCTTAATCTTATTAGCTAGGCAATAATATTTAGTAAGGACTGCGAGGCTTATAACAACGCTGCTAAACAGCTTAATACAGAGTAGTTGTACATGCGCGAGTAGCGTAAAGATAGGCCGTTAGGCGTACTAATCGACGTTATTAACTTCATTAAAACACTACAATAGTATAAGATTTTTAGAGAATTTTAAAGCGCTGCTAACGCTGAATTGCCTGCTAGAGAGCGCCTCTAAACGCTTAAGCTAGTTAAGCCTGTTGTTACTCGCTGGAACTCGTATTACGCCTCCTTTGCACGCGCAACTCGACTTTAAGCTGCTTATAACGCCTACGCTGAGCACTATATTAGTCGCATCTCTCTTAAAGATAGACGCGCAAATTAAGCTAGCAATAAGCCTTTAGACGCTCTAAGTTGGATAAGATTAGCTAGCCTTACAGCTGCTAATTAGGCAGTAATAACAGAGTACTAGGACTGCCTTAAGCCGCTTAAGGTTGCTACGGAGCGGCTTAAAGGCCGAGGCAAAGTAGGCAAATTTGGTGCTATATACGAAGTTATACCTGTCTTTGAGTACGTACTTACCTTACTCAAAGCTCGTACGCGCTAATACAAGCAAGTCGATTTTAACCACACCGACGCGCTAGAGGACTACCTTAATATTAACCTACGCGCTGCTTAGCGTAAGGCTAACGAGTACTACGATAAGCTTGATCGATCGCCTGCCTACTACGCTGCTGCCTGCCTCTATCTATACTACAAATACTACTGCGAGAACAGCTGGGTTGACAAGCCAGAGTGGCTTACCGCCGCTAACACTAGGTTTTAGCGACTCTAGCAGTCGTATAGACCTTAGCGTATACGCCCCTAACCTCTACTGACTTTAATAACAACTGCGCGTAGTATAGATAACGTAATCAGCGCCTTTGTACGCCGCAACAACACTATGCATAAAGCAGCTTACGACGACGAGTACGAGCGCTAGAGGACTTAAGAGCTAGAGTGGAGCAGAGAGCAGTACTTAGGTGATAGTTACCCTGTCGTTTACTGGATACAGATGCGCTCAAAATACCTGTGTTTAAGCTAGTTTGCGATTAATATACTAACAATTCTAGCATTAAGCTGCGAGTGTGAGAGGCTCTTTAGTGAGCTTGGCGACCTACTTAAGCCTAAGCGACGAGCTATTAGTAGTGAGTTGCTAGCTGCTCTTCAGTTAATACGATCGTGGATAAGAGTAGGCTTTAAGACTTATTATAACGACAGGGACGACGTACTAGATGAGGATATTATATAAGACTATAACATAGACGAGTGGGCTGATAAGCCACTGTAGTTGTATACAACTTTGATCCTTTATGTCACGGTAACCACCGTGGTTCCCTTGACACTGAACGCGCTACAGAATCCGAGTGCTCCGCCAAGCACCAGGATTCTGCTGATTGGCCGGCCGGGCCTAGCGCCATGCGCACGGCCCCCATCGATAACTTCTCACCGCCTGTACATGCTGATTCTGTTTCCTTACGCAACGTCTTGTATTACACCAGATATCGTACGTAGCCACAACTAACGCTTCTAGTAAGCTCTTAAACACGTGCTCGTAGCATCTCGTGACATTACGTTGCGTCAACCTACTATGACTACCCACGAACAACCTGACGCGTTGCAGCTAATCTTGCGTCAGCTGAACGCAATTCAAGCGGACTCGGCTGCGTTGAAGGCTAGCAACGAAGCACTCCTTGCTAACCTAGCCGAGCAAGAGAATCGACACGCGCAACAGATATTAGAGCTCCGTCAAGAGATAGAGACTATTAAGACT